GCTCATCTGCACCTGTGGTGCATTCAACCTGATACTGCTCATCTGCACCTGTGGTGCATTCAACCTGACTCACTTCCTAAGAAACAGATTTACTGTGGATTAGAGAAGAGCCACCGTTATATATATCTTCTAGAAATAGTTAATTTTAAATCCTATATTAAAGTAGATATCTCTATTATAGTCTAGGGAGCTATTTATAAGGGTAGTAAAAGTAGGCTTATTATTATAACGCTAGAAGATATTTAAAAAAAAGGTCTAAATTCTAAAATTTATATTATAACTTTATAAGAAGGCCTTCTACCTATATATAAAGATTAGAATCATTTCTAGTAAGATAATATAAGAATTCACACCTTATGTGTAATAATAAGTTAACTCTAGAGCTATAGAATATTAGTACTTAACTAGCTAGTAAAAAGCCCTAATCTTAACCCTATTAAACACATATAGGCTGTGTTAAAGGAAAAATTATTTAAATTATTCCCTAACCTCTACGAATTCATAAATAATAAAGAGAATATTCGTAGGTTTAAAGCCTGCCTATATGTTACGAATCAAGAATGTATGCAAGGCAGCCGGGGAGGCGGCCCAAAGGAGCGACCAGGCGGGCGCCTGCAAGTCGTCTAGATAGGATGCAAGGTCACGTGACTGGATCACCGTGGATCACGGTGAGCCAGAGGTGATCCCACACAAGCATCAGGATCACTTGGATCACTGGTGATCCAGAGTGATCCAAGGAATACAGTAGAGGATAGGTGGATATATAAGGAAGGGGATTTCCCTAGATAGACAGCTAGATCTCTACTGATCAATCTAAGCAATAGTTCTACTATTGGGAGTAATCTCCTAAACGTGACTCAAGCTACGATACTGCTCATCTGCACCTGTGGTGCATTCAACCTGACTCACTTCCTAAGAAACAGATTTACTGTGGATTAGAGAAGAGCCACCGTTACACTATAGGTTGTGTGGGAGGCGCTAGATGACGAATTAGTCCAGCGGTTGTTAGGCTCATGGCCACACCACATAGAAGCAGTAAAGAAAGCGAAGGGTTTCTATACACGGTATTAAAGCCCTACTAAAGAGCTTTCTAAAAATATAGGTACTTCGTTTTTTGCTATAAAAATGCGTGTGTTAGAGGTACCTTTGTTCATAGGGTTCTTAGTGACGCGGTCGGTGGCGCTGATCATATTCCAGACTTTTTGTGGCCTGCTGTACATTGTTGTGTTCGATCAGCTTGCGGCGCTAACTACTGGGTTGGTATCACTAATTTTGACATATATCCAGACGCAGGCATTTAACAAAGATAGATAAAGTGCTGATGAAAAAGAGGGTGAAGGAATGGGACATGTAAGAGATATAAACCCTATTATTCGTCAGGCAAAATAAAAAGCTCCAAACGTGAGGTTAAAAAGCCTCAAACGCGAGTTTAAAAGCGACCTCCGTACAGTGCGTCCATCTTAAAAATACAACTTTTCATCAACCCAAGACTTATTATGGATTGTCCTGCTGGTTGAAAGAAAAAAGGCTATCAAGAAAAATATGCGCCATAAATTCATATAATTCTGGCAATTTCTTTATTTACTCCACGCTTCTTGGTTTCGCTACCTGTGTACCTGGGTATTTTTTTAATTCGCCCACTTTCAAAGAGACATCTGTGCTCCCTACTTCTTCTTTTATCAATTTACAATATCTTGTAACGTTGCTGCAGGCACAGTGGTCCGTAAATATCGAAGTTACTGTTATTCCAGTACCCCAGTAATAATTGTTTAATAACCTCTGCGCGCTGCTGCGCGAAAAGCGCCGACCCACTAAAATTTCGCGACGACTTCAGCATGGCCTTTTGCTACTGCTCAAACGAAAAGCCGTCGACGTCAACAAGTGAATGCCTGATTTGAACTTGATGGAGGCGCTGGGTCGCAAACTCGCGTCATTTCTGTCTATAAGCAGCAATCGTTGATCAACGCAACGTCGTCACGTGCCAGCTGCTTCAGCACACACCCTGCTGCAAACGCCGAAAATCACTGCCGACTCACTCCTCCCTCACGTCGTCGCAGAGAAGCCCATCTCCTCCCACCACCAAGATTTTCTTGACTCGAGATATCGCCCTCTCTCTACTAGTTTGCTTTCAAGGCTGCATACGCTCCAGCTGTGGCGTGATAGGCTTTTTGGTTCTCGAGCAACCCTGTCGTCGCATCACGCTTCAGTCCCTCATTTTTCTCAGAAATAGCCATACAAATGTGCAATGTACGTGATAAAGCGGCGCGAGTATTTCCTTCGGTGCCGATTCGGCCCGTCACAATTTCCACTGGACTGTCTAACAAGAGAACAGTAAAAGAATCACAGCGTCGCCTATCACTTGTGTGACGACAAGGTCAGCATGGCACAACCACCATCGGAAGACCCATTCCATTGGGACACCGACAGGGTCTGCCAGGAGCTTTGCTGCGATGGTGTGGAGTGGACTAACGATGCCTCGGCTCTTGAGTCGCTCTTGCGTGAGAATTTTATGGATGGCGAGACGCTGTTGACATATGAGCTCGCCTTTTCGAGAAAAGAGCTCATAGAATGTCTCGGCATTACGGCCGCTCGCCATCGCGCCAAACTTATCAGGAAGATTCTGCAGCTTCAGAAACAAAGTCCTAAGTTTCGTGAAGAAAAGAAGAGCATCGAAACCGACGGCATCAATCAGGTCTTCTTGCACACTCAGATGTCAACCCTCCCAGTTGCACCACCATCACAAAGTCCCTTTGACAAAACGTCTTCTCCTCCTATGCAACCGCTTTTTGCAATTGCCGAAAAAGTAGGGCCGTTGGAAGAATTCCCCCGAAAACGCCGTCGCATAGCCCCTACTTTTGTTACGGACATATCGGCTAGCGCTGCTACACAGCGTATGCCAGGCTTCGAAGAACCTGAATTAGGCACCCCTCACATGGTACGCGTTGCTGACGCTTCTTTCTCTGGAGAAGAAGTATCTACCGCCTACCTCGGCAAGAAGGCGGTGGCAGACATGGTTCCTCTAGAGCCTGACTACTCTTCAGATAGCGGTTCGGACACCTTCTACTCGGTTAATGCGCCACAACCGCGAGGGAAGACAAGAGCTATCTATTCTCGGCTGAAAAAATATCTCTTGAAAAATAATAGAAAGATCCTCACAATTCAGTCTGGGGTCAAGGTCTCTACTTCCTCCGACGGTGACCGAGACGTTATTGACTTCGACGATTTGGCATCCCTGGACGAAGACACCATCCGTGAGATGGCGAACGAGGAAGCAGAGAGTAAACAAGCCAACTCGTCTTTTCTGGCCTCTGAGAAAATCGAGGAAATCATCAACGAGGAAATTTGCAAATTCCAAGCTCAGTGGCAAGAAAACAAACTGCCTAAACTCGAGAGAAAAGCCTACCGTCTATGGGGTCAAGCTAAAAAGCACAGTCTGTTGCGGCGAAAAGCATTTGAAGCGCAGCAAGAGGCAAGGCACTTTCGCGATCGTCTCAGTACCCTTACCCGTGATTTGAGGGGCCTGCCGTGGAAGACGAGCGAAGAGTTGCGTTTTCAAACGTGCATTGTCGAACAAACGGTGGTCGATAAGCTGCGTCAGGAGTGGCTCGCCAACTTGTTCTCCTTGCGAAGTGTACCACCGAAACGTTCACATCCACACACTCAAACACATCAGCAACCCCGGCCGAGAAGAGTTATTCACGGCGACCAGCTTTCATCAAGCTCCGAAGAAGAATCGAATTTGGAGGACTTTATTGTGGATGACGATTCTGTATCTGCGCGCGCGATTTCTCCTGTTCCACAACAAAACATCCCCTCGCCTTCCACCAGTTGCCATCTTCCACTTGCACACTCCAACAACCACAGCGTGCCGCACAGCCCTGTCTCCTCTGTCATGGCTGAAACTAGTTATCCTCAAACTGTCATTGATTTGACGATGGCTTCTGATGTCGAAATGGATGGCACAGCGGAGAAACTGCTGCATCGCGGGTTTGACGAGTTTACCCAAGATGCACTTGCGCAAATCGGGGAGAAGCATCCTAAGCATTGGGCCCGCAAAGGGGACCGATTTCGCCTTGTCATTTCTATATTATGGAGACTTGACATTGAAAGGCGCGAAGCCTTCTTCCATTGGCTTGGTGAAAACGGCGTCTCCGATATCTGGCGGGCATTAATCGACACTGCCCAAAGCAGAATAGAAGCCACAGGCTCGTTCAAGCAAGGTGCGGTGTTTGATTTGATGCTCGTTTATCTGAGTTTCCAGAAATGCAAATACCGGAAAGAGGAGAAGATCTCTAAATTGAAGCCTAAAGATGTTGACAAAATGGAACACTCAGAGAAGTCGTTTCCTTTATTCTGTGAATTTCTAGGAAGCATTCAAAATGGATTCCCCAAGAGGAACCAAATTGCTCGCCTCGATGAGTTCGGTATTGAGGGCTTCGTTGAAATCGATGGATTTCCCGACCAGACCTCCACCAAGTCGGGTGGAGGCAAAAAGAAGAACAAGAAGAAGGCGATTATTCTCGATAGGAGCGGTGTCGAATTGCGCGAACGAGCAGAGCGAGACATGCGAGAACAGGAGCGGCGTCGAGACGAGCTTCGTGCCTCTATCCAGAAAAACAACACAGTCGATGCCGCTTCTGCCCGAGCGCCGCGCTTTATCATCAATGAGTCGAAAACAGACGACCAAAATTTCATCTATGTCAACCCCCAGATTTCTTGTCGCATCAAAGATCATCAGATCGAAGGCGTTAGGTTCCTTTGGAACCACATTGTCCGCCACGAGAGCGAAAGACAGGGCTGCTTGTTGGCTCACACCATGGGTTTGGGCAAGACGATGCAGACGATCACGTTTCTAGTCGCGCTGCGAGAGTCAGCGCTGACGGATCAACTACGTGATCAGATCCCTAAGGACTTGCGCGATTGGAAAGTTCTGGTCCTTTGCCCTGCAGGTCTGGTAGAGAATTGGAAGGACGAGTTTGCCATCTGGGCTCCTGAAAAGCTGATGGGAAATATTGTTACCATCGAAGCAGCGAAACCTCCCGCTCAGAGAATCCAGAACGCCAAAGACTGGGTTCATAAGGGAGGTGTGCTGATTATCGGCTATACGATGTTCAAGTCCGGATTTAGAAAGGGTGATGGAACCCCGACCAGCCTCGACCGGATCCTGGTCGATAATGCAACGGTAGTGATCGCGGACGAGGCGCACCTCCTCAAGGATCCAAAAACGAATATTACACAGGTCGCTTCCGAAATAAAGACGAGCAACCGAATCGCCTTGACTGGCTCACCACTTGCAAACAACGTTGAAGAGTACTACGCAATGATCAATTGGGTTGCTCCAAATTTTTTAGGTCCACTGCAGGAGTTCAGGGACATGTATGCTACGCCAATTCATCAGGGCCTTTATCATGACTCGTCCAGCTCTGAAAAGCGAATGGCTATCAAGATGCTTCAAGTTCTGAAGACGACCGCAGCTCCAAAGGTCCACCGCGCAACAATTAAGTCATGCCTGAAGCATGAGCTTCCGCCAAAGGAAGAATTTGTCATTTCAGTTCCGCCAACTGAAATACAGCGCAAGCTGTATGACCTTTACATACAGGGCAATGGCTCTGACAGCAGCGACGACAGAGTCAACCAAGCCAATTTGTTTGGCATTCTGAACCATTTGGCGCTCATCTGTGCGCACCCGGCAGTCTATCGCAAAAGGGCCATTGAGCTGAACGTCAAGTCAGAAAAAGGGCACGAGGTGGCGAGGTTCCCCATGGCAACAATAGGTGAGGTTCTGAAGATCACCGCTGGTCAAAGCTTGGAGCGCACCGAGCTCTCATACAAAGTTGAACTCCTCAATAAGATTCTGGACCAATCTGCTCGTCTCGGTGACAAAGTCTTGGTTTTTAGCCAGTCAATCCCGACGCTAGATTACCTGGAAAAACTCTTTGCAAGCCAGCGCCGGGAATCTTGTCGACTGGATGGCAACACCAAAATTGACAAGCGCCAAGAGATGGTCAAGAACTTCAACACCGGTTCGACGCAAGTGTATCTGATTTCCACGAATGCGGGTGGTGTTGGTCTAAACATCCATGGTGCGAACCGAGTCGTCATTTTTGACTTTAAATGGAACCCTGTCTCAGACCAGCAAGCAATTGGACGAGCCTATCGTATCGGTCAGCGAAAGCCTGTGTTTGTCTACCGTTTCGTGGTTGCTGGGTCATTTGAGGAGGATTTGCAAAACAAAGCAGTCTTTAAGACTCAGCTAGCAGCCCGAGTGGTGGACCAGAAGAACGTTGTCAGCTGGTCAAAACGACTCGCAAACCTGATCCATAAGATCAAGCATGTCGACGCCACTGAATCCCGATTCGACTTCAAGGGGAAGGATGTCATCCTTGACCACTTGCTAGATCATGCGGATACAAGGGCCATTACATCTGTCATGTCCTCTGACACGTTCGAAGAAGAAGACGAGACTGAAACACTGACGGCTGAGGAACGCAAGGAAGCCGATAGCATGGTTGAGCGGCACAACATGCGGGTGGCGGACCCGGAAAAATACAGCCAAATGATGCAGACAGAGCGAACTGGTAACAATCAGAGAGCTGCTTCGCATATTGTTTCGGGCAAGCCGAATAAGGACGGGTTCTCGGAGAGACCCGACCCTGCATATCAATCAACCGGCCATTACAGTTATCTTCTTTCACAGTCTTCGGGCCCAGCCTCGGCTCCGGCTCCGGCTCCGGCTCCGGCTCCGGCTACTACAAAACGTTCGTTGCCCTCATCCGGACCCATGCCTATGCTGGGCTCTAATACCTTCTACGGCAACGGTGGTCCGAGAATGACCGTAGTCCAGGCCTCTTCAGTGCCCAACAACGGAAAATCTGCTTTCAACGCGGCGTCAAGCGCGGAGGCGCGAGAGCAGTTCCGACAGAAGTTGGCGGCTGCGCTGTCGGTGGTCGTGGCCCGAAATCAACCTATTCCGCTCGATGCGCTTGCAAAAGCGGACTCCATCACAGCTGAAATCGAGGTGGCCCTGTCAGAGCGGAACGAAGGGCATGCAGCTGATACTCTACACTGGAACATGCTGGCTGGGAAGGTTGAGAATGAGAGGTTTCTTCTGGCAATAGCAGCCGCCCGGTTTTCTGGACGGTTCCTGGGCGCGACCGAGGAGGGTGCCATTCTCGAGCGCCTCCAGGACCTAGAACTTATCTGCGAAAAGAATTCCTTAGATCTAATTCGCGAGGGGGGCAAGTCAAAGGACCCTGAGGTACGAGTGGCCGGACGGCAGCCAAAACGTGGCTCCCGAAAAAGACGAGCAACCAAGAACTGACGTGAATTTGCGAGAAAAGAGCCTATCGAACATTATGCGATCGCCGAGCCGATGGTTCGATAATAAAATTAACAAAACGCAGGCGTTGGAGGACTTGCGAGCAATACGACGGGCATCGACCATGCGAAACGGCGAGCGGCGAAGCGATGTGCGAAGCGACCTGAGAAGCGACCTGCGGACTGACCAGGGGCCAGAGCTGCCATCATGGGCGAACAACATTCGTGGACAGGGACGACTAGCAGAGAGTTTGCTGAGCAGACGGTGAGAATTTGAGAATTAGGATGAATTGGGAAGAGCAGGCTTGATTCCAGTATGGAAAGCTTGGCATAGGGCATGAATTGGCGTTCGGGCAAAGTTTTGATTTTACTATGTGCAAAAGAAAAGGAAGAGGATTCAGCACAACTCGAGATACCTAGCTTATTTAGCAATCACAGTCTAGTAGACGAATCGTTTCATTGAACGGAGAGGGAGTGTAGACATTGACAGGATACGCAGAAGCAAGCAAAACGACGTTTCTTACTTAGCAACAGCCAATAGGAAGGGGGAGATTTGATATTTCCCAATGTCACGCGCTGGGCTCAGCTAGTTGTTGCAGAGCTCCGCTTTATCAAGCGGTTGTGTGGTAGTTTTAGTGGTGGGCCAAGCCCAGGCCGAGTCCGGAACAGTGGCCATGCACGCCGAACAGCGAGCCAACGCCGGAGTGACCCGAGCTTATGTAGGTAGGTCAGGGCATCCCGCAACACGCCATGCCGGGTAACAGACAGCCGGGGAGGATAATACGGATACTACTCCGTACAAAAAAACGAGTCCTTGTTTCTTTACAGAGCTTGCGCAGCGGTGGCAACCGAGACAATGAAGAAAAGGCATGCAGGCAAAAGCGGTAGCCATATCCAGCCAGTCAGAGGGCGTGAAATTTGGATCACCCAGCCAGCTACTTATGTACTAGAGGTACCTGCCACCGGCTCATCCAGGTTCCGCCGGCCCATCGAATGTGGGCGCTGGGATGATGCTAACACAAATAAGCCGAGACTGTTGCATTAATTGTTAGTGCCTTTTCCGTCCTGGCTTCCGTCCCGGCTGAGGGCGCCAAACTGAAAATCCGTTTGGCGTTTCGCCTTTTCCTTTCCCCAGTTCCCAGTTTCCTTCTCGTCTTCTACATCTTACTTAAGACGAAGCAACTTTTTTTGTCCGCCTTTCTCTTTTTCCTTTCCGCCATCCCCCCTCTCTCTCATTGACTGAGATATCTGGTTTCTTTGAGCACAAAACACTTGAATTGTCTGATCAAATAAAAAGCCAGTAGGTGCCCCTCGCACCCACTCCTGCTCCAGTCCTACATACGACGTCTGACCCAGTGTGCTGCTGGTCTTCGCCTCCAAGCGCTCTTCAAAATACGATCATCGACTCTTGAATCAGGACCGAATCAATCTCGCCCGCCATGGATAGCGTCCTTCGTCAGTCGAAGGCCATGTGCCCTTTCCTCAAGGCCGCCTCCCCTGCAACCCTCCGTGCCATGTCGAGTGTGGTCCGCCCGCAGCCGTCCTCGCCTTGCGGCGGCACAATGTCTAAGCTGCAGGTCTACGCCCACCGCTGCCCTGTCATGGGCAAGGCCCTCGCTGTGCAGTCATCTAAGCACGCCGCCCTCTCCGGCCTCCGCGCTTTCTCCGTCAACGCCAAACCGAGCCGCGCGAGCATTCACACCAGCCGGAACCAGGAAGCCCGCGCCGTCGAGACACCGTTCCTTAGCGACCGTGATAAAGGTACGATGAACCACCGATGTCTCGCTATAGTGCTCCTAGGACACCAATTGCGTTCATTAAAGGCTAACACTACGTTGAAATAGGCCCCATACCGCCCACTGTGCCGTTTCATCGCAAAGAAGCGGCCATCACCGCCACTGCTGCTGCCGCATGCCCAAACCACGCTACCAAGTTCAACTACGATGTGTTCTACACGAAGGAGCTCGATAAGAAGCACAAGGACAAGTCTTATCGCTACTTCAATAACATCAACCGCCTCGCCAAGGAGTTCCCCCGCGCCCACATGGCCAGCAAGGAGGAAAAGGTCACCGTCTGGTGCGCCAACGATTACCTCGGCATGGGCCGCAACAACATTGTCCTTGAAAAGATGCACGAGACCCTCGACGAATACGGTGCCGGCGCCGGTGGTACACGCAACATCTCCGGCCACAACACACACGCGGTCGAACTCGAGGCGACCCTGGCTAAGCTGCACGCCAAGGAGTCTGCTCTCGTCTTTTCCTCCTGCTACGTCGCCAACGATGCGACCCTAGCCACTCTGGGCAGCAAGCTCCCCGAGTGCGTCATTCTTTCAGACAGCCTGAACCACGCCTCCATGATCCAGGGCATCCGACATTCCGGCACCAAGAAGATTGTGTTCAAGCACAACGATGTTTCCGATCTCGAGGCCAAGCTTGCGTCGCTACCGCTGCATATGCCCAAGATTATCGCTTTTGAGTCTGTCTACAGCATGTGCGGCTCCATCGGGCCGATCGAGGCCATATGCGATCTCGCCGACAAGTACGGCGCCATTACATTCCTCGATGAGGTGCACGCCGTCGGCATGTATGGACCCAGTGGTGCCGGCGTCGCAGAACATCTCGACTGGGAGGCTCACAAGGAGGGAATGCCCCGCGGCACCATCATGGATCGCATCGACATCATCACCGGTACTCTGGGCAAGGCTTACGGCTGCGTTGGAGGATACATTGCTGGCAGCGCCAAACTTGTTGACATGATTCGCTCTCTCGCTCCAGGCTTCATCTTTACGACCTCTCTCCCTCCCGCGACCATGGCGGGCGCCAAGGCGTCCATCGAGTATCAAATGAAATATGACGGTGACCGTAGGCTGCAGCAGCTTCACACCCGCGCCGTCAAGGAGGAGATGGGCGCGCGTGACATCCCCGTCATGCCGAACCCATCTCACATCATTCCCATCCTTGTTGGTAGCGCCGAACTGGCCAAGGTTGCCTCGGATATGCTTCTTAAGGACTACCAGATCTACGTGCAATCCATCAACTACCCGACCGTCCCGGTTGGCCAGGAACGCCTCCGCATCACGCCGACACCTGGCCATACCAAGGAGTACCGCGACGAGCTGGTGGCCGCCGTTGACGAGATTTGGACCCGTCTTGGCATCAAGAGAACTTCGGAGTGGGCTGCTCAAGGTGGATTTATCGGTGTTGGTGAGGAGGGCGCCGTCGAGTCGGCCCTCTGGACCGATAAGCAGCTTGGAATCGAGCAGGCTAGAAGGGAGATGATGGCGACTGGGCAGGTCGAGAACGGCACCAGCTTCACTGAAGCACTCCTCAAGCAAGAGTCGGCCGGCGCTCGAGCTGCTGGCGTAGCAATTGCTTAGGAGCAGGAACGCCGCGCACTCTACAGCTAACCAGTTGCGGCCCAACCTCATTTCCATTCTACTCTTGATGTGTGCTTATTTCCTCGTAATATATTTGCGAACCTTTCTGAATGATTTACTTTGATCGTCGCTGGGCTTGCATAAAAGCCCAACGATTTTGAATAAAAACATGTGATGCGACTACCGCATCGTCGTTTCAAGACTAAAGCTTGATCTTGCTCGCAGGCCTATTACGCCTACCTCCTGCTGACTGATGTGTGATCTCCTTTTTTTGTATACCCTCGGCATTGACTTGGCCAATTGGATCATTGTCAGACTTCACAACTAGGCTCATCGCCTTTGCGCGTTGAGGAATGGTTAGTCTAAGCTCTTCAGCCTTCAGCTCCGCTACGGGTTACCGGGTCTGGGGAAAGAATGGTCTCGTCGACTTATTAATAACAGGTACATACCGACAGGACACACCACGTTGCCAATCGTTTATTAAATAGCTTCAGGTCATATTTTTGAGTTTTGTACCAGTCTCTGCCTAGGAAGTCAGGCGCTTTTCGGGCTGGGGAACGGGCTTGCTCCATGTGGCTTTGACCTCTTTTGGCGAGGCGGGGCTTTCTAGAAAGGTCAGCCCATTTAGCCAAGCCTGGTTATACACTGGGAAAGGAAGAGGGGGGGAGGCTGGACTCAAACGTGACTCGCGGGCGCCGTACGATGGGAAAAGGACGGATGGGAAAAGGACGCCAGCCCAGAAGAAAGACTTTTGTGCGGGTGACACTTACTGGAAGGCTATTAGCCGAAAAATTGATGAGGTAAACTCCTTAGTTGACAGGCGGCCAATGCCCGTTACCACGGAGGAGCGAGAGGTCACTGCACCGGATGCACGGGCTAATTTAGTCGTCCGTGCCGAGGGAACGTCTCCCCGCGCCTGGCAATGGTCAGCCGTCTGCGACGCAAGAAATAGGGTCATTCTTTTTAGTTTGACTTCGCTCGCGGTCTTCGCGGTTCCCGGCCGATTGTTTTAATAATGTCTTGTCAGGGATCAAGCGAAAAGGACGAAAAGGACAACCGGCCTCCCTGAGCCTTGGCCCAACACTAAACAATTGACAACAAGCACCACACACAGAACAACCTGCAGCGTCAAAGCCTCCCTTCTCGACATTTCTTGGACCACATCTCTGGAAAACGGCAGCAGCAGGCTCATTCCTGTCATCAGCGTACCAACAACTAGCTCCGATCTGGGGAAAAGGCGGGTTCGGTCCCAGCAGCCGTGCCATCAACCATCTTTGTCTGGAGTTTATCATGGTGATTCACCCACACTCGCCGGCACGGTTTTTCTTGACTCCTACACTGCATTTCCAACTTTAAAGTAACGGCAAACCGCGTGGAGAAGACCCCCTTCGACAGTTACGGGGAAGTTGGTGCGCTATCCTTGCAAGCCAACCGTCCACGGACAAGTGGGCTTTTACACCTACACAACGTTGCCTGAACTTTTTCCGCTTCGTTTTCCTTTTGTCACATCGTTTTTATCAACGACATTTCCCTGACGCTTCTTACGCACACTACTCACACTACTACTTGCCTTCATATCCCGACATTGCGTTGGTTACCGTCCAAAGTCGGCGCTCAATCTTGGCCTGTCACTTAAACCCTACTTGTTGTTTTTCCCCAGACCAATGTCGCCTGGTCTCGGCCCATAATCCCCATCTCATCACCTACAGGACAGCTCACCCAACCCACGACGTCTTGCTTTGGCCAACCCACGCAACCTGGCGCGGCAATGCAGGCCGCGCAAAAGGGCCCCAAGGCCTGTACGACTTGCGCAAAGGCTAAGGCGCGATGCATTCCAGGAAATTCTGATGGCGACAAATGCGAGAGGTGAGTCTTTGCTTTTTTTGTTGAGATCCTTTTTTGTTGGCAATCACATGTCAAAGAGGGTGGGTTTGGCCGCTCCTCACATGGGGGCCGCCGATGCGCGATGGGTTTTGAATGGACAGGCGAATGAAACAAAGTATTGCAAAACAAGTGAAGATGAAACTGATGCTATTTTTGTCGATTCGATAATCGCATAGATGCCAGAGATTGAACAAGGACTGCTTCTCCCGTCCGCCGGCCCCGCCCCGCATCAAGAAGAGGCCGAAGAGATCCAGGGTCGCCGAGCTGGAGAAGAGGCTGAATGAACTGTCCTCACAAGTCGGTCAAGGCCACGCGCGGCTGCCGACGCCCGAGGATGCGGCGACGTCAGAGCGAGCGACTTCCAGCGCCAAGACGGTAAACAGCGGCGACGTCCAGAGCGACCTAGTCGAGATTGTCAACCTGCAGCACTGGTTCCCCAACTCGGCAAGTTCACCCGGTGGCGCTGGCGCCGGCAAAGAAAAGTCGGTGTCGCCGCCACGGGCCGGCTGGGAGGCTGAGGCCTTTCAGCACATGGACTCAATCTGGCCGCTGCCCGAGGATGCGGCGGCGCTGCTCCAGGACTATCACGAACTGTGGGCGGACACGTTTCCCTTCATCGTGGTGCCGCGGGACATGACATCCGAGGACCTTCGCGACAAACGGCCGTTCCTCTGGAAGGGAATGATGCTGACGGCGTCCTTCTTCGATGCGGCGCGACAGACGCGGCTGGGCGCGGAGCTGCTAGGCGACATGGCGCGCGCGGCCGTGGTCGAGGGCGTCAAGACGCTCGACCTACTACAGGGCATGCAGCTGCTCGTCGCGTGGTACCAGTACGCAGTCAAGGGCCACCAGCTGACCAATCTTCTCTTCCTAGCGCGCTCCATGTGCGTTAATCTGAGCTCTCCGAGCTGCGACCCGTTGCCGAGCGATGCGAGATACTCCCAGCTAGATCCCCTACGGGCCTACGCCGCTACATATTATATAAATACAATGTGAGTTGAACTTGACACGCGGTTATTTCATGTAACTGCAAAACACTCCATCCCTAACAGCTCTATTTGCAGTGTTTTTGCGACGAATAAGAAGACAGATGTCTTTATGAATACGTCCCACGTCGAGCTCTGTCTCAAGACGCTCGAGAGCGCAGCAGAATATCCGTCGGATGTTTTCCTGGTCAAGCTCGTCAAGTCGCAGCAGATCGCCCAGAACGTTGCCCTCACGATGTCCTTTGACCCCAGCCATCCCATGCAACTCCCCATCCCCGTCATGGTTCAGACCTTTCAAGAGCAAATCAAGAACTTCCGAGAAACGCTACCAAAGCATTTAGAAAAAGATCGTACGTCATGGGCACCCACACTTGAGATATATTACAGAATAGCTCAGGCTCGCTAACAATACACAGCGTCCCTCGGCGGCCACCTCCTCATCTCCGAAGTCCTTCTAACAGACATTGCCCTGTCAGACCAGTACTGCGGGCCGGCCAGCATGCCAGTCGAGACGCGCCTGGAGCTTCTGTGGTCGTGCATTCGGTCGCTGCGGGCCTTTTTCCGCAACCGCTTCCTCAACCGTGACATTGACCGGCCGCGTTACGTCAACCTAACAACGTCGGACATCGCCTACAGCCTCATCACGAGCATCAAGCTGCTGATGTTGCGGCTGCCCGGCTGGGACCCCAAGCACGTGGCGTCGGAGCTGACGATCACGCACGTGCTGCACTGGCAGATTAATGACCTGGCGCTGATTATCGAGAAGCGTCGCGGGGAGTCGGCAGCCACGGGGACTGCTGGACCGGCCAAGGTGGCGCCGATTGCGGAGGACCCGTGGGAGCGCCTCCTCCGCCTGCTCTTCAACGCAAGGGAGCTGGTCAACTTGCAGTGCCACGCGGGGGACATGAACGCGACGGCTGCGGCTGCGGCTGCGGCTGCGATTCCGGGCATGCCAGGCCCGCCGGGCTCGTCGCAGGCTCTACTTGGGGAGCTGGACGAGTCTGTGTGGTTTGATATTGTGAACGAGACGGCCTGGAACATGAATGACGAAATCATGTCTGGGTAATGAGAAATGAAGAAAGACAAGAGGTCAGTGGGTGAGGCGATCACGCCCAACAACGTACACTACTGGCGAGTGAAGTGTATAGTTTTGTTTACTGTTTAGCGATTGAAAGGCATTTGTTGTCGTCGAGTCAAGGGTTTTGCAAGCGATTGGGAATCGGCGCATTCAAGTTGGTGTGGCAACACCACGCTCTTTGGGAGTTGTTATTATTGATCTATTGTCTACGCGCTACTTTGCGGTTCTCGTCTGTGTTTAGGAAGCTCACCACGCTTAATGGTTAGGAATATACTCGTTATTAGTAAAATGCGGACTACATTTAGGCCGTCTTTGTTTTTTTCCATGATCTTGAAGCCAAACCCATTCTAGAAGCGTCCGCTCTATTTCTCTGCTTATCACTCCTTATCTCAGTCCACAGCGAGGCCCTGGACCTTGGTCATCGCCAGCCACCGTAGGTCTCCCTCGGCCGTCGCCACACTCACGGCCGCCAGCTCGTCGATGAAGGCGGGCACAAACGTGCCCGGCCCGCGCACGTCGGCCCTCTGGACCGCGCGCTGCGCCGCCGCACCGTACAGCGCCGCCGCCGCGACCGTCGCCAGCAGCGCGTCACCACCCTGCGGTGTGGCGGCGACCATGGCGCTCACGACCGTGTCAGCAGCACGACGGTGTCGTGGCGGCGCGCCAGCGCGGCGGCGATCCGCGCCCGCTCCGGGACGGTGAGTTCTGCGGTCGAGTCGACGCCGCGCTGCGCGATCGAGGTGCCGAAGAGGGTCTGGATCTCAGCGGCGTTGCCCTTGATGACGGCGAAGCGGCCGAGGGCGAGCATCTCAGCGGACGCTGCTCGTCGGATGGTGGTTGCGCCGGCGCTGCGTGTGTGAAGGAAGAAGGTTTGTCAGTTGAGCCAAGGCCCGGCGACGGCGACGGTTGAGGGGAAGGGGGGAGGGGTGCTTACCCGACGGGGTCTAGGACGATCGGCCGGCCGGCGTCATTGTAAGCCTTGACAGCCTGTTTGTAGTTGGCAAGGCCCTCGGGCGTCACGGTGCCCATGTTGACGACCAGCGCGCCGCCGAGCTGGGCGAGGTCCGCGGCCTCGGCGGCGTAGTTGGACATGATGGGGCTGGCCCCGACCGCCAGCGCCACGTTGGCGGCAAAGTTTTGCACGACCTTCGTTGTTCTACATGTTAGCAGAATATCATTGGTTGGGGGGGGGGGGGGGCGCGCGCAACGGCTCGGACGACAACCGGGATCGCCGCCGTGGCGACAGCCCCCGCGAGTTGGCTGGCGGCGGCGGCGGGATCCGCAGCGGCGACGACGGCGCTGACGACAGCGATACCCTCAAGGGACTTGCTGGGGGAGCTGGCTTGTGCGAGAACGGAGGTAGCGTTGGAGGTGTTGACGCCGCCGATGCAGACGGTGGGCACGCCGCCGTGGCCGTAGGCGGCCATGGCAGTGAGGATTGCGCGGACGCCGGCGGGCCCGATGATAGACTTGGTATCTTTCTTGCTGTGGAAGGTTGCTCAAGGTCAGTAGAGCTTAGTGATTTTGGGGGAGAAGACTCACGTTGCGGTGGCATAGACGGTGCCGATTCCGAGATAGTCGGCGCCGTCTTGGCAAGCTTTTATGGCTTCTTTGGTGGTGCTGGCCGTGACGCCGATGATCTTGCCGTCTCCGAGGAGCTTACGAGCTTCCTGTACACCTAGATTCAAGTCAGAATCGCCTCATGGTCGTGCTCGACTTAACTACTGAAATAAGCCTCATCGCTCGCCGGCAGAAAACCAAACTCACTCATGTCATCCTGTCCAATGTGGACACCCTCGCATCCAACCTCCACGGCAACTTCCACGCGGTCGTTGATGAGCAGCGGCACGCCGCGGCGGCGGGTGAGGGCGTGCAGTTGGCGCGCCGTGGCTACGACGGCCTCGCGCTCGCCGTGCTTGTCGCGGTACTGGACGCAGGTAACGCCGCCCCGGAGCGCGGCTTCGACAACGGCGACAAGATCCCTGTCACCAAGGATGGTGGGCGTCGAGTCGGTGACGAGGTAGACGCCGTAGTTGGGTGGTCGGGTCGGCGGGGCTGCTGCGCCTTCGGCCGGGGCCGGGGTCGGCCGCTTGGGCGTGACGAGCGGGAGCATGAGTGTGTTGTGCTGTCTGAATCGGTTGAGTGTTTGGAGGGATGAGACGTAAGTTAAAGGAAAGAAGCAAGTTTGCTTTCCTATCGGTGAAGCCGGAATGATGGCTCAGATGTTGCTCTTGAGAAACTCGCTCACGGGCTTAGCGGGTCCAAACATCGACGTACCACGTCTACCCGGGACCGTTGCTACCACGAAAGGAAAATACTCCATGTAGTCGTTGTTGGGTTATTTTAATAAATGCACATGACCTTGATATAGGTGGCATCGTTCAAAATGCAACTGATTTGTTTAGGTTGTCAGTAGCCACATAGGTAATATTTGCTTATCCGCCCTCATCTGGTACTCAAAGGCTATATTTATGCAGTGACCAGTGTGCCATTGCCTTAGATACCAGTCTTTTCGGCGGCCTCAAATTGGCACTCCCTGCCATCTCCGAAGTCCAGCACGAAGCAGCCCCTCTAGTTACTTCCGGACTTTGCCGTTTGTCTCACAGGATACGTAGGAAACGTTATCACTGCTATCGAGGAGGCGAAGATTGTCGGCGAGGTCAAGGCACTCAGGCAATATAGAAAATAGGATAAACTAATGTATCGTTAGCTGGTGGGATCGTTTTCATAATACTGTTGCAGTTTTTTTTTTAGATCACTTAAATATACGGTCTTTTCCTTTTCTTACGTGTGACTCTTGTACGACAGCCAACAGGCCATCTGCATACCTACATAGACAGTGCTCCAAAACCACCCACCAGCGGGTGAATTTATTCGACACACTACAATTCCACCAAATGACGCCCATGGAAGTGGCAGCCCTTGCGTGCCTCATTCGCGCTCTTAGGCTCTACTACTAAGTGTGTTGGCTCAATACAAGTTGGGCGCCCACATACATAACTGGCTTGCATGCCACCCTCGGTATAGTAGATTAGCGATAGCTTCTTGATTATGGGTGGGCGATAATAGTAAGTCGATGCGCGTTCTGTGGCATTAGTTTGGTTTTTCGTAGACCATTCTTTCGCCGGATGCCTATTGTTATTGAGATAGGGGCAATTTGAATTTATCCGTCTATCTATTACACTAGGTTAGAACTCTTAAATAATAGTTAGGGGGGTCAACACTCACATCACGGTTAGTAGCCTTTTGCCCTAGAAGACAGCCATTATCTTCTCGAATTGCTGGCCCATATCCACTATTGCTCTTATCAACATATCCATCAACTAATCGAGACCATGTTTGAAGAGCAACATTCTTTGGAAGTATGCGGAGCTCGAGTACAGATTTCGATGGTGCTTCGATCTGGGGAACGGTCGTAGGTGGAGGGGGATTAGCGAGAAGAGCAGCAGGCTGTAGTTGTAGTAGCGGAGGGGGCAGTAAGTAGGGAGTTGTTGAGAGACGCTTGTTGTTTTAAAAGGCGTTTGTCGTTTTGATTATTATTAAAGGTTAATCGTTTTTTGGTTCGAGGAGCGAGTGTTCTTTGAGTGTTATGCATTTTGAAAGCGAAGCTGGCTGATAACAGAAATCGTTGAACTAGGAGGCGCTAGTGTTAAGATATATTTGATTCTACAGTGTACTTTTTAGACATTAGCTGCGAAGCGAGACACTCGTCGGTATAGAGTCGAGCCGAGTGGGGCGCTAACAGGTCTCAGTAGCAGCCGAAACTGTGGTAATTACAGGCGCTTGGATGTTGCATTTTCGATTTCGCTCTAGAGATAGCCCTTTCTCTAACCCATTTGAAGTTTCTTGTCCCGCAGATTTGATAAGCTACGCTATTGGTATCCTGGGTAAAGACATACCGCAAAAGTGGCAGGAGATTCTATGGGACGCCGAGGGGCTGCCTACTAGATCCCCAGAAAGGGGAACCACTATTCAGGTGGTATGACAGCAAACGGTCCCTTCGAGACGTGGTGTACAATACGTGGGATGAGTCGAACGGGCGTGTTAGTTTTACTCATTCCTATACTGGAGGCCAAGGATCACTGGAGGGATACGTCTGGCTTAAGCATGAATACGAACCTTTTGAGTCTAGCTGGTCGAGAATGGTGTGCAATCCAAAGGCCGTCAAAGTGGATGGTGCTTATCTCTATGGCTACAGCGACGAGTGGGAGACGCAGATGGAGTCCCTGCCAAAAACACTCGATGACGAGGCGGCTCTTCTCCTTGATCTCCTGGAAACCATTTCCGACTATGATCCTACAAGGCGACCCACGGCTGAAGAGCTGCTCAAGCACCCTTGGTTTCACCTCGACAAGCTCGAACAATGAAAGCCCATCTCATACGAGCAGAACCCGCTTCGCGCCCATATCCAAGGTTGACGAGTTCGGATGACAGATTACGGCAGTACATACTAGCCTCAAGTCAATTTGTATTTTACAAAACCTCACAAAGAAGGTGATGCTATGCTTGACTACAGAATCCCGTCCATTCAGACCAAAACGAGGGCGGCAATCGGTCAAGATGGCGCCCCACAAGGGAAGTATATGAGTGAAGGCACTAGTATTTCGAGGTCAAGGAATTTCAATATTCTGGAGACGTCCAGTTCTCAGCAGCATCCTAGTAAAGATTTGCTATCTATTAGGAAGGAAAAAGGTGCATCACATTGTCGAGCCACCACCACAGCAGCCTAGAACCGGGAAATGTCTCGTCCAAACAGGGCCGTGATCAGCCACTGCGCCGGAATCTTGAGCTTGTTCCTCCAGCTCATGCTCTTTGTCAGGTACGCCGTCCGCCAGAGTATCCACGCCGGCCAGCCCTTGAGCCCGTCTGTGCCGTGCTGATGGATCGCGCGCTTGCTCCCGAGATACGCCATCGCGCCCCAGTTCCGAAATTTGAACTCGCCGCCCCCTTCACTGTCGGTCGCGCCGCGATTGATGCGCTTGCCGAGCCACGTCGCCTGCTGGCTGGCCACCTGCGCCGTGGCCGGCAGCCGGTGAGCCTCCTGCACCGCGCAGTCTCCGATCGCGTACACGTCTGGCAGCGGCACGCGCTTCCCGTCGTCACCAGTCTGCGTCGTCAGCACCCGCATGCGCCCGTCCGTGGTGATGCCGCCGGTATGCTCGTCCTCGACGATCCGGCCGTAGCCAGGGATCTCCTGGCGCAGCAGTCCGGCCACCAGCGGGTTCTGCATCAGCCCCGTGCTCCAGACCACCAGGCCCGCGCCGACCTCCTCCTCCTCCTCCTCCTTGCCGCCCTTGATCCGCAGCCGCAGGACGTCTCCGTCGCGGCGGATGCTCCGCAGGGACGTCTCCGTGCGGACCTCGATGCCCTGCCGCCGGAACAGGTCCATCGCGTAGCCCGCGAGCGCCTGGTCGAACATGGGGAGCACCTTAGACGCGACGTCGTAGACGGTGACGCGCACGAAGGGCGCCAGCGCCGGGTACAGCCGCGCGAGGTCCTCGTGCACCAGGTCGTGCAGCTCGGCCGCGAACTCGATGCCGGTCGGCCCGCCGCCGACGACGGCAAAGCTCAGCAGCTCCGCGCGCTGCGTGTCCGTCGTCGACGGCAGGTCCGCCTTCTCAAACGCCGTCAGCACCTTGAGGCGTATGTCGCGGGCGTCGCCCACGTCGCGCAGGAAGCTGGCGTGCTGCGCGACGCCCTCGGTGCCGAATGTCTGGCTGTAGCAGCCGACGGCGATGACGAGCTTGTCGTAGGCGATTTCGAACTCGGCGCCCTTCTCGGGCGCCTTGAGCGCGCTGGTCCGGCTGCCGGCCGTGTCGCTGCCCGTGTTGGCCTCGAGGAGGATGGTTTTGCGGGCGAGGTTGATGCGCGAGGCCCACGCCTGGTGAAACTCGTCAAGGCCGAGGCGGCGCACCGGCTCGACGGTTGCGCGGAACTCGAGCGTGCCGACGGCGGTGGAGGCGAGGAGCGGCGTGAAGACAAAGTGCGAGCGAGGCGAGATGAGCACGCGCGAGGCGGCGGATGGCTTGATTGTCTGCGCGAGGGCGTAGCCGGCCCAGCCGGAGCCTAGAATGACGACTCGTTCCTTTTTATCTAGTTTCCCTACAGTTTTTGTTAGTACATGGGTGTTGTGGCGAGATGACGAGGGTTGTTGTTGAAGTCAACTCACTTGCTTGTGTTGTGGTTTTAGAGCTGTGAGACTTGGTATAGCTTGGCGTCGTCGTCACAGCTATTCGCGTCCCGCCCAGCACCGCTGCTGCGCGCTGTGCTGGTATTCTTGTGATTCCACCAAGGCCATTCATCATAACCATAGACGGTCAAAAGAGACAGTTGTTTTTTTTTTCTTTTGAAATCTCGGTAGACCAATCGACCACAAAATATTTCGCCGATGCTGGCGCAGGGCACGCACTAATGATATCACCGGCTATCCGTATGGGCTGCAGATCTTGGCGCTAGAGAAGCTTAAACTTCTCTGCATGTGCTTGCGTTGTCGGGAACTCGTTGCAAGGGCGCGGGATAGGGTCCGTCAGAAATAAGAGTAATAGATTATACTTGGGCGTAATCATGCCAACGTAATTGGCTGCACAAAAGACACCTCTTACTTATATCGACTTCCAGTGTCGCCTCGCCTAATCGGTGACACTTTTCTTGTGTTGGGACGATAATTCGCCGGAGTCTCCGGAGCTCCCGCGTCTCTGCCTGACTGGGACCCGACCCGGGACCTTTCCCAACGGGTTGCAAGTTAGCTTGTGTCTGAGTGCGACTCCCGCGGATCCGATAGCCAAGGCGGCCTGCTGTAGCTGGCAACAGTGCCGTTTCGGGTCCCGAGGAGGCAGAGCCATTAAGTCCCCGCACTGCGAGCCATTTCCACGATTCCGTCACTGTCCCTGGTCTGTTTGTTATTAGTGCGCGGCTGAAGCTGCTCTTCGTGATTTTCTTCCTCATCAATCCGGCTTTGTAAGCGGCATGTATAATTTATGTGCAGAACTATGCATAGATCCATTTTGATAACTCCAATAACTCCGTTTTTTTAGGAATAGGAAATAAGACAGTCAGAATACCAAGCCTCGCCGACCCCATTTACTGTAGCATGGCGTCCAGGCTCTCGCCGAGAACTTCCTCAATCTTGACAATCCATCTATGAGTCTCCCTCTCTACAACTTCATCATCATCCTCCTGCAGCTCGCTGATCCTCGGAAGCATCTCGTGCAGCATCGCCAGCCACTCTTCGCCCAGCTTGTCCGTCAGAGCCTGCTCGCACTTGACGGCTGCTAGTCGGACAGCCGCCTGCTCGGAGCGCAGGTGCTGCAGCAGGGCCGAGTTGAGTTCCTTCTGATGCGTCTGCGAATCAGCCGCGGCAGCCAACTCGACCGTCGCCGGGATCAAATCTGCCGCAACGTCGATCTGCGGGGCCACCAGGAACTGCTGCAGCAGCACCGGCGCAATCGCCCCAAAGTGTGCTGGTGCCTGCCAAAAGTCATCCTGGTCGTGCTCGAAGCACTTGCTCAGCGTGCCAAGTACGCGTTTCCACAAGTCTCGGCTTTCACCATTCACATGTGGCTGGATCTTGCCGAGAATCTTGACCGCATCGTCCAACACATACGTAGCGTAGTTCGTCACAATTGATTTTAGGTTGTCAAAGAAGGCTTGCAGGAACCCGTAAACGGCAAGCTGCTGCAATGCGAGACCGGTGCTGTCCGACTTCGGAATTTTGGACCCAGGCCACTCGACAATCTTTTCGAAAACGGGGCGGAATGCAGCGTCGTTCAGCTTGAAAATCATCTTCAGCATCCTTTCATACGCTGCAGCTTCCAGCTCCGAGATTTGCCGTAGCACCTTCTCTCCAGCATTATCGGCCAAAAGGATGCGTCGTCGCAGGTCGAAGGCTTTCAGGAAGATGCCAGACAGGATACCCGAGTTCTTAGAAACAATGCCCTTTGAGTGGCTGTCAATCGTCAAGCCAATGATGTTAATGATTTCAGTTAAAGCCTGACGCGTCGCCCTATTAGTAAATGCCCCACGTTTCTCGATTGATTGTGAGATATTACTCACCAAAGGACCCGCCGACAGGGCAGTTTCCCAATTGCGATCTAATCCTGTGAGCATCTCCTTGGCATCCATCTTTTTGGCGAGAACCTCGAGACAAAGTACGCGATTCCCATTGGTTTCAGCCGTCAGATCAGCAGTAGCCGACGCATTTGACACGCGTAGAATGTCGTCCATGTACGTGGAAAGCATATAAGGGAGGTGTTCTGCAAGCGACGCTAGGAAACCGTAGCCTGCCGAATGCAACTCTTCATCTACTGGGGCAACTTCCAGGCTCTGCTCCAGGTAGGAAATAGCCCTCGGCACGGCCAGCGGCAGAACCGGCACGATGGCATCTTGCAATACATCCACCAAGGAAGTCAGGCAAAGTAGCGCCATAGTGCGCAGAAGCTTCTCACTCTGTCCCAGACAGTGCTCTCCAGCAATCGTGGATGCAGCCGCAACGACGGCCTCAATATCCTTCTTGCCATACTTTTCTGCAATCTTGTCCACACAAGTAACGGCAGTATGCTTGTAGCGGATGTCTTCGGACTCGCGAATTGCGGCAGTGAGCTGAGGCAAAAACGTCAAAAGCGCAATTCTTGCATCAGCGTCGGTGTTTTTCTCGGACTCAACGCGAGCCTCGAGAGCTTTGAGCACCTTGTGTCGCAGCGTCAAGTCGGGCCGATCTAAGAGATTTTCGACAGCCTTGATGAATTCGCCAATAGAGAGCAGGTTGAGTAGGTTGGCGAGCGTCACTCCACAGCACGCGCGGAGAGCTTTGTTTGCCTTGATAGTATCAGACAACAACAGGATATTTTCCAACAATGTCGCATAATTAGAGCGAATCTCTGCCGCTTCCATATCATCGCGGTCTTCAAGCTTGGCAATCTGCGATACGAGTGCTTTGCTTGATAGGAGAGTAGGGTAGGCGTTCAATTGGCGAAGTGCGACCTTGCTGGGGTCTTTAATCTCGCCGTCTTCGCCGAACCCTAGAAGGGTGGCGGAAAGCCCCGGCTTAGGCTTGAAGAGGTCGCTGGTAAGACTAAGGAGTTTTAACAATGTGTCAAGCTGAATGTCGATGCTGAAGTTATCAAGAAGCTCGGCGCTGAACTGCACCAAATCATCGCTTGCGTCGTAGCGGTTCACTAGCATGCCGATCAGAGCGAACAGGAAGTCTTTGGGGCCAAGGGTCTCCACGAGAGCAAGGAACAGGGCTGGTCTTCGGTGGGATGGTATGTGCTCATACGCAGTCGTAAAGCTGACTAGAATATCAGATGCCCCTGCAAGAGGGCTCTTTTTTCCCTTCCGCAAGCTGGCGATTAGGGGCGGAACGACCTCCTTGATGGTTTGAGAAACGACGTGAGCAGAGTAGTCGTCATTTTGCCGCAGAACCGATGTGCCCATGAACGTGAAGATGGGCATGACACTGTGCAAAACCAGGTTAGGGGCAGTTGTTGCAAGGTTGGCAACGAGGAGAAGGGCGGCATTTTGGACAACAGGGCTAGAAGACTTTTGGATGCAGTTAACAAGCAAGTCGCCATAGCCACCAGAGCTGTCAATGTCTAAATCTTCATTCGCTTTGTAAGCAGGCATCATTGCCAAGAGGCTGCGAAGGATCAGGTTCTGCAGGTAGCCAAGTTCTGAGCCCACAACGGTTCTCAAGTGTTGAAGCTCAGCAAGGGCTGTAAACAGCCCATCGAGAAGCTCGGGATGAGTCACAGGATCAGAGTTGTCCACCAGCTGCAACACAAAAGTGATCTTGCGCAGAGCTTTGCTCAGATCTGGAGTCAGTTGCGTAATAAGCTCACGATTGACATCAGTGGAGCACCTGCGGCGTCTCTTCTCTGGCGGGGGCTCTGTGATCATCTTGGTACCAGTCTGAATGGAGTTCAAGAATATCGACAGGATATCAGTGGTGAGAGGAACAGTCCTGAGGAGGTCTGAGGCCTCTGTCGCCACGATAGGAGACGCATCGTCATCGCCTGTCTCCTGGGAGAGCGCCAGGAATTGCTGTGCAACAGCAAGCTTCGAATCTGCCTTCATAAGCGGCCATATTTTCCTGATCCGGGCAAAGATAGCCTGGACAAGATCAGGCTTTTCACTTGTATCAGGACTAGTCAAAGTTTCTATGAAAAACTCAAGGCCTGTCGCGTCATTGGGGACGACAATTTCCACAAATCTTGTATAGGCCTCCGCCGTCTCAATGTGCTCAGAACGGCACATGGCCTCGATTTCCGTGTCGCTGAGGGCGGCCCACCACCTCAGAGCCGGTAGCAATGATTTCGTCCGTGATGTACCACTCACGCCCTTCACCTCATTCAATCCACCCAACAGCCTTTCCTTCACAAGGAGTATGGGAGTTTTGACGGCATGCTCAGAGAAAAACACCAGTAGAGCAAGTCTGCCAGAGGAGGACATGTGGTCTTTTTTGTCCAGAGAAGGATCAGGTTTGGTCTGATATGTGCCCTGCTCGATGGTGGCCTTGATCACGACGGCAATGTGGTTGGGATCCATCACGCATTCCTCAACAGTTGGCAACAGCTGAAGGTGTAGTAGACGTCTGATAATTTCACATGTAAGAGGTTTGCTATCCTGCGCGCTACCGTACAGCGTGCCAGCGCCCCAGACTGACTTGAAGCTGGGCGTTGCTGTGTATCGGCTGGAGATAACAACGAGGAGGTCTGCGGCAGAGCGCCGTACCCTTTTCGAGGGATCAGAGAGCGCAATGACACAGTATGGGACCAGGTTCTGCAAGTCAACTGTAAGATCCTCACTGACTTTCACATTCTTCTTCACCATGTCGAGGGCTGCCATCCTGGCGAGGGCGGGATACGGGCCCGACCAAATATGTATGAAGAAGCTGTAGAAAGTGCAGTCCTTCAAAGCCGTCGGTCGGCAAAGTTTGGGGCTCTCCTCAAAGCGAGAAAGCAGCTCCACATCGTTCGAGCGTTCGGAAACAATGGAGAAGAAAAGGTGGCTGAATTCGTCAAAGATCTCACTTGGCTGAGGCACAAGACATATCGATAGGGCTTCAGTGCGTGAGTTCAGACGGCCAAGTGCCTTTTCAATATCAACTCGGGTTTCGGGTGAGACGGCAACCTTCGCAATGGTGCTGTCGCTGGAAGCCTCAGGGATCCGGCGAGATCGGAATGATAGGTCAAGCTTCAGTTCAAGCTCCTCGATATCGAATTCTACCTCTTGTATGGCGGACTGGACAATGTCGCCAACCTTGCCAGAAACTTGCGAGAGTGCAATCAACACAGAGCCGAGTTCCCTTCTAAGGGACCCGTCCTTGTCGTTTTCATTGTCGAGCTTTAGAGCTGTTAGAAGAAGCGATTTAAAGATAACAGCAGTTTGTTTTTCTTTTAGGATTTCGCCGCTTAGAACAGACATAATGGATGCGAGCCCACTGGAATCGCCCTTTTTTGTAAGTCGCTCGATGAGTGCCAGGCAGAGGCCGTTGGCAAGCTTATCAACACGTCGCTCTTTGCCAATTTCAACAAGAAGAAGGCCGATATCTGGAACCTTCATCAGAGCCTTGGTGACCTTGCTGTTCATCTGCTTGGCGGACCTGAACTGGGCCATGATGGTCAGGCAGACAAGGCCAGGTCGTATGGTCTCAAAGGACCAGCCAAGCACGGTCTGCTGCATGAAGGCAGTGACAGCGGCATCTTCAAGGCTTCCTTTAGAGACAAACACAGCCATAGCCATGTATGACGCAATCTGGAGACTGGGGACAGTCTTCATCATGAGCGACTCAGAAAAGATTGGTCCGAGTCTGTGCAGCAAGGCTTGTATATTTTCTGCCTGGACTGTGGCGCGTCCAGATTTCGTCTTATCAAGCAGGCCATTAACAGACTCAGTCATTAAACCAGCCCAGAACGTGATCTGTGCAGGGTGATGATATTGATTTCGGCATGACTCGAGGGTATACTCAGAAACCAGCGACAGGAACTCGGGGTGGTTGATGGCTTGATGCACGATTATAGATCTTGGCGGCGCTGTGAGAGACCGAATGTATGGATCGAGAAATCGTAGTGCCTGTGGGACTCTATGTGGGAGTATTGAAAGCAGCGTGGTGAATGCGGGGACAGAATGATAAGGTAGGAATGCGAGAACCAATGGGACGGTGTTTTCCTCGTGGATTCTGCAAAGAGATTAGCCAGAGGTTGACTGTAGATGTAAAGATAAAGTTACCTGAATCGTCTAATAAGCCATTCGACGGCCTTGATCGCTGGCGTCAGGCGGAGGCGGCCGCCAACCAGACGCAGGAAGCTTTCAATTTGGCGGTTAAGCTCAGCATTTTCAGAGGATGTGAGTTGAGTTCGGTCTTGATCCTGGCTTTCCTCGCTAAATAGCGTAGCCTGGAAGGGCACAAATCTGGCATCTAATTGGCAAAGGTCTTCGAAACCTTGGAAACAAGTCGCGTAAAGGGTTTGAAGACTTTGAGTAGCAGCAACTTTGGGCTCCCAAATCAGCGATTTGGAGTGCGCTGCTCTCTGAGCCTTGAGGTTTAGAGTCGACTTGGAATTTGCTGCCACTTGCGCCAGCTGCGCGGCAAGCGAGGTCGCCATTTCGGATAATCACAGGCCCTTTCAGTGGTAAAAGTGAGAATGAAAATTGGCGGGGATCAAGGCTTACGACTGAAGCTGGCGCTGGCGGTCGTGATTTTTTTTTTCTGCCAAAAAAGTCAGGAACTGGCAATTGGGGCTTATCGATAAGCCGCGTTGCAGAAGGTCACATGACCCATATCGATCTTTTGAAGGCTGCAGGCAGCTTTGTCTGCAGACTGTAGAGAACAATGTGGAGATTTGGATTTGGATTATCGTTCCTTAAATTTCTACAGAACTTTTAATAGGATAAATCATTTGAGTACGAAATGATGCTGTGTGCGCCACTTTTTGGCTTCTTATACAGCTCATCCCCCGATAGTAAGTTCTCGCCTCTATCATCGCTACTATCGTCACTGTCTGTACCATCTCACTACCTCTAGGTCATTATTCTCATTCATATCGTTGTTACTGCTATCATCGCTACTAGCACTGTTTTACCATCCATTCATTTTCCCTTCTTAGTGGCGCCTAATAAGGTATAGTGCAAGCCTGATGCAATGGGTTGATTTCCCTTGTACAAGAGGGGCTGGCTAGTAGTTTGAGGGGCAGGCAGGGTCAAGCTGCCAGACTGGCCGCAAGACTTCGAGAAGCTACCGGCTGCGGTCTTTGAACGCACTGCGTAGGTACATGGCTCTTAGCCTGGCTGTTTTGAATAATTCAGAAAGGAAGCATGGCTGTAAGTGCAGTCGTCACCACTGACGACCCCCTTCCCCAGACTAACGCCTCCTGCTCAGGTACCTTATCCTCAGATCGTCTTGCTGGGCGACTCGCTGTTCCAGTTCTCTGTCGAGACCGACGATGGCTTCTCGTTTGAGGCAGCGCTTCAATCTAGTCGGTTCAATTCAAAAGAAACATTGTTCAGAATTTCACTCTGACCGATTTCTAGGATATTCTCGTCGACTCGATGTCGTGAACCGCGGCTTGTCTGGATACAACACGGCCAACGTGTTGGAATACTTTGATCGTCTGTTCCCGGAGAAGACACCATCCTCCCCAGAAATAAGATACTTGGTATTATGAATTGATTGTCAGACCAAGGATGGGCCTTTGGCTAACAGAAGCAGGTCATTCTTCTCGGTGCCAACGACGCCGTCCTGCCGCTCCCAGACACATGGCAGCATGTTCCTCTTGAGCAGTATGGTGAGAATCTCTGCAAGATTATTAAACATCCCCGCATTGAGGCGCATAATCCCAAGATATTACTTGTGGCGCCACCACCACTAGACGAGATTAAGACGACGCAGGATGATCTATCGGAAGGATTCGCGTGCAGCATACGCCGCGCAGCAGTCAGCGCTCAGTATTCACAGAAAGCTCGAGATGTGGCCGCGAAGTATGAGAATGTGACGCTCATCGATTTGTACAAGGTTTTGATGGACAAGGCCATTGAGATGGTTCCCGACGACTACGAAAAGGGCGGTCCGTTGCCAGGCACGCCAGAGAATGGCAAACATGCAGGACTTGAGAAGCTTCTACCCGACGGTTTGCATCTGGGTGGCCTGGCATATAGAGAATTTTACAAGACCTTGTGGCCTCATATTGGACATGAATGGCTTCATCTGCCTGAGGGAGACAGGACGGGCTATGTTTTTCCCGACTGGAGGACGTTTCAGCCAAAGAATACAGAGTAGCGGCTATGGTTTCGGCTGAATAGATGAAATTTGGAAATAAATATGCAGTAAAAGTATTTTCAATAAATTTAGAAGTAGATTTGTTTGAATAAATACACCGAGATGTGTTCGTTGTAGCTCGTCGTGAGTTCCCCGCCTCTCCACCTGCTGGCAGTCAGTCCCCTTCCAACCACAAAGCAGCGCCGCCTCCACTAATAACTAATCGATTGCTCGTCTCTACAACGTCGTTCCTCACGCACGCTAACTGGCTGGGACCATTGGCCACTCTAACTTAAACTTTCCTCCAGCAACAATCTCTCGTGGGTTACACCAGGGTCGGTTTTGCAGCCTTCGGTGTTTTTGCCTGCACATACTCCTCATCTTTGCGAGCGATCTCTATACCGCCATCCAGTGGCCGCCCCGCCACGCAGCCGACGTACTTGGCAGCCAAACAAGCTACCTATCTACCTACTGCACTGCCGACCACACATTCTCGCGCCCGTTCCCCCAGACGAAAGAACGAACGAACGAACAAACGAACAGGCCTCAAACTACCGCAGTACCTTGGCCGAGACGCTTCCGCAAACTTCCAAGCTAGTTTCCCTACTAAAGGGTATTGCTCAATCGGTATCACGCGCCGTCTCTGGGTTCTCAGCCGCAACGCCATCGGTAAAACATCGACAGCCTCACGGTATTCCTATCACACTTACTACCCGGTCGGCCCGCGCTCTACTTTTGGAACAAACCCTCCTCTCCTGCCCCCAAAAGGGTCTGTTCTAGTCTAATTCAGCTTGTCCAAGGGCAACATAGCGTTCCAGGGCTCTTTATCACCACACTCCCGATAGCGTTTGGCCTAGTATCTATCCCTGCGCTCGCTGGGCCAGGCCCATGCAGCTGCGCACATTTGTCGCATATAACCTGGCCGAATTGCGAGCATGGACCACCCAATTCCAATTACGCCAGAGGACTTGTACAACCTCCAGATGGAGGTTAAGCAAGTCCAATATGCTCAGACGAATCACGCCGAGAGGATATTGCGACTAGAGAAGCGTCAACCAGATGACTCAGCCCTCAAGTCAGTATGGAACTCGCCGTTTCCCGGAGTTCTCGCAGGCACGCCTCAGCAAGGTACGGACCAGCTCAGCCTACCCTTCTACTTGTACACAACTTTTCGTTGGCATCGTTAACTCTTTGCAGGACCTGTTCAGATTCCTCATAGTGACGTTTTTGATGACTCTGATGAGCAGGGCGAACAACTTCTTGGGTCTTTGCATCTAGGAACTGCAGAAGAAGAACCCGTACGTCGTGGTGCGGCCTCAAGGGCAAACAGTGTCCGCTTCGATGAGAGTGCACTGCATGGTTCTGGTTGGAGTGGCGCGCAAAGCAACCGACACTCGGGAGAATTCGGCTCACGCCCAGCGAGTGGCCTTTTCATGGAAAGGACCCTTTCTCACAAATCCGACGGCCGTCACAGCTCGGCAGGACACTCTGTTCATTCACACCATTCTGTCGCGTCTGGTCGCGCTAGCAGTGTAGGCCCAGACACGGGCGGTGATGACGACGCCTCTTCATTCGGTATCCCAGAGCCTCCAATCTCTCTCTTTGTTCTAGGCTCTGTTCCATCCATAATCAGATGCTGGCTAACAACCAATTTTGCCCATCGAACCCTTCTCTACGCAGACGTCTGCAGCGGATCCCAAAGATCGACCATTTCCTACTCCTTGCTGGAAGAGCTCGACCTCGTCGAGGAAGTCGAAAAGGACGTGGACGGAATATGTCGCGCTCGCCTACAAGTCTACTTTGCAGAGGCTGTTGTGGCAAGGCGCGGTCGCAGTTCAGAGGGATCTGAAGGGCTGGTACCCTCCATGTCTGTTGCCTTTGAGATCGTGGGGCTGAGCCAGTCACCTCCCACGGGGGATCGCAAGCCTGTTCGAGTTTTTATCGGCAGCGATGCCTTGAGAGCGAACTGTGCAGATATTATGTTTTCACAAAATACCATGGTGCTCTATGGGAATGACCGCGATAGACTGCGCGTCCCATTTGTTCGACCCGAGGATGATGAAGTTTTCCGACATATCAGCACCGCAAATGTGCTACCGGAGAAGCAAAAGCTGAATGCCACCGCAGCCCCCTTTGTTCTCGCTGAGAAACCTGATCTCAATGGCCGACAACCGCGCCCTCGTCCACAGGGAACGATCGCTGATGACGCCGAGGCTCCGGAGCCTACGTCGCCAACTGTTGTTCATACTAGAGGAAGAAGACGCGGAAGCACGAGATCTCGTCGCAGCACAAACGAAAACAAGCAAACGCGGGACTCAAGCCACGGAGGCGCTTTGTCCGGCAAGGAAGATGCCACTGGCTCCGAGTCCTCCAGACGAGAATCTTCCGCTGGCGTCTGGGGCTCGTGGAGACATGGACCAAGTGGTGGCCATGAAAAAGACGCTACACCCATCAGTGGATACCAGCCAGCACCGACCAGAAGTTCTCGTGGGATGAAGACTTTGAAGGCAAGCAAGTCTAGCTCAGCTAAGACTGGAGCTGCCTACGAGGTGCCGCTTCCCTCGCGATCCGATAGTCGCCGGAAGAGCCAGGTCAGCGTGGGAGGGGAGATCGTGAATGGCGGAAACAAGAGAGATCCCAAGCGATCTGTAAGTGCCACAAGCGAGTCCAGATCCCACGTTTCGGCGCGCGACAAGAGTTCTGCGCCGTCTAATTCTCGAGGCACGAACCCAGTGGGCGTGGCGTCTGCTTTTTCGTGGATGACGCCCAGCGTCAAGCCCAAGGTATCGACAGGACAGGAATGATCTTCGATGGAAGCTCTTGCAAACGATTTTCAGGTATCACATTGCATGAAAATGACGTGAGCGCCCTGTTTGTTAACATATTGTGTAGTATGTTGTATAGTTGAGTTAGATCAGAACTTGCTTGAGAATTTACACCTCGGGTGCGAAGTCGTTGCTTCTCCAATGGAATACGCTAGAGTTTCTGTATCTCCTTCTACATAGACATGCAAGCAAGTATTCTAAGAAGTAAAAAAACTCATGTACTGAGCTGCAAGTAGTCAAACTAGATCTTAGGCATCGGGGGCAAACTTTCGAGGACCTTCTTCGTGTTGTCCCCTGCGCCCTTGACAATGGCGATGAGGGGCTTGAAGGCCGGGTGCGATGCGTCGCCGAGGCACTCGTACATCCAGCTCTCGCTCGAGGTGACGCTGACGCCGTCCTCGGCGCGCAAGCGGTCGAGCGCGACGACGACCTCCTGACGGTTGCAGCTGCTGACGCCGTCGGCGAGGACGTAGACGTGGTGCCCAGCATCGCGGAGGTCCAGCGCTGTCTGCGTGATGCAGATGTGCGACTCGATGCCGACGAGCGCAACCTGCGAGCCGGGCGCCAGACCGGCGACAACCTCGGGGACGGCCATGGAGAAGCGCGTCTTGTCGACGGGCGTGATGGAGGTCAGGTGCGCGGCGATGCTAGGGACGGTCGGGCCGAGCTTGGCGACGGTCTGCGTCGTGACGCGCACGGGTATGGAGGCGGCCTTGGCAAAGGCAAGGAGCTTCTCAGTCGTGGTGACCCTGTTTTATCGGAGGCAGGCCGGTTGCGATTAGCTAGGGTGGGTGGAGGGCCATCGGGAGAGAGAGGGGCCCGGGGAGGACGTACACCTTGTCAAACTCGTAGATGGCATTGCGAAACTTTTCTTGCAGGTCGCAGACGCTACGTGCGAGTCTCGGTCAGCTCCCATTGTTCATTGTCGGCTCCGTTTCTTCGGGATTTGCGGCAGACGGACGTACAAGAGGGCGGGGTTCTCTGGGGGCGCGCCGGGTTAGCTTCCTCTCCAAATTTCTTGCGCGCTTGCTCGAGTTGAAAGATTTCTTCTCGGGCGGCTGACGTACTGAAGCGCATCTGCGCGTCTGTCTGGGCCATGGTGCGGACGGTCGAAGACAGCTTAGCGGCGGGTGAAGGGCGGCGGCGGATCGCGACGAACAAGGACGAGGCGGGGGTCAAGCGGGTGTGGAGGAGGAAGCTGGAGTGTCTGGCGAGTTGCATTGACACTTGAAAAACGAGAATAATAACAGGAGTCGGGGTGGTGTGCCGAGGTGGGTTTTGCTTTTGCCTATCTGATGGCAACAACAAAGTCAAGCGGTGGACATGGAGTGGACGAAGGGCGGCTGGCTGAAATGCCGTCACCAGAAACAAGACAAGCGTGGTGTGGTGGAGCGACAAAATCTCGGACTTCGGCATCATGCGGGTACGGCTTTGGATGGCAGGGTCCGACTTCCACCGGGATATTACATCTGGTAGTAGCGATTGTAGATTGATCTCTATAAAGTCTTCTTTTTAAAAACAAAAAAAAAAGTGCAAAGTACAACAAATCATTCTATCGTAGTATCCGAAGTCCGTAAAACGCCATTCCCATGCAAACAATGTCATCGTATAAAATCGCAGAAAAGACAAACAAGAAGGAAATCACGAATTAACCTCTGCAAACCATGTACGCAACAAGCCGGCCAATGCGCTCGGCAGCTCCTCCAAGTTGTGCACAATCAGGTAGTACTGGAACGGAAACGTATCGAGGTAGCGCTCAATGACCACCTTGCTCTCACTGCCGTCGCTGACGAACCGGGCCTCCTTGAGCTCCAGCACACTGTCGCCGGCCTTCTTGTCCCTGTCGTCCATGATTATGAAGACGACCATGATGCGCTCCTCCATTGCCTCCCGCAGCAGCCTGCGGATCTCGTCGTGCGCCGACGACGGCGTCAGCCCGTCCGACAAGATGAGCGCCAGCTGCCACAGGTCCGCCCCGGCACCACCGCCCGACTGCTGCTGCCGCGCGAGGCGGAACGTGTCGATCGTGCGGCGGATCAGCCGCGCAATGTCCGTGCGGTCCTGGCCAAACGAGAACCGCTGCAGCACCTTGGCGCCGGCGTCGGCCGAGAACGGGTCCGACAGGCAGTGCGCGGCGAAGACGTCAGCGCCGAAGCCGAGCACCCCGACCTGCCCGACCTCGAGCATCGCGAGCGACCGCGAGACCATGACGAGCGACTCCATGGCCAGCGCGCCCGACGACGACTCGCCCATGCTGCGCGAGTCGTCCACGCACAGCAGCACCTGGTACGTGCGCTTGGTCGGCACGCTGCGCCGCATCCAGATCTTGTCGCGCTTGTAGCTCGACGCGATGTACGGGATGATGCGCTTGATGTTGAGCCGCTTGCCGGTTCGGAAGGCGCCGGACAGCTTGGTCGACTGCGACGGCGTGAGGATGAGCCGCAGCTGCGACGTCAGCGAGAGGGAGTGGCTGTGCGTCTTGCTCTGAAAGTCGGACCACTCGTGCAGGCAGGCGTCAAAGTCGCGGAGCGGACGGTCTTCTTCGGAGATGTGCGTGGCGGAAAGCTTCTCCGAGGCGTCTTGCAGGAATTCGTCTTCATCTACCTCTTGCTTTTCGACGCCATCCTCTTCGGGTGTTGGTTCTCTGTCGAAGTTGCCCTGGCGCGTCTTGACACCGGATCGGCCGTCGTCCTCCCGCTCGTTGTCAGCCTTGGTGCCGTCTGCCTCTGTCGTATCCATCTCGTCGGAAACTTCATCCGGCTCTTGCTCGTCAGCTCCTTCAGTGACGCGGCTCTCAGGATCCTTCTTCTCCTCATCAATGGCCATGGCTTCATCCATCGGTTGGATATCTTCGTTGTCTGCCGTGCCCATGGCTTGAGTATCGGGTGCAGTGCTGTCGTCTTGCAGGTGCTGGAATTCTCGCTGCGTCTGCTCATCCGGTTGGCTGGCCTGTTCCTTTTTGACGTCCTCGTTCGGTTGAGCCTCTTTGATGTCAGACTGCTGACGGTGCCAGCGTTCTAAAGCATCACCCAGCTTCTTGAAAGGGTCATTGCGCGCGCTCTCGGGCTCTGCTGCATCGTGATCTTGTTGCTCCGCCGGATGTTCTGTCTGCGAAACGGCGCCCTTGTTTCCAGAGCTGGTATTCTCATCGGCACCAGCGTCTCCCATGTCACCCTCATTTTGCTCCGCCGCATCAACTTGGAATTGGTCATCCAACTCCTTTGCGTCCTTGTTTTGGTCCTGTCCAGAGTTCTTGACGTCGCTTGGCGCTGCATTGTCAAGCTCAGCTGCATCTGCCGGGTCAGACTGATCTTGGGCGTTCTCTGGCTGCTCCTCATCCGTTTTCTCCTCTTGCTCCGGTTCCTCCTTGACATCTTCGTCAACTTTATCTTCACCAACAGCATCGGCATCCTTCTCCTCTACTTCATTTTCATCCCTTTCGTCATCTTCTTCTTCGGGAGCAGCAGCCTTCTGTTGCGTCTCATTACCAGTTTCTTCATCCCCATCTTCATCGGCATTGTCTTCAACCTGTTCAGGGACAGGTTCATCTTTATCGACATCAGAAAGGTCGTCGAGATCGTCATCGCCAGGCATTTCTTCCTCGTCCTTCAGATCCAGATCCATCTCCTCGGGTAATGCAAGGGTGTCATTTTCTTGGACATTTCGGTCTTGCTTGTTCATTTCGTCCTGGGCCTGAACCTCCTCAACTTCGTCCACAGCTTCATCCTCTTGGGCATCATCCTTGTTGTCGTCACCATCAGCCTGCTTTTCAGCTTCCTCCTTGCTAGGGTTGGTCTCATCAGGAATTGGATCGTCGTCCTTCTTTTGACCGTGCGGCTTGTCTCCCTGCTGGTCCTTGTCGGCCTTTTCTTCGTCTTGGCCATCCCACATCTTCTCGTCCACGGCAGTAGGGTCCAAGTCGTCAACATCGCCTGCTTCCTCATCCATTTCATTTTCTTCCTCCTCTTCTTCCCCGTTCTTGGATCCTTCGTCTTCGTCATCCGCACCATCGACGCTTCCCATGTCGCCCTCGAGTTCTTCATCAGCCATGTCAACAGCATCCTTCTCATCCTCCATCTCGCCATTCTTTTCCTGGTTCGCCTCCTGCGCGAGCTCAGACAGGTCCTCGTCAGGTTGGATATCCTTGCTTATGTCCTCAGCACCCTCTCCATCGCCAAGACCAGTACCCGCCTCAACGCTACCTTCTCCCGACGTTTCGTCTGATTTTTCATGAGGGGTGCAGAAACCTTGGGTAGCAATTTGAGTAAAAGCGCGGGTCAAGACGTATCCCATATGTGTTGTAGATTTGTGCAGATTAAGGGCATTCTCGGCTGACTTTTGACAGAGGTAGACAAATTCTTGCAAAATTGACGAGACAACCGCAATCATACCAGCGGCCGCGCTACTTGTCGCTGTTGAGCTCATATCCAATTTCTCAAGTAATTGCAGGGCCTGTTCGACGCTCTTGGCAAATCCATCCATGCGAAGGTGCTTAAGCACTGAGTACAAACCATCATTGTGCAGGACGAGCCAGCCTGGCTCTTCTTCATTTGTCGAAACCTCAAAGGCCTTCTTCTTGGCTGCCTCCACAGCAACCAAGACGGTGTCGCTAAGCCTTGCCAGAATGCCTCCGAAGTTGACTAGAGGAACATTGAGCAGCTCAGAGTCTTTCGCTTCAATCTCTGTATTCGACCAGCTTGAGATGTAACTAAGGACGAACGACAAGTTGGGGGATTGCCGCATCATGTCTGCTAACTCCGACCGCATCTGAACAAGCGCACTAGACACATTTGCGTGCGTTGCTTCGTATGAGTCTGATGTCAGGTTTGTCGGTAAATTCGGCAGCATGTGCAGTGTCTTGAGGTAGCCTTCAAAGCGTCCAACCCAGACCTGGAGCTTTTCCAACACCGAATCGTGGCCAGTGCCGAGGAGCTTTCCGTGAGAACGCACCAGGTCAATGCCGAATCTTAGTAGCTGCACAACCCAGGGCAGCAGGGTCTCGCAATTGTTCTCTTCGGTCTGATTCCGCAGGTGGCCCAGTTTCTCGAAATGTCGCAACTCAGTAAACGACGCCACAGCGCATTGAAGAGCACTGAGAGATCTAGTGGCCGCGGCGATAGTTCGACGTTGGGATCGAGACAGGTAGATGAAACCTTCAACAAAGCCGATGCTGCGGGTTACCTCAGCAGATGTGAGATCTTCGGAGTGGTCACGCGCCGCATCCCGGACCTTAGGTGCCAAGTCCAGCATCTTGTGGAAATAGTATTCGGCTTCGTTGAAAGAGGCGGAGCTGTCCAGAATAATATTGGCACCCGATGCAAGGACCACCGCCAACGAGTCTTGCTCTGCAAGGGGTTCTTGAGCAAGGTTGTACCGGAGGCCCATGTTGCGTAGCTCTCGTAAGGTGTCGGCAAAGAGCTTACGCTTTCTTGTCTTGAGATGCTTCACTTCCGTCTTGTTTTCCTCGGTTAGATGTACCGGAGTTTCCTTGCGAAGCTCTGCCATGGACTCTTCTAGGCTATATAGATACAACTCGAGGCTGTCGGCGACTGTTCCGGTGATTTGGGGGGTGTTGGCAATCTTGTTCATCACCGAAACTGTCTTTGTGACGTTGGCAAGGCGCTTGTGGCTAGAAAGCCAACCAGGGGCATTTGACTCCAGCAGCGTCAACATCTCAGTCGAAACGGCAGGCTCGGCTTGAGACGCGAGACTAGTATTTCCGGGGAAGGTCGTTTCGTCGGGCAAACCTTGCGCAATCACAGTCTTCATTTCTTGGCCAAGAACCCCGCGGAACTTGCGCACAATACGGAACAGCTTGAGGTGGGACTTCTTTGCGCTCTCGCGGAGAGCTGTGATGTTCGTGTCCTTCCAACTGGCCATGAGAAGTACATCCTTCATTTTCTTGTCAATTGGCGCACGACCCGCCGCGATAGTCTTGTCTGCAACAGTCTCAAACCTTGCATAGAAAGCGAGGAAGTTGGCAACAGCCTGCGTGATGATGGCAAGGTTGGGGTAGTCTTGAACCAGGGCTTTCAAATGGGCCAAAAGCTGTCTGAGCAAGGAGACTCGCGTTCGAAACTGTCCAATGATGGACGTGGAGAAGTATGACTGCAAGCTTTGCAGAAGAGATATCGCGTATGTCTGCAGCTCGGATCTGGAGTCTACCATTGAAAGTGGTACGGCGATGATTACTTGATAGGCAATAAACCACCATGAGTAAGCGTCCTCTTCGCACTTGGTCTTTTCCATGTCGAAGAGATTTCCCCACGTGGACAATTCAAGTCTGCGCCAGCGGATAATTGTTCCAGTCAGAGCGTTGTGTAGGTTCAGGACGCCGTACTTCTGGCTGGCCCAGCCTCCAAACTGCCACTCGTAAACAAGGGCGTGCAGGTGCTCTACCTTGTGCACAATCTTGGCGAGGGGCTCAGTATGAACAATCTCTAGCACTCCATCACATGCTTGAATGACATCCGCTAAGGGCTGCATGTGGCCGATTTCATCAACCATCTGCAGCTCTCGGAACTTGGCCCGAATATCATGCACAACAGCGACCAATTGGCGCGCTTCGGTAAGGTTGGCGTGTGTGTAGAAGTTGTAGGTCTTGTCTATCGGTGGCGTTTGAAGCTCGTGAACTTTTTCACTCAGAAGAAGAATAACAGGGGCAATAAATCTGCTCTGCAAATCCCCGTCAAGGTTGGCATGGCCTCCCGATTCACGCACAATGCGGTTGCAAATGCTAAAGCACGCACGGCGAAGGGCGGCAGAAGGGCCATCGCTTTCTAAGAATAGCTTCTTGTGAATTTCCGCCACCCTCAACGACATGTTGCGAACCTCGTCCTTGTTTTTGCTGGGCTGGGCGGAGGGGTTCTCTTCGTCGAATGATGGGAACAGCTCGTTGAACTCTTCAGCATCCACTTCTTCTTCGTCTTCCAACGAGCCGCGGAATCGGTACATGCTAGTCTTGGCAGCTTCTTCCCTCTTGTCTGCTTCGAGGCGCTTGCTCCAGTTGTCAAAGAAGGCGTGGAAGCACTCGAAGACTCGCTGTCGCAACTCATCGTCGAGCTCCGACTGGCCGTTGATGGCAGTTTTGCTATTCACAACATCAAGAAATTCGAATGACTTGTCCGCCTCCGCAATGAATCCGCTCATGTGAAGACCACCAAGGTAAGGTGTTGCATTCGCGATGGCTTGGAGAGGGCTGTCCAGCTTCGCAGCGTTTGTGGACTCGCAGAGTGATAATCCGATAAGGAAGCAGCGCAGCAGACTTGAAACTGGTCTTGTGATGTCCTGGTATGCTTGGAATCGGGCCCCAAGGCGATCAAGTAGTCTCATGATATTTTCTTTCAGCAAGGGGAGGCCACTTTCGCCCTCTGTGGAGTCCGCTCGAGGCTGCAGTGTCGTGAGAACATTGGAGCCCACAATAGATTTGAGGACGTTGGAGAACTCGGCGTGAATTTGGCTCAATTCGGACCGTTCAGGTCTGAAGACCGCAACCACCTCTTCGGGGAGCGGGTCCAGCTGATTTATCTCGTCAGCAAGAAGCTGCTCTCTGGTACTTGTGAGCTGGCCAGCAAAGATTTCGTTGAAAGCCTGAACATGTGAGAGCTTCTCGCGCAACAAGGTTTCAAGTTGCTCAAAGAATTGGCGCTCCATCATGGGACTGAGTTGGGGGTCAATTATACGGTCGGGGACGTAAAGCTTTGTGAGTCCAATGGTAAATTGAACCCAGGCCAAGCCACACTGCCATGTGCTGGGGCTGCCGGACGTGGTCGAAGCAGCAATGCCGACAATCGCCGGGATGAAGTGCTGGAGAACAGTTTGTAAAAGGTGGGCAGGCAGCTGTTCCTTTGCAGCACAAACATCCCGCAGGACGTCTTCGCAGCCGTCGACTGTGGTGCTGAACTCTGAAGCCTTGGAAAAGAGCTCAAGTCCAAGAGCACGAGATGATTCGCCATGGCTGGCAAAAACATCAAGCAGAAGAATTTGCAGGACTCTGTTTAGCTGGACGGCAGGGTTGGTGGAGATGTTGGCAGTCATTTGTGCCATGTGTCGGCCCAGGGCTGGCAGCTCAGTCTCGAGCAGCTGCAAGGAGTTCAATGTGACCGAGCCGATGCTTTCGAGCTTGTGCCAAGTAGACAGCATCAAGCGTCCATCCCAAGGATACTGGTTTTGATGAACCAAGCAGTCGATATACTGAAGCCAGGATGCAGGGCCAGACGTGCTTGCGAGCATTAACCGGGCTCGAGTTGAGATGTCGGACAGCATAGAGAGCTCATAGTTTCCAGCATCGGCAGTGGGCTTCGGACGCAGCATATCAATTTGTCGAAGGCCTTCAAATTGCGACGCAAAGAAAGGAATTCGTTTTCCTGTTTCGTCACCTGTTTGACTCTCGAGAGATTCAACAACCGCAGAAAGCTCTCGCACGAGTTCATCGGAGCTGTTGGCGCCTGATCGGACAATCGAGTATGCTTGCTCTAGGGTCTGCTGGGCCTTGGAAAGCTCTGTAATACTAGCTCTTGTCTTCCAACGCAGCTCGTCAAACCTGGTCACAAGGTGATCGAGCTTGAGCACCTCGTCGTAAATGAATTTACTAGGGATGGGAAGCGGCCGAAGAGTATTCCAAAGCTGTTCCATGCTAAGACCTGTCGACAATTTGAATCCGCTGGCAAAATCACTTTGTAACTTGCCAAGGATGTGAGAAGCAAGGGAAGAGAGTTCTGGAGACGCGATCTTTGCGACTTGCTTCTTGAGCAGTCGTGTGCCTTGGATCAAGTGAGCCTGGAACTTAGCTTCGTCCATGATTTCCTCGGTAACCAATGTGATTGTGCGTGCAACGTAGTTCCATACCAGACTTAGGAATCTGGCAGAGGCGTCATGCTCATTGGATGGTGTGTTGCCAAGGTACGCATGAATAGCTGTCAGCACGGCCTCCATGAAGGCCGCCAACCTGACAGTAGAGTCCTTTGACACAACGGCAACACGACCACTAACAAGGGATCGCTGTAGTCTGTTCAAAGCGGCGAGTTTCGAAGTCCGAGCCAGGGAGGCGTGATGCTCGATAGTTTTTCGAATACCGAATATTTCCACTGAGGCATCGTAAATTATCGCAGCCCATTCCACCGACTTTCCGGCCTGTGCCATGCGCGACACAGCGTAATTATTCAACGGGTGGACTGGTTGGGAGTGGGCTATACCTCCGATAAGGCTCGCAGGCAGACTGGAATAGAGATCTGAGACATTCTCTAGAGCATAAATCCCGCTGGGGGACTGTAGAAAGCCGACAAAATGCTGCAGGCTGGTCGCGAGTGCTGGCTCTTGTCCGAACTCGTTCATGAAGCGCAAGAGAATAGATAGATCCTGAAGGCTGAGATTTTGGAGAGAAATTTCTAAAGCCTTAGACGGCATGTCATTCTGCGCCAGCAACTTTGAAGCATCCAGGGCTGCAAGGTATCCCTGGAGACCGCTCTCGATAGGTGCGATGTAATGGAGGCTGGAGTGCACACTTGGAGGGCTATCGCATAGATAAATCTCGACAGCTCGGTTGCGCATTGCGCGGGACAGCTCGCCATATCTTGGGTCTACCGTGAGAAAGATTCTGAAGTCCGGATGGGGTCTCACGATCCGCGGTTCGCCTCCTGGTCCACAGTGCTCGTTTACACTTAGGAAGCCACTGGGTTCCAGGAGCGAGTTCAACCGATCTAGAACAGATGCATTGCAAAGGTTTGCGTTATCCAGGACCAGCCACTTCCCAGATTCTAGAGCTTTGATTATGACTCCATCAAGCCATTCAAATCTTGGGTTTTTGAGCACCAGGGGTTGCGCGAGAAGTGTGGCAGCTTTGGAGAGTTGAATGCTCACATCCGAGTCGGCGGGAAGCTCGTGAAGAATGGAGACGATCGAGTCTTGGATACGCGAAATTTCGTCGCTGTCGCCGGAGAAATTGTCGACCTCGTACAGTAAAGCTAGAACCGAGTTGGGAAGCTTGTTCGGGATCATAGCCATAATGGAGTCGTGGAGAAACGCGCGCAAGTCGCGAATAGCAGCGTTAATTTCGCGAAGAGGATCAGCTTGCTCAAAGCCACCAACAAGATCCATCGTATCAACATCTGCATTCATCGGGAACACAACAAGGGGCTTGCCGGATAAGGCCGCAACGTACTCCAACAGCGCCGTCTTTCCATGGCCTGACGGACTGGTGAGGATGCACGGAATATTCTGCTTGACGCAAATCATGAGAGATTCGAGCTCAGGTAGGCGCGGGACGATGTCGATTGCTGGCAGGCGCTCAGGTTGTGTGGCAGCGTTGCGAGGGAGGAGTGCGAGGCCAACTTGGCTGGAATCGGCATTCAGATCGTGATATAGACTGTGGCCGCGCGGTTCAGTGCCAAAAATCTGGGTATAGAGCTTGGTGACTTCGGATCTATCTCGTGGCAGTCGGAAGCGTTGCCGGACCATGATGTCCAGGAAATCGTCAGTTTGGCCTTGTTGCAAAACCGGGTCGGGGGAGTTGAGCAGATGTAGCCAGCGGAGCACGTCGCGCAGGTTGAATTCCCATGGTCCGCCCTGTGCACCAAACGAGCGATCCAGGACGAGTTGCTTATCCATCTCAGTAACGAACTGAATCAGCTTGCTGACCACGTTAACGGGCAAGTTGGGGAAGTTGTGAGACGCAATGAGCTTGAGATCCTCGTCGGTAAATACATCCGCGTAGACGACGATGAAACGGTTGACAAAGGATGCAGGCAATCCCTTGCGGCCACCTCCTTGGTGATGAGGGTTTTGCGCAGCAAAGAGGCGGAAATTGGGGTGGCGTTTGAAGACTTGGTCGAGCTCCGACACGTACACCTCACCACGATGATCTAAACAGGCATTTAGACCCTCCAGCACAGATTGAGAAGCCAGGTTCATTTCGTCGAGCAGAACCCATTGACCCTTTTGCATCGCTTGCAAGAACGGGGCGTCGCGCCACGCAAAATTGCCAGCCTCGGTTCCCTCAACAGGCACATCAGTCCCAAACAGATCCATGAGATCAGTCTGGTCTGAGAGATTGATGCGAGTGAGGGGTTGGCCACAGGCATGGGCGAGGGCCGCGACAAGAGAAGTTTTTCCCACGCCGGGGCTACCTTCCAGAAGAATGGGTTTGTGCATCTGCAGAGCTCGGACGACTCGCATAGTGTTTCTTCGGGTAGTCGGAGCGTGGAAGGCAAACTCTGCAAGAGGCGAGGCGTTTGGCGCGCGAGGGATGCTGAACGAGCCGACGGCCAGGGTGTCTGAGGTAACCTTGAACTCTGGCTCGGAATCATAAACACGAGAGGCATCTTCTCCAATAAATTCGGTCAGCTTTTCGAGGCACTGTTGGCGTTGTCTCTGTGTCGTTTGGGTATCTGTGGCGAGGACTGCGGATGGATTGGCACCAATGCTATCAATGAAGATTGCCGAAGCTCCATGGACCAGCGCAAATGGCATATGGCTAGCTGAGGCGGAGTTTATGAACTGTACCCAGGCCAAGATTTCACGGATTGAGAATGGGGTAGTAGCCATGGGGCGGAACGTGGCGCCAAACCAAACAGCAAAGTCAATAATGGTCTTGGTAGCCTGCTTTACATCGTCCTTCAATTTTGTCTGAACAATCTCGTAAATGTCATCATCGCCGGAAAGCGGAGGGACCCAAATCTCGGTGAAACGGTTGCGAAGAGCCGGCGAAAGCTCCTTTTTGCCAAAGTCACCACCGGGGTTCATGGTCGCGAAAAACTGGAAGCCCGGCAAGCCGACAACGAAAGAATCGGTGCTGCCCTTCTCGGCCAGAAGCAGCGTCCTCTGCGGCTCAAGCACTGAGTTCAACCGCTCCAAAACAGAGTCGTCAGCGAGAGAAATCTCATCCAACAGAAAGAATTGCCCATCTCTCATGGCCTCAACAAGAGCGCCATCGGACCACTCAAAGAGAGCTTTACTCCTGGTGGCATTGCTGGCGATTCTGCTTCTGAGTTCGCTATTGACCTGGTCGCTATTGATGGCTTGGGATTCGTAAAGCTGGTACTTCTCCTCAGGGGGTTCAGGAACGGAGAGGCCTGCAAGTCTAAGCGCCAGAGCAAGATCCTTGTCCAGCGCATCAAAAATGGCTCCGCGATTGCGTACTGGTCGCTGGGAGCCAATCAAATCCCCAGTTTCCGTATTTTGGTGAGCGTTGACAATGTGCAGCTCTTTCTTGAGTGCTTCCGCGAGGAGCTGGCAAACAGTAGTTTTACCGCAACCAGTTTCACCAACCAAGAGAACGGGTTCGTTGTTTTTCAGCGCCCGCGAAACCAGGACGTAGAGTCGGCGCATAGCGTGAGTCCAGACAACACCTTGACCGTTCTTCTGGGCAGCAAAACTCCTCAACTCGAGTGCGTGCTGTGCGGAGTAAAGCCTTTGGGTGTCAATCTTCACCTTGAAAACCTTTTCAATAATCTCTTTCACAGCCTGTCTCTCCTCCTCATTTCGGACTCGTTCCGCGAGAAGCATAAAGCCATGCGCAGCAATGTCCTCGCGAGTTTCAGCCTCTCGCAGTGCCCATCGAAAAAGATCTCGAAGCGTGGCGAAACTATCTTTCTGCTCAAAGAGTCGACTGGTTTGGCGAAGTCTGGAGAGCTCCTTGTATACGGTCACGATACGGCGGCAGTCGGGCGGCGATGTGTTGCGACTGCGCTGTTGTAAGATAAACTCCAGCTCATCCTCCGGGATGTCATCGAAGTGTAGCTCCAAAAATCGATTTCGAAAAGCGCGCGAGAGAGCTTTTCGTCCACCATAGAGGCCGGGTGGGTTCTGAGTCGCGAAGAGAATAAAGTTTTCATGCGGGCGGACTACTTCTTGCGTCTCGGGAATGAGCAGCTCACGGTTGTCGTCAAGCAGTCGGTTGAGCGCCTCAAGGACGTCGGTGGGCGCTAGGTTCAGCTCGTCGAGAACTATCCAATGTCCATGTCTCATTGCTTGAACAAGGACTCCCTCCTGGAACTTGAGTTTTCCGTCTGACCCAGATACATAAGTGCCGAGATACTCCTGCAAGTCGGTATGCTCGTGATTGTTGATACGCACAAATTTGTTGCCAGTAAAGTTGGCAAGATACTCAATCATGCTGGTTTTACCAGCAGACGTAGGACCTTGGATGAGGATGGGGAATCGTCGTGTGGAAGTAGCTCGAACCAGGTTGAGTAGGTTGCGCTCAACATAGGGCGTAATAATATAGTCATCTCTTTCCACAGGCTGTTCTTCTCCTTGAAAGAGCCAGTACTGTCTATCACGGGCCTTGTTCTGAAACCTCACATAGCTCCTGCCATCGTTGGGATGCTTGGGGGGCTGCGATAGAAGTGATTGGGGGTCGCCATGGCTATCAAGCAGGTAGTGGTAGATGAGCGGCACTAGCATGTCCTCCGATTGACGGTCCAGTAGTGTAAGGAATCCCATGGAGAAGCCCTCATACAGAGCTCTTCGAACGCCGTAGAGAGATCCGATAGTATTGACATAGGTCAGTACGCGAGTAAGGGTTCGCAGGCTAAAATGCGGGACCTCGTTGGCACCATCGACGATTCGCTTCTGCTCGGCCAGCTTTTTAGTGTTGAGATATAGTCGCGCAATATCGTTGGCGGCTTTGTCATTCTTGTTGCTTGTGCTGCCCAGATACGTCTTGATGATTTGAAGTAGGTCTTTTTCGTCGGTATCCGGACTCTTGACGTAGAGCTCCGTGAATCTGGAACGGATTCCGGCTGGCAAATCTCTTTTACCGATATCTGTCGCCGGGTTCATCGCACCAAAGATGCGAAAGTTGGGATGCGCAATAATCTTCTGGATCTCGCCAGTCTCCGAGAGCAATATCGAAGGTCGCTCATTTGGGCCGGTCAATAGGTCTGTGATGCTTTCCAGAGTGTCTGGAGACGCCAGGTTAATTTCGTCGAGGAGCACCCAGTCGCCATTCCGCAGAGCCTTGATAAGATTACCCTCAACGTATGAAAAGGCAAAGCCCCCGGGTCCAGCGGCGATTTGAACTTCAAACTGCTCCAGGTTTCGGGCAAAGGTCTCCCAACGCGGTCGGAGGTCGAGTAAGCTCTGCAATTTGGATTGTGTCTTTCTGCGCTTCGTTGGTTGGGCATCATCTTGCCGCTCTTTCTGGGCTTGCGCATGAGCCTTCTCCAGTTCAGCAACAATCTTGACAAACATTTTAGGTGCTTCTTTCCAGAGCTTTGCAACCTTGGACCATTGCGATTTGGCAAAGCATTTCCCCACCTGCTCCAAATATTTTTGGTTCTTCGATGCTGAGATGCCGGTTGCTTCAAACAGATCCTGGAATTCCTCCTTGAGTGGAACTGCAAGACTTCGAACATTGACCGGCTTGAATCCACCAAGAAGATCTCCGACTTCACTCTGTTGCGAAAGATTGACCGCGATTAGCTTGTTGCCTAGTGACTCTGCCAGCTGCTGCACAACCGTCGTCTTGCCGATACCAGTCTCGCCGACCAGCAGCACTGGCTCTTCAAGCTTCACAGCCACGGCAATTTGTTCGAGGAGCCTCTTGGCATGCACAGTACTTGCAAACGGCTGCTTTGGCTTGGCAGCCTTTGGCTGAGCTCGCTTCTTCCTCAAGGTAACTCTACCAATTGCTAGCTGAGTCTCACTCTCATTAAGGGGGGGTATATTGGCAGTCAAATAATGTTCTGCCCGTTCCCTAGACAAGTGCATCTCTTCAGCAATCGCAAAGGCAAGATGCTTGCTCAAGTCGGCATCGGCGCAGCTTCCCAGAAAACAATCCACAGCCTCCATGAACATCCAGTCCCTAGTGGTCTCAGAAATGGGCTCCTCCCCAGTTGTTGACCCTGCAGCTAGCAGGCACTCTTTTAACCGGCGACACCACTTCAGCAAATCTCTGAGGTTAGGCCGCCTGTCCATCACGCTGCGTCCACGCGCAGTTGCGATAGGGGAGCTGCTCAGTCGGGCCAGCCGACGATGTACAGCTAAGATTCCGGTGGTGTATTTTCGAAGGATGGGATGCGTCTCGACGAGTACACGCTCGAGCTCCGAATCCGTAAGCTGTTCTGTGTGGAGGGACTGCCAAAAGCGCATTCCAACCGACGTGGGCAAGTTTTCGCGACCGTTCAAACCTCGGGACGTCCTAACTGTGGCGAGGAGGCGGAACGTGCTCGCTGCTCGGACAGTCTCTCCTCGGCTCGGTATTAGAAGTTCGCTGCGCTCAATCAAGGGTAGCAATGTGCTGAGAACTTCGGTTGGTGCGCGGTCAAGATCTTCGACGAGGACCCATCTTCCCTCTTGAACAGCCGTCGTCAGCACACCTGGGCGCCATTGAAAGCTGCCTGGCTTGGAGTCTGTGGAATACAGGCCAATGAGCATCTTTGCGTCAGTTTGCTCGTTCAGATGCAGTGTGACCATTTCGGATTGCATCCCAAGTTGAGTCGCAATCTCCCGGACAAGTGCCGTCTTTCCAACACCAGAGGCGCCATGGAGAAGAATCGGCCCAGGTTTTCGTAGAAGCTTGGCGAAGCTTTCCAGATTAGACATTGTGGTGCCCGTCAAGACCAGGCTGAGCGGATCGCCGGTCGGTCCATGTGGGCGAGGTAGTACTACTTGTCCGTACGCGACAGAGTATGGGGTTAATTGTTGTAAGTTTTGTTCCTTGGCGGTAGATTCGGGGGCGCTTTGTGAGATTGCCTGTCGTAAAGCAAGAGTTTTCTTCACTCGCTCATGTTCGCGCAGCGAAAGAAAGCCGTAGTCGATTTCGATGCCGTCAAAATCAGCTCTTATGGGTTCGTCACCAATATGGGCTTGTATTAGGTTTTCCAACTTCTTATCCGAGGCGTGTAGAAGTTGACAAAAGATACGAATAGCGAGATATCGCACCGCGCGACAGTTATGAGTGAACAGGTGCTGCATGAGCGCGGCTGAAACACTGGAGCTGAAAGAGCGAAAATCGAAACTCAGTAATCGCCATGTCGCCAGTAAGCACCCTATTAAATCTGATTCGCCCAGACTTGATGAAGTGTCATTCAGCTGCAGCGGCTGTAGGCGCAGCGGCGAAGACTGCGTGAGCCTCTCACGGGCATGCTGAGGCCGGAGAAAGGTGGCGAGGTCGGGGCTAAACGGTAATAACCTAGCCGCGGCGGAAACGGCGCATATACGCTGCAGGTCTGACTTTGCGTTGAGGGCCCATCGTGCGCAGATGTCGGGGAATACATTTTCGAAGTGCACATATATGCGGTCTGTAAGTCTTGGAATGAGAGCCGCCTGCGCAACGGCGTCCAGAAGGCCTGTGGAGGGTTGGCTCTGGATCGAGGCCAGTAAGTCGGCTGGCAGATGTCCTAAAGCAGTCGAATCCTGTAAGAGCGACCTTGTCTGCCGTGAAACATCAATCAGGGCCATGATGGCGACTGTATCGAAGATTTTTCCCTGCAACCTTGCAACCAAATAGTATGCAGAAGCAGCCGCTGTACACTGAGAGCTTCTGTTGGCTGGCAGCTTAACTTTTTTTTTTTTTAAGCTAGACTGGCAGGGATCTGGCTCGGTGCTGGTACTACAAAAATCCGGGCCAATCAACGGCAGGCAAATCTGTGCCCGGCGGGCCGCTAGCCTTTTCGTTGTGGCCTTTGCAGCAAAGCATCCTTTCGCGGAAAAACTTCAGGGTGACTGAACCAAGAGAACCCGCACGCGACTTGCTCTCTCACTGCATCTCCTCGCCCTCACCGTCCAGCCGCGCATTTCCAGGTTCACCAATTCCTCAACCACAACAATGGCCATGTCCTGCCGGTACGCGGCGCGCACCTGCGCCCGCCAATTGCGGTCCGCCAGCACCCTGCGAGCCCCTACACAGACTCTGCGCCTCGGTGCCTCATCGAGACGGTACAACTCGACAGAAGCCGCCGCTGAGGCTCCCGCGAATCCCAAGATTGCCGAGATCGTCGACCAAATTAGCAAGCTGACGCTGCTCGAGACCGCCGACCTCGTCTCCAGCTTGAAGGTACGGAAATCGCCCGCGCCCGCCGTTGCGTCCTCTCCCGGCCCCGGCGAGTCGATGCATCAAGCTGGGACCTATCGACTCCAACGCCAAGTTCATCTGCTAACCATACTATCGATTAGACCAAGCTCAATATCCCCGATCTCCCCGTCGGCGGCTTCGCTGCCGCTCCCGCCGCCGCTCCCGCGGCAGCCGCCGAAGAGGCCGAAGAGGCTGCCCCTGCCGCCGCCGAGAAGACCCTCTTCACCCTCCAGCTGCAAGAATTTGACGCCGCCGCCAAGGCCAAGGTCATCAAGGAGGTCAAGAACTTGCTCGGCTTGAGCTTGGTCGAGTCCAAGAAATTTGTCGAGAGCGCTCCCAAGATGATGAAGGAGAATGTGCCCAAGGAAGACGCCGAGAAGATCATCGCCACTATGAAGGAGCTCGGCGCCAAGGTCACCATGGAGTAAAATCAAGGGTCAAAAAATTGTGCGTTGGCAATCGGGTATATGATCGTTGCAGGATATGGAAGGCTCCGATAATGCCCCCGTCTCACGATAGAGCGCCTGGTGGCATGTATAAAATCATGTGTATTAGTATCTACCAGAATAAAACAAAAATATTCATCCATGCACCGAAAATCCCGCTAGTATCCAGAAATACTAGCAGCTACCAAGCATGCAATTTTTGGCAGTACTCGTGCAACAATCTTTGGGTATCTCGACCACAGCAGGCGTCTTCAACGCGATAAATCAAATATCCTAACGCCATTCAACCAATGCCCAACACCTATTCCGCCGTGGATCCTGAACCAGGATTCTCACAAAAAAGGGTTATTTTCGGTGCTGCCCATTCGCAGCCCGCAGATGCTGACACATCTGCATCTCCATCTCGGTGTCAAAGTCGGCGCTCTCCTCGGCAATGAGACGGTCATCATCCTCACCAAAATCGCTCGTCTCCTCCCAGAGCTTGTTCATCTCGGCGTCGTCGCCCTTGGGAATAGCCCATATGCTTTCACGTTCCCTCTTGTGTCGTTCTCGGTCCTCCTCGATGCGCTGCTCGACTTGGCGTTTGTCCAGCCGCGCTGGCGTTGGCCGCCTGGTCTGCTGGCTGTGAGACTGGACAGGTGTCTGCTCTGCCAGGGTGGCACTCTCCATGGGCGATGACAGCCCTAGGTCATGATCCTTGGTCCCGCGCTCTTTGATAACGTCTTCGATCTGCGCCGCGACCTGCTCGTCGAGGAAGCCTTTGCCCTGCAAGCCTCGGAGGACCTTGGACACGTTAGCATGGCGGCGGGCTGGTAGGCGAGTCAAGGCTGCTTACCTTACGAACAACTTTAACATTTGCGGCTCCTGAACCATCATCCGGGGCCACAGCATCGACGACACGAATAATATCGCGCTGCATCATCCGAACATAGTCTGGTTGGCCCTCCCGACTGGCCTGGTCGAGGAAGTGTTCGATAAAATACATGATGTTGGCCCGGATATTCATATTGGTCTATCAATCACTTTAGCCGGAGTCATGGGCAAAAGTCGGGATATGCCTTGATAAGCGAACCTGTTCTACCTGCTCGAGTATGCAAGAGTGCAAATCCTCGTGCAATTCCCTATGCTTGAGAGCATACTGAGTAGCCTTTTGAGCCGAGGCGACGGACGCGTTGAGATGCTGAAGCTGATTACTAAATCGCATGCGCACCTCGAATGGGTCTGCCATCTTTCCGATACTGTCAGGCAATGTTGCGATGGCAATGTTGTGATGGCAATGCTGTTGCCGGGCAAATCAGATGGCTCTGAACATGGAGGCCCAGCTGCAGAGTCTGGCGCTGTCGAGATGGCGTTGATGCTGTTGGCGACGACGGTGCGCTGAATGGCAGGTGGAGCTTGGCTTGTCAGCGCGGTAAAGCTGCGGAACAGGGCAAAAAGCGGGTGCCGATTCGCTGTATTCTAGCGGGCTGCAGCACAGCGTCCGCTAAAACTGTCCCGTCGCTTTGTTGAAGGTACCTACATAGGTACATAGGTAGCGAAATCGGCCAGCTGCAGAGTGACGTCGGCGCATCTATTGGTAGCTACTAACATACCTATAAAACTTTGACCCGTCTTCAATCAATCCATGTGCCTACCTACCTACCTCTCGCTCTAAATCTCTCTGATACATCACATACCCCAGATTCAATCTTCCCCCTGATCCCGTATCTTTTTCATCAACGTCGTCTTCCTGTGGTCCTGCAGCCTTTCATTTAGACAATTACACCTCCAACTGCTCTGCGCGACATCTAGCTACCCTTGACCAAGATGTCTTCTGATTCCGGCTTCACTCTCACCGTGCTAGGTTGCGGTACGTCGCTCAACAAAAAAAAATAAGATTATCTTGCAGTCATGCTAACTCCCCTCCTAGGTACTATGGGCATCGCTATTGCCAACGGCGTCCTCACCTCACTGGACGCGGGCGTCACAGCTGGCGAGGACGTCCCCGCATCGCTACCCTCTCAGTTCATTGCCTGCGTGCGTAGTGAAAAGAGCGCTGAGCGCATCAAGACCGCGCTAGCCGCTCACTCCTCGCGTGTTGAGGTCGTTCGCAATGACAACGTCGCCGCTGTACGCAAGGCGCGAGTCGTCCTGCTCGCCTGCAAGCCCTACATGGTCAAGGATGTGCTTGGCGTGGCTGGCATGGCCGACGCCCTACAGGGTAAACTGCTCGTCTCCGTCTGCGCGGGCATCACCTCCGAGGCCATGGAGGAGGCCGTCTACGGCAGCACGGCGCCTGCCGGCAGCTCCGAGGCCGCTGGTCGCTGCCGTTGCATTCGTGCCATGTGCAACACAGCCGCGCTCATCCGCGAGTCCATGACCGTCATCGGCATCTCAAACCCGCCACTCGCGGACGCTGACAACGCCCTCATCACCTGGATCTTCAAGCAGATTGGCGACGTCGTCTTCCTGCCCGCCAACAACATGGACGCTTCGACCGCCCTCGCTGGTTCCGGTCCCGCCATGTTCCTCCTCATGCTCGAGGCCGCCACCGACGGCGCCGTCGCCATGGGCATCCCCCGCGCCGAGGCCCGCCGCATGGCCGCCCAGACCATGCGCGGCGCCACCGGCCTCGTCCAGAGTGGCGAGCACCCCGCCGTGCTCCGCGAGAACGTCTGCACCCCCGGTGGCTGCACCATCGGCGGTCTACTCGTCCTCGAGGACGGCGGCGCGCGCGGAACCATCTCCCGCGCCATCAGGGAGGCGACCGTCGTGGCCAGCCAGCTTGGTAAGGGTGTTCAGAATGTCAACGGTACTCGCCCGTACTTGCAGTAGTTTGAAACCCCAGAATACATAGATTTGACGAAATACGACACAAAAGCAGGAAAAAACTTGATACAATTCGTTTTAACATCTAACTGGTTACCTTGTGCATGCAAAGTCCAAGACCATAGCTAACTCGAGAATTCAATGGATTCCAACCTGGGTGCGACTCTAGATATAGTCAAAATAATTTGCGGAGGGGAAAAGGCCTACTCCTCATCTATCCTCGTTCGTTTACTAGAAGTGGATTTTGCATCGTCGTCCAGCCTGCGCTTTACGTTTTTCGCATTGGCAAAGTTAGAGCCATGAGCTGCTAACAGCCTGGCGTATTCAAGTTCGACGCCTAGAAGTGTCTCCCCTAGCTTCTCTATGCGCTCGGGGAGGTCAAACTGCGCCAAGACGTCACGGTTGTGCCTATACAATCTCTGTTTGACGAGAAGTTGCCACAGTCGCTCCAGATGGCGGTCGGCAGCCGTTTTTGCGGGGGCCGTCTCATCGGGGTCGATGCGCGGGCGAACAGAGTCTGGCAGCTGAGACATAACATGCATTTCCAGCACGCGAGCAAACTGACGCGGCGCGATCTTGGTCTTGGTTCGAATTGCTTCAAGATTCTCGCCACCCTTGATCAGCTGCGGGATCAGTCCCTTCTCACCGACTGTTACACTGGGGTTCAGTTTTAAAGCAGCAAACTCTGGGACAGTGCGTAGATATTTTAAATCGCATGCGTCCCGGAGCTCGTCAAAAGCCTCATTCGGGTTCTCGACAGTGAACTCGCGTGTTTGGGGATGCTTGTGATAGTGTTCAAAAATCGACTTATATAGTCGCGCACCGTGTCCGTGGCCTTGGAAAGGAGGAAGAATCAGAAATTGGGAGAGCCGTGTGCGGCAGGGCAGCTGTGCCAGGTCCAGATTCCCTTTGGGCAGCTCCCAATCGTGGTTTGGGGTGGCGGGTGGCGTAGGCGGAGGTTGAAAGTAGAAGAACCGGTAGACAGTAGAGTAGCCGACGAAGACATATGAGTTCTTTTCTGAACCCGCATACGATGACTGCTTGCGGTAGAGCAGGAATAGAGTCCAACGATCTGCATCTGGGAGCCCAGTTTCTGATGAGTCGGAGCCCGGTGTTGAGTTGATAAAGGATCCGCCCTCGATGAAAAGAGGGATTAACAACTGGATGCGATTATTTAGCTGCTTGATGGCGGGGTCCGCCAAGGTACCCTTCCATATCTCGTAGCGGCCATCCGTGCCTTCGAAGCTCGCGTGCAGATCTCCGGGAGGCGTCCAGTCGTCACCGAGCTTCTGTGAATTGCTTTCAAAATCGGCGGCTTTGCCAAATGCGACTGAGACCAGTTAACACCTGATACATTGAAGATTTTTGCGGGGAACGTCTTACTATCAGGAAGCAGTGCATCTTCTTTCAATATTTGTTTTACATCCATGGGTTCGGTCTCGCCAATAGGAGTGAACTTGCTGCTATACGACGTTCGAAGGTGAGGGCGCATGTCGTTTGCGCGGTACCGAAGGCTAATCTTGAGGTCCTTATAACCAAAGATTTTTTCATCTTCGCCGAAGAAAGGGTAGGTAAACGTCGGGTTAAAAGTGGAAATAAGTTGGAGGCCAGAAGATGTTGGCGCAACTAGACTGATGTTGAGAGCCTCGTTCGAGTCGGCGATCCCTGGGCGCCTGTTAATTGAAGGTACAAGTCGAGCTGCAAAATTGAAAACTTACACTCTTCGAGATCTGGAAGGGCGGCCATGATGATCCGAGTTGACGCGAGTTGCGTGCAAATCCGACCCCCAAGTCGTGGGAGAGAAGCGATTCGAGCACAACAGAGAATTCGATGAAGCGGGATGGTGATCAAGGTCGATGCTCAGCTGCGCGTTTGGTGTGTGGGCGAAGCGCGTCGCGGTCGTTAAGTGGGTGATACCTGATATGTGAGGCCGCAACAACAATATCCAGGTATGTCTCGAACAACCACGTTGTTCGAGCCGCTGGCAACCTTTTTTCGTTATAAAATCCGATTCAAGTTATTGTTCAGAGGATCGAAGCGCGCCATGCTCTCCTGCTAACGTTGCGCGGGCCAGCGTGTACACAACCGTTTCCAGCCAGGTTTGTAATTTATTAGAGGGGCAGAGCCAAAGTTGACGAGGTTCTTCCTTACAAACGCACGATTTGAGTCATCAAAAGCCCGTATCCTGGAGTCACGAATAACCTCGTACCCGTATCTGAAATCCCACTGCCGAGTTGAATATGGAGCTCCTGAAGCACTGCCTTGGCCAATGCGGACCCTTGGTACTGTTTTGCCAACAAACCAAGTTGCGTGGGCCATGACCATGTCTACCTTCCTTGTTACTGATATTGTGCGCAACGACCAGGAAGAGGATGAGGAACCAGACCCCGCCGCGCGTGCATCGCAGGCCACAGAGACTGTAGGAAGTCCATCTGGAGTCGCTGACATACGTGGTATTTTTCGGTGGTGATATGGGTGAATATCTTCCCCCCTGCACTGGAATCAGCCCTACAACCGCGGCACCCCAGTGTACTATGAGATCTGAGTACTCGGTCGCCATTGAGCATAGTACCCCAATGTTTGGGGACGAGATCTGAGAGGCTGATCTGTATTTAAGCATTGAGCTTTACGTGGTGAAGAGTAGAAGTTGCATCTTTCCCTGGGAGATCACCAACTTTCGGCTTCTGCAGCCGCCCCGGGTCTTTGGCCGTCCGTATAGTGGTCCGGTTGGCGGCACCCTATTAAGCCTGCAGCCAAACCGAAGTGGGTAAATTAGCATCTACATAGATGGAGTGTGTCCAACTCAGTTGCAGTGATTTTTGGGATTGGTGTATGGACATTCAAAACGTTAGGCTGTAGTTTAACAGGTGTTGAGGCAGCAAGCTCTCTCTCACAACCACTAACATAATTTTGATCGGTGGAGTCCCCTCCGGATACACTGTTGCAACCACGTTCTCTAGAAAGTCTTCGAATTTTAGATCTCATAATGAAAATGATAGGTGGAAAACGGAAACATTCTGTGTGTAAAAGCGCCTGTAGACAATTTTATTAGTAGAGACTGTCCACACGCAATTCAACAAGCAGGTAGCGCTATAGCACCAGCAGGTTGAAAGGAAAACAGGTAAGGCATAAGAAAAATACAGTATGAGTGGCAGGGAAGATAGAAATAAAAAGAAATATATTTCCAGCTTATATTCTACATTTGTAAGTTTTACCACCATAGGGATCTCCCTGGTATACTAAATCACCACAGTACATGGCAGTCCCACTTTAGTTGTCATGGTGGCCTTCCCGAACTGAACTTGCGTCACGCGCTTCGCTTCTGCAGGCTGCAACTTTGCGAAAACACCATCCTTCGATTCACGCCTCGCGATACCTCAATCGACACGGCTCGGATGGCTTCGAAACACTTCGCCAAGCATGCTTAACACATCAGGCCGCTCGCTGCCGGTGGGCTCCATCGTCTTTTCCATCGTCGCGCTCCTGCTCGTGTCGCTCGTTGTTCTACTCATTTTGCGACACTACCTACCGCTTCGGTCGACGCCAGGATTTTATTTTGTGCCAATTTTCTTTGCCATATGGCTTCCGTCTGTGACCGTGCTTCTGGTACCCATAGACCTGGCCTCGAGCGCAGGAGCAGATGATGATGGAACACGAGGCATTTGGCTCCCTCACCGAGTCATTCTTGTCTCGTGGAGGATAACATATTGGCTCACATTCGCATTATCTTGGTTCGTAGGAGACGGCGCATCACCATATTATATCCTAACACAGATGTTTCAGGTTCATTCTCCCGATTCTTGGCGAATACTCCGACGCAGGATACCGCGAGCCCCACGACCGGCTAATGTACTCACTCCGATCGAATGCGCAATTCTACGCTATGGTCCTAGGATCTGCCATCGTTGGGCTGGTATACGTTGTGATCCGATATGATGTAACCTACGAGTCTCTCAAGGCTGTCGTAATGGCCCTGGCTTACTGCTGGGGCTTGGTTTTTGCCATCTATCTCATGGGACACGGACTCGTCTCCATACCGAAGCGCCTCATCCGCGATGCCAATATAGCGAACAAGTTGCGCCGGCTTCAGGCCAAAGCACCAAAAGCGTACGAGAAGATGGAAGATGCTGCGGCATCCCTCGAGGAAATTGAGGCCCAAGTTGGCGAGCTTGCGAAGCGCAAGGTTGGTAGCGCTGTCGACTTTCGCGATTGGATCGAGGAGCTGCAAGAAATTGCCAACATACCCGAGACGAGACCGCATGCCACTGCCTTTGACGTGAATACCATGGATCTAACTGTCCCGAACGTCATTACGCCAAAGTACCTGGCCGATATAACGCGACGGCTGATTCGGGCCAAGCGCTCGAGGTCGCGCTTCGCCCATGAGTGGCACGACTTGGTGAAGGAGGCTGGAAAAACACAGGAAATTCTGGACTCTGCTGCGTCAAAAATACTTGAATTTGGAGACGCATCACGTCATTCTGGGATGTGGGACAAGACCAAGCTGCTCAACCCCTATGCCAGGTATTTATGGCACTATCGAATCAGGCCGTATATGCAGATTGGACTGGGAATACTACTCGCCCTGGCATCTGCATGTGTTCTCTGGTCCGAAGTCGTCAAACTACCCTTTCCACAGCTGTCAGTCATTCGACTGAGTGTCATCCACCACTGGGTCGGCGACAACGCCGAAGTGGGCTTTGCTGGCCAAGTCATTTCCGCGTTTTGGATTTGCTACATGTGTGCCGCCGCGCTCGTCACCATGACCGAAGTCAGAGTCTGGCGCGGGAGAGCCCTCGTGAGGCGTAATACCGGCTACGAAGCTGCCTTTTGGTACGCTATGCAAGTCGCCAAGCTGACGGTGCCGTTGTCCTACAATTTCTTGACGTTTCTATCCAGCGAGGTGTACACAAAGACGGCCTTTTACGGCTTCCTTGGTCGTTTAATCGACTTTACTCTCCTTGGCCGGTGGTTTGACGACCTTTTCCCCTACTTTTTGATAATACCCGTGATTGCCGCCACGTTTGGGTTATACGGCAAAGCGAAGCGACTGTTTGTCGGCATCGACCTGCTCGACGACGACGAAGAAAACTCGACCGGCTACGGCACAGGCTCATGGCGAGAGGGACGTGATCTTATTGAGCGAGAGCTAGGCGGCGAGAGCGTTCGCCGCCGTGACGAGTTGTTTGCGAGACTCGCTGCAGCAGGCGGCAGTGGCAGCGGCCGTACCGCCCCTGTTCTTTCTGTACCGCCCGGAGAGAGCGCCTCGCGAGGCGGACCGAGAACCATTGGTATGGGCCCGTCAGCGGGAGTACAGCGAGCCGGCACCCCTTCGTCCCACTGGTACCTAGACGAACCGCCCGAGGACGACAATCTGATCCAGATCATCGGCCACCGCATGAAGAACACGGTGGACAATATAGAGACGCCCAAGTGGCTGCAGGACTTGGGACAGGGCCTTAAGAAGCCGAAGTGGATGGGCGGTGGCCAAGGCAGCGCTGGCGGCCAAGAAAGAAGCGACATCCGGAGCTGGTTTGGCGGCAACAGCAACAACAGCGGCGGCGGTGGGCATATTCGATTGTAATACTAGGCTTTGGCAACTTCATTGGCTTTTATTCAAGCAAATTGATTCCTTTATATAAAGCGTAGAACATGCCCACACGCGAATCGTGAATGATTTTTTCAGGATATCAACGAACTTGTCTGCGCGTCTGGGGTACCGCAATAGCAACGCATCACTCTTCTTCGACTACAATAACCTCGTGCTCCCCGCGATCCTCCTCAAGCCTCACCGGGCTTTGGAAGCGAATCCACCGCGCGCCGCGCAACTTGTAGTACCCAGACGCCCTCTTCACCGCTCGCGTCCAACCAAGGCGCTCTCTGCGCCACGCTCTCGCCGCCGCCATCACCTTCCCTCCTCCCGCCTGCATGCTGCTGCCACTGCTGGGCACCGCAACCCAGACTTCATCGAGCCGCAGCTGGTCGAGGTAGATGACGAGCAGGGCGACGACCGAGGCGGCCGCGCTCGCAGCCCAAAAGACCCAGAACCGGGCACCCTCGGGCCCGTAGCGGCCCTCGATGGCGAGGACGCCGGCGACGATGCTGACGGGCAGCAGGACGCCGCCGAGGTATGCGATGCGGTCGAGGCTGCGCTCGTTGGCTATGGCTTCGTCGTCATCGTCTCTGCGGCGCGGCGGGTAATCATCACCATGGTGGCGGTGGCGCTGGGAGGAAGAGGAGGAGGTAACCGTAGATGATGTGGCGAGCTGGACACGCAACTGCACGCGCCGCGAGAAGTCCGTCCACGCCGCCACCGCGCTCGTGTGCTCGAGCGGGTGTACCGCCTGCCGCAACTGCTGCTGTCGGGAATAGAACCGCGCGTCGTCGAGGTTGCGCTCGAGCATCGCAATGTAGCTCCAGAGCAGCCGCAACTTGCGCCCGTCGCCGTCATCGCCGAGACTCAGGGCGCCGATACGGGCGGCCCAGCGCTCATACACAATCTCGGCGAGCACCTCTTCTAGAGCTATGCTGTCCTGGGCACAGTCCACGGCGCTGGCCAGCTCGTCGTCTAGCGCGCTGACCCTCGCGGCGGCCGTGGCGGCGTGTCGCTGCGGTGAGACGTGGTGGTGTCGCGCCACCGTGCCGTACCGCCCGCCATCGTCGCCGCCGCCACGCTGCAAGCCCGACCGCCGCGTCGCCGCGTCCTGGTGCCGCAGTCGCGGCGCTGACCTGTAGCTCCTGCGCGTCACCGGCTCGAGCGGCGTGTCGACCAACAGGACTGGCACCGGGGCCGACAGCCACAACGCAGCGCGACGCATCACCGCACGCCCACCGGCCTGCGTCTCCTCCTCCGGGTACCGCCACACGCACCAGCGCGCAGCCCTGCTGCTGACACAGCGTGGACGATACGGCCGCCCGGATAAGCACTCCAGAAAGCCGCCGTCGACACCCGCGAGACTGCACAGTGCGTCGCTAACATCGGCGGCGTCGGCAGCGTCGCCGCGTAGCACTATGAGCTGCTCGACGCCGGACGGCCGGCCCCCGAGGAGCTCCGACCGCAAGTTTTCTACCGTGTCGAGGCGGTGCCGGTGGTGGCGCGACTGTGGCGTCCACTCAAGGACGTAGCCGAGGGGGGTGATGTTGTCGTCGGCGTTTGGAGGAAGGGGCGACGACGGCTTGCGACGGCGTTGCGACATTTAAGTTATTTACCCTCGCCGTTCCTTTACGTCTTTATGAAGCACTGTAAGAAAAAGACTTTCGATTTTGTTTTTGTTCTCGACTGTTGGGTGGCATGGTATTATCCCAACGAGAACAGCCAGAATGCCATAGTGTGCAAGTATATATCCAAACTTGTAGACCCCATGCCGGCAATGATCACGCAGCTATGCGAGTATCCTTCGATAACTCCAAATCATGCGACCGCGCATACCGCATATTTCTTTACTGTCTTTGTGGGTGTTTTGCATCCTTCTTGATTGCACAAGGACACAACTGTGGCGCATCACGGCTCGGAACCCATCATTCGCCAACCAAGCTCGGTGGTCATGCGCCACAAGCCTCGTCACCATGTCACCCTTGGCTCGTTGGAACGCGACATCTGACAAATATATCTCTGTCCGAAATGAGATGAAGCGTAGTTTTCGCGGAAAAATTGACAGGACTTGACATGCGTATCGATAGACTGCAGTACACTGAAAAAAAGCTAGGAGTAATAGGACTTGAAAGAAATACACCAGTTCCCATCTTGCCTCTCCATTCCCGGAACGCCATTTCAAACAAAACAATTTCGCAGACGCCCCTTTTTTGTGTTTTCGTTGCGAGGAAGCCGACAAGTATCTGGTACAGTATCGTGATTGTGTCAATCTTGTGGCCCAATGTCTCGGAGCGTTGTGGTCATCGCGACTGACAGCCGCGACATTCGTCCAGTCGTTACTATAATAAAAGCAAATGAGAAAACAAACTCAAATACATGAAAACAGGTGCCAAATGCAATTCTAATCACTTAATGCAAAGTCGTGTACACATATCTGCTGAAGAGCAAGCCTGGCGGCGAGGCTGTTGTTCTGCTGTTACGCTTGGATGCCGTTTTGGTAGGTGTGGTGCTCATGATGGCCGTGGTCATCGCCATCATGATGCAGGGTGACGCTATTGAACTCGAGGAACGGATCCGCGATTTCATTGCCTGGTGTAGACAGCCCACTGTCCAGCGGGACACCCTTCATCTGCTTGGCGCCGCTGATATCGACGCTTTCGCTCTCCTTGACGTTTCGGAAATTGACAGTATCGATGCCGCGGCCGGCATGAGGAACGATCGGTGGCTTCATATGTCGAATGAGAGCCCATTGCGTGGTGCGGAAGAAGGGGTGGACTTTGATGTCGGAGGCACCGGCTCTAGCGCCGAGTCGCCGATTCTCGTCCTTGATAAGCAGCTTTCGGATGAGCGACTTGCAGAGACTACAATTGTTAGCATGAATCGATTTGGTAGTTACACCTGTATCCGAGAGATTGCTTACTTTGAGATCTGCGGAGCACCAGCGTGGTCGGGGAAGGGGATATCCTCGCGGAGAATGTTGGCAAAAGTGGCATTGCGGTTCTTGCCCTTGAAAGGGGTAGTGCCGTAAAGCATTTCGTAAATGAGAATTCCCAACGTCCACCAGTCGACAGCACTTGTATGGCCACTACCCTTAATAACCTCTGGCGCAATGTATTCCTCAGTGCCGACGAAAGAGTTGGTGCGGAAGTTGGCGATGCATGATCTAGTGTCGATGGTGGGCAGTGCGTCGGTTCTTGCGCCATTCTTGCCGACAATCATGGTTGGTTTGCCGCCGAGGTCGGATTGTTTTGACAAGTCGAAATCGGAAAGCATAATGTGTCCAGACTGGTGAAGAAGAATATCTAGATTGTGCGTTAGGCGGGTAGTTGTTGTTGTTGCAGAACGCAATGCGACTTACTTTCAGGCTTGAGATCTCTGTAGATGAAGCCCATTAGATGCAGGTACTCCAGGGCAGCCGTGACTTCGGCAGCGTAGAATCTCGCATCGTCTTCCGGAATGCACTTTCCGGGGCGAGTCTGTAGAGCACGGAAGAATTCACCACCACTGCAGTACTCCATGCATAAATAGAGGTGCTCCTCCGACTGGAAAGAGTGGTAAAGGGTGACAATGAACGGATGGTTACTTGTCGCTAGAATTTCCTGCTCAGCAAGGGCTCTCTTGATCTTGTTACGCTTGATCATTTCCTTTTTGCTCAGGACTATGGAAGCTGGTTAGTTGCTTTGTGCGATATGTGGAAACGAGGCATAGGTACCCTTCATGGCGTATAGGCGATTGCTCTTCTTCTCGCGGACAAGGTAGACCTTGCCAACGTCTCCCTTTCCGATGAGTTTGATCTTGTCAAAGCTAGAAGGGCCAACTTCAACATTCCGGACCTTGATGGAATTGGAGCTATAGGTTCGGCGGAAAGAGGCATTGGTGGCTTTGGGGGGCGGGAGAGCGCCGAGGGTGTCGTCGTCCTGCGATCCGGCGGTGTGAGCTTGGGCTAGCGCGTGGCCGGCAGCAGCGGAGCTGATGAGACCAACCTTGCCGGAGTCGGAACTCTGGAAGACGGGATCCTTGCCGAGCTCGGCCGTGCCTGGGCGTTCTCCATCGATACCGGCGACCTTATCAGCGTGGTTGACAAACATGCCCTGGGCGTTGGGAGCGCTGGCGACCCTTCTGAGCCTACGGGCTAGCTCCTCCTTGGTCTCTGCAGTGGCATGCTCTCCAGCACCGGGAGCATCGGGGCCGGTGACTTGCAGTGACGGGGTGTCGGGTGGGCTTGGAGGCACAGAGCCGTCGTTGTGATGGCGGAGGCCGGGTTGGCCTTGGTGGACAAAGTAGGGGTTGGCGTGGGCGGTCGGGCTCATGGCCTCCTCGAGCTGGTTGCCCTCACTAGCGACAGTATGGGCGCGAAGTCGGCCGACGGTATTGCTGAAAAACTTTGTGTGGCGCGAGGGCTTAGGACTGACGATGTTGTCGGTGGCAGTGTTGACGGTGATGCTGGGGGCGGAGGTGGCGGCTGCCGACGCTGAGGCATTCTTGTCCTTGTCACCGGGGGCCGGGCTGTTGATGCGGAAGAAGTTGCGTAACCGGTGGCTCACCTGGCCGGAAGAGCCATTGGGGTTTTTGGACGGCATGGTGATGACGGGCGGAGGAGGGAGCGATGAGGTTTGCTTTAATCTTGGACAGGGTCAAGGATCACGCAGACGATGCCATGATTTGCCGCGCGTTGTGAGAAGAGGGGCGAATGGGATACCGGAGGTTGCTGCGAGTTGATGCGGCGGCGGAAGGGATGGAGGCCAGAAGACAGGCTGGTTAGGGAAGAGAAGATGAACGGGAAGCTGACCGATGATGCCAGCGAGAGGGGAGAGTGGAGATGGACGAGGAGACGGGCGGGAGGCGACAGACGGCATCGTGGCGGGGGCCAGTTGGGACTCAGTTGTCCATCCAGCACCAGCACGCACCAGCGGAAGTTGGGCGAGTGCTGAGCAATCAAGCTCAACAGTGACCAGTGGGATGGGTGATGGCGCTACCAGGTACCTATGTATGTACGTACAGTATGTATGTACATAGGCACATTAATACAACGCTGAGGTTCCAGGCCCTTAGAACGCTGTAACGGCCTGGTATCCCTGAATTCTCAAGTCGTTAGTGGGCAAATACAGTGGGCACTGGCCCGATGTTGGCTGTGGGGACACTGGGAGGCAGACATGAAGCTGGTTGAGGCGTGAGGGGCTTGTTACTGTACACCCAAAAGACTGTGCCACTGTGCCAAATTCCTTGACCAGAATTGGCCCACTGAATTTGGCCTACGTGAAGGGGGCTTGTGAGAAGCATCACACCATGACTTTGTTCCTTCCGAGGCCAACATAGTTAACCATTAAATACATAATCTTGATGTATGTCAATTCCGCATCAGCTTTTTGGCGACGGCGACGCCAATGCCCTTGGCCACTGGTAAATGCAGAGGCCGAGGTTGAGAGCCACCAATACCTGTGTATAAGACAACGCGATATGAGCTAACAAACAGCTGAGCCTTGGAAGCAAGAGCCACCAACCCTGCCACCTGCTCAACGTGGTATTTGCCGCTCTCTAACATGATACGTACAGTCAACGCCAGCCTCGGTAGCCTGCAGCCCATGGCTGACTCGATACACCTCTATTAAGGCCATGCATCCTCCCAAGTGCTTTGCAATCGATTGTTGTTATTACTTCGTCATGCAGAAATCTCTGCCCAGACGTCCTGTGCAACCCCTTTTTTTATCACTGTATTATTATTATCACGCGCTGCCTTCTGTTGCACAATAACTCGCATGGCTTGCTCCCGCCAACGTTATTTTCCTTCCACCCCTGTGCGGTGCCCGGCGCTAACTACTCGCGAGCCAGTAACTGGTACGCAAAAGTGCCTGGGGTCAAGTTAACCTGATAAGTTTCATCGTGCCTGAACCTTTCGTTAATCGTTAATTAAACCGCACTAGACTTGCTTCTGCGGTCATGAACTCTTCCAGGTTTATGGTTTCCGCCATCGCTGTTGAATTCAAGAGCCTGGCTACCCAGCCGGGGCGCGCCAGGTATATACATACTGGCGGCCACTACTTGGTAAAGCCTGTCTTGTCGGTCAGATTTTAGACTTTCTAGGTGGGCTGTACAATAAATTTTAGATTTATATATCTTATATTTAGCTATAATACTTTAGTACTTATATAGCAGAATCAATTATCTTAGAGATTAATTATTTATAAACGATGTTAAAAAAAATTATACATAAGATTAACGAAAGAATTATTTATTAAAGAGATATTTAGTTTTAATAAAATACTTTAAAAGGTTATATTCTATTAAAAAAAAAGCTTTAAAAAAAGCCTAGAACTTATAGCTTATTAAATTTCTAATAAATAACTTAATAAGTTAAGAAGGGTTTTAAATACTTTACTGTTACTAGTTTAGAATCACGTGCGATATTAGCTAGCTAGTAGATAGACTACCAACCTTAAGCTTTAGTTAAAGATAGCTAGGGTAGTTCTCCCTTTAACAAACTCGCAATGGACATCAACAAACACTCGGCGCCGATCCAAGGATCTCATGCGACGCCCACCAAGCCTCACCTGAGCCTTTCAGTTCATAAGGCCGAGGAGGCAGCGCGATTCCGTATCGTACCCGACCCCGCCTATCAGAATGCACATGCTCAGAAGGCGTTCCCAGCGCGTACTCTCGATGTACTCCCCATGCACATAGCGCCTCCTCGGTCTACGGCGGCACCGCTGTCCGTGGTACTAAACCCCTCGCCAATCAAGGTGCACGACTACTCGGAGTACGACGTCGCTCTACAAGGTAAATGAGCAAAAAGTACAGTTTAACAATGGAGGAGGCTAGCTAACGCAAATCTAGATGCTACTACCCCCACAGGAGATGATGGGCCACCCCGGAAGAAGAGAGGCCGCCCCAAGGGATGGAGAGCCAATGTCGCATATGGTGCAGCGAGAGTCGACCTTGACTCCAGTTCAGTTATGGGTGGTAGTCGTGCTGGCAGGCAAAGACACATGCCAAACTATTCATTGAAGCGACGTCGCAAGACAGTCGCGCGGCCAGATTCGCCGCCGCCGAGGGAGGTTTATCTCGCTCTGAGGCCAACGTATACCCATTTTCTGTGCGAATGGTCCAGCTGCAAGGCAGACTTGCACAACCTGGACACATTGCGCCGGCATGTCTCTGCAGTTCACCTTAAGTCCCAACAGCATGGCCGCTGTTTCTGGGGTAAATGTGCCGACAAATCAGCCGCGCAGCACGTCGATGGTGCAACATTGGCCAAGCATTTAGAGCAGGAGCACTTGGTCCCGATGGCGTGGCATATTGGAGACGGCCCAGAAAATAGCTGGGACTGGAGCATTAGGCTGGTGGCAGCCAAGGATACGATACCCGACTTTTTAAAGGACAGAGAAGGCAACCAAGTGACGCCATCAACACGGGACCAAGAAGTGGAGGACCTTTTCACGTTCAGGAACAACAGGAGGAAACTCAAGGAACTGATTATGCGGCGGGATGAAAATTTGGAATCGCAGTCGTCAGATGGGTCCGAAGATGAGGGCATGGGATCAGGACTGTGATGAAGCTCGTTATTTGCGGGTGTCTAGGCGCCATTCTCATGGCATTTCAGTTGAAGCAGGCTCCGCAGGCCATAAGCCTGTAACTTTAACATATCCATATACATTATAGCACTCAAGCATAAGGCAAAGCAACTTTAGGTGTAGAGATTATCCATGATACTTGATGAGGCTCTCTGCATAGCCCTGCCTAGTTAAACAAGGCCACGGCTGCGCTAGTAGGCCGGCTCGTCTTGACAGTTGACAGATGTTCATCATACTAAAGTAGAGCGGCCTTAGCACCCAGCTCAGTGCCTTTTATTTTATTTTTCTTTTCTTTTTCTCCCCCCCCCGAGGCTTTCTCTTCGTCTTTCCTTATTCCTGCTCAGCCTTGTAAGGTTCACCATGCAGAGGTCGTAGATACGGAGGTACCTAACTTGGGAATCCACGTGATGGCAGCCAGTCTCGGGGCCCCTCGCATTTGCAACCTACCAAATACACATCCCCGGGCAAACAATTCCCTCGACTTATACCCACACCGACCAACCTTGATCGATCACTGGCCAACCTACTTTTTAGTCTCCCAGGCTCTGGACCCTAGCCGCCCGGTCTGACTCGACGCGACCGTCTCATCTCGCATACGTTAACTGGGGCCTTGGCTGGCCAGCTTTGCCATTTGCCCAAGGTCTGCCTGCCATGGCAGACGAGAGGACCAAGAAACCCAATGAAAGAAGCGTCGGATTTATCAATCGGAGCCAAGGGGGTCTTCGCGGTCCCGTAGAAATTACCGGGCCACCGCTATTATGCGTCGAGGGGGAGCTGTAGCCTGGTCGCTAACGGGGAAGGCTGCCTGATGCACTGCAAGCCGGGTACACCATGCGAGCGATCCCGAGTCACTTTTGCACACAGAGTCACCGCGTACGCACGCTTCCACCAGGCTGACGCCAGACTATACGTATCTAGACTACCTCATTGACACATGCCCTGCCTCTGCAGACCGCCAGCGCAGCCTGCATGCTCGCGACCAATGTTCGGGGGTGGCCGCCCGAGTACGGACAACATCCACCCCATCCCTCCCTTCGCCAGACCAGACTTGCCTCCCCATCCCAAGCATCACAAGGTGAAGTGCCGGATTAGGCGCCTTGTATGTAGTCGATCGGCCCCAAATCTAGGCTGCGCCAAGTTGATGCTTGACCTGCCGGCTTCCGAGCCTACCTAGGTAATATCCACGGAGGCCCCAGGCATCTGCCTTTTTGTCCCTCCTCACACTCATCCGTCAACATTTTGAATGAAGTCATACGCCATGTTGAAGAAATCATATCCGGCTCTTTCCCTCAGAATACGGCCAATATTTACACCACGAGGTGACGTATCGCACCTCTCCGTGTCTTTTACAGTTCCCAAATCGGCCCTAACAGGCTCGAATCCTCACTTGAACTATACGACCTGGTTTGGCAACTTTGCCGCCCATCCCTACACGGAATCTGACATATATGCCACGGACACTGTCGGGCGCCTGCCCTTTATATTTGTGGACGAAACCAGTACACTGCAACAATGGCGCCTCGGCAGAGATCCCGTCAGCGACTTGACTATTAAGATGGACGTCTTCCCGCGCAAGGTCGATATCCATACTGCGCCCGGTCCAAGAGTCGACTTGCGTTTTGATCAGGGAGGCCTTGTCGGGACCGGTGCCTGGTTTTTGCCTGAAGTGGCTCAAGGCAGCTTTTATACGCATAGTGTAGAGTGGGATTTGTCCACGGCACCGCCTGGGACACGCGCCGTCTGGACGTACGGAGAGGGGCCTCGGCGTGTCGAGCAACATGGCACCGTTGACACCTTTGCGCGCTCTGTCTTTATGGTTGGACCTATCCAGAGCTCTCCTCCTGGGCCGCGGCTGCGTTCTTCGCCCGGTACTTGTACTACCTACTGGTTTGGGAATCTCCCACCGATTCTGCAACGTGTCAAGGGTTTCAACACGGAACTATACACGCCGATGGCCGACTTTTTCCAAGACTTGAGTGGATCGTATCGCGTTTTCATTCGAACCGCCCCCCGCGGTTGGGGGGGCTCTAGCTTTCTCAGCAGCTATATCCTCGAATACAGCAATTCCATTTTGGATGTTGCAGATGAAGAAGTCACGGGCCTGCTGGCGCATGAAATGGTGCACAGCTTCACGGCGTTGAGCAATGAGGAAAACGGGGACGAGAATGCCTGGTACATTGAAGGTAAGCGACCAAAATTCCCCATCTCCCATTGTCAGCACATATGATGACCAACACTGCCAGGTATTGCCGACTATTACGCAACTTTCCTGCCATACCGCTTCGGCCTCGTCCCACCGTCCTATGTTACTACGAGGGTCAACGCTAGTCTGTACCGATACTATGCTAACCCGGAGATTAACATTTCCATGGATGATGCATTAAAATACTTCTTTACGTCCTGGTATTCCGAGTGGATACCGTACGATCGTGGGTTTGCCTATCTTCTCTTGGTAGATGACCAGTTACGGCGTCTGCCTGGTCAGCCAGATTCAAATTCCTCTGGTCTCTTCGACCGAATTGTTCTGGACATTTCAGCCAGATGGCGGCGCGGTGAAAAGGTGCAGCAGAAAGATTGGCTTGCAAGCATCGAGTACTTTTTGCAAGGCAGAGTCGACTGCGCTGCTCAGTTACAGGCCGTCTTGGCTGGGAGACCCAGCATCAACCTCGCAGGGCGGCGTGTAGGATCGACGAGGAATGTGCTTCGCGAAACCAGACAGCCCGTGATTCAGTTTGGGTATAGCAGACTATCTGCATCGAGACGTATTGTGGAAGGCGTGGTGTCTGGGTCGCATGCAGAGCGTGCTGGCTTGCGGAACGGCGATGTGATTATCAGTACGGGATCTACGACGGAGGCTGCACAGGATCCCCTTGCAAAGTATTATGTGGTCGTTAATAGGGATGGTGAGGAAATTCGCATCGAGTACTCTCCACGTGAGGATCGAGAGGTGCCGTGTTGGCTGTTGGAGAGCTTCAAGGAAGACATTATACCCGCGAGTTTCATACGGTAGATGACGCAGGATGCATCAATGTGAGCGAGCCTCGTCCAAGTAAGTCTGCCATAGCATTGCTCTTTTTTCTTTAACGATATTTGCTCTCGATTTTTTATATACATGTTTCTCGGAACGCTTTATTTAATTCATTATTGCTTTATTCGTACAGATTACAGAGAGTTCCCGCCCCGTACCTTGCAGATCTGGTGCGTCAGCTGAAGCAGGCAAGTGGGCTTCTTCGTTCAGCCTCAGTACCGTTATTCCCGCCATAGACTACCCATACTTTTATTAACTCTTATTGCTCTTATCAACTCACGCGCTTTTTTTTAGCCTCTAAAATCTATATTCTCCAATATTTTCTCATCCATGACCGAGGTGGAGCAGGGACCAGCCTGGCGATGGACATGCTACCGTTCCGGGTGAGCAGCAGCCACCCCGACGCCCGCGCGGCCTTGACGGCGTTTGCCTCGCCGCGCAGCGACGCCGCGCTCCTGACCAGCCTGCCGCTCGTCGAGCCGGGCACAAACCGATGGATCCTCGACGACGAGCACGTCGCCGCCTGGCTGGCCGGCGGTGACGGCCGTCCCGACTCCGACTCCGACGCGAGGAGCTGGGTCGCACCGGGCCTGGCCTCGACAGTGCCGACCATAGACAAGCTCTGGCTCTACGGGCCGTCGGGCTCTGGCCGGACGCTTCTGGCGGCGACCATGGTGCGTCACCTCGCGCGGCGGCTCCCAGACGAGCCGCGACAAGCCGTGGGCTACTACTTTGCGAGCGACAGCCCGGCGGAGAACGAGACCGTCGCGTGTCTCCGGGCACTTGTTGCGCAGTTGGCGCAACAGAGCGAGGCCGCCCACGACGAGTTTCGAAACTCTGTCAGGCTCGGAGCCTTGCCGTCTGTGCCGCACGAGCCCGTAGACGGAGTCGTCGCGCGTCTTTTCAACGCGGAGGGCCCTGCAGACCTGGGCCATCTGCTGGAGGCCATGTCTCGCCACTTTGCTAAGGTGTTTCTGGTGGTTCGCGGCGTTGATTACATGGAGGCGGCGCTCGCGTTGCAGCTCGCGGCCATGGCGGACGCACCGGGCTCGACGATCAAGACGGCGTTTACGTCCAGCGACGGCGGCGGCCAGCAGCAGGCTTGCATGGAGACGGTGTCGTGTCCCGTCGAGGTCGCGGCCGCGCAAGACGAGCTGTCTCTCTATGTGCGCAACGAAATGGAGCGACGAATACAACAAGGTGACACCTTCTTGGAGCCCGAGTCACCACGCAAGGAAATTGAGGAATATATATTGAGAAATAACCACGGCTCGTGAGTATTTTGCGTGTGTCCCATCTACGCAGCAAAACACTGACAATGGTGTAAAGTTGGCTGTGGGCGGTCACGACGCTCGACGACCAATGTGACCTGCTGAGACGAAATATATGGGTGTCATTGGCGACGACAATGGATGCCAGCGACGGATCGCAAATACCAGCTACTTGCAAATCTGCGTTTGATCCATACTTGGAACGCATCCTGCGAGACGACGACCCTAGGGCCAAGTTTATTCTCACCCGAACCGCACATTGGCTGGCAATAACAGAAAATGAGCCGATATTTCGACTTAGTTGCGATGAGCTTTTGAAGTCCTTGAATGCTCTGTATGGGGTGAAAAACGAACAGTATCGAGACTCCGGACGAATGATTCATGTCCGAGACGTACTCCATGCCTGCCGCCCAATTGTTCGCCTGTCGGACGCAGCTGGTGTTTCGTGCTTTCAGTTCAAGCATAAAACAGTCTACGCCTATCTCGTACATATGCTTCCTTCCCATGACATGCCGCTGAAGGAGATTAGCTACGATGGCTACACAATGGGCCGTGAGTTCAAAGATTTTGTCACAATTTGCAACACGTTGTCCAAGAGCGACATGGGTTGTGCCGAGTCTATCATGAAGAAAGTCCTTGACGCTCAGCAAAGGCTGTTTGGCCACGACGATGCCGACACGCTCTTCACGCAAGAGCACCTTGCCTCGCTCTGCTGGGACCGCGGCCGCCTCGACGAAGCCGAGCGCCTGTACCTAGACATTTTGCGCGGCTACGAGCGCGTGCCCCCCGACATCAGCGACCCGCACCACAACGTCCTCAACAACCTCGGCATCCTGTGCAAGCGACAGGGGCGGTACGAGGAGGCCGAGCGCCACTACCAAGCGGCGCTGCGCGGCCGGGAGGCCCGCCACGGCGCCGCGCACGAGAGCACGCTGCACACGGCGTGCAACATTGCGCAGCTGCACGCCGAGCGCGGCGACACGGCCGCCGCGCAGGCGCACTGGGCCAAGGCGCTGCCGCTGTGCGAGCGCACCTTCGGCCCGCGCGACGCCAAGACGCTCTCGGTCACGTACAACCTCGGCCTCACGCACAAGAGCCTCGGCGAGCTCGACGCCGCCGGGACGCTGCTGGCGCGCGCGCTGGCCGGTCACGAGGCCGTCTACGGGCGCGAGCACCGCGACACGCTCGACGTGGTGTCCGCGCTGGGGCACCTGCACCTGCTGCGGGACGACGACGCGGCGGCGGCCGCGCTGTACCGGCGGGCCCTCACCTCGCACGAGACGATGCAGGGCTCCGAAGGGGACGGGGACGGGGACGGGGACGGCGCGCTCCGCGCGTGCCACGGACTAGCCAAGGCGTGCCAGGGCCTGAACCGCATGCGTGAGGCCGAGGAGATGGCGGGCCGCGCGCTGCGCGGCTTCGAGGCGCGAGCGGGCCCGGACAGCGACGACGCTGCGGACGCCGCGTACACGCTGTTCCTGGGGTACGTCGAGGAGGAGCGGCTGCGGGAGGCCGTCGTCCTCGGCGCCAGGGTCCTCGCCGGCTTCGTGAGGGGCGCGTCGGCAGCAGCGCGCGCCGAGGAGGCGGGAGCGGCAGACCGCCGGCGGCGGGGCATCGCCGCGTCTGTGGCGGACAACATGGCGCTCGCGCACGCCAAGCTCGGTGAGCTGGCGCCGGCGGAGGCGCTGTGGCGGCGCGCGCGAGAGGGCCACGCGGAAGCGCGCGGTGCGGGCGACGAGTTGGCGCTCGCGGCGGCCAACAACCTCGGGCTGCTGTGCGTGCGGCAGGGTGGCCGGCTTGTCGAGGCGGAGGGATGGCTGCGCGAGGCGCTGGAGGGGTACGAAGCGCTGGAGGGGCCGAGGGGGCAGACGGCGATGCGGATCGCGAGGGACCTGGCGTCGGTGAATGAGGATCTGGGGAGGGTGGCGGAGAGTGAGGCCATGGCGAGTCGGGGATATCGGTAACAAAGGGAAGTCGGCTCCGGAGAGTTGACGTGATCACGAGTTCTATGGATGTGTAAGTGCCTGGCCGGGGTTATATCTGTTGACATTGGGGAGCATTTTAATAACCATGAAAGAAACTTTTTCTACGTTATTCAGGCGTTATTCTCATAGCGGCAACTTCTTTTATCGGATGTTCATTCCATGTCTTTAGAAACATGCCTCTATTGTCTTTGGGATCATGACAAGGCGACATTGCGGGGAAGGTTCCAATACAGAACGCACTAGACTGCTAGCATGATCGAGCCACGGCGACCTCGTTGTGATCAATGATTAGTATTAAATCCTATTTATCAGCCGAAATGATACAAGAAACCTCGCGGATTGCTCCATCCCATCCACACCGTGCTGCTCTGGCGCCATTTGTCGTCATTCAAGCATTTGTAAGCACCGCAGCATGCGGCCGATGACATCCGGACGTGCACCATGTCTCACCTAGTTTAAGTATATTAACATGCAAATTCCCAGATGCTTTCCATCACACTTCCCATGACCAGCGAACCAGCCGTCCTCCTCCACTGCAAACAAACTTGACATCACCATGGCCGCCTCTCCGCCCTTCTACGCCGTCGTCGTCGGCGTCGGCTCCGGCACCGGCGCCTCCGTCGCGCGACTCTTCGCCCGCCGCGGCTACCCCGTCGCGCTGCTCGCCCGCAAGGACGCCAACCTGACCCCCGTCGTCGACGCCGTCACCGCCGCCGGCGGCACCGCCCTCGGCATCCCCACCGACGTCTCCGACCCGGCCTCGCTCGACGCCGCCTTTGCCGCCGTCGCCGCCACCTGGCCCGGCGCCCGGCTCGCCGCCGCCGTCTACAACGCCGAGGCCGGCTTCGCCTACAAGCCCTTCCTGGAGCTGACCCCCGAGGACCTCGACCGGGCCCTGGCCACCGGCGCGTAAGTTTCTGTGCCCCCCGCCCCTTGTTGGTCGAGAGATCCCGACGAGAGATCCGGGTCGCTGACGCGGAGGTATATACAGCAAAGGGCTGTTTCACTTTGCGCAGAGGACGATCCCACAGCTCCTCGACGCCGTCCCGTCGGAAGAGGGCAAGGAGCAGCAGCACCCGCCGACACTCATCGTCACGGGGGCCACGGCGGCGCTGCGCGGTAGTGCGCGGTTCGCGACGTTTGCGGCGGGCAAGTTTGCGCAGCGCGCGCTGGCGCAGTCGCTGGCGCGCGAGTTTGGCCCGCGCGGCGTGCACGTCGCCTATGCCATCATCGACGGCGTCATCGACACGCCCTGGGGCAAGGACCGCGTAGCCAACGACGGCAAGGCGGACGGCAAGATCAGCCCGGACGCGGTGAGTATAGTTCTACGCTTGGGTGTTGTTTGATACTGAAAGACTAATACGATGAGTAGATTGCAGAGAGCTACTGGCATCTACACACACAGCCCAGATCAGCATTCACGCACGAACTTGATCTGCGCCCATTCGTAGAAAAGTTTTGATACGGCATGCTATCTTTGAGCGACATATGATAACAGTAGTGGATAATAAGACATGAATTCATAAAGTACCGGGGAAAAAAAGGCGGCGTGTGGTATCATCAACGGTGCCAACAATTTTCCCTTTCAAATTTCCGTCTCGACATCCGGCTTGCGGCCGTCCAACGCAGTAATGTTCCTGACCTTGCGTGCTAGAAACTTGGCCTCATTCTTGGCAAACTGCATGTTGCGCATCGGTCGCCACTGCATCAGCCCCCGCTGCTTACGGTGCAAATCGCGACTATTCTCACGATATTCCTTCATCGCCGACAGTGGTCCGTGACTCTTTTTGGACGCATCGCTGACCCCCGTGGCCGCTGTCGTATTGGTCTCGAGGGATGCGCGACCGTTGGAGGCATCAGTCAGGCGGCTTCCCGTGGCCTGGGTAGACTGAAGATCCGACGCCCTCGAGACTGACTCGTTTGTGATGGGATCCGAGGTGTCGCTAGCTTCGTCTTCGCTTTCCCCATCCTCATCGAATTCTTCGTAGTCATCATCCTCAGCCTCTCCGTCGCCGCGTTTCCCGCCGGCCATGGCCTGCGAAGGGTCTTCCCCAAAAGCGCTGGTCCAGTCGGTGCCGTCCTTGGACAGCCATCTCTTGCGTTCCTCGTCGCTCGCTTGTGCCAAAACATCGCGACCTTGCGTCAACGAGTGGTCGTGAAGCTCCTTTGTCAGAGGCGGCACCTCAGTCTTGACTTCTTTTTCTCGAACGCCCTCAGCATAACATGCCTCCCACGTCTCAATGGTTTCTCGCGAATCATTATCGCTGACAAAACGAACATGATCAGAATCTGTGCCAGGCGAGAAACGGCCACAGAACCTGACGCGCCCGATTTCTTCAATGTCAAGATCGGGGACCTCTCTGAAGTTCGCCTCCGTAATATAATTTTGCGAGAGACGCACAGAATTATTGCACCTCCATAGGGGCACATCAAAGTCTTGCTCATCGCAATCTGTCAAATCCTTCAGCCAGACCGCTGCAAACGCAGCCGAGCGCCTCTTGCCCACGGGATTGAACTCGAGGAAGACAGGCGACCTGTATCGATGACGCACAGGCAGCCGGATCTTCTGGCTGTTGCCGGTGCCGCTGACGTCGAATGTCATGTCATCCCCCTCTTTAGCTGAGCAAGAGCGTCGAACGCTGGCCGTCGAGCCACCAGTGCGAAGGCGCAGCTTGGCCTTGGCCGCTGGTGCATAGCCCACCGTCTCAATCTTGTTCGACGTGAACTCAAAAGTGCCAATCTCCCAGCCCATCTCAGGTGGCGGCAAGCGCAGCTCCACAGACTTGAACAAGAGCGAGATGCGGGCGCGACCAAAGCCGATACCGCCATCCAGAGGGTACCATCGCGTGACTTCACTACTAGTTTGCAGGATGTCCGACACCTTGAGCGGCACCACGCCAATGAGTGGATCGTGTTGTCGGTGGCGAGAGTCGCGGACCGCAATCGTGACGATTGCAGATCGCCAGTCACGAACAAACTTTTCAGTGCCCGCGTTGAAAATGGGCTGCGAAGAGACAACCTTGGTTCGGGTCTTGTACGCCAAATCGTCGTTGATGAGAATAGTGCAGTACGAGCTAGGTAGCTTCTTGCTTTCAGCTTCCTTGACCTCACCAGCCTCGGGGCGAGCCGGCTCGTACTCTTTGCCCTTGCGGTTGCCGTCAGAACCGCGAATATTGGCCAGCTCAAGGCCAACGATCTGGTGGACGACAACACTCAGGATACCAGACGGCCAGAGCGGATCAGGTGGAGTGTGCAGAGCTGCTTCACTTTCGGCTGTCTGAGGCACAGCGTTTTGGCGCTCAGCAGTGTCGGGCTTGTTTTTCATCTCATCCGGCAGGTTTGGATTCTTTTCGTCTGTTCGCAAAGCCTTGCGGAAAAGCGTCTTGCCAAAGAAGCCCACTTCCCAGTGCAGCTCACCCGGCATACTGCTATCAGCGTTCATCCCCTTGAGCTTGGAAACTTGGGGAAAGACCTGTCCGGGATGTTGGATGAGCTCCTGGATGCTGAGCTCAATCTTGCCCACGACGTCGTCGGCCGAGGATCTGTCGCTGTCCCAAAGTTCCACCGAGAGCTGCTCATCTGCCTGGATAATGTCAGGTGTAACCAGGAGACCACAGCTTTCCCCAAAATATGGGTTCAAATCATCCTGAATAACACGGGTGCAGAATTGTGGCTTGGAAAATTTGCTCCAGGAGATGGTAATGTAGGGGTCTGAGCCACCGCCCTTGCTACCACGCTGATCCTGCTTGCTCAGGTCAACTGCCTTGTGAATGCGAATGTACAAGGCACCCATGGCAATGGTGTCCTTCTTGATGTCATCGCCTGTGAGCATGCTGCTAACGTCAAGAGTCAAGCTCTTGGGCGCGACATACATGGACGCCGCTGCTGAGATGGCCCAGTTGACAAAGTTGGAAATGAGGGGCAGGTTGAGGATGTTGACGCCCTTTTGGATCATGGGAGTGCACCCGGCCTGGACTTTTGGGACACCCATGAGAGTGACTGTCATGGTCTTGAGGAACGGCGGGTCGGGCGTAAGCTGCAGTCGCAGACGAGCAGTAGCCACCAGACCCTGTAGCTCAACCCAGACGGGTAGAGGCACGCCAAAGAGACCACGGATTCCAAGATAGAAGACAAGCTGCATGCCCATGTTGCGAGCCTTGGAGGCGACGTCTTCACCAGAGGGCTTTGCATGGTATGCAACAGAAACCTCCATGTTGTAAAACTCGCCAGCTTGCTCCATGGCAGCCATCTCATTGGGGTCCATGGTCTTTTCGTTTTGCTTTCGGATGTCGTCTTTTATGTCCTGTACATGGGAGTCTGGAAGGGCTCGCATATTCAGGATTCGAAGGGGGTTGCTGCCTTGGTGAATGTCGGCAACGCGAATATTTTCGATGACACTGGGGACCGAGGCTGCCATGACATCTTCTAGACTATGTGGATGTTAGGTTGCTTCCCAGTAGACAGTGGCGAGGTGTGGTAGTAGGTTCAACGACTTACGTATCACCAACGGCAGCAAAGACGTCAGGGTTAATGAGGCCCCATATTATGCCAATGGCAGTGTTCATCCACTCGACGGATTCGGGAATCAAGTTTGCCGTGGCTGTCTCGCCGCGGGCCTGCTCGCTGGACCACTCAACGTCGCGACCCTGGCGGACAAGCTCCTTGCACCATAGGAAGACACCGCATGCGACGCAGAAGCCAAGAGGAATCAGCCCGAGGAGCTTGCCACCGAAAAACCTGCCAATGAAGATGATGGCGACAAATATGCCAATACACAGACCGTTGGCTCGGTTCTCGAGGCTTTCAAACATTGGCTCGTAGCTGACGGTCGGGGTCTTGAAGAAGAGGACGGATGTCTTTTCGCTGCGAATGGGCACGTCCGAGGTAGTCCCCTCTTGTATAGGATCAGGCGGTGCAGAAATATCCATGGTTTCGCGGTACTGTTCACGAGACATGTGCATGGGCTTGGGCACGGTTGTGTCTTTGCCGAGATTTTCGTTTGGGACAGACATCTGGGAGCAACGGGTCAGTATGTGTTTGAATGCGAGAAAGGATGAATTCGAGGCCATCATCTTACCTGAGGGTCATCGGCAGCCTTTTTAAAGTCCGTTTTGGCGTCGCGAATCTGCACGTCTTTGCCAGTGACGGGATCACGGACCCAGCGAGCGTCCTTGCGTTCGGCCTTGTCGTCGCGCTGCTGGTGGTCTTGAACTTCGCCATGCTTGTCATTGGCTCTCAAACGAGCGTCAATCTCTGTATCCCTCTGTTTCTTCTCGCGGTCTAGCTGAGCCATGAATTCTTGAATGTTGGGCACGCGGTTGCGGCCGGAGTAGTGCTGGCCCGAAGGCACGACATGATTGGTATTGTTCATGGTGACCGGGGGCTAGGTAATGCAGAGGGTGTCGTGGTTGTGATGGATAGGAATTTGCGAGTTGTTTGCTCAGTCGGAATGATTCAGGGAATGGTTTAGGTTGTGCATTGGGTAGGTAGGCAGTTATCCAGAGGAGCAGCTGAGTCCGGTTGCTATCGACGTATCGACGTCAGTGAGAATGGAGACACTGAACCGACCAAGAAGAAGAAGAAGAAGAAGAAGAAGAAGAAGAAGATGAAGAAGACGAAGAAGAAGAAGAAGACGAAGAAGAAGAAGAAGAAGAAGAAGAAGAAGACGAAGAAGACGAAGACGAGAAAATAACTTTGTTTCACATCCAGCCGTAGGAGGTCGGCAGCGCGCCATGCCATTGTTGGGGAGCTTGGAAAGTTTCAATCAAGCTCTCTTGTCCTTCATCATCATCCATGACGTATTTACAGTGGGTAGTCCACTGGAGGTCTGGACGTTGGGCCCGCAGCCCGCCGCTAGAAACGGCAATCTGCATGTTGGTCCGGCGGGGCCTCAAACTGGGCAGGATTGTCGTGCTTGGTTCAAAGCTTGTTTGCTACATAGTTAGAGTTCCAACCGGTCATCACACCTTTGGCTTTTTTTTTTTTTTTTTTTTTTTTTATCGTCGGCAAATTCTGCGTAACGGCGTCTAGCCGAGCTGAAGAGCACATCAAAAGCCAGACAGCCACAAGGTATCCGTATGTATGTATGTACATAGATATCAATCCAGCAACTTCTCAGGCAACGAACCCACCGAGAACGTCCTTTCATCACCCCAGTCTGAGAAAGACGCTTAATCTCAAAACTCGCCAATTTATATACTCTCCGCGAATTTCGAAAGATCATTATTCACGTTACTGTATGCTAATAATTACTGCAGATGGTGCCTCCTGCACCCCACCTCCCGCATGCCATCCAATATCCAATTCATGTAGCCATGCATATGAGGTAGCACGGTTTTCGGTAAGGTAGGGGTTCTGCCTTCAACCCCTGGGCCTAGCTAAATTATCCTTCTTCACCATCCCTCGCATTCTTTTACATTTCTCAATGCTCCCCCTTACCATCACCGCCATTATCTGTACATCATCTCGATGCAAAGGGATCGTTGCCAAGTTGATACCAAGTCTCCTAGTTCCAGCATTGGATCTATCCAACATCACCCACCATCAAGCCTCCTTTCTTTATGCAATTCCACCTCGACTACCTCAACTGCTCGTCCCCGAACCGACTGGCCGACCAGTGAACTCACGATACCCAGCGGCATACCCTCCCGGTCGCGCCGGCGAGCGCAAAGCTAGAGACTGCAGCTTCTCAGTACCCCCGAGCAAACGCACAGCGCCCAGCCGCGAGGCTCGCCGTTCGATTGACGCCATTCTCTTATGAGCCGACGGAAGTGGCGGCGTGCAGGCTGTGCTGAGACACGTCATCCATCGCGTGGGCTGTGACACCCTCACATCGCCATTGAGCACCGCATCCTGGCTGGTGGCTTGGCTGATGGCGAGCTGGCCAATCGATTGAGGAGCATGTTGAGAACCCATTTGCAGAACAACTCGCACAAGATGCGGCAACTTGTAAAACAAGTTCACGCAAGGCTGAGCCCGGTAAGCCTCGTAGGCATCCTCGGCGTCCAGCATTTCGACCACCTCGGCCACGAGCGTCAACTCGTTGGGCGACGGCCATCTCGGCATGCGCAATTCCCCACCATCAGCTAAACTTCCTCCGGCCGCTTCCAAGACAGCCATCATCGTGCAGAGAGTGACCCTACTCACCGGCAAGCGCATGCCCCAGGAGCGCTCTCTGTACCGATCCATCACATCGACGAGTGATGAGCTCGCAAGGACATAAGGTCGAAGCACACAGAGGAATTGCATTGGCAGAACACTCTCGCCGTATTCCATAAACGCCCCGATCAGTTGCCCACGTCCCTGGAGCTCGGCTGTCTTGTTCGCTAAAGAGACTTCAGTGAAGCTGCCGGCGCCGAGCTTTGTCGCCCGCTTGCAAAAGTCCAGCACGAATATGCAGCTGTAGCAGTAGACTGCAATGGCTCCAGCCAGACTCTCGTGGAATGGTAGGCCCGCGTATGCGCACATGAGCAGACCAGCAAACGGCGTCATGCCGGCTTCGCCACGGAGCATGTAGTGAGCCGTCGTATCCCAGTCAGTAAAGATGTCTTTGCCATTTTCCACAAGGCCCATGTAGGCCAGCTTTTCTCGGTTCTGGAGGAAGACGCTACAGCGCAAGGCTTCTCTAGCGAGGGCGATCCATTGCTTCGCGTCTTCCCTCCCACCGCACTCTTCCACGCATTCGTCCCAGAGGTCGCCTACTCTACGCCCGAGATACAAGGTCGCATCTATAGACTCGACGGGACGAAAGAACTCGTCAACACCAATGCAGAACGCTAGGATGAGGGTCAGCGCAGGCCTGGACGATGGGGGGCCTGGCAGCCACTGCTGCGAGTAATGGATGCTGTCGCGGAGAGTATAAAATTGCTCTGCGACTGAGGCCGTCTTGGGGAAGAAACCCTCAGCGGCGCGTGCTATCATACCGGCCTCGCCAGGAAGCTCCTCATCCATCCAGCGACGAGTCAGCTCCGCGACGCGACGAGCACATCCTGGCAAGTCGAGAGAATCGGGCCAGGTCGCAGTACCCGCCACTTCATCGATGAAGGTGCCGCCGCCCTGCAACAGCCTAGCTGCCCAAGGGCCGGTGGCTTTGAGCGCTCCCAAAGGTGCGACGGTGGGATCGAAATGCTCTGTGCCTTTGCTTTCGGAGATTGGGTTATCGGCCAGGAGACTCCGGGCATCTCCTCGAAGAAAGGCGACATCGTATCCGACGGTTGAAAGGTAGTCTAGGATGGACTCGAAGTCCTCGGTACTAGAGGCTCCGTTGAGCGTTGCGGCCGTCATGTTGAGCTCTCCTATTCCGCAATGCTCTCATGCGAGACTGCGAGCTCTGTCCTCCGGAATGATGCAACAAGCGGCGGGAGCAGGAAAGATGTTTCGACCAAGCTCTATCAAATTACTTTTGGTCGCGGTCGGCGAGCTGAAAGATTTTAAATCGGCGGTTCCTCCGGCCACAAGCGACCAGGAAAGGAGGATATCGAGGAGCAACCGAGGCTATCGATCGATACTGGATTCCATTTTGACTTCATGTGCCTGAGGACTATATCGCCCATTGGCTACTCGTACGTCCATTTTACTGACGAGCCTGGGAAGAGAAAGGAGCCGATATGGTGAGATATCCATGTGTTAATGTCAGGGTCCGTTATAGCACAGCAAATTGCAGATACCAGCTTGCCGGGTTCCAGGCACGCCAATCCACCCAGGGAAAGTTGTCGTGGTGCTTGAAGACTCCCATGGGTATTTATTTTGAACAAGCCAGTGGGAATCAAGTTGTAACTTACTACTTGGACTGTCCTTCGCCACATTGGTCAATGGTGCCGACGGCAGAGATGCGTCCAGAGTTGCTGGACTTGTACGCTCAGAGCTCATCCTCCTTGGCGGCCGACAGGAGCCCTCCATCATAGAAGCTGCACATATAGTTTGACCCTCACCCCGTTATCAATGTGACGTGATTCTCGTCCTTATTCTCGCCGACTAATGGACCGCCCCGTCGCAGCGAAATGCGACAAATCGCAAATGGCCCACACACACCAACTCGACCCTTCCATGCAAGCTGGCCAGTCCTCCTCGTTCTGTTGCATAAAAAAATAAATTGAACGTGCATTGTCTCCAAATTGCAGTCTTCCGTCTTCCTTTTGCTCAAGGTGCAGAGCATAGTAGTCATGTTATGGGTCTGGTGGAACAGCACATGGAAAGCACATACGGGTGCAGATGTATCTTGGTACACACCTTGGAGATGTCAACGGCCAGCGATTGCCGGCTCTGCATACACCCTCTCGGCGCCTGCAGGTTCTACTTCAGCCTGTTCCAACAAGGGTCTGCATCTTCAGCTCTCCAACGACGTTGCTACACACAAAGACCTCCTCACAGTTATGAACCCGGTACTGTTTGGGCAGCATGTCTTGACGGCTTGGGCCACTCCATGGCCACATACCGTCTATAAGTAGCCGTGAGTTTGTCTAGATGATGAAGCAGAATGTCATCACAGTTCACATTGTTTTCATCTTCTGCCATACGCCGACTTCTGCTTCATATCTCTCGTAAATCTGCGTACCGGCTGTCCTCACCAAGATGGACCATATACCCAGCTTTGCCGTGCTCCGCGAGAGTCCTTACCTTGTCGTCTTCGCCGGCTGCATCATGCTCCTCCTCGCCCGCTCCGTCCTATCACGCCGGCGCCGCCGCGGCAGCCTCCCACTGCCCCCCGGCCCGCGCCGCCTCCCGCTCATCGGCAACATGCTCGACATGCCCGCCCCCGGCGTGCCCGAGTTCCAGCACTGGCTCCGCCACAACGCCCTCTACGGGCCCGTCAGCTCCCTCGAGATCATGGGCCAGACCATCGTCCTCCTGCACAGCCGCGACGCCGTCCGGCAGCTGCTGGAGAAGCGCTCCAAGAGCACCTCGTCGCGCCCGCACATGGAGTTTGGCCACGGCATGTGCGGCTACGACAACATCCTGTCGGTGCAAAAGTTCGAGGACAGCAGCTACGTGCCGCGGCGCCGGCTGGTCCACCAGTACTTGGGCACGCCCGCGGCCTCGGAGCGCTACCAGGGCATGCAGGAGGCGCAGGCGGGCAGGATGCTCCGGTGGATGCTGGACGCGCCGGAGCGGCTGATGGATCACATTCAATAGTACGTGGCTTCTTCCTCATATTCTTCCATTTCTGATCTACATGGGAGCCGTGAAACATGTCTGAGACCAGACTATCCGAACTAACTTGGTTCCCTTCACCACCTTGAAGCTTCTCGGCCGCCGTCGTCCTCGAGGCGACCTACGGATACACCCTCGGCTCCTCCGCCACCGAGGACCCTCTCGTCACGCTCATGCAGGAGGTCCTCGACAACATCACCGATGCCTTCGTCCCCATGGCGTGGTCCGTCGACGCCCTGCCCGCCCTGCGACACGTGCCCGCGTGGCTCCCCCTCGGCGCCGACTTCGTCCGCACCGCGCGCCGGTGGAAGCTTGCCGCCGAGACCGTCGCCGACACGCCGCTCGCCTTCGTCCGGGCGCAGATGCGCCGCGGCGCCCACCGCCCCTCCTACGTCGCCAACATCCTCGAGCGCGAGCTCGGCGGCGACCCCACCGGCACCCGCAAGCACAGCACCACCGAGGACGACGTCAAGTGGACCGCCGCCACCATGTACGGCGCAGGCGTCGAGACCTCCTCCTCCACCCTCGAGGCCTTTGTCCTCGCCATGCTGCTCTTCCCGGACGTCCAGATCAAGGCCCAGCAGGAGATTGACCGCGTCCTCGGTGCCGGATCCCGGCTGCCCACCTGCGCGGACCGGGCGAACCTGCCCTACACGTCGCAGGTGGTCACGGAGGCGCTGCGCTGGTTCCCCGTGCTGCCGATGGGCGTCGCGCACGTCACGCAGGAGCCGCTCGAGCACGACGGGTACGCGATCCCCAAGGGCGCCTACCTGCTGCCCGCGACGTGGTGGCTGTGCCACGACCCGGCCGCCTACGCGGACCCGCACGTCTTCGACCCGGACCGGTACCTGGCCCCGCGCGGCGAGCCGGACCCGCGCGGCGTCGTCTTCGGCTTCGGCCGCCGCATTTGCCCCGGGAGGTACTTTGCGGACGCGAGCCTGTGGGTGGCGATTGCGCGCGTGCTGGCCGCGTTCACCATCTCCAGCGCGGTCGACGAGGAAGGGCGGGAGAGGAGGGCGGAGCTGGGATACACGTCGTCGCTGACGAGTCGGCCGACCAAGTTCCCGGTGAGCGTGGCGCCGCGGAGCGAGAAGCACGCGGAGCTCATCCGGGGTCTTGAGACAGGTGCTTGATGGAATGGCTGGGAAGGTGGTGGTGGTGGGGGTTCAAAAGAATGCATGCAACTGCTTCCAGGATGATGATTTAGTGACGAATAACGAGATACCAAATTGCAACACAGTACGCCGGATACGGCTTCACGCGCCCGCAATCAGCTGCAGGTATATCAGACGATATGTCACACTGCTCGTCCGGTCGAAAAGTGACATGTCAGCCTCCCGCGCCCGCCACTCAAGCCACCGTATGCATTGTATCATGCATGGCCTTTTTGCAAACAAGGGCCCATCTCCCCCTCGTCCTACCCAACTGCTCATCCTTTTCTGCATGTCCCGCATCTATCATCTATCATAAATGCATCAGCACTGTGTCAAGTTGCTGGGAACCGGGACCCCGTCTGACCCGCGGAGAAGAAGATCAACGCCAACCGGCCAACTCAGCTGCGATCCATCAGACGCTTTCGGCATGAAAATGGTGATTTTACATCTCAGGACCTCAAAATACGGTCAGTCAATAAGTATGAGTCTTTCTTACCGCCGGTGACGGGGATTTGTCAAGATTCCTCACGGACTCTATCAGTATACCGGCATGGCAAGACTGACGATGCCACCACAAACTGAAGTGAGACACTGTGACTTAGACATCGATGCTACCCAAACGCATGGCTGCCCAGCGTTCCCGAATGATAAACGGTCGCATGGCCAAATGTATTCGGCCCGGTACCCGGGCTGACCATTGGCAACAGTCCGCAAGAACCGGGATATCGGCCCGGTGAACAGACTTCTGGGTAAATTATGCTAGTCATTGGACTAGGAGGAGGAGGTCAACATGACGGAGGAGACAGCCCCCCTCATGCAAGCAAAACAAAGCAGCCTTGCAACTCCTTGACATGACCCAGAGCTGTTAAGACAAGTTGATATTCGCACTCCTCACAAGACTATTCTTAGGTCATAGCTAAAGGCTAATAATATTAAAGAAGGTAATAACATATTTATGTATAGTCAAGTAACAAACATTAATGACAAGGCTGGCCCAGTCCCAAGAACGCCTGTGCCGGAAAACCCACAGCTCCGTATCCAAATCTCGATTTACATTGTTCACCAGCCACGACATAGTAGCAGTCCATGCCACTTATCTTCTTTTCGGCCCTATTCCGTCCTCATTATACTTGCTGGGTCTGGCCGTTTTCTTCGTTTTCGCTTCTCGGCGCTGCCGACATGACGGCCGGATCCGTGACGACGTTATCCTTCTCGCCCATCGACTCGGAATCCTCGTCGTTGGGAATGTCCGGCGGAGCAGAGAATGTCGGAGCAACCTTGCTTCGTGCGCGAATGCTAGCTCCCCATTTGTAAAACACAAAGGGGATGGGAGCGAGTAGCAGAGCGATGCAGCCGAGAAGCGTGCCAGCCCACTGGATACCGAGACCCTGGAACATTTGACGTGCGAAGAGGGGAAATCCCGCACCGCAGAGAGATCGCAGAAACGTATTGCCCGCAATGGCGGAGGCAGCAAACATGAGGTAGGCGTCGACGAGATAGTTGAGGGCCTGCAGGAAAATTGACATGAGGCCGAAGCCAGTGCAGAGACCGCTGAGCGTGGGGACGATCCAGTGGATATCGCTTCGGTAACCCGTCCTAACCCTGTGTTAACGATCGTTTCTCTGCCGTGGCGGCTTCATTTAACTTACCATCCAAACCAAAAGATGCCGATTGCAAAGGCAATGCCGCCAGCCATGATGCTTGGTAATCGCCACTCCGGGATAGGGAGTCCGTTGTTGGCTGCCAGCTTTCTGTTGTACCAGGGCTGCTGCATAATGACGACAGCACCAGCCAGTAGTTGCCCGATAATCATGCCAAAAAAGGTCAGGCCGGAAACACCAAGGCTGAACCCGTGGACGCCGACAAACACCAGAGGATAGGCGGAGAAGAACAGGTAGAGAATTCCGTAGATGAAGCTCATGTAGATGGAGAGGAGCAGGATAATCGGTTCAGTGAAAAGTAGCCGCAGCGGACGGGACAAGTTCTTGGAGAGGAGCTCCTTGAAGTCGACTTCGATTTCCTCCTGCTTGGCGTGAATGCCCCAGTTCTTAGTGCGGCGTCGCAGGTCAGAGGCCTTGGAGATGAGGACGACGGGGGCGTAGGTCTCTTCTAGGAAGAGCAAGTCGAGAATGAAGGCGACGCCACCCATGATGGTGGCAAGATACTCGGTCCAGCGCCAGCCCAGGTGAGACTCTACTATGAACCCGCCAATGAAGGGCGCAAACATGGGGCCGGTGAAGACGGCCATGGAGAATATGGTGATGGCAATGCCTCTGGATTTGTTGTCGAACATGTCGGAGAAGACGGCGGCGACGACGGCGAGCGGACAAGCACCAAAGAGGCCGCTGAAGAAGCGGCAAATGAGAATGGTCTGGATGTTCTCGCCGGTGGCGCAAGCGATGGAGAAGACGGTAAAGCCAAACATGGCAATAACAATGGGGAGACGGCGGCCGCGCAACTCGGACATGGGAGCCCAGATAGTCGGGCCAAAGGCGAAGCCGAGGACGTAAAAGGTAGTGCCGAGGAGGCCAACCTCGGAGCCGACGCCGTACTGCTTAGCTACGACCTGTGTGCCGGCAGAGAAGATTGAGGAAGTGAATGCAGAGGTCATTGTAGTGTACCCAAGCATGGCCGAGGTCAAGAGCTTCTTGCGCAAGGGCCAGTTTTGCGCATGCAGCGGGTCGTTGGGGCCGTCAAACTCGACAACGTACTCCTCCTGGTCGGGCAGCGGTGGGGGGTACGGCTTGCCAGCGCCAAACGCGGGCAGCGGCTTTCTGGAGGCGCGGCTGGCGGTGCGGCTGCCGGCGTCGACGCCGACGGTGGTGGCGTGCTGGCTGCGGGCCGTCTGGATGCGACTGAGGGCGGTCGGGTGGCGCTCGAGGTCGTTGATGGTCGAGACGCGGCTCATCTGGCGGCGGACGGCGGATCGGCCGGCAGCGGCGGACGAGGCGGTCGAGACGGACGAGGCGGAGAGGACGCGCTCAATCTCGTCGCTAGCACGGCGCCGGTAGTTGGCGGGCGAGGCGTCGCGCTCCGCCTCGACGAGCTCGCGGTCGATTTCGTCCATTGTCATTGTGGGCGGTGGGCGGAAGGGAGGGCGGTAGTAATGTCGTTTGTGCAACGAGGGGTCGGCTGTTTGTCTCTCGCTGCCGTGTTATGACGTTGATGTGCAGCTCGGGTACCGGCAGGCTGGAGATCGGCGGGATGGGGCAGAGCGCCAAGGAATTTCCATATAAGATGATGACACAGTCAAGCCAGTCCTCAATCGATGATGAAGATTGAGAAAACTATGTCGGGGTGGGAGGGGGAATTGACGGCTCAAGGGGTAGGGTCTCCCCAGGTGATGATGATGATTTGGAGACAATGGATTGAGTTTGGGGGATTGTCCCGTTTTTCTACTAGTAGGTGGTCCTGTCTCAGTATGCCATGGCTGTTGATGACAATAGCCCAATGCGTTTGCGCTAGTTCAATTCTTCGCCTCTTCGCAATAAAAATTTATTTGAACGAGGAGCGAAGGGGAAAAAAGTGGCGGCCAGTCACCTCGTCCCTGCCGTCTCCAGGCGACGCCGGCCGCTAATAAAATGGAAAGAGCTCTGGTGGGGCTTGCGCCGGACTCGCGAACAAGTGGGGGCTCCGATTTGGACGGACCGATACTTGCTAGAGAAGAGGCTTTTTGGATAACGACGTGTAGGAAATGGAAAGCAAGAACGGGGTTGAATTATTGAGGACACACTGAAGAAAGCATGATAATAAGATTGATATGCCACGACTCCCCCCAGGTATCTACCTTCCCACCTACGTTGTATCCCCATGTCCTCGGGCTTTACAATAGTCGGGTCCGCGGAATTACAACGGGACCACGGATATTTTGCACTCCAGAATTACATGTGCCCGACAAGATGACCGACCAATACAAAGCACCCCCTCGCGCGGTTCGCTTTGTCAGTCTGCACAGCCAGGTCTACCCAAGCCGCTGACGAATGCTGCTGGCCGTTGAAAAACTCAGCACCACCCTGGCTCCCAACCTGTCTATCAGCCTGCCTTGATACCGGCTATTGTATTGGGATCCACTACTGCCGGAAAGTACCATCGGCAAGTCAGCAAACGCGCGAGATGCGACGACGCTTTTTCAGCACAAGGTATTACAGTATTACATCCACCGGATCCCTGAAGAGGTATTCGGCGCCGACGTTCAAGTGCTTCTCTGTCAAGGGCGAAATTCTTGGCTCCCGAGCTTTCGTTTCCCCTGGTCAGCGGCTAAGTCGTCGTAACTTTTATGACGGACCATCAGCCCCCGACATTCCGAGAAAGTCACTGAAAACGGGGTCGCGCTCCCCTTGCATCCGGCCTGTCCGAAGCGCCGAAGCGGCGAAGGCACATGTAATCATAGATCCGGGAAGGCAAGGTTTCCGTTTTTTTATGTCTTCTTCCGCCTTTTTAGGTGCCGCCCATCTTCTTATCTCCGAGTTCATGGACGCGGGATCTACCCAGCCTTGGCCCAATTACCACGTCTCAAGTCGCCCTGGATCCCGCCCGGCATGCAATCTGTAGGAAACTGCGTCCAAGGCAAACGCCACAGAAACATCAAAATAAATCTTCAAAGCAGTGAGGTGCATGAATCGCGACAAAAGAAGCCCCTGTCCGATTTTTCACACGTGGGGTTGCTCATGGCGCTCCCCCAGCCCACTTTTATCGCCACATCAAAGGGCTTATATATTAAAGTATTCCGTTCATCCTTCGAGCTTCGGCTCATTTGGTCTTTTGAAACGATACAGAGAAGATTAGCATGGCCCCTGCACTAAGGATGACACGCAATCTCAAAGAGAAGCTACAAGTTTTTTTTGCATCTTGTTTCTTTTTTTCTAAAGATTTCCTACAATTATCTCGCGATGCCAATCTCTGGTTTCCCTCCCATGGCTGATCTTGTAGGCTTCCGTGGCGCAGCTGGGAAGCACAACCGTCGATGCGCAGAGGCAATGGGTTCGAGTTCACCAACATCACAGTACTTGCACCTTTTTTTGGCCTAACTGAAGCAGGTCTTTTGGGCAAAAGAAGATAGACCAGTAAAATATTTTGCCAGGGTATGATTCAACATATATATACTACACCATGCCCGCCAACTCTATCGTACACCCCAGCCATGCTCCAGTAGGGACGTCGACTCTTCCAGGCTCAGCCCAGCCGTCTCCGGATAAATCAGCCAGATCAGCGCCTCGCCCGCCGCGCACACGCCCGCGTACAGCGCAAACGTCCACGGCGGCGTCAGGCGTTCCATGAGCGGCAGGAACGTTAGTCCGACTACAAAGTTAGCCGACCAGTTGGTCGCCGTCGCGACGCCGCTGCCGGCTGAGCGCACAGCCGTGGGAAACAGCTCGCTCTGCATCCACGGCACGTTCCCGAGGCCAACGGCGTACGACGCCACGTACAGCATAATGCTGAACAGAATGGTGCTGGCAGCGCTGGTATTTTCCTCTACGGGTGGCACGTTATCGCGCGACGATGACGGCAATGACGACGACGACGACGAGACGCGCGGGCTCGCGTCGAGGGAGAGATGGGAGAAGCCGAGAGATGCTAGCAAGAGGCCGCACACCATCAACGGGATCGAGTACAAGAGGATTCGGCGTCGCCCGACGCGGTCAATGAGGACCAGCGCGACGCCAGTGAATATAAGGTTGGTCATGGCCACGCTGAGAGCAGCGAGCGTAGGGCTGCGAAATCCGACCATTGTAAATATCGTCGCAGAAAAGTACATAAGCGAGTTCTGCGACGGTCAGCTTTTGTAACAACATCCTTTCAAGCCCAGTCATCCACTTACGAACCCGCTGAGCTGCTGTAGACCTTGTAGCAGACAAGCAATGGCCAGCGCGCGTCGATTCTGGCCGACCCTGAGCAGCTCTGCCCAATCACCCAGCCATCTCGGCATCCGCGAGTGCCGTGCCCCGCGAAGCGCTCGTGCTTCTCTCTCCGCGCGAAGCTCCACCTCGATGCTCTTGATAATGCCATCCACATCCGCGCTGTCCTCCTCCTCCCCAGCCGCCTGCGTCCTCGCTACGACCCTCCTCGCGGTCGCCGACCGTCCCGCCTTGACCAGCCAGCGCGGCGTCTCCGGCATCAGCGCGACCAGCACCGCCTGCACCGCCGCCGGCGCCGCGCCGAGCCCGACCATCCAGCGCCAGCCCGTCTCCGGCGGCGCCCTCGTGGCCAGCAGCCAGCCGACCACGTACGCGAGCGCCTGCCCGGCCGTGATCAGCATCACGTTGGCCGTCACCAGCCGCCCGCGGTACCGCGCCGGCGCGACCTCGGCAATGTACAGCGGCACCACGAGGCTCGCGGCGCCGACGCCCGCCCCAATGACGCACCGCCCGGCCACCATGAGGGTGACGCTCGAGCTGACCGCCTGCAGCGCGGCGCCGGCGACAAAGAGCGCGTCCGCGAGGAGGATCACGCGCCGCCGGCCGAGCCGGTCGGCGAGGACGGAGGACAGCGGCGAGAAGAGGAGCGCGAACAGGGAGGTCGCGGATGTGATGATCGACTTGTCGAGGGAGGTGAGCTCTCGACCGGACAGCGCGGTGCCGATGGAGACGAGGGTCGCGGAGATGACGCCAGTGTCGTCTGATAATGGCAAGTCATCGGTCAGCTCGTGGCCTTGCGGCTTCTTCGCGGATACAAGTACGTACAGCCAAATAGCAGACCACTGATGCCGGCGGACAAGGTGAGCAGGAGGACAAAGGGACCTAGGCCGGTCTGGTCAGGCCCTTTGCGTGGTGAGGCGTCGCTGCCTCGAGCGACGTCATCTTCGTGTTGCTCTCCGGAAATCAGAGGCTCTTGAGAGTCGTCCATGTCGTGTGCATTTTGCAGGTCCGGTCACGGCCGCCTGCAGAATTTGCTGCTGTGAAGTTGCTTGTTGGAAGATCATGCCGAGTGGCGTCTCCCTAGTGGGAACCCAGGTCAGGCGGGCTAATAAGCGTCTTGTATCATGAAGTGGTTGAAACTCCGTCCACTCATAGCTCAGAACGAATCAATATTCAAATCTTCACTATATTTTCCGATTTTGTCCTTCTGGAAAATGCAGAGAATTGCAGTGCTCTTTGAAAAACGCTACTCATATCGGGTCGCGTTAGGTCCTGGACATACTGTCCTATTATCCTATAATCTCTCGCTAAATGGAAAGGGCGATTTTGAGGCTGAATATTTTTCTCCCATGTTATTTTCAAGAATTTAGGCCCAAAAAATCGGTCGTCTCTTGCGTTTTTGGACTGAGAATCACTTGGCCTCATACGCAGCACGTTTCGCCAAACCGAGATGGAGAATGCCAGTAATGAAACAGAATTAATGGCCTTGGCCAGCTACACAGCTATTCTGCTCTCTTGTTCCCGTTAAAAAGTACCATTGCAAACGAATAAAATCGAACATAATTCCTCAACATATTTCTGGCTCATAGGATACATCCTCAACCGAAAGATGTTTGATTTGTTGAGCCAGGCCTATACCTCCATGGCACTGTTACTTGTCCAGGGAATATGGCAGTTGCTACGCATGGCCTCAATCCTGGTTGGCCAACGCAACAATGCTGAAATTCGGGTTCCCTTCGGAATGCTTCAAGAACTTTCGGAGACCAAGCTCCAGAGCCTTGGCGCTCAAGACGTCATCCTCTGGCGGAAGAAGACCCCTGTCAACCGGCCCGTCCGTCTGGCCCTCAAGCTCCCATAGATGGCCATCCGGCCCTTTGACATAAGCGATGAAGTGAAGCGCCGGGTGGTTTTCTGCCGGTGGCGGGATAGAGTCGCCCTTGCGTGCTGCCCGCATATGCGCCTCCTCCAGCTCCTGGCTGTCGTAGAGAACCCTGGCCCGCGACTCTGGCTGCAAGGGCTTGGCCTCTGCGAAGAGCCGGTCCAGGAGCGACTCCTTCTGCACATATTGTTTTCCCGGGCCGTTGGCAACCGAGTGGATCAGGGCGTATAGACCGCAGGCATTCCCGATGGTCTGGCGAAACCACAGGACGGGGTCGTCACCGGTCTTGGTATAAGTCATCTTCTCGACGGCCATGTCGCAGGAAATGCCATCTTCCTTGCGCGACGCGTAGTACATCTCCGCCGGGGTTATGAAGATTAGGGCATGGGCCGGCCGCGGAATTATGGCGAGCAAGTCGGCATCGTCGATGCTGTAGACATCATAAAACCCTAGCTTCTGGGACAAGCCTAGATCGTGGAGGAGCGACGTGAAGACCTCAGGGTTGTTTTCAAGCGGGATGACCGTCTTGACACCGGATGGCGAGATCCACACTCCCTCAGCGGGCATTTTTATGATCTTATCGGGGAAAGCAGCTTGGCAAATGGTTTGTTCAAAGCGTCGGGAACTTGATGATTTGGTTGTTCTTGATGTCGCTGTTTGAGGTGGGAGATGGTTGCAGGTAGGTGGGGCCAGGCAGGGAGGACGCATCAGCGTCAGTCTGATTGACATTCGTGGGAGGCAGGAGCGATTAGGTGGGTGATTGACGTCCGGTCATTTTCTTGTTCTCTTTTTGGGCTTTGGGTGTCGCATCTACAATCTATGTCTGTATAATAAAGGTGGCAATCCGTCCTCTCAATACCCGGCGCGGAGTATACACGGTTTGACGAGTGTCTGTGTCTGCATACCAGTGCATTATGAACTTGTGTTAGACGAGTAAAGCGTCGCGACATAATCCCAGTTTTGTTACTAAATTTACGCGCAGGACATTGAGCATGCTCGGCCTTGCGAAAAGTAAAGTCCTCGGGCATAAGATTAGTGGTTGGCGCAGCCTGTTCGTATCAGGTGCGAACGGTGACATCAGGTTGATTGACAATCATTTTGCCAGGGTCAAAGCAGTTGCTCTCGTGTCTTTTGATCCAGTTTGGATCTTACTGCATGGGAATGACATATCCGCGCTGATTCGCAACAACTCGGACGCCTTTGCGCATTATATCCGTCGAATAATGTGTGTGGCCAAACACCCAGGTCTTAACGCGGCCCCAGTCCCCAGATGTCAACATATCGGTAGCAAACGCTGAAGACCACGGGTTTCCGGTGTGCTCGGGCCGCGAGGTTCCCTTAAGGCATGGTGCGTGGTGTGTAGCAACAAGTACGTTTCGTTTCTGCGTTTTGTTTGTTGTCAGGTTGGCCACCTCCCTCCTTGCGGAGCCAGGTAGCCTCTTGCGCATGGACGCTGTTGTGCGTGGCAGCTGTCCAATCGGTGATTTTCTTCAAGTCGCTCACCGTAGACTGCACGACATCGACTTTGTCATCTAGTATCAGAGACCACAGTGTGCAGCCGAGTATAGAAAGGCTAGATTTTAGGCTATCCCAGCGCGTTTTGTCGAGAGTACGAGTCGCCGGGCCAGAGAGGGTTCGTTGACGAGGCGGCGTGGGGTATCCAGTGCGTCGTGATAGGCCATCTCATAGAATTCGTGGTTGCCCAACGCAAGGAATACCGCTTCGAAGCGCGATGTCTAGGCCTGGAGGAACGCCAGATAGTTTTCGTAATCGATCAGGCGGCCAATATCGCCAGCTAGTAGGAGGTAGGGAGCGGTTACGGGGAAGGTAAACGACGCGTATTGCTGACCAATTTCGAGATGAAGATCGGAAAGGATTTGTACTCTTTTATACCACGGTCGGCGCTGGAACTTGGAAAGGAATGAGATCATGGTGACTGCGGATATATGTATGAGGATGGATGCATCTTGTTCTGTATGGTCAGTGTGATGATGGATAGATGCATTGTTGGGTGAGGTGTGACGGCGTGGGTCTGTGCAGTTTGAGGCGGCTAAAAATCAAGTAAAGAGCAAGATCATAAATAGGCAGCGATGACAACGGGTAATATCACCCCAGCATCTCGTGGTACCTTGGTCCTAGGGAACAGGTATCCATTAGAGAGGCTGACGATGCCTCCATCGCATCAACGCTATCCAAGCGTGGAGGCACGACGTGATTTTGTACAGCCTGAAGAGCTACAAAAACAATGCTCACAAACCCGGGTGTTAGATCGTATTGATGCAGAAATAAATCCCAGAGAAGAAAGAACAAAAGAAAAAACGAAAAGCAAAACAAAGACAAGAGAAGGTGCTTTCCCGGGTATAGGGTAGCAAGAGAAGCAAAACATTGGCACGTGCAGAAGCAGGGGGCACAGTACGGGCCCGCTTGGCTTGCCTTGGCTTGCCTTGGCTTCCCTGCCGCCTTTCCCTGCCCAATGCCCGCCCACCCACTCAAACAGGCCATCGTCTCCTGCTCCTGGCACGCTGGCTGGCTGGAACTCTGCACCGCTTGGATAGTAAGCCCTCGACATCCTTTACACCTCGTGTTCGAAGCCCTGCCATTCGTTTCCACTCCAACTTCATCGGCCATGGGTCTTCCTTCACACATCTAACGACTCTCGATACATCATATACTACCACTTGTCCGCCTGTCCCTCCTGAGCGCAAGCCTTCATACCTAGCAATAGCAAACAGGCTTGCTGCCCAACGACCTGTTAATCTGTCAACCTCTCGCTCTCACTGGCCCCGACGCAACCCCCCAGTCGCCACCATGCAGTCCGTATCACAAGCTCAACGAGTTTATTCGCAGCGGCGCGCCGAAGATAGTGCTCCTCAACTCCCCAACGGTCAAAGCAGACCAATGTCACCAAATGGAGTGCCGTCTAGAGCATCGACTGCTTCCGTCAAGTCATCGCAGAGCGGCAGCACGCGCCGGTCAGGTCGCGAGGTTCGTCCTCCAGCTACCTCCACAAGCGGTCGAGCACCGCGCAACAGGAGAAGCCCTCATGCAATCCAACACTGACATGGCCATGACAGACCGGAAGTTCGAGCTCAAGTGTTCCGTTATCGCAAATCGAAAAAAGCGTCACCCACCTTCTCGTCGCGACTAAACAGCTCCTCGAAACCCTTACTCAGTGGTCCCGCGGCCATGCGACCGACACACAGGTCTCTGATGTCTATGTCCGCCTAGGCTACGAATTCAATATGGCGTGCCGTGCCTTTACTGCCATAAATGTCGACACCTCCGACCTCGGTAACGTTCCGGACCTGCTTCGAAGCATTCTTGAAGCGACTTTGAGCCAAGAAGCCAGCGCAGAGAGCCTCGAACGATACCTGCCGCGCATCAGAGACATCATAATCAACCTGCTCCATGGTCTGAAGCGCAAGCAGCAGCGTCTGCGTCAACGACAGGCCCGAGACAGGGACCCTACCGCCAATGCCCCCGAGCGCACAACGAGTATCAGCACTGTCACTAGCGGAAGCAGCAGCGGTCTTACCAACATGCTCGATGAGGGCCTCGAGTCCGGATATAAACAAGAACAATCTCGCTTGGAGGAACCCGCGTCACAAGGCCCTAGTTCTTCACCTAGTCGTCGAGTCAATGCGTCAAGAGAGCCGTCCCGAGATTTCCCCCAACTAGCTCGCACGTCAACTCAGAATGCGCCATCTATACCGCCGCCGTATCCAAACGACGACAGCCAAATGCCTTCCGGCACCACCGGGGACATCAATATCGAAGCTTTTCCGCCACCGCCACCGCCTCCACCGGAGCCTCAATCAAGCGCGCTCGCGGCCCTGCAAAAGGGCGGCGACTTGGAACGACGAGCCTCACGACGCTACTCACAGTATCAAATCTCGAAACATCTTGGCGCCGCCAATGCTGTTCCTATCCTGCCGCACCAAAACTCCCCTGTACCAAACCGCGGCCGCAAAGAAGCACGAGAATCATTGCATGCAGTCCAGAAACGCGAGTCTGTGCGTCACAGTCGTCATCAGTCAAGCCACTCCAAGTCTGTTCCCTCGCCAGCTCCCGCGATAATAACAGAGGAGCTCTCTGCGGATAACAGAAACAGAGTCGACAGTCCACTTGCGCAAACCCCGGAAAATAAATATGCCCCAAGTGCTACCTTGTCCGGCCCGCTGCCTGAGCCTCCGTACTTTGTTGATGAGCCAAGACGAGCAGAGCCAGAAACAAAAGCAGTCGAAAAGATTGAACAGATTCCAACTGCCCCAGAGTCCAAGGGCGATTCGTATTACCAAGTTTCACCTCCACCCACGCCGACAAAAGATTTGACGCTGTTCCTTCAGTACAAGTCCAAGGTCAAGAAGATCGTTCTGCCAGAGGGACGAAGCGAGCTCTCCATTGGGCGTTTGCAGCTCGCATTCATCGAAAAGTTCTCTTGGAATACACAGCATAATGGTACTGATTTGCCAGAAATTTATATTCAAGACCCTGTTTCAGGTATTCGACACGAACTGGAGGACCTTTCGGACGTCAAGGACCGCACTGTTCTCGTACTGAACATAGAAGCTCTGGACGAAGTCAAGCGTCACATCGATGATGGCATTTCAGGGTTGACCAAAATCGTACAGGATGTCCAAAATAATGTTCAAAGTCAGGCGGCAACTCTACAACGAGTTTCAGATAGGCAACAGGAAACTGCTGAAGAAGTCGCTCGCTTGGCATTTGCACCGCCTGTTGCTGTCCAATCTGCCGACGGATCCAAGGCTATTGTCAGCACTGGCCCGAGACTCGGTGCAAGCCACCTCGGGCAGATCCAAACCTTCCGCCGCGACATTGCCGTCCTGCGTCAAACCTATTCCAACTTTCAAGCCTCCATGGACGCTTCTATTGCCACCGTTCGGCAAAAGGCTGCAAGTGTCACGTCAGTGGCAGCGAGCGCTGTTCAGCCGGATATGGATGGAGATGGTGGATACTCCTATGTAACCAAGGGTCGCAAGAAACTTAACGCTGATTCCGATCGTTTGGTTGGCAAGGTAGACGACCTTCAAGATCTTATTGAGGATCTACGCAAAGATGTTGTCCATAGAGGCGTCAAGCCGCTACCTCGCCAGCTTGAGACTGTCAACAATGATATCAGCGAGCTCACCAAGGCCCTCAAGGCCATGGAAGACTACATGACCGAGGAGAAGCCCGTTTGGACCAAGATTTGGGAAAAGGAACTGGAGGACGTGTGCCAAGGCCGTGATGAATTACGCCTTATGGAGGACTTGATGGTTGATCTGCGCGACGACCTGGAAAAGGCCACGGAGACATTCGCCCTCGTCGAGCAAGCAATGAAGGAGCAAATGAAGGACAACGGCGCCGGGGCAAACGCGGGGACGTCACGCATGCTGTCCAGGGGCTTGAGCAACCTCGGCAACAGCCTGAACCAAAACGCGGCTAAGGAGGGGGTGCTGGGTGAGGTGCGTGCTCTGCAGCCGAACCATGAGAATCGGCTGGACGCCATCGAGCGGGCAGAAAAGCTGCGCCAGAAGGAGTTGCTGAGCCGCAGCGGCAACGAGCTACAGCGCGAGATTGCGAGCTTCGTGCACGATGGCAAGCTCAAGAAGTCGGGCGGCTTCGAGGAGGTCGAGCGCGCGCGGGTAGCTAAGGACGAGAAGATTCGCCGCGAGGTCTGGGAGCGCATGAATGGGATCATTAACGAGGACGATTATGAAGAGGAAGAAGAGGAGGAGGAGGAGGAAGGCGAAGAAGGTGAGGAAGGAGAGGAGTTTGAGGATGCAGAGACTGAAGTGACTTCGCCAATGGAAGGCGAGGCGCAACGACACTCGGGGGGTTCAGCGGCGGGTGCGGCTACGAATAAAGAGTAATGTGTAAAGCATTCGATATATATATTGGCGTGTTTTCTTAGTCCCTCTTAGGGGCACGAGGATCACTTACATAAGTTTAGCGGGTTATTTTTTTGGAACCGGGGTTTTTATACAGGAGTTGGGTTCACTTTTTGTGTTTGAAGGAGGATTTGGACATGGGACGTGAAGCGGAAGAGGCAATGGCTCCTATCACCCTGGCTGAGTCTTGTCTGGCCTTTTTATTTCCGCCGCTCTTTCTTTTCCACACTTGTATGCAACGCATGTTGAACCTGTATCCGCCTGTTTTTGGAATGAGTACCTGTTTTGTTCTCTTTATCGAGCGTGTTTTGGAGAGTGCATATGTATAGGTTTAATAGAAAGGGCATGGAGAGGGAAAAGCAGAAGAAATACATAATCCCGACCCGCCGTTGCAAGAAATATAAGCCATTTGTCACGGTGAAGCAAAAAGCCTGTGCTGCATAAATCATGGGCATTTGTTTCCATTTCCAAATAACAAACCATACATGCAACCTTTTCCTTTTTCCAGTCTCTCTCTACCCTAACAATGTAAGCTTGGACATCTTCTCCAACACCGGGGGCTCCGCCTTCTTCGACCTGGCCTCCATCCACTCCGCTAGGACCGCGTCGCCGCCCTTTGCGCGATATTGCTCGCCGTCCCCGGCGGCACCCTCCTCGCCCCCCGGAGTCTCCGCGTGGCCGGGCCGCGGCGACGGGAAGACCTGCGCGACGGCCAGCTCGGCAGCCTCCAGGACGTCCCTCATCAGCGCCTCGGCGTTGCGCGCGCGCTCGGCCATGCCGCGGCGGACGAGCGCGAAGACGAGGCGCTGGACCTCCACGCGGGCGGCGCCGACGCGCTCGACCAGCCGCCGCGTGCTGTTGACCAGGTACTCCTCCTCGTAGACGGTGCCCTTGCGGCCGCGCGCGCGCTTCTTCTCCTCGCGCCTGCGGTTCTTGCTCGTCGCGCGGCTGACCCCCGTGCCGGCGGTGCCGACGCTGCCGCCCGTCTTGCCGGTGTAGCGCGTGAAAAGGCTCGCGCCGGTGCTCAGGCGCGAGCTGGCGGCGACGGAGACGTCGTCGGGGACGTCGCCGCCGCCTGCGCGGTCGCCCTCGTAGAACGCGAGCGGATCCTCGGCGGCCTTGCGGCGCAGCTCCGCAATGCGCGGCACCTGCGCGCCGATCTGGGCCTTGCAATCGGCGAGGAACTCGGTGGTGCTGCCGAGCGCCTCGGCGAGGCCGGCGTCGACGGCGGCGTCGAGGAGCGCGGGCCGCTCGTGCTTGGCGACGAGGCGCATGGCTTCGGCGAACAGGTAGCCCTTGCAGAGGCACTTGATGGCCGTCTCGAGGGAGCCGAGATACTCGGCGTGGATCGTCGCCGCGGAGGCGTAGTCCTTGGCCTCCCAGAGCGCGTCGGCGAGGGCGGTGGCGAGCTGGCTCATGGCTTCGGCGGAGAGCGGCGGCGTCTGCTGCTGCGCGGAGAACAGACACTCCTGCCAGCAGGTGGCACCAGATGAGCGGTAGCAGCTCGTCGCCTTGGCATAGTTCTGGAGGGACTCGTAGGCCAAACCGGCCTCGCGGAAGGAGGACATGGACTCGAGATGCGCCGCGTACAGGTCAGTGATAGTGCGGAGTTGGGCTTGGTCGTAGCGGTAGAGGCGCAGCGCGTCCTGGTAGAGCTTGTGCTTGGTCGTGTAGTTGCAAAACTCGTCAAAAGAGTCGAGTGCTTGCAGGTGAGCAAGGGCCTTTGATCTGTGGCCGAGGTGGTCGTCAATCTCAAATTTACGTCGCAGCTCCGGCAGCGCGTGAAGAGTTTGGATGAAGGGTAGGTATTCGCGGGGATCGCGTTGTGACTGCTGGGCGACAAGGAGCGTAAGCTCGAGGTTGTACAGGCCGAGTGCGTTCTCATACAGTCGGTTGACATCAACAAGGAAGCAGATATGCTCAATGGCCTTTTCGGCAACCTTGGGGTCCTCCTTCATGAGCTCATACACCAGAGTGAGACCGTCGTCGAGCGCTGGGGGGCTCTTGCACACATGTGCAGTGATGATATTTTGTAGATTGGTGCTTTTGCGAGGCTGCAGGCTCTTGAGAAGAGCATCACAGACTATGTTGACCTTGCAGTCCGATGGCCTCATCGCCAAGCTGGCCTCCACTTCCGGAGAAGGTCCGCTGGCGGATGTCTTGTATTTCTTCGTATCTTGATACATGGTCTTCGTCACATCCTCTTCTTTGAGCGAAGATAAGAAGAGATCAATATAGGATATATCGTTGAGCTGATCCAAGAAAATGGGAACAGAAGCGAGAAACTGCTCAAACTTGTAATCACAAAGCACGTTCATGTCTACTCGCTGGGTTCTGCAGTAGGAAAAGGCTATACCATATTCCTTGGCGTCAATGAGGCGACGAATTCCGGCGAGCACCATTGCGCGAGGGTATATTGTCTCCAGATTACCTCGCGGCATTTGTAGAACAATACTCATGTTCGTCGGCATTGCCGTTACTAGGCGTGATCCACGTTCAACGCTCCGGCATCGTTCGTCCTTTTCAGGATCATCGCCAGGGACTTCCAACTCTTCCACATCGTCCATGAGATGAACATATTTGACAAAATGATTGCTGGTCGTAAAGATGAGATGGTGCGGTGTGAGGATGAAGGATGTGCAGTTCTTGGCCAGTTGCCTTGAGTTTGCATAAATGTGACCGTTTCGTGAGAGACCAAATGCAATGACAACACCTTCGCCCGATTTGCAAGTCTCAAAAGATGGCAAGATTGAAGGGAACTGGATTCCCAATGGTTCGGTAGATGTTGCAGAAATCTCGTACAACTTACCAGAGGAATCCTGGCCGTATCCCTCGATCTTTGAATTGTCATCATACGTTGCAGTGCTGAGGAGACGCGTGGGGGTCTCTTGAGGAGGTTCCAAGTTTTCGTCATCAGTGCTTACGGCAGCACTGACGAATCTTTCGCCTTGGTAGGCGAACAGACGATAACCTGTTGACGTAGCGACAATTCGGAGTGGTAAGAAGTATTCCGCATGCTGTAGGGAAAGTGGTAGCTTTTTCACCAACTTTGGTCTGCCAACCCTGCCATTGTTACAGGGCAGATCGTAGAGATCAACGGCATGGTGGTGAAGAATGGCGAACGAGCTACTCCAGTGGCCAAATGCAACATCGATTGCCGATGATCCGGTCTCAATATCGCAGAAGGACATGGGAGGAGGAACGTTTGCAGTCCTAAACGGAGTAAGTTTGACAGTTGATCCGTCAATCACGGCGACGGCACCAACGTCGTAAGGTTGTTGGCAGGACCCTCGAGCGGAATGCAATACCTGTTCGGCCACCACAAGCCCGCTCCCAGTTGGGAACGCCAGTCGCAGTGCTCTTTCGGGATGCCACGCTAGCGTGGGAGTGCCCCCGACATCTCTTGGTATCTCCTGCTTCAAATACCAGTGATAGTTGCCCATTGTCCACAACTGTATCGTCTTGCTTAGGATGACAGCCAAGGTGGTGGAATCAGTGTTCCATTCTAGTTGGATGTTGACGCATGAATTCACATCTTCAAGAGAAGAGCGTAGAGTGAACTGGCCGTGACGAAGGCCGTTTCGTTCGAAAAAGACAACATCGATATTGTCCTGTAGTCGCTGAATGCCAGCCATCAGATTGCCCGATGGCCGCCAGCTGAGACTACTCTCGAGGTGATCAACAGGCTCGCTAGCGCTATCGAGTTCGCCTTCTCGAGAGTACACTCGGATCACTCGGCGGGAGCCGTCTTGGACAGAGTTGATGGCAACATAGGAGCCGTCTCCTCGCCAGCTGATTGTTGTGGCACCATTCTCGTGCTGGCTGGGAACACCCTCGTCCACCTTTTCGGGAATGGTGGGATCACGAAGAGCCTTGGCGCCTCGGCCTTGAAACTGAGTCTCCTTCTTGCCCCAGCCAACAGAGACGTGCTTGGATGCTCGAAGGTCCTCCGCTGTCAGGGCAACCTCGGCGACGGGATCCAGAGAGCTCCCCATGAAGATGGCATTGTTTGCCTTGGTGACGACGACGAGAAGCTCTTCGTCGGGAGACCACCTAGCTGCAGAGATGCCATCATCGATGGACCCGACGATTTCAATGTGAGCGTCTTCGCCGCCAAGTTGATCCTCCTTGACCGTAATGATGTCACCTCCCTCCAGAACAAGACATATCGTTGCGGTGCCGCTTAGATACTGAATGTTGAGGATTTTATCTACTGGAAGATCGGGATTGGGACTTGGAGCATCCCAATTGGTGACGGGGCGTTGTGATCTGTTCCTGGTCAGCATTGACTGTACTGTCTTATACATACATAATGGTGCAGTGCTGACTCACAGACTTTGTCCTTCAGATACCCGGAGCAGCTGTATTGTGGGATTTTGGACAGTTGGGCCAACCGTGCAAATAACCTCGTCCGTCTCAGGATCCCAGCATGCGGCAGTTACATCAGCCTGAGCCACACGACCGAATCGAAGGTTTCTTAGATTGCGCATCTTGTTCGTTTGACATGGGCTGGTGGGTAGAGCTGGGTGGCTGCCGCGAGCCGAGTCTCGCGTTGATTCCCACTCTACAGGGAAAGGGAAAACCCGGGTAGAAGAAAAAAAGGATGATAGGGTCCAGATGCCTGGTCAAATCGGAATGAGACAGTTTGGGAACGAAATCACAATGCGTGATGTGTGGATGCTGTTGAGCCACAAGATCTTTTTGCGAAACTCGACCATTGCCATTGGCCAGCGGAAAGACGTCAAATTCAGCACCTGTAGCAGGCGCCTTGTGAGCGCTGTATGCCCTGCACTGGACGGAGTCGAGCGCTACAGGGCCCGCAACCCGGCAACTCCAGGCGGTAAAATTTTTCGCTACAGGGGGTACAGGTCACGTGGAGCCACTGCATGGTTGGACAGGTAGGACAACGCAAGGAGCGCTGCCTTGTTCCTTATTTTCCCCTTACTAAAAGAGAAAAAAAATCAACTGAAAATTCTCACATGCCTTATGCAGATACAACCTGAGTGACGACTGATAAACTCTGATACTGCGGCTGTAGCTTGACTTTTTAGCCAAGCCGATACAACCCGATTGTGAAGTTCGCTATCAACCGTCAGCCACAGACTCGGGTAGCTCTCCAGCACTGGATGCATTGCGCTGTCGTTAATATTAGAGCCCAAGCTATACCCCCAGTGGCAAAGTCGAGTCAAGTGGCGTCAGTTGTGCCAGGAAACAGGAGAGTCGAGAACTAAAAAGAAAAGTGAGGCTGCATATCTAGCGTTGCGCATCTCATCTAGCCTTGTGGTAGTTGGGATTGAAACGGTACCTGCCGTGATGGAGGCAAACCGAGGGTGCTGTCTGCTCAGAAAGCGGTCGACACATTTACAACATAGATCTGGGTTCGATGCTCTCCCAGGCAGTTATCTTGTTAGCACTATCCGTATGTTATTCTTAGTGCCTGTGATGTTCCCCAGCTTTTAGGTAGAATTCCACCAGTCGCTGGGGTCCGCCTATCAGCGAGCTCACTTTGCCAAGCAGAACCGCACCATGCTCATGGTAAAAGTCGGGAGGACTCCCGCATCAAGCGAGGATCAATTCTGGAGCCCAGACTCGATCCTCATCACCATGCAGCTAATCAGGAGACTGCCCACCTGTTGGGTGGCTGGCCGGTCGCCGGGTGGTCTCGCCTGAGCACTAATGTTAGGTAACTACCACTGCGCTGCACCGTCACCGCATTAGTTGGTTTGTTAGTCTCAACGAAAAAGTCCAGCCACGGTTGAGACTTGCTTGAGCTTGCATAGCCGCTCCCTCCCGTCCTCTCGCCGCCCACATCGGCCGACCCGAGGCAACGAAGGCTTGATTTTTTCCCTCTGCAACCCCCTCATTGACAATTCATCGCTTGTATAAAATCATTGCTCTTCTCTTTCTAACTCCACATTCGTCATTCAATTTGAAACTCAACACTTGACCATCTCCACCTCCACCGCCCTCTGTTTGTTTGTCACTGCTGGTCCACGCCTGGCACGACACTGTCTCGCCTAGCATTGCTGGCTTGTATCCTGAGCAAGACAGTGGCGGGAAAAACAAGTTCAACTTCCCCTTATCAACAACTCCAATCCATTGCACATCACACCCCGTCAGCGAGATGGACTTGGCCTACAACCAGCACTCGGACCGCGCCCGGCGCAAGAACCGCTCCTCCACCAACATCAACCACCTCACGCTCGCCCCGCTCACCGTCAAGCTCCCGCTCACCGACCCAGACTCCATCGCCGACCTTGCCCGCGGGCCCGTCACCTCGTCCTACCTCGAGGGCAAATCCGCCCCGACGACGCCGCGCTTTCTCGGCCACGCCGCCGCCACGCCGCGCTCCCGCTCCCAGCACCGGTATGACGGCGAGCTCATCACCAAGAGCCGGTCCTCGACCAACCTCCTCAGCACTCGACGGCCGGGCGGCTCCGGCGCCTCTACGCCGCGCAGGCGACGCGCTGCCGGAGCCGTTGACGACCCGACGACGAATACCCTCACAAGCCGCCACCGCAACGACAGCGACTGGTTGCTGCGCACCGGCGCGCTCATGAGCGCCGAGGCCCGCGAGTCCAAGGGCCAGGCCTGGCTCGTCTCCCGCCAGAGCTCCACGAGCCTCGCCGGCATGCGTGGCGGCGCCGACGACACGGGGGACGACGCATTCTTCGAGCAGGAGCGCCGCCGCGGCAGCACCGACGACGCCTCGTCCCCGGCCGCCAGCCGCCGCACCAGCCGCTTCGCCAGCCGCGCCCACAGCATGGATCACCACCACGGCCACTTCCGAAGTAGCAGCGCCGTCCTGACGCCCATGGACCCCGCCGCCGCCGCCGCTGGTGACTCGTACTTTCCCGCCACCGACGCCATCTCCGGCCCGGACTTTGTCAACCTCGACCAGAAGCTCGAGGAGCTCGGCGCGCGCAACAACAACAACAACGAAGACGACGAAGACGACGAGCTTGATGACGAGGCTGCTATTCGCCGGCTTATGCGCGAGGGCAAGGCTCTCAAGGGCTCCTGGATCGCGAGCTTCATCGGCTGGTCGCTGTTCGAGGAGGACGGCGAGGAGGACGATGATGAAGAGGAGGACGAAGACGACGACGAGAAGGACGGCGCGCGCGGCACGCAGACACCGAGACACGTTCAAGGCATCACAACCTTGCCGTCAGTCAAGCTGACCCCGCCCAAAGAAGGTGAGAGCAGCTGGAGCGACGCCGCTTGGCTGCTTAGTCTTGCATCCAAGGTTATCTTCTAGAGTCGCCCTTCTCCTGTGCTGGTTTTTTGTTTGTTTTCTACACACGATAATTAGAAGCAGCTCCACATGCATCGCGAAAGAGCAGTGTTAGGCCATGAGGTTTACGGTGGTATTTGTGTATATTTTATTAGCTCTTCACACATAAAATAGCGTTAATTATTCTTCAGTAAGCTTTTCGAGAGAGTATATCAGCTTAGACTTTTAAAATCTACGGCTTGTGTTATCTTAGAGTTAAGTTCCTAACTACTGAAAAGTACCTAGGGTTGGGTCACCTAGGGTCAGGGTCAGGGTCAGGGTACCTGCTCAGCGCACTCTGGGCTGCTGGTCCCGCAGCTGTCCTCGAACAGCACAGTTTCGAAGCCCTTGTTGGAGGCGTCCTACAGGGTCGCTAGGACGCACTGGTCCATTTTAGCGCCTACGAAGAGTACCTTCTTGATTCCCTACAAGAACGCCTCCATGCCGCTTGTGTCGTGGGGCCCTCAGAGCCCAGACATGCGGTGCCTGTGGAAGCGCACTTCTTGGCGGGCCGCGCCGTGGCCATCTCGGAAAACAGCCTCGAGACGCCCGTGCAACCTCGTGTTACACTGGTCACGCATCGGCATCCTCCCTGCCTTCACCATAGAGCCGTCATCAAGCTCGACGCGGACAAGCTCTGCTCCGATGAAGCCGTGGGCGGTGCTGAACAGCCAGAAGTTGGGCGGATGGCCGACGACAATGCGTGACGGAATGCATCGCGAGTTGCAGTGGCGGAGGCGGGATCCCTGGTGACGGCTGCCATGCTGAGACTGGCGCTACAGAAAAGACGGCTCAACCGCAAGCAGTGGAAATACTGTAGCGCTTACGGTTGTGCCCTAGGGCATTTCTGTATTCATGCTTTCTGTGTGACATTCTGGCGGCTGCATAAAGCCTTTAATGGCCGTTGATTGGCAGCTGTGCTGTGTAACACGAGCTGTTAACTTAAACGCAACTTGTCAAGGCCCTGCTCCTCCTAGGTCGGTTCTCTGAAAAGCGAGAACTTAAATGTTTGGCCTAAATTCGAAATCGCTCTAGTGAGAGTAGAATTAAATTTTGGGTTGGATTTGAAGCAGTACAAGGCCTGAGGTGCCCGCGCAGTGATCTTTTCGTTTATCACTACAAAGTAGCATAATCGTATTGTTGTCGCCATGAATCCTCACAAATCTGATTGGGTTTTATTTGTTAAATTCATGCGTAACTAGAAACAGGACCCAACTGCGGCCGTGTCTCGTGGCTGCGAATCTGCACAAGGGTTGACAGGGACGATGGGGGCTACTGTAGATCTCGTTTATGTTAAGTAGCTAAGCGAATGAGGGAAGAGACACAAATGCCGATTTGGGGGAGTCAGAAAACATGGCGAGATTCATTTTACGCCTCAGATAGACGAGGCGATCGTGAATCCAGAACTGGGAGATGTATCTGTATGTATGATAGGTTTATCTGGCTGGTGGCTGAGAGACAGTGACGTCAGAGGTGTGAGCCCGGTTATAGTGGATTGATCTCTCCAACTACATGGCGAATAACACTTCCCAAGATGTTAATGGTAATCAGTATTTTGCCACTTCTAACTAGATTTTCCAATAACTAACTAGTGTATTGCTTCAATATTGCCGAGATTTTTATGGCCTCCTCTCGTGGTCAGCTGTTGTATTGCCTGTACCTTGCCTTGCCTTGGTACTTCTATTATAGGTCCACTGCTCAATAGCTGAGGAAGAGGCTGGCGCAGATGACCCCTGTAGCGGTGTATGGCGCTGTCTGATGATTCCTGAGTGGTATTGAAGATGACTTTTTCTCGTACAGACATTTTGCGAGATGGTGATTCACAAAGATGTCGGAAGAACCTTTGAGTGTTCAGCGTTCGTTTACCTATGTAGCTACCTGGGTACCTACACAGATACCTTGAGAGTTGGTAGTCACGTGTCAGGTCCCTACCTACCCGTTAGGCGGGCTTTGTGAGGCCATGCCTCTTCAGATACATAGGTGCAGCCGGATAAGGTACGTTGGCTTGTGCAACTAACAAGATCCCAAGACTCCAACTGTAGGTACCAACCAAATCTGCCTTCTCACCAGCGAAAGTTCGACGTTGGCGGTCAACGTATGTAGGCCTAGCCTGCTTAAGTAGGTACATGCGGCCTCCCGCTGAATCCGCTGTCAAGTTTGCCTTTGGCTCTTGATTAGTTAGGCGGCTAGGAGGTACTTGGCGAAATCGCCCCAAAAATCGAGAACGCCAGCTTTTTCGCCTCTGTCCCTCCCTCCCTCCAACCAACCATCAAGGTCCTCATACTAAGGCCGCTTGCATGACCATCATAAAGGTCAGCAATAAATTCACGGCGCGGCAGCCGCAGCCACGCACAAGGTGACACACTCATTGTTCGATCCCACCTTATCAGAGTCAGGAGGACGGGTGCCTGAATCCTTCTCCATACTCTCCTGGGTTTCTTGATGTGGCTTTGATCATCGTCTTTTTTGGTCTTTGTTTGCCATCTTAACGTCGACCCTTCCACTAGCTCTCTCGGTCATCACTGGCTCGCCGCTTCTTCCTCCCTTGACGCACGCTGCCCTGCCACAGACCGCACCGCCGAAACCTCAAACCGCATCACCCACCAGCTTCCAGCGCGCTTCGAAAACCATCTCGTGTTTTGCTGCAAAGCAGAAGCGCTTTCCGAGCGCCAACTGCTGCCCGCCATGGCTGTCGCCACCGGCCTTGACAACGACGTTCGCGGATGGATCTTGACCTTCATCAGCGGTATTGGTAAGCCTCCCTACGCTACATAGCAACACCAACCACAATACTGACACCTTGCGCAGCCTGCATTTTTGGAGCGAGCGTCGTCTGTGTCGATGTCCTTGTACGCATGCTACCAGGCAAATCCAACTTTCGCATTCAAGAAAGCAACGCCTTTCTCGCCTGCTCCCTCAGTCTAAGCTTCGGCGTCATGGTACGTTTCGCCTTTGGCCCGGCGGCCTCCCCCCGCTCCCTGCTGCTCACACTTTCTTCCCGTTCAGATGTTCTCCTCGCTATATAGCATGCTACCAGAAGCTAGAGACTACCTCAGAGGCGAGCACTGGAATGATCACACCGCCGGCCTGCTCATCATGGGCTGCTTCATCGGCGGCTTTGTTGGCATTCAGGCTGTGTCTCGATTTCTGCACCAGCACATGCCCTCTCACGTCGTCGATTGCGACCATACCCACAAGGACTCGTCCCCTCTCGATGACGAGTTTGACCATGAGCCGAACGGTCACAGCCACGCTCAACACGGTGAGACGTACAACTCGGCGTCGTCTGCCATGTCACACAGCAGACGTTCACGCTTACCGTCACCCTATGCGCAAGCGCACTACCACGCGCAAACATCAAACGGGCTCGTCCATGACCAAGCCGGCGAGACCACGCCGTTGCTGCCAACCTCGAAACACGCCACGGCATCCTCCCGCGGTCGCGGCCGCGCCAGAACAGAGGACGTCGAAGGCCCTCGGAGACCATCCATGCTCGAGGTCCAGAAGCGGGTCATGTCCTTTGTCAAAGATACCAAGTCGCACTGCGACGAAGAAGGCTCCTGCTATGGCTACTCTGACCCCTGTGGCCAGGAGTGCTTCAAGCACATTTCGTACCGCGCCGTGAAGTCTAGCAGATCACAGACCCGACTACGAACGACTATGGGCTCTATCCACCCGCCGCACACGTTAACGAACCTTGAAACCGACGTTGACTACGCCGACTCTCTCGTGAGCCCCATGTACCGCACCAGCCGCGCCACATCCCGCGATGCCGTTCTGAGACCTCCTGTCGAGAGCGTCCACGAAGACGACGAGGGGCATCCTGGCAACGCAGACGCCCACGATCATGTGAGTGAAGCTGGCCACAACCACACCTCCTGTGCTGCAAGCCACGCCGAGGACCCCGAGGCGCAGCAACAACAGCAGCACCATCACCACGTCCCCACCAACGCTTTCCTCTCCATCGGCCTGCAGACATCCATCGCCATCACGCTGCACAAGCTACCCGAGGGTTTCATCACGTATGCCACGAATCACGCCAACCCGGAGCTTGGCTTCAACGTCTTCATGGCCCTCTTCGTGCACAACATCACCGAGGGCTTCACAATGTGCCTGCCCCTATACATGGCCCTCGGCTCGCGCTGGAGGGCCATGGCTTGGTCCGCCCTGCTCGGCGGCCTCTCCCAACCCTTTGGCGCCGGCATCGCGGCCCTATGGTTCAAGCTCGCCAATAAGACGAACATCCAGCCCAACGCTGTCGCCTACGCCTGCCTCTTCGCCGCCACCTCTGGCATCATGGTCAGCGTCGCCCTGCAGCTTTTTGTGGAGGGCCTGAGCCTCAACCACAACCGCAACCTGTGCATGTTTTTCGGGTTCCTCGGCATGGCGATTCTCGGGCTGTCCAATGCACTCTTTGCGGGGCATTAGACTAGGAATTGCGACAGGAAAGGGGTGTAAAATGGGCAAGAGGCTGTTAATAGCGGCATGAGAATTCTGTATTTCGTTTTGCCTCTTCTTTTTCAAGCGTACGAACTTGCATATCGAGCTCACGAACAAAGGGCTTTGCGTTTAGGTTTTTTTTTCGGCATAGACTGGGTCGTTAGTTCCTCTACTGTTAAGAGAGAAGGCTGTAACAGTAGCTTTTTAACCCCCATAAAAATTTGCGATGCAATGTGATGAGAGATGAATCATCGAATCATTTGTTATTTCTCTTCGTCTACATATCTGACGGTGTCTGTGCATTATATCTCTGCTAAAAAAAATAGAGAAAGAAAACTTTTCATCCATTTGTAGTCCGTAAAAACCCCATAAATACGCCTGTGCTATATGCAACCATGTCTGTTTCAGCCATGAGAATGCAGTCGGAATCATCCGACATGCCAAGAATCTCTTCTACACCCTTGAAGACGAGGAGAGCGTGAGAGCAAGAAGGAAAAGAAAGGAGAAAGAAGGACAAAAGTCCAACTCCTATACACTGCCCAACGTAGGATCAATGGGGGTTTCCAACGCGGGCGAGTCGCGCGCCAGCATCATGATGCCCAACTGGTCGTCCAGCCACTCGTCGCGCGGCGCGCCGTAGTGCATCTCGGCAGCAAAGACGCCATCGTCGCTGCCTAGCATCCCGCCGGCCTCAATGAAGTGCCCCTGGTCAAGACCCTCGGCACTCTCGGCAAAGAGCCCCTCCGGGGCGGCCACCACGTGGGTGGCGGCGACGTGCAGCTCGAGGTCGTAGTACCGAGCAAACGCCTGCGGGCAGTGAGGGCAGGCGACGGTCTTCTTGCTCTGCGTGCGGACGCCGGAGAGCTCCTCAATCAGGTCCTCCGCCGTTGCGCCCTCGCCGTCCGAGGTGGGCGGAGGCGCCGCGGCGGGCGGTGGTTTGGCCGGCCGCTCCTGGCGCAGGTGGACGTAGCGGACGTGGTCCTCGAGGCGGACCTTTGTGCAGAACTTGTCGCCGCAGCCGTCGGCGTTGCGCCACGCGTCGAGGCCGGCCACGCCGGCGAGGTCGACCTCGCCGCAGACGAAGCGGAAGCCGTCGTGGGCGATGCGCTGGTGGGCGCGCAGGTTGGAGCGCTTGGTGAAGCTCTTGGCGCAGCCGGGGCGGTCGCACGCGTGCGCCCGGCGGTCCTCGAGCGTCTTGCCCGAGTGGCGCGCGTCGACGTGGGCGACCATCTCGGCCTGCGACGACGACCGGAACTCGCAAAACATGCAGTCCTGGTGCTCGGCGCGCATGTGCGCCTGCAGCAGCGCCTGCGTGGTGAAGCCGATGTGCTTCTCCTCGGACCCGTCCGGGCCCGGTGACACGGCGCAGTCGCTGCACCAAAACTTGAGCTCGCCGTGGACGCGCTGGTGGTGCCGCTTGAGGGCCCCCTTGGACTCGAACTTGGCGTCGCAGCCGGGCTCGGCGCACTGGTGCGGCGCCTCACCGCGGTGCGCCTTGAGGACGTGCTTGTGCAGCGTCTCCTTCTTGCGGAAGCTCTGGCCGCACTCGGCGCAGCGGAAGCGGTCGGCGCCCTCGTGCACGGCCTGGTGCCGCTTCAGCCGGGTGCCCGTGACGAAGGTCTTGCCGCAGCCCTCGCGCGGGCAGACGTGGCTGCGCTCGTTGGTGTGCACCGCCTTGATGTGCTGCTTCAGGTGCTTGTCCTCTATGTAGTCCTTATCGCAGCCCTCGTAGGTGCACTTGAAGGGCCTTGAGTTCGTGTGGGAGTTGAGGTGGTCTCGTAGTCGGGCCGGTCGGTTGAAGGTCTTGGGGCAGCCGGGCCAGGTGCACGGCAGCGTCTTCAGGTCGGAGGGGAACCGGGCCCGTGGTGTCGTGGCGACGGTCAGGGGGGAGTCAACATCTCCTGCGAAGGAGTTGGGCGTCTCGGCAGTCGTGATGTCGTCTTCGCCGGCGTCTATAATCGGGTCTACGAACAACAGGTCAGAGCGGGACGGAAACCTCGGTACGATGTTGATTAGGCCATACAGGTGCTGTCGAGCGTGTCATTGTGCGGTCGCTTGGCAGGGTATGCCTCCAGCGACTCAGTTTCGGCGCTTCTCTTATTCATAATGCGTTCATGTTGTCCTGGAGATGGACTCGAGGTGACAGGTTTGGATGTGGCAGAACAGAGAGATTTAAGGCGGTGTCAGAAAAAAAGTTTGTGGGGCTTATCTTTGTGACGATACTGTGGTGGGTTCTTGGATCTAAGATTGAGGGCGTTCTTACTGTTGTTGATACATGTCTTGGAATTATACGTAAATAAAATCTAAAATATTCTCTTAATTCATAAATCTCTCTAAGAGCCAGAAATATTCTGTCCTTGCTACTGTAATATGTTGTGCCCTATTTGCGGAGAATTTCATGTTGCGTAACAGCGTTGCTGGTGCACCGCTGACAGCGTTGGAGGGTCACGCCGGAAAAACTCTAGCACGCCGAGAAGATCCAGGCGTGCCATTTTTTACCAAGCGCTTTCGCAACACATTGACGAGACCCCAATCCACCAACCAAACCAACCTCGACCGCGGCCTAACGATTCGGGGGCACGAGACTCGCTAAGTTTTTATTCTTTCAAAAGGAATTTTGGAAATGTCCGACTTTGGCGATGATGATGTCGGTGGTGGCGGGTAAGTTGTCGCGCGCAGGCGCAACCCTTCGCGCGACTTGCGCCAAAGGCAACCTTTATACTGCAGCCCGGTATTAATTCAAATCATCCGGCAGTGACGATAACGTCTTCGAGGAAGAAGATGTGACCGAGTTCTACGAACCCGAGGTCGCTGAGGGGGACGAAGACCAGGATCAGCTCGAGAACGGCGAGGACCAGGACAACATTGTCATCTCGGGGGACCCTTCCGCGGCCGCCAACGCGATTCGCGCCGACAAATCCAGCAAAGACAAGAAGATTCCCGACTCGGAGCGCAATACGACACCATACATGACGAAATACGAGAGGGCGCGTATCTTGGGTACCCGCGCTCTGCAGATTAGGTACGGCGACACCCATGCAGGATGGCCGACGAGAGCCGCATGGCCGAACAAAGCTAACGTGTTCATGACTGCAGCATGAACGCCCCTGTACTGGTCGACCTGGAAGGCGAGACGGATCCTCTGCAGATCGCCATCAAAGAGCTTCGCGAAAAGAAGATTCCTCTGATTGTGCGACGATACCTACCGGATGGCTAGTACGTTTTTGTCCGCCGACTGGCATTGTTCTTTACAACTAACCCTCTTTCACAGCTATGAGGACTGGACCTGCGAGGAACTTCTTCAGTAGACTTCCTGAACGGGAACCACAGCGGTAAACAGCAACCGCGACGATGACTACGAGCTCCCTCCGATACTCGATCTGAGATGCCCACGAGTGCCCCAATACCAGCACGCCGTTTTCATTGGCTTCGAGAAGGGATATTCGGGGGAAAGGCAATGGTGGCCACAAACCGGTTCGCACGCCTCCGCTCTGCCTTGCCTCTCGGGGCATGCCAACAGAGCACTAGGGAAGGCTTGTCCAGCCGGCCTTTTATGAATGCATGAGCGCGGCGTTACCGAACCATAGAAAAACACAGTTTGTTTTTTGTGTACCTTTTATCTTTATTATACTAGATATGTCGATTTGTATACCAAACGGGAAATAGAGAAGCAAATCGAGGTTACGGCGACCATGAAGCCGTGGGTCTCGAGCTAATATGCAAGTCTGGCCAAGGAGAGCAACTAACTTACGTATCTTGATTTATCCTGATGTTTATATGTACGTCTATCACCTTGTCCACCACTCTGCACCTATGCTGCCCTATGTTCATGTTTTTGTAGAGTTCATGGATTACACTTCCCCCCTGCCCGCGCACCTGGATCCCTGGGCCTGTGGTTGGAAGCTGCTGTCACCAGTCACTGCCTCTCTGACTTCTATGTACATACATACATACATACATACATACATACAGATAGCTACTGTGGCTAACAGCTATCCATTTATTAGCCTTCTAAATCTAAACACATCAACTTCATCGACGCCAGCTTCTTCTCTCATCAAGTCAAACTCTGGCATGACAACCCGCAATCTTCTAGCCGGTCCCATTACTCTTTCTGCTGCAAAGCTTAGGGGTGGAAATGTCATTCACGCCCTACAATTTGTAGAGCAGAAGCAGGCTTTCCGTAGCCTAGTGGAAAGTCAGAGCAATCGCCTCGCCCACATCGTCACGCATCACCTCGGGATCGATTCCGCCAAAGTCCTCATTTCTGGCCAAGAGTACTGGTCTAATGGATCCTTTAATCTTTGCGTGCCCGTCTTGGTTGACAACTCGGCAAGCCCGGCTCTACCACGGTTTGTCATGATTCGCTCTCCATTGCCGTACCGCGTCGGCGACAAGGCCTTTCCTGGCAATTCCGATGAAAAGACCAACTGTGAGGCGGCAACATATGCATGGCTGCAAGAGAACTGCCCTGACGTCCCCATACCTCGTCTCTATGGGTTCGGGCTTTCTAGTAACAAACGGGTAATTGTCTTGCCTATCCGATGCATTTCTTGTACTCTGACGCCATTTCTTGATCCAGTTTACGAATCTTGATCATCGACCCTGGTGGTTACGTTGGCTTCACGCGGCTCGATGCCGTGTCCTAACTGCTCTTCGTTTCAAACTGCCGTCTCGATATTTACCATATCCCTCAAACCATCTCAATGGCTTTAAGCTTGGGTACCTGCTCATTGAGGCCATTACCGAGGCGGAAAGCCACATGCTTTCACGATCATGGGATAAGATAAGGACAATACTCAACTACGATCGAATCTGCAGCGAGACCTTGCCAGAATAATGCTCTCAGTATCGAGCGTTCCCTTGCCACGTATGGCTCCTTTCGACTGGATGATGCAGGATACTTGCACCTGGATAACCGCCCTCTCAATGTCCTGCTGACGGTGCAAGAAAACGAAGGACTGCCCACAAATATGTCGAGGCACAAAACTTATTCTCGCGTCAGCGATTTCGTCATGAGCTTCATAGGCGCCTTTGAAGAGCGGCTACTGGGCCAGCCAAACGCAATCATGAACCGCGAGGACGCATTGAATCAAATGTCCAGCCTGATGTACGCCAAAACTGTGCTCCCCCAGTTGCTCCAGAGCAGATATGAAGAAGGCCCCTTCGTGTTTGCGTTGACTGATGTCCATAGGAGTAACATCTTTGTGGATGAACACTGGAATATTTCCCGCATCATTGACCTCGAATTTGCCTGTTCATGGCCCATCGAGTTCCTGCAACCACCATACTGGCTGGACGGCAGATGCATCGATGAGATTGATGCTACCACATTCGCTCCGTATCACGCAGAGTTCCTCGAGCATCTCAAACGCGAGGAAATGATTCGTGAGGACACAGCAAACCGGGAGCCCTTGTCCTCGATGATGCAGCGATCCTGGATACAAGGGGACTTCTGGGTCACGTTGGCCGTTGCAGAACCTATTGCCTTTACAACTATATTTTTCAACCGTATATTGAAGGGGTTTTTCGAAATCTCCCAAGATGAATTGGAAAAAGCGGACAACTGGGAGATTGCCCGCCTATGGCGCAAAAACACATGCGACATCATCCACAAGAAGCTCAAAGACCGAGACAGGTACTTGGAAGAGCTACGTTGCATCTTCGCTGATAATGTCTAGCATACACCACAACCCCCGCGAAGAGTATAGCCGCTAACTTTTTGCTCTTCTTGGGGGGTGTCGGGGGCCGCGGTTGACCTGGTCCGCCCTTGCTTGCCACCTCGGCAGCGTGGCGGCGCTTGGTTCGCCACGTATCTTGGTGTGGCCGCCTGGCTGCTCGCCTTTGCCCTGGCGGCCGCGATCCCGGAGACGCGCAGCGGCGTGGCAATCGAGCGCGTGGGAGAGGAGGAGGAGGGGGCGGTTGCCGTGCGAAAAGACGGCGGCACGAGGGAACACAGTTGGTGGGACCTGCGGTACTTTGTATGCAGTGCAGTGAGGCAGGCGAGCATGGTGGTCAATGTCATCTTCCTGATCCATGCTGGGCATCCTGCTCCTCAGCGCCGACTTCACCACTTCGGCCCGGGCAGGCGCGGTCCTTCTGCAGCAATATGCTTCCAAACGCTTCGGGTGGGCCATGGCCGAGACGTCATTCCTAGCCTCCGTCAAGGGCGTCGTCAGCCTCTTCCTCACGGCGGTCGTTCTTCCCGCCGTCAGCCAGGTCTTGCTGGTACGGTTCAGGCTACCGCCCATGATCAAGGATTGGTGGATGACCATCGGTAGCCTGTGTGCCGCTGTCCCTGGGGGTGCCTGTCTGACCGTCGCGGGGAGCAGCACCCTCTTCGTCACCAGCCTAGTCATTCTTCAGCTGGGCGGCGGCTATGAGTTCACGTTTGGCGGCATGACGTCGGAGATGGTGGACCCGTCTCATATTGCCGTGCTCTTTACCGTGCACTCCGTCTTCATGATGCTGAGTGAGGTCGCGGCTGGTGCCGTCCTCGCTGCCGTCTTTAGAAAGGGCCTCGAGCTCGGCAATGGGTGGAAGGCTTTGCCGTTCTTTGTCGCAACCATTCTATTCTGCGTGACATTGGTTATTACATACTCTGTGCGACTGGGTAAGCACTCGAAAAGGTAGTTGATAAGCGAGTGAGAAGGGGTAGCCTTTCAACCCTGCTTAATCTACCTCAATTCTATCGTTGGCTGTGTCGCCATACAGAAGTCTCCCCAATTCGGATAGCCTCACTTTGTAGCAGCTCTTTGAAATAGCACACCGTCTCCTGGTGTATCCTGCAATGTTGGGACCTGGGTTCTTTGGTGCTCGTATCTGTGGTCAAGCGATCAAGGGCCCACGGGGGGATAATAGTAAGCACCCATCACGACAACATGGATGCGAATCCGATTTGATGCTACCGAATCAAGTAATTGACGACATGTGCCTCGTATTTGTACGGCCACATCTAAGCCTTACACGGAGTGGTCAAATAGCTAGCCGCCTTAGTATCAACGGGATGTGGCATGTATCCAAGAATCACAAACGCCAGGTAAGTGTAATAAACTCTCTGCTTATTAACTAGAGGTCTGAGACCGATGACGTCGTCGGTCGGGACGGTTGGTGTAACCTGCTGAGCAATTGCTACCAGTTTGAGCATCTTCAACTTGCAAGAATATTCTGTCAAGAAATTGAATAAATAGAATTGGTCAATCGGATAATTGAGCAATCAACTTCAGTGTACCCCAGGTCTGTCGCAGCGGCCTACCCGAGTCCACGGGCAGGGAGCATGACAGTAGGGGCTTTGCACATTGTATGGGTGTGTGGCCCGTTCCTCGGTTGGAAAAGGGCATAAGGTTGCCCAGAAAAATATCCAACGAAATAAAGGTGGTATGACGCAGGACTGTGCAACATCTTGTTCCGTGCAGAAACAGATTATACGAGGTTGTCCAAACTATAAATGCGCGGCGTGCCCCAGCCTCATGACAAGACAAAGTCAGTCCTTCGATACTCGAAATACCCTGCGAAACAATAGGTCATTTTAATACCTTGAATTCCGAATTCGCATCGTTAACCACCTAAAAACCAGCTCCTCCGCGAAACTACACGTCATCCTACCATCAGTACAATGAAGTTTGGCACCCTCGCTGTCACTGTCTCTTCTCTGACAGCCGTGTCCGGCTCGCCTATCGAGAAGCGCGAAGTCGGTGGCGTACGTTGCTCCCGATTACCCTTCCCAACCTAGCCCATCCATGCATCCATCGCTCTACGACACCCCAACTAACACAATCGTTCCCCAGGTCCTCATCTGCACCGGAGCCAATGCCACCGGCGACTGCGTCTACAAAAAGTACGAGCTCAACAAGTGCCAGCAGCTCGAGCCGCCCTTCCTCGCCAACGCGAGCACCTTTGCGCCCGACGGCGACGCCTTTGCCTGCTACCCGCGCGTCATGGACTGCGGCGGCATCTGCACCTCGCCCACCGGCTGCACCTTTGGCCAGGTCGACTTTGGCTACGAGCACAAATTCAACCTGTCGGCAATTCAGTGGAACACACTGATCCGCTCATTCGATTGCTTCGAGAAGCAAGCGTAGAGCAGGAGGGGGAGACGGATGGGCCCTTGGCAATGTGTTCATCATGACCGGGACCTTGGGATAAAAATGGCATCCTTTTTTTTTTTTTGGCGAACTCTGAATTGCGAATGCGTAGAGCGTGCAATGTGACCGGCAAATGTCGCCCTGAGAGTAAGAATTTAGCGGCCGGCCATACGGGTTACGAGCACCGATCACGGGGCCGGCCGGCGATGGAGATTTGGCGGGGTGAAAGCCTTCTCCAGTGGCGGGGTAGCTCAGCAACCAACTACTATATCAACTTGACGTCAGGACAACTCTGCACCCATCATCCATCTCTTTTCACGCCTGCATCCTCATTGACTCTCCATCATTCAGAGGACAAGAAGGCAGAGAGGAAAAGCAAACACGCCCAGATAGCCCTTCGCAATGGCCTTCACCACAAACGCCTCCATCCGCGTCTTCGGCGGCCGCCTCCTCAAGCTCACCCACCAGTCCTCCGCGACCGGCACCCCCATGAACCTCAACCTCTTCCTCCCCTCCTCCGCCACCGCCTCCTCCCCCGCGCCCGTCCTGCTCTACCTCTCCGGCCTCACCTGCACCCCCGACAACGTCACCGACAAGGGCTTCCTCCAAGCCCACGCCGCCCCGCTCGGCCTCGCCCTGCTCTACCCGGACACCTCCCCGCGCGGCCTCGGCCTCCCCGGCGAGGACGACGCCTGGGATTTCGGCAGCGCCGCCTCCTTCTACGTCGACGCGACGGAGCCCCCCTACGGGGTCAACTACAAGATGGAGACGTACGTGGCGGAGGAGCTGCCCGAGGCGGTGTTCGCGGCGTTTCCGGAGCTGGACGGCAACAGGGTGGCCATCTCGGGACACTCGATGGGCGGGCACGGCGCGCTGACGCTGTTCATCAAGTACCCGGGCAGGTACAGGTCGGTGAGCGCGTTCGCGCCGATCACGAACCCGAGCGAGTGCCCGTGGGGCGCAAAGGCGTTTTCGGGGTACCTCGGCGACGACAAGGAGGAGTGGAAGAAGCACGACGCCACGGAGCTGATCAAGTCCTGGAAGGGCGACTTTCCCTGCCTGGTTGACGTTGTGAGTTTGATTGCAGGACCACTGATGGGCTTGTGAGGAAACCGGCCCCCTGCTGACAAAACCACCTGGCCACGTAACTAGGGCCTCGGCGATCCGTTCTACAAAAAGGGCGAGCTCCTCCCCGAAAACTTTGAAAGGGCCATCAAAGAGGCCGGCATCACCGGCACGACCATTCGATACCACGAGGTGAGCTTGCCGACTTCCGTCCCGGCCCAGACCAAGCTGCAGGATACTGATGACATTTTTTTCCCCAGGACTACGACCACTCCTACTTCTTCGTGCAGACCTTTGGAGAGGACCACGTCAAACATGCCGCCAAAGCTCTCGGGTTGCTGTAAATCGCACAAATACCAAACCTGCAGCCTACGCATATTCAATCGGCATGCAGGCAGTCAGATGATTGGGAGGTCCTGCCTGTTTGAAATGAAAAGGATAAACCCCCTTAATAGCAAAAAGTAAAGACAAGTGCGTGTCTGACATTGCATCGTATATTCGTTACTCGGCGTCTTCTACATGACGAGATATTATACCCATAAAGCGGCCCCAGTTCCATGTTCAACGTAATTGACTCCAGCAACTCAAAAGTAATACAAAGCTGCATGTCCCAAAAGGAGACCTCTTCAATAGCTAAAAACGTTTCTTTCAAACACGGGGCTGAGGCCTTCCTTTTCCAGCTGTGCTCGCATTTCCGCATCCGCATCCCTTCGAATGCGATCAAACGCCAGCTTTTCAAACCTGCTCAGGCTCTTCCACCAATGTTGCCCAGCTTCATGCTCCGCGATCCGTCCTAGCAAGTCGGCCGTCTTGAGCCGAACGTCCTTTTCTTTGTGAAACAACCCCAGCGCGAGGTAAAACAACCCCGCATGCGACTCGGGCGCGACCGAGAGGAAGAGGCAAATCTCGTCGTAAGAGTGGATATATTTCGAAAATGTGAGATAAATGTCGCGGCTTTGAGACGGGTTCAGTCGCTGCATCCGGAGCCGGTCATGCATATGTGCGAGATCAAGTCCTTTGAGCGGCCTCACCGTGTAAACCTGCGCAAGATCCTGGCCTTTGGTTAGCTCTGTTGTCCCAGGCTCGTCTCGAAACACCTCGTTACCTGAATGAAGCTGTAGTAGCTGCGGGTATTGCGCCAGCCTTCGATTCGAGTCACATTTCCAGCCAATTCCTTATTTTTGGCCCCATCATCTGACCAGACGTAGCCGTGACCTGTCGCCCCAGGAGGCAGCATGTTCTGCTCCTCAATACCAACAAAGAGAGCGCTTGCGCCGTAGACGCTCTCTTCAAACTGTGCCGAGACCCTCGTGAATTTCAGGACCCAATCGCGCCATTTGGCCCGCACCGCTCGCTCACCATGCCTAGCCGCGATACTTCGTGAAATATCAGCCATGAACGCCTGATCACCAGTTAGGTCTTGAGTATTGTTGACAGTGCCACTGGCGATTGTGGCCAGTGCTGCATTTTGCTGCTGGAAATAGACCAGCCCCTCTGTTATAGGGGCTGGCTCAATCTTGCTGCTAATCTTGATCCTTCCAGACGGCAGGTCGCAAAGTATGTCCCACCATTCCGGATGCAACTCGAAGGTAGGATTCGTGACACCCGCAATGAAGCCAGGTACATTGAGAAGATCGTCAATCTTGGTGAGGTCAGTATATGGGAAGGCATGGCGCGTGAAGCCACGCAACACGCCGCCAGAAGCAAGAGCGCAGGCCGCCAGAACAGCCTCAGCTACTTCCCCGGAAGGCATGTTGTGCCCAAGGAAAATAATGCGCTTTTGTGTCAGTAGCCCATTGATTAAAACAATGATGGGATGTGTATTAGCACCGCTGGTTGTCAGGTGCGGGTGGATGGGAAATGGCTGAGGCGACTTCGCATGATGTTCCGAAAAGTTCTGGATAAGTTTGACCAGAGAGAAGTCCCCAACAGTCTCTGGCATCACTGCAGTTGGAACTTTGATAGGAATCGGGATGCCCTTGTACATGACATGGCTTTCGAATTCATGGGTGTCGCGGGGTACTGAGTAGGCTGACTGGCTTCCAACCTCGATGTGAGCTTTGGTGCCTTTGCGAGAGACTTCCGCGGGATGATCGCGATGATCGCCATTGCCGTTGGCGGATTCTCCTCGATCCTCAAGCATCCGCATTTGGATCATACGCTCGAACTTTTCAACGAAAAGATCTCTGTTCTCGCTTCCAAGCAGCAGATGGCGCTCGAGGAGGCTAAGCTTGGGCATCAGAGAAAGGTCCATTGCATTGACAGCATCGTAGAGCATAGACAGCGTTTCTGGTACAGGCGATTTGAAATACTCCTCGAGGGCCAACAGAAGCAATGGCTGGCTCGGTCAGCAACGGTGAGTAAATCCCAATCAGAGCGAGAATAAGTATCGTACCTTGTAGATATGTAAGAAAGGGTGTCTGGTGCAAATGGCCATAGCTTTGACAATAGCACCACGTTTCACAGTCTTGTCATGTTTCGTGTTGACCAAGTTGAGTACGTATATGAGGGGAGGGCCCTCACCGCCCTCGGGCTCTGTGTCGCTGTCGTCATCATCATCATCGTCGGCGTCGTCATATTCGTCGTCACTATCTCGTGCGTTGTCGTCGTCTTGGCCTGAAGGAACAATGCCAGCAGCGAGCGCTCTACGCTTGCGCCGCCTTCTCCGTCGCCTCTCCTTGCGTTTTCTTTCCTCGTCTTCCTCTTCATCGCTCATATCCTTGTGCAAAAAGAAAATTGTCCAGTCTTGATTTCTCGCGTGCGCTTGATCTGGAAGCATGAGCTCCGCCAACATATTTTCATCTCCAGTAATGGCGACTGGGTACTGGTGTTCCATAACAGGGCCGCGATCAATGTCAAAGGACGCCACCAGGATATATTCTACATGGTTATCGCTAGACCCCCGGGGGTACTGCGAGCGCAGTCTTCTGGAGTTCTGCGAGTCGGCATTCTGGCGTCGGGGAGCAGAAACCGAGGAGTGCTGCGAGGAGTGCTCCAGAGACGAGGTTTTGGATCGCAGGTCCGGATCCGACATCCGCTCGTTGTCATTCATCTGTCGGTGGGGTGATCGAAGGGCTCGAGAGGAATAAGATGCTTGAGACGGCGGTCGAGAGGATGGAAAGGACGAGAGCGAGGTCTGGCGAGGAATAGACGAGGCAGAGCTGTTGGAGAGAGTTGTGATGGCAGGCTTGGGATATGAATAGCCAGCAGTCGTCGTCATATTCACCTGCTTGCATGCAGCGTCCAGGAAGCGTCAAGCGCCTGGGTTAAGTCGTCGGTAGGGTAGCTGAGACAAAGGTAGGATGCCAATCGACGGCGACGAGGCCGCAGGCCGGGAAGGGAGCGGCGATGAATACCTGCTCGCCGTATCCGTAGTGGCCTAGATTGGTGCCGGCGTCATGCGAACATGCGCATAGGCACGATTGGGACGCAAGAGCAACGGCGCGATGGATCGGTGCTGCGCCAGATCCAAGATACCAGGCTTGCACTTGAGACGACGGGGTTCGGAGGGTAGCGAGGAGCGACTCGTGGAGCGGAGCCGCCGCAGGAATGTCGCAGATGTGTCCGATTGCAACTTGGCTGCTGCACCCGTGGCGCGCGGGAGATGGGACGACCGAGAGGGGAGGCGCCCAGAGAGAAATGCTTCCGGAGGCAATCGTTCCGGAGACAATGGTTCGTAGGAAGCGCTGGCAAAACTTGATGTGGGAATGGAATTCCGCTCCAGTGACGAGGCCAGCGGGCGCGGCGGGCGGAAGAAGCCAACTGGCAAGAGATGTCGCGCAGAGGCAGGGGAGGGCGCGTGCTCTCAGGGCCGTAGCGTCTCGACAACGAGGGGAATTGTACAAGACTCGACGTGACCTGTTTGGTGTGTGTGTGCTTGGTCGTTGGTGTGCTCGATGGGGGAGCTAGTCGACTTGAGATGGGCGGTTGTGGCCATTCGTTGGAGGAGCAGGTTGCGCTACGCAAGGGGGGGACCCCGCCTCGGTGATGCCAACCAAATGCCTCCTGGCAGGATCAAGTAGATGAGTGGCCAGCTGGGAATTCAGCTGCAAGTCCTGTTTGTATGGCAATTGAAAATTATAGCAATGGCCAGGTATGATGGTAGAAGATGACACAGTAGGCAGGGGTGAGACAAGAGTGGTTGTCGGTTAAAAAAAGGGCAAGTCCTCGAGAGGGCAGCCCCTGGATGTGTCCCTGGAGGTGGTGGCTTTTCGTGAGATCCGCCGCGCTTCCAAGGTTGTCTCTTTTTATTCGCTGGTCGTACACGACCAATTTGGCTGGCAGCGTTGCATTCGTATCACCGTCTACGAAGCACAACCGCACAACCGTGCAGTACTAGTAATTTAACTACCTAGCGACTAAAGATGTTGAGGCCACCGATTTTATATACCTACTGTGTCCGTTTGTATGTAGTTGATTGGAGCGGGAGGCGGTCGGAACGCGGCTGCTTGACTGGCGGTCCCTGGGCCACTGCAAAGGACTCGCAAGACTCGAGCTGTGACCCAGCACGACAGCAACACAATACGGCGTACACGATTCATTGATCCTCTGTCCTACTTCAAGAGTACCTTTTCCTTCATTATTATTTCCATTTCAGAGCCCGTTATAATCCGTGCCGTTATTAATACTGAACCCACCTGTAACTACCTACCTAACTTATTACTATGCACGTACCTCCGAGCATGCGCCACATTTCAGCCACAACCGCCCCGCCAGCCAATGGCGGGTTCATTGTGGCGAGGCTACCGTTGTCTGGTGGTTTTTTTGTTTACTTTGGCAGCCTCGCTCCCCCCGCGCTCCGTTGTTTGGCTGAAGCAGTCCTCTAACTATTCTGTCCCGAAATTTCGTGCACAACCCACCTCTAACCCACGCACCAGTGCATATTTTGTTTCCGGTTAATACTTCTGCTCCTTGCGCAAGCAAAAGCTCCAGTTTTTGGCTGACTGGCTGTCTCTACTAGCGCTTCCTCGTATATGTTCTCTGGCCAACCACGGTGATCCGATTCAACGCAGCAGAATGGTACTGATCCTGAGATCCCGTCATTTACACTAGCACGCTTCCTGCTAACTCACCTATCAAGTCTACATCGTCCCCTTACAAGGCATTGCCTCTTGGATACCCGGCTTCACCCACACGCAGTTCCCCCTTTCGCCACCCAGAGTCTCCCTCGTCGCCGTCACCCCTTCGCTTCTCAACACCGACCGCATCGCCGACCAAGCCCAGGCCTCAGAGTGGAGGAACAGGCCGATTCTGGCAGCCAGCTACGCCAACGACGACGCAGGATAGTTGGACCCCGAGACAGCATTCGTCTTCGCAATACCGACCAGGATCCAACATGGCTACACCTCGCACCGGAGTAGCCCAAGCCATGGGCCACGGGAACGCCCTTTCACAACTGCAACCTGCGCAGGCTCGCACGCTGCGCGACAGCTTTCAAATCCTCGATCGGGATTGCGATGGAGTTATCAACAGAGAAGATGTTGCTGAGATGCTCCAGCAGCTTGGTGCGTCGCGCTGTTAATGTTGTGATTGGGTGAGCTTGTACTGACGTCGTGCGCTAGGTCTCCCCTCGGGGCATTCGGATGTCGGGAGGTTCTTCCCACCGTCTAAACCACAAACGATTACCTTGGCGGCATTTTTAAACTCGCTGGCCGAAATTCTTGCTGCCCTGTCGGATAGCAGTGAGCTGCTCTCTGCCTTTTCAGCCTTTGATGACGACGACAGCGGGCAAATCGACTGGGCAGAGCTGCGCAACGCGCTTGTGAACACAGCACCAGAGCCAGGCGTCAGGCCACTCACCGCCGCCGATGTGGACTCTGCCGTAAGCGGGTTCACCGGCCGTCGCGCCTTCAACAGAAATATGAACGCTCAACTGGGTGCGAAGCGAGGCGACGTGTTTCGGTATAATGATTTTGTCAACTCCATCGCAGGCGCAAGTACGTCCGCGGAGACAGCAGCTAACGGCAATGCGGCGGCATAGCTTACGTGTTAATGAATAAAGAAGAGTGAAAGAATGATTTATATGTATATGTACTGAAATGGCTTAATAATTGACGGTTATGCTTCAAGCGATGCGCGGGATACAGTGGGCGGCAAAATGCAACGTTATTTGTCCTGTTATGCATCTTGCTTACGGCTAAGACATGTGAGATACCTATCTAGGAGCGAAAAATAAGATGGGTTAGGCAAGATACCTACGATACCCAACATAGGTGAGATACCTAAGAGAGCTGGGCAAGGGACAAATCCACGTTGCCACCCGTGGCAAGTCCAGTATATACTATCTATCCTGGAGTAATAATACAGGCGTACAGAGTGCCCGCCGATGATCAAAAGAGAAACTGGAAACTGCTGTGAATTCTGTGAATTCTGTGTCCCCATCCATTGAGTGTCTGCTTACAGCCGCCACCAGGTTCCCGGTCCCACCCAGGCCGCTCCGCCGGTGACGTAGATCGGTCCGGGATGGCAAGCGCCGACAACGGCCCCACTGAACCTTCTAGAAGATCGCCCGCATTGATGAAATACTCGGTTAAATGCATCAAGCATGCGTTGAACTTTGGTGAACCATACTGGGTCCAATTTATAGGGGTCCTGGTAATTACGAGCTGGCAGGGTGACTGTACTATTAAGATTAGGGGACCAGAGACTTGTTTAAAAGAGAAAGAGAGAGTCAAATAAATTTACAAGCGGCTGAGTTGGGCAGACAATTCGCCGTGACGTGCATGCCCAATGTATGTAGACCAACCACCTTGATTTCGTTCGGCTGCTGCGGACTGCTGTTCAACCTGCCTCTATGTAACCTCGCAGACCATGCGACCGACCGCCTGCATGCACTGCGAGCGATGTGTTCACAGCAGGCCATGGTCAAATGAGCAGCGTGCAGGTGCCCTGGAGGCGCCCTGTAAGTCGGTGGCACACGCAGCCTCTTCAGTGGACTCCAGCGCGCTACGGGGCTCGGAAACCGGCCCGCTGGTCTGCCGTACTGCTGTTCCTTCGGTGCGTCAGCGGGGGTTCTTCAGGGCCTTCAGGGCCTTGCAGGGGGCTTGCCGCCTGCGGTCCCGGTGAAACATGCGCCAACCGACCCTGGAGGCCTGCCTGGCACTCCCCTCGCCAATTTCTGGCGTGACTGGCAGACGGCCAGGCAGCTTTCTCACTTTGCATTTTATTCTGTTTCCTCTCCGTTTCTCGTCTTTCTGCCATTTTCATCTTGCCAATAGCCAGATAGCTTGCGTTCTTCTCTACCGAAATCTGGTCCTCGCCGCCTGAGTCGTCACGAGCCGTGCGGTCCTGCCATCGACAAACACGCATTTAGGCATCTTGCGACAGACAGGAATCGCCTCGACGCTATTCATCCCTATCCGCCGCCCCAAAGCTTCTTTTTGATTCGACTCGCTGCTGCCATCGCGCTATCGAAACGAACTTGGGGCCGCACGTCAGCTCCTCCCGCCCGCGCCGGTCCAAGCTACCAACTTTAGGTGCCTTCTTTTGGTGCGCGACTCGTTGACAACCCACACACACTGGTTTCCCGCCAATTTCCAAAGCGCAAAAAACTGTGCGCCAGCTCCAGCGACCACCGCCCGCCACGAAACTTGCCTGCCCACTCCCCTCTGGATGCCCTTCCCACGACGAAAAAGTCTACTATCCGATATATCGCTATAACGGGACGCGCCTGTACGCCCACGCCGCCTTGCCCGCCATAACCGAACCGGCCCCAAATGAAGAAGCTCTTTGGAAACAGTAAGAAACCGGCGTCCAACAAGCATTCCTCCTCCCCAAGCTTGGAAGACCTTCAAGCCTCCTACCGGTCCAGTCCAGAACTCCCTTCACCCACAAAGCCGACTGCGCGCTCTCCCAAAAAGTCATCCCGATCAGAGCATTCGGCTTCGGCCCGCGAAGCAAAGCCGTCGTCGCGCAACCATCGCCATTCGAGGCAGGCCTCGGACTTGAGCGCCTCTTCGCGACGCACTAAACTCGACCCCGATACCCATCCTCTCAATCTTCCTCCTGAGGAGCGTAAGCGCTTCTCTGCCCGTTCATACACCGCCATGAGTGCCATGGATATTGACCGCGAGCCCTTGAATGGCCCCTCGACTCCCCCACCGAACCCTTCCGCCCAGACAAACTTCTCTGTGCCCATCCAGAATGGAAACGGTTCAGATGGACCTCCTGCTCCCCCCCCGCACAAGTCCAGCCCTTCCAGTCCCAGTCCCTCACCTCTAGAAGAGGCTGAGACTTGTAAGGCGCTCGGCAACAAATTTTTCAAGGAGAAGAGCTATGCCCAGGCCATTGAGCAGTATAGCAGAGGTAAGCTTCCCTCGTGATCCTACAAGCTATCTAGTTTGCCACATCTTCTAATCCCTCATTAGCCGTTATCCTCGTACCCGATTCGGCAACCTTTCTCAGCAACCGTGCTGCCGCCTACATGTCCAACGGGCAATATCTCGCCGCCCTGGACGACTGCTCCCGCGCTGCCGACTTGGATCCGCAGAACCCTAAAGTCCTCCTCCGCCTTGCTCGAATTTTCACCGGCCTTGGTCGTCCTGAAGAGGCCATGATCACATTTGGTAGAATTGAACCCGCCCCTTCGGCCAAGGATACTGCTCCCGCCAAGGAGATGCTGCACCACATCAGCTCCGCCAAGGAGTCTATGGAGCGTGGCCCCGCCATGTCCATGGTTCTACATGCTCTGGATCAGGCAGAGCGTGGACTCGGACCCAACGTCAGCAAGCCGCGCAAGTGGCAGCTCATGCGCGGCGAGGCACACCTCAAGATGGGCCGTGAAAACTCCCTCGGTGAGGCGCAGAATATCGTCATGTCGCTGCTGCGACAGAACAACCAAGACCCAGAGGCACTGGTGCTCCGAGGCCGCGTTCTTTACTACCAGGGCGAGAACGAGAAGGCTATACAATCTTTCCGTGCCGCTGTTAGCTGTGATCCCGACTTCAAAGACGCCATTAAGTGGCTGCGCGTTGTTCAGAAGCTGGATCGTATGAAGGAAGAGGGCAATGTCGAGTTCAAGGCTGGTCGTCTTGAGAACGCCATCGCCAAGTATTCCGAGGCCCTTGAGGTGGATCCTTCGAATCGCGGGATCAATGCCAAGTTGCTCCAAAACCGTGCGCAGTGCCGCATCAAGCTGAAGCAGTACGATGAAGCCATCCAGGATGCTGACCGCGCATTCTCCCTCGATAACACCTATTTTAAAGCCCGGAAGACCAAGGCCAATGCCCTAGGCTTGTCCGGCAAGTGGGAAGATGCTGTCAAGGAGTGGAAGGCACTTCAGCAAGACGACCCCGAGGATCGTACCATTCCCAAGGAAGTTCGCAAAGCCGAACTTGAGCTCAAGAAGAGTCAGCGCAAGGACTACTACAAGATTATGGGCCTTGAGAAAGACGCCAACCCTGATGAGATCAAGAAAGCCTATCGCAAGATGGCTGTTAAGCTACACCCTGACAAGAACCCTGGCGATGAGGAGGCCGAGGCCAAGTTCAAGGACATGCAGGAAGCTTACGAGACTCTAAGCGACACTCAGTGAGTAAACGTACACTACGATGCCATCTCGAACCGTAAGCTAATTATTTTACAGGAAGCGAGCAAGCTATGACAATGGCGATGATCTCCTTGATCCCTCCGATATGTTTGGAGGGGGCATGGGTGGTGGTGGCATGGGTATCGACCCTGAGATTCTGTTCAGCATGATGGGCCAGCAGGGTGGCTTCCATGGGGGCGGCTTCCCCGGCGGCGCTCGAGGCTTCCCCGGCGGTGCTGGCGGCTTCCCCGGCGGCGCTACCTTCAACTTCAGCAGTGGCGGTGGTCGTCCACAGGGCTTCCCCGGCGGTGCTGGCGGCGGCTTTCCCTTTTGACAAACGGCGGCCGACGGTGACTATAGCGACGACGACGACGATGATGACGAGCAGCGGAGAGAAGAAGATGGTGACGATGATTCCTTGTACGACAAAGAGCCACAGCACGCGCACAACGAACATTGGCGCGGGCGACGAGAGGGCCAAGACAAGTTTGCGGGCACCCAGCCCCGAGGACACCGTCGTGGCAACGAGGACACGGTTGAAAAGATTCGGACCTATGGCATCATGGTTGTTGCCGCGCTGGTGTTGCTGCCGCCGCAGCTTGTCGCCGCCGGCCTTGCAGCGGCTGCGTTTGTCTATCTGTCGATGAAATATATTTGGTGGCCGCTGACACAAAACGAGAAGTGGACGCCGAATAAAGCAAGATGACGATGAGTCTCTGAGGTGTGGGAAATTTCCTCCTTTTTCTTCCTTATTCTGTGTGACATTTTAACCTCTTGCCTGTTTTAATGCTTCTTCCTCATTTTACCCATTTCTTTTCTTCTGTTTCTATATCGTTGTGGCTCGCATGGGGGGGCAGACGGGAGGAGCCAGGAAAGAGACGGTTCATGACCGAATAAAAAACCATCATTGTCCGGCGTTTTGAGGGTGCTTTTGTCGACAGTCAAAACAAAATAAATGACCGTTACACCTTTTCATTCGAGCAAAAAAGAAATTGTCTTTTCGATAGAGAGATTGAGAGGGGAATACATTTCCCGTTCACATCAATGCAAACGTCTTCTTGAATTATCATACGTCTCATGACAGTGCATGCGCCAAGCATCGTCTATAGTGTCATGGTTCTCGCCCCTTCAATTCTGCTGGGCCTTTGTGCTATAAAGGTGCTGCGGGGGTATTACCTCTAACAAAACGCCGTTTCAAGAAAAACAAGTAAAATCAGCCCAGCTCAATCCCGATCCCAGCCTCGCCATCAGCCCAGAGTATCTATCTCCTCGCGCTTAGCCTCCTCGGCCCCCGTCTACGTCCGGTCTTGCCGCCACGTCGCTTGGGTCGCTAGCCCGCAGTCGTCCGGGCACCATCCGCCGTCGCCGTCGCCGCCCGCTCACCTGTTGCGTCGTTGCTGCTGCCCCCCCGGCCGGTCTGCTGCGTCGCGTTGGCTGCTGCCGCCGCCGTGCCGTTGACCGCAGCGGCCACATGAGGAGGGATCCCGGTCGCGCCCATCTCACCACCACTCGTAGCCTCGACGACGCGGGCCACATCGTCGCGCAGCTCGGGCATGGCGGCGGCGACGTTGTGCGCGAGGACGTCGCGGAACGCGCCGAAGCCGCGCATCTTGCCGGCCATCAGCTGGTTGCCGCGGCGCACGAGCTCGACGAACTCGCGCGTGTAAATGTCCGGGTTGCGCCCGTTCTCGACGTACTCGAGTAGCTCGGGCGGCACTGAGGGCAGGACGTGCGGCGGCGCGGCGGTCGTGTGCAGCGTGTTGAGCGAGCGGGAGAGGGTTTTTCTAAAATTGAAAAAAAAAATTCAGTCACGAGTTAGGAGTTGTACACGTGTGTGCGATTGGAAGACGGGGGAAAGTTACATCTCGTTGGACAGGACGTCTTTGCTGGGACGGCCCATGGAGTCGTACGTGGACACCTGCACCATGATCTGGTACAGGTCTTGGATGATGTCCTTGAGCTGCTCTGCGGGGAGGGGTCAGCGATCGGAAGGAAGGAATGAGAGAGGGTGATTTGGCGTACGCTCGACGACATCGTGGTCAACCTTGTTGTCGATCGGCGCCATGGCTGACGCTCGTGTCCGCGGTTGGTGATGGTGGGAGGTCGAAGGTTAGGCAAGACGCTCTCGTTGCACGCTTTCAACAGTGGAGCGCTGCTGCGGGTGGCCCCAGAGTGTCACCAGGACTGAACCAAACTTAATTATTGGAAAAGCTTAGGCATTACGTAGGTTTCAATTTACTTTTTCTTTTTTTTTAAAAAAAAAAAAAAAAAAAAGGAAAGTGTATAGTCTTCCAATATGTATGTACTAAACTTCTTGCAATGGCAAAAGAGAAATGTACAGTCTTTCAATATGTATGTACTTTATTTCTTGCAATCGCGGTGCCCACCATACACCCTCAGCCTTATAAATTCCTCTACTGCTGCTTGGTATAAACATCCTTCCTCAATCAATGGTGTCATCACGCAGGCTAAACAGCTGCTTGAACACCTCTTCAGCACCTGCCCGGATACCGTTATGATACAGAGCGTTGGTGGCAAAGAACTTGGCGCCCTTGACCAGATGGGCCGTAGCAGTAGCATAGCCATAGTCGACAAACATGTCGTCAACGTATGAAACGGCGTACAGGGGCACCTCATTCTTGCGCAGTTGGTCCTGGTCGTAAAGCGCGGGCCAGTCGTCGGCGCTCGCCAGCTTCTCGGCGGCCTCGCGCAGCGGCGCCAGCTCCGAGTACGTCTCAAAGTGGTCGCGGAAGATCATCTCACCGGAGAAGAAGAGAGGCTCGGCGCTATGGGCGACCTTGGCGCCAGGACGAAGCCACGAGAAGCTCTCAGCCGACTCACCGACGCGCTGAGCGGACCAGTTGGACGCAGAGCCGGGGCCGTCGCAGTAGATGGCCTCGTGAAGGATGGCGTAGATGATGTTGTTGTCAAAGCCGCTCCAGTTCTCAATGGTAGTCAACGAGGAGCGCGAGAAGAAGCCAAAGCTCTCCAGAGAGGCATCCAGAGCCAGAATAGCATTGTGGACAGAGTCGAAGCCATCGTGCACACCGAATGAGATGCCGATGGTCATGAGGCGAGCCACGGTCAAAGTACCGCCACCAGGTAGCGCAACACCACCCTTACTCTCGATGTGGGCTGCAATCTTCTTGACACGCTCCACATCCTCGGGGAATTTTTCATAGTATGCCTTGTTACGCGCGGCTGTGTGCGCAAACGTCGTCTTGTAAATCTCGTCGATGGAGCGGCCAACCGGGGCCAGGCCACCAGTAAGGTAGGCCTCCCGCAGACCCTCAGGGTGCATGGAGAGGTATGACAGGCTGACGAAGCCGCCGTAGGACTGTCCAATAATAGACCACTTGGCCTTTTCGCCTTCGAGGCCCGCAGTCAGGCACAGGCGGACGGCCTCGAGATCGCGGACCGTGTTGTCCTGGCGCATCAGCCGGAGATAGCCAGCCTGCCCCTCAGCGTCTGGCGCCACCTTGCGCAGCATGTCGAGCGAGACGGGCGTGCTCAGGCCGACGCCGCGGTGGTCGAGGTATAGCACCTGGTAGCCGCGGTTGATGAGGTGCTCCGTCATGGGCGCCGAGTTGGGCGGCGAGCAGCCGAAGCCGGGCCCGCCCTGGAGGTAGACGATGTACGGCTTCGGCGTGGGCGGCTGATCGGGCGCGACGAGCGGCGACTCGCGTCTGGTGGCGAGGCGGCCAAAGAGCTTGATGGTGCCGTTGGCCGGCTTGGCGTAGTCGAGGGGCACCTCGAACCAGAGCTCGGTCTGGATCAGCTTGCCGGGCACGTTGAAAGCGCGACTGCTGAGCAGCTTCGCCGACAGGATGGGCAGCTTGGCGGGGACGGCGGCGGCCATTGCGGGCAGTAGGCTGGTGCGGATCGAAATGCGGTAGGAGATTCCGGGACTGATGTCGTCGCAGTGATGCGCGGGACAGGTTCTCATGCAGTGCAGCGAGTTGTCGTAGAGTAAGGAAAGGGCCGTTGTGGTGAGGGACGAGACATGGCAATCGTGGGATGGTGGGGGGTTGGGGTAGACACTGTCGGAGCCGGAGCCCCGCCAGGTCGACCTTCGGATAGCCCAGCCGGCCGAGTTACGTGACGACAGTTTAGAAAGTGTAGACCTAGTAAAAGTCCATCAGCCTGATAGGCAATTGAAGGAATCGGGGTCGTGGTGGCATCAGTATGTGGGCCGAGGCCACCCGCGTTTTACGTATTAACAGAGGGAGATTGGCCTGGCATTACGTATCGACAATTGTTTGGTGAGTGCTGTGGTGGTGGGGTGGGAGGTGAGTGTAAGCTGAGTCGCTGGCAGCAGAGAGGGACGTTGGGGGCCAGAGAGGCTTAATTCACGGGAGCGGAAGGTGTTGACATGCAATTCAGATTATTAGAAGACTGATTACTCACATTAGATTCACCACACACATATGTACATGCCGTCACGATGTGGCTGCCGCGGGTGAATAGTGAGATTCAGGAACCCGTACACAGCATGCCGCACTTGTCGAACAAGAGGTGGCGTAGGTAGCTATGTAAATCGATGAATTTGTTTATATTTTTATGCATTGCCTTCTTCATAGAAGTTTCATGTTAATTCTTGTGGCCTTTATACGTCGTTCTCTACTTCCAGATAGCCAGGGTTCCTACCCAGCTAAGTGCCGCGCCAAAGATGGCCGATATTTGAAAGAGTTGATCCCATATTGAGAAGTCAAGAATAATCAGTACGAGCTGGACATTCAATCCGGATATTGGATTGATCAGAGCATGCACCATGCACCATGCACCATGCAAGGTGAGTGAGGCTCGTCCCCCGCCTCAGTCTCCAGCTTGTGTACTCCTCGGGTAGCTATAAACACCCCACTCACCGCCTGCAAGGCGCTGAACAGTGGCAGAAATTGGCCCCAGCAACCACTGCATAAATTTTCTTTGTGCCGCGTCGCGTGCTATTTTTATCAATTTCTTTTCATTCACTCTTCTACTTTCTCTATTCTGAAGAGCTTTCGGGTTTTCAAGGTTTTGGATATTGGTCCATTCCAACCATGAATCCCAGCTTTCCACACCCTTATTCATGGCTGGTTGTCGCGGAGCTATCCCGATCTCCGATGTCTGTCCTGCTGACGAATCAGGTTGATGCCGCCACGCTTCACCCTACCCAAGCTGCATTTGCCCACACTACAGCAGCTAGCCCGCAGTCGACCTCACTCTTCTGACCAGACATCATCACCATCACCGCCGGCATCCTCACCACTGCACGTGCCGCCTGTGCATCTCCCATTTCGCTCCCTGAGTCCTGAGCTGTGGCTGCCGATATGCAACCGCAGCCCATGGCATACGTCGAGCTGTCGCAGACCCTAGCGGAGTCGTTCAACGCGCTGGCCGACGAGGTCCAGACTCTGGCCGATCGCAAAACAGTTTTGGAGCACAAACTGCGCTTCGCTCATGAACAGGTGTGTTTTATTTTATTTATTTTTGCACGAACCAGGCGTTTCTGTGTCTTGCATCGCCGATCGCCCCTTATCCACACTACGTACAAAGGAAAGAAGCAACAACTTCTGCTTCCGCCAACATGGACAAGCGTCCTGGACAAAATGATGAGTTATCTTAGCTCTAGATCATGAGCACAAGCCTTGAATCAGCCTGTGCGTAGGACTGACATTTATTTAACGTCTGATTGTCCACAAACAATACCGTTTGCCTGCTCCCTGCTACCAGCTCGCTTTTCACGACCTCGATTGCTAACTGGCCGTCGCAGTTTCAGTACCTTGCTGATAAATATGCTCCTGCCGCGCCAGAGATAGCCGATACGCTGTCTAAACTGCAGCTTCCTCCGCATACCTCCGTTGATAACCACTCACCGGTACCGCTGCCTCAGCGGACACAACCCTCACAACATCATCTCGCTCTTGTAATCCGCGACGGACGCCGCGCGGCCAGTCGACTTGCCGCATCTCTCGGGGATGCAAGCAAGACCACTGTTTCTAGCAAGGGCACATTTTCACACGACTCAAACGACGACGTCTCCTCGATGTCAACAGCGCTAGAGCAGGACTTCACTGTCCAAGGCAAAAGGAGCGCCTTGCAGTGTCCTTTTCAGAAGCCGGTTGAGAATACGAATGGTAGCCAGTCAGCTCACAATATTGGCACCAGCCACTACGATCCCTCGGACCCGATATGTGCTGCTTTAGCCGACGGGACAGAATCTTCCCATGCTGCTACCGGCAATGGGACCTCTGCCCCAAGCAAATGCCCCATTCGGTTCCTCGACAAACATAGTCCGGAGGAGGTAGCTCGCTACGTTGAAATGCACAAGCATGAGCTTCCCCGCAGCCACGAGGTCTGCCTGAGAAGGTATGGCCGAAACGAGCAAGAAGTTCGCAAGCTTGATTCCAAGTACGGCAACATCGCAAGCATGATTGAGGATCTGGGACAGCTGCATCAGCCCATGCTTCCCGAGGATGGCGGCCCCCATCCAGGTGCCAGTGACACGGACGAGGCTTCCAACCGTCGAGTAGAGAGCTGGGCAAACGGCGTCAACGCTTCTACACACTCGGATAACCCCGATGCTCTACCCGACGATGACCAAGACCGCCAGAGCCATTTTGACCGGCCCCTCAAGGAGGTTCGAGTCGGTGAATCCCCAAGCCGTCCATGGGGTATATCAGTCCCCGTCTACGAGGCGGATGATCGTGATCTGAACCTCTTGTCGCCGCCAGCTGCTCCGCTAAAAATGCCGACACCGCACCATCCTCCAGCCATACCCTCGGGTGGACCGAAGAAGTGTCCATTTGACCACAAGCTTGCTTTCGGCGGAGGTCGTGATGGTGAAACTCCCAAGCCTCCGCCAAAGGACGGACCTGCTCTGCAAGGACCTCCGCCCTTCACACCCTTCCGTGACAACACGGCCCGTATGTCGCCCGTACATAGTACGCAGCAACAGCAGCCAGTTTTTGTGGCACCAGACGCCGTCAGAGGCAAGTCTGATCAGCCACAAATGATCTTTACAGGACCGGTCTTTATCGGATATCCCATGGACCAGGCTCTGCAATTTATGAATCAATTCCAGCGTCGTTCTTGACTACATCCCTATTTATCACGAGTCTCATTGGGCGCACAACCGTCTTCTGCGTGTACTTTTCTTTTCATCTTTTTCATGAGCGTCGGCGTTTGGGCTTTTTGTTACGACTACAACGATTGACATCTTTTTTGCTGGTGTGCTACTACCGAGTTTGTGTGCAGCGCGAGCTGACTAGCTTTTTTATTCTTCAATAACAGCATTGTGAACTTGACCATACCGTCCTGAGGCTGGGGTCAGAGACGCTGTAGTTGGATTGTTGAATTAAATCCTGAAAAAGTGTCTATGTGTCTTCTATTAACAGTAGCGGATTTCTCATGGCTCATAAAACAAAACGCCAAACCCATGTTTAACATCTATGCAGTTGAATACGTGGCACGATTGCCAAGGCGCCCACGGTGACTCTTTTGCTTCCTCTCTGGTCTTTGTAGGGCTGTCGGTGCTAGTGCAGCTTGAGGCCGTTGGACTTGGGCCGAGCACCGTCGCTGCCGCTGCCGCCGCTCTCCTCGTCCGAGTAGGTCGCGCCGTTGGTCTCCCAGAGGGAGAGGTCGTCGTCGGACATGATGGCGGCGGCGTCCTCGGGATCGAGCAGGGCGGTCTCGGAGTCGACGTAGCCGCCGGCGGCGTACCCCCGCTCGGCGGCATCCTCGTCGTCCGTTCCAGCAGCACCTTCGGTCTGCTCGCGGGCGATCTCGGCGGCGCGCTCCATGGTGCGGCGGTAGATGACGTAGCCGACGGCGAGGCCGACGACACCGCTGAGACCCATGGCGGTCCAGTTGATGACCTTGTCGCGGGTGGACATTTCGTCGCCCTTTTCGAAGAGGATGGCGAGGCGGCTGCCGATGAATACGTGGACGAGCAGTTTAACGCTGTGAGCGTAGCAGGGTCAGCAAGGGAAAGTGTAGGGGAAAGGCGGGGGGCGCAACTGACCTCGACAGCGCGGTGGAAATGGTGAAGGCGGCGGGCGTGATGCTCGGGATGGTGGCGAGGAAGCCGTTGCTGAGGCTAAACGGCAGCGGGCAGAAGCGCACGGCAGTAAGATACAGCAGGCCCTCCTTGCGCATGACCTGCGCGAGGGCGAGGAAGCGCGGGTCGCGGCCGACCAGCCTGCCGACGAACCCGCCGAGCACCGTACGGCTGGCGACGAACGCGGCGAGGCTGCCCGTAGTCGCAGCAGCAGCAGCGACCGGCCAGCCGCCGGGGAAGCCCCAGATGAAGCCGGCGATGGTGGTGGCGGTGGCGTAGCCGACGACGGGCGGGAAGGAGGTGACGAAGACGAGGGCGAAGTTGACGAGCCAGCCGGCGGGCATGCGGCGCCAGCGGTCGGCGACGGGCCCGCCGAGCCAGGCGAAGAGCGCGTGCGAGTAGACGAGGGCGGCGAGGGCGAGGAGGCCGACGGCGAGGGCGGCGAGGGCGAGCAGGAGCCGCGGAAGCAGTGGCAGGCGCAGGTACCAGGCGAGCACGCGGAGGCCGAGGTCGAGCGCGTGGCGCGCGAGGGAGGCGGCCTGCGAGAGGAGGGAGGACGGGGTGGGGGCGGACGGGGAGGGGACGGAGCCGGAGGCGGCGGTGCTGGCACGGCGGTTGCGGCCGCGGGAGAGCCGGTGCTGGCGCGAAGGCGAGAGGCGCGATGAGGAGGACCAGCGAGGGGATGTGAGCGGGGGCGAGGGGGAAGGCGAGGTGGAGGTGGAGGACGGGCGCATATGCGTCAACGGACTGCGCGGCATCGTGTAGAGCTGTGTGTGTGTTGAAGCTGGCGGTGTCGATGGGAGGGTCTCGTGTCGGTTGCGACGGGGGCCAAAGGGGAGCTCGCGGGTGGTAGTGGCTAGGACGTTGTCGTGTGGGATATTGAGAGCGCGTGTCTTTCTACCTCGCCATCACGGACGGACGGTCATATAGCAGTTCAGTTTCGGTTCGTACGGTCGATCGAGCGTTGGGGCAGAGTCGTCAGTAGGAGACGCGCGCCGTCGTCGGATACCTCGGGGGCCTCGGGCAGATGAGGCGCAGCAAGGGTCGCGGCAAGGGGGATCCGTTGGAGCAATTTGAATCCGAACGAAACGAAACGTATCCAATAAAATGTAGGATTAAGACTGCGTTTTTGTTGACTGGTTGTTGTCATGTACAAATCGTGTTTCCTTGGATGAAACGCGGAAGCGTAAGAAATTGGTTCGAGACAAAAGGGGAGCAGAGAGAGAGTTGTCGGGGATCGGCGGCGCGGCGCCAAAAAATAGATGACGTGGATACCTGTAACAAACAGTGACAGGACAGGTAGGGGTCCCCGAGGCTGCCAGTCACACAGGTTTATTGAGCGGGCTTATTATTCATTAGTTAGCATCTTGCGGCAGACTAGAAACTTCACGGCTCGTGTAATTTCATTAGGCATTGAAATGGTCGGGCTGAATTTGCCATTTAAAAATCATTTCTGCAATATACTAGTATCTCTAGTTGCAACGGCTCAGCCACTCTAACTAGAGAAGGCTGTCCGTCCTGCTCGCTGTGAAGTCACCAGTCAGCCTGGTCACTTACACAACAAAGCTCAGGCACCAGAGCATCACTTTCGAGGACAATGTCCATCAAACAACATTTCTTCGAAACCAAAATCGAGTAGGCCTTGCACTGGATGACATCATCGCATCACTGCAGTCGCTCCTGCGCCAGCACTTCCACATCACCCCAGCCGTCAATGCTCGGCACGATCAATGGTTCAAAAGAGTCTACCAGAGCTGGCTCGAACAAGACAAGGAGCTCCTCCTCCTCATCCCCAAAGTCTCCTGTGCCGAGTGGGCTCCCGGAAGACCTACTCACGGACAAGGAGAGGCACGCGGAGTGGCTGCCGTACGGGCAGCTCCTGTCCGACGCGCTGCCGCCGATGCGCTTCGTCGAGGCGCTGAGGCAGCGGCCGGGCTTCAAGGGCTTGCGCTCGCACGAGGACCTGCGGCCGCACATGGAGCGCTACCTACGCGTGCTGGCCACCGCCGGCATCCTGCACGAGGCGTGTTGCCTGCCGCCCGTCGACTGGGAGTCACGCGTCAGGGGTGCTGTGCTATGCTTTGTCGGCTTCGAGGCGTGGAACCGCGCCCGCGCGGGCGACAGGTATCTGCGCTTGTCACCTCAACACCGCCAAGAACGGCAGGTGGCTGGCGCACGGGCTGGAGGTGGGAGACGCCGTCGCCGTGGAGGAGAGCGGCGCCGCCAGGGTGAAGCTGGTGCGGCCCCGCGATCCGCTGCGGCTGCGCGAGCCCGGGGTGGCAGGCCCCGGGGGACAGCAGCGGCTCGGAGGACGAAGAGCAGGGCAAGCTTGCCGCGTTGAGGCGAGCAGAGGCTGCCTACGGGACGAGGAGGAGCACGAAATAGCAACGAAGAGTGATTGGCGATTAGATCTTGCATCGAGCATGGGGACCCGGCACGAACGCCATGGCCTCTGCCCATGTTTCAGGAGATGCATACCACTGATGGGCCAGCCGGGACGCCTTTGACGTCCCTGGGTGGGTTTGACAGCACGCGGTATCGGCTGCGGTCCAGCGGCGCCGTTGGGCTGGGCAGGTAATAATCTCGATAAACTGCTCGCGAGAGGGACCGTGCAGGAGAGGGGCAACCAGCAGCCGCGCTTATATTCCCAAGAAGAGAATGGATTGTGATTACTGATAACTCAGGGTCCGGGCAGTGGATTGCAATGGGAGTTTCCATCTTATCGGGGGTCACCTCCAACGGCAACATCCGCAGGTAGATTATTAACAGAACGGCGTGGCACCGTGGTGCGAACTGCGCCTCTCCGCAGCTGCCAAGTGTGTACCAATAAGCGAATATGGCATTTCAATTTTCGCTGGAGATTAAAGGGACCCTGTGGTATTTTACGCCCCCGGATCTGCCGTGACGTGTATACTGCTCCCGATGGGCGCCGCCTGGAAAGGAGGAGATTGGATCTACAGAGCCGTCCCTGACCACTAATCCAGAAGCGGTTCTCGTCAGAAATGGCAAAACCTAGCAACGAGGAAATGCTGAGTATGGCAGGCATTGGAAGGGACCATTCCCGTGTCGAATGTGGTATTGGACGGGTATTTTGTAGCTGATGGACTTGTCTCACCACTGCTCCTCGGTACCCCCGAGCCTTTCCTCGTATGTGAAGCGGGCTGGCTGTGAAATCTGGCGAGTTCAATGCACGTTTTGATGCTGATTGTTGGACTGCATTTGTAGGGTGTTGACAGGCTTGGCTCAAACGTCGGTTTCGCCCGTGACTCCAACATTCAGACAGCCGAGTCATTCGTCTGAGTGTACTGAGCAATTAGGTGTGGATTCTGGTATCTGATGGCAGTGGTCTAACTTGGGAATTTGCGGCGCTTGTCTTCGGATGTGTGCCCGATCGAATGAGGTCTGCGCTTACCGAGGAACGCGCGCCATGATGATGCCCTCTCGGAGAGTATGTAGTCCGTGTCAAAACTACTTCATCATCCTGACTTGCAGAGCCGAGACCTGATTACTGTTGGCCTATGGTTGTCTTGGTTCGGCATATTCGCAATGGTGGACTTTTGCTGTTTGGGGACTTGGCTTGCTTTGGATGTCGGCACGCAGTGTGCTCTTTCTTTTCGCCCTTTGTACCGTCCTTTTTGGCTTGGTTTTCGATTGATTACTCGGCCATCGTTCCCTGAGCAATTATTAAGCCACAAATGAACATGGCCAATTAATTGAGGACCGGCAGAGTTGGACTGGTCCACCTCGGTTGACTCGAAAAGCAGTGCAAGGGCCTTACCTAACCATCCGGTGACGTAGAGCAGCGGGTCCTTTTGGGTCGGGCAAAGGATTTTGGGGGTCCAAACCCCACAACTTGGCTGATGATGATGTGGGCTGGCAAGCAAGGGACCGTGATGTTGGAAAAAAACGAAGGAGAGAAAAATATTGCAGAGGTAAATGCAAGAGGAAAGAAACCAAAGACAGGAAAATCCGGGGTCGTCTTAAGTCCTTGCCCTCTTCCCATCCTCCTCCACTTATTGCTTGTACACTGTGCGCCAGCGGCCCTCGGTTGGGACGCCTGCGCTTGGGGCGGGCAGTGGTACTTGCCACTTCGTAGCGTCCTGCTTGGGGTGGCATGGGTGCTAGATGCGAACCGGTCTGGGCTGGTATCTTCCTTACCCTACTGTCTATTCGGGACAGGCCCGGACTAAAAACCCAGCTTGTTGACTTTGCTCTCCCTTTTCTGTCTGCCATTTTTTTCTTCTTTTCCGCAGTATGGGATGCAACGGGCGCTGTGCGCTTTCGACCAATAGTCGCGTGTCGGCACTAGTTAAGTTAGCAGGTGTTCATCGGAAAAAACAAAAGAGCAGAAAGAAAAAAAGGGCATCGATGTTTCACGGTGAGACAGTATAGATTTCTGTCACCTTTTTATTTTCTTTTTCTCATATCAATATCTTGCCTTGTCTCTGGACTGGCCTCGACTCTGCGCAGTCCAGACTCGCGCGTTGTCCTGCTCCTTGTCCTTGTCCCTGTAAGCACTTTGGTAGGGACTGGGTCCCGTCCCTACTAAAAGGTACCCTTGCGCCCCTTTCCAACGTTTTTTCTGGGTGGCGCCTTTCGCTCCCCGCCACCTCCCCTATGGCGGGCGTTTTGTACGCTCGTCTAGCACCGGCGCGCCCGTTTCTCAAAGCTTAAATTCAAAGAGGACAAACTCATCCGGATCATCTTTTGGAATAGCGTGATACTAACTTGCAGATGGCACCCGGCGCCGACCCGTTGGAGGTCTGGAAGTTATTAACCATAGTTAACTTGCTGCCCATCAACTGATCTGGCGGTGATGGCGGTGGGTGCCTGGGCCTCGTCCCGAAATCTGGTGCCATCGCCTCACAGTGCGCAGGAATGCAAGCAACTGTGCCCGCCCGCCAGCCCCCGTCGTCTGGTTGGCTCAGATGATCCACCCGCCTTCCCACGGGCCAGTCAAGTTGTGCGTGCCCTTTTTCTTAGCGGCAGTCGATCGATTCAGTTGTCGTATTCGACGGAGTACCTGGGAAGAGTAACGGGCACCACCAGCCACCACTCTAGGGAAATTGAGTGAGTGCAGTATTATCATGCCTTCTTGGATAAGGTGTGTTGCTCTCTCTGTTACTGCCAGACATGCTGGGTATTCATGTCAAGTATTGGTGTTCTGTGCATACTTGATCCTTTGATAGCGGCGCATCTGCCGAGATGGCCCGCTCGGCACCGCGACAATACATGTCAAGCGGGTGTCTTTCCGTGCATCTCTGCCTTCTATCCAAGCGAAGTTTCTCCCCGATCCCGGAATTCGTCAACGTGTCCGCAAGATCTGTAGTCCGTTGCTGCGAACCTACAGTGCCTGCGCATCGGTTCCTTTGGCGGTAATGTCCCGCGCTACCAGCTTAAAAAAAGCCATCAACCAGCGCCAGCGACCGACCATCTGTTCTTTACTCGCCGCCATTGAAGAAAATGGTTAAAATTCTAGGAATTAATGACTCGCTTATTTGGCAAGACCCCAGATCCTACAACTTGAATAACACACTCCAGTATACTACTAGGCAGTGCTACTGTATTATTAAGGTACCAAGACCGGACCATCTGTTTAGGGTAGGAGGCACTGCAATCAACCTCATCTCGCACGGTAGACAAATCTTCTTCGCACAGTGCCATCCACCGCACTCGCCGCCCGCCTTGCCTGTTCCTAACACCAGCAGGGTGCCAGCCTGCCCATCCACTCAACCACTGTCCAAGTTCCCTACAGGCTCTGTCTTGTCCACTGAACGCCCCAGGCCTTCCACAACGTGGCTCCCCTCAGTTCCAACCCAGGCCTCGCGACCGCTACCTGACTTGCCTACAACCGTGATTCGTTCAGCCAGCCTCTTTTCTTCCCTTCCCCTCGCCTTTCGCCATCCACCGTCATTCTACTTCACCATTCCTACAAAGGTTCAACGGCATCTCAGGGCTTCAGTCGCCATCGCCTCTTCCTCGTTCCTTCCTTTGGCCTTGCCCGCCGCCAGAGCCCTGCTCCTTTGCTCGCTGCTTGCCCAACCGCGCCCGCCACTACTGAGCGAGCACCGACGGGAGCCAGCACCTCCTCATTCCCTCCCTCTTCTTCTCCGCCCAATCGCGCGCACTTCCTTTTCCATCGACCCCGACTCCAGGCCACCCGTCACCTCCCGACTTAACCCTCCTTTTGGTCTTCTCGCCAACCAAAGGATGCGATCGTGCTGAGAGTGCATTGCGCACCTTTGTTCGGGTTGTCTTTTTTTCTGTGCACTGCAGGCTCGCCCCTTCTCTCAACTACCAAGTCTGCATTGACCTCTGTCGCTCTCGACCACACTACCCATCTCCGATCCCCCATACTGACGACACTTGCCCGTTGACATCGTCCCAACCCTCCCGTGCCGTATCGACCCTCCTCGAAAATTTTCGTCCCGATTCTCAGCTCAAAAGCACCTCCGCGTCTCGCTTCCGACTGCGGCTTAGCAGTCTCGCCCGGCGACATGGTTGACGACTCTGTCCTCGCCGCGGCTGCCCAAGTCGTCGCCTCCCTCGCTGCCGATGCCAAGACGGCATCCTCCCTCACCGTCTCCCTCGGCTCTAAGATCAAGCTTCCCGGAGATGATTCCCCCGCCAAGCAATATTTCGAGATTGAGTTGCAAAAGCTCGCTATGAGAATCGCCCAGCTCGAGCGGAGGGCTGCCACCGCGCCTCCTGCTTCACTCCCCGAAACCCCAAACGAACTTAATGACCCTGTTTTCGGTGATGATCCCACCGTCTCTCCTGCCGTCCGTGCTGCCAAGGCAAAGCTGCTTCAAGCCAATCCCGGCTTGATGGATGGCTCTCGCCTCAGCGGCCATATTACAAAGGAACAGCTTGAGGGTCTTCGCGAGCACGTCGACGGCCAGTCTAAACTCCTTGACAACCAGCGCCAGGAGCTGGCTGGCGTCAATGCTCAGCTCCTCGAGCAGAAGCACCTTCAGGAGCGCGCTCTCGAGGTCCTTGAGCAGGAACGCGTCGCCACTCTTGAGCGAGAACTTTGGAAGCATCAAAAAGCCAACGAGGCCTTCCAAAAGGCTCTCCGTGAGATTGGTGAAATTATCACCGCCGTTGCACGCGGTAACTTGACTATGAAGGTCCGCATGAACACCGTCGAAATGGACCCCGAAATTACCACATTCAAACGCACCATCAACGCCATGATGGACCAACTTCAAATCTTTGCCTCAGAAGTCTCGCGCGTCGCCCGTGAGGTCGGTACCGAGGGTTTACTCGGCGGCCAGGCTCGTATTGGTGGCGTTGACGGAACCTGGAAAGAACTTACCGACAATGTGAACGTCATGGCCCAGAATCTGACTGATCAAGGCAAGTAACTTTACCCGTACATGGCCCATGCCGACCTATTCTAACCCCCCATAGTGCGAGAAATTGCCTCTGTCACCACAGCCGTCGCCCATGGTGATTTGACCAAGAAGATTGAAAGGCCCGCTCGTGGGGAAATTCTCCAGCTCCAGCAAACCATCAACACCATGGTGGACCAACTCAGAACCTTCGCCTCCGAGGTTACACGCGTGGCCAGAGACGTCGGCACCGAAGGTATACTCGGTGGTCAGGCCGATGTGGGAGGAGTCAAGGGCATGTGGAACGACCTGACCGTCAACGTCAATGCAATGGCCAACAACCTGACGACTCAAGTACGTGACATTATCAAGGTCACGACGGCCGTCGCCAAGGGTGACCTCACCCAAAAGGTTCAGGCCGATTGCCGAGGCGAAATCTTCGAACTCAAGTCCACCATCAACTCCATGGTCGACCAGCTTTCGCAGTTTGCTCGCGAAGTCACAAAGATTGCTAGAGAGGTCGGTACTGAAGGCCGACTCGGTGGCCAAGCCACAGTCCACGATGTCGAGGGTACATGGCGTGATCTTACCGAAAATGTCAACGGTATGGCCATGAACCTCACCACCCAGGTGCGAGAAATCGCAAAGGTCACTACCGCCGTCGCCAGAGGTGATTTAGGAAAGAAAATCAACGTCGAGGTCCAGGGAGAAATCCTGGAGCTCAAAAACACGATTAATCAGATGGTTGACCGTCTCAATACCTTTGCCTTTGAAGTCAGCAAGGTTGCCCGCGAAGTCGGTACCGAAGGAACCCTGGGTGGCCAGGCCCAAGTCGCCAACGTTGAGGGCAAATGGAAAGACCTCACCGAAAACGTAAATACCATGGCTTCCAATCTTACAGCACAGGTCAGAAGCATCTCACTTGTGACACAAGGCATTGCCAACGGCGACATGAGCCGCACCATCGACGTCGAAGCAAACGGAGAAATCAAGGTTCTGAAGGAAACCATCAATAACATGGTTGGTCGACTCTCAAGCTTCTGCTACGAAGTCCAGAGAGTCGCAAAGGATGTCGGCGTTGACGGAAAGATGGGTGCCCAAGCCGACATTGCTGGACTGAACGGGCGATGGAAGGAAATTACAACGAGTGTCAACACCATGGCCGCCAATTTAACCACTCAAGTGCGCGCCTTCTCCGATATCACAAACCTGGCAACGGACGGAGACTTCAGCAAGCTCGTCGACGTCGAGGCATCCGGTGAAATGGACGAGCTGAAGCGCAAAATCAACCAAATGATTTCAAATCTCCGAGACAGTATTCAGCGCAACACGCAAGCCCGAGAAGCCGCCGAATTAGCCAACAAGACAAAATCTGAATTCCTCGCCAACATGTCCCACGAGATCCGAACGCCCATGAACGGCATCATCGGCATGACGCAGCTCACCTTGGATACCGACTTGACACAATATCAGAGGGAAATGCTGAATATTGTCAATAACCTTGCCAACAGCCTCCTGACGATCATTGATGATATCCTGGATTTGTCCAAGATTGAGGCCAGGAGGATGGTCATTGAAGAGATCCCGTATACGTTACGTGGAACCGTATTCAATGCGCTCAAGACTCTGGCAGTTAAGGCCAACGAAAAGTTCCTCGACCTCACCTACAAGGTCGACAGTTCCGTCCCCGACCATGTTGTAGGTGACAGCTTCCGTCTTCGACAGATTATTCTGAATCTTGTGGGCAACGCCATCAAGTTTACCGAGCATGGTGAAGTCAGCCTCATCATAAAGAAGAGTTCGCAGAACGAGGAAGCCACACCTGGCCAGTATGCCATTGAGTTTGTCGTCGAAGACACTGGTATCGGCATTGCCAAGGATAAGCTGGAGGTCATTTTTGACACATTCCAGCAGGCAGATGGCTCCATGACCCGCAAATTTGGGGGCACAGGTCTTGGCCTGTCCATCTCAAAGAGACTGGTCAACCTCATGGGCGGTGACCTATGGGTCAACAGTGAAGCTGGCCGGGGCAGTCAATTCCACTTTACCTGCCGCGTCAAGCTTGCTTCCGATGATACGGACAGCCTCCATAAGCAGCTGCAGCCCTACCGCGGCCATCAAGTCCTCTTTGTCGACAAGGCTCAGTCCAGCTCCGGCATAGAGATCCGCGGCATGCTGGAACAGATTGGCATGCACCCCGTTGTGGTCGACTCGGAGAAGAGCTCCGCCCTGACAAGACTGAAGTCTGGCGGCGCCCTGCCATATGATGCCATACTCGTCGATTCAATTGAGATGGCGCGAAGACTCCGTGCCGTCGACGACTTCAAGTACCTCCCCATTGTTCTACTTGCCCCCGTTGTGCACGTCAGTCTCAAGTCATGCTTGGACCTAGGCATTTCCTCATGCATGACCACACCATGCAAACTGATTGACTTGGGTAATGGCATGATTCCTGCGCTGGAGAACCGAGCAACGCCTACTCTGGCAGACAACACCAAATCGTTTGAGATTCTGCTAGCCGAAGACAACACTGTGAACCAGAGACTGGCTGTCAAAATCTTGGAAAAGTACCACCACGTTGTCACCGTCGCCAGTAACGGTTGGGAGGCTGTCGAGGCTGTTAAGGAGAAGAAGTTTGATGTCATCCTAATGGATGTTCAGATGCCTATCATGGGCGGCTTCGAGGCCACCGGCAAGATCCGAGAATATGAACGCAACATGGGCTCACATCGTACGCCCATCATTGCCTTGACAGCTCACGCAATGATGGGGCATCGGGAGAAGTGCATTCAGGCGCAGATGGACGAGTATCTGTCCAAGCCGCTCCAGCAGAACCAGCTTATCCAGACAATCCTCAAGTGTGCAACTCTTGGCGGCCCGCTTCTCGAGAAGAACCGTGAGCGTGAGCTGCTCGCCATGCAGGCGGACGCAAACTCGTCGCTGCACCGGGAGGAAAGCGGACTGCTTCGTCCAGCCATGGAGAGCCGCTCCTTCACGTCCCGAGAGTCGCTCAAGGCTAGAGAAGTGAGCACGAACATCGGAAACGATGCAAGGCAAGACGCGATATCAAGAACACGTCGAGAAATGGCCGATACCCGGAGACTGTCCAACTAGAGCGGTGGAGAGTACTCCAAAGATGTTTAACATGATGCGCGGATTCTGATTACGACCAAGGGCGTTTTTTGTCTCACTTTTATTTATTTATTCATTTTTCCTCGAGAAGTAGCATGACAAAGCGGCTATTTTGTTATCATTGCGGTGAGGTTTCTCGAATGTCGGTTTAAACAAAGGGTTGCGATGCCTCGTCCGCCGCGCTGATCGCCGATGGCCACTTGGAAGAGCATCTGAAGTTTGGAAGGATCTGGAGCAAAGCATTGCCTTCCTTGTTGTATTTTATTTTGTGATTGTTCTGGTGTTTTGCGGAAACTGGTCATTATGGCGGCTACGATCTATAATTTTTGTTTTCGAGCCAAGGAAGAGCAGAGAGAGCAAGGGAAGAGAAGAAGAGAAGAAGAGAAAAGCGTTAAAGAGAGGGGCCATCTATATGGGGAGGCGACGCAGCTGGACAAGAGGTATATGGGCTGTCCATTTAGCATGAGAGCAAGATGTGCCGGCGGTGATGGATGGGTGGTGTTGGCATTCGCAATCGATACTTTTTTCTTTCCTTTTTTTTTTCTTTTTCTCCTATCCCGCCGCCTGTTTTTGCTTTAGGTGCGAGAGGGTGTTTTTCTTGTTACATGGGAGGCCTCTTTAAGCCGTCTTTCGTTTTTGTTTGCCATCACAAACTTCGTCTATTATTTTTTGGTTTATACATTCCAAGATTGCTTCTCCTTACACATGTGCATTTCTGGTTCTTTGTCCTTGCTTGTTGTATGGTGGCGCGAAGTCGGTAAAACAAAAGTAACCCCTTGCATTGCCCTTTGAGGCGTCATGGTTATAGAAGACGGTAGCATTTTCTTAATCATCATTTTCAAAGTATCGACTCTTGTGACTCCAGATATATACAAATACGTTCCGTCACCGGGCTCGTCAAACGCCCAGACGGGCTGGTATCAAACAAGGCTCTGTGAATTCATGCTCTCTAGGATTTCTGCTTGTTGAGGTGTAGGGGACTGGTTTAGCTTTGGGTGCCTTTGCCACCACTATTGGTGCTTTCTGAGCTCGCGGGCTTGCCTCCGTCGGTTCTTCCTCCCTGGGCCGGTGGTGCTGGTGAGCCTTGTTGTTGCTCGAACGCGGCCAGCATGGCGTCGAGCTTGGACTCGAGGTTCGTGAGGTTGGCCTCGAGTTGCGTGGCCGTCTGCTCACCCCTTGCGTCTTCCCGTTAGCGTCGTCCATTACATTTTGGCGCATCCTAGAGAGGGGGGAGAAGAAGAAGAAGAAAAAGCAAGGGTGAACGATGACCGGGAACAAATTTGGGTTCATGAATTCGGGTCAAAGGGGGGGCCGTATATTTACTTGGTGATTTCACGGTATGCCTGTGCAGCTTGCGTGTCAACTTCCTGCAATATTGCACTTGCTCATCTTCGAGAAGAATCCGAGTCGGACAACATACCGTCGCTAGATCTTGAGGGCTGGACGGCATCGCTTGCTTCTCATCCTTGTTGCCTGGCATCGTCATTTTGAGGTGTTCCTGTTGACTCCCCACGCAGTTGTATTCGAGGATAATAACGGGTCGAGAACTAGAACATGGACATGTGTGGAAACCGTGCGATCTGATGCAGCCTTGCCGGCCTTAACATTCGTCGTAGGATGATCCGCCGGGGATGAGCTCGTCAAGATCAAAACGGGTTCGGTAATCGCTCGCTCCCTTGGGCGGAGTTTCACGTGACGATGATTCAACAAAGGTCAACGAAGTCGCAATGCGCTCGCCATAAGGCTTATTTCGTCTTTAAAAAGTTACGCGTTGATGAGTTTGAGATGGAAGACAACCGCTGAATGATTCCTCCAATTCTCAGCAAGCGTCGTGAACCAATACACTAGGTACGGCTCCTGCATCACCGACCATCGGAGCACCAGGATGGGAGAGTGTAACATGGACATTTTTGCCAGATGGGAAAAAGAGAAAACCTGATATGTTCTGCTTACGCTATTCATTGTTAGAACAACCGCTAAATCCTTTGAAAGATAGATTATTGAAGTATGCCGTTTCCTTGTTTTCTTTTGTCCTGGGCCTGTCTCAACTTGGAAATCCGAAGACCTTTCGGAGGACGGGCGCGTGGTGATCTCGATGCAAGCCCATTTTCTCCCCCCCCTCCACCGGAACTGGGAGAAGCCATGACGGAAAGAATGCAGGGTGGGAGGGTGCAAGCCCAAGCAAAAGGCACCGAAACCCGCATTTTTATCTCTAGTAAATGGTAAAAAGGAAAACAGCAATAGTAATTTAAAAAATAAAAATAAAAATAAAAAATAAAACACATGACAAATGTCCCAGCATGGGTGGGCTGTTGTTGGAGCGAGGGCAGGATGAACGCCTCTGGCCGGACAGCTCTAAAGTAATTGTTGTGACACGGACCGTCCAACGACAAGGAAACCGGGCATCGACATGTTGTCATAGGAGGGTCAATGTGAGAGGGGGGGCAATGCGAGTCTAGCATGAATGCCAACCGTGAATCGTGATGGTGAGCGCATCGAGATGTTAAATCATGGTTGGTTGGCTCGGAGGATACAACAAGACCGCCTCGCCGCGGAAGCAATGTTTTAGATTTTTTCATGGTTTTCTTTTTTGCCGACCGATGAACGATCCTGGACGTCACACACAGAGAGCCTGGGCCAGGGGAGGGGGCGGCAACCACACTCCCCCGTCCTTGTCCCATGAACAGGCTAATCTATTTCGCTGAGCTTGTTGATGTGAATGGACAATGCCGACGTTGCTTTGCAATGGGGTTTTGTGGGTTGTGGAGGTTGGTTGTTGGCTGAGCTTGTCCTATACCAGTAAGCTTGTCAAACTACATTTCTTCCTCGAGAGCCTCTTTTTGTTTTTTCCTTTTTCTGTTTTGGGAGTATAATTTTTCTTCCCGGAGTGTGCTCCGACGCCAACGCCATCAACATGCAAAGTCTATTCGAGTAATTCGTATGGCGTGGGGCAAAACGACAGGGACGGGCAGCCCACGCCGCTCACGCCCACCTGGACTGGGCTCTTTACACCAGTAGTTCAGTCATCAAGAGGGCAAGACCCCCCCCGTCGTCGTCGATGAAGGTGGAAATGGTCGATCGCCGTAGCCCCCCGGGGGTCATAGTCATGGAAAGGAGGGAGGGGTCGGTGGTGAAGAGGAAACGAGAACAAAGGCCCGTCTTGCCTGAGACGCGGGAGCTCCTTGGGGCTGCAAGGTACCATGTGCCTGTAAATGGACCGTTCTCTTCGACTTGGTGTGTGTGTAAGGTGTGGTGACCTGTTCGTAGTTGGGTCGGACCCGCGTCCTGATACGGGTTGAATGTCGAGTTATGGTGGTGGTATGATGTAGTGGCGGCGACGGTAGTGATGACATGAGACAGTGCTTGCTGTGCAATGAATCGCTAGGCCTGCTGATCCTGAACGAGTCCATCTTGGCTCGTCAACTAATGTAAGAAGCTGGACCGCTGTGGCTGAGGGTGAGTGGTGCAGTAATGGTTTTAAAAGGAGAAAAGCAGTCGATATGACGTGAAGATGGCTATCATGTTCATGTGCAGATGACCCCCAAGAGATGACTGCGTCGGGTGTGTATGTGTTGATGCTGCGATCGATCCTGCCAGGCTGGTGACCAACTTGGTAACACAATGTAGCGCATTTTAAGCTGCAACTACCTGCCAGGATTGCGGTTGGTGATGGTGAACTGCCTTGACGGTTGTCGGGTTGCCAGAACATGAAACGTGTATGGCGAATTGGCATACCCTCAATATAATAACGCCAAACTATGAACAGTAAAAACATGAGCAGCTGCATACGTCCTCCGTCGCTTCCCCGTCGTTTTCAGGCTGGAAGGCTACCAAGAAAAAATGGAAGGTTCTGGAGTTTGTGGCGGGCAAAGGTTCAGGAGGTTGCAACAGTGGTTCATGAGCAACATGAGGCCATTCAACCCAAGCCGCTACTACGAAGTAAAAGCCCCCTCGGGTGGCTTTTGTCGAAGGGGGGAGGGGGAGGGCGAGGACGAGGCTTTGTATCTAAACTGAAAAGAAGAAAAAAGAAAAAAAAAAGAAAAAAAAAGAAAAAAAAAGAAAAAAGAAAAAAAGAAGGAGAGAAGAAAAGAAGAAAAGAAGAAAATAAGAAAAAGAGGCAGGGGGTGAGGCAGTGAAAGGGGGGTTGCAGAAATTGGGCGTCGTTTTTATTTTGGCATCATGCTAGAGAACATTCCCATATTCTTTTTCTCAAAGTTTCTTTGGGGGGAGGCGTCTGAGAGGGAACGGATTTGGAATGGTAAGAGTGATTGGATCCGTAGAACGAATGGTGATGAGGCATTGGGTAGCGGCGGGGATGAGGTCGTGGCAGTACTGACAACAAACACTGTGCACTTGTTCTCAGTTGTTTCTAACTTACCTACCCAAGATAGGATAGGGGCATGAGGGGTTGCAGGGAAACCCTGAGATGAGGATGGGTGGTTTTGGAGAGAAAGAGAGTGGTCAGAGTATGATGAATGAACAGGTGGGTAGGTACATAAGTAGTAGGTATGCAGATAGCTTTGCTCTTCTTGACATACTATGTATACCCCCCCCCCCCCCCAGCTGGGGCATTCACCATTCAAGCATGCCAATTCTCGATGTCCACGCCAAATCCTCGATCCCAGAAGAGCCCGGTTGATGGACACGGCAGACAATTAGCGCCACTTGTTACTGGGATTTCTGGCTTCCGTAGCATGCCAAAGACGAACTTCTCTCTCCATCCAGCACCCATTTCTTACCTGCAGCATAACGTTAGGTAGTAATTTCCTCTTCGGCCCTCGACAGGCGTCAAGTCGTGGGTAGTCCTCATTCACTTCCTCACTCACGCCATGTTGCTGCTCACATGCAATGATGGACTGTTGTTAGTATCATACTAGTAGTCGCACATTTTAATTTCAGCGCCCCCTGTCTATAGCCTTAAGCTTCAGGGTTCAACCCATCTGTACAGCTCGCCTTGCGTGTTTTTTTTTCTGCCTGGTGTGCTCACCCCCTTGTCATGACTTTCGTGGTTCAACGACATCGAGATCGCTGCTGAGCATTTCAACTAGCCACCCCCCCTCCTTCTCCAAGCCCGTTAATGGCACTATAAGCGCCTCGCTAGTTTTTATAGAGCGGCGAAAAAACTACCTATGTAGTAAAGCATGGAGATTAGCAAACGAAAAAGACATCTCGATAGGTACAGGGCACCTCGCTAAGCTAGCGATCTACTGTCGAAGCGTGAGCGAATAGATAGTTATATGTTGAGAAAGCAGTTTGCCCACCCATATTCCCGGAGCGTCGCGGTATTGTCCATGTTGAAAGACATCATCGATCACGGATCATCATCCAGGGCCATTCTTGGCTTTCTTCTCCCCATCCACCATGCGCAATGTCTCGCTCTCCCAAAGCCTGCTCGGTGTTTTCGTTCCCTTTATTTTTTCTTTTTGGCGAGCCGGCCCGCACCCCGTAGTTGACTTGGGTGCGCCGCGCCGCGCCGCGCATGCGACCCAACGTACCAGCGGAAAGAGTAAAGGCCAAACGGCTCTGGCCTTGTAGGACAAGACAATTGACGTTAACTACTGGTGATTCATACGGTCCAAATCCTTAACTCTGCGGCAGCTTTGCCAGGGCGTCATATTCATTACGTCAGCGAGAGCGCAATGGCTTTTTCATAGAAAACAGAAAGAATGGAAAAGGATAACTTCTCACTCGTCCTCATCTTAAACTCTTAGACAGACACAGCCCACATGCCCAGGGCCTATTTAGCTTGCATGCATCAGGACACGCCTTGTGCCTGGGCGTGCGCTTTTCTGCATTCCACTAATAGCAAATGCCCATGTTTGACAAAATCCTAGTCTTTTGCGATGGAGTCATCGACGAGCCATAGCGCGTGTAGCTTCTCCATCTCAGTAGTTGTGGGTAGAAGAAATTGTGGTAGCGTGGTCACGTCGATGGCGGGAAAGGAGCGGCCAGCATGAGGATCGCGAAAATAGGGCAGTAGAGTCGAATATCGATCTATGCCTTGTTTGCTTGTGTCATTCTAAGCCGCAAATGGGCTACACCACCACTTTGGCATTTCTTTCGTCCCATGTCAGAGCTTATTCCTTTATGTATCAACGTCGTCATTAGAACCGGCCAGTCAGCCTGTCATGGTATAGGTACGGCTACAACGCTGTTAGACTGGCTGGCTGGCCCCCGGGTAGTGGCTGTGTTGTCTCGATATATCTCGTCTTACCAGCACTTTCCAGCGCCTTGCTTCCCTGTTCCATGATGCTGCTGGATGTTGTCTTAGTCCATGATGAGGCTTAGGTTGGCCCTCTGTGTTTGTGTGTATCTCGAGCCTCTCGTCTAACAAGCTGACCTGGTAGGCGGCGCTAGCAACGGAAATGCGTCATTAGCTCAGGGCGTCAACGGCGTGGTGGGTGGGTGGGGGTATTGGCCGCGATGTATCATATATCCTTCTCGTTGCCGATGGACTGGTTGATCAATGGCACACAGACAAGGCTCAGGCCGCTCTTTTCTTTATTGGTCACGGAGTGGCTGGTATGTTGGTATGTACGAGGGTATAACTAGTTGTTTCGAGTCTTGTTTCGTTTTCTCCCATTGTCGCTGTTATGCTAATTGTTCTTTCCTCAACTCGTCGGCTGTCGGTTCATTTTGTAGAAGACGAGAAGGGTGTAGGGTAACAGCACTGGTTCTTGAGGCGAGATATACTGTGCATGGAACTATTCCATGTCCAAATAGAGCCACACAGTTATACGGGTATGCGGGTATGCGGGCTGCCGGTGAGCCCACAACAGCGTGTTCCGACAATGATGGAGGGGAGGTCTGTGGGAGTAGGGGTGAGAGGGAACACAAGAAGACGTCGATTTTTAGCAACAGCATCGGGAGATGTTGCTATGTTGTTGTCTATGCTATTCATCGGTCGTTACCATTGCCACTGCCTAGGAGACATCATGGCGTTGGCTAAACATCTCGGATCCCATGGGGGAACTTTCTGAGTAGTCGGTACGGAATTAGAGAAGATATCTGCGATGCATCCAAATAGCGTGATAGGGAGTCAGTATTCGTTCAGTTTCTATAATAAGAGACTGGCTCGTGCTTCAAAACGCCCAAGAAAGAGAATAGCAGATAGCATTCGCGTGGTGCTGTGCAACTTTTATACGTACGAAGTATCACTGTGCCAAAGTTGTCGTCATAATAAATCGGGCAGTGGAAACAGCCCACTGAAGCGGAGAAGACCGTTTTTCTGGTTTCTTTTTTCCGATGGTACGAGGGAGTCTTGGGAGAAGACGAGGCTGGATTGTTGGGTTCAATGGAAGAGAAATGGAAGTTGAATTCTTTTGAAGGAAATAAACATTGCGGTTTTACTATGGAATATTATTATCCGTTGCCAGTTGTGTCCCCAGCGTCCAGCTCCGCCGAGTGACTGCCAGCTGCCAGCTGCTAGCTGCCAGCTCATGCCACTAGGTCTGTCGCTGCCAGCCATGAAACGGGGTTCGCAACTGGCAAACACTGGGCTGGCACCTGGCACCATCAACGCTTGGCAGCTGGCAACTGCAAACGCAGGTACTGGGCCAAATTCCCCAATGCCTAGGTACTGCTGGTAATAAATGATGGCCAACATCACTACATACACGCCTCCTCCTTCTTCCGGCCCCCCTCCCCCCCCTTTCTAGCTTCCACCAAACCTTCCAATCATGCCGCCCGCTTAACTGGGACTTGGCCACTAACCTTCCTGTACGACCAAAGTAACGTGAGCTCTTCCAGGTCCACGACGCTGCTTCTACCGGCCTGGGCCTTCTGCCTCTGGTCTCGTCGCCAGCTGCTGCTCCTCCCACAGCTCGGCCTCGATTTTCTTCTTCTTTTCTTCCCAATGCCCGCCCGTCTCCTCGCTCCTTCATCTCCTACCTATCCGCCATCTCTCGCCCTCCGACATCCTCATCGCTATCTATCCTCGCCCTCCTCAACTCGACCTGACCTTGCTTGAATCCCGTCGTCGTCTCCCTGTCATGTCCATCCACCCGCCGCCTTTGGCCGTCGCTCCCAGCTAGAACCGAAATCTCGATTGTCTTGACCAATTTGCTGCCCTACCTCCTCGACGCACTCTCCACACACCGCACCTGGCTAGGATCGCCAGTGCTCCATTGCGTCACAATCTCCAGTACTATCCCACTAGCACCCGCAAAAACGGGCTCGCCATCCAATACCACACCCGCCAACGCGCTCAAAGCTCTGCTCGATTCCATCTTGCCTTTTACTATACTGAGCGACTCACCTCCCTTTCATTCCACTCGACTCTTTCTCATTCATCATCGTTCGCTCTCACTCACATGCGATTGCTCCTAATCCTCCTCGACGCCGCTCCTCATCACCCATCTCGCCGTCGGCGCCTTTGAAATATCCTAGACGTCATTGCACGCTCACTCTCGCCCAGTCCAGTCTCACACTCATCCACCACTGCAGCCACAACGTTGACCCGGCCTTCACCAACGACCAACCCACTCTTGCCACGCGCCGCTCACATAACGCCCCCGTTGGAACCCATCACTTACAACCGCCGGCCTAAACCTTGCTCTCGAGCTTGAAACTCTGGCTTTCGATTCGCACTCAGCCTCCTTTCTGTTGCCCCGCTCAACGGTACTCATATTTACGAACAGCATCACTCTGGCCTCAAATCGCCTTTCTTTCAGCTTTGCTAGTTTGCATCTAAATGCCGGCCATTGATATCCTGCCTACTCATCAACCTCTTAACAAGGAACCGGCGATTTGGTGAGAGACTCAGTACTATCTCTGTCACCAAGACTCAAACACTCGACTGCATGCCTCGAGAGCTCGAGTCCGTTTTTGCCGAGCTGGGCCTTGCCCAGTACCTCGATGCATTCGTTGATCAAGGCTTCGACTCTTGGGATACCATTCTCGACATCCAAGAGTCTGACCTGTAAGCCTTTTTAACTCGAACTTTCTTATCTATCATAGCCTGACATGTTCAATAGCGATGCCCTAGGGGTCAAGCTCGGCCATCGACGAGTATGTTACCAACCCAAAGTTTTCCATGTTCTCATTACACTAACACCCACCTAGAAACTCCAAAGGCGTATCGCCAATGCTCGTGGAATCGCTCCCAGCGTTTCTCTGGTCTCGACGCTGAAGTCTGGTTCAGAGGATGCTAAACAGCAACCGCTCAGACGGGAGAGTGCTACACGCTCCGAGGCTGGCTCTGAGTCTACCAACGGTGTAACTAAGAGGAAATATCGGCGTCATCCCAAGCCAGACGAGAATGCCCCCGAGCGACCACCGTCTGCCTACGTTCTCTTTTCGAACAAAATGAGAGAAGATCTAAAGAGCCACAACCTGTCCTTCACCGAAATTGCCAAACTAGTTGGAGAGAATTGGCAAAACTTGGATCAAGCAGAACGAGAATTATACGAGAATCAAGCCAACGCTGCCAAGGAGAAGTATCGACGAAACCTTGTCGAGTACAAAAAGACTTCGGAATATCGGAGATACGCTCAGTATCTCCAAGACTTCAAGGAAAAGCAAAACAAGCATAATCAGGGCTCCAAGGCCCACCTGCGTAAGAACTCAACTGCTCATACTGCTCTTAAGCATTCGGCCACTCACCCCGACACAGCGACAGACACCTCCACAAAGCAAAGAGTTGACTCTAAGCGCGACGCTGGTCGACTTCGGCATGATAGTAGCCACGGGAGCACTACTAGTGGCGGAACCAGTACTACATTATTGAGCGGCGCTTCAGGAACCATCAGTGGGAGCAGCAGCGAGAGGTTAAGAGAAAGCGAGCCGCCGCCTTACCGCCGCCGTCGAGTTGATTCGATTGCCTCTATTGCCGAGTCGCAAATGTCCTCAACCGCACCAACCGCGCTGTCGCACAGGAACTCTCTCGACGGAAATGGCCTCTCCCCCCGCGACTCTCATTTCGATAACAACAGTCCCATCGACGGCCGCCATTCGCAGCACTCTTCCGCCTGGTATGACCGCTCGAATCCCTCAGAAGCCTCAAAGATGCCTCATCAGCTACCATCACTCTCGGATATGTTCGAGAAAGACAATCATCAAGGTATTGGTGGACGACTTCCTCCCGCGGGCTCGTCTGCTACGGGTATGGGCTCGCCTATTCCATACCAGACAGAGGATGTTGTGAGACGCTCTGGAGGGTCAAAGTTGCCTGACTCTCGCCCGACCGGCGACAGCGCACTACCAATCCATGCACTCCTTTCCAACCAGGCGTCCTCGAATCCGCTGTATGCCAAGGCCCCTCTAAGAGGATCCCATATGCTCAATAGTAAGGATACTGTTGAACCCGCCCTTGGACCACCTGGTTATGGTACGTCAATCACATCGTCCCGAAGCTCTGCATACTTTTACTGACGTTGCTGTGTAGGGTTTCTATCTAACTCGCCAACATTTCGACATATGAAGACGGAACAGTCTGGTGATGGCGATGTTGTCATGACCACGGAGCGTTCACCGCCTAGCAGTGGTGGTGAAAAGGGACGCTTCGATGGTATGAGTGCCCTGCTCCAAGCTGGCGAAATTGTTGGCCGCCGAGGTGACCGGCGTTGAAGCGAGCCTCCTGTGCCCTCAACTCCTACTCTAACAGGCGTGGGCCCTGATTGTGTTCTGTTGCAACATGCCCTTGGCCTATCTGGTCTTGATGCATCAAGTTTTGAACCGCAACGACGGCGTGTTAAATTTTTGGTCAATTTTCTTCCATTTCTTTTTGACATATTTTTGGGATGTATGAACCCGGAGTTTGGTTGTTATGTTATCTTTGGTGAATGCCCTTGGAAAAAATTGCGGGCAGCATTGGCGAGGCTTTCTGTATTTCTGCTCACCATTTCAGCGTAGAATATTGTTGGAAACCCTTTCTTGTTTGTATTTCGTTGTTTTCTACAGACATGGTAATGTTCTGATGTTGGAACGCCCGCGAAAGCCAATGTCGTGGGAAGATGTGTGGACTGACTGGATGGGAAAAGAAGAACTCTTCTGTTTTGTTACTCTTGTTGCCACAAACCGCGAAGCACGAACAAATTGCAAGGTAGCTGCGTCGTGCAGAGCCGGCTAGTGGCCAGCTTCCAGCTAATCAAGGCCAAAAAAATGTATATAACTAGCCGATCGATGATGACTTGAATGACGTATCGAATTAGACGTTACTTCGCTCTGCCTTGCGGCCTCTTGACGTGATGGTCTTGAAGTAGTGCAGCGTTGAAGGCCTGGTAAGGAAGCCGGAGGTAACGCTTTAAAATAAAGTTGGAATAAAACGAAGATGTAATCTTCTATCGTAATAAGAAAACATTAAAACGTTCGGTATATGCTCATCATCACATAAATGCCCACCCCCATGAGTATCGCTCCTGTCCATCATGTCCTCACTAGTCAAATTCTCCTCCTCTTTCACGCCTCGCCCTCGATGACCTCCGCGGTCCAGTCCTTACGAATCTCGAGCTCCCTGAGGTCCTCGGTGGTGCTGATGACGAGACCGCGCTCGTTGGCGAGGTGCAGCAGGGAGATGAAGCAGTACGACGTGGAGATGTCGTTCATCGCGGGCTTGGGGTACACGCGCTGCAGGTCGTTCATGACCTTTGTGAACTTGAGCGTCGGGTTCGTCGTCGGGTCCTCGAGCGGCTGCTGCGGCGGCCGCGGCTGCTCGGACAGGGAGCGGCGGCCCGCGGGCTCGTCAGCGGGCATTGCGGGCGGTGTCTATCATGAACAGGTAATTAGTACAAAGGGCGTGGTGCGAACGTGTGTTCTGGGGCTGTGCTGGTGGCCTCACTTGTAGCGCTTCGAGGCCCATGCCTTTCCAAATCTCGTCCTTGAGGCGGCGGATGTCGACCTTTTTGGCCACGCGGGCGTACTGCACGTACTCTGGACGCACGCGCCTCGTCGCGGCGACGAGGGTATCGCCAAAAGCGCCCATCGGGTTCGCCATTGTGTCGCCGCCAAACATGGCCGTCATGCCGCCCACGTTCTCCGTCAGGCCCATGTCGGCGCCCGCACCGCCAAGGTGCTCCTGGGCATCGGCAAACTCCATGTCATCGTCGTCATCATCATCGGCGCCGCCGCCCGCGAATGGCAGGGCATCGTCTTGGAAGAAGTTGGCATCGTAGTCGCCGCCGGGCAGGGCCGTCTCCTCGGGCGCCTTTTGCTCTGCCCAAAACGCCTCGTCCAACTCGCCCAGGGGCTGGTTGTCCATGTCAGTGTTGACGCCGACGCCGCCAAATACCCGGCGCGGGTTACCGGTGCTGCGCTGGATCAGGCGCGCCTTGGGCTTGAGGAACAAGCTTAGTAGCGACTTCGAATTAAAGTGCTTATCGTCGGGTAGCAGGTTGCGCGACTTAGATTTCCAGTCTTTCTTGGCTAGGCTGATGGTTGCGTTGCTCGCGGCTTGTGTATAGAGGGCATCAGTTAGACTTGAGCCGAGCGCGGAGCCAAAGTCAACTTCGAATGGCTCCTTTTCCTTGCGCTTCTTGGGCGTATCGCTTGCTGGCTTGCTGGTATCCTTGATTTTGCGGATGCGCCAGTGCTCGGCGTTCGTCCAGTTCTTTTGCAGAGCCTGGTCGAAGAAGCTGAGAATATCTTGGTGCATTTTATCGGCATTTTGAGGATTGGACACGGAAATGATGTAGTCACCATTTTCATCGTATTCATCCTCATCGGCATCATCGTCACCGGCCACCGGGTTATCGTATACCCTCATTTGCGGCTCCAGAGCTGCTTCTCTCGCCCACGCTTCACCGCCCTCGCCAAAAGCAACATCGTCACCAATGTCAAAGCTGCCCAGGCCGAGATCGTCGTCATCAAAGCCCATCGGCGCATCGCCGTCGATAAGCATGCCAGAGTTATCGCCAAATGCGCCGGGTAGACGGCCGTCTTCGTCGCCGCACCAATCCTCGGGAGCCTTGAGGAAGGGAATGTCCATGGATCCGGAGGGGTCTCCTAACTCAAAGTTCTTGAGCGAGGGGCAGACGTCGAAATCTTCCAGTCGGCTCAAGTCAGGGAAGTAGCGCTGCCGCAGACCAGTCAGGTCAATCTCAACGTCATGTGGGTCGTCCTCGTGCTCGCCCTCCTCGATGTGAAGTGCTTCGACATCGCTTTGTAGCTGCGAGATGTCACTCTCTAAGTTTTCGTCTTCGTCGAGATCCATGTCGGCTTCCTCTTCCTCTTTCTTGTCGGCACCAGTATCCACGGCGTCAGTGTCATCACTGCTATCGAAGACGATGCGGCCCTGGGAATCGATCATAAGGTGGTTGAGGAGTAGGCCCTTGGCGCCGCCCTCATCGAAGTCGGCAGAGGCCTTTTTAAAGAGAGGATCCACAGAGAATTCAAGCTCAAACTTTTTGAGCTGTAGTGAGGCAAACGAAGGTGCTAGTGTGGCTTCGGATCGTTGTGACTAGAGTTTCTGGTAAGCAGTGTCCGTTGCACCGCGTAACGGGCTGTTGCCGCTTCCTACCTTCTTCTTGGGTTTCTTCTTAACATTACCGTCTTCATCTACTTCATCCTCGCTCTCCCCTCCGTTACCTTCCTCACTATCGGCCTTCTTTTTGCTGTTACTGTCGGCTAAGCCACTGAGCAGCTTGCCTGTCTCAGTAGCGACACTGTCGACTCTGTTTGTATAAATTTTCACACAGCCATCGAGTGTGCAACTAGCTTTCTGAAAATTGACACCATCGCCCTCTTTAAGCAGGGACATGTCGTGGAAGTAGTCGATCAGAGCAAAGTTCCAGGAGTTGGTGGCGTTGATCTTGTTGTCCGTAGCCATCTTCATCCATTCCTCAAAGTTGGCGAGAATGGGTACGCGCTTGACAGGTGTGAGGTTGACGCCGTTGATGACAATTGGGTCGTCAGAGAGATCGAGGCCACGCGAGGCACGCGGCGTTCCGGCGTTAGAGCCTGGGGCGGCATTTTCAATGTCGTCGATTCCAAGGCTAGTTCTGCGAGAGCCCGAGGCAGCGGCCTTGAGCTGGTTGATTTGCTTGTCGTGGAGGGCCTTTCGAGAGTTGATGCGTTTGCCGCGCTCCTCAGCGTCGTCGTTGAGCGGAATTCTATGTGGCAGCGTTCTTTTGTCAGTGTCTAGACGATGATAGGGCGTGGTGCTGGTGAGGGGCTAAAATAATTGTTTTGCGACGCGCTGGACTTACGAGCTCAGCGACCCAGATACGGATCGGACGCTGCCTGAGCGAGGCATCTGAGCGACGCGAGGCATTTTGGAGTAGCGTAAAGGGAGAAACCAGCCGTGATGCAAAGCGGTATGTCGGCTAAGAAGGGATCTTTCGTCGCGTTTGGCGTGGAAGTCGTTGATGTTGCCCTGGGATCTGGGCTGGGTCTTACTAACAAAGTAAACAAAGTACCCTTTCGGAAAGGTCGTGTTGCAGAGTGGCGGATGTGTGGCTGAACAGAACGGTTGTGGCTGTGTTCCACTCTAACGTCAGAATCTTGGGCGGTTCAAGGTTACGCCACACCTGAGTTGAGCCACGGGTAATGCCAAGCCACTGGGCGACTTTGGGTTTGATGAGCTAACCTACACCGCCGAGCTCCTGTACATACTGGTACTAACATGACTACTAATCTGGTAGGGTAGGTAGATAGGTAGGTATTTTTACCAATAGCTTGGTATTATTTACAAGTACCATCAGCCAGCCGCCCAGTAAGTTTCCTATTCGTACGCTTGCTGGGTGGGCTAACTATACCAGGAACTTGGTATAACCTTGGTCAAGCCACTTTGTTGGTACCTGCTTCATCACGGCTGTGGAGGTGTTGGAGGCCGCTAGACAAAGTATCAGAGGGGTGCTTGTATTTGTGGCCTTTCTTTTTGGTGGGATCTCTGAAAAAATATTTGCAACTTTGATATATGCCATAGGAAGCAGGAGCCATTCGTATTTTTCTCTTTGTAGCAGAATTTAGTAATAAATTCACATCAAGATAACCACGTGCAGCTTCCGATACAAGGTCCCGTTGCTGTGCTCTTCTGACGCTGAAGATCTGCAGCCACTCTCTGGTGGCCCAAGCGCTGTAACATGGCGCCAGCTGCTGGCTGCTCCCCCGCTGCCACGACCGGAATAGTGCCCAAGACATCCAACCGTCGGCTTAAATTGGCCAAGTCCATCCAGCCATCCATCCGTTCGTTTCCTTTGCCAATTGCCGCTCATCAATTCGCTTGCTCATCACGTCACCATCTACTCAGACTTCTTCTCGCATGATATCTTCCTAGGCATTCAGGGCCGGCTTTCCCGCCTCAATAGAGCTCGTCGGCCTCGACACATTGTGCTGTCAATATCTCGCAGCTCCCCACGTCCCTGGCCCAAACCGTCGCAATCCCGAGATGCCCAGTCCAGCACCATGGCCGCAGTACTAGCTCGAGGCCGCCGACGCCTCAGCACCTGGCCCTTTACCATCACGCTTCTTATCATCTCCATTCTCTCTGCATATGCATTTCTCATCCGAACACATCACCATGCAGTCCCGCGAGCCCTCTCCTCCGATCTCGCCCCTCACCTGGTGTCTCGGAGCAACCAAGCCGATCCGGAATGCCGAGATGTCCGTCTTGTCGAGGACCAATGCGCCTTTGTCAAAAAGTACTGCCTAGACGACGACGCCGGCCTCATATCCTACTTGGATCTTTACTACTGCAAGCTGAACCATGTTCAGCCACTGGCTTTTGTCTTGATTGTGCTTTGGCTGGGAATGCTCTTCACCACCATCGGCATTGCCGCCAGCGACTTCTTTAGCATCAACCTCAGCACCATCGCCACGATATTGAGACTGAGTGAAAGCTTCGCAGGTGTAACATTTTTGGCTCTTGGAAATGGCTCTCCCGATGTATTCAGCACATTGGCTGCCATGGCATCTAACAGCGCCAGCATGGCCGTCGGCGAGCTGCTCGGCGCTGCCTGCTTCATCAGCGGCGTCGTTGCAGGGTCCATGGCGCTGGTACGCGAATTCAAAGTTGATCGACGGTCCTACGTGCGAGACATTTGTTTTCTTATATTCGCTGTGGTTTTCACCATGATCTTCCTCGCCGATGGAAGCCTGCATTTTTGGGAGTGCTGGGCCATGATTGCATTTTACTTGCTGTACGTGGCTACCGTCGTCGGGTGGCACTGGTATTTCTCGCGCAGAAAACTACGACTCCGTCGTGAAGGCGAAGCTCGCAGCCATTTCTACGGCTCCGCCAACCAAGCCAACGATGAATTGGCTGGCGAGCCGTACCGCGACGACCCTGATGACGCTGATCGCACCCACGGCTCTCGAGAGCGGGCTCGGCCCGACATCTCTGCCTTGGAGTCCAGCCCTCGTGTCGAGTTCGAAGGACAGGACTGGGATGAAGTTGCCGACGAGCAGGCGCAAGACCACGAGAGAATGGTCGCTGCAGAAGTCTCACGAAGCATGCGTGTCTTACGACCCAGTCGGCCTCGGAGGAATACCAAAACACCAATTAGACCTAGTCTCGTCGGTGCCCTCGAATTCAGATCTGCTCTGGCTCAACTCCAGCGTGAGAGCAACTGGCAACTTTCCAACATGCCGAGTCGCAGCCATTCAGTCCACCATATTCCTCATCTACGAGAGCGCGGCGCGTCGTTTGCTGAGCCATCTACTGTTTCTCGCTCCCACCCGGACCCTCATTTTGAACCAGGTCCTTACGGACGTGAGCGTGGCTTTTCGGTATCTACTGTGCCCGGCGTGATCACTGAATCAGAAGATGCCGTGAGCGATAGCGAGCAAGGTAGTGAGCAGCTATCTGGCCCCATGAAAGCGCCATCCCCGTCGGCATCATATACTGTCGGGGGCAATTTGGCTCCTCCGCCAACTAATGCTTCTTCGGCACCAACAAGCAGCGCAGCCAAGGGCCAGTCTGATAAGCAGCTACCCTTGCTTATCGTGCGCCCCCCTACGCGCCAAGGCGGACACAGCGAGGGTTCAGCACCCGGCTCGCCGTTTCCCCAATATACTGATTCGCCTGTGCTTCTGACGCCAACCCCGAACGCTGAGCCGAGTGAGTTCATGCTTCCATCTCCGGCCTCAGGACGGCGGCCCGAATTACCTGGGCCTCTGCGTGATTGTGATTGTATTGTTGAGCCAAAGCCTGTCTCTTGGTGGCCATATTCCATCTTGCCGCCACCGCACATCATCTTGGCGACTCTTTTCCCAACATTACAGGGATGGGGCACCAAGACGTGGTGGGATAGGTTCGTCAGCGCCATCTCTGTGCCCAGCATCTTCCTCCTGGTTTTGACGCTGCCTGTGGTTGAGCCGGAGGAAGATGAAGACGAGCACACCGATGTGACGATAGCGTCACAGTCTGGCCATGAGGTCATCGTGAGCGATGTTGACCGATTTTCTCAGGAAAATGGCCGGCAAGAAGGTGTGGCAGAGTGGGAAAGATACCGAAACTATCAAAGCCGCAGAACAAGCCATTCTTCATCTTGCCTGCAGTCACCGCAGTTGCCCGCTCTCACAAACGACAATACCCTTGTTAGTCCCTGCACGGTCGGAGCGGCGTCTGCAGCTGTCGCGAACAAAGCAGCGTCGGACTTGACCTCTGCTGGCAACAATGGCGCGGACCCGGGGACTTGGAACAGGTGGCTGGTTTGCGTACAGCTGTTTACGGGACCTCTGTTCGCGGTGTTTATCCTGTGGGTCAATCAGTTGGACGACTGGGAAAATCCAAGGAAGACACTTGTCAAGATGGTCTTGTATTCTTTGCTGTTATCGCTGGTCTTGCTGGCGATACTGGTCATTGTGACGGTCGAGCATATCCGTCCCAAGTACCACTACATCCTGTGCTTTCTGGGGTTCGTGATTAGCATCGCATGGATCTCGACGATTGCCGGCGAAGTGGTTGGCGTATTGCAGACGCTCGGCGTCGTGCTTGACATTTCGGAGGCGCTCCTGGGGCTGACCATCTTTGCGGCGGGCAACAGCGTCGGCGACTTGGTTGCTGATATTACCGTGGCCAGACTCGGCCACCCCGTCATGGCATTGTAAGTACAATGAAGCGAAGTGGAAAAGGTAGAGATTCTCGCTGACGTGGAACAACAGGTCTGCATGTTTCGGGGGCCCGCTGCTGAACATTCTTTTGGGCATCGGCATCGGCGGCGTACTGATGATGATCCAGGGTGCGAATCATGAGAGAGGCAAGCACCCTGACCGGCCGGTACACTACGGCCCGTACCCCGTTGAGATTGGCGGCACGTTGCTGGTATCGTCCATGACGCTGTTGGTGATTCTGAGCGGGTTGTTGATTGCGGTGCCGATGAACAAGTGGGTGCTGAGCCGGAAGATTGGGTGGGCGTTGATTGCGGTGTGGTCCGTCAGCACGGCTGTGAATGTTGCGATGGAAGTGAGCGGCGTTTGGGGCGGTTCCAAGAGCTGATCACTCTTGTCCCTTCTTCTTGTTCCGGCTCCTTCTCCTCCTCTTTTCTTCTACTGCCCCCTCTTATTCTCCCACTTGCTTCTCCTCTTTAGCAGCGCCGGGAGGCTAGCATATTCTTGGATTGGCGTTTATTGATTTGGAGAGTAAAAGTGTTGTGATGGGGTGCATACAGAGTCATACTCTGCCATGGAGAGAAGCCTGCTCCATAGTGGGAAGAATTATAGTTTAGTCATCATTGTCATTCGTCATCATTGTCATATGTATAGCGGTACTTTCCTCAATTGCATCAATGATATAGTTGCGGTAATCAGTCTTGAGGATACGACGTGGCGGATGGTGGCTTAGACAGACAACGGCGAGGCCAGAGTGTCCTTTGAGGGATGAAGCATTGCGCAAGGTAGGTGGCTGGATTGAATCTTTGTAGCGTGTAATCATCGTGAAATTGCGAGCTGCTGCTGCGCCACGATGCAAAATTTCCGAATCTCGTTCATAGAAACTGTCAACATTATTTGTTATATTATTATAGGCTCCGGCCTTGTCAAGAACACGCCCCCTGCAGGCCGGCGATTAGTGGCCCAACCTTTCAACACACCGCCTGCGCCGCCCTGGAGCTACCCCTCCAAAAAAGGTGACAGACTCCGCGAACCCCTCCCTCCCCTTCTTCGAGCCGCAATCAGCTATCACAACCTGTCCTTTTTCCAATACTGTCTCACCAAACGGAAAGCGACAGAACTACAAGTACGGATGCCTCCCCAGTCATCTTGGGGGCTCAATCAATTGGCACTAACACGCTTGTAGGAGAAACTACACACCATCTTACCCCCTAGCTCCTCACGAACAAGTTATAACAAACGACCATGGCTGACGCTACCTACCCCCCTCTCGAGGAGCGTCCCCTCAAGGACACCATCTGCCTCTTTGACGTCGACGGCACCCTGACGCCTGCCCGTCTGGTACGCAGAATGCCCTCCGCTCTTCTCCTGCGGGCCAATGAAACAAGACCGACATTCGCAAAACCAACCCAGCTAACCTAACTTGCTCAAAAGGATGCCTCCCCCGAGATCCTCGCCATCCTGCGCGCCCTGCGCCAAAAGTGCGCCATCGGCTTCGTCGGCGGCTCCGACCTCGCCAAGCAGGAGGAGCAGCTCGGCGGGCCCGCCGGCGCCCCCGTCACCAGCCTCTTCGATTTCTGCTTCTCCGAGAACGGCCTGACCGCGTTCAAGCTCGGCCAGGCGCTGCCCTCGAACAGCTTCATCGAGTGGATCGGCGAGGCCCGCTACCAGGAGCTCGTCAACTTTGTCCTGCGCTACGTCGCGGACCTCGAGATTCCCGTCAAGCGCGGCACCTTCGTCGAGTTCCGCAACGGCATGGTCAACATCAGCCCGGTCGGCCGCAACGCGAGCAACAAGGAGCGCAACGAGTTCGAGGCGTACGACAAGGAGGCCAAGGTGCGCGAGAAGTTTGTCGCCGCGCTCAAGGAAAGGTTTGGCCATCTCGGCCTGACGTGCGTCATCCCCCCCCGCCCGTGCTAACTTCATGCCGGCAGCTTCTCCATCGGCGGCCAAATCTCGTTCGACGTCTTCCCCACTGGCTGGGACAAGACCTACTGCCTCAAGCACCTCGAGGACGAGGCCAAGAAGCCCGGCGGCATCGCCTACAAGAACATCCACTTCTTCGGCGACAAGACGGCCAAGGGCGGCAACGACTACGAGATCTACGAGGACCCCCGAACTATCGGCCACTCGGTCAAGGGACCTGAGGACACCATGACCATCCTCAAGGAGGTCTTTGGTCTGTGATTTGTGAAAAGGGAACGAGAGTATATATTTGAGAAAAAAAAATCATGTAGCGACTGGCGTCTCCGCTATGTCAGCGGACGACCAACTAAGATAATACACCACATACAACATACAAGGTGATAAGAACCATGTAGCATAATTTGAAAACTTGAGAGCCACATTGTGTCAAGTATTCAACATGTTGCTCATCTAATGCAATATTGCCCTCTAGAAAATCCAAGAAAAAAAAATAAACAAAATAAGTACCAGTAAATAACAGTAGCTACAATGATTCCGATTTCGCCAGCCGGCTAAATACCAGGTATATCCAACACCACATATATCATCATTTCAACCATTACAGAGACATCGCTCCCAGCCGTCACTTGCTGTCACCCCCCAAACCTATCTTCCAAACTCAAGATGCGGGATAATCACCGGACCGTACTTGGTAGTCGTTGAATACGGCCCGTCGCCTTGCACGACAAAGTCGATCGCCAAGCTCAGCTTGCTCAAGCCTTGCTGTGAACTGTTAATGCTGGGGTTGGGACTGAACGGTGGCTGGTTCTGGGCCATGATTGCTTCTTGGTCGTAGGCAACGAAAGCTGCGTAGTTTCTGCGCCCCATGAGTTTCTTGAGTTCTCGGATGCCACCACTGGCATCATTGTGGAAAATCTCCATCATGTCTTCCTTGGTGTCAGACACCTCATGGGTAGACTTCTGGCCATTTTGCGGCACGTAGAGCGTCTTCTGGTTATGCAAGAGCTTCAAGACGTAGCCTCCCTGAGGTGCTGCTACAATTGGTGAGGTGATAATCTGGTACATGGTCTTGTGGTCGCCGGGGTGTGTGGGATCGTGAACAAGGCCAGCGCCAGCCGAATTTACATCTGTTTCCAGTTAGCTTTACACCGCATAGCAAATCTGATAAATGCTTACCGCCTGAAAGAAATGTCATGCGAACTCCCTTTTGCTGTGCAATGCCTTGCAAGGTGCGAATAAAGTATGTTCGCTCCAAATCCTTGGTTTCGTGAGTCCACATATCCTTGAGCACTTCTTGGATATCAAGCTCTCCAAACTGATTGAGGACATTGCCCATGAGTCCAGTTTTACCCACCGCCTTCTTGACTTGGGAGAAGCCTTGGGCCACTACCTCTTTGCCGCCAACAACACCAGCAACAGAGCTCGTAACCTTGCCGAGGATATTATAGGTCGTGTTCACAGCCTTCTTGCCTGCGGCGACAGTGTTCGCAATACTCTCAACGGCTTCAAGTCGAGGGAAGACGAGCGGAACAGATACCATCCATATCACATGCTGAACGCTTGGCGGAAGTGTCGCCACTTTGGGAAAGATGCCTTGGTAGGTAGGTCCCGCCATTACTCGCGCCTGCGTTCGCTCAGATCGACAGTCAGTGCCAACCACGGCCATGGCAGGGCCGAGGTATTTGACAAAATGCCAGCCTGTTCCAGTGATGGTGAAAATGTCGTGATCGGTCCTGACGTTTCGCATAATATCCACCGTGGTATGATGTTGGAATAGCAGATACATCTCCGTGGCAACGCGGCCAATATTCTTGAAAACCGGCGAGGCTTGCATGTACTGAGGATACGACCCGTACCCATCAAATATGTCGTGGTCATCAATTTGAAGCACATGGGGGATCTGAGCAAACGCTTCGCGCAAAAATGGCTGATCGAAATGACTGGTGTAGTAGTGGAAGTAGGCATGGGAGACATCCTCTTCGTGGCGCGCCGTCCATTGTGTGCTCTTTTTATTGTCGCGACCGCTCATGGCAAGCCACTGCTTCAAGAGAGGTACTTCTTTCCATAGGCGATCTCCGTATATCTGATCGCCAAGCCCGAGCTGGGCGTGAAAACCCCCACAGTCGACGTTCTTCTGCAAGACATCTTTCCACATGAATCCTACACCGCCGAGCTTGGCGCGCTCATTTTGAGATGTGCTGGCCGCAAAATCATTTCCAGAATGGGCAATGAATTTCCAACCAGTTTCGTGTCGACCAGCAACAACAAACTCGTATCGAGTGCACCCAAGATGCGAGGTTACAGCATATGTCCATCTTTCCGTGCCCCCCTCACCCATCTGAAGATCGATATCGTACTTGTAGAATGTCCATCTTTGATGTGTGTAAATGGCGTGGGGCTCAAGTTGTCTCGGACTTGGGGATAAATCAGCGCTGAGGTGGATGTGAATGGTGGGCGGCTGAGGCGAGTCCGTAACAATTAGTATGCTACCGTACCAGATTCCCTTTTCGATGTCCATGTTGACGTAGCGTAGATAAGGGCCAAAGTAGACACCGTTTGTAGGCTGAACACGATACATGTCTACGCCTGCAGACGGGGGAGGACCCGAGAATCCGGCAGTTGGGGCTTGAGAAACAGCCACGCTCATTATACTCTCCGCGTATCCCGGAGTATGGGGAGGGAACATGGGTGAGGCCAGGCTTTGTTTGCCAAAGACGGGCGACACGAGCGGATTTCCATATGTTGAAGCGGTAGGAGACAGTGGAGTCTGCTCAGGTTGAATCGGGTTTGGACCTTTGGGAAACTCCCATTGAGTAGCCTGAGTCGCGAGATGTATATAATAGTATTGGCCAGAGTTCTGATCGAGATGGGCGATCCAGCCTTCCGGGAGTGGAGGCGGCGAAGCAGGCCCAGGACCTATTGCTTGAGCCTCGGCCGAGGCGCCGTTTTGCTGGGGCACAGCAGCTGGTTCTGGCCGAGGATCATTTGCAAAAGCAGGGTGTCCAGGATGCTGCAGAGCCGGAGAGAGAATTTGTGCGGCGGTGGCAGAACCGGCAGCGGCAGCGGCAGCGGCAGCGGCGACAGGCTTCGAGGCCGCTGGTTTTTGGCTTGAAGTTGCGGTGTTTGTCTGAGCTGGCTGCGAAGCGGCAGGTGCTGGGCGAGCGTTGCCGTTTTGCTGAGGGCGACGCTTTTCGTTTGGGTACGACGAGTTTCCTCCTGGATTGACGCTGGAGTATGCCGGTGGTGGTGAGCTGTTACCAAGACGCTGAAAGTCCTGCTCTAAAACGCTGACCTGAACTTGTTGATTGCTCTGGCTGTTTTGAATCGGAGCGGGCTGCTGGGGAGGAGCAGTGTGAATTCTCTGCGGCTGAGGGCTCGATATAACATTGGAACCTTGGTAGACCGTGGGCGGGCCCGAAGGTGCCTGGTCAGGAGTCTCTGTCGGTGTCCATGGTCGTTGGGGCTGAGGTGCCTGGTTTCCATACTGCGCAAGTCTCTGGGCAGCAGCGGCGCTCTGAGCTTGACTGGCTTGAAGGCTTGTAAGTGTTGCTGTGCCAGAAATGCCAGAAGCAGCATAACGAGCCTCGATGCCTCCACCAGGGATGACACCAGGCTCGACGATCGGGGTCTCCGGGGGCGGAGGAGAGCCGCGAGTGGCCTTTGTAGTTGAGTTTGAGGCCGTTGACGGGAACCGATTAACGGCTTGATCGGACTGCTTCAGATGGCTGACAGCTGCCGATTGCGGCTGCGACTGTGGCTGAGGCTGCGAGCTAGACGAAGAAGAGGATGACGATCCAGCGGCTCCAGGAGGTGGATAGTAAGTTCTATTTTGGTAGTTAGAATAAGCCGACGGCTGTGCTGCTGGGCGGGCTTGCTCCTTGAGCGGCCGAGCGAATAAGCCTTGGTCAGAGTCGGGACTTGAAGGCGAATGGATAAGTTTGGGGGCAGCGCCACGACGTTCGGCGAGGCCAGGTCTCTTGTCGATGGAACCTGTATCTAGACGAGGGGTGGTATCGTTATAAGCAGCCCCGTAGGGCTTTGCAGGAGTCGGTCTGTGCATATCGTCGTCGTCTGGGAATGGTAGAGGCGCGGCGGAGCTGGAGGCACCCGGTGGTAGAGGAAAGGCCGGCCGGCTGGTAGAGGCGGAGGAAGTGCGCGAGCTTGGCTGAGGGCTGGTCGGCTTAAAGATACGCAGGGGCTCAACAGTCGGGCTGTCTCCTCCATCTTCCGGGACAGGTCTGCTCAGGAACAGTTCCTGGTCAGTCATGCCACGGCTTGCTGTCGCCATTGTTGCGGCGGTGTTGTGGGTTAGGAGATTGCGCGCTGTAAAGCTGTGACAACAGGTGGAGGACGGCGCACAGCGCGGCAAAATGCACTTTCTGTGCTCGAGAAACGTGCCCGTAAACGTAGATATGAGGGGATATCGTGCGCAAATATAAAATGAGAGCTGCGCAACAGTTGGTGACACAAGCTTGGTACGAAGCTGCCGTTTGTGGCGGGGTGACGCTCCAACGGGTCGCAGAACAGGCCGCTGGTGTGCTCGCGCTAGGATCTGGATATCTGGATTGTGTGGGATGACGGATGGGTAATGATATGCGTGGGACTTGCAACAGAGATGTAAGACAGTTTCTGGGACAAAAAGCAGACGAAGCTGTCACGAGAAGGAAAAAGACGATGCAGAGGGTGAGGGAAAAGGACTGAGAGGAGGGCTGGGCGGGTTTACGTAGGGTCTGGAGGCCAAGCAAGCAGTACATGGCCTTTGGACAAGATGGGCCGGGCAAGAACTTTGGCTTTGGGGTAGCATTGGGGCTTGGACAGAGCCAGGGCAAGCTAAAAAGGAGTGCGCCGAGGAGCTGCAGCAGGATGTAGAGAGATTAGGCAAGCATTTGGTGGAGGGCAGCTGTCGAAAGGACATGTACCTGCCTGAGCCACCAGCTGCAGCTTCGCAGCTGCCAGGAAACAGGCGAGGAAAGAACCCCTCACAACTCCGAGAGGCAAGAGGCTCAGAGTAAGAAAGCCGGCTCACCAGTAGCATCTCGAACAGGGGTCTGCGGGGTCATGGCGGGCGGCAACTAGTACTGAAGAGCCCACTAATGAACAGTTCAAGAACCAGTCATTGAGCTCCAAATTGCCAGCTGCCTCCTCCTGCTGCCACCCATCGTGGAGCGGCAGCTGCACTGCACGAGGAAAATAGAGTGGTTTTGTTGGTGGTGGTCTGCTGCAGTGGGCCTCGGGCAAAATTGTTGGCCAGGGCATCTTGCCTTTGATTGGCCGATGCCCCCAAATGACCCAGTGTGTAAGCGCCGAGCTTTCAACGCTCGACTTTGTGACTGGACGAGCTGTAAGCGCTCTTCCTTTCGTGCCAAGCCTGCTCCAGTTTGGCTTCTCCGTTAACATCCACGATGCGATTTGTGATTTCCGTAGCTGATCTGGAACCGAGTAGCCAAGCTCCAAAGTTAGAACGAATTTATCAGTGGAAGGGTAGGGGGCTTTTGGTAAGGCTCGCGCAAGCGGAGAGGCAAACGCTTGATGTCCAGTGCAGCGGGACCTGCCGTTTGTACAAAATACGGCCCGTCAGTTAAACGGATAACGCAGCCGTCGGGATTGGTGGCGGCATCGCCGCAAAAGGAGAGAATAGTTAGCCAGACTTGGGGGATTGCTAAAAGAAAAAAAATCAACGACGAGTTCCTGCAGCAATTTTCGTCTCAATAATACTTGGCGAAAATGCTAATCTGCTAGCCTACCTGACCATGATCCTGTGCAGTACATTATTGGGCTCTCTCCAAAGTGTTGCACAAGAGACTTGCATATTTATCTTTACGGATAATCGTCATTTATCTTTACGGAAAATCGTCCTTTTATTAATACCTAGACATACGTCACGTCTGGTTTCACTTTCCCTTCGCCACATGGCTAAAAGTGGACCCTCTCAACGCGTCTCCCGGTACGCGTTTCCAGGAAGCTTGAACGGGACAACCAAGCCCTTTACCAGCTTTGCGAATTGCTCCTTTCTGGTCCAGCTGCCAATGTTGCCTTAGTCGCCCCCCATGCCTCCCACATCTACGCCAGCTGGAAAGAAGCAACAGTCGTTAACCGCATTCTTCACGCCTAAGGCAGCTTCGAGTCCCAAGCCGCCGACCTCGATCCAGTCCTCAAGTCCCAGCAGGCCACCTCGAGGGGCTGCTCCTGCGGGAAACCCATTTGCCCGAAAGCGATCCATTGATGAGTGCGCCGACAAAGAGAACCATGACGTAAACCGGGACTCGAAAAAGGCAAAGACGACTGCTGTTGCTGATGGTGCTGACGATGCCCTTCCGACCTTGCAAACGCCTGCTTCTGCGCGTGCGCAACGTTACTCGTATAACACAGTACCGACCAGTACTGATCAGACGGAAGCCGACGATGGTACCGATGACGAGGCGACACGAAAGAAACATGCAGAGCTCCACAAGAAGTTTGTCAAGAAGCTTGGCCATCCCGATGCCATGAATTGGAGATCACGCATCGCGCAAGACCATGCAACCGAAGAAAACGAGGACGGCGACCCCGAAGCAGACGAAGACGATGTCCCGGCACCAAGGTCGAAAAAGAAAGGCTCGAAAACAGGAAAACTCACGCCAATGGAAACCCAATTTCTCGACATCAAGCGCAAGCACCTAGACACAATCCTCATCGTCGAGGTTGGCTACAAGTTCCGTTTCTTTGGCGAAGACGCGCGCATCGCCGCCAAAGAACTGAGCATTGTCTGCATCCCCGGCAAAATGCGCTATGATGAGCGTAAGCTATGGTAGTTCTCAATCTTGAAAAAGAAATCGCTAACACGGCCTCGACACAGATCCGTCTGAAGGCCACCTCGACCGCTTCGCCTCAGCCAGCATCCCCGTGCACCGACTTCCGGTGCACGCTCGCCGCCTCGTCGCTGCCGGCCACAAAGTCGGCGTCGTCAGGCAGGTTGAAACGGCAGCGCTGAAGAAAGTCGGCGACAACCGAAACGCTCCGTTCACTCGCAAGCTTACCAACCTTTACACAAAGGGCACCTACATTGACGAGAACGGCGATTTGGAGCAAACCACCACAGGGGGCAACGCATCCTCCTCCGGCGGTTATCTCCTATGCATCACAGAATCCAAAGCCAAAGGCTCGGGTACTGATGAAAAAGTCGATGTTGGCATTCTCGCTGTGCAGCCCGCCACTGGTGACATCATATATGACACTTTTGAGGATGGCTTCATGCGCAGTGAGATTGAGACGAGACTGCTGCACATATCGCCCTGCGAGTTCGTCATTGTCGGCGACCTCACCAAGGCTACCGACAAGCTCGTCCAGCATCTTGCTGGTAGCAGCACAAATGTCTTTGGCGATCGCAGTCGCGTCGAGCGTGTGCCCCGGACGCAAACTATGGCGGCCGAAGCGTCCTCCCACGTAACTCGATTCTACGCCGACAAGCTCAAGGAAGCCGCCGCTTCCCAGAACGAGCAATCCACATCGCTGCTAGACAAAGTCCTCCAGCTACCCGAGCCCGTCACCATCTGCCTCTCCGCTATGATCACGCACCTGACTGAGTACGGCCTCGAGCATATCTTTGACTTGACCAAGTACTTTGAGAGCTTCACAGCGCGCGCGCACATGCTTGTCACCGGCACCACGCTCGAGTCGCTCGAGGTGTACCGCAACGCGACCGACCACGCCGAGCGCGGCAGCCTCTTCTGGGCCGTCGACAAGACACAGACACGCTTTGGCCGGCGCCTACTGCGCAAGTGGCTGGGGCGGCCATTGCTCGACCGCGCGCGTCTCGAGGCACGCCTCGCTGCCGTCGAGGAGCTGCATGCCAAGCGCTCGACCGCGCCCGTCGACGACCTCGCGCGACTGCTGGCCACAACGCGCACCGACCTTGAGCGTAGCCTCGTTCGCATCTATTACGGCAAGTGCACACGGCCGGAGCTGCTCTCGGTGCTGCAGGCCCTGCGACAGGTCTCGAGCCACTACGTCCGCGTTAAGACTGCCGCTGACGTCGGCTTCGACGCGCCGCTCCTCACTGACGCCGTCCTCGCGCTGCCCCGCATCCTTGACCTCGTCGTCGCCCACCTGGACAAGATCAACCTCGAGGCCGCGCGCAAGGACGACAAGTACGGTTTCCTCCGCGATGAGCACCACACCGACGACATGCAGGACCACCAGATGGGCATCGCCCACGTCGAGCACCAGCTTGACCAGCACCGCGCTGCCGCCGCTGCCAGCCTCCGTCGCAAGACCCCGGTTGAATATGTCACCGTCGCCGGCATTGAGTTCCTCATCGAGGTCCCCAACGCCGATATCAAGCACGTGCCTGCCTCCTGGGCAAAGATCTCAGGCACAAAGAAGGTCTCCCGCTTTCACACCCCCGATGTCGTTCAGCTCATCGCCGAGCGCGACCAGCACCGTGAGGCCCTTGCCGCCGCCTGCGACGCTGCCTTCCGCGAACTCCTCGCCTCCATCGCCGCTGCCTACCAACCCCTGCGTGACGCCGTCTCCGCCCTCGCCACACTCGACTGCCTGCTCTCCCTCGCCCGTGTCGCCGCCCAGCCTGGCTACACACGCCCGCATCTTCTTCCCGCCGATGCCCCGCCCACCGTTGCCGTCACCGCCGGCCGCCATCCCATGGCTGAGCAGACCCTCGCCAGCGCCGGCACCGGCACCTACATCCCCTTCTCCGCCACGCTCGCCGACCCCGCGCCCCGCGCTCTCCTGATAACCGGGCCCAACATGGGCGGCAAGTCGTCCTTTGTGCGCGCCCTCGCCCTCCTCGTCCTTCTCGCCCAAGTCGGCTCCTTCGTCCCCGCCGACGCCCTCTCCCTGACCCTCTGCGACGCCATCCACACCCGCGCCGGCGCCCGTGACAACCTCTTCGCCGGGGAGTCCACATTCATGGTTGAGGTCTCCGAGACGGCCCGCATCCTCCGTGCCGCCACCCCCCGCAGCCTCGTCATCCTCGACGAGCTCGGCCGCGGAACCAGCACCCACGACGGCGCCGCCATCGCCCACGCCGTCCTGCACCACGTCGTCGCCGAGACGCGCTGCCTCACCCTCTTCATCACACACTACCAGAACCTGGCTCGCGTCGCAAACGGCCTCGACGCCCTGAAAAACGTGCACATGAAGTTCACGGCGGACAAGGGCCCCGATGGGGAGGAAGAGATCACATTTCTGTACGAAGTCGGCGATGGTGTTGCTCATCGGTCGTATGGGCTCAACGTGGCTCGGCTGGCGCATCTTCCCAAAAAGGTTATTGACATTGCAGCCGGGAGGTCAAGTGCCCTGGAGAGCGAAATGCGTATGCGACGGCTTAAAGGCATCTGTAAAATGCTGGGGGATGTCACTGGCGATAGCCCAGATCAACTCGACAATCTAATTGCCAGCATAGACCAACTATAAATCTGAATTGTACTGTATTGTCATTATATACACATTAAAGTAAGAGAGCGTGATTAGAGGGGGAGAAATAGCCTCCATACCAAGAACAATACCCCACAAACACCAAATATGCTTCTTGTTCGCCCAGTGAATATAGATAATGTTCAGATGCCGCGAGCCCAATAATGAATCTCTCCCCAAACGCACTATCAATGCAGCAGTGTGAACAATGCTGACTTGGTGCTTGCGAACACCAATCACACGGCAGAGGCTTCACGTCCCAAACTCGCGGGTAGACCGTCGAGCATGGTCTCAGCCACCCATGTGCCGTCGGTATCGAAGCTCGGCCCGTCGTTGCCATTGTGAAGGCTAGGGTGCACGATGTCGCATAGCTGAGACTCGACTTTAATGTCATCGACCGAAACATCGTGCGCTGAATCCATGTTCTCCGTCGGCGCGTTTTTCTCTTGTCGATAGTTGATCGGTTTGAATCCGGAAAAGGAATTTGCCTGCTCGTGGCTTTTGCTGCTTGGGGACTGCAAATAACTCTTGAAGAATGGACGATCCTGGCTTAACAACGGGTTGCTCTCGGATACGTTTAGAAATTTGGGGCTTGAATTCAGCAACGACGTTTGAGAGGCAAGTGAAAAATAACCTTCCTGATTCGGCGTAATTGGGTGGCTCTCATGATCTTGGCCACGGTCGTATGCAGAGAAATGGGAGTTCATTGCCAGAGCATAGCGTGATGCACCACCGAACGCACTGAGGTTGAGCGAATTGGGCGTATCGGGACGACTGGAGAAACCTGTGAGCCGGGTCAGACAATACAAACTCCAATGGTAGCTTGGTATGGGATGTTTTACCAGATGAGAAGTTGTAATGCTTTAAATCTGGTAGTCCAGATGGTGTGTCGTGGCTGTACGAGAATGTGTCTTTCGACGTTGCAATCCGTGCCGCCAAGTTCGACGCTGACTGGGAGATTGGGTTGATGGTGGTCATTCCGTGATGATCATACTGCAGGTTTCTATTACATCAGCATCTAGTATAAATATCCTGGTTGCAAAACTCACTTCGAATTTTGGTGCATGGCTCGGTCGTTGTATATGTCTAAATGTCGTTAGCATGTGAAAATAATGAGAGTGCAGGGCAACAAACCGAGCGGGCTTTGTCCATCTCGAAAAATATTATGTGGCCTCATGGAATGTCTGAGAGGCAGGGCACTGGCATAAATGGATTCCGGTAATTGAACTTGGGTTCTCTTTTGCCCGTGTGTCCTCGCGAAGAGATTCGCATTGACCTGATCTGGATGTCCGACTGGGGTATTGATAGACAAATCTGCAAGAGGTTCTCTCTTTTTTCTTGCTCGGGCTGTTCGCTTCGGCGGTGGCGGAGTCTATGATTCTCGTTAGCTAAGTCAAAGGCAGGATTGTCTATACTTGCAGCTTCTTCCTGGCCCGGTATTGGTGAAGAACTGTCATATACGCCCTTGACCCTCTCGACTTGGAAGTCTGAGGTCAGTACCACCTGTGTTGGCTCGATCCCTTCTGATGTTCGACGCATTTTCTCAATTGCGGATTTCGGTTTCCGCTGATTTCTGGTACGCTTCATATCTTCGTTGGCTAGATCCATCTTGCCCATGCCAGGCCATATCTGGCCTTTGAGCGACAGCATGTCGTTATTCTGCAGCAGCTCGTCAGGTAGTTCGGGGTCATTTCCTTCTGAAAATAGGCCAGGGTATATCGGTATGGCTTCTGCATATTCCTGTGGAGTGTATTCTTTGTGGTCATTCGTAGTTCGTCTGGGCCGCTTTTTTGTCTGCAACAAGGTCAGAGGCCTGCGCATTTTGCCTGGAGTGTACTGACTTACCCTGGGGGCAGGATTTGTAGTTTTGTTGGTGGTATTTACACGATGAAGGCGACCCTTCATGGCTTCTTTGACCTGTTTCGCCTTCAGACGTTCGACAAGTAGTACCTCGATTCCGTTCTCATGGTACCATTGTTCGTATTGCTGTAGAGCAACTGCTGAAACTAAATCCTGATGGGCCCTGAGCTTCGTTTGTGTTTCGTGGTGCAAATGACCTTTGGATGCAATGTGCGTGAGTAAATGGGAAACGTCAGAGAACTTGGGAGACTCTGGGCAGACGGTGCAAATTAAAGGTATATTTCTGGGTGTTCCGATTCCATTGTATTCGTCCATGGCCTGCTGAATCTAATGTTAGTCATTGCCAGTGGTCGGCGTTAGAACCGTACAGAGTGCCAGGTCGACAGCCACCAACAATCAGCAGAATCTGGGGCTGATAGCAAGGAGCAAAGAAGCAGCTGGTTTCAAGGCAGGAGAAGAGCAACTGTAATGCCGACGAAACATGAAATTGCAGGAGAGTTCTGCAAGCAATTGTATGAAACATGCGAGGAAGCAGATGAGAAGGTTGACTTACAGGAGAAGGCGTCCCGTGGTATCAATTGCATCACCTAGGGTGAGAGAGCAAGGAAGGAGGTATGATGGCAGGTCAACGGCAGACAAGAAAGCACCTCAGCTCGCTTACATCAAGCAAAGAAGCATTCTGGAAGGCTAAGCTGCGTTGCTAGGTAAGATAAGCGAAAAAAGGGAGAAGAAGAAAGGTACTCCGGAGTACCTAGAGCATTTCTGTCACCGGATCCCAGACTTTCAGCCCGAGGGTCAAGTATACAAAGAACATTGTCGGTACTTGTTGTCGAATATACTGCCCTTTACCTGCAAAAGGAGGTAGGTAGTGTACCTCTCGGCCCATCTCGCTTGCCGTTGCCCCAATTGAACCTCCGGAATCGCTTGGTGGGGGGAAACGGCGTGGCAATTGATGCTGGCCAGCTGCCCGTATGCACCGGTGTCGTTTGCATCGTGGTGGTGTTTCGCATATTGGGATTTATTCTCGTTGGCATTCGTGGTGATGAGTTGTAGAGATGGGAAAAAATGGAGGCACCATAACTCACCTTGTGGCGAGAAAGCAGACTAAGTCATCCAGTCACAACGAATCACTCACCATACATAAACTATCTACATACAAATGGAAGCTCGGATGCACGCCATGCCGAGAAGACGCAGTACAGACCGGGGCTGTCATGGCACGCCAGCTGGCAGCTGACAGCTGGCAGCATCTCGCGCGGCTGTTTGTACTGAACGATAAGCATGGCAACATGAACACTTTGTGCTTGCATTAATATTTTATTCATTTTGCCCTTTTCAGAACCGTTAGCCCAACGCCTTTTCGGTAATACGCTTGGGCATGCAGTATCGAGGATCTACCGGCTCAAGGTCTGGATACCCCAACAGACTCAGCCCAGCCAACCCAAAACATGTGTGGAAAACGTCTGTCATATTTCCGGACGTATCTGAGAACCCGCCATTCTTGGAGTCCTGCGCGCTCAGGATGAATTTGATGAGGCCATCCCGGTCGATCCAATGCGTTCGGTCGATCATGGCCAGGCTCGACAACACCCACCAGCTATAGCACACGTCTTCCGTCTTCTCTGGTCGGCCATTCAGCCCTCCTCCTGGCAGCTGCCTCTCACTGAGCCATCGGCCTAGCTTCTCCTTGTCGACGAGGTCGAGGCGATTGGCAATAGAGAGTGCCCCAAGACATGTAAAAATTTGCGCCGAGTGTGACTCGGCGCCAGGCTTGGCACCGAAACCGCCATCAAAGTTGGCACAACTCGCGATAAACTCGACAGCCTTCTTGACATCTACGAGATGCAGCAGTTTCAGCAACGACAACGCGTTCAAGGCTCCATAGAGGAATCGTGTATCTTCCTCGCCCCACTCGTCGCCAAAGAAGCTTCCAGTTTCGCGATTTTGCAATTCGGCCATGACTAGGAATAGTGTCAGCTCGTCTGGATTGTCGCGGGTTTTGTAAGGCATGTAGCCTACATTTTCCAACTTGTAATTTTCCCTCCCCTGCGCCCCGTGCCTCGAGATCATCGAGACCGTCAACCATGGTCAAAACCTGGACCGCGCTTACGGTAGACAGCATGTGCGCATCGTGGCCCGGGGCAGCGCCAAACCCACCGCTTTCATGCTGGCAGGAAAGAATAAAGTCTATGGTTTCTTGGCGAGGGAGAGCGTCGGGGCGACGTAGAAGATGCAGAGCGTTGAGCCCCCAGTAGACACCGTTCAGACGGAGATGCTCGGTGAGCCAGTAATCCACCTCGTCAGTTTTGGAGTCGAGGCCCTGGACATACTTGACATGGGCGTCGGTGGCCAGGGTCGGCAGGTGAGAGGATATAGTCTCGGACATGGTGCTGGGCGAAGTAGGAAGGGGATCGTGCAGTAGTGAAAGACGAGCCACAGCCAACCCGCAGGATGATGGACGCCTCCAAGGCGCCCTTATGTAATGGATGCCTAAGATCGCACGCGCGACATTCTCTTGCAGGACAAAAGGACGACAACTTGCTTCAAAAATAGAAATTTTTTACCAAAGCTACGGAGAATACATGAAAATTCACAGTATCATTTTAACGAACAGGGATGATTGTTTTGCCGAGGTGTGGCTCAATAACAATGGTGTAGCACGCGATACTCGCTCAAGGTATCGTAGATGACTCGGCCCCACCGAATCATCAAGGCTGAGATACCCTTTTGTCCTCAATCGCTGGGGCTGAGCATCTTGAACCTTGATATCCTGAGTAATCTCGCTTTACGAGTAATCATTACTGATTCATATTGCCCTGCATTGGTTGTGCTATTCAAATCAAACCTCCGCTACTGGTTAGCCCGCCCACCCTACATCTACGCCGCTTGTGAGCCAGCTCTGGCTTTCCCCTCTGCCGCTACCTTTCAACCGACACCAACGATGCCCGGACAGCAATGATTCCTCGCCTCGCATCACGAGCGCCGATGCTCTGCTCCCGCTACGGGATAGCATCGGCGCGTACCCGCCCGCCGTGGGTTCCGCAAAGCCCAGCCCCGGCGACACAGTCGATGCAGCTTCTCCGAACTACCGCCGCACCGCGACGACCGCAAGCACCCCCGCCCAAAACTACAGCTCCGAGCACGATAAAGACGACAGCGACGACGGCGACGACGGCGAAACCAGAAACAGCGAAGCCGACCGCCAAGGCCCCTTCCGCAGCGACAAAGAATAACGATCCTCTGGCGACGCCAGAAAAGACGGTCACTGAGCAGCGAAAAGCAGACTGGGCCATCATGAAAGAGATGTCGCGGTATTTGTGGCCTAAAGACAACCTGGGAACCAAGCTGCGCGTCAGTCTGGCCGTGGCGCTGCTCATTGGCGCCAAGGTGCTCAATGTGCAGGTGCCCTTTTATTTCAAGAGCATCGTCGACTCGATGAACATTGACGTGGCGGCCGTCGGCGGCACGGCGACGACGGTGGCGGGCGCCATGATCGTCGCCTACGGCGCCTCCCGCATCGGCGCGACCGTGTTTCAGGAGCTGCGCAACGCCGTCTTCGCGTCGGTCGCGCAAAAGGCCATCCGCTCCGTCGCCCGCAACGTCTTTGACCACCTGCTGCGCCTAGACCTAGCCTTCCACCTGTCCAAGCAGACGGGTGGCCTGACGCGCGCCATCGACCGCGGCACAAAGGGCATCAGCTTCTTGCTTACCAGCATGGTATTCCACATCCTTCCCACCGCGCTCGAGATCAGCATGGTCTGCGGCATCCTGACGTGGCAGTACGGCGCCAAGTTTGCCGCCGTCACTGCGCTGACTATGGTGGGCTACACGGCCTTTACGATTTGGACGACGGCGTGGCGGACAAAGTTCCGTCGTCAGGCCAATGCGGCCGATAATAAAGCGTCCACGGTTGCTGTCGACTCGCTCATCAACTACGAAGCGGTCAAGTACTTCAACAACGAAAAGTTTGAGGTGGCTCGCTATGACAAGGCGCTGAAGGAATACGAGAAGAGCTCCATCAAGGTAGCGACTTCGCTAACCTTCCTCAACAGCGGCCAGAACATCATCTTCTCGTCCGCCCTCACAGCAATGATGTACTTTGCGGCTGACGGAGTCGCCAAAGGCAGCCTTACAGTTGGTGATTTGGTCATGGTCAACCAGCTCGTCTTCCAGCTTTCTGTGCCGCTCAACTTCCTTGGCTCTGTTTATCGCGAGCTGCGCCAATCTCTGCTTGATATGGAGACGTTGTTCAACCTGCAGAAGGTCAACGTCAGCATCACCGACAAGCCCGGCGCCAAGGAGCTGGCCTTGACCAAGGGTGGCGAAATTCGATTTGAGAATGTCAACTTTGGCTACCACCCCGATCGACCCATCCTGCAGAATCTCAACCTTACCATCCCAGCTGGTAAGAAGGTTGCCATTGTTGGGCCCAGCGGCTGCGGAAAGTCAACGCTGCTGCGGCTGCTGTTCCGTTCGTACGATACCCAAGGCGGCCGCGTCCTCATTGACGACCAAGACATTCGGGATGTCCAGGTCGACTCTCTGAGGCGATCTATTGGCGTTGTGCCGCAAGACACGCCGCTCTTTAACGACACTGTCGAGCACAACATTCGATACGGGTCCATCGACGCGACGCACGAGCAGGTAGTAGCTGCCGCACAGCGCGCTCGTATCCACGACACGATTGAAAAGTTCCCCGACGGCTATAACACTAAGGTTGGTGAGCGCGGCCTGATGATCTCCGGCGGCGAGAAGCAGCGCCTAGCCATGAGCCGCCTGCTACTCAAGGACCCGCCGCTTCTCTTCTTCGACGAGGCCACCAGCGCGTTAGACACGCACACGGAGCAGGCCCTCATGGTCAACATCAATGGCATCCTGCGTGAAAAGGGCCGCACGAGCGTCTTTGTAGCACACAGATTGCGCACCATCTTTGACTCGGACCTGATTATTGTGCTCAAGGAGGGCCAGGTGGCCGAGATGGGCACCCACCGCGAACTGATTGATAGAGCTGGCGTCTATGCTGAGCTGTGGAGTGGTGAGTTTTCCCAAACCCCTGACGGGGATAGCTCGGTTCTACGAGTGCAAAAAACGGTTGGCTAATGGTTCTGATATAGCTCAAGAAACCCTTTTTAGCGAAGACGGGACTGGTCGACTGGAAGCGACGGCGGACAGCAGCAAGGCAAAGAAGTAGAACGAAGAGGCCCACGAAGCCCACACTTGAATATAGCACAGGAAGCCACAAAATATACCTTTCGTTTACGTTGTTGATTCGCCACTTTTTATTAACCTCCGGGAACAATGCTCCGTGCATTAGTTACTGCATTAGGCAGCCCGGTGCGATGTTGGGACAAGGCCTAGAAGCCAGCGAGGCATCGTGAAGACTCATTGGTGGAAAGATGGGGGTCACGGAGGCCAGCAACAATTGGTGGCAACGCCGGCAACGGTTTTAAGACGAATGTCACGGAAGCTACGAACTATTCCAATTGATGGACCTTACGGGGCGTAACATTTATCTGATGGGTCGAGAGGCCCGCATGGTGCATCTGATTAGATTAGATGAGTGGTCAGGCTGGAAGTAGGTTGGATGTTAGCTCGTATACAACAATTTTCTAGTGTGCAAAGGAGCTTGGATTCGAAGACGCCTAATACAGGGAACTCAGGGTTTTCCTGGGCTCGGCATTTCCTCTTTGCTGAGGTGGGCAAGGTAGGAAGGCCGCAGGATAAGTATAGAGTTCATGCCTCTTCGAAACTAGGTATGCCTTCTTGGACCATCACTTACATATACAAGTAAACGTGGCAGCCTCCCCATAATGTTGAATTCCAAAGCAGGTAGACATTGAAGCGGCGGCCGAGCGGCGCGGCTCCGGTTCCGGCTCCGAACACGCAGACTCGAGCAAGGCACCGGTACCCGTCGCGACCTCGTCGGTAGGCGAGGTTCTGCAGTCCCGGGGCGTGACACGGATGGAAGCCGTGTACCGGGAAGCGTACACCGACCGGCGCTCCTTTTGGCTCGTCGGCGCGTCAGTGCTGGTGTGCGCGTGGGCGTACTCGCTCGATTTGTCGACGACGTCGTACTACAGCATTGACGCGTCGTCGCACTACAAGCAGCACAGCTCGGTGCTGTCGACGCTGTCCATCGCGACGGGCGTCGTCGGCGCGGTCAGCAAGCCGTCCATGGGCCAAGTTCTCCGACGTCACCTCGCGGCCGTACACGTACCAGCTGGCGCTCGCCTTCTACACGGTCGGCTACGTCGTGGCGGCCACGTCGCGGAGCATCGCGGCGGACGTGTTCGGAGAGGTGCTGTTCGCGGTGGGCGGCTCCGACCTGGACCTGACCAACGAGATCATCGTGGCGGACCTGACGCCGCTCGAGTGGCGCGGGCTCGTCTCGTCGCTGCCGTCGACGGCGTTCATCATCAACACCTGGTTCTCCGGCAAGATTGTCGAGGTCATGTCCTCGAGACGCTAGTCGCGATGGCAAGTTTGCGCGCATCATGAACTCGCCCCCAGACCACGGGGAAATACTGATAACCCTTGAGGGAACAGGGGATACGGCATGTTTGCCATCATCATGCCCGTGGCGCTCGGTCCTGCCATCGCCGTGCTCATCTGCCTCGAGCGCAAGGCCAAGCATCACGGGCTCGTCAACATGGCGTCGAGCAACGCCGCGCGCCGAGCCGCAACCGATTCGCTCGCCGAGAAGCAGGACGAAAGCAGCCCCGCGCGGCCTGATCGTCGTCGTCGCCGCGGAGACGGGCCCGAAGGAGTCCTGGGGCCGAGCCCTGCTGCGCAACTGGCACGCGATTGACGCCGTTGGACTCGTCCTCCTCGGCTTCGGCTGGTCGCTGCTGCTGCTGCCGTTCTCGCTCAAGACGTACGCCGAGCACGGCTGGCGCAAGCCGTCCATGATCGCCATGATGGTGGTCCCGTACGTGGTGTATGAGGTCAAATGGGCCAAGATACCGAGCGCGCCGCGCCGGTTGATGTGCAACAAGACGTTCATCATGTCCATCATCATCTACAGCTTCTATTTCTGTACGTTCTTTGCCCACGTCTCTCTGCCATGCTTATAAAGAGTCACATCCCGCTAACGTTTGCGCACAAATCAGTCGCCGGCAACATGCGCGGCTTGTACTGGAGCTCCTACGTGTACGTGGCCAAGCCCGGGAGCCAGCAGGACTGGGTGTACTACGGCAACACCATGACGCTCGCGCTGTGCATCTTCGGCCCCATCACCGGCCTCCTGCAGCGCTGGACGCACCGCTACAAGGCGATCCAGCTCACCGGGCTGTGCCTCAAGATCATCGGCCTGGGCATCATCGAGGTGTACCGCCGCACGCTCTTCTACTGCCTCGCGCCGGCGCTGGCGCTGGCATTCATCCCGCTCGTTGCCGCGTGTTTCCAGACAAACTTTTACCTTGGAAAGTGCCAGAACGCCGTCACCAACGTCGGCAACGACGGGCAGCCGGCGGAGGAGCGGGAGGAGGGGCAGCAGGGCGATGAACGGCTGCCACCGGCGGCATCGAAGAGGGAGGCGTTTTTGCAGTTCTGGGGAGGAAGAAATGCGGGATCAACTAAGAGACAGTAAAACGATCAATCACATGTGCTGCTTGATCCGACTTGTCTCCATTCTGGACAGATATTTGGTGCGCTGTTTCTCTGTCTGTCTGTCTGTCTGTCTCTCTGTCTCTCTGTCTGTCTGTCCGTTTGCCTGGCTGTCAGCAGTGGACTGCTATGCATATGCATCAAGAACAACTCAGCATGTGGTCCAGGAATGTTTTTTCCCTCTTGGTAATAGTAAAGACTAAAAGTCCTGATATTGTCCTGGTGCGATAGCGCCCTCTTGTTGACCCCTCAGCCGCAGCTGCAGAGGAATTTGCCTCATACTGCCAGGGCGCGCCTTGGGGGGGGGGGCTGCGTTGAGTCACCGGGTGTTCTTGGTGGAGGGCGAGATGTAAACGAGCCAATCCAGTGTGGCTTATTTGGTGCTGAATAATAAGCAGTGATAGACCGCGTATTTATATACAATATCATACCAGCTGTTGGAGGAGGGAAGTAGTCTGGACGCTGAAGCTTCATCTCTCTGCACAGACTTTCTCAAGGCCCTTCCTACCCACTTAACGTCATCCATCGTCATCGCCATGTCAACCGCCGAAGCCGCCCGCATCGCGAACCTCAGGGAGGCGCAGAACAAGGCCATCGCCATGTTCAAGGAGATTGAAGAGACGCTCATCCGGCCGGGCGTCAGCGACAAGACGCTGAGCGCCGAGATTGCGGCACTCGGCAAGGAGCGGCACGCGCTGGAGACGCACTGGCACAAGCGCATCGTCCGCAGCGGGCCGAACACCCTGGCCGCGTACAAGGACAACCCGCCGGACCGCGTCATCGAGGAGGACGACATCGTCGTCGTCGACCTGGGCCCCGTCTTCGAGCGCTGGGAGGCCGACTTTGGGCGCACCTTTGTGCTGGGCGGCGACCCGCGCAAGCTGGCGGTGCGCGACGCCCTGGAGCCCACGTGGCTCGCGGTGCGCGACCGGTGGCGCGCGCGGCCGGGGATGACGGGCGCCGAGCTCTTCGCCATCGCCAAGGAGGCCGGCGAGGCTCAGGGCCGCTGGACCTGGGGCGCGGACATTGCCGGACACATTGTCGGGTCCTTCCCGCACGAGCGCATCCCGCAGGACATGATGCCGCTGTACATTGCGGCGGGCAACACGACGTCGATGCGCACGGTGGGCAAGGACGGGCACATGAGGCAGTGGATTCTCGAGATTTACCTCCATGACAAGGAGGGACAGTTTGGGGGGTTCTTTGAGCAGCTCTTGACTGTTGATGATGACTAGGTTTAATTATGTAGTGCTAGTACTAGTTACTGACTGCTGAGTAAATAGTACAGAGACGCATTAGAGTATCCATGTCCTGCGTAAAAGCAGTCGCTAAAATATGTTGGAACGTTGGTATCATGACTGTGATTTATAAATCAAGGAGAACAAGGTGGGCATGTCTCATTTCAGACTTCGCTAGCGGCTTCAGGAGGAGTGAACGTCGTCGGCTGGTTAGTGTAAGTTGCACTACCCTGTATTCTGCACTGCGTTGGTGGTTGCGGTAGGTGACGGCAGGCGGCAGGGGCAGAGGGCGCGTGCACTACGCTTAACTTTTGAGCTTTGCTGAGGAAAAAAGCCATCGTCAATTCATCTCGAATCTCGATCCTCCTCCTCGACCGCAATCATCTGTGCCCTTGACGTCACCGGCCCGCCGTCGAGAAACGCGCGCAGCTGGAGGGCCCTGAGTTCCGTGCGACCGGTGTCCTCGTCGGCGACGACAGGGACGAGCTCGACGACGTTGAACTCGGCGACGCGGACCTCGACGGCCTCGGGGTCGGCGCGAAAGGTCGAGAGGCTGCTGGACTCGTACATGACGGTACGGCGGCCGGAGCCGTCGCGGGCGGCGACGTCCCAGGCCATGCGGACGTCGTGGTGGAAGCGGGTGAGGCGCGCGGCGCGCTTGGGCAGCATCTGGAGGACGTCCACGGCGGGCAGCGCTGGGCCGCCGTTCATGACAAAGGTGGCGCCTGGGGCGAGGAGGTCGATGAGGTCAGAGGGCGGCTGCTTCTGCTCCTGCTGCGGGCCGGCGCCGGCGTCGCGGTGGTGGCGGGCGTCGTCGTCAAAGGGGCCGAGGGAGTCGAGGGCCGGCAGCAGGCGGCGCAGGAAGAGAAGGCCCGGGGACGCCGTGTCCGCGATGGCATCGTAGGGGCCGCAGTGGACGTGGGCGCCTGCGGCGGCCATGGTTGTGGGCGGCGCGCGGGACGGGGGGCGGGGGCGTGGCCCGGTCAAGCACGCGGAGAAGGGCGCAGCAGCAAGAGCATGGGGGGTCGTAGCCAAGGCTTGTTCGGTTGGTGAGATTACCGGCAGTCGAGGTGGCCAGTCGAGGTGGCCAGTCGATTGATGAGGGGGCCTGTGATGTTGGTACGGCACAGGATGAGGGCCAGCAGTGATGGAAGCGGGTAAATGTATTACCAAAGTACAATTTCGAGGTAGATCAAGGGGAAGGAAAAGAATGGCTACACAATGTCGTCACGTGGCACAGGTCGGATCGGCCAAGGAAATGTGTGTCGGGCGGCGAAGGGAAAAAAAATAGCCTTGACGAAGCCAGCCAGAAAGCAGGGTCTCGGGTCCAAGGTGGACAAGGACGAGTCGGAGGCCAGGAAAGGAGACCGGAGTGCACTCCGGGGCGCTGGCATGACATCAAAGGTCTCAGCAAGGAAAAGGAACAAAGACGAGTCGGAGGGAAGGAAGAGACAAAAGGAAAAAGTCCTTAGCAGTGTGACGTGTGGGCTTGGACGATGGAAGGTGCGCGATGTCGTAACAGTGTTAGTACTGGCTGCACTGTTGAGCCCAGAGGTGTATTGATTTGGCTTGTCATATTAATAAGGTGGCCAAGGTACCAATAAGGTAGGCAGGCGAATATTTATGATTACAGCGTTGTGATTGTGATTATTGACAGCCGGCACACGTTGGAGTTGAACATTGGACATTGGACATTGACCTGGTTGATGATTTAACCGGCCTCAATTGCTTGTTAGCTGTTATTAGGTACCTATGTACAACATTCTGTACATACACACATACAACGGGTGCTGTACGGATACTGCGCCAGTCAGTGGCCCTGCTCCCTGTAAACTTCCATCTCGCATTCACTCTAATATTGCTTCCTGCAAACGCCGTTGCCCAAATCCAAAATAACAACGCCATCAGAGCACATACCCTCTGCCAACATGCCATATCTGGCCATCCCATCACCATCCTCGTTACCATCCCATCAAATTCTCCTCCTACCCCGTCGCTCATCTCAAGTTCGACCCACTGCGCCATTCACTGCCACCGTCCGCCCAAGTCCGCGACACAATACAAGGAATCATCAATGCCGCGAGAACCGAGCATCTGTCACTCAATAATCAAAAAACATCGAGCCCATCAGCACTTGCTAATTGACTCACGAGCAGAGTCATTCCCAATCTCAACCTAGCTGCGCCATTGACTCGATCTCCCCCCAATGGTCTTCATCTGTACCTTGAGCCTTGCGGGGCGCCCCGTCTCCCCCCCAAACTATCCGCTGCCTAGCCATACTCCGTCAGTGACTCACGGCGTCAGACCACAATCCTCTTACGAGACGGGATGTCACTCCCTAGGCCCATTGGTGGACGAATTGCACCAATAGGTGTGTACGTTGTGACCGAACTTCCGAATCGTCAGATTTCAATCGATATCAACCTCATAACCGCCTCATACTAAAAGCCTATATAACATCGCTAAGCCGGCCTCCTTGCCATTGAATCTCAGCAGCAACAAATCGCTACATCATCGCAATGGCTACCTTTACTCCTATCCCGCTTGACCGCGCCGAGACGATTGCGCGCCAATCGCCCACCCCCAATGACACAGCCCTCCGGATTGAAAAAGTCCAAGTCGAGCATCGTCTTCAGCTCGTCAACACTTGGCGCATCCCCCCGGGCTCCAAGATTCTCGAGATTGGATGCGGACAGGGCACCTGCACCACTGTTCTGGCCACCGCTGTTGGCCCCGACGGCCATGTTGATGCCGTCGACCCCGGCCCTCCCGACTATGGCTCGCCCTATACCCTGTCCCAGGCCCAGGCCATCATCAGCTCTGGTGACCTAGGAAGCCGCATTACCTGGCACAATGCCGAGCCGACTGACGTCTTGGCCACGTCGGGGGAAAAGAACTGGGACTTTGCCGTCTTTTCGCATTGCATATGGTATTTTGACAACCGCGACGTCTTTTCCACAATTCTCCGTGCTATGGAGGGTCGCGTAGGCTCCGTCCTTGTCGCAGAATACGCCCTCAAGGCGACTGAGCGCGATGCGGAACCTCACCTCCTCTCCGCCATTGCCAAAGCCTCCCTCGAGGCACACAACCCCGCCAGTACCGCTAATATCCGTTGTCTGTTGAGCCCTGCCGGCATCAAGGAAATTGCCGAAGCCTCCGGATGGAAGGTTGGTGAAGAATCCAACATTGTCCCGGCTGCCGGTCTGCTGGATGGCGTGTGGGAGACTGGCGAGGTTCGAAGCCAGAGCTTTGTTGATGAGGTTGAAAAGCGAATTACCTCTCCTCGAGTCAAGGAAATGCTTTTGTCGTCGCGTGAGGCTGTTATTGCCTCGTACGCCGCCATGGACGGCCGCAAAACACGCACGATGGATGTCTGGGCGACGTCGTTCACCCCGGCTGAATGAAAACGGATAAAGAGTTATATCAGTAAAATACAGCACCCGCAGATTTCTATCCCGCGTTTCATGCCTGATGCTTGTTCTCTGGCTCCTTGTTCTGCATGTACTCATCCTCAAAGGGCGCTTGGCCAAGCGACTTCCAACACTGGGCCGCCATGAGCGCCTCATTCTTCTCCTTGCTTCGGAAGAGGATGTCCGACTTGCCGTCACTCAAATGGCTAACCGAGCGATCCTGCTACTACATTAGCCCGGAAAAGTGATTTGTTTTCATTCATACACTTACCAATCCCAGAGTCAACTTGATCATACTCTCTGGCCAGGAGTGTCGGTACTCGTGCTGCGGTGCCTTGCCCTCGATAGCGAGCAGGATGTTCTCGGCTGCTACTATGGACTGCTGCATAGCAGAACGGGCATTCGGTGTAGGAACGTCGGTATCCGTGACATCACCACAGCTGTATATGTTTTGGAAATTTTCGTCAATCAGCTGCAGGGTGGGCTTTACCTTGATGTAGCCCGACGAAGAGATGGATGCTGGCGATAGCGTGGAGAGGATCGATGAATTCGGCTTCTGACCTGTGCAGTTGATCTGAAACACTGTTAGAGGGCCAAGGAGAAAAAGAGAGCTGACAAAGTTGTGTTGAAGACTCACAAAACAGCCGCAATTGATTTTTCGACCAGACTTGAGCGTCACGGTGCCGTTGACGCCGTCTTCTTCAACAACACGGTCTTCGAGAATCACCTCAACCTCAAGGCGCTTCAATCCTTCCGTGGCGGCCGTCTGCAATTCCTTGCCAAAACGTTGCATCACCGAGCCTCGCGAATGTACTAAGATAATGTGCTTGTCCGGGTACAGGCTCTTTGCGTCTGTCGCTACCTCGACACCGGCGGCGCCGCCCCCCACAACGACGACCGTTTCGGCATTTGCTATCCTCTGCTGCATGGCTTGCATGAGCTTGATTCCCTCAACCTTTTCCGTGCTGTTTACTCGAGATGGTAACCCGCTTTGCACCGCTGCACCAGTGGCAATCACCAGGTACGTGTAGGGGATGCGCTCGCCTGCATCCTGCAGTACCACCTCGGACTCGTTGACGCTGGCCACGCGATCCTTGATCCAGTGCAATGCACCGTCGACAGCATCCGCATACTTGCCGTACGGGACAAAAGCCTTGTGCTCGTGGCCGCCGGGGATCACGCAGAAGCGTGGCAGCACCCAGGTGAACTGGAAGTGGCTGTTGGGCTCGATGACGACGACGCGGTGCTTGCTGTTGGGCGGCAACGATCGCGCGATGATGCGGGCTGCGTAGTGCCCGGCAAAGGAGGCGCCGACGACGACGATGTTGTGCGTGCGCTCGGTGGACGGTGTCGAACCGGTCTTCTTCGCCTGGTTGCGCACCCAGCGAAAGCGCAGCAGCCGACGGATCTCGCCGCCCATGACGCGGGCGAAGATGAAGACGAGCTTAAAGCATAGTATGGCCTTGTCCAACATTTTTATCGGTTGAGCGGAAGTTTGGTGGCTCAGGGGACAAGGAAAAGTCCAGAGACATGTGTGTGAAGAAGATATATGATGTTTCCATGAAGCTGACTCGGACGTTGACAGCTTTCCGGTGCCCGAGCGGACAATTTGGCCATAATTTCCCGTTGTTTTGGGGCAGCAAAAAATCCCTGGCTTATACCTTGAGGCCCCTCAATTTACCGAGTCCGATCGGTCCCCGAATGCAGGCTGCAGGCCTCTAACAAAGGAAAAGCGCCAAGATGGTGGGCTGGTCGGGGCTTTGTGGCTGGCAAATTGGAATTGCAAGACAACGCCCTGGCCAACGCTTCAGCCCAGTTGTGGGTCGCTCTCGTTATCAGATCCATCAGATAACGGAGCTGAATTGTTGCTCGGCGGGGTCTGACTCCCAATTCCGCACTCAACGCGAGAGGATTTCCACTCGTCAATGTTTTTCACGAAGTCCTTCGTCCTAGCACAGTGAGCATGTGAAGGAGCAGAATTTTTCTCGCTACTGGCATGAGACCGTGACAACCTGACCAACAAGGTGGGAATCAAAACGTTTGTATATATAAAAGCCCACCCCTTCAAATGACGCCACACAAAACTCGCGCACGCTAACAGAACGACTAGAAAACTACTCTGTACCTAACAGGCAATCTGCCGCCCCTTGACCATTGGTTCATACTTTTTGGTGAACTCCGGATACCCTGTCTCGCGCCATTCCTTGAAAGACATGCCGTTGGCGCACGACGGCATCTTGACCATGAGCGGCACCACAATGTCCTCGTCGGTCCCGAGCAGCGCCGCCTCGTGCACAATCTTCTCCTCGAGCACCTCGAAGCCCATCTTCTTGTAAAGGCCCACGGTAGATGGCGAAGACTCAAAGTACACTGGCAGGCCCGCGTTCTCGCCTAGGTCGATGCCCCACTGGACAATGAGGGCGCCGGCCTTGCGGCCTTGGTGCCGGGGGTCAATGGCGATGACATGACAGTCTATGACCGCAACGGGGTTCGGCTGATGTTAGCGTCGGGGTCTTCCTCCTCCTTTGCTTGATAACTCGCATCTATACGAGGGGGCAAGAGAGAGACGCCTCGGTCGCAAAGAGGGGCACCCAAGCGACAAGGAGGCGAAAGAATACCAGAGACTTACAGATGTAACGGCGGCCTCCAAACAGCCTCTCCCGCACCTCCCACAAGGGATTCAGGACCTTTTCCGCGCGCGCTCTCTGCTCTCCCTCGAGCCACGGCACGCCGTGGTTGGCACGCTCTGGCACGGTGCGCTCGCGCAGATAGGCGTCGCCGAGGCCCATGCCGATGATGTCGCCGGTGGTCGTGTCGACGACCTTGAGGGTGTACTGGCAGTCGCTCAGGTGCCAGTAGCTGAGCGTGCCGGCGGCATGGGCCTTGAGGAATTCCTCGTCGACGATGCCCGGGAAGAGGATCTGCAGCATCAGGGAGCCCATCTTGTCGGCGCGAAAGGCGTCAAAGTAGATTTTGTAGATCCGTGGGATGTCGGGGATGAGCGCGGGGAGGACGACCTGAGACATGATGGGGGGTTGCTTTCAGGGCTATGAACTGAATGAGGATGATCAAGGTATGGTTACGGATGAAGACGGGAAGGAAGCATGGCTAGGAGACTTGATTCATCATTTATATAGCTAAGCTAGAGTCTCTTGGGTTCTCAGCTCGACTGTTAGTCGAGCTCTGAGTGTGTTGCCCACCAGTTGTACGGGTGGAGTTTCTGGTGCGCTGGTTCCTCTTGTGGCAAACCCGTTCTTGGAGACCACGAGTTGAAGGAAATTGGACTCTCGCTTAAAAAGTGGGCAGACGTTGGTCTTGCCCAGCCAGGCAAAACAAGCCTGATCTACTGGTAGGTAGTCAACTAATGAACGACCAACGGCAGAGAGGAAGCTGCAACTTGAGCACAGCCACCCACACCAGAGGACACCTTCTCTCGCCTTGGTACCATGCGAACCCCACAACGGCAGTTTCGTCTTCTCTTTGTCCACTCTGGAAAATACAAAGACGCTTTTCCTGACTCTGCAGATTAGTTCATAACGGTCTGGTGCAGTGGCTTGCTGTCAGCAGACATCACTTCGGTGCGCCGAGGCTGGGGCTCGCTTCCCCGTCGGAGATTCAACACCACATGAATGACTAGGAAGGGTGGCGCTACCAGTTTCCTTTTTAAGTCTTCTTGTTGAAAAAGCTAAGGACAAAGAAGAAACAAGAAACAAAGACAGTGTCATAGGGAAAGAAAACCCCGACCCCATTCCCAGTGGAACTGATTGATAAGATTTCTATAGCTCACACGCTATACAACATGCAGGGGAGGCGGGGAGAGCAATGCTGGGATGAGCTACAGTGTATGCCAAGCGGCCGTACGGGGAAACAAGGTTGAAGCTTTCGGAAATCACTGGCTTAATGGGATATAGGTGTATTCTATGCCACGTGCGCTGTGGTGTAAGCGGTCAATGAGGTTAAGCATAGTGCGCAAGCATTGTGCGCCTGATTCTGAGGCGCTTGTTGGCCGATTGGACCGAGATGGACGCACGCTTGAGCCGGCGGGAGGGTCGAGCGTGAATCAATGAGGCGCCAAGTTAGTGATGATACTACTGTTGTCTCGTATGGATCGTTGTGGCTGACATCAATTGGCGTTGAGCATGCGGAGGCATGGTGGTACAGCCGAGGTAAAGCTATTGAGCTCCTCTTGCCCTGCAAACCGGTGTGACTAGGTTAGCAGGTCGAGCTATTAACTATATATAACGGCTTTTATAGTATGCTTCTGTTTCTCAGTTATCGTTGGCAAATACAAGATACCGCTTGCCGGCTCCTAAACGAAGCAACATTTTCAGCTCTGACTGATTTGATCGCTTGGTGGCGACGAGCGGAATCGCCTCTTCGACCAACACACGTCTACTATCTAGGGAGAACAGCTGGTTCAATATTAGAAAAAGAGATGGGAGACCACAAAAGCAAATAGGAATTCGCTACCGAATTTAGATTTTATTTCTTTCATCTCGGAAAAAGTTTTATCTTATCGTAGGCGTCTTGTGCCCGCCTACGGGTGCGATAGGGTGTAGTTTAGCGAACTCACCACTCAGGAGTTGTTGTCCTATCACCCCGGGACTAGATTCCTTCTTTTTTTCGAAGTCATCGAGACCTACGGACGCCATAAAGAATTATTTCGGCACCCCAGGTGCGGGCATTTTAGACCACTTCGTCGTGCGGGCAACACAACGCATGGCTCTGGCACCGAGTGGGCGTCTTTTGCCTATTAGATAAGACGCATTGGTGTTGCGTAAATAAATATAAACAAAAAAAAGGAATTTAAAGTTTCAGACCGCTACGACAGCCCTCTAATTGTGTTCGGCCGTTGCGCGCTGTTTTCCTCTGACTGTTGAGAAGGCAAAGCCGGTCGTTATATTTACGGGATGCAACCACTCAAAGTTTGGGTAGTGCTCTTGAGAACGCACATTCCATGCATCTCAAAACTACTGCGACGTGGCCTCGTACTGGGGACAACTCGTCAATAGTCGAAGTGGTGATTCGCTAGGGATTTGAGAGTGAACATGGTGCGACCGCAACCCCCATGGGGTTGACATGGAAGAGGACAAAGTGAGACTTGACAGATGATGATCTATCACCTGTCTGTAGTCGATCGGAGAGTGGAACGATGGCCCACGAATAGGAAAAATGTAGGGTACATGGCGGTGTCTTTGTTCGGCGTCTTTAGAAAGAAAAAAACAAGAGATATTCTAGCGGTGTGGCGCCGGAGACAAGGCGGAAGCGTCTAAACTCAAAAACTGGAGACAGCCGTCGGCAATGGTTGTCTGCGATCGAAGAATACGCCGTCAAGAGGTAATGGTAGCTATTCATAGCTGTAGATCGGAATATTAGTGCAACTTGGAAATCTTCAAATGGATGGGAAATTGTGGTGTGGGGGGTGCTCGACAGCCTCAGCTGGGAACTGGGAAAGAGGGGGTTTAGCTCCGGGGGAGCGAAGCTTGCAGGTGGATCGCGTGGCTTTGACGCAGGGTGAAGATTTCGTCAACTTGATCGAGAATGCGCGGAATATGGGCTGATGGTCGATAGATGGACAGATATAGTCACTCGTAGCTGCGACGCGCGTCGACCACGGGATCGTGAGCAAGATTTTCACGACGTTAGCACAGCGCATCTGGGTGGGTGCTGAAGGCAGCTTGGCAAGATGGGTGATGGGCGGGCTGCGGCGCTATGTAAATTAAAGAAAGAGTGGCGCATGTATGTACAGTATGTAGGTATGTATGTACATAAGCATGAAGTCATTAACTAGCGGGGGAGCACTGGGGGAAGAAATTGTCTGGGTGCTTCCCGATAAGGCTGTCCATCGAACTGGCGTCTCATGAAGAGCAGTTGTCCTTTCATGTTCTTGCCCTCCTCAGTTCCAGTCGAGCTGTTTATTTCCTCTTGAGAATCCGAGCATGCGGCAAGGTTCCTCGGAACATCCCCTCTTGGCTGTCTTGGAGAGGGTTGCGAAGAGCCAATGGGCAGGCTGAGGGCAAGTACTGGCGGATCCGCGGGGGTCTGTTTTGGTGGTCCCGGGGCGCTAGAAGCCGGCGGGTCAGGGGAGGGGGGGGGGCGGGTTTCCAGGCCTGTAGGGCAGCCAAGCCGGGCGTCGCCAAGAGGATGGGGCGAGGGACCTCTAATAATCTGGGTACATGTCACGAGAGGCAAGAACTGGAGGACGGCCATGGGAATTGACAAAGAAAATGCAAGGATAGTACTCTGTAGAATATGGAGGGAATGAAGAATGTTCCAACACTGGGAAATTTCGAGTAGAAGTTGCTGGCGGCAATGTTGACCTAGGTTGGTCGCTTGTCTGCTCGTCCTCCTGTCAGCATCTCCTCCACCACAACCCTGCCACGAGTAATTTCTTCACGCCAGCCTCGTCATCGACATCTCCGGGCGTACTAGTTAGTTATGGGCAAGGCAGTGGAGAATACCGAATCCATCTATCCCATTTTAAACTGCCAAACTACTGGTAGTCAACTGCATTTCGGCCGTGCCTCTTACCTACTAGGTTGTGCTCTTGGGCGGTTGGGGTTGGGGCCGAGACGGACCGCCACACAGCCTTGTCTGCAACTTCCGTCAGTTTGAGGATGCCGCCCACTTCTTCAGCCCTCCCCTACCGACGAGCTCTCGCTGGCCTTCCACCCACCACCACCACCACCAAGCTTTACAGTTTACTCTTCTTCATCTTTGTCTCTTTGCGCCTGCGTGCTGAAACATCATGGGAGTCCAGCTCGTTCGCCTACCCATCTCGCGACATTCGACATCTATTATCTGATTCCGTCTTCTTGCTTGCCTCGCCGCCTTGGGCGCGACCGACCGAACGACCACCCGACACCACGCAAACGCTGCATTTTTTTCTTGTTGCTTGCTTCCTCTCTGGGGTCCCCGGCGCATAGCAAAATCAACTGGCTCTTTCCGAAAATCATCTTGCTAAGCATCACTCTCTCCATATACATATACGTTTCTTGTCATGTCGCTGCTTGGCAAACCGCCGCGATACTCGTCGCCACCCGCCGTTAGCCGCGGCTGCCTCAGCAAGAGAGTTCGGCGCAACATAATAATCGCCCTCTGCGCTGTTGCTGGCTTCAGCCTCGCCACAAGATGCATGCGCCCCGGTACCACATGGGAGCAACCCTTCATCCCCCTCTGGCCTGATGTCCACGAGCCATATCGCATCGTCACCACCAGCGACTTCCGCCCCGTCTCCATGTCACCACACAACAAGACCATGCAGGAACTCTGCGAGAGCTTCCCCAACCACATCCTCCAAACTATTCAGCCAGTCCTCAAGACGGGTCACACCGATGACCCCAACCGCATGCCTGGGCAGTTTGACGGCGCCAGCGCCTGCTTCAAACCCGGCGAGCTGCTCGTCTTCTCCGATGCCCCGGGCAATATGTCGGGTCATGAGGTTATCGATATTCTCGGCCTCCTGCCCGACACCTACCACAGCTTCCCCGAGTTCAAGCCTTACCTTGAACAGCGTCGCATGCTCGAGAATGGCTCCGCCAAGGAGCACCCCGAGATGCTCAAGACCATCGACGGCTGGAAGCTCGACCGATTCAAGTTCGTCCCAGCCGTTGAACAAGCCTGGTTGATGAAGCCGGATCGCGACTTTTATGTCTTTTACGAGTCAGATACGTGAGTCCTCTCCACCCATCGTGCTGTGCATTGAAATCTGCTACTCGCCGTGCACGCCGGTCTGCTCGTATGAAGATCTGACAAGGACTAACTTGGTCTGCATCCACAGCTACGTCTTCTGGGATAATTTATTTAGATTCCTCAAAACACTTGATCCCGGCGTACCCCTCTACATGGGATCTTCTACCCCGGGACGACGCGATAACGTCCACTACGGCACCACATTCGCCAATGGTGGTCCTGGCTACGTCCTCAGTCGTGCCGCTGTCAAAAAGTTGCTTCACCGTGAAACCGATCGGGCTGGCCATCTCATCGGCCCTTCATTTACCGAAAAATGGCGGTATCTCGTCAACGACGACGAGCCCTGCGGCGATAACATTTTGGGCTACATCTTGTGGCTGTCCGGTATCGAGATGCAAGCTCTGTATCCTATGTTTACTCAGCACGTCTTCCACACGGTGCCCTTTGATTCTATGCGCTGGTGCTCTCCCATATTTACCTTCCACAAGCCGTCACCTGAGCAAATGCGCGGCCTGGCTCGCTGGGAGTATGGGGCGCGAGAAAACTCGGTACATTCCCCTTGACAACTTGATTTGACATCGTCGCTAACCTGTGATGCAGCATCCCGCAAGATACGCTGATGTCTGGGACTTTTACAAGCCCGGATCAGAACATATGCGCGATAACTGGAGAAATAACGACGTTCTCTGCCGCAAAGCCTCGTCTTCCAGCATAACGTCTGCGGAAGCATGTGAAGCGCACTGCCGCTCTCTACCCGAGTGTCTGCAGTGGACGTGGCGGGGAAACCCGACTCGCGAATGCTTCGTTGGCGAGGACGTCTTCTACTACGGCGAGACATGCTCTGACTCCACGGCGGGTTGGCTCACAGACCGCATCAAGGAGTGGAAGGACAAGCACGAGTGCGAGGACACATTTTGGCACGGCCCAAGCCGTACAAGAGTTTATATCCCTGGCTAAGTGCAATGAAAAGGCTGGACCTTGAAATAACAAAATATGAATCTCCCGATCATTAGCGCGACTTGGCTATGCTTGGTCTCTGCGCGCCGGCATAGCAAGCACACCACAGAGCGTCTTGGAAGCCTGTATGAAGTCTCGAGGTATGGGCCACGAATAATATTACATTGTATATACCTTATCACAGCCTTGCGCCTTATATATTATGTATGGCATGATGAACAATACTACCTTGGCGTGGCTGCCCCTGTATCTTTTGGGAAATGCATGACAAAATTTGTCTCCAGCCCGGTTGCATGTACGCTCTCAGCTTCCCATCTATGTTGCGTCGCTAATAAACATATCGAAAGTAGGGATTTTCTTTATCAGTGAGATCCTGGAAAGCTAGCTTGTCGCGCTCGGCCTCATCGACAGGCAGGGCGCTCCGTATCTTGTTCTCACGACGTAGTACAAAGTACAGCGCCAGCGCAGCTACGATGACAATTACATAGCTGGCATTTGTTAGCACGAATACACACCCCCGTTTCCGCAGACAACAGGACGTACCATATAATCAGCCCCAGCCAGAGGGCAGGGTAGTGCTGGGCCTTGGTCTCGGACCACACCAGCTGGGGCCCGACGATGTTGCCAACGCAGTAGGCGACGAAGATGGTGGCGGCCATGAAGCTCTTCTTGGTGTGGCCGGCGACGTTTGCCATGCCGAGCGTGATGATGAGGCTGGCGGTGCCGCCAAAGAAGCCGGTGAGCGAGTACCCGACGACGGGCGCGGCGGCGTGGTGCGTCCACGCCGACTTCCAGATGAGCGCGCAGCCGACGATGACGGGCAGGCAGGTGCCGATGAGCAGGAACACGCGGATGTTGGCGAAGCGGCCGCCGAGGTGGCCGACGGCGAGGATGACGACGAAGCAGATGGCGGCGAGCGGGAACTGCAGCAGGATGGCGTGCAGCGAGTCCCAGCCGAAGGTGGAGACGATGAGGGGGCCGAAGCCGCTGACGGCGCCATTCATGGTGTAGCAGGCGGCCATCATGACGAAGACGAGCCAGACCTTGCTGTCGGCGAGGGCCTCGCGGACCTGCGCGGGCTTGAAGCGCGCGCAGCGCAGGCCAGTCTGGCCCGCGCGCAGGCGCTCCACGGCGACGACGCGCTCGTCAGGCGTCAGGAACCAGGCGGTGACCGGGGACGCGGGGACGGCGAAGCAGGCGAGGCCGAAGAAGAAGGTGAGCGCCCCGGCGAGCAGGTAGATGTACTGCCAGCGGGCGAGGCCGCCGCCCTCGATCTGGGCAAAGGCGTAGTTGAGGGCGCCGCCGATGATGGTGAAGAGGCCGGTGGCGGAGAACCACCAGCCCTGGCGGAGGGCCTGCTCTTGCTGGGTGTAGTAGCCCGCGACGAGGGTCATGAAGGCCGTGGGGACGACGCCCTCGACGGCGCCGAGGGCGAAGCGCTGGGCGTACAGCCCGCGATGCGAGGTGACGGCAGCGGTGAGCGCGCAGACGAGGGACCACAGCAGGACGACGGCGCCGAGGACGCGGCCGGCGGGGAAGCGCTGCAGGGCAAAGGAGAGCGGGTAGACGAGGGCGAGCATGCCAAAGTAGAAGAGCGAGGTGGCCCAGCTGAGGCGGCGGGTGTCCACGGCGCCGGGGTTGGTGGGGGAGACGGTGGTGAGGTGCAGGTCGGCGGTCATGCCGAAGAGGACGGCGGAGCCGAGGATGGCCTTGTCGTAGTAGACGAGGCCGTAGCCGAGGAGCATGAAGGGGACGAGGTACAGGTCGATCTTGCGGACGACGCGCGCGGCGAGGGCGGGGTCGATGGAGGTGAGGAGCGGGCGCTCGCCGACGAGGGCGAGGGCGTCGTCGGCGGAGGAGACGGCGGCGGCGGCCGGGGTGTCGGCGGCTGTCTCCTTCTCTTGCTTCATGGCGGGCGATGGGGAGCGGGTGAGGACCGGGGGTTGAGTCTATATCGATGTCTCGTGCATATGCGAGGAGGTAGGTGGGTGATGGTGTAGAGGATTGATCAACCCCGCGCCCGCAAGGGTTCTCAGGAGCACATGAATGGGATGTAGAAGGGAGGATCACCGGAGAATGAAAGAGCACGCGGGTTCATCTCAACCGCCAAGTAAAAAAAAAAAAAAAATTCTGTTGTGATAGATTGCGATGAGGCATTAGACCAGACCCTTCTGGTTGGGGTGATCCACTCAACCGTTCCCACCAGCTGAATGCATCATCAGCCTTGCAGTGGTTCAGTTCTATGTAGACTGTTTTAGATTGATTGAGATGTCGATGCTATAACTACTTTGTTGATATAATTTTGATCTAATGAGGACTGGACTTTTCTCTCCGCGTGATCAGCCTTGCGTATCTTGATCACGGCCAATTGCTGCGGCATGAGAGAGAGAGAGTGCGATGTCGGCTTGCATCGGAGTCGATGCGCTATTATTTCATGTCCCTTGCAAGCCACGAACAAGGATCTGGCTGAGACTTTTTTTTTTTTTTTGCTTCGATATGATGAAAGTAGATATTGATTGGTCATGCTCATAAAAAAACATTTACAGAACCCCTAGCCTCAATCGGGTCGTCATCTATATGCACACACACATTCTTCCCATCTATCCCTTCCTCCCTCCATCATCTACAGCTTCGCCGGGCTCTCGTCCGGGTTCTTGAGCTCGACAATCAACTTGCCCGTGTTGATGCCCTTGTAGAGGTCGACCAGCCCCTGCTCAGCGACCTGCAGGCCGCCCTTCAGCAGATGGATGCTCGTCTTGAGCCTGCCTTCGGCCAGCAATCGCGCGAGGTCGGCGCGGGCCTCGGGGTACCGGGCCTTGTGGTCGAAGACGATGAAGCCCTGCATGCGGATGCGCATCTGGACGATGCGGGTGATGTTGCGCGGGCCGACGGGCTGCGAGGTGTTGTACTGGCTGATGGCGCCGCACATGACGAAGCGCGAGAACTCCTTGGCCTGGCGTAGCGCGAGCTCGAGGATCTCTCCGCCGACTGGACGTTGTTAGCATGTCTCTGTCCGTGCCTCTCCGTGCCTCTCCGTGCCTGTCTCTCCCCCGCCTCCGCCCTGCGTCACTCACCATTGTCAAAGTACACATCAATGTGATCCTTGGTAGCCTCCAAAAACTGCTTCTTAAACTCCGGGTCCTTGTAGTTGAGCGCCTGGTCGAAGCCGAGCTCCTCCACCAGCCAGCGGCACTTGTCCTCGCCACCCGCGATGCCAATCACGCGCGCCCCCCTCGCCTTGGCAATCTGCCCGGCCACGCTGCCCGTCGCGCCGGCCGCGCCCGACACGACGACGAGCTCGCCGGGCTTGGGCTCGCCGATCTGGGTCATGCCGACCCAGGCGGTCATGCCGGTGAGGCCAAAGGTGGAGATCATGTGCTTGGCGTCCTGCAGGTCCGGGAAGCTGGATTGCGGCTCGTACCAGCCGGCCTTGAGCACGGCGTATTGCTGCCAGCCGGGCAGGCCGCTGACGAGGTCGCCGGGTCGTACGGCGGGGTTCTTGGAGGCGAGGACGCGGCAGGCGGCGCTGCCGCGCATGACGGCGCCGATCTCGACGGGTGGGAGGTAGGAGCGCTCCTCTGCGTGGAGGGTGGTTAGCGATGGGATGCGGTGAGGAAGGATGGGGGATTTAAAAAAAAAAAGAAAAAAAAAAAGGGACGCACCTTTGAGCCAGCCGCGCATGGCGGGGTCTAGGGACAGGTAGAGGGTCTCGACGAGGACATCGCCGTCGGCCAAGTCGGCTTCTGTGGGAGCAGGAGTGACGCGCTGGTGAAAGGTGGTGCCGGGGATGATTTCAGCCGTGGGGCGCTCGGCGAGGACGACTTGGAGGTTGTCGACGGGCATTCTCGTTACTCTTGGTGTTGGTGTTGGTGTTGGTGTATGCTGTGTCGATGGGAGGAATCGCGATAGGTGTGGAAGGAAGGAGGGGAAATGTGCAAGTGAGACAGACAACAAGTCCGGTGGGAGGGAGAGTTTTATATAGCTATCACTGCGTATCCGTACAAGACCACGACATATGAGCGGGTGGGATATACATATTTATTTCACCCCTCCACATCGGGCGTTGATAGTGGCAACTGGCGGCCAGCCAAAGATGGCTTGGAGATGATTGCTAGCTACATGGCTAGCTGGGCAGGCAACCTTATTTGGAAGCAGGACCGGGAATCGATGAGGTATTGTAGGTGAGGCGTGTCTGCAACGGGAACAAGAAACACCCCCTCTTCACCCACTAGTTTTAACCCCGGAGCCGCGTCTCCCTTGTCCGAAATGGCCGGGTTGTTGTCGATAGAGTTCTAACGTCATCTACAGCCACTTCGTTCTTTTCCGTACTAAATTGAGCAAAGTATGTATGTAACAAGTACATCTCACTCAGCTATGAATGAATGCGACTGAAAGATTTGTACCTTGCATTGTGCGGCTACCGATAACAATAAGGGCGCATTTCTCTGGTTCACTGCCCCCTCGGTTGCGAATCATCATTACCAAGCAACTTTGTTCGTGCCAAGTAGTATTTCAAGAGCCAAAAGTCTTTTCAACAGCCGAGTTGTGGAACCAAACCTCGGCACTTCAGACTACGTTTCTGGCTTTCTTTGTTAGCGGAGTTTGGGTGGCTACGGAAAAAAGAGACTGCGGACTTGGGCTTTGTATTGAGAAAAGGTTCAAAGCCACGGCCGCCCTCCCGGCCGAGTTTCCCAACTGAGCATCTTGCACCGGGGAGGGGGGGGGGCGGGCACGCGGCCGCGACTGGGCCGGGGTCATGGTGCTGCAAAACTAGCTCTGAGACACTGAGGAATCGGCAACTCCATTAGTTGACCAAAAGTCCGGGATTATTGATCAACTAGAAATGGATTGCAATCATCCATGGAAAATGCCATGGACCGCGGTGAAGTTGTTTCTAGATGCCATGCATAATAAGCAGCACCCCTGAGTCTTGAGGTAACTATGTACAACCTACGCCCGGGCAGGCGCTTATCATTAGTCGGCTCTCCACCGATCTGCACTTTTCCACAAGGACTTCATTGTTGTTTGTTGTCTCGGGACAATCTACCGTACTGGGTAACTATACCTTCATAGTAACTAATAATAGATGACCACGTTAACTACGAATTGAAAGTCTGCTGCTGGCCCCCTGAGCGCGAGTGGCTGGCGACAAGTCAGTTGCTTCAGAGCAAAGCCACAAACCACCAAGCCACTGCCAACTCAACCGCTTGATGAAGCCAAGCCACACATCCTTCAACGTTTATTTTCCTCCTCCTCTTTCTTTGTCGTTGTTTGTCCTCTTCCCTTTCTCCCCTTGCACTTGTTTGCACTCGACGCCACGCCGCAGCCTTATCCAGCCACCATCATCGACAACTTCTTCGTTTATTCCCATTCCGATGCCCGAATCCCGGTTAGGAGAACTCCCAACTCCCAACGGCGCCCTTCAACTCCGACCTCACCTCACCTCACCTCACCTCACCTCATGTCAGCCTCGCCTGCCGACTCCGGCCCGCTTCTATTCGACAATGCAAGCGCGGTTGTCGGCCGGATGATTTATCAATCTACTGTTGCCAGCCTGCAGCTGAGGGTCCATGTGCGAATCCCGGAGCCACGACGATGAGCGAGTTGCTGCCTGGGCTGCGTCATTGATCCCCCGCTGGTTGAGTCCATGCTGTCTTGCTTCCATCGCCTACCACTACATTCATGACTCGGCCAGTCTTTGCTCGACTAATATACCAACCACCCACCGGCAGACGACGAAATGCCCAGGTCTCCCTCCCGAGGAGCTCACAATATCGGATCATGTGCATTGGCATCGAGGCTGAATTTTAACCAACTACGCTACGACTTGCTTGACAATCTCCAACAGGATGCAGGGGTGGAACAAAAAAAATTATAATTAGGCCAACAGCCTATGTAGGAGGAATATCGTGTCTTGCTAGCTCTGACTGCGGCTCTACTTCTCAACCCACATGCTGACACCAACCTAGCACCTCCGTACAGTCATAGAATGACGCGGCCTCCCGCATCTACGGAACCTAACAACTCATTGATCATGCAAAATCCAAGTTCAACTTGACAACAAGCCCTCCGCCCTCCCCATCATTATGTCAAGGGCTTTCCTCGCCGCTCCCCCGCGGCAGCGGGTTCCCAAACCACTGGCAGCGCTCCTTGCACGGCTCACACACGTCGAGATGCATGTCGGGCAGCTTCTCCGAGATTGTGAAGCGCGCCTTCTTGCAGTCCTGCGTGCTGTTGGCGTTGTTCGGGTCCATGCCGTGCCGGACGAGGAGCCGGTCCGGGTCCGTGTTTCGGAACGTGCCCATGCACAGGGGCTTGCCGGTGCGGAAGCACGTCACCACCTTGCCGATGTGCCCGGCGTGAGTGAACTGCGTCTCGCCGAGGGCCGTAATCTTTTGCTTGCAGTACACGTCCATGCATGGGCAGTACACGGCCGAGATTTCGAATTCGCACATGTTGGCCGGGAATTTTGTTGCTGCGGACTGTTCACGGATGGGACACCGGGTCGTTCGTTTGATGGCGGTGGGATACGTATTGTATCCCCTGCGATCAAGGTTAGTACAACGGTCAACCTTGATCATCTTCAAAGCACCTACAGATTTTGAGTGATGGGCTGTGATGGCGGTTCAGAGCGTCAGTGCCAACCGAGCTGTGTCTTTTTCGTTGCTTCCAGGACGAACAAGTCTCTGCGATGGCACAGATTAACAGCCTACAGTGAACTTTGTGTTGGAAACCAAGGTCACGAGGCCTCGGAGGGCAGAGAGTTCTACAAGCGTCAACAATGTACGACAGGCAACCTAGCGACCAAGTATCGGGCTCTCAAGACACATCTGAGCTGCAGTAAAACGCACAGGGAGGCAATAGCACCACATTACCACATTACACAGGAAAAATATCATGTCCGGTCGAGAGTTGGCATCCAGCCAGCCGACAGTGTTGGGACCCAGCCAGCGGACAGGTGTTCTGCGCAGCCAAATTTAATTGTCAAAGGCTCAAGCCGAGTCGCACCAGTCAAAAAGAGAAGAATGTTCATGAAAGTTAAAATCGACATGCTATCCCTTGACCGCCAGCCTCACTCACCCACGCGCGCTGCTGCGTGCTGAGGCGCCCCGTGTGTTGTGTTACTTGAGAGCTGCTCAGACTTCCGTCCCCAACAAGTATTGTTGTCAGTTCTCAACATCCTTCCAAATGAGAATGGCATAACTAAATATCACTCCCCGTCAACAACATTTCCATGGTTGATGCCATGTTACAAGAGAATACTTCATACCATAAGCGTCAACGAGATCTACGAAGTTGCAAGCCCAGACTTCCAACAACTAACTGCGAGACAATCTTCCCGACCTTTGACACCGATCGATTAAGACCTGCGAGACACTCGTTTCCAGATACTTTGACGATCACCCGACCCATTTAGCCGCTACTGCTGCTCATGCTGCTTCGACATCGAGGACCTATACATGGCGTGCTTCACTTTTCCCTCTTCTGCGACAACACGCACCTTCCCCACAGGCTCATCGAACGACAAGTACAATCCACCAGCGTCATCGACTGGGAATCTCCCTACTCACACAGCCACACAGCCCAGCCGCTCTTCCTCTGCAGCCCGCTGTTCTGGCTCCTCGAGGCGAGCCCTGCAGTGGTCCAACGAAGACCGCCCAGCTGCACGACGACGCGGTGAATCGAGACTGGGCAATAGAGCGCAGCAACAGAAGACAGTGCTACCGAAAACTCAGTGGCGTCGTTTGTGTACGTCTCACAGCTTACCGACGACAAGCTTATACTCACCACATTTGTCAAGTCACCTTCGCAGCTTGCTCAAGAGCCTCCCATCTACTATCTCTGCAAACAGCACCTCAGCCTTCCCCCGCCCTCACACATGGGCTCGAACAAACAAACAATAACGATAGGGTGGCTCCGTCTTACAGATTGCTTGCATCTTGCCACTTCTGTTGGCATCTCTGAAACTTCCCCTCTCGCAGGCACCCCGTCATAGTCACACAGTCAGACCTCCATAACCTATCCAAGGCAGGATGGCTTGAATCATTCGGGCTTGGCATGACACTCCTGTGAACCATTCAAAACAATCTGGATGTCTGAAAGCCACTGGTGGAAGAGATACACAGCATCACCGTACGTGTTCCTGTGCTTTCGTGAACCATCGTCGACAAACTGGTACGCCTCTGGACACCACAAAAACCGGCAAGATCATCAAGACCAATTTTAAATGGGCAGAGTTCGCTTCAGACCACCATTCTGATGTGATCTGATTGGCTCTCTTTTCTGCTTCGTAACACTGCCGAGAAATACACTACCAACTGGCAAACTCTGGCATCGACAACCTATCACGTGGCTGACAATGCCTCAACGACTGCCGGCATACGATCTCTACAGCCGCAAAAAGATCCATTGAAAGGCCTAGACTTGCAGTAGCAGTCAGATTGCCCATGGGGTGAGGACGACGCCATGCAGCCATTTTGGGTGTGACGCCGCCGCGCCATCACTGCCCAACCTAGGGGTACCCAAAGTACCACTGCACTTTTGCTTCCAACCGCATCATTGATGCGGCCTATATATATGTACCTATATATACATACATAGTGCCCTCCTAGCACGGTATGCTGACAGCCCGAGAAATGCCACCGCTTTGCTATGCGACTTGCCTCGTGGCGTGATATGGGAAGCATCTTGCTCTGGATTCGCACCAATGGTCATTCAAGTGATGGTGTGGGCATTTGTCGTGTTACAGCCTGGGAAGCCATTATTTAGACGAGCTGCGACCAATAGCGACAAAAAGATTGGCATGTAGAGAGCTGTTGCGAGCGTCTCACTCACTGACCCTGACGCAGATATACAGGTCTCGAGGGCCGTCGGGCACATACACATCAAACCTTCGGATACACGAGCTACACCATGTGACCATCAGCAATCCCATATCGACAGCCGACCAGTTTGAGTCGCCCCATTTCCTCCAGACCTTGGCAATTTGCTGTGAGCATCCCACAAGATCTTCCTGTGTCTGTCAGTCTCAGGTGAGGTATAAGTAGGAAGTCACCTTCCAACCGGAGAAACGATCTTGCCATTCAACCCACACACAACTCTCGAGCCGAGATATTCTACAAATACTTCCATCGCTTTCGAAGCCGAGAACTCATCATGCCCGACAACGAAACCACTACCACCACCACAACTACCACTGGCAGCGGCACCACTACCTCCACCACCGCCGCTGCGACTACTACTGCTACCCCCGCCATCACATCCTCCGTCTCCGCTCCGTCGAGTGTCTGCGCGCCGGACACTACCGCCCTGAGGGAAATAATCTTCGCCGGCGACCCGGACCTGATGATGTGCCTCGATAAAGGCGAGCGGGCAAACAAGAGTCGCCGAAGCTGGTACACGCCCAACCCCGACAAGAAGAAGAAGACCGTCACATTCTCTAACACGGTCATATACATAGAGCCTCTGATAATGTGACGAATGCAAAACCTCAGCATCATCACCTCTCAGGTGAGGGCAACGATTCTGGCGAGTGGTGGTGCTCGGAAGCCAACACACATTTACACGCAGTGTTATACCCACCTACACCACAAATACAGTCAGAAATCTACGTAAACCGATTTTCCAGCGATATTCTATTCGTGAAGTGACATGGGACAATTCATAGTAAAGCACCCGCTTCGGTATACCTTTTAACCATCCTGTGGCTCCTGGTTGTTGAAGAACACAGGGCCGCTTGATTGATGGGCGGTTGCAACTTGGTTCGTGCCACGGGAGAGACCCCTAATAGTGACCGCAAATAGATGCCAAATTAGACAAACCACCAGGGACGGAAGATTCTATTAGTTTGCGTGGGGTCTTTCATTCTATCGCCCGACTCCTCTGGCGGAAACCATCAAGAGGATGCGATGTTGTTTGGTGATGGCTTAGATGGCTTCCACTCACTTTGGTCAAGTCCACGCGCAGGCCACTGCGTAACAGCTCTTTAGATATATATGCACTTGCCCTATTACCTACAATCCCTGATGGCGCTATAGACGAATCTAGCTTCCGCCGCAAGGTGTGCCAAACATCAACGTGGTTCAGCTCCGTCGGGTTAGCAGCAGAAAACAGCTTCCGCCGACACTTCGCCGCTATGCTCCAAGTCTTCTCGAGGATCAATTCGTCGCTTAGCGTCACGTATTTATTCGTGCTTGCTGCTTGTTACGTCCTTTTTCGCTCTCCGCGCTCTCTCCCCTCCCTACCGCCTCTCTTCGATCTATCAAGACCCAGGCGGGCGATTGTCAGGAATTCCTAATCAACCCCTTCCCATATAAGCCACAGTACCAGCAAAACCAATAACTCGCCCAACTATCCCCTTCATTTCACGTGATGTCGTTCATCTCGCAGATTCTCTTATCTTTCCCCGCCCCAAGGGTCACCGTATCTCCCAGACGTTTCTATCATCTGCACACGCCCCCTCCTCCCGGGTCACGGATGTTCCCGGGGGGAGGCCAAGATAAGGTCCCGAAGGAGGAGGGGTGTCTGGTGTACCTGACATGAAGCAAGATATGGATGATCAAGTAAAGGAGATCTCTGATAACCGAAGAATGCGACGTCGATTGATCGACGGCAAATCCCTCCCCCCCCCTAACCCTGCGGCTCGTCCAACGGCTCGGGTCCCGGTGTCTCGGGACGGGTGGATCGAGACAAGACCAACATCAGCGGAACCGCCTACAGTACCGATTGACGTGCGATCGTGAGCAGTAGCATAGATTGGTCAACTGAGGTTCAAATATCTAGATGGTGGTGGGCTTGAGAACGCCTGAGATTGAGCATCATGTGCAAGTACACTGGTTTGAAGCCTCTCCTTCTAAAACGGGACCCCAATACTTGGACATACAACAGAGCCATACGCGCCGTAATGAGGAAGCACATGTTGCCGAGAAAGCTATAATACATGGATGTGCTGGCATTTGACGATGGCAACAGACCTAGTTGATTGCTATGTGCCCCGCGGGCGTATGGTGCACGCCTAAAGCTCAGCTATGAGCTGTTCACGATATCACAAAGTGCGTCCAGTCCATTTCAATTTCATCAGTGGCACTTCGAGTTGCCTAGTATTGCATTAAAGAAATGAAATGCTATCTATAGTTGTTTGCTCGCTACGGCTTCAACAAAAAGCCGAGCGTCTGTGTGAATATCCCCGCAATCCAAAAAGACAAGAAAATATACAGATAACGCCAATATCCAGATCATACGATCTTGTACAAACCACGCCATGGAGGGAAATAATGACCAATCATCATCAAGTTCTTTTGACACAAAAAGAGAACAAAGGGGAGGATAACTGCGCAGTGACTATATTGCAATACAGCCATTCTACTTTACCTCATTACGTTCCATCACCCGGCCGCTTACAGCTTGCCAAAGATGGACGTCATAAGGATCTTGGTGACACGGTACGGGTCGGCGTTGGAGGCGGGACGGCGGTCCTCAAAGTAGCCGTAGCCCTTGGCGGCGGTCTCGCGGGGAATGCGGATAGAGCAGCCGCGGTTGGCGACGCCGTAGGTGAACTGATCGATGGAGCCCGTCTCGTAGCTGCCAGTGAGACGCTGCTCGTTGTCCTCGCCGTACTCCTTGATGCATTCCTCGTGGTGGGGCTCGAGGTTCTTGAGAGCGGCCTCGATGTGGGCCATGCCACCCTCGACACGCATCTCCTTGGTGGAGAAGTTGGTGTGCATGCCGGCGCCGTTCCAGGCACCCTTCACGGGCTTGGGGTGGACCGAGACCTTAACGCCAAAGTCCTCGGCGACGCGGGAGAGGAAGAAGCGGGACATCCAGAGCTGATCTCCCATAGAGATGCCCTCACAGGGACCGACCTGGAACTCCCACTGGGCGGGCATAACCTCGGCGTTGGTGCCAGAGATCTGGATGCCGGCGTACAGGCAGGCCTTGTAGTGAGCCTCGACAATATCGCGCATGACGACCTTGGAGGCACCGACACCGCAGTAGTAGGGGCCCTGCGGCGCGGGGAAACCGCCGACGGGCCAGCCGAATGGGCGGTCATCGAGGTCGAGGAAGGTGTACTCCTGCTCGAGGCCAAACCACGGCTCGTGGTCGGCGTAGGCCTCCATCACCTTGGCGCACTCGTGGCGGAAGTTGAACTTGTTGGGGGTGCCGTCGGGGTTCCAGCACTCGGCGAGAACGATGATGTTGGGGCTGCCGCGGAAGGGATCCGGGTAGACGGCACAAGGGCGCAGGTAGACGTCCGAGTTCTCGCCCGGAGCCTGGTTAGTGGAGGATCCGTCAAAGTTCCAGACGGGAAGGTCTTCGGGCTTGTAGCCACCTTCGACCTCTTTCAGAGTCTAAGCATGACGACATCGGTTAGCGGGCCTGCTCAGAAAGAAGAATAAAAACTTGGTTGCATGGGATGATGGGCTTCGTTGGGGAACGAGTGGGCAGAGTGTCGTAGCCATGACGCCGATGAGCCTGGTCTAACGCATGGGCTTATCGCAGAGGGCGGTTTTTGTGCGGGGCAGCAGAAAGCTGGAGTATGATGAGGCTGAGTGGGCTTGGAATGACTGGGGGCTGGGCCTCTATTCTGGTCGTGGCTGAGCAGAAAGTGGTCGCCAGGCCTTCCCGATGCAAGTGTGGCTGAATAGGTGCTGGCCGCAGGAAAAAGTGCCCTGCACCAGCCACCAGTGCCCGCGCCCACAATGACAAAGCCCACTAGCGCCCCTCGCCTCTGCATGCGGGACAAATCGGGCAGTGCGACACACACAAGGGCGTCGCAAACGACGGTTGTGTAGATGAAATGCAAGGGAAGTGGTATCGATGGAATTGGGACAAGACATACTCGGGACTTGGAACGGGTCTCGCCGGTAGAGTCGATCCAGATATACTCGGCCATAATCTGGCCCTTCTGGTCGAGCTTCAGGTACTTGTTGAGCTGGGATGAGTCAGTATTGCGGTTCGATGGCAGGGTAGAAGGATCGGATCGGGGGCGGTGCGTACAGTCTCCGTTTTGGAGATGAAGGCATAGCGGTTCGACTATTAGAGGCATGTGGTTAGCGAATTGTTCGAATTGATTGCGTTTTGCATGGGCAGCCACGCGGGTTCGCGTGTCTGTTGATGATTCTGTGACGTACCATGGTGGCGGTTTGTGTGTGTGTGTGTCTGATGCAAGCAGCAAGAACGAAAAAGGGAATACGTAGAATCTACCACGAGGGTATTAGGGATGAGAGAGGAGGATGATATCAAAGCAAAAGAGTAAGAAAAATCCGGGGATGGAAGACGGCGGGAGGGTGGCGGGTTTTATCCTGCTGGGCGCAAGAGGACAAGACAGGACAAGACGAAAAGTGAACATGGTGCAGAGAGCGCGCGGCGATCGAAACCAAGGACCTGCGCCGCGGGCCCACCAAAGATAAGGCACTGGGTGGAGGGTACACACCCCCTCCAGCTCAGGCGACGCCGCGAGCAGCCACGCCAAGAGGGAAAAGGTGCATGAGACGTCTCGGTCTTTGTTTTTTTTAAATAAATAAATAAATAAATAATAGAGAAATTTACAATGAATGCGTACTTGCTTTTTGCTTGTTTATTCATCTATCAGTGACCCTCGCGACCTCGGTCTCTTGTACATCACACTGCCAACATGTATTTGAATGTGTGTCTTCACCCGCATATTCGCTGAACTAAGAACTTGGAGGGGTAGAGGGGGGTGCGCTTGTGGATTTCTGGGTGGGGCGCAGGGACTCTGGGGGAGTGGCACGGCGACGGCCTGATTCATTCCTCATGTGCACTGCGATTCCAGGGCATCACAGCACTGTAGCCAGCCGCTGGGAGGGCCCTGGCGGGCTCTCGTTCAGTGGCCGAGGTACCGGGCCCTTCAGGCGGCAATGGCACCTGTAGCTGAACCGAGCCCGCCCGTCACCCAGCCAATACCTCCCCGGCCTCGCCGCGCTAGAAAACCCCAGGGACCCGAATACCACCATCCCCAGGCCTTTTCCTTATCAGCAGCCCCTCCGGAAACACACTGGCTAGGCGGTTTCGTAGTTTGAGGCGGTCATCAGGTGCATTCTGGCAGGAGGGGGCCCTCCATAATCCGTATTTTTTCCCCTTCCCCGGAGCCAACCGCCCACCGCCCCGGGCAGGTACAAGGCGAGGTACCGACCACGAGTACCGCCGTATGCCCGTGCCGGCCCATCGGTACCCGGGTACAACAGCGACGGCCGTATCGAAAGACTGGACACACACGCCCTTGCATGTACTTACCCAGGTACATGTTTCTCTGTTCTTTCAGGGACCCTCAATACAGAAGAAAAAAAGCGCAAAAAAATATTTATTGTATGCAACAGAACGGAGGGGTGCAGGGCGTGTAAGAAGGCGCCAGAACACGCGATAAGAAAACAGCAGCCCAGCTATGTACCAAGTTGGGAGAAAGCTCCCATTCATCACGGAGCCCTCATTACCAAGGCTGCTTGGAGCGTTACAATGAAGGCGTTGAAAACAAGAGCCAAGGCTTGCCTTGTTATTCGACGTCACGGTACGAGGCCGTCTCATCAAGCAAAACAAGCGCCACAGGGCTGTGCGTGTTATTTTTGGATGTCTCGGTAAGGCGCAGCAGCACAAACCAGCCAAACCGGACAGTACCTGGGTAGGTACATATACGGTGTGGTACAGCGTCCGTGGCGAACTTACAGGGCATTGATTAGTATCATTCCAGGCAGTTCTCACACGAGCGAGCCGGCTGGAGCCGCTTCTCCCAGCCCCCTTTTTTAAAACATCGTGTCTTTTTTCGTCCGTCCGTTTGGACGGACATTCCGCGTCCGGCTTTGCAGTGACTCGCCCAACAACGTTTTCTTCTACGTATATGTCTCTAATTCATTACAGCTATTCCGAGCGCAATTTCACGTTCCTCGTCAGAGTCGTCGCATATAGCCATTATTAAATTCTGTGTGCACAATATGGCTTACGCCGGATACTCGCGGAGCCGCAACTACGCCGTCCACACACCCCCCACGGCCGCTGGGCTCGGCCGGCCTGCCTTCTAGAACGAGTGCCCAGCCCCAATCAACGACAACAAAGCCCACCAAAAATGACAAATGGAAAATCAAAAGTGCCCAGGATTGATTATCATACACAAAAAAGATGATATAGCGAATATTAATGAAAGAAAAAAATAAATGGAAAAAAAAAAGGAAAAAGTTTCAGATTTTGACAGGGAATAGCTGATCAGCTGGAAACTTGTGAGGGATATACTTTCTGCGCCGCTTGATATCGCACGCCGTTGGGCCGAAAAGGACGCTACAGATTTGGAACAACGCAAAATTCGCAAATCGCGTGCTAGCATCTTCAGGACGGAGCTAAGACCGGCAGACGATGGGAGGTTGGTCTATCACGACTCGCGCTGGCGATGTCTCGAAGCTGCATCTCCCATCGCGTTGCCGACATGCCCACACACTTCGACGAGCAAGCTTGTAAGTCAGGCCTCTCTGACGATGTAGTCTCAGGATCACTACGCATTCACGGCATCTGTGCCCTTTCCTTCTCTCCCTCCCCCATCCTTCATATTTGCGTCTTCGGCAGGGTCACGGCCATGCGCCGTGACGTGCACGAGGCTCGTTGCGCAAGAGCTATGCGACTGAGCATCCATCGAGCTCCTACCTTGATGCTTGGCTACATGATGCTGACCGCCTGGGTCGGTATTGCAGATGGGATGGGCGGGAGCCGGTACACAAGCATATCAAGGGTCTCTCCCGTGTGTGGAACGCAGCACGGCTCAGACCTTTTTTTTTTCTTTTTATGTTGCCCTTCCCACTCTCACACATATGGTTGTTGTTCGGCGTGTCTCTTGTACTTGGTATCCCTCGTCTTTCTCGGGTATGTTTGTTGAAGATCTTGGTCGCAGAAGAGCTCACTCCACCACTTCAACTTTCGGTATCCGTATATATAATAACAGCTCCGGGTTATTGGTGTGTGCGGGCATTGCAAGCCATGGCACAGCACGTGCAGTGCTGACTCAGGCTGCAGTCGTAACATCGATGAATTGTTTGTTGATACATACCAAGTACATGCAATAATCTTTCGTTGCAGGTCTTGGCTCAATCAACTCTGCATCGGCGCCGTTTGATGCCGTCGCCAGCAGCCCATTGCTGCAGGCAGCTAAACTAACTAGCTGGCACATGTCAAAGACCGAGCCGTTAGTTAGGTAGGGGCGGCTCGCCTGTGTTAGCCCAATTCTGGGGGTCGTGAGACTTGTCAATGCGGAAGCGTGTGATTTGATCCTGCTGCAGTCAGCCTGACAGACAAGCTTTCAATCCTCCTCCATCGCCCGTACCTATTTAGGGGTTCGGCAATGTTGTTTGCTTTTGCTTTCAAGGTACCTCGCCGTTTGGTACAGCAGCATGTACCATGGGTTTAAGGTGTCGTGGTGTCCCACTTGGATCCTTCCCTTGGTCCAATCAATGCGGCTCTGGACGACGACGTTATCGCTGCCCTCCGATTGGTCCGTCAGCCCTTTGGGACGCTTTTTCTGGTTTCTTTGAGGAGGCAAAATTCACAACGCCTCGGAAGTGCCTATAGGCTAAGCTATTCAAAGTTTCGATCATTCCGAGGTTAACTAATTTTTGATTCGATCATTCTTTTTCGCGTGCGTCACAGCGAACGCCATGAAGGTTGGTGATTCAAGTGATTTGTCGACATAATCTCTTGATAGTAGGCAGTTGGGGGCCAGCGAGGCCAATATGCATCACCATCAAACGCTAAAAACTGACCCCAGTTAAGCCATCTTAATTACCATTCACTAGATGGATAGATAATCATCAAAAAAAGACGGACAAGAGCGACCGAGCCACATGCTTCAGCGGCATTTCAAACCAGCTCATCATCAACGCCCAGTTTTCGTTCCGCGCTACCTTATCTCTTCCTTCAACACACACCCCACAGGCTAGTTGACTTGTTCTTGGTTTTGTTGAAGGTTTTTGTCGTGTGCAACGTCTTCCCTCCGTAATTATCCCGCCGCTCATTTGTCCACGACAATCCGCCGGCCCTATATCGGCCGCCGCCCCAGCACTTCATTCTTCCTCACCTGCTACTCTCCCCCGGCTTTATTCTTCACATCATCCCCACGCTATTCAATCATTATTAAACCCCCCGCCTTCCGATTTCCCCGATCCACCGCTCTCAGGACCCTGCCCGCTGGAGTGACTCGCATTCTGGCGCATGTGCGCCCCCCCTCCTCTCCGTAAACGGAGCTTTCACGCTCCAGCACAAACCACCAAGTCCCTCCGAGGGAATAACAAGCGATCCAATAATACCAAGGGTATTCGTTATCTCTCCTGAATTATGCTCACGCAGGCTTCTCCCCCACAACACTTTACAGCTCTCTCGGCTATCCTGTCACTGATGCATTGGTGCCTGGCGTTAGTGACCCTCCCGTCTTGCCATATGCCCCGGACCGACTACGCGAAAGCTGGCGACTTTGCGGGAAGAATAGCCGGGGCGGCATGTGATGGCTGTAATTGTTGGACCAGTGTAGCCTCGCATACGTCAAATTGCATTGTCAATTTTTGCTTTATTATTTAATCTGTGATTTTTAACCTCGTTTATTCTATGCTGATCCGGAACTGCCGATCACCTCCAGATTGAGGCAAACCCTACTGTCCAGGTGCGCACGAGATACCTTTCTTGGCATCACCCGCGTCACAAATCTTTGCATGCTGTCATCATCGTGGTCCATACTTCCAAGTTTTATGCACGCACGAAATGCACCACCACCACAACCCCTCGGCCCCTGGCCATCCATCCCTTTACAGCTTGGTCAAATCCTCCACCGGGATGCCCCAATGCAGGCTCGTCAGATACATGGCGCCGACGCTGATCGTCACGGCCATCAGGAAGTTGACGTCATTGTTGTCCAACAGGTCGAGCCCGCTCTCGACCACCCGCGACGGGAGACCCTTGGTCGGCGACGACGGCGGCGACCCGGCTGACGACTCCTTGCCCTCACCTGCCGCCGCTGTCGTCGTTGTCGTCGCGTGCACCATCGCCCGGGTGCCGCCCTCGCCCTCCACGATCTTGCCCGAGCGGACGTCCCGCACGGAGCGCTGCAGCAGTGCGCCCAGCAGACTATCCAGCAGCGTGCCCGCGAAGCCGCACGCGACCAGGAACCCCAGAAATGCGCGACGATCCGCCAGCGTCCACGGCGCGCCGCCGCCCAGCGTCGACGCCGCCGCCTCGCCGCACGCCGGCAGGAACACGAAGCCGACCGTCACCATGAGCAGCGAGCCGAAGAGCCCCGCGGCGAGGCCCAGGGGCGTCACGCCGCCGTTGGTGCCCGGCGGCACGCGGCGCAGGCCCAGCGAGGTAATGAGCCGCGGCCGCGCGGTGGACAGGATCCCCAGCTCCGAGCTGAACGTGTCGGCCGCGACGGCCGCGTAGTTGGCGATGATGCCCACGACCAGCAGGTCCCCGCCGTACGAGTAGCACATGGAGCCGGAGGGGTCGTCGGTGTTGGGGTCGGCGTAGGCGGCGGCGCGCTGGCGGAGCTGGCGCGCGTGCAGGATCGAGAGGATGGATGCGACGAGCGAGTTGGCAAGGACTACTGCTTGTTAGCATCTGCACCCCATAATCGTAGAGCCTTATTCTCCTTCTTCTCCAAGCGTAGACGGGCGTAGGTCGACTTACCTTGAACATGCGTTCTGGGACCCTCAGCTCCGGACGCACCAGCTGCGCTGAGCGTGAGCTTGGCCTTGACGTCCTTCTTGATCTGCGACACCAACTCATTAGCTCCATGCCGCTGCGTAAGCTTCTAGTCGGAGAGTACACACCTTTGTAACTCGAGTTCCTGCCAGGAAAAACGCAACCAGGAGCGCAAAGGGCATGTTCCACGGGTGGTACGCGTGCGCAGCCGCCGTCGCCGTGGCGGCCACGAGACCCATTGGCGTCAGCGACCGTCGGGCCGCTGCGAAGACGATGAGCGCCAGCGTCGCCGGGATGGCAATGACAGGCTTCATGATTATCGGTGGCGGTGTTTCCCTGCTTTGGAAGGGGGTTTGGATGGTGTGCGCCTCACCCGGGGATGCTGTGGTGAAGCTGTTGAGAAGCTGAAAATGAAGCTTGGCGGGGGTCCAGAAACGGAGAGCTTGCCCTGGGTCACTCCGGTCAGGTCGCGGCCCGCGGCTGCAGCAGATGAGCCTCCACCCTTCAACAACAATACAAAATCAATATTGGCGTTATACAATCAAATCGGAAATCTCTTAACAAAGAAGGTAAAACTTTGTATTTATGCGCACGCTGTCCTTGTCATCTAATGCTTTCATATCGCAAGTACCCCCCCCCCATAACGTTACTCCCATATCATATTACTACCCGCCCCCACGCCATGCATTCAAGAACACCCCAATGCGTATATATATACAATCAGAAAGGAAAACTCAAATCACAGAAACCGCCTCTATTGTCCATTTCCGGCAATAAGAGTCTCCAGCTCCATTGGACTCAACGTACTTCGCCGTCTCGACGACCTCTTACTCGATATGCGAGTATCTCGCTTGCGCTTCTGCACTTTCAGATGTCCATCGCCTGGCTCACGCGTGGGAGGCTCAGAGTCGACCTTGACCGGATCGGTATTCTCTAAGTCATCCGCCCGCTTATCAGATCTGTCGACAGCTCGGTGCGGCCGTGTGTGCTTCTCTGCTTCGAGATTTGGACGATCATCGCGTGTCGAACGATGCGAGGCTCTTGGCTCGCTCAGGCTGTCGGCGGGTTTCAGGGTGGTAGATCTGCTTCGTACGGCTAGGAGCTTCGCACGCACTCGATCTGCATCAGCTTCAGAGGCAGCAAGCTTGGCCTCAATATTAGACATTGTCAACGGGCTTTGCTGTGGCATTGGCTCCGCCGGCTTCGGGAAAGGCTTATGTGGTGTTAATCGGCTTGTACGGCTTGTGGTGCGCTGAGTTGTCCGAATCGTCGACTTGTGTAGCCTGGTCTCATGCAGTTCCGTCTTTGGGCCCTGCTCTTGTTGTGTCTTTGGCTCTGGCTTCGTTGCCAATTCCTTCTCGACGGGGTGCTTGTTCGAGGGTTCTGGAGCCTGTGCCGGCTTCGATAACAGTGCTTCTTCTAGCGATGTAACTCTTGTGGCTGGTCGAGGATTGGCGTTGGCTCTCGTGACAATTCTTGTCGGCCAGCAGCCGGGTTGCTCAAGGCCTCGCTTCTGCACGTGCAGTTCACCGGCCGCTGGCCGCTGTCTCTGGGTAGGTGCTGGGAGTGAGCTACTGGATAGGCCCACTGGCTGCTTCCTCCTAGTTGCCACTGTGTCTGGTACTTGTTGAGATCCTCGGTTGCCTGCAGAAGACGAGTTCCGCAAAGGACTCAACTGCGGAGGCTCCGGTAGTGGAGTTGATTCGCGAGAGGTCTCATCTACCGCATGGTCCTCAGCTTCGGGTGATTGTCCCGGTATTTCTTGTGCTTCTTGGGGCAGTTCCTCTGACCGTTCCGGATCTTGTTTGACCGCATCATTGTGACCTTCCTCTGCCGGGACTACTATTGGGGCTTCGTTCACCATTTCGCCACCATATGCGGGCTCTTCCAGATCATATGCCGCTTCTTCCTCGTCATAGTTGTCAGATTCGTTGTCACTGCGATCGTAGATATTTTCGTCTTGGTGTTGTGCCCGCTCCTCTTCATCGGAAGCTTCCTCGGAAAGGGGTGCCAGGGTAGAGTCTCCAATAGCGCTCGTTGTACCCGTCAATCTCACAGAGCCCAGGCGGAAGCCAAGCTTGAGCTCGTCCTCTCGAATTGGGCTTCCACCCGCGGCCATTCGCTTTCTCCATCCGTCAATGAGAAGCATGGCGTCCTTCCATCTGGTCTCCATCTTCACCCATCCTTCCTTGAGACGATTAATCTCCTCCTCGCGGACAACAACCTCCTCGATTGGAACAAATGACGGATTGTTCAAGATGTGGCGCAGATGTTCCATGACACCCTCGAGTTCTGAAGACATGTCCTCCAAACTTTGTTGTTGGTTGCTTTGGGTATGTTCCGCCTTGACATCTTCCAGCCCACTCATCTCTCGCAGTTGATCCATTGCTTGTGACATGAGTGCTAGAACAGCCTCATTCTCCTCGCTCAAGTTTTGCGACAACTTGGCTAGCGACACTGTAGATTCACCCCGCAGGCTATATTCGTCCATCAACATGCCACCAGTCTTGGTCGGCGAAGATGGCTCCTCATCCACATTGCCCGTTACTGTTATGGTCGTAATCGCAGGGTTTGCGCGCACACCACGAGCTCGTCCGGCTTCGCTAAGCTGTTTCTTCAGCGTATCGATCTGCCTGTCTCGTCGGCGCACCTCGGTTGCGCACGATGTCCTTGTCTGCGCAACCAAGGCCTTGGTTCGTGCCAGCTGCTCCTTGAGCCCGCGCATTGCGGATTCGGCAGACTTGAGCTGTGTCTTGGCGGCGTTCTCGGCCGCCGTGGCAATCTCGAGCTTCCGTTGCGCTTCTGCGTTCTTTTCTTCCAGTTTAGTTATATCGTGAAGTTGTTTTATATTTTCGGCGCGCAGCGAGCGCATCGTCGTCGATAGTGTTTCTCGGTGGTCGGCATCCCGCTTCGGTTTCATTGTTAGAAAAATACATGGGCAAAGTGCTCAGATGCGTGGTAAAAAGTGCTTACATCGCGCCGCAGGATCAAGTCGTTCACGACACTGATGATGCGCCCGGCAGTCACCGAAGCGTCTTCGCACTTTCCGTGGCCGGCAAAGTCGATCGTCTGGCCATCCCTCAGCAGTCCGCGGGACAGGAGCTGGTTGTTGATGTACGCCGAAGCGGCGCGCAAATTCTCCGTTTCAACCATACTGACAATTCACGAGAGACCATCCGCTATCTTGCGTCTGAAGCAGTGCTCTCGCGTGTAAGCGAATATGTACTCCTCGGTATGCAAATATGTTAGCGCTGCTGGTGGGATTGTTTGGTTGCTGGGTGGGGGAAAGTAAACAATCAAGACATACGCCCCACATTACTTGACAGCCGTCATCTTATTTACGAGTATGGATTCGTGCGACATGGATGCGAACGATCCAGGATGAAAAAAGATTGCTTGGTTTTATATATTCATTTATAAGTCTATTTACAGTCCGCATTGTCGCAGATATTACGCAACGTCGAAACGGCGTTTACATCGTTTGTGGCCGACTATCTTGCACCAAAGTGCTAGCCACAGTGCGATGCGTCCCTACGAGGAGAGACTACATGTACCTAACCACCTCTAGAACAATATTCCGTATCTATAAAAGGGTCAGTAAAGGCTATCCTGTGAGATTCATCCAAGCAGCGTAGTGACAAAGGAACCCATTCAGACATAGTTGAGAAGATTTTGGTAACGCGGTTGTCTTCACCATGCGGCAAAAGGCAGCTAACCGATTGCACTCTGATGGCCCCGCGGCGTCATCCTGGTCCAGTGTGTATAAGATGAAGAAGATTAAAACTTACATGATTCCAGGATGTGCTTCATATTCCGACTCCCTTCATGCCTCCGGTCTGAACTTGCCGCGCTTCTCTTTCATGGCATTGACCTTTTCCCTGTCCTGTTGGAACCTCTTCATCAAAGCGGCTTGCTCATCCTTGCGGCGCGCGCGTAGTTGGAAGCGGTAAAAGTCTGTCATCTCGGACTTCTTCTTGCTGTCCTTCTCCACCATGCGACGCTTGGCCTCCTCAGCCTCGTACTTGCTGGCGGGCGCCGTGCGACCACCACGTGTGACCGTAACGAAACCGTCCTCATCAGGCTCGTTGCGCAGTCTCTTGGCCAGCTCGATGGCTTCCTTCTCCTTGCGATTGAAGGCGTTGAAGAAAGCGTGCACCGACCTTCGAGCCGCCGCCTTGTCCACCCGCGAGTCTCGCAAGTGGGAGGATATCCAGGGTACGCCAAGTGGTGATACGCCGCGCGATGACTCGTCCTCCCAGACTGGGTATTTCTTCGTCTTGTTGGCCTTTGAAATAGCCTTCAGAACTAGCTGCACGCTCTTCTCGTCAGCAAGAAGCACGACGGCGGTGCTGCTGCTTCGTAAAAGCTTCCTCGTCCAGATCTCGGGTAGTTGTATCGCTTGTCTTTCTTTTTCTTCTTCTTCCAGCTCCACATCGTCTCGCTTGCGCTTCTTCGCTATCGTATTTATCTTGACAGTCTGCGCAGGATCGAGGGAATGCGTGGCACTGCCCTCGTCCTCAAAGCTGATGCCCTCGAAGCGGCCCGCGCCGACGAGCTGCGTGAATACGGCGCGGAAATGTTGTTCTGTGCTATCGGCTGGAATATTCTTCAGGAACAGTGTGCGCGAGTCGTTCGCAGTCGCAATCTTGGGCGCATTTCGTCGTAGGCGGATTTCGTGGACGGCGGTTTCGGGGAAGGATGGGCAGGGCGGCATCTGGATTGGTAAAATCACAAACTGATCACTCCCCGCATCTATGCGTGCCATGTTGACGGCTAAACAGAACTGTGCAGTATTTTCAAACTCTGCGTAAATGCTTTTCTAAGATGCAGCTGCTCCAACAAGTTTAGTCGATAGAAAAAAAAGCGTCGCCCGGTCTTATCGATAAGAGCCGACTGGTGGTAGACCCCACGCCTACCCTGCACACGAATTGCAACTTGGACAACAAAAGAAATGCTGATGAGAGGAATTGATAGACAAAAAAATGGAGGCTGGCCGTCATCATTATTTGGCGGAATCAACCCCCTGCTACGACATATGGGAGAGTCTTGGGCGTGTGCTGCCACAGCACAGTCATGTATCCATGTACCCTCATTGTAAGATGGTGGATCTTGTTGCAGGCGGACAAGATAATAATATTGGTAAAGCTACCTTATACTTCAATGACAATCCTTCCTAGGCCTCGACTCACACAAGATAGCATGTGGCCCTTTTGCTCTTCCGGTTCCAGCGCACTGCCTCTATGCTTGACCTGGCCCTTTTTGAGTACAATCTTGCAAGTACCACAGTTGCCCACCTCGCAGCTCGAAGGAACGCCCGGGAATTCACGACGCAGAGCTTCCAGCAGACTCTCATCCTCGCCCACATTGATCTTCTTGTTGTCCTTGTTCGCTACAACAGCCTCGAATGGATCACCGGAGATGTCGGCAGTGAATGCTTCGTAGTGGACTTCATCGTGCGACAAGCCATTTGCCTCGACGGCCGCTTTCGCCGCCTCCATCATCCTGGGCGGGCCGCAAACGTACAGCTTGCTGTTCCAGGGCAGTGTCTTGACGAGGTTAGGAATATCCATACATTGACCCTTGGACTTGTCGTAAATCTTGACGCGGTCGCGGAATGGCTCCATCCTGTCCAAGAAGGCAGCCTCTTCGGCTCTGCGAGCCGCGTAGTGCAGTTCAAGACTATAGTTGATCTGGTGCACCTTCTTCATGACGGCAATGAAGGCGGTAATGCCGATGCCTCCAACGACGTATACGTGGTTGCTGGACATCATGCCGTGCTTGACATCTGTCGTGATGCGGCCAACTTCAATCATGTCGCCCACCTTGACATTTTCGTGTATGTATTTGGAGCCGCCGCGGCTATTCTCTTCCAGAGAGATGCCAAGTTTCAAAGCTATTGCCGATTCCAACGCCCCCCTCATCTCCAGAGACGATCGAGTATGTGCGGATCAGGCCATTTCCGAGTCGTAGCCTGGCGTGAGCCCCAAGAAGCATCTTCGGTAGAACCTCGTCAACTTCTTTTGTATCCAGCTTAAGCGAGATGATTCGAGGTGTCTCCTGCTTTCTTTCAGTGACTCTGAACTTGCGCCACACTTCCTCGACTTTGGGCTCCGTCTTGCGAAGGGCCTTTGCCACACGGTTCTTAAACATGCCGCGGCTCTCATCGCCTAGAGCTTCGATGGCTGCCAACTTCTCATTCATCTCGTGGTTATCTGTAACGCGATGCAAATATTCTTGTATCCTCTCAATCGTCCAGTCGGGCCACTTGCGCTCAACCAGGCGCACCTCGTCACCGACAGCCACGGTGCCTTCCCGCACGACCCTGTAGTACCATCCGGTGCGGCTTGTCTTGTATGTCGTCGGCGCAAAGTTCTTGAGCGAGAACCTATGATTGAGCTTGTAACAAGGCTGTCGCGGCAGCGAGACCTGAAGCTTCAAGCTGTCACCAAACTGAATAATGTCGCCAATGCAGACGTTCCTTTCGTTCATGTGCGCCGTCACAAAGTTCTCGCCAAAGCCGCCCGGCACGAACCTGTCGGCGCGCTCAGGGTAGCTCTTCCTCCAGTCCGGGTAATGGGTAGAGCAGTCTGTCATGACGATGTGAGCTGTTGAGCCAGCAAGGTGCTAAGCACGGACGACTGAGACTTACAACCCAAAATAGCTTTGTCCGGGCCTCCGTGAAAGGTCAAGTCATGCCAATCACCCTCAATCCCAAGCTTGCCGACCTTGACAGGGCAAGAGTGAAGCTGCTTGTCGATACCAGACATGGCGTTAATCCCGGGCATTTTCTTCTTGCCAGAGGAGCGAATCTCTAGCAGCTTGTCGGTTTGAAAGGGCGCCGCCCAGTCCACATCGGGGTTCAGCATGTTGGATGAGGACCGGAGAGACTTGAAATCAGCCAAAGTAAGGAAGCAATTGAAACTTGTCCGAGTTGTGTGTGAGAGAAGAATGCCTGCCCTAGGATTGGATCAGGCTGCCTTACACGGTGACCGGCCGGCCCAGTAAGAGGCGTGTATTTATAAAGGCGTAGTCCGCACAGTGCGTACACTCGGGCTAGACTAGGCCGGCGTGCCATTCATTCACACTGTCCGTCTTCACGAGGATCACACCAACTTCCAATCTATTACAAAGCCCGCACCAGTGACTACTTAGCAGCAGTTAGTGGGAGCAGCTGGCCGCAGAGACGCTTAGCTGGAGGTGTCATATTGTCAAAAGATCCTTCCAATCGGGGGTCAGTTCCCCTTGGGATCCAGGGGTCAGTTCCCCTCATCCGGCGAGTTGACCCCGCGTGCGCTACACTTGTCTTCCGTCAGCAGAGCCAGAGACGATGTATTGGAACTGTGTGTTTCTTTTGTGCTATACCGCGTATTATCCTACTAAACATAAATCTTTGATTTGCGCCGGTTACTTCGCCATCTATTAAGATCAAACCGTTCAAGTCGTGAACCTCCAATTCAGGAATCCGCTTACACCTAATTAGGTGTGAAATGCAATGAAGCCACAATACGACGCACATATCCCCACCTCACGGCAGCTGAACATAGTTTCCTATATGGCAATTAGCTTATTGTCGAACTCGAGGCGAGACTTCCACATACCAGGAAATTGGCCCTGCTTGCCTCGCAGTTTGCCAGTCCACCACTCGTTCTCGTTTTGTGTTCTTTGTACAATTTCGATGACGTCGCCAGCCGAAAAGCTGAGATCGCCATCTGCCTGGGCAGCGAAATCGTATAGCGCAGTTACTGTTTCGGCTTGCTTTGCACCGGCCAGGTGACTGGGCTTCGGCTTCGGTGGTGGCGGCTTCGACTTGGCCGCCGCGACCATGGCCATGCTGGAGTTTCCAGCACTATACGGGGGCGGGGCGGATGACTTTGCGGATGCTGTGGAAGTTGGTCGCTGATAAGCGCTGACCTTTGGGCTAGGCTTCGACGCTGGGCTGGAGGCATCATTGCCGTATGTGAGAAGCGCTGGCTGCTTGCCGCCTTCGAGAGCCGGTCTGGGCTGGTACTTCGGTGGGCGTCGCTGGCCAGTCGTCTTGAATCGCACAATCGAGAGAGCCTCAACTTGCTCTTGAATATCGCCGCGCTTTTCGTGGAAGGCCTCCTCAATATCCCTCGTCAAATCAAAGTATCCAATATCGCAGCGCTGCATTCGCTCGTGGAGGGTGTAGAAGATGTTGAGCTGCATGTAGTAGAACGACTGGAAAAGCGGCTGGATAAATTGTGCTTCCAGGTGGAATAGCTTGGGCAGCTCATCTTTCAACAGAGAGTTGAAGTACTCGAAATCTTGTGTGGCCTGCTCGACATCACCCTCAGCCTTCCACATTGCCTTCTCATCCTTGGCAGAGCGCTCCTTTTTGTCTTGTAGCTTCTTGAGGGCCGCACGGTGACGATCGTAGTCGAGCTGCTTGTGGTCGCGCTTCTGTGCTGTCTTTCGGATGACTTTGATGATATCGAGAAGTTCAGTGGCTGGTCTGATGACCCTAGTCTCAATCATATCCAGCTCCGGCGCGAGGGTTTCTTGAAGCTCTTTAACGATGGACTCGTACTCCTCACAAGCCTCGATGCCCTCCGGGTTGCCCTCAATTTTCATCGAGGTGGGATCAGACATGCGGCCAGAGATAGGCTTGTAAATTTCCGTCATGGCCTTGCTGAACCCAATTTGGTGGTTCAGCATGCCATTGATAGCGTTGAAGTACTTCTGTGATTCCATATGCAGCTTCTTTGTCTCGGTCTCGAGTTCTTGAAATCGGCGCTCGGCGTCCATGTAAACCGCATCCTTGGTATGCTCGCCGATGTTGAATTTCGCCTTGAACTGTTGTGGCGCCTGTGGTGTGGTGCATTAGCTACCGGTCGCGATGCCATCGAAAACTGCGCGTGGAGGGGTTGCCCGTTGCGTCACAGGAGGGGTCGCTTACTCGGACCATACTCTTAGAAAAGCCTTTGAAACTCATTGCAACGGGTTGCCTGTCTGAGGACTTTCAAGAAAATGTGATGGATGAAGTGAAGGCGTCGTGACAGGCGACGATGCTGTCGCGAGTGACCCGAGTGGTTGCGGAAAGCTTGGGTGCTCGTGGAATACAGAGCGGCGAAAGCAGGTTTAATCGCTTTGCCGCTGGGCGCTGGGCGAGCTGGATCAGTGACGACGGTGCCGTGGCTGTGCTGTGTATTGTGGCGCACTGCTCCTTGTACGTCAGCCCGGCTGGCGAAGCACAGGTACTACAAGGCTAAGTCCCGCAAGCTGGTAACATTGTATCCATCATTGTGGTTCCGGAAAATTCGTCCCCATGGCACCTCAAGATCTTCCATTCCCTTTATAATATCCTAATGCCGATATTCCCTTCCACTCTGCTCCAGTGCTGCACAGAACTACATCCATGTACATAGCTTGATACTCCATGCCCAATCAATCATTCGGAATGTTTCTCCGGGCCAGCCAATCAGCAAGTAGATAATGAGACCCACCTATCCCCGACCCCGAGCCGAAGCTGACCTAACAATTTCTTGAGATTTGCCATCCTCAATAAAGGTTGTGTGCCAGCTATCTCCGCTCCTCCATCCTCGCCACGAACATCTTTTGTCAATCGCCACATCACAATGGCTAGCCTTTCATCGTGTGCGATGCGCTCGGCAGCCCGTCTGGGCCGTAACTCAGCACTTGGCGTGTCTCTTAAAGGCACTGCTCGTGCGGCTACGATTATCGGCGGCGCCAGGAGGCGAACATACGTTACCGGGTCGAAGCCTAATAACGCTCAAGTCGAGACAGCCATCAAGCTGGACAAGAAGGACTTTGCTGGTATCCCCCCTTCAATGATGCAGAATGGCAGCGAGATGAAGATTAGCCCCATGGCAGGTATGTGTCTGCTTGCGCGCGAAATGCCCTCAACGAGCAGAAGAGTTAACGTGAAGTCGCAGAGGTCCTCAAAGACGCTGCTATTATGGAGGAAGGACAACGGCCAATCTATCTCGATATGCAAGCGACGACGCCCGTTGATCCCAGAGTCCTCGATGCCATGATTCCGTACTACGTCGGCGTCTACGGTAACCCGCACTCCCGGACACACGCCTACGGCTGGGAGAGTGAGAAGGCTGTTGAGGAGGCCCGTGAGCACATTGCCAGCCTCATTGGTGCTGATTCCAAAGAAATTATTTTCACCAGCGGTGCGACGGAGAGCAACAATATGAGCATCAAAGGTGTCGCCCGCTTTTTCGGGCGCTCCGGCAAGAAGAGACACATCATCACAACACAGACCGAGCACAAGTGCGTGCTTGATAGCTGCAGACATCTTCAGGATGAAGGCTTCGAAATCACATATCTGCCAGTACAGAACAACGGTCTGATCAACATGGACGAGCTCAAGGCGGCCATTCGCCCTGAGACTGCTCTCGTCAGCATCATGGCTGTCAACAACGAGATTGGTGTCATCCAACCCATCGAAGAGATTGGCAAGCTGTGCCGCTCGAACAAGATCTTCTTCCACACCGATGCCGCTCAGGCTGTTGGCAAGATTCCCCTCGATGTCAACGCAATGAATATTGACCTGATGTCAATCTCATCGCATAAGATTTATGGCCCTAAGGGCATCGGTGCCTGCTACGTCCGTCGCCGTCCTCGTGTCCGTTTGGACCCCCTCATCACTGGCGGTGGACAGGAGCGAGGTCTTCGCAGTGGTACTCTGGCACCCCCACTGGTCGCTGGCTTTGGCGAAGCTTGCCGCATCGCCAAGGAAGAGATGGAGGTACGTGACTGTTTGCTTGTTTATGCTTGAATTTTGTGATGAGTTGCTCTACATGCATGGCTTTCTGAATGGCCCGTGACAAGGCCATTTCATGTTGATCGAAGCGATTGTCTGATTTTGTTAAATACTTCGCCGTTCTTGTTACTGGATCGTTTCCAATGGCGCAGCTACTAATTCGGGCAATAGTATGACTCTAAGCGCATCAAGGCAATGTCTGATCGCTTGCTCAAGGGGCTCCTCGCCATGGAACATACAACGCAGAATGGCGATCCCAATGCATTCTACCCTGGCTGCGTCAACGTCTCCTTTGCCTACGTTGAGGGCGAGTCGCTACTGATGGCGCTCAAGGACATTGCCCTGTCGTCGGGTAGCGCATGCACTTCGGCTTCTCTGGAACCCAGCTATGTTCTCCGTGCTCTCGGAAACAGCGACGAGAGCGCCCACAGCAGTATTCGTTTCGGAATTGGCCGATTCACCACCGAGGCTGAGATTGACTATGTGCTCAAGGCGGTCGAGGAGCGCGTTACTTTCCTGCGCGAGCTGAGCCCACTGTGGGAGCTTGTTCAGGAGGGTATCGATCTGAACACGATCCAATGGAGCCAGCATTAAGGTGACGGAACAGGATGGGAAAATTGGGATGGTACGATAGAGAAACTTGCCACCCGTATGGCAGGAACACGGCTGGAATTCGTGTGTATAAAAGGACTGTACAATAATGATACCTCTTGTAATCAACTTTCAGGAAGGCATGAAGCAATGAATACATCTAGATTGCCCATGGCGTGGTGCAGCTAGAGTAGCTCGGACGTGGTGGTATAGGACGGGTCGACCAGCTCAAAGTCGTTTGTTCACGTTGGTGTTTTGATAGAGTGTTGAAGAGCTCAGCGGTTGCATGATAGCGACTGTTGGCTGTAGTTCGGGTCGAAGAGGATAAATCGATGGTTGTCTGTATAATTGCTTGTCATTTCGGCCATGATCCTTGGGTGTTGCACCTTTCCTTCATTTGTCTCGCGACCGGGCACTCCTCCGGCGGTTGTTTTAAACATTAAGACGGCGAATCCCATAGCTTGAAAGAGGATATGCCTTGCAACTACGTAATTCCAGGGTGGACTTAACATCTGGTGGAGAGTGTCACTACGGAACGGCAATCGGCACAGGCCCCATCTCGAAGAGTCCACCAATACACCAGCCACATGCGTATGCGAATGGAGAAGAGGCAATTGCGTGAATGGTTCCTTTAAGCAAACATGTGCAATATAAAACTGAGCATTCTTTCATTTTCCTTGATTTCGGGCACATCAGCGGCGTTCTGGTTGTTTCTGGACGCCCCAGCCACAGCCAATGTGAGCCCCACCGACGACACACAGTGTGGCACCTGCCTGCCTCAAAGAGCATCTATGACATCACCACTACGAAAACTTGCGCCACAGCAATGCTGGAGCGGCGTCGTGACTGGCTCACGATGCGGGAAGCTACCTGCAGATTGGAAACAGGAAAGCACTGGGAAGGGGTTGCCGCACATGTCAGATGGAGGGTTTCGCGAGCTAGTTGATGAAGAAAAAAAAAGCTCGCCAGGAAGGAGGGGCATCGTGAAGCTGGGTACAACATGGAAAGAGTATAAAGCTATCCCACCCCCGCCCTCCTCTTACACGCATTTTCTCTCCTCTCCAGACATCAAACAAATCTCCCACTCTTACTACCCTTTCCACCACTATCACAGCCCTACTTCCACTCTTTACGCTTCACTCACAACAACCACCATCAACAACAGCAACAACACCGTCACCATGTCTGACCAAACCAAGGACCAGCAGACCCCCTCCACCCTCCAGTCCTACGTCAACTCGGCTACTGGTGCCGTCCAGAGTGCTCTCGGCGGCCTCACCGGTAACACCACCCAGCAGGCTGAGGGCCAGGTTACGCAGGAACAGGCCAAGACGGAGCACGAGCAGTCCCAGGCCGGCATCAAGGCGGGTGGCGTCAGCGTCTCGAGCGACGGCGGCGTTGCCAAGGACAGTGCCGACCGATCTGACGGATCCTGGAACCAGACCATCGGCTCCGCGAAGGAGGCCCTTGGCGGTCTCGTCGGCCACGACGTATGTTATACTCCCTGGCCAGCCATGGGCAAGCAAGTGATCTGTACTAACAGCAATCATTAGGGTTTGAAGAAGGCCGGCCGTCAGCAGAACCTCGAGGGACAACAGCAGGAGGCCAAGGGACAGCTCAACGACCTGGCTGGCGGCGTCTCTGACCGTGCCAAGGGCGTCGTTGGCGGTGCCATGGCCACAGCGATGGGCGATGAATCGGGCAAGGCCCACTACGACCAGCTGCGCGCCGACGGTAAGGCGGCCCAGCGCGGTGTTGAGGCGGATCTCGAGAAGCGTGCCGAGGCTGAGCAGGCTGAGCAGGCTAAGAAGGATCAGCAGTAGAGGATTGTGTTTGCGGCTCTCATAGAAGCCGGACTTGTACCCTTTTATACCTCAAGACTGTCTTTATGCGTAACGATATCATAGTTCGGTAGCCTTGATTCATGTTTACTTCAATCACCTTGACTGCTCCGTGGATAGCTCTCACAATGCCGCGCAAAAAAGGCGATTTCTGAAAGTTGGTAGATTGAGTTCATTATAGCTAACTAGTCATTAAATTTGTATTTGGCCAACTTGTCGTTGTCAGCCAGACTTGCCAATCAGCAAGGGCAAGGGAAGATGCAGCAGTTGATGGGAATTGGGCAAGGGATGATGAAGCAGAAGCGACCAGGGCACATTTCACCCTGCTGGCCACCTCGCAGCCCAAGTTCGGGGTCTTTATTGTCGTTTTCGGTTTCGGCGTGCGGTTGTTGGGGGTCTGTGTAGGTCGTTCCTTGTTAGCCGTGACCATGCTATCCTCTGCTCTAGGCGGACATTACCCATTGCTTGGTGGCGCCCTGGCTGGCTGGCGAGCATGGCGGGCTCCGGGGTCGCCACCTTGACGCTGTCTTGTGTAGCGGTCGCGGTCATGACTGTGTGGTTGTTGTGTGCAAGATTGGCGGCTCCGGGAGATGTAGGTTGGAAAGGGGAGGAGGGAGGAATGGTCGCAAGCTGCGCCTCTGGAAAAGCCATCGTCATGGGATGGGAGTGGGCGCGGATCGGCCGCCAGCCCCGCCACGTTGTTGGCCTGAGCCACGACGGTCTACCCGGTAGTTGTTGGCGGGTGGTCTTGGTGGGCGCTACCGTTGGGTTTTTGTAGGGGAATATGTAATTGATATGGAAGAAGAGCTTGAACACAAGTTTCAATTAGTATTTACTTGAGGGCCGTTTGTCGAAGCGCTGATCGGCCGCGATTGTACGGAAATAGCAGGACCAGGTAACTTGAAGGGTACTGAGTTGGACTACCTACCCTATGTACAGTAGGGTGTATATACAGTAGTAAGCCACGCACTGTGCCTATACCTACGTACGCGGGAGGATCAACCGCGGATTTCTACTTACCACTGATAAAGAGAAGGCGTTTATTACAAAAGTAAATAGTCAAGTTATACGTGACTTTAATAACTTCATTACGACCGCTAAAGGACTGAAAGGAAACCGCTGGCAGCGCATCAGCGTGACGAGCAATACGTGCGTGGAGAATCCGCCTTGTAAATACTACACGATAGGGTGGTATAGGGAAAGACCTTTATTGATAGGAAGAGAAAACCTATAAAAAGGGTCTAAGATGAAGCTACAGCTTTTCCATCCATCCCGTTGTTTTTTAAATCACAGTATACGCGCATAACTTGACCAAGCCACTCAGCAGCGCCCTGCACTGTAGTTGATCTCGCCCATGGCAAGCGTATCCTCCACATTCTGCAGAGTACATCTAGCGAGAGAATCAGCAATGCTGCGATATTGGTCGTCGAAATCGTCGATACTTACCCGTTCAAGGCCTACTTGGAAAACCCGCCGAATCCCTCCACCGAATCCGTCATCGAATCCTCCGCCAAAGTCGCTGCCACCGCCAAAGTCGCCCCCAAAGTCGAACTGCGGGGTTCGTTTCTTGGCGTCGTTCTGAGTATCCCTCTTCTCCTTTGACTGAAAGCCATTCTAGAGGAAGTCAATCTGCGCCTATATGATCGGTTCGTTAGAGATAAGTCCATCCTCATTAGGCGGCAGGAGGCTAGAGAAGACCCCTAGGTTCTAGGCCATCTCCTCGTCTATAGGATTAGGTCTAGAGCCACTAAACTAACTAAATTAAGGTACTCGTTTCAAGGCGTTATTCATTATCCTTCTTCTCCTTTAGCTGAAAGCTATTCTAGAGGAAGTCAATCTGCGCTAGTGTGATCGGTTCGTGAGAGATGAGTCTATCCTCGTCAGGCGGCAGGAGGCCAGAGAAGACCCCTAGGTTCTGGGCAATCTCCTCGTCCGTAGGATTGGGTCTGGAGCCGCTGAATTGACCGAATTGGGGGCTTCGTTTCTGGACATGCGCACTGGGGAAATCCGCGACCGGCGCGGCAAGTGCGGTGGTAAGGACTAATAAAAGCACGACAGAGAAGTGCATTTTGAATAAGCAAAGAAATCTTTCTCGTTACGAAGTGGTAAAGGGATAAAAAGGGATAAGGAAAAGTAGTAATGGAGTTATTGACGAGATTTCTTATCAATAGAACGAGCGGAAGCAGCCAACTTAAATACTAATGACTACCCTACCCTGCCTTTTTCCTTGACCGTCAGTAGTCTCAGCATTTTGACTTCCAACTACACTATCCATGGCTGTTTTTCTTTTGAGAATTCTTGCCGAAAATTCCACAGATTCCGTTTCAGTCTCTAGTTTCCGCAAGTGCATCTGCACTTCACCTGGGTAGTTGGCGGCCGCGTCTGGGCCGTGAAACCGACCGCTGGGTGCTGCGCGAGCAAAACCGGTGATGAAAGCTTCATGGCGCAGTCGAAAAATAAGGCCATTTTACCAATAAACCCCCTGCGCCGTATGCATCACCACACGCGAAACATGGTCTGGCCTATGCATCATGTTCGCAAGGCCCAAGTGGTTGAGGAAGCTCGCTCGAGTGTGCAGCGCCAGGCCAGATAGAGAAATGTATGTTTAACTTTAACTTTATTTTGTTTGTAGTCTTGGATGCTTCTCTGGGCATGGGCATGATGGCCGGCAAAGTTGACTGCCGATTATTTGCAGACGGCTCTTGACAGGTTGAACGAGAAAGTAGCTGTTATGAAGCGAGCAATGCACCGTCGTCTGTTCCAGCCTCGAACTAAGTTGTTGCATTTTTTCTTCTAGTTAAAACTTGTCCACTTCCTGGTGTTTTACTGGTCTCTCGTCCGCTTGGTGATTTTTGCATCACAAAACGCATAGAACGACGCCAAACACGTCACGCAGACAGGGCGTTTCGGTCAAGACGAGACGAGACTGTGTTTTAGTCGACTTCAACCCCGGACAACAATGTCAACCGACCATTGAAAATTATGCTTTGCCCATACTGAAGCAGGTGCAGGCCGAAACAAGTGGGCGATTATGCATTGTTTTCGGGAGAAGCGCCGGGTTGCGCCTAACAGTTTCAGTCTCCTACAAGTGCATGGTCACAGCCATGCCACGCTCAGCCTGGCCGCCTCTGCCGCCAGCCCTTACTTTATTTAACAGGCCATCCCGACCAAGAACGAAGAGCAGATACTTGTCCGTCCGTCTCCGGGTCCACGCCGGATTCAAGTTCCTCCGGGGTCCAACCTCATTGTACTGCGTATCGATGCGCGACATGCGCTCCACAACGAGCGCTTACTCCCCGAGGACTACACCTAGGATGACCTGTATATAGCAATAGAGGCGGGATAGGAGTATTAGCTAGTCATTAATAAGAACATCAATACCACTTATTTCAAGGTGGTCAAGATCGTGGAGAAGAGCAGCACAAAAGATGAGGGCCCTCGCGTCGAGGAACCAGCGAGCCCAGCATTGGAAGAAGAAGACACTGGGCCTGACAGCTCAAAATCGGACGATGTAGAAAATGGCGGGAGAAGAATTTACAAGGACAATCCGCAAAGGAGCCATCCGGGTAAGGCTGGAGAATTTCGGAACACAGCCACCCCCGACCGCATCACTATATTGGGCGGGGGTGACGAAGTCTTGGCCTCAGCTGCACAGCGCTGAGGCCATTCAAAGAGACCGCATCAGTTGGCGGAACGTTGTTCTCAAGAAAGAAGGCCGTTCGAGGGAATAGTTACTGGCCATGTTATGAAGTCTTCCTATAAGACTCGCGGACTCGCAGAGAGCTGGGGGCGAAGCTGTACTGGTCGTCGTTCAGGCAAGGCGAATCGTCCATTGGCAAGGCGAGCGGTCTCGGTCATCAACTTTGAAAAGGCCCAGGAAATCATAGCCTGGTCCTCGGAACCAGTCCCAGTGATGATCCTATTATTGTCCGGTTCCCGCCATGGACACTCTGGAACGCAGCACGAGCTTGCTTCCATACACCAGGCAACGTGTGCGCGAAGCTGCACAGCCAATGCCAAGTTGCAGATCAGTGGATATATAAACAAGCCGTTCCCCGTTTCCCCTTCGGTGTGTGTTCTGGTAGTTGGGGGACACGAAGCGGCTGCCGAGCTGTGGCGCCGCCTCCGCGAGATGAGCCGGCGCATACAACTGCCGCCTTCCAAATGGGGGAAGTCGGGCGGTGCCACCCACGAGGCATCGATATTGGCTCACGGAAATCTTCGCATCGCTCGTTTCCCTGCTCCCTCACGGGGTTGCCCAGGTGCGGCTGAGCTTACCTGGGGACCTTCGGGGTCCACAGAGAAACGACGAAAGACGTGTAAGCCGTCGCTCAACTTCGGATACCCAGGTTTCCTTTACATGTCGAGCTGGTTTCCTTGTGTGAATTAGTGCATCTGATTTGACGCGGCAAGGCTGCTTTACTATCTTGGCACTGTAAAAACAAGCTCATTTGTAGGTCGACGAGTTTGCTTGTAGCCACCTACCTGTTTGTGCGAGGTCCACGGCAGGTGGCCCCGGTGAGGCCTTCAGCTGGACCGCTTCTCAAGGTATATAAACAGCTGAGAGTTGCCCTCAATTTAAACATGAAACCCTTCACAGCCTCATCATCATCCATATCCTTATCCAATCGCATCCTTGCTCGTCGCTTGTACCACCAGTGATAGGTGTTCATCTTGCTCGGTCATTTATCAACAAGCCATTACGCAGCAGTATTCTGAACCGCCACCGCCACGCAGCAGCTCTCTATTCAAATCGCAGAAAGCCATGAAGCTCTCCCTCCTCGCTGTCCTTGCCGCCACCGGCGCCGCCGCTCTGCCCACCAGCGACTCTCCCGCCCACGCCGCCCGCGCTGCACTCGAATCCCGCGCCACCACCTGCAGCGTCGCCGCCACCGACAAGCTTATCTTCAAGGCGTCCATGGCAACCTTCCAAAAGGCGCGCCGCGACAAGAACCCCAGCAAGTGCAACTGGTCCTCGGACAAGTGCTCCTGGTCACCGGACAAGCCCGCCGGCTTCAACTTCGTGCCCAGCTGCGAGCGCCACGACTTTGGCTACCGCAACACCAAGAGCCAGGGCCGCTTCACCAAGGCCATGAAGACGCGCGTCGACGACAACTTCAAGAAGGACCTGTACAACTACTGCGCCCAGTTCTCCGGCCTGGCCTCGCTCAAGGGCGTCGAGTGCCGTCGCATCGCCGACACGTACGTTTTCTTCGTGCGCAAGTTTGGCAAGCGCGACGTGCCGATCGAATCGGCGGAAGAGGAACAGGCGGCGGCGGCGGCGGCGGCGGACGAGGGGTTCACCAAGAATGAGGGCAGCGTGCTAGATATCGAGCTGGATGACGACATCGAGGGGCAGGTGATTCCAGAGATTGAGGAGAAGGGCGAAGACGTTGACGATCTCGATGCCTGGTTTGGTCCGGATGAGGAGTAGGTCTGAGAGGGAAACTATCCATTTCCACGCTGTTGGAGTAATGGCAAACTGGATTTTCTTTGCCCTCGATCAGTCCCTCTGTCCATGATCTGCGGACATATCGCCAGTGACGACACAAATTCATCCATCTCGGCAGTTGTGCCTCCCATATCCCTGTATGTCGTGTACATGACCAACCCAATTTGCAAGTCTAGAAAAAGCTCGTGGCCAATCTCTGTCATAAAGATCATGAATTTCGGCCTGTTTCATGATTCCGGGCCTGTATGCAACCCCCAAATTGGACTCGAACATCCGATTTACGGTATAGGGTAGGCACAGTTGTACTGTGCACAGTCTGGGAGGGCAACACCACGGCTAGAGGCGTGAACTGTCAGTAGCTTACTAATAAAAGCATTGGCTGTTTCGTCGGATTTTGGGGCATCATTAGTTGGTCGCGGCATACAACTATGCTGCCAGATGCGCAGTGGTGGGGGGTCGCAAACAACGGGATCGGGTCGACGGCTCCGCGTTTATGAAGGCATCGGTTTTCTTTGTGCCAGCAAACTCTCGAATTGATGAAAGATGGCGAGCCAACATCTCAAATTAATTAGCTCCGCGTTTGTACCACAAAAACGGTGGGCTGGGTCAATGCGTGCTCGGACCATTTTGCAGTTCGTCGCCTGGACCCTTGCTCAGTTCTCAAAAGGAGAAAGAAGATTGACGGGTCAATAGGTGCGTCTCGGCACATCGTCCCACCCAGGGCTTGCCCGGCGGCAAGTACGGATTAACACGGGGTGGTAATCGGCATTGCGTTGCTCGCATGGCTGAGGTTCGATTCAATATAGGGATTGTTGTGCCGCCGCATTTGCACGCTGTTGTCAATAGCAGGAGAAGAGGACGTACCGGATAACTGGGCTGCTGGGGGATGAATACTTGTCCGTGGCTGCTTCCAGTTTGGAGAAGAAACAAGGAACAAGATCACATAGGCGACAGCTTATTCAGTAGTCGTCACTCTTGCACCAATCCAGTACGCGACGATGGTTGCACGTGGCATACTATGCATATCTTCGACAAAAGATTCCCAAGTTCCCCTCTTTCGTGGTCCGTGAATGAACGGGAATTTGTCCGTCATGTTGGAGCGATCAAGTTCGGATGCAGGGGAAAAAAACTCGGGCATTTTTGCTTTTCCTGCAAGTGAGACATGGTGTCAGCTCAGTGTTCCAGCGGTGGGCGTCTAGTAAGTGCCGCGAGGCAAATCTGCGGAGCCTCGAAAAGTATTTAGCATAGAAAAAGCACAGTTCTAATGCACCTAACAAACAGAACCGCAGTGACAATTCGGTGTCGTAGCAAAGAAGCAAAGTGAGCACGTCGGGGTGCATGATGATAATGTGCCCGAGCCAACATGCTAAAATATGTATGTAGCTAAGAGCTCGTTCTGGCTAGGAGCGCTACTGAGGCGGGCGAATCTGTAACTTCCAGTATTGAATCAAGTTGAACAGTGAAGTGATCCGATATCTCTGAGATTCCTCTCCTGAATACGGAACTGGGGTTTGTGCTGAGTCAAGGGGCACCAGACTCACTCACTATGGCGACCTACCATGACGCCGGGCGACGATCGTGTCTGTGCTGAAGTGACTTGGGCCGCCCACACTGAGCCCGTGACACGGAATCCAGGTACTTGGCGAAGGCCCAAGCTAGATAGTGAGCTGAGGTGAGCTGGGACCTGGGTCTGGCTGGAGCAGCAGCGGACGAAGCCTCTGCGCGCGTAGCTGAAAGGGTGTTTTTAGAGTTTTCTTTCATCCGTTGGCTGCCCGCCTTCTGCATTGCTGGTGTTGGCAGTCCGCACTTGAATGAGCCTCAGACGCGCCCAGAAAGCAGCGCCACGGACGACGAGCCGCTCCATAGGTGGAGAGTTTTGTCAATGCCACGAGGTGGCCAAGCACCGAGGTAGCCAGGTACCTACAGTACATACCTACCTATGCTGGGTATTTAGGTAATCTGTAATTTGTGAATATTGACAGAGTTTGGACAGCAAACTAGTTTCAGGCGGTGGTGAGCCACTGCGCCAGCGAGCAAGCTGACTGGTCGAATGCTCGCTTGTTATCAGCCAGAGGATGGCCAAGTCAGGCTTGACTAAACAAAAAAAAGCCCCGTCGCGGCTTGAGGCAGCCGCAAACCCTTGTAAAGAAAGCGGGAGGTGACATCGCAATTGACGTCCAAGGTCTTCCGTTTCCGAGTTGTGTAGACTGGGCGGGAGAGGTGAAGCTGCCATCTTGTACTGAGTACTCCGTATCCGTAGTTTGTGGGTGAACGAGGCTGATAAGTCCAGATGGCCAGCCACGGGGAAGAGGTGGATTCGACTTGTCACAAAAAGGAAATCTACTGGAAGCATCGAGGGAATGGGGATAGGTACTGTTACCCCGGCTGTCCAGGTACAAATGGAGCAGACGTGCAGGTGCAGATGCGCCTAGGCTGTTACGCATACGCCCGACAAATCGAGGAGCTGGATGCGGCGTAGTACTTGCAGGTGAAGATGTTTCGTGTTTCAAGCCAGCGCCGCGTCCATACCAATTGGGACATTGGCGTGGTGCTTTGCCTGCAAAGCCAGGCGCAACATTGACGCCACTACCTGTGTGTTTGATTAGCAGTCGGATGCATTCGTGTTCGACTCTTTATGGATAGGTGTTCTGTCCTGTAATCTGATATGGATGCGGCGACGGCTTGACTGGATGGGAGAGAGAGCGTATGGTGCTAGACGCAGCTGTTGGTACAACATGTAGCCTGCCAGCCTCGCGCGATGAACGGAGCTCGATCCTGGGTGCTGGTGAGATTATTGCACGGGAATTATCCGCGGGCGGTGACACTTGATGCATTTGCCCGTCGTGATGGAGTCTCTTGTGCTGATGCGGTGATGGAAACTGTCGAGCGATGGGAGCAGTGCGTGCAGTAGACCAGGGCTGACACTGAAGGCGATGGCAGTCTAATAATACGTCATGCCAGCATGCCAACGAAGGGTGCGGATGATGGTGTTGTGTCTGTTTGCCTCATGCATCTACATATCTATATTAATCAGAGTACATGTAGCCTGATATCGCGCAGCTGATGCCCCTTCGTCCCTTGTCAGTGCTTACGTGGGCGGGGTGTATCGCTGGGCATCGATCGCGTAAAAACGGACTTGGGAGGACTATTTGGAGTCAGAGCTAGCGACTCATCCATGCTGATTCGACGATCAAGAGTTGAAGGATCGAGTGACTCAAAATGCGGGAGAATGGTGCTGGAGTTCTTAGTGTTGTGTTTGGTAGCCGCAGGGCCTGTCCATGTGGATGGCTTCATCCGGGTGGGCTGCCCTGTGGTGCGTCAGCGGGGATAAGCATGCAGCTCACCGCAGGTACTTTCAATACCTGGGTCAATAAGTATCTTTTCCGCACATGGGTATGCGCATGCAAGGGGTGGAAATCTGGGCACTTTATTAATTAATAAACAATGGAAGCATCGGGACTTGATGCTATTATTATTAGTACGAATTACTTTGCCTGCTAATAACTTCGTGTACCCCTGAGCCCTGGGGCTTTGCAGCGGGCTTTAGGCCGTTGTCGTACTAGCGCTTCCACTGTACCACCTGTGCCGGGCCACCCTACACTTGGCAAGCGCTGTCGATTTCGAGTACGTGGCTTACCTCAATCTACGGAGTACCTTCGTTCAGTAAAACTACAACCTACAGCGCGGCAGATGCAGCCAAGACGGCCAGGCAACGCCGTTTGTCAAGTTTTTGCCTGCCAGCTGCCCGGTATAAAGTTTGGCAAGTCGCAGTAGCTGTCCTAGCTTTCATCGCGTTTGTTATTATCATGGCAACATAACGGTGGCATCTTTTAACCCATCTTCCCCTTCCTCTTCACGCATCCTTCTGCGGTTCTCCGTGCACCAACCCATCAAATCACAGCTCCACTGCTCGCAAGAAACGCCGCCTTCTTGGTTCGGGAAGCTGACCCACCACTACTAACCAGCGGCTGGACAGGGGACCAGCACAAAGCCAATTTTACGCCTGTGCCATTCGTACAGAGAGCACTGGCCGGCGTGCGAACAACTTGTTCAGGGGAAACAGCTGCGAGAAACGGGGACGGGAAGCCATGTCTCTTTAACTGTGAGCCTGCCTGGAGGCGATTGTCTTGCTCAACTCGAACCCTTTTGCCCCGGGATGGGCCAGGCCGCTTCGCCGCGCCGCCTACCTATTTGTGAATGGTTACGGATACTTCAGTTTGCATCTATGCGTGGGCACTTCCCCACCACCCCTGAAGTTGGTGGCCCGTCCAACTGGGACTCGCAGCCATGGACTCTCTCACTCTCACTGACTCTCTGCCTTCCCAGCCCGGTACATGAAGGCGCATGCGCGAAAAGCCAAAGGACCCCCCCCTGTCAGCTCCCGTGTGCTTGTTCTCGACGCTAACGACAAGGGTTGGAGCCTTTGAGGGGGTGCAAGTACCATGACGCTCGTCCACCCCGAGCCAGGACAAGACGCTAGAGCCAAAGACACCAGACTAATAAAAAAAAGAAGCACTGCGCTCCCATCATTCACCACCCGTCCCATCGCTCATCTCGTCACTCGTCCTAGTTCTTCTTCTTCGACTTGCCCCCTCTTGCTTCTTTCTATTTCTCCCCTCCTCTTACCCAGCAATTGACGCCGACCGCGATCCCCCGGCTCGATTCGCAACCGGCGACTCACCATCCAGCTATCGGCGCATAACTGTCGGACTCGTCCCCCTCAACATTGAGCCTCTGCCCTCTCTGGCGTTACTGGAAAAGGCGACTTCCAAGGTTCCTGGTTCCGCAGCGACGAAATGACACAGTCTTTGCTTGCTTAATTTTGACGAAAAACCCAGGTGTCAATGTATGTTTTTCCGACAATTCCAGACATGGCTCACTTCACTGCCTGCCTGCCTACCTACCTACCTACCTATGCACCAAACCAATACGTCCCCTGTCTCCCACTGCCGACCCTCATCTATATGTCCAGCCCGCTGGGCCAGCCATCGCGAGCTTAATACAAGCGCCCCCTGTCTTCTTGTTCTGCCGGCGACCCTGTAACAGATTCGCTGTCGATTTCTTGGCCCGTTTGCGCACCTACCTGTCCCCATCATCTCCGGGTTTCTCTTCTCAATTGTTTTCCTTGGCTGGTTGCTAATGTGAGGCAGAAGCTCATTTATTAACACCTGGCGATTGCCTTCGCACGACGCTTGTGCAACGTCCTTACGCATCTCCCCAGCTGGCCCTCGACAACGCCCGCACCCATTTGTTGGAATCAAAAGCAGCAATTCTTCGTTACCCAGCCTTCATACAATATACCCCTTCGAACGACGACTGGCAACTGCCCCTTTTCGCCATGGACGGTCACCATAGCCCTAGACCAACATCTGGACTTGCGTCGCATACCCGCGCAAAAAGCACTTCATCGACTGCCGCCAGTTATCCGCTCACTATACCCCCGAATGCGGTTTCCCCAGAGCCCGCCTTCATCGATGCTTCTGCGGCCGCTCAAATAGTCACAAATGACCATGACAGCCACGCTGATGCTTGGTATGACCAAAATGGCATTGAGCCCTCAGGTGCGCCCGTCCAAGTTTCGGACGGAGCTTTGAAGCTATTAAACGGTTTCCTCGACCAGCTTCTGCTCAATGTCCTCAAAGCTTCACCATCGACAAACCTGTCGGACCTCCGCCCAGCAATCGCCGCAATTCTCAAGCCCAATCTCGCCAGCGATGTGATAGAGAACGCTGAAAAAGATCTAGTGGCTTGCAAGATTACACGTGCCGAAGCCGAACACGTGCAACCAATCGACGACTCTCCATCCCGCACACGGGATGTAGAGCTTATCTGGAAGCGAATGCGACTTCGGTGCATGGTTTACTCGTCCCTCGGCGAGGTGGAAGACGAAGATGCAGCAATGTATATGAAGCAAGAACATCTCGAAGTTGGTGTTGGCGCACAGGTTTCCGACGTCATCTCGCCAGCTGTGGCAATTTTCATGACGTCAGTCATCGAGTATATGGGCGAGCTTACTTTAACGGTAGCTGGACAAGCGGCCTACCAGCGTGTTCGCTGTGATATCGACAGAGGCCTCAAGGACGGCAGCAGGCAGCCTGGTGATATGGCTGATCAGATCATTGTCGGGGAGGCTGACATGGAGCGCGTGGCTCTGGACATGACCCTTGGCCGTCTCTGGCGTGGCTGGAAAAAGCGACTTCGAAGCCGCATTACAGACAACATCCCCCGCCCAATCTCACATATTGCCTCCTCGCATTCTCAGCATGGCCATTTGGCGTCCCCGAAGTCATTCGCCGGGGACACAAATGCCCTGTCGACTGGACCGCAAGAATATGCCGAGGAGGTGATCGTGGAACATGCTCAACCGTTCGATATCCCGCTACCTATGGGTCCTTGCGACGTCGGCGAAATTGAGCTACCCGGTCTTGTCAACTATAGCGATGAGGAATCTGAAGCCGAGGACGAATTCTCTCCCTCACGACCCAAAAGCTCCTATGCCAAGATCCCTGACCAACTGACCTTTAACAAAGCTGGGAAAGGACTCTATGTTGAAGGAGTGGCTGCCAAAACTCGCCGAAGATCCAGCTCCATGCCGCACACTACTCGAGCGCCGTTCTTTATTGTCTCCATACCGGGAGAAGGGACCGCGGAGATGCATGTGCCCGCCCAGGAAAGCGAGCCCCAGCCCAATGAGCAGCTCGTGTCTGATTTGAGCGAGGAAGATGTGTCTCAGAAACATATGTCTAGACGCTTGGCACCAATCGGACTTGGCCTGACTACGCCCAGAACTCAGAACAACAAGACGTCCAGTAAGACTTCTGTTGTAGATGATGTGGCTTGGGACTCTGATGGGCCAGAAGAGGTGGCCACTTTCGAAAAGGCCGAGCTTATTACCTCGTCCAGAGTTTCGGTCGATAGCAGCCCATCTTCAGCTTCCAGTGAATCGCCAAAGAAGGGCCACAAGCGGAGTACGTCTAGCATGCACTCGGCTCGGATAATTGATGTCCAGGCCCCGAAAAGTCCTACTACATACTCTCGCCAAGGATCTCTGGAGAACGCCCATGTTCGGTCTGCGAGCCTGTCCGGTGCCGCTGCTTTTGCTGGCACCGCAGTTGTGGCTGGCGCTACCGGGGCTCTTCTGGCAACAAAGTCATTCCATGATTCCAGTCCTGTCGAGAAGAGCCCCTCATCTCCACTAGTACCGTCTTCGCGAACACAAGTTGAGCGTGCAACGCCAACCGTCCGTAATGCAGGTACTATCTCCGAGTCGGAGGAAGGGTCGGACTATCACACTGCCCACGGAAATAGTGAAGCGCCTGCCGCTGTAGCTACATCTGGAAATGTAGTGACCCGAGGTAATCGGAATGCCAAGTCTCCGATGACGCTTGATGTCGAAAAGGCCACAAGAGATGCTCTTGGCGCTCGCGAGCCTCTGTCGCCGAGACTTGTCAACACATCATATGACGGCAAGCCGTCGCCCAACCCGGCAATGATTGCAGAAGCCAGATCCCCCGGCCACTCGCCAAGCCCTAGAAACCTGCATGGGTTCAGAGACAACAAGGCCCCAGGCACTCTTGAGACACTTCGCGCCCAGGAGGAAGACGAAGAGTTCTCTACAGCCCTACACTCAGTCGGCCCTGCGAGAACGATCCACACGTCGGGATCGTCTGGCTCTTCGGCCACAGGAAGAATGAAGGTAGTTCGGTCGTCCGAGGAAAATTCCTCCACTGGCCGTTCTGGCAGCGTTGTGCGAAATTTTGAGGAGCTCATCCAGAGCAATCAGACAATCACATACACCCTCACACCAGAGAGCATGCGCCACGCTGATTCTTCCAAGCCTTCGCTCGATAGCCCGGTTGTGACGAAGTTCCCTCGCAGAAGCGAAGACGCACGCTCGCCGATTAATTCACAGCCCTCACCAACGACGAGCGTCTCGCCATCGACATTCCGTGGCCAAGGGTTCGAAAATTCGTCCATTTCCGAAGCCAAACCCTCTGGACCCATTCCACGAGCCCCAGCTGGTATTGCTGTGACTACTGGCAGAATGGATGGGCCACAGGCAAGAGATGCAAGGGTACCAAGTGAGACCACATCGGACTTTGCGCAGTTCATTAAGTCCACTGGGCCGACCCCCGAAAGCAGGCAGCTATCTGGACGCGCCTCAAACGACAAGTCGGGACTCTCTGGACCCGTGCCACGCGCACCGGACTCGGCGCGCCGCGCTTCAACCATTAGCAACAAGAGCCGCTTTCAACCCCGCGAACCGGTTACGAGCAAGAATGATACTCGCGATCTCATCGACTTCATTCGCCAAGGCCCGCCGATTGCAGCGAGTAATCATCGCATCCCCCGTCATGTTGCCCCGTTTCGAACAACTATGGACTCTGACCAATTGGCCGGTGTGCCTGGCGGCAAGGCTGTGGATGCGAACATACCTGATCTTCGCTATAGCCAAGGATCTACAAATGTAACGGAGAACTCGTTGCAATCTTCGTTGAACTCGAACTCGGCCCTTCTCAAGGGAAGGGGTGGCAACAGCAAGATCGCCAGCATATTTGGTGAGGATGATATGCCCATGCCGCAGCGAAAGACTCGTCGCGTCCGTGACCCTTATGCTATTGACGTGAGCGATGAGGATGAGAATGATGACGAAGATGTGCTGGCAGCGGCACCTGCGCCGCCCGTCAAGGCGAAGAGGGAAGAGAGTCTGGCAGAATTTCTACGCAACTACAATCCCCCGGCGGAGCCAACCGCCACCACCCGACACATCCCCAAGAAGAAAGCCAGTGCTCCCAGTTTGATTGGCCGCTTCACGCGGAGCAATACCGCCAAGGACACGGCGTCGATTGCGTCGGTTGACGGCCGCTCCCTCAACAGCCGCGCGAGCCATCGCGGACACGTTCCCATCCAGATTAGCATGCCACCTGGCTACGACAAGTATGGCGCGATTGAGGCGCAGTCGACTGGCCGCCCCCGTATCTCATCCGTGTCCGGGTCGTCTGGGCGCGTGCCCATGAAGAAGTTCGAGCCGCGCGAGCCGCGCGAGCGGGCTGGGGACACTTTTAGAAGCGAGACGTCTGACCTGGCTGCATTCCTGCGCAACTCTGGCCCTCCCGAGGCGCCGCCGGTGCAGCCAGCTCGCGCTGAGGAGCCGAGCAGCGGCCTGAGCAGGATGTTTGGCCGTCGAAAGAGGACGGCGGCGTAACTGGCTGGCTTGATTTGCCCTGCAAGTTGGCGTCTGTGTGTTTATGTGCATCTAGGGAAGGGAAATATTATTATTGTCGAATTTTACGCCACAATGGAAGTGGAAAGCACGTTTTACTGGGTCATCTAGCGTTTTATAGCCTTGCGGGTTTGGCTGTCCCTCTGTTGTTTCTTTTACGTCGTTTTTTGTCCTCTGTTGCTCTGCTTTGTCTTGTTCTAATCTGGAGCCGCATCAGGCAGCGGCTCTCGATTCATACCATAGTACTTACGTTCCTTTACTATTATTAATAGTGCCTGCATCCTTTTTCTTTTATTTGTTGCGGAATATTTATCACGACTGTTTTGGATTCCTTTTTGTTATCTGCTTTCCTCGCTTTTGGATATGACGACATAGACGCAAAACTGAATACAAACACTTGTGACGATCTGGATAAAACGGAGGTCCTTTGCTATGAGTATTCTTTTGAGACACGGACTGTACCGAGATGCGGCGATGGAACGCATGTTGGGCCTGATGAGCTACGGAAGACAGTCACGAGTTGATGAGGGGGAAGCAAGAAGCAAGCTCATTTTCAAACATTATTGAAGAACTAGTCCTTGGCCTGCAGGTGAAGAAGAAAGACATCAAACAAACCGGATAGTAAAGTACCCATCGTTATAAGTAACCTGAGACCAGCAAGAAGCATTTACAGCATTTCTTCGCTCGCAGCATCCATTTCTAAGACGAGACGAAGAAAAAAGGGTCATAATTCCTGAGGCACCCTTGTCCAGAGCCAAGAGCTTGCTTGCAAAGGGAAAGACAAAAAGGGTACATCCGCATAAACCAGCGATCAAACGTAGACAAAGAATGGAAAAGAGCAGAGAAAAAATAACAATGCGTGTACTAGAAGAGCGCAGGAGAAGCTGGATAAATCGAGAAGCAAGTACCGAATTCGAAAAACCATGCGCCGATGCTGCACCCCTCGCACAAGAACGCAACTTATTGAAACAGCAGTCTTAAAATCAGAAGACACACACGCAGGATTCGCGTGCCAATGGCGACAGGAAGTTGGGCGGTTGAACACCCTTGAACCAACAGAATCTCTCCACCAACGCTCAAATCTCCATCCTCCCAGCGATATCCTCGCTCATAAATCTCTCTCTCGGTGTATCCAGCATATCCACGTCGTCAAAGTCGTCGTCTTCCTCTTCTATGTAATCGTCGTCCGAGAAGGCAACAATGTCCCCATCTTCTCCTCGGTTCCAGTACAGGCCGTCGCCACCGAGCTCGTCATCGTCTTCCGGTGGTATTACCAGTTCGGCGTCGCGGTCGCTCAGCCAGTACGTCGCACGCTTCTCGGCGCCAGCAGAACGGCTTACGCCATGGCCAGTCCCACCCAGGACGCCAATCTTGTGTCCGTGCCCACCGGCGACGCGAGTCGGCCGCAATGAAGGGCTCTGTGAGGAAATGACGGGCACAACACGCACGTAGAGATATGCCACACGCTTCAGAGCGCGACTGAAGAAGAAATAGTGAGCGGCCCAAATGGCACTCTCGTCCTCCTCGAAGGGATCCGTCTCAGGGTTGTAGCGGAAGATGGTGCATTCGTTAAGGCGCATCTCCTTGTCAATTAGGGCCCAGCATTGGGGGCCCCAGACAGAAGCCGAATCGGAGCCATATGATGAGTTGAGCGATGTAGGCTCAAACGTAGATGATGGGCGGACGTTTTGTAATATCGAATCGAGGTTGGCCATGACGCGGCGCAGATTGCGCTCTCGCTTGAAGTCGCCTGGCCGTAGGACGTTGGAAAAATCGTAGTGAGGATGGGAAGCATTCAAAGTAGCAATCATGTAGGCGAATGTACGTCGACTGGAGAGCTCGGAGAGGGGGCCAAAGGGACTCGAGGTGGAAAAGAGCTGCATGGATGGTGATGAGGCCATCATGTGTTGGCGCTCAGGAGGCGATAGGCTGGCGCCGAGCTTGACAAGCGCCTCATGTTGAGAGCTAAGATCCTTGTCAATGTTCTTGTAAAGCTTCTTGTCGGAGCCGGTGGATTTCGTGGTATAGAGATCGCAACCGCCAGTGACGTTGCAATCCGGCGTGTTGAAATTGAGGGCCCCGGTTACGGCCTCAAAGTCTTGTACAGGTAGATACTGCGGTGATTGGGTTAGACTAGAGCGAGGAGGATGCGACTTGGTCGATTGTTTTGCGCGAGGTGCTGGATGCGACGAACCTTCATGACGTATCGCTTACGTGGTGTAGCGGCGATGGTGTGTGGCGTAGAGGAGGAAGCAGTATGGTGTAGATAGAGGCTTCATGTATTGCAATGATTGCAGAACCGAGATATCAGTCAAGATATCGGTGTTATATCCGCAGCAAGAATGGAGATGCGACGCGGTGTGGCGGTACCCGGCGGGTTGAGGGACGGATCGGGGGAAGTCGTGAGCTGAGCGACCAGGAATGTCGTCGGGCGGGAGGAGAGGTAAGCGGCGAGACGGGTGGGAGATGGCGTACGGTTGGCGGAGAGGGATGGCGGGAGCCTTCAATGCTGAGTTGGGAGGTAGGAGCGGTTGCGCGCGACGAGGATGCAGGTCGGGCTCGCGGAATCGGTCAGGCCAGCACGGCGGAGGTCGGTAGGAGTGGCGTGCGTGTAGGGCGCTGGGTCTTGTCACTGGGTGACAGGGGTTGTTTGTATGTGGAAAACACCCAACGCAGGAGAAAAGAGCTACCGGAGCAGAGATAGAATCGTCAAACTGGCGTGGCACCGGGTGGATGAAAGAAAAGGAAGCGATAACGTTTGGAGGCGACGTGCTGCGCGCGAATGAGAATGATGGCACGGGAGCATGGGCAGAGCGCCAAAGAGTGAGAGGTGCAATGCGGCGAGCGAGCTAGGCAAGTTGAGCCAAGTGGGGCGACTTTGGTGGTGTGTGGTGTGCTGAAAGAGGTGCTGAGCAGCTGAGCTCCGGCGCTGATGAGGTGCTGCGATGAGCCAAGTGCGGAGATGTCGAGCCCGCCAAAGCTGGTCGTTTTCGGCAGAGGGCGTTGAACGGCCGGTTTTTAGCGCATGTGTTTCGTATCACAGCGTACAACAATGCCCACTGCGCTAGAGGAGTAGGGAGTGTAACGCCGGAGCCACACACACCAGCAGCAGCGGTCCCTCCTATCGCTCTCGCTCTCAGAGTGCCTCGTCAACTGCGTCAGCGAAGACACACACAGCCTTCCCCGCTCCTCATCCGAGCCCGGCCGGTCATTCATCATCCCCTCAACCCGCCAACGACGTCCCACGCATCTTGCCATGTGGACCAATGCCAAACTCTCGATGCACCGCCTAGTTCACGGCGAATGGCATCCCCTTTCTCCGCCACGCCCAGTTGCGCCATCATCCAAATTGCCATTGCTGTTTGCTCTTCTGTTTCACTGCCGCGTCGCTGCGTCTCGTGTGTTGCATCCGTCCGTAGTGTTCGCCAATCGTGCCATCGTCTCCGTTGTTAGTAATGCCATCTGCCATTTCGTGAGAGTATCATCAGTCAGACTTGGCAAATTATTAGCATCGGGTGAAACAGTCCACATAGAACAGATTTGTCTTCTCATTTGTAGCCCGACCGCCTTCTCCTTTTCAAGGAGGCGCATCGCGCTTCTCCCATGCCACGCCTGCTTGCCGTCCCCCGCCAACAGCTTGTAGACAGCCGCTGACGGGAAGGAAAAATACCGACAGCGACGTCGCACGGTAAAATCTAGTCTTCTTGTATCTAGAGCGGTGTTCCGCTCCTCAAGATCTATACACAAGGCTAACCGGGTCGCGCTTCCAAAGCAATCCTTTCCATTGCCTGCGTGCCCATGTCCCCTTTGCGCCCTCTCTTCTCATCGAAGAGATGCTCAGTGCCCTGAGACTTTTTTGTCGTTGAATTTCGCTTTTTTGGAGCTCCTTGTCCCATGCAACAAACCAGAGCCCGAGTCAGGGCTTCATACGAACCCGGCATCCTCGAGGCCCCTCATGATCGACTCCGAGACCTGTAACGACAATGTCAACGCCAAATCACCCCCCAAACTCCGAGATTCGAACAAAACGACAAGGCAGAAAGAAAATAATAGAAATTCGAGCCGAGCCTTCGTCGGCTAGGCTGTTCTTCTCGACCGACTCATACAACTACATCAGTCGTGCCACTTCGTCCTCGACCTGGATGGCACAGGACCAAGTCAGCTGCTATTCTGAGCAATGGCGGGGCTTGTAGCAGCGAGGGAGATCGAAAACAAGAGAAGGAGAGGGGCAAGAGAGATCTAGAATCCGACAGCAACTCACCTCCATGTCTTCCAGCGAATCTTGCTGCCCTATACAGCGCAGCACATTCTTTTTGCTGCTCTCTTGCAGCTCGCCCGCGAGCAACAGTTCGTCGAGAACATAGTATGCTTTGGTAAAGGAGAAAATAATGTCGAGCTCCGAGACATTGCCATAGTACTTATCCATCTGCTCGACGTATCGGTGGATGATTTCGAGGGTGATCAGCTCGTTGTCGTCGGCATCGCAGCCGGCGATGAAGAAGAGCGAGGCATAGCGTCGGTAGACAATCTTGGTATCTGGTGGAACGAAGTCAGCCGAGTAGGTCTGGGTCGTGTCGTCGCTCGTTTGTACCTTTGTACTCGAGGAAATTGCACATGCGAGTTCGTCGAGGGAGAACAAGCTGGGAGACGTCCTTGACGATCTTGGCCTTTTCCTTCGGCGACAGAGTGGTGAACCACTTGGCAAGGCGCTGTTCTTGTCAGTTCCTTGTCGTTGGCAGCTTTTTGTTTGAGGGATGCGACATACCACCTTGCCCTGGCGGGAGAGCAGAATCAGATGCCTGGGAGGGGTTAGCTGTCCTGCGTGCTCCTTTTTGTGTGGGCAGCGACGTGACGTACCGAATCGCCATGACGGGCAACGGCACGACACCCTGGAGCGTGTAAAAAGTCACGCCAAGATGCAGGGTGCGGCGAAGGGCAGCCTGAGGAAGACGAAGATGCAGCGGGCGGGTTGTGGTGGACGGAGAGGAGCGTTGTCTGTTTGATGGGCAATTTCGAATGGTTGGTGACGAGAGCTCCGCATGGCCTCGCTACAGTACTGTGAGCTGTCCTGACCGACGGAAGACCCCACCAGAATTTGGCTGGCCAAACATGCCAAACTTGGTGGTGGAAGTGCTGATAAACAGTGGGACTTGCAGATGCAGCACTGTCTGGTTAGGCAGCCAAGCGTGCATCAACTCAGATTTAGATCTGTCTATGGCTGGAATGTATTGAACTGGCAGCCCTTCGCATGTAGTTATTCCCATGCAAGCTACCCGCATGACACATAGAAATACGATGCCGGAGCGGAGTGAAATCGGCACTTTCCAACCATACTTTGAAGTTAGTCCTTTGCAGTGGGACAGCGGCCCAGCGAGTTCAGAATCCGCTGCAACTTGCACCCACTGGAAGGCGGAAGACGGAGGAACGCGCCGGCCTCAAGCGACTACCTAGCATAACTACTAGATAAAGACATGCCTCAGCAACCAACACAGCATCGCCATTTTCTCTTGTTTAACAGTGCCCATTGAATAAGCATCAATCGAATACTATCCTCGTCATTCTTTCTCACATCTCCATGCAACACCTACCGGCACTACCTACCTGTTCTGGTGCTTCCCGAAAGGCGCCATCTCATTACTAATCAACCTTCTTCCGCTCCGACGCCGCCAGCACTGAATGGTGCCATCATCAATAAGTACTAACAGCTAACCTGCCCGCACATCGGAACATCGGGGCGTTGCCGATAACGACAAAAAAACCGGGTTACACGTTTCCCATGGCCCTGCCGACTTGACCTTTCAAAGATTCCCAGATTCCCTCTCTTTTGCTCCCCCCAAAATATCATTGCGTGCTCTCCGTTCTTTGTCTCTTCTTGTCGTGAACAGAGATTTGCGGCGTGCTACTTGATAAAAGCCCGCCAAACCCCGCCAAAATGCCGAAGCTGATTCTCTCTACCAGGCAAGTCACAAGCCCGCCAATTTTTTATTCCCTTCTTCGGGAGTAATGGACGGGACAAGGGCCCGACAATTCGAAGCCCTCTCTTCACACAGACAACACAAAACTCTCTCGCGCCAATCATTTTCAACATCATCATTCTAACATGCCGCCTCCTACAGCAATGTCATGTCGGCTGGCCCTTCCGTGATCCGCAAGTCCAAGTCGGCCCGCGCGCGCTCCAACCTTGAGCTCGTCAACTCACTGCGCGAAAACTTTACAGCCGCCAAGCTCGACTACGCGACATTCCCTCCACAGACCAATGGCCACGCTCCGGCCCCTATCCCCCCTGCGGTCGAGGTGTGGACCGACAGAACCTCAAACGGCTTCGAGAACGGCGCCGGCGGCGACATCTTCGTCCCGCGCATCCACTGGGAAGGCGCGGCTCTTCAAGACGACGCGAGCCAATATGAGATCACCGTCAAGCTCTTTTTCCTGCCGCCCGCCGCCACTGCCACGGCGCACGACCCGGCCAGCCTGGCCGCTGAGCGTGCGCGCTACGTTGAGGATGCTCTGGGCCTTGTGACGCGCGAGCTCGGCGTTGCCACCATCGACCTGCTTGTCGCCTCGTTCCCAGGCATGTCGTTTGAGGGAACGTGCGAGTGGGAGGCGGATAAGCATAACGCGCAGCAGGGTAACCTGGAGGACGAGGTCGCCACCTGGCGCGTGCTGGAGGCGCTCCAGAAGCAAGGCTGCGTGCGGCGGCTTGGCGTCGCCGAGTTTGGCAGCGAGAAGCTCGCCGCCTTCATTGCGCGCGCCGCTGTGCCACCCGCCGTCGACCAGATTAACCTCAAGGACTGCTGCAATGTACCGCCGCCCCTTAAGCAGCTCGCTGCGCAACACGGCATCGAGCTGAACGTCCACGCCGACTGCACCGACATTCTACCCCCGGGAACCCTGCGCGAGCTGCTTGGTCACGGCCCTCAGGGCGCCGGTCTGCTTGCCGACCCGGAGTACCCTGGCGAGCCCGGCTTGGCGGGCGAGATTGTACCTCAGTGGGTGGTGCGGTACGTCGCATTTGTGCGCGACCGAGGCGTCATCGAGAATAAGGGCTATTTTGCCGGCGCGGAGCTGGTCAACTAATAGCACTTTGCATTGCTTTCACGCTTCATGTACGGTGTAAAAGAAGCCACCGCGGCTCATGGTTTGCTGTTGTTGGATATTCGCGTTGGATGGGAAAAGCTGGGTCAGCTGCATTGTTGGGGTTATTCATGGATATTTTCTCTCCTTCTTTTTTGTAGCGAGCATCATTGTGATATTCCAAGGTATATGGAAGTCGTTCGTTGGGATTCGTCTTGGTCGGCGTGGTGTCTAAGGCCATGCATAAGCATGAAATTAGACGAGGTCTCATTTCGTCAATATTCTACTTATATACAATTATTCCCGTACTTTCAGCCCATGGTTCTTTTTTCTTAATTTTGTTGCCAATCTAAATCAGCCTAGCATACTTCGCTTCCGCCCGCGCATCCGTACCTCCTCAAGCTTCTTCAGTACGGCTGGCGCCTGCTTATGCGATGCGCGGTACGCGTCCAGCAGCTCCGAAAAGACGCACTCGGCGCGCGGGTGCGTGCTGCCAAACGCCCTCTCGAGCACATACAGGTCTACGGCACGATCCTCTTCCTGGACCGCGCCGCTAGCCAGCCCAAGATCGATGATGACGACCTCACCCTGTAAATCCGCCGTCGGCGGTGACCCCCCCTCCTCCTCACCACCACTACCGGTCGGATCCAGCATCATATTGCTCGTTGTGAGATCCCCGTGAACGATGCCGATCCTGTGCAAGCTGCCGACCGCCTCGCCGACCCTCCGCATCAGCGCCCTGAGCGGCTCGTCCCGCGCGACCGCGTCGCCGTCGCCGAGGGTGGCGAGCCGCGCGTTGACGGCGGCGCGCACCGGCACGCCCGGGATCCACTCGAGCATCAGCCAGCCTTGGGACTCGTCGACGGCGTAGAGGGCCGGGACGCGGATGCCCTCGCGGCGGCAGCGGGCGAGGATGCGCGCCTCGGCGAGGATGCGGTGGCGGGTGAGGCGGGCGTCGAGGGTCGGGTGGCGCCACGGCTTGGCGGGCCGGTACTTGAGCGCGCACGGCACGGAGGGTAGGAGGTAGGTGGTCTTGTAGAGGCGGCCCTCGGCGCCTTGCGTGATGAGCAAGGGCGGCGCGGAGGACGGCTGGCGCAGGACGGGAGGGAGGGGGAAGCTGTCAGCCGTGGGGGGCGGCGGTGCCTCCATGGCGGCGGCCATGGCGGGTGTGTGTGTGTGTGTGAGTCGGAAGGACCGTTATTTGGTGTGTGGTTTATGCGCGTTTGGGGGTTTTGGAAGGGAAGGTTGGTGTGCTTGTTTGGCGCTATCGTTGAGTGTTCCGTTTGCTAATAAATTGTTTGTTGGAGGAAACAACTGTTGCTGCTGGATGGGAAAAAAGTTACCCCACCAGGTCTGTTCTGAGCCTTGGAGGGGCAGCTGAGTGCTGAGTGGCCAAACACTCACCCATGTATGTATGTACCTCACACCGTCATTGGGCACGCATGTGTGCTCAACTCCCAGACAGTGCCTGATGTAATACATGAATATTGCAAAACGAGAAAGCAGTAGGTACTGAGTAACCGACGGCTAAGAAATAGTTCTTTTCTTAAACGGCCGCTAAAGGGTGCTACAGACTTTTTAAAACAATGTCTTGGGCTTCTGCGTCGGCCGTTCCCGCGCGGATGGTGGCGGGCGCTATTCTAGTGGGTGGCCGACACTGAATGGGATTAACTCGTACTCGGCTTCGTCTACTGTTGATGATGATTACATCGAGGCCAGGCCGGGCGCCTCGGATGCAGGTAACAAGGTAAAGAATGGTCGGCATAATGCAGAAGCATGAGCGACCGACTTCCCCGCCATGTGACTGACAGATAATGATGGTGTTGAGTGCGTGCGTGCGCAGTCAAAAGCCCCGGCTTCAAACCCTCTTGTAGGGGCGGGCCCAACGGGCTGGACCGCCCACTGGCTTCTATCACAAGCAACAATGAATGATGTTAGCGAGTCCACCACCGCCACCCAGCCCAGCCCAAGCCCAGCCATTCCCATTCTCCCATCTCAAGCTCTTTCCTCTCCTCCCTTCTTTGTCCTGGCGGACCCAGTGTTGCACGCATAATGATTAGTGCTTGTCCATTAAAATTAATCATCCTGCAGTCAACATCTCATCCCTCTGCAGAAGCCCAACCGGGAAGTGGGTTCCTGTTCGTCTAATTGTCCCGGCCACAGCTACTTTCCGCCGCCACACACACCACCACACCACCTCTCTCTCCTCCTCCTTTTACATCATCATCACCAACCGCTGCCCAACCTCCACCGCCACGACGACTACGACTTAGACCTTGACGACGACCACGACCACCATATCATGTCATTACCTCACAATCGCTCTCACGACTCTACCATTACTTCCACCACAACAGCCGTCACCATCACCACCGTCGCCACCGCCTCCTCGCGTTTGCACCGCTCATCATGGCCCACGACTCGGGCTGGATCCAGTGGGCTCTGATCCTCGTCATGACCGCCCTGCTTCTCTCCCTCGCCGTGCTCGCCCAGACGGCCAGCGTCTACTCGGCCGCCTACGTCGCCGCGCCGCGCGAGATGGCCGCGCTCATTGACACGGTCGACTTCTCCATCGAGGAGAACGAGAGCTACGACAAGGATATGGCCAAGGTCACCCGCCTCGAGGACAAGATCCGCCTCGGCCGCTTGCTCCGCGAGATCCAAAAGGCCGGCGACGACCTGCGCGAGGACCTCAGCGCCCTGCTGCTGCCCGCCGAGCGCGTCACCGCCGGCGCAAGCACCAGCGCCGCCATGCGCGCCAGCACCCGCCTGCTCTGGGCCGCCAAGCGCACGCCGCTCGAGGACCGCGTCCGCCGGCTCGACCTGCTCCGCATGCGCTTCCTCGTCGTCTTCCTCGGCATCATCACCTCGGTCGCTGACAGGCAGCCTCCGCCTCCCCCGCCCCTGCCGCCCGCCGCGCTGCCGCGGGATCTCGAGAAGTCGCTTACCGCGTTCGCCGCCACCCCGTGCAAGCCCGCCCTGCGCAAGTCCCTCACCGAGAGCATCCCCAAGCGGCCTCCCGTCCGCCGCCTCACCATGCAGGCCATCGGCCATCAGGAGACCATGGCCACCACCGGTCGCCAGGGCTGGGCCGGCGTCGTCGAGGAATTGCAGCTCTCCCCGCGCATGCACCAGCGTCACGCTTCCATCGAGCGGTCCATGTCCGTCGAGAGAGGCATGTCGCCCCGTGACAGAGCTTCGTAGCTCACTTTCTCACGCTTTACGAAGATTGACGCCTTTTCATGAACACCACAGCCTTTTTTTCGACATCATTATTCCTTGCGAAACATACTCTATCAGTCATCAAAGCGCTGTAGAACGACACCGTATGGTACTTTATTTCTAGACCATTTTTTGCATATCTGTTTGCGCTTTTTTACAACGCATCACCATGGCATAGGGCGATCCAAAAGCCGCATCATCAAGGTTGTGTTTTCAGACATGACCTGCGGATTTAGAGCATTGGGCTGCTCTCTTGTTGAGAGAGCATGGCTTTTGGTTGGAGCTTTTCGGTTTACTTTGCTTTTGATTTATTTTGCTTTTTGCTGTTCTCGCTTCACTTCACCCTACTTCACCTCTTCGCTTCACTTAGACAAGATACCCCTTGTCATTTCGCTTCAAGCTTTACCAGCTGATACCGACTTGGCTTTCTCTTCAACTCTGTTTATAATGTTTCAATTCCCCCTTTCTATTCTATTCAACGGCTTCGGATTCCTTCTATTGGGACTTGAACTGTTGGCTTCCCTTCCATTTCCCTCCACCTTCTACCCGCCTCCTGTTTTGTTTAGGATATAGTTTCAACTTCTGATTTGCGATGGGTCAATGAGCTGCAATATCGCCGGGGCCGGTTCCGTTTTTCTCTCCGACTGGCATACCGTGTTAGCACGACACATACTAGACCTCGCATACATCAGATTCAATATATCCAGTTCGAAATAGCTTACCATCGAGTGCAACCAAGAACCGGCTGACGCAGTTGTATGCGCTCACCTATAACCACAAATTAGCTCATCCCAACTACGCCTGCTCTTTCAGAGTTATACATACCGTAGCGGTAATTTCTACCGTCTCACGATCGTTAAAGTGCGCCCTCACCAGCGCAAACACCTCGTCCTTGACCTGGACATGCCTCGTCATCTCCTCTGTGTACCTCAGCACCGCCCACTGCTTCTCGGTTAGCAGCTCCGCCGGCCTCTCCGCCGGCAGCGCCTCAGCCTTGACCACGTCGAGCGCCGCGGCGCTCACGCCGCCCGCGACGGCCAGCGGCGCGTGGTGCGCCCACTCGAACCACGCGGCGTTGCAGACGGCGACGCGGCAGATGGCCAGCTCGCGCAGGTCGTCCGGCAGCGACGTCCGGGTGCGCACGGCGCCCAGGAACGAGTTCCAGCCGTCGGCCACGGGCGGCGCGTGCAGCAGGGCCAGGTCCAGCGGGATGAGCGGGCGCGGGGCGCGGCGGGCCTGGATGCGCGCGACGATGGCGGCGTCCTCGGTCGTGGTGGTCTCTGGCGGGTTGTCGACGTAGGGGATTCTCATTTTGGTCCGGACGGCGTTTGCGTTTATTTATATTTAGGATTTATTTTCCCGGTAACAGAATATTTACAGGTAGAAGGATAGAAGAATGCGATGCTGCTCTCAGGTCCGACGTGCAAGTCATCGGCGGAGACGGAAGGGCCGCTAACGGAATCTCGGCATTAGGTCCGGCACCTGCGCCGGTATGTGCGGAAAAACGATGAACCACTACGCGAAAATGCCCATATTAGCTTCCATGGGGTAAGGACTTGGCGTCGGTGTTTATCCAACATGGGCGTACAAGCGACCCCTCGGGTTAAGCAGCTATGCACACACAGCATGGTACTTCGAGATGTGCCTAGTATCCCCCAATGCAGTTCAGCGAACAACAGCGCAGCGCCTCCACCTCACACTAGAGGCAACTGTTCAGTTTACCATCAGCGCGGTGCTGAGGTTGGTTTTTGTAAGAAATCACGTCGAAAAGATTAAATCCCGAGAATGCATTTAAGAAGGAAAATCTCCCTTCTGTCCTATTTCTTCTTTTTTCTTTTTCTCAATTTTTTTTTTCTCATGATCCAAACGGGTTGAACGAGTGGCTTTGTTGAATGCTGCCTGAACGCGTCGCTCGCTCATTCACGTGACCGTGATACCCATTAACGCGCCACCCATTTTCTCGCGTCGCAAAGCCTGTGGCAACGGGCTCCTGGCCTAGCTACCTACCATCTCTGCCTCTTGGCGTCTTGCTGCCTCTCCCACTTCTTCATCAACCCCCACGATGGCAGAGGTCAAGATCGACAGCGCGCTCTTCCAGGAGCGCATCAATTCCTTCGTCACATCATGGAAAAATGACCTGCGAGCCAGGGATGGCGGCCTTTTCCAGGGCGCCACTTCGCTGGTTGTTCTCATGGGCAAGGTCGAGGATATTCCCGAGTTCCACAAGAACAACGCCGTCCATGTGCGTAACGCCGAGTTCCATGATCGCTGCAGCTTCGCGAATGGCTCTTACTAACCGGGTTGATAGTTTTGGCTCCTTGGTTACGAATTCCCAACCACCATGATGCTTCTCACGACCGAGACTCTCTACGTTGTCACCACGCCCAAGAAAGGTATTTGTTGTCTAGGCAGCAGCGCTCGAGTCGCATCGCTGACATTATCCAGCCAAACATCTCGAGCAGCTCAAAGGCGGCCGATTCCCGATCGAGGTCCTCTCCAAAGGGAAAGACGCCGATGCTAATGCCAAGATGTGGAAGATGATTACCGACAAGATACATGAATGCGGAGTAAGTAACCGCACTGTTGTTTGCGAGGAAAAGCTAACCCAATTCGTAGAAAAAAGTTGGCACCATCGCTCGTGACACGTCTAAGGGTCCGTTCATCGACGAATGGAAGAAGGTTTACGCCGACAGCTGCAAGGATCTCGAGGAAATCGACCTTTCTTTGGCCCTCTCGACATACGCCTTCTCTGTCAAGGATGAGAATGAGCTGCGCGCCATGCGAACTGCTTCCAAAGCGTGCGTTGCTCTCATGACGCCCTACTTCCTTGACGAAATGTCTAGCATCCTCGATGCCGAGAAAAAGGTCAAACACTCTGCGCTTGCAGACAAGGTCGACAAGAAGCTCGATGACGACAAGTTTTGGAAAACTGTGCAGCTACCCAACAATACGAAGCTACCTGCAGACCTCGATCCCACGCAGCTTGACTGGATTCTCGGCCCAGCTATTCAGAGTGGTGGCAAGTTTGATCTACGATTTGCTGCCGAATCCAACGATGATAACTTGCATCCTGGCATCATTGTCGCTGCTATGGGTCTACGATACAAGTCATACTGCTCTTCGATCGCCCGCACCTACCTCGTCGATCCGAACAAGTCGCAAGAAAATAATTACAAACTCCTCTACCAGATTCACAACGCTGTTATCCAGGAGCTGCGCGACGGTGTTACTGCCAAGGATGTTTACGCCAAAGCTCTTAGTATCATCAAGAGCAAGAGTCCTGAGATGGAGAAGCATTTCCTCAAGAACGTCGGATACGGCATCGGTCTCGAAAACCGAGACACGACTCTCCTTCTCAACGCCAAGAACCAGCGAACTCTCAAGGACGGCATGACTTTGATCATCACCACCGGATTTCAGGATATTGACAACCCGCAGCCTCAGGACAAAAGTTCCAAGACATATTCTCTGGTGCTCAGTGACACAGTGCGTGTCAAAAGTGCTGAGCCCATTGTTTTCACTGCTGAAGCCCCTACAAGTGCCGACGCCAATTCTTTCTTCTTCAAGGACGACGAAGAGGAGCAGCCGACGCCAAAGAAGGAGAAGCGCGACTCTCGCGTCGGTGCTGTTGCTACGAAGAATATTACCAGCACGAGACTTCGCTCGGAGCGTTCCACTCAAGTGGACGAGGATAACGAGGCCAAACGCCGTGTCCATCAAAAGGAGCTTGCCGCCAAGAAGCAAAAAGAGGGACTTGCGCGATTCTCAGAGGCCAAGAGCGACAATAATGGCACCGAGGTCAAAAAGTTCAAGCGCTTTGATTCGTACAAGAGAGACGACCAATTTCCTCCTCGCGTCAAGAACATGGAAATCGTTGTTGATTCCAAGAATGCCACGGTTGTGCTGCCCCTACTGGGTCGGCCTGTCCCTTTCCACATCAACACCATCAAAAACGCCAGCAAGAGCGACGAGAATGACTTCTCATTTCTCCGCATCAACTTCCTTTCTCCTGGACAAGGTGTTGGCCGCAAAGATGATCAGCCTTTTGAAGATGCCAATGCCCACTTTGTCCGCAGCTTGACATTCCGTTCTACGGATGGTGACAGATATAGCGAGATTGCGACTCAAATTTCCAATATGAAGCGTGATGCTGTCAAGAAGGAGCAGGAGAAGAAGGACATGGAGGATGTTGTGGAACAGGACAAGCTCACAGAAATAAGAAATCGTCGGCCTGCTGTCTTGGATAATGTCTACATCAGGCCGGCGATGGAGGGCAAGCGCGTACCTGGCAAGGTTGAGATTCATCAAAACGGTATTCGCTATCTCTCGCCGCTCAACGCCCAACACCGCGTGGATATTCTATTTTCCAACGTCAAGCACCTATTTTTCCAGCCCTGTCAGCACGAGCTCATTGTCATTATTCACATTCACCTCAAGGACCCGATTATTGTCGGCAACAAGAAGAAGACCAAGGATGTTCAGTTCTACCGTGAGGCGACAGATATCCAGTTCGATGAGACTGGCAACAGAAAGCGCAAGTATCGCTATGGTGACGAGGACGAGTTTGAGGCAGAGCAGGAGGAGAGGCGGCGTCGTGCTGAGCTCGACAGACTTTTCCAGGGTTTCGCGCAAAAGATTGCCGAGGCGGGCCGCAACGAGGGCATCGAAGTGGATATGCCTATCAGAGATCTCGGATTCCACGGCGTGCCTTTCAAGAGCAACGTCTTTATTCAGCCTACCACAGACTGTCTGATTCAAGTGATAGAACCACCTTTTATGGTTATCACGATTGACGATATTGAGATTGCTCATCTTGAGCGTGTGCAATTCGGCCTCAAAAACTTTGACATGGTTTTCGTGTTTAAGGACTTTACACGAACACCTTATGCAGTCAACACAATTCCTGTCGAGTTCCTCGATCAAGTCAAGGACTTCCTGGATTCTTCTGACATTGCGTACAGCGAGGGTCCCCTGAACCTTAACTGGCCGACGATTATGAAGACAGTCACGGCGGACACGCACGCCTTCTTTGCCGATGGTGGCTGGTCCTTCCTGCAGGTCGACTCGGACGACGAGGGCGAGTCAGAGGAAGAGGAAGAGTCGGCCTTTGAGGTGGAGGACGACGACCTGGACGCGGCGTCGGAATCGAGCGAAGACGACTCTGAGTACGGTAGCAACGCCAGCGACGATGACGACGACGGCGACGCCGAGCTCGACAGTGACGATGAAGGCGAGGACTGGGATGAACTGGAGAAGAAGGCCAAGAAGCGCGACAGAGAGAGCGGGCTGGATGAAGAGGAACGGGGTGGCAGCAAGAAGCGCAGAAAGTAAAAGGCCAGGGCGCGAAGTAACTTGTACAATGGGTGAAATCGGTTTCTTTTTGCGAGGGAAGCGGAAAAGCAAGTGGGCTATTCGATTGCTTCTTATCTGTGTTGTTTTCATAGTTTTCGATATCGAGTCTTACCATGGCCGTTTGGTTGTTGTTTCCTTTTGCTCTGTCTACTTGTAATATGAGGAGAATCAATGGAATTGGGCTAGGTTAGAAAATGCCATTCCCAACAGTCAAGCTCCATATCTGTCGCAGCGGCGTACAATTTCATACAGCGATATAAACAGGTCGATTGATGTCAAACCAATCAAAGGTAGTCTCTCTAAGCAGATCGCGCAAGTATAAAAACATAAACTCCTAACCCAAAAACAAGACAAAAAGCACACTAGTCCTCCAATAGCTGTGCCTGGTTTTTGTTTCTCCATGTTCTTCGCTTCGTTGCTGTTCCCGAACGGGCGGCCAAGGTGATATCCCCTTGTTTTACGACCTGAACATGAACAGCAAAAGAGGAGAGAGACTATGGGAGCCACGCCACATCTCTCTTCGTCTTCAAACCATAAGAGATAATTTCCGCAAAACGAGAAGCCATGCTACTACTAATGATGATGCATTGGAAAACAAGACAGTCGCACATGACCCATCAACCGATCCCTTTCAGCTTACAGATGAGCCACACTATGCCTCGCCGGGACGCGCATCGCGACCAGAGGCCACGGCGGTGGCATTGCCGCCGGCGGAGTTGCTCTTGGCGGTCGGAGCGTTGTTCCAGGAGAGGTAGGTGTGGTCGCCGAGCTTGCGGGGCTTGATGAGGTGGGTGGCGGTGAAGACGCCGCCGAGGAGGATGCAGACGCCGCCGACGACGATGTAGGCGATGCCGAGGAAGGGGTTGCGACCGCCCATGACGGTGCGGGTGGTGATGAGGACCGACTTGGTGCCGCCAAACTCTTTCACCTTGAAGTCTGCCTAGGGTTAGCTACGAGGCGGAAGGATGACGGGGGTATTCGTCTTACAGTCGTTGATCGTAATCTCGTACGTGCCCTTTTGCATGCTGTCGTTGTCGTTGCGCTGGTACAGCTTGCTAAAGTCGGGCAGGGCGGCGGTTCGCATCCAGACCTGGAAGGCCTCCCAGGTCTTCAGGTTCGGGGGGCCGTCGTCCTTCGTGTATCCGTCTGGATAGCGGACGTGCCAGTTGGGCGGCGGTACGACTTGTGTGTAGTTGTACTTGGTCGGTGAGTACAGGTCCTTGTCGCTGGCCCACGCAATGTTTGTGTCATTGCTCATACTATACACGCGGGGCGTTGCGCCGTCCGCGCCGGGCGGGTTCAGGAGGACCGGGCTGGAGAAGGTGTCGTTGAACATGGAGTTGGCAATGAGTCCGCAGGGGAAGATGGGCTTCTGATCATTTGACTTGAGCGGCGTGCACTTGGAGTTGTCAATGTCGGAGAGAGACCGCGCCTCGCCGTTGAGCTGCTGGGCGTCGAAGGAGTCAACGTAACGCCGGTGGTTCTGGTAGAAGTTGGTGAGGTGGTAGTAGAAGAGCACGGGCGGGTTCATGTCGGCCGGGATGCTAAAGCGCAGGTGGCAGACGTCGGTGCTGACGCTCACGGTGGAGGTGAGGTTGACAGTTACGCCCGTCTCCTTGCGCCACTGGGCCTGCACGTCGGCGACACTGCCGTTCTTGAATGAGACCTCGACGTTCTTGTCGGGCATGGATCCGAACGTCGAATTGGCGTCGGCGATGCAGTTTGTGTAGTCGAGGCGGATCTCTGAAACCTATACGCCACCGTTGGATTAGCAGCGCGAAACATGTGTGCATTGGTTCAAAAGCCCGGCGCATCCGTACTTGAGAGTTGGCGTAGAGAAGCAGGCCGCCGATGGGGGCAAATATGATGCCAATAGCAAAGAAGAGGGGCAGAACCGTCTTTGGTGTCAGGATCGGCCTGCGAGGTTCGTGTTAGCGTGAAGCGTTCACTCCTAGCCGCCGCGCGCTTGATGCGCAGCTATCCCAGGCCAGAGGTTGCCACGTACTGCCATGCCTTTAGTCGCTGTTGCCGGAAGGCGGTATCTGTCGTGGAAGAAGAGTTAGCTTCCTGCTAGATGAATTTCATTTCTTCTTCGCATGTCGCATCGGGGGACGGTGAGCGCGCGAGTTGGCGACTGACTTGCTGGGCGACGGCTCTTCTTCTTCTCCGGACCGTTCGGGGCGCTGGAGTCGTTGGAGACGCGGGGGTCGGCCTGGCCGTCGTCTCTGGGAGAGTCGGACATGGTCGAAAAGTGTTCGACGGTTATCTGAGAATGTGTCGTCGAATCCGGGGCGATATGAGTCTGGGGGGTTTTAGGGTGATGCAGTCCGGATCAAAGGCATTCGAGGCCGGTCGTACTTGTCAGGAATTCGTGTTCCAAGGGGGCTGAGCTGGCGAGGCGAGGCGAGGCGTTGGCGTGGCAGAAGGCGCTAACTTGGTTGGTCGACAGCAGGCTGGCCAAACCTGCAACAGAGTGTGGCGGTGGTGGCGGTGCAGCCCAAACAGATCAGACGGCGCCAATGAAGATCTCAAGTTTCAATTGTTTTGAAGGCCTTGTTCTTCATGCCTGCATCAACATCTTGACTGTTGCTCTGCAACACACTTTTTGCATTATCTTTCTCGCCGCTAATTATTAGGAGTATGAACTCGGCCTAAACTATTCCGAAACATTTTCCAGCTCTCCTCGTCTCTGCATTCACCCACTTGTTTATCCCTGCGTACTTGGCCCTCACACCATCAGGCCCAGAACAACGCTGGTGTCAAACCACAATCTGCAATCAAGTACAACTACCCGTTCACCTGGCGCTTAACTGCGGGGTAACTTCCGGTCTTTCATGGGTGACAGCCACAGGTTGGAAGAGCACTGCCGCGTTTGTAACACTGGGTAGGTTGACGCAAGATAGCCTCCGGATCGAGATCATCAACATTTGATGGCGTGGAGCGTAGGCAGCAGGTCGCCAACTTCGCTGTGGTGACCATGTAAAATTGCACATCGGACAATCGAGTTGAAGAAGGCAATTATGCCATCTCTCCCCCGAGCGTCCTCCAGGTGTCCGCCTCAAACAAGCACAAAGTTAGCCCGAGCAAGGGAAGTACAGATATGTCCGGCACGGCAAGGCAATCTGAGTGCCGAAGTATACTCACATCGTCGGAACTTCTCGTCAATTCCAAAATTCAGTGTTGTCCCCTGTCACAACGGCGAGAACCCGGCGCCTGAGCATCAATTCAAGTTCTTTGTGTTTAGTATTTCGGTCAACATCGACAGCAGAGGATCGAGCGATGTCATATTACAACACAGCATTGCTTCGTATTGGACTCCTCGCCTACTGGTAACGCATTGCTTCGGTCTCTTGCCGAGACACCACGAAGTACGCCGAAAATCCAACACGCTTGCAAGCGGCCGCCAATTGAATTGCAATTTCGACGGAATGCAAGTGTCACCAGAGTTGTAGTGGCAATACGGAGGGCTCATTCTGTCACAAATTCATGGCTTGCTGGTCGCCGTTCTGCGCCCCAGGAAAAGATTGACAAGCAGGCAAGTTGACAAGCAAACCCTTCTACCGTATTGTGCAACCTCGAAACCCCGTTTATGCGTTGTCACACAGCTCGGAGCTCTCTGTGTCAATTCTTTTCATGTGATACCAGTTGGCTTCCTTGCCGCCCAACAGAAGTGGTTGAGGCGTCCAGTGAAGCTCGAATGCATCAAACCCCAGGTTCAAGAGTCGGCCGGTCCGAGTTACAGCGCACATGACGATCATGGGCGGGCTGCCCCGGACTTGTCGTACAATATGTACATATTTGTCATTCGAGGCGGTTTCGTGGCAGTTGACCCCAGTCAGATGGCGCGGCTCTTCATATTTGCGTGGGCGCCCCCTTTTCCTAAGAACACCAGGTGCCCGGTTAGGAGCAAACCCTCCTCCTGCGTGGAGGGAAGATCTGCAGCTCCATGGCATTCAGTAACGAACCCCGTCGAAATTCTGGGTAGTAGCGCGGCGCCACGGGACGCTACAGCCTGCCGCCTTGCATTTCCGATGCATTCCCAGTATATTGGTGAAACGGTAGCAGCGCGCCCTCAGAGACAATTTACAACTTGGCAATGGCATATGTGGTTCAGATTACAGTGCATCAAAAAGACATGCATGGGATCGGTTACACCCGCGGTACCGAGAGATATCGGTAGATGAGCTATGTACTTGCTGGTGATTTTTTCCTCTACGGACTTGCAGACGACCAACGTCCCATGCATAACCAATGCGCAGCGTGGGTTGGACCGGGGCTGTCGTTTCCCTTCTTCATTCGGCACCGTTGTTACCCCGAGCTTTTTGGTTGACAAAACGTCTGCCATCCACGTGGAGTTGGCTGTAGTAGCGCAAGTCACAGGCCGCCGCGTAAGTCAGAGAAGGCGGCCCGTCTTGTATCTTATTTTTGAAGCTATGTAACAACATTTCTGTCAGGGGATCGAGTAAACCCGCAGGGGGGCAAGTAGTCCACCAAGCGAGACAGCAAACTGTCTGTCATATTTCGAAGAGAGGGCTGAGCTAGCAGGCAATCCCCTGGCCCAAGCTTCTTTCCCTGACCGCCAATAATCATCCTGGTACGGTGTCTGAGAAAGCGAGAGCGGCAATCAGGAATCAAGCCAATAGGCACATGCCCTTGTCGTCAAATGCTCAGCAATCGACTTTGTGGCGTTGCGAGCTGGCAAACCGACTTCGTTCAGAGCGGGTTTGCAAGTGAGACACCAACTGGTTATCGGGCTCCATCTGGGCTGAATGGCTGAGCAATCAGTCCTTCCTCACTGGGCTGCAGATCGCCAACAACCTAACGGTAGAAGGAATTAACCCCCGCCAGATGGTAAGAAGCCATCATCTGCATTGCTAACTAGTTAGCTAGGCTAGGGGGTTAATGATCTTTTCTTACTTGCCAAAACCCGGTGCGTTTCCTTCAACAAGGGCTCGTCTGAAACATGGTACAACTTTGGCAGGAGGCGGCAGGTTCTCTTGTCGGGAACTCAGACTTCAGCGAAGCTCTGGTCACCCGTTTTCTCTTGGTCCTCCGCAGATCGACCTTGTCGCGGGAAGAGCGTCTTTCCCACATCAGCACGTTTTTTCTCCTCCTCCCTGCTTTTTTGTTAGTGGCCCAGCCTACGCCCAGTCTAGAAGCATTCTCTCGGGCTAACAGAAGAGACGGGGCGCCCGCCATCAGAGGAAACAAACTGTGTAAACTAGCCCAACGCGGCGGGCGGAATATCACTCCAGCAGGGGTTCACCTTGTGTGCTGTGCCTGACACTTATTACCAGTTAAACGGAGTATGCTCGTCCCATCTCCGCAACTTCGTAGCGTGGATTGCGGCCCCCCTCGGGCCCTGTTCAACTGGTTAACTAAAGACAATGGAAACGGCCCTAACAACTCCCGATTGAGGGTTAATTGGGGTGGTTTTGGTGTGGCTGAAGATTGGACAGAGAAACTTCCCATTATTAGAAACTGGTCATCCCCCCCACTACCCGACGGGTTGATGATTCCCGTCTACTTGGCAGCGAGACGAACTTGGACCTCTCTTACTCTTTCCTCTCTGTCATAATAAAAGCACAGCGTGCCCCCGCTCCCATTGGCGCTGGGACATTGGTCGATCTTGATCTTCGTCTTAGCTGATCGTTAGGAGCGAGGCATACAACAGACACGGCAAAGAGAGGGCGAAAAAAAGGAAACCGGAATCTATATCCTGATACGAAAGTACACGGGACGAAGCGGCCCAGCGTGCGCTGGGGAGCCGACGCTCTATACAAAAGACGACACACATTCGGTATTTGGTTGGACAATAAGCAGCAGCATCGACTGAAGAGGAGGAAAAGGAAGAAGAAGAAGAAGAAGAAGAAGGGAAGGAGAAAGGAAAGGCAAAATGTATCATGGGCACTGGAATCACACAACGCCGACGGAGATGCCGCATTCTCCGGTCGAGGAGCATTGGCGTACAACGCTACCCGCCGTGTCGCTGACGTTTGGCATATTGGCATCGGCCGTCTTCGTCCTCCGCGTATTTGCCGCGCGGTTCACCTCGTGCAAGCTCCGGGCAGAGGACGTGCTCATGGGCGTCGGCGTCGTTCTGATGTGGGGGACTGTTGCCTCCGTGTTGATGAGTGAGTCTTGCCGGACCGCCGAGTCCTTCCGGCCCTTCGTTCCTCGGGGCCTTGTATTTGCTAACCTGACCCGTGCCCAGAGGCCTACAACGGCGTTGGGCTCCGTGAGTGGGAAATACCAAAGCATCGCAGATTCCTGCTCAACTTCGTACGCGCTCCTCCCCATTCCCTCCTTCTTCCCTCGGCAATGCTAACACCACCATGAAAAGGGCTCGTTCCTGCTGTCCAAGTTCTGGGCCGGCTCGATGGCGTGCTGCAAGGTTGCCATCGTGCTCTTCCTGCGGCGCGTCGTCGGCTTCAAGCGCTCCGTCAACGCGGCCCTCGTCGCCGTCGCCGTGGTCTCGGTGCTCTGGGCGCTCGGCGTCATCCTCTTCTCCACGTTTGCGTGCCAGCCCGTGTCCTTTTACTGGGACCGGTCAGCCCAGAACGGCCACTGCCTGCCGCGGCGGCACTACAAGACGGGCAACATCGTCTTTGCCGTCTTCGGCATGGTGACGGACATCGTCATCCTCATCATCCCCTTGCCGACGTTGTGGCGGTCGCAGATGCGCAGGAAGCAAAAAATTGCCATGACGGGCGTGCTAAGCATTGGTCTATTGTGAGTCTATCCCATACCTTTGCTTCGGACGTGGGCAACAACCTAACAAAAGACAAAAGTGTCTGTATATTCAGCTTGCTGCGGACCGTGCAGTTCTTCTACCTCGACTTGGAGCACATTTCAAGTGAGTAACAATAACAACTCCCCGTCTTCTATCGTACCAGGACAGTCTTGCTGACAAAGGCCCGAGCAGCCTCAAGCGCGTTGGAGAGCCTATGGTGCGTGCTCGAGAACGAATTCGCCGTCATCTGCGGCTGCACGCCTCAGATCGCTCCCCTCTTCCGCAGCCTGCGCCCCAGCAAGGCAAAGGTGTCGGGTTACGCGGGAATGTACGACACATCCGTGCTCGGCAAGCACAACAAGATGAGCGTCATCCGCACGACCGTCATCGGGACTGGCGGCGAGGCGATGCCGGGTCTGCGGCCGTCGCCGAGAGACGGCAGGAGCTCGTCGGAGATTGAGCTCAAGGGAATTGAAGTTCGCACGGCGATCAACCAAGAGGTTTCGGGAGGCGGAGTGCAGCTCCACGACGCGGGGCGCGTGTCGGTGGAAGTGGAAAAGGGAAACTATACCCGCATATAGGCATGTTGCTTTTTGGTGTTTGTAGCGAGCGTGCTGAAGCCGCGCTGAAAGTGGGCTTCTATTGTATGTAGCATTGCATTTGAAACGACAATTTATGAAGTCAAGAATCGGCTTGGCAACGCCAGAGTGCCAATGTGTGGTCCGTCCCGGACATTGTCATGAATCATTAGTCTGTGCGAGGGGTCGGCTCATTTTCCTGCTCAGCCCATTCGAAGGCTGCATTCGAAAACAGTCAGACACCACATTTTTGAGAGCCAAGCGAGAGAGAGGAGGCTTACGCTGTCGACACATGGGACATTGTCCTCGCGAAGTGTCCTGTTTAATCCACTCCATGATGCAGTGCTGAGACGCGTTGTCAGCAAACCAAACCCGAGGCGCGGATGCAGAGAAATGAAAGGGTAGATGCTCACCATGTGAAAATTGTGTCCGCATTTGCCTGATACTGCGTGACTGTTAGCATCTGTGCCCTTACATAGTGAGATAGACTTGGGCCATACGCAGTGCGCAGTCGTCGCCTGGATATCTGCACGAAGGACACGTCCCGTCAAAGTGAACCTGGCAGATGCCGCAGACGTCGTCTTCGGGGATGTCCCATCGCCAGGTGGCGACGGCATTCCACTCCTTGATGGTCACCTTCATCGCGCGAGCGTTTGTTGTTGCTCGTTGTCGGGCTATAAAAAAAGCATTGCACCAGTTCTGCGCGGGCCGTGAAAGTTGTGATGCTTGCAAGAGGGGATGTTTCGATTCAGAGTCTCCTTCGCGGTCGATGATGTGCCTGATAATGTGTGGTTGGCCAAGACGTGTAGTAGAAGACGTGATTTTGGCGTGTCTTGTTGGTGATGTTTGTTTGATGGTTAAGCGGCCAACGGTCCGGCCCCAGAAAAGATTGCCTAGCGGGTTCGACCAAGCTTCCAGGGGACTTTTAGCGCTGCTCGCCGCTGTAAACCCCGGTTTCAGCACTGTGAAGGCGCCAATTCTCGTCCCTGACCGACAACGGCGACTCGATTTTCAGCAGCTTTCCCATGTCAACCAAGCTCGCCTCCTTGAAGCTGCAAGCCACTGGGTCCAAGCTCCCCGCATCCGCGGACCAAAATCATTGTGACGCCAACCTCCCCCCGCCGTCCCGGACCTTGCCATTTTATCCATCTCCCATTGACATTTCAATTCAGCATTGCTGCTCGCATTGGCTGCCAGCCGTGACATATCTCCCGTGACCATCGCAGACGCTGCTGTGATTGAAACCTACCGCACGGTGGTGCCTCCGCCGCCGATCGGAACCCATCCGCTCCGCTCACCAAAGCTTTCACACGCACACTGCTCCCCGCTGCTCCGGCCGCTGGACTTGTTGTAGGCAGCCTCGCCTTCTGGCCATGGCATTCGTAGCTGTCGGACGACGGGCTGCGCGAACCGGCCTGCCCCGGGTGATGACCGCCGGGATGGCCGCCGCCGCCGCCGCCGCCGGCCGCCGCGGCTTCTCCTCGTACCTCGTCACGCCCAAGGAGCTCAACGCGGCGCTCCTCCGGAACCCGCCGTCGCCCATCAGCACCGACGCGCGCGTCATCCCGCTGTGCGCCGCGTGGTTCCTACCCAACGACGAGCGCACCGGCATCCAGGCCTTCCGCGAGCAGCGCATACCCAAGGCGCGCTTCTTCGACATCGACAAGGTCATCGACCGGCGCAGCCCCTACCCGCACATGCTGCCCGACGCCAAGGGCTTCGCCGGCGCCATGAGCGAGCTCGGCGTTCGCAAGGAGGACGTGGTCGTCGTCTACGACACCAAGGAGCTCGGCATCTTCTCCGCGCCCCGCGTCGGCTGGACCCTGCGCCTCTTCGGCCACGAGAACGTCCACATCCTCAACAACTTCAAGCTCTGGGTCGACGAGGGCTACCCGACCGAGTCGGGTGAGCTCTACAGCGTCGAGTGCTGCCCGTACCCGATCCCCGAGCTCGACGAGGCCAGGGTCGCCACGTTCGAGCAGGCCAAGGAGGTCGCCCTCGACTACAACAAGGAGGGCGCCGAGGGCGTTCAGGTCCTGGACGCGCGGCCGCATGGCCGCTTCACCGGTCAGGCCCCTGAGCCGCGCGAGGGGCTGTCCTCGGGCCACATGCCGGGGTCCATCAGCCTGCCGTTCAGTGAACTGCTCGATCCGGCGACCAAGGCGTTCCCCTCGCCGGAGAAGCTCAGGAGCATCCTGTCAAAGAAGGGCGTCGACCCCAACAAGCCTATCATTTCCAGCTGTGGAACTGGCGTTACGGCCTGTGTTGTTGACGCGGCGCTCGAGGTTGCCGGCTACGGCACCCCAGAGTCGCGAAAGGTGTATGATGGCAGCTGGACGTAAGTAGTGACAAGATTCTTTGATGAGAATTCAGGCTAATAGCGCGGCAGAGAATGGGCACAACGTGTGCAGCCCAGTGAGAACCTCATCCTCAAGTCTGAGTAGAGTTGGGTTGGTGTAGGCTGGATAATACGAGGAGCAGCCTGGATACCCTTTGGAATTTGTCTATCACCTGCAGTCTATGTATTATTATCTATTCATCTAGTACAGTACACTCTCCACCAATTGATACGAGTCTCGACAAACCAATTTGTAAGTCCAATTTACACTTTACATTTTTCAGCACAGAGTACAATCCTCAAGGCCCAGCTATTCCGAATATTTCTTCTCCAAGAAAGTCTTGGCATTTGTCGCGTTCTTTCCAATGGCCGTAGCCTTCAACAATCAAAATACAAAATGAAATTTAGTTTACAGTCAAACCATACTCTTTCGTCATAGTGCAGCGATGGATCAAACCGTTTGGAGGCTGCGTTGCTGGATCTTGACTTGGCGACTGTTTAGGTTTAGCGCAAGAACCGTTTTCAAGCCTGAATCCTTAGGCCAAAGTAAGGCAGAAAGAATACCAACAAAGGTTACCCACACACAATCTTGTTAGGGCTCGCTAACCTTTTGGCCGCACTACTGCCGAAAAATTGGCCAAACTGCCCACAGTTGTGTGCTTGCACCAGGGACCCCGCCGAAAAAGTCACCGTCACGACGACCTCTCTTCCCGCCCACCGTTTTGTGACTTGCGCAACACCAACACACCAAACCTTCCCCCCTAACGACAACACATATCATACAACATGGCTGACCGTGGAGGACGCGGTGGTGGTTTCGGAGGCCGTGGCGGCGACCGTCGCGGTCGCGGTCGTGGCCGTGGTCGCCGCGGCGGCAAGTCCGAGGAGAAGGAGTGGCAGCCCGTCACCAAGCTCGGCCGCCTCGTCAAGGCCGGCAAGATCAACAGCATGGAGGAGATTTACCTGCACTCCCTGCCCATCAAGGAGTACCAGATCGTCGACCACTTCCTCAAGGACGCTCTCAAGGATGAGGTCATGAAGGTGCGCACCAACTTTGGCCCGCCACGAATGCCGCAAATGTAACGAATCGACTCGCTGCGGACGACAAATCGTGCTCAAAGGCAGAGTCGAGGCAGCGAGGGATGAGATGTTATTAGCTGGCTACGGCTCAATGATTGAAAAAAATGGAATGGCTCGCTAACGTGTTTCGCCGTAACAGATCAAGCCCGTCCAGAAGCAGACCCGCGCCGGTCAGCGCACCCGCTTCAAGGCCGTCGTCATCATCGGCGACTCCCAGGGCCACGTCGGCCTGGGCATCAAGACCTCCAAGGAGGTGGCCACCGCGATCCGCTCCGCCATCATCATCGCCAAGCTGTCCGTCATCCCCGTCCGTCGCGGCTACTGGGGCAACAACCTCGGCCAGCCTCACTCGCTCCCCTGCAAGGAGTCGGGCAAGTGCGGTTCCGTCACCGTCCGCCTGATCCCCGCGCCCCGCGGTACCGGCCTCGTCGCCTCGCCCGCCGTCAAGCGCTTCCTGCAGCTCGCCGGTGTCGAGGACGCCTACACCTCGTCCGCCGGCTCCACCAAGACCCTCGAGAACACCCTCAAGGCCTGCTTCGTCGCCGTCTCCAACACCTACGGCTTCCTCACCCCCAACCTGTGGAAGGAGACCAAGCTGCTGCGCAGCCCGCTGGAGGAGTTCTCCGACTCGCTCAAGGAGGGCAAGCGCATTTAAGCGCTTGTGCTGGGGTTTTATAGTGTGACTCCATCACGGGGTGACGTCGTGATGTGAGGGGTTTTTATGAAGGAAGGAGGATACGATGCGCGGGGGTCCAAACGATTCATGTTTTGTTTTTGGTCTTCATGATGGTTTGCCGATTATATAGGGCAAAAGATTTTAACGTCTTTTAACGTCAGAGACTTGGGCGCCTGGGGACATCTCGTGGCTACCTTCTGAATTACAAAAAGTTAGACAAATTCTTCAAAACTTTGCATGTGACTAGTCTGCACATTGTCGTTTTCTCTGCGGGTGGTTATGAATTATGCTGACTACGCTCTTTAGATGCCACTATCGAGCCGACCCTTCCAGTACCAAGCATCAGCTGCATCTCGGCCAGCCACTGGCGAAACCTGCCCTGTCCTACCACACCTCTTGCACGTCTGCCTAAGTCGCAGATGTAGAGTCCATCACTGCTGCGTCAACATGGAGGGCGCAGCTGTGGCAACTTTGCCCAAAGCCCCATCGCTCGCCAGCAATGAGAGGACAAATGCACTGCTCGACATGCCGAACCAGTCCTTGCTTTGCAAGAGACGCCACGGCGTACTTCCACATCTCGATCGCCTCGCGGAACAGGACATAGCCAGAGTAGGCCGCGTCCCCCGCCGCCCCCGCCGTCGCGCGGGTCTCGGGCGAGTCTGCGACACAAGCCCACGTAGCTCGCCAGCAGAAGCCGGCGTCGCAAATCGGGCGCGTCGGCGAGCCAGACGGTATAGAGCCAGCTGCTGAGCGCAAAGGAGCAGGCGCCGTCGTCGCACCACGGCCCGTGCGGTGGTGCGCAGCGCCGGCTGCTGCAGCGCGGCGGCCGCCTCGTCCCGCACAATGCGCGCCGCCTCCGGAGTGACCAGTTCCGGATGCGGTGCTGTAGCTTCGCCGGTGGGCTGGGGTGGCAGCGAGACGGCCAAGGCGAGGCCGGGCATGAAGTTGGGCCGCGGGACACGTCGTCGGCGGATAGACGGCAGTAAGGGGTGCTGCTGCTCCGGTGCTCGTGCCTGTGCCACAGCCACACGTCCAGGGGCGGCTGACCCGTGGTAGATGCGAGGATGGCCATGCTCTCGCACGAGTCTCTGTAGCGAATCTCGTCGGCCATGGTCTTCCTCAGATGAAGAAGGGTCACAGGCTCGATGGCTTGTCTGCAGGCACCTCGGATAAAGGATGTTTGGTGGCTGGAAGGAAACAAGGATGAAGGTAATTTCAGCTATTCTTCGAATGGAAGTGCATGCCTCCCAATATATACATAGAGAGAAGGCTGACGGTATTGTTCCTCCCTGCATGTAAAATGGCTGCACAAACGCGGCAGACCTTCTTCCAGAGCCGTCAATAAGTATCATCCACGAATATTCCCAGCGTGTTGTGTCCTCCTCTTAACTGTGCAGACGTAAAGTAGTCAATTGATCGCTTACAGCTGTATATAGTGTATCAGTATATATTTCAGCATTCCAAATACACGTGGCCAAATACGCGTGGTCCTTGCAATGTCGACTCGCCCTTCCCCGCGAAACCTACCGCAGAAACTTGCGTCCAATCGCGGCATGCTCGTCAAACATGTACGCCGTCACCTCCTCGCTCATCACCTGCTCCTGCTTCCTCTCGCGCTCCTCCCTCATCTCCTTCCTCCGCGACTCCACCTCCGCCCTGCCCGGCCCCCTCTCGCCGATCATCCCCCGCACCGCATCCACCAGCTCCGGGGGCACCCTCCGCGCGCGCCAGTCCACGCGGTCCCAGCCGGCATCCGCCCACCAGCCCGGCTGCTGCGGCGGCGCCGCGCGCGTCGAGCACACTCGGACGTGCGGGTCCACCAAGTGCACCGCCAGCCAGCGCCTCCGGCCCGGTCGCCGCGGGTCGCGCAGCCGAAACGCCTCCACGCGGTGCTGCACCGCGTTGGGGAACGCGACCAGCCGCCCGTCCGGCGCGAGCACCGTGCCGAGCTCCTGCAGGGCCGGCGCGCCGCCGTCGAGGTCGAGCGGGGAGTCGAGCCCGTAGATTTCGGCGAGCGGCGCGAGGGGGTGGTGCGGGCCGGAGCCGGTGCCGCCGCCCCAGACGTGCTCCAGGGGATCCAGGTCGGCCTCGACGCGGAACGACAGCGCGCCCGCGGCGTCGGCCACATTGTCGCTGTCGAGGTACACCATGGCCGTCGCGACGATGCGGTCGCTGAGCAAGCCCGCGAGCCGCCACGGGGTCGCCGCGCGCGTCGGCCGCGCGGGGGTCAGCTCGACCGCGCCAATCTCCACGACCACCTGCAGCCCGCGGCGCGCAAACTGCGTCTCCAGCGAGACCTGGTAGAACGCGTGGTCCTCCTTGGGCGGCAGCTGGCCCCCGCCGCGTTGCCAGTCCGGCGCGCGGCCGGGAACGACGGCGCGGTTGTTGCGGCCGGCCTTCCACTCGGCGTAGGTGAAGGCGGCGCCGGGCTCCGGATGCAGCCACGCCTTGCACCGGCGATGCTTGAGCTTGACCGCGGCGGATGGCGAGTACGTGGCCGCCCAGTCCGGGAGGATCTGCGGGTACTGCCAGGAGGGCGGGGGCGCGCGCGGGTTGTCCGGCCGCGCGAGGAAGGCGTCGAGCCGTGCCTTGGTCGCCGCGTACAGCTCGCCCTGGCCGGCCCGCATGATCTCGTCTAGCTCCTCGAGCTCGACGGGCGTCGGCTCCTGCGGAGTCCACTGCACGCCGTAGGTGCGGATGCGCTCCGGCGTCCGTCCCCGGCCCGTCCACGCCAGGATCTCGTTCCACGGCTGGACGGACGCCTCGACGACGGCCTCGATGGAGCGGTAGAGGGAGAAGTGGTGGCGTGGGTGCAGGTTGTTGATGTATGAGGTCAGCCTCATCCCCGTAGTCCTGGCGTCGGGCGGCCCGAAGCAGACCTCGGAGGGAAGCCACTGGAACCGCGGCGAGAACATGTAGGCGCGCTGTCGCCAGGGCTCCTCGGGTGAGCCTCCAAAATGCCGGCATACTGTGCATTCCGCGGCCCTTTGCGGCACACCTTCCATGCCTCTTGTCGGGTTGCCGTCACAGCGACCCCAAGGAGACCGCGAGCAGGACCATTTTTGTTCCTGGGACCGGACTCCCCGTCCCATATGGTCAGCAGCATTGACGCTCCTGACGCTTCCCCCGTCACTTAGAACGTGCGTCTCGCCAAAAATGAGTGGGAACATGTCTGGATCAACTAGTGATGTCTGCGTCTCGCCTTCCAAGGGAAGACTTTGGTGCTGCTCATGACATTGATGTGAGAGATCCGGCGCTCTTGTCAGTGCGTCGACCTCAGCGGTCATCTTTTCCAGCAACGATGGTGAGATCAGATAGTCCGACTTGCAGATGCGCGATGCCGTGTCAAAAACGTGCGTCAACTTGACCTTTTCGTAGTACACGGCCTTGTCCAGCAGCTCGGCCAAGCACCAGTCCCATGCCGCCGGGCTGATCAGCTCCCAAGACGCCGCCTCACGAGCCCACTGCGCGACAACGGCCGGATCCCCAACCTCCACGTGCCAGTTTGGCCGGTCCGTGATTGCATTCATCAATCGGAGCATGGCGAGCTCCCGGGCCGTGAGCCGGTTCTGGCTCCAGTCGCCGAAGCCGTGGGCGAAGCGCTCCCCGGCCGGCCCCTCAGTCGGCACGCGCATGCCGCCGAAGCCGGGCACGACAAGCGGGTGCTTGCCGGAATCTTCGAATTCAATGCCCGCATCTCCATGCTTTTCCAACGTTTTTCTAGCCTTTTTAGGGAACCGTCGGCTCATGTTGGGGGGCACTTTGGCCGGGTGAGTTGGACGGTGCCCAGGTCGGTCAGACTGGTAAAGGTCCCTACTAGGAAAACGGGGTCACTTATTAGGACTGGATCTGCAGGCAGAAGATTTCCATCTTGATAGGCTCAGAATTGATTGAGGGGCTTTTTGTATGAGACCATGCGTTCACGTTCACGCAAGTGGGACTGTTGCCTGTCACAGCCACAAGAACACGGCAGTTGATCTGCGCAAAAGAAATACGTGACAACGATAGAAATATTCCGAAAGTCCACAGGACATGAATCTGCTTTTACCATCAGGGTAGATAAGCATTCTCTATATTTACTCTAGATAAAAACCTGCTCTCCTCCCGGGGTAGATAAACAGTGTATAAATCATCATGACATTCATTTCGCCCCTCTCTTCTTCACCCGCACCACCATCGCCCCCCTACTCCTTTCCGCCCAGGTACCTATACACGACCGAAAAGTCGCGGCCCTTGCAGTCCTCCCTCTCCGCCGCCTCCTCGTAGACCTTGAACGCCGCATCCGCCAGCTTCATGTCCGCGCCCGCCTCGTCCGCCGCCACCATCGCCAGCCTCAAATCCTTCTTCATCAGCGAGATCCCAAACCCGCCCTTGTAGTCCCTCCCCGCCGGCGCCGCTGCCACCACGCCCGGCACCGGGTTGTTCACCTCACTCGGCCAGCACCGCCCCGTGCTCACGTTGAGCACGCCCGCCAGCGTCGCCGCGTCCAGCCCCCACCGCGTGCCCAGGTTCATCGCCTCGGCCGTCGCGATGTTGTTGAGCGCCAGCAGGTAGTTGTTGGCCAGCTTGGCCGACAGACCCGCGCCCTGCCCGCCGCAGGCGAGCACCTTGCGGCCCATGGCCAGCAGCGTCGGCTCGAGGCGGGAGAGGGGCAGGGAGGCGGGGGCGCCGAGCATGAAGGTGAGGGTGCCGGCGGTGGCGCCGACGACGCCCCCGGACATGGGCGCGTCGGCAAAGGTGCCCTGCTCGGCGGCGGCGACGGAGCCGGCGACGGCGCGCGAGGTGGACGGGTCGATGGTGGAGCAGTCGATGAAGACGCGGTCGGCGCGCCGGGGCAGGGACGGGGTGAGGATGGACTCGTACACGCCCTTGACGTGCTGCGGCTCCGGAAGGACGGTGATGACGGTGTCCTGAGGTGCGGTGTTAGTTAGCGTGTACATGTGTTGACAGAGCCATCAGTTCGGGATGGAACGTACAGCTTCCTTGGCGGCATCGTGGGCGCTGGCGGCGAGCTCAACGGCCGCACCATTGGACGCGGCCGTCATCTCGGCGTGCAGGCGCTTCATGGCGTCGCCGTTGATGTCGTAGAGCGAGATCTTGTCACTGGGCTGGAGCTTGGACTGGAGGTTCTTGGCCATTTGGTAGCCCTTGTTTTGAAACGTTCAATGTTAGTGGGGGTCACGAATAGAATCTTCGCGGAACATTTTGACATCTGCAGCTCGCAAAAAGCTCACCATTTGACCAAGACCGACAAAGGCGTAGTTGTCGAGACGTCTCGGCGTCGTCGCGAAGCCCCTCCGCTGGGCCGCGCCGCGGAGCATCTGAGCCGCAACCGAACGCATTGTGTGGGTTTTGATAATGAAGAAGCAAGTTGAGGTAATAAGCCAGAATTGATGTGGAATCGACTGGTGGGCAATGGGCAAGCAAACGGGCCTCTTCAATCAGCACGACTCTTGGTCCAAGAGAAAGAGAAAAAAACGGACGACTCGGCAAACGGATAATGTCTTGACTGACGAGGGGAGAGCTCTGGCCGTTTGTGGTTGCTCCGCCAAAGCCGTCCATTGCCGGCACCAGCCATGGCGCTAAAAGCGTGGGACCTGGTTGAGCTCGGCGCTCGGGCTGCGATTTTGGTGCGGAGAAAACACGGGGTAATCGCTGCTTACCCTGGACATGATGTTGACCAAAGCTTGAATCCCAATGATGTGATATGAACCCCTAGATTTCTCTGCTAATGGAAGCTGTGTGTTTTTCCGCCCTTTACTTTGCTCGGGGTACTGGCCTTTTAATGCAAGACCCCAGCCCGAGCGTATTGTCATGATGTGATGTGAAAGCAGTAGACCCCTTCAGCAGCATAAGTATGAACATGGTCCGTCCGCATTACGCACATCTCACTCACCAGCATCAGTTCGTCAACTCATTCAAACATCTGCCTCATAAAAACTATCAACAAGGGGAGTCAAAGTTCCATTGTTAAGGGTGGGGGTATTCTTCTTTCTTCATCTCGCTCTGGGAACATCCTTTTGAAAGCCAAAAAACACAAAAACCACGATAACCACAATACACATAAACGAAAGTCGGGCAGGGGGAATAACTATAAACCAAAAAAGACCAAAGTAAACCGACGGCAAAAAAACAGGAAAAGAGAAACGACCCACCACAACTCCGGAAACGCAGCCACATCATAATGACATGAATAACGATTAGCCGCGTCCCCGAGGTTCCTTTTCCTCTCACTCTCATGTTCAAACTGTTTGAGATTGAGCCACCGTCTCTTCCTGGTACCCATCTTGAAATCCCAAGGTCCAATTTCTATTTCTTCCGTCTCCTTTCTCCTCTAAATCGAAATATGTTGTTTTGAATTACAAAAAGTTAACAAGCCAAGGGACCAGAGCACTGTTCATCTGTCAGCGGTTTTGCAATTCTAAATCAAGTCAGTAATCCAACTTACCCAACAGCAACAGTAGCTCCAATTCCAATAAAGGCTCTGTTTCTAACTCTGTCTTTGCGCACCTCTGCGTCAGTCTTGGCCTTCTTCGCGCGCGGTTGCGATTCTTTCGATTCTTTCGATTCCGCAGCATCCTTGTTATCTGCGCCTTCCTCGGCTGGGGTAATGTCGCTGGCCTTGCGCTTGCCCTTCTTGGATTCGGTCTTGTCGCCTGACTTCGCGGCAGCAGCCTTGTCGGCCTCCTTGGCAGATTCAACTTGTTCCTTTGCCGTGGCCATCATGGCAGCAATCTCCTCGGCGCTTGGTGGCTGGCCGGCTGTGGGCAAGGGAACCTCCACCTCGGTAACGGTCTGCTTCTTGTCGCTGCCCTTGGCACCCTTGACTGGCTCCTCGACGACGACGTGCAGTTTGGCGGTGTCGTCGTCAGCCTTAACAGGCTGCAGAACAACCGTAGGCTCGAAACCAATGGCCTTGGGAACGGTAGATTCGGAGTCCCCATTGATGGCAGCAGCAGCCTCCTTTTCGGCAGCAGCCTTGGCAGCCTTGGAGCTTCGCTTGCGAGGTGAGGCGGGGGCCTTCCTGACGCTCGTCTTGGCGGGGCTAACGGACCGTCGCGAGCGTCTTGAGGCACTGCCGGTGGTAGAAGCGGCGGGGGATAGTAGAGGTTGTGTGGCCTTGGCCAGGTCGAATTTGGGAGGAGCCGAAATCTTGCGAGCGGGAGAGGAAGATGGGTCGTTGCCCTGGGAGATGGTGATCTTGGCGGGGTCGAGCAGGGCGCGGATCCAGACAGCAATCTGGTACTCCTCGGCGAGGGCGAGAGCCTGCTCCGGGGGAATCCAGATGTTACCGGCAGTCTCCTCGGGGCTGGTGGTCGGCAAGGACTTGATGTACTTGCGCTCGGCCTCCTCGTCCGCGGCCTCGGCGTATGGGAATGTCGCCTTGAACATGCCGGTAGCGGAAACGTAGCCGTCGAAGCTGCGGCGCATAAGGAAATAGCTGTTGGGGCTGGATTTAAAGATTCCCGAGACAATTCCCTTGTGCATGGGGGCACGAAGGTGGGCGTAGTCGAAGACACCGAGGGCGGTAGCGTCGCCATCGTCGTTGCCGGCCATCTTAGGCGTAAGCTTAGTCTGTCCGAGACGGCGGCGGGAAATGAGTTCGGAATCTAAAAATGGGCAATGGATTAGTAACGGCGCGATCGGGGAGTTGGGTTCGTCGTGGGAGCGACGAGACAGCTACCAACATTCAGGGATGTCCTCCATCATCAGCGGGTTCCGCTTGGCGGGGAGAGTTCGGGTAGAAGCCATGGCGACGGAGCAGTCTCGTGACGAGAGCCGACAAGACTATATTTTGGGAGCCGCGAAAGCGATTCGAATGTGTAGCGGAAGCTGGGTGCCTGTAGATGAAGGGACGAGACGAGAGGATTAGTCGCAAAGCCGGGTGGATTGGGATGCGCGCGTGCGCGCGTCGCAATGGAACGTGGCAAACGATGTAGCAAGCCGATTGCCTGCCACGTTGGAGCGTTGCAAAAAAATTATAAAGATTTGATGGCGTACAGTAAAAGAAGCGAAAAAAGCGATGATCTTGTTGGCAGAGAGCAAAGGGAAAGAAGCTCAACGCGACTGGGACCCGGCGCGACGAGCTAGCAATAAGATGCTGCGCGGAATAGAAGAATGAAAGAAGTCGAGGAATGGGGAGAAAAGCCGGAAAGCAATTCCTCAGTAGTCCACGCGAGAAGAAGAGGGATAGAGATGAAGAAAAGAAGCACAAGCGGTCGAACGCGGGGATGGAGGATGCGACGCCGTCGACGGGGGTGCAGACGAGAAACAACTGCAGGAGGGAAAAAGATTGGCGATGGCGGCGGGTTCCTTTGGCCAGAGAGCGACCGAGGGAGTTTGGGTGGGCAGCGAATGAGAGTGGGTGCGCGTTGCTCGCGTGGGTAACCTTTCTAGCTGGGGGGAATTGGACGCGACCAGCGGTATCCTGTGTCGCAGCGCCACAGCCAGTGGATAGCAAGGCCGGGTACCTGTGGCTGGCTGGCTGCCCAAGATGACCACCAGCCAACGGACAAACTACCTACTGATTTTGATTAGCGGCAAACGTAGCGAATAATCAAGGCGGTAATAAAATCCATAGGATCTTTCCCAAATCTACCTAGCGTTCCAGGTAACACATCCTGCAGTGGTACAATAAAAACAAGTCAGCGGGGTGATGGGATAAAATCATAAACCCCGAGTACCCGTCGCAGGAGGCTTCGAAATCCCACACCACAGGGCCTTTGTTTAGTGGACAGCTGGCCGCAATTACACTGATGTGGGCCCTTTCTCCATCCGCTTCGGGTTGCTGGTTCCTGCTCTGTCTCTGTCTGCCTCTTTCGTTCTCACCTAGCCCATGTTGAAGATTTCATGGGTACGGGGTACGCTGTATCGTTCTCATTATCTGCTTCAGCATCACTCCATTTTGTTCTCCTTCTCCTTCTCGTCACTCGTCACATCGCCGCACTCGTGCCTACACCGCCCATGATAAGCGCCTACCTGCCTCGCCGAGTTAATCACCAACACCTAGCCCACACCACCACAACCATAGACACCACCATAGGTTCATCGACATCGCTCCGTTCTAACTCACATCCATCTCCACACCAGCAACGCCAGCTGTCCAGTTATTACTGGCAGAAAAACATGACGCTGTCCTCCCCGCCGCTATAAGATCCCCTAATTTATGAACCGCCAACCCTCTGGTTTGCCTTGCCATGGCCCGCCCCGGGACGCTAATCAGGTACTATCAGCGCCCTCTGCATTTTTGACGACTAGACATGCATCTACGGCGCTCTGCTCTCCCTTGTCGATCTTGGGACATCTACCTTCTTCTTTGCGTCGTGACTCTCCATTGTCCAATACGTAGGCGCGAAATTTTTTCTCCTCCCTTGTCTGCGCGTGGTCTGTGCAGGGCAAGGCTGGCGTCTGCATGGGATAGCGTGAGGTCACTTTGGAGAGTCATGACACCGCACGTGTACCAGAACTAATTTCCCTCTCTTCCACTATGAAATACTGGACTGTACCAGTATGTTGTAACTAACTAGAAAATCCGGTGCAATATTCGTTCGAAAATTAAACCCCCTTTTCCATGTTTCACCGCATTTTTTTGAGAGCCCATTTACCCCCCACCCTTTGTGAACTACCAAGCGCCCAACCAAATCTGTTGTGCTGGTAACTTATTACCTACCTCGTACTATGTACTTCGTACATACATCACTAGGCACACACACAGTAGGTATTTGGCAGGTACGGATACAGTTGGTCGCAAGGTCGCTTGCTCCCGGACCAAGTCTACACCCGTGCTGAGCTCTTGTACCCCCCAAAGCCAATCAATCGTCCTCGCACCAACGGCTAGATCCGCTGCTTGATCGAAACCAAGCGTTCTTCTAAAAATAAGCGATACTTGATCACCTTCTCGATTACTTCCTGGAATATCAGATCCTCCTAAGTAGCTAGTTAGCTGTTGTCGTCTTCCCTTTTGCTCCGTGCCCATATCGACTGTCCAATCAAGCGCGCGTGCCAAACAGCTCCCCCACCACGTCTCATGCATCAAAGCCCCTCCATCGTCACCGTCTCGTAGTCCAACCGCCACTTTATTGTTTTTTCGTCCTTTCCACTCCATCAATCTTTCTACCTATATCTAGTTCGATCACAGTTCCTCCCTGCCATAGCGCGTTTTTTCCTACTATATTTTCCCGCCCGCGGCCTCGATACCTAGACACCATGGCCTCCCACGACGACGACACGATGCCCGAGGAGACTCAGGGCTACAAGCTCTCGCAGCCCAAGCAGTCCCTCGCCGAGTACGAACAGATGGGTGAGCTATTCCGATTCTATGCTGCAGAGACAATCAAATTGTCCCTTTTTTTTCTCGTCTTCTTCACCCCGCGGCAAGGCAGCACGACGGCGCATAAATGTCCTGCTCGAGCCCGACCATGCACCCCCCCCTTCCCCGCAGTGCCCCTCCTCCCGCCGTCCAGAACCTTTTTAACTGACCACCGCGTCCCAGACGCCGGCGACGAGTCCCTCCAGCGCTACAAGCAGTCCCTCGGCCTCGGCGGCGGCAAGGACCTCTCCGATCCCTCGGACCGCCGTGTCTGCATCATCCTCTCCCTCACGCTGGACTCGCCCGGCCGTGACCCCGTCACCATCGACCTCTCCCAGCGCGGCAGCGAGGCCTCCCTCAAGGACAAGCCCTTCAAGATCAAGGAGGGCGCCAAGTTTACCATGAGCGCCAAGTTCAAGGTCCAGCACGAGATCCTCAGCGGCCTCCACTACGTCCAGGTCGTCAAGCGCAAGGGCATCCGCGTCTCCAAGGACTCTGAGATGATTGTACGCGAACCGACCCAGTCCCTCCACCCCCTTCCTCCTACCGCACATAATTTCGAAGATTGCTAATGTTAACATCGCTTTGACACGAATAGGGCAGCTACGCTCCCAACTCGGACAACCAGCCCGCCTATACCAAGAAATGTACGCTGAAATACCACCTGCTCCGATGCTCGCGCCAACTAACACGCCCCGACAGTCCAAGAGGAGGAGGCGCCGTCCGGCATGCTCGCGCGCGGCCACTACAACGCCATCTCCAGCTTTGTCGATGACGACAAGAAGAGCCATCTCCAGTTCGAGTGGAGCTTCGACATCAGCAAGGAGTGGTAGGAGCTCAAAATAGAGTTCTTACGTGCGGAAAACAAACAAAACGGAGAATGGTTAGCCTAGCATGTTACAATATTTGTTTTTCTGATTCCTACAATATATCCTTACATTGCATGAAGTGAAAATGAAATACATGCATAGATACAAACTCATGCGCAAACCCTGTTAAGTTAGGTACCCAGGGGCTGGATACGGTCCTGCCGTCGCATCACAGTGCCCAACCTCATCGCTGCATCTGCTTCTTTATTTAGAAAGGCAAACAAAATGTGACAATTGTCTAAATGGTTTATACACAAGTTTAAGCTTAGAAGCAGCCTTTACAAGAAATAGTCTGGTAACGCATTACCGTCAGCAGCCTTATCCACGCCGGGCTGCATGTCCTTAACCTGATCGTTTTCCGGCGCCGCTGCAAATACGTTGAAGAAGCGCTCGCCGTTGACATTGACCTCGAGCACGCTTGCCATGTTGCCACAGCGATAGCAGTAGTTTGGCGCGCTCCAGACTGTGCTAAGGCGGTCGTCGTAGAGCACCTGGAAACCTTCCTGGCAGAGTTGATGTGCCCGCAGTATATGCGACATGTTGTTGACGGCTAGGAACTTCTTCACTACCTGTGCGCCAAATGTGTAGCCAGCGCCACGCGGAGATAGCGAGAATTCGTCTCGTTCGGGATCGGGATCTGACCACACAAGGTCTGCCATGGGGCCTTCGTGAGGGATCTCGCGGAAGCGGTCGATGATTTTGATTTGATCAATCGAGTGTATCGACGGAGAGAGTCCTGCAATGTGTCAGCTTTGCGCTAGCAGTGTCAACCCGTTCGTGCTCATACCGCCGTGGACGCAGAAGATTTGGTTGTCAATCACCACGCTCAACGTCATAAAGTCAAACATGTCTGTGAAGTAGTGCCATACATTGGCGTTGCCATACTTTCGAGCGCATTCCGTATAAAAGCCATATGATTGAGTGACGCCTCGAGATTCGTGGTTACCACGGATCAAGTGGACGCGCTCGGGGTATCGTAACTTCAAGCAAACAAGGAGGGAGATGGTTTCGACACTGAACATACCACGGTCGACATAGTCTCCTGGAACGGATTGTTAGTCCTTGCTGACCAGCCACCCAGACGTGGCGACGACGGCGTACCTAGAAACAGATAATTTGTATCCGGACAGTAGCCACCTATGCGAAATATTTCAATGAGATCGTAAAATTGGCCGTGTATGTCGCCAACAACCGTCACGGGAGCCTGGACGTGGACGACATTGCTCTCGCGCATGAGAAGCTCCTTTGTCTTGGCGCATATCGCTTCAATGACCGACTCGGCGAGGAGTTCCTTTTTATAGAGGCGTGAGATGCACTCGTCCAGATCGACCGAGGCTGTCCGAGGGTGTGGTTAGATGCGGTCGCTGCGGGCCAGGCACGGTGGTGGGTTGCTCACTCGGGAGGCCAGGCATAGTAATCGGTGCGTCGCCGTCGCGGCGGCCACGGCCGGCTGCAGTGTCGACAAAAATAGGCCCGTCAGAGACGCGATTCAACTGCGAGTTGTCGTCGCACGCGTTCAAACAGTCGTGGGGCGAGGGGGGAGGTAGCTTCGTCGAGGTCGGGCGTGGCGAGATCGGCTCCAGGCAAAGGTGGTGACTGGAGGGGCACTTTCGGAACTAGCCAACATGTTCGTGCGAGTGACTGCGGGCGGACATGAAAGCAGGCTGCTGGAAAGGGAGGATTAAGTTGAAGCATACATTGTGCCGGGGCAGCTGGCCCTGGACGCGAGACCGATAAGCGCTGAGGGTGTTTGTGGGAGCTTGAATATGCAAGCTCTCTGGCGCTGGCTGAGAAATCATCATGAGGAGGGAGTGGGCCGGGAGCTTCAGAAGGAGCAACCCCTCGTGAGAGGTTTCTTATTCATGAAAAAAACAAGGACTATAGAAAGCGAGATGTATCTCGATAAAATGAATACAGCGTTGATTTCGGATCCGTGAAGAACATCGCAGTCGCGTTTCAATATATTGGATACATAGGTCAAGTGCCCAACCTGTGCTAGGCGGCACAAAGATGTGCTGTGCTTCAACGATGCAACAAGAAATAGGACTGGCCCACGCGCTCCGAAAGCGGAGGACTGGCATCTGCGCTGCATATCGGGAAACACAGACAAGCATAGACATGAACTTGTATTCTATGCGATTTAATAAAAAACAGCCCCTCCTTATGTCCAGTTGGCTACACAGAGACAGGCCTGAATCAGCTTGTTTGCATGATCGCAAGCCAAAAACGCACTACCTGCATGCATGGCCCGTGCGTCCGCACCTCACGTGGTGGTCCAACGTCTCGCGCAGCGCAGCGAGGCGCTGACCGAAGCGCTGCGCTCATCAACATCAAAAAGGCCTCCAACGCCTCATTCTGCCCTCCGGTTTTATGTCCTCGAGCCCCTCTCTCGCTTGCGAATCCCGCTTGGGGAGGGGTATGCCGTGAGCTTTGCCAGTGCTTTCGCCGCCACCGATCAGGCGAATCGCGCTACGCTGCGCCCGCTGTGAGTGACACCTCCGCGAAGCCATGACGGGCTTTCAACGCCGATCGCTAACACGACTCCCCCGTCGCAGATTTCTGCCATAGGTTACCATTTCAACACGGTGACTTGATAGATGACGCAAAATCCCGATGATAGACCTCCCATGCCACCGTTAAAGACATACTCTCCTTGACACACACCCAGGGCTCCTGATGGCGACGCCCTGACCGGCGCGCCAAGCACAAACCTTGAGACAGCTTGTAGGGCGCCAAATTTCCCCAGCGATTGAGTCTTGCGAAATGACGGACCAAATCGCTACCCAGTCCAGTCGTCCCGAGGAGCCGCAGTGCTACAACTGCGGTGGCATGGGCCATTGGGCTGTCGCCTGTCCCGAGCCAACACGTGAGACGCCAGCGTAAGAAAACTTACACTCGATCATCACTGCATTTTCTAACCTCTCCCATAGCGGTCTTGCAGCTTGGAGAAATGCCTCTGCGACGCGACAAGGGAGCGGCCGCGCGCAGCAAAATGATGGCAGAAGGTCCAAAGGACCCATCATCACCAAGTACGGCCCTCCACCTCCAACAACAGGCTACGGTGCGCATTTTCCACCACCTCCCGGATACCCTCCACCGCATAATTCCTACTCGGCGCCTCCGCATCAGCCTACGCATCAACCTCCACCTCCTCCGCCTCAACCTTCATATCCTCCGCCTCAACCTTCATATCCTCCGCAATACCATTACCTTCCAGGCCATGGGCAACCGCCGCCGCCTCTGCCCAGCCATGGGCCTCACTATCAACCTCCTTACCACACCCCATCTGAGTCTTATCATGGTCAGCAGCCACGGCCACCATACCCGGGACCATCTCCTGCGTACGGCGCGGCACCTCCGGCAGCGCAAAACTACGGCGCCTATCCATACTCCGGCCATGACAGCCAACAGTTTGTTCCACCTCGGCCAGCTTACAGCGGATCATACGCGCAAGGATCTGGGGGCGGCCCGAAGCGTCACCACCAACGCCCGCCGCAGCCGCACAGAAACTCGGCTCCGTCACCTCCAAAGTCCCATGCCGCGCAAGTAGCCTCTTCCCCGCCAAAGCCAGCTGCATCTTCACCCCCCGCACCCATAACTCATGCATTACCGCCAAAGCCACCAAAGAGCGTTCACGATATCGATCACGGGCGTGATCAAAGAAACAACAAGCGGAAACATGACTACCAAAACAGACCTAAAGATATTAAGGACCACCATCCTGGGCGGAATCATGGAAGCCCAGCATCAATGCCGCCGATCATCCATAATAGCCACGGCCAGAGCAATTCCGTTGCCCAACACCATCAAGGGCCTCAAAATCGACCCGGAAAGCAGAATAACAATAGGAGACGCTCCTCTGCGGGAAATCATGGGTCGAACCATCCACGGATGCAACGACAACAGTCAAAGGACTCACTGAATCAGCACAGCTCCGGAGCACAGAGATCGCCCCCAAACCACTTCGAAGGTCGCAGAAGCAACGGCAATGGCGAGAAACATCATGCAACCCCGCACCATCATAAAGCTGCCGACAGATCTGAACGGGACTCTTCTACTCCTAAGGCGGCTGAGACCACTCCCACACTGGTCAACAGTGCTCCGTCTCTGCCACCGAAACCCAGCACGGTGGTAGAAGCACATGTTCCAAAACTGGGGGACGAGAACACCGCCAATGCCCCTCCTGTCTCCCCCAAGCTATCCGAGAAGAATATCGGTCGCATTGGCGGACACAAAGACCGAGACTGTGACGACAGGAGCTCCACCGCCAGACACGCAACTAAATCCGAGTCGTCGGCGCAAGATGAACAAGACGAACGCCCGTTCAAGAGGTTCCGCCGCGCCAGCCGAGACCGCTCGCGAAGCCCCAGCAGACGTCGAGACAGCTACGATCTGCCCCCTCTGAATCGTGGAAGGTCGCGTTCCCCGCAGCGGCGCCCAAGTCCTTCCCGCTCGCCCAGATCGCGAAACTCATCCGTCTCCAGCCGGTCGTCGGATCTCAACTCGCTCGAGGCCGAGCTGCTGGGCGTCTCCGACCGCAGGCCCTCGACGGACTCGGAGCCGCGCCGCCGGCCGGAGAGGATCGCGCCGCCGCCCAAGGCGAAGCGTCGCAAGCCGACCAACTCGGCATTCAGGTAAGCGTGCCGTACCCCTTGTATCCCCCTTGCCAGCGAGCTAATGCGAGTTGTAGTCGGCGATGGTGAAGGATTTGTGATTGGGGAGGGTGCGGTTTGACTTGAACATGTTCCTTCACGAAACAACCAATACTGCCAGTTCTTATTCCTATTTCTTGGGACAAAGCCATTTGATATTTGCTATTCAATTTTTTTACTCGGGAGTCTTTGCACAAGCAAGCTAGTACCATACCGTCTTGGGGGTCCCCGATGATGTTGTGCTTTTTATGATTACAATTCTGGGATACAGTTCTTTTTGGCGTTGGTGGCTGGAAAACGATTCTCCTTTTACCGTTAAACAATGAAACCCTTTCTTTTGTGTTTTGAAGCAGAATCCTCCCGACTTGCTAGTGAACACGGCTTGGTTAAAGAAAATTTATATGAAATTGACTAAAAAGGAAAAAAGAAAACTCGGAGATAGCTAATGACTTCTTAGGAAAATTACAATATATGTGTCATCATTTCAGGCGGGCTGGCACTTTTGTGACCGGAAACAAGGGCCCAGACCTTCTTGTCATTTTCCCTTACTCCTCGTGCTCGTCCTCGAGCTCCTCCTCCTCGTCGACCTCGGTGAACGGGACGGCCTCGCGGGCAATCTCCATACGCTTGCGGAGCCTGTAGGCGATGGCGGCCCTGCGGGCGGGCGCGCTCTGGGTGAAGACGGCGGAGCCGCCAAAGGGACCCGCGGCGGCGCTGTTGCGGACGCGGACGACGCAGGCGTTGTTGACGCCGGCGATGGTGCCGTCGCAGGTCATGCCGGCGGGCATCTTGACCTGGAGGGGGAAGTCGGTGTTGGTGGCGAGGGAGAGGCCGCCGACGCCGAGACCGGGGACGTCCTTGACGACCTCGGCGTTCTGGAAGGCGCTGGCGTCCTTGCCGCCCGAGGTGCCGTCGACGGTGGCGGACAGCGGGCCGGCGCCGTCCTGGTTGATCTGGCGGTAGACCAGGCTGACGACGCCGTTGCTGTCCGACGTGGGCAGGCCCTGGCTGTTACCCGTACCGGCCGTGTCGGCGACCATGGTCTCGGCGGCGAAGTTGCTCTTGGTGCCGCCACCGCCGCCGGTGAGGCCGCCGAGGAGACCACCAGCACCGCCGCCGCCGCCGCCGCCGAGGCCGCCGAGGAGGCCACCAGCAGCACCGCCGGCACCGCCAGCAGCCTTGTCACCGCCGGCACCGCCAGCACCGCCAGCACCTCCAAGGAGGCCGCCGAAAAGCTTGTCGAGCTGACGCTTGCGCTCCTCGTGACGCTTAGCAGCGCCAGCAGGGAGGCCGGAGAGGTCGTCCTCCTGGCCGGTGGCGCCGGAGGCGCCCTTGTTCTGGGGCGAGGTGTTGCTGGAGCCCATGAAGCGGGCGACGTTAACAGCGGCGTCGACGGGGCCACCGCCCTGCGTCTTGCCCAGAGGGTTCTGCTGCATGTCACGGTTGCGGATGATGGATGTGTCGGCCTGCGAGCCGCAGCCGTTGGAGGAGCAGTCACGGGGCGTGCCATCAGTGACTGTTAGGTACAAGTTGTGTCAGCAGGTTTATTCTATGCGTGCTTATGTGTTTGGGAGGGATAACGTACCACCGAGACCGGGCATCATGACACCATTGTCACCCTTGATCATGGTGACGAGTCCATGGGCCGACACCGTGGAGGCGAGGGCGGCGTAGGCGAGAGCGTAACGCATTGTGAAGGGTATTAGGTGGTGGGTGGGATGTGTGAGAGACAATTAGGAAGGAAGAAAAAAGTATAGTTCAAGGTAAAAAGACCAGAGCCGCCAGGGCTAATTCAAGAATGTAATGCTGAGGATGAAGAGGAAGGAGATGAGGATGAGGATGAGGAGATTGTGTGAGCTTGTTGTCTGGATGAGCAAGAAAGAGAGCGTAATCAAGGGATAGGAACATTGTATTTATACGAATGCTTGGCAGACGCTGCGTGATGCGATACAGGGGAAGAAGCCGTGATGTAAAACACGTCGAGGGCGCAGTACGGCAGACATGACCGGCCAGGCAGGGCGTTTCCTGTCCCAAATGGGGATGAGGATCACATCTGTGACGAGTTTCGGTGGTCAGGGTTGTTTTGGAAGAAAAAGTTTTGCTAAGAAAAAACAGAAACCTGGTTGTAGAAGATTGGCTGGGTGTCTCTTTTGGGAGCCGTTGGTCGTTTCGAGACGCCGAGGGTTACTGGGGACATGGGTTGTGTGTTAGGGTGGGACGGCCTCCGGGTAGGGAGGGGCCAAGACATTGTAAGGAACTGGTACGAATATAGTCATATGAAGTCCTCGAGAATGGGAGAAGAAGAAAATGATCTGGCGAGTGATGGGCCGTGATGTGGTTGGTGGCTGGCTGGGTAGTTGTTGCCGGATGGTATCCTCCCCGGACCATTGGGGGGGCGCAGTGCCGACGGGGTTTGCATAGGGTGAGTGGGTCTGGGGCCGGATCCGTTGCTCGGAACGGAACATGGGGCTTGTTCGATTTAATTAATTTATTTTCTATTTTCTTCATATCCTTCAGGATTGTTTTGGCGGTCTACTGTGGGTGAGGGGGCGGAGGGGCGCTGTCTTTGATGAAACCCGAGTGAACTAGGGGCGGCGGGTTGCGCTGATACGGGAACAGGGAGCGGAAACAGGAGGAAAGGAAATAGAATCGGACAAGACAATGTCCGAGGACTTGTTGGGATATCCTGTTATCGCCGCTGTCAGTTAACATTACGCGGGAATGGACGATGTGACGTCGGTAGAGAGTCCGTGGGCATCGGAGACTTGCTACAGATGGTGGTACCTGCTAAATAAAAGATGGAGGAAAGCTTGGAACGAGTATCATCGCTAGCTGCATAGATGATGGCTGTTACAGCGTCCTCTATCGTTCTAGTGTCGAGATGCCTTTTTCTCCGAGATGCTTTACATGCAACCCGGCGGACTAGCATCGCTGTAGGTAGATGTTGGTTGTGATGACCTCGTGCTTCTATTCTTGTCCCCATCGGAGAGTCATGCCTCTCACAACATGTAAAATCAAGATTCAATTCAATCTTGGAATTCAACTCTTGACCTGTCATAATAATCATTATCAGCACTCTCAGTATCGAAATGCAGTCCTATAACATAACCCGCCAAACGCAAGAAAATCACCAGCGATCGCGCCGTTCGCGAGAACCCATCGAAACGCGGGCGCTCAAACTGATTTACCGTCATGCGATTCCCACGCAGAGCCGTGTGATTCTTTCCCCCTTTTCTTATGCTCCAAGGGAAACTCAGTCATGCGTTTGCACGGCAGACGTCGTCGACGAACCAGGGGAGGAGGCTCATGTGAAACGCCAACCTGTCACGCTGCTGTTTCTGCTTCTACGGCGGTGGGGAGGGGGGACGTTGTACTCGCTGCTTCGCCGATCGCTCAACTTTCGAGAAGGCGAGTTGCATAAGCCGAAGATTCTCATAAGAGTTTTCTGCCTGCATTAACATATTGAAACCGCAATCTCGGGTGATTCTTGAGGCTGTGTGCGTGTGTTCTACCTACCATCACTGCAAGGGCAATGACGAGAATGGCAATGACGAGTGAGGAGGCACCGCCCAGCTCGTTTTCAACATCCGACTTTGCCGTAGGGAATGGTCCAGAGTTAACGATGATTAAAATGAAATACCAAGAAAAGAGAAAAATTCTATCCAGCCTCGACATGTGTATTTTTAGACAGCCACAAGTCCTGTTTTAGGTACCCTGTGTTTGAGCCTAGCCAGACAACCCATAACGACAGGCACATATAAAGCCGCCGCCAGGCCAAGCAAGTTAACTGAGTAGCTACAAGGTACATGTTTCCGTTTTTCCAGCTTCAGTTTTGAATTAGGCTGCTTCAAAAGTCGGCACGAAACACAGCTATCGCAACTTGCTTTTTCTCGCTTCTCGCTTCTTCGGCCAAGTCTCGCCGCACCACTGACCAACTATCCCAACAAGTACAGGGCAGGCCGTCACCAACGGACCTCGCTTCCTCCTCCGTCTTCTTGCTGATAAGAGAGCCCCCTACGCTGCTGACTGACAAGAAACTATTATTACATTCTCTTCAATGCTCTATAATGATATTACAGGACCACGTACTCCTAGCTGCGCCCGTTTAACCAATTTTGCCCCATTTCATCCTGCCAGATTTGGGTGCCACAAGCATCCAAACTCCATATTCAACAAAGACTCGCAACAAGAGCTATCTCGAACAGAAAAAACAAAAAAACTCCGTTCCGACTTTTCCCAATTATACAATCAAATTCTCAAATCCCATTTCCTTCAACCCCTGCAGCCAATTGACATCTTCATTTCTCGGCCGTCTGTCCTGCATCTCCCATGTCGCCTTGAGCATCTCGATCGCGGTAAAGACGTAGCCCCAGGGACACACTTTCCAAATATCCATCAGCCGCGTCATCGTCCACATTCGCGTATCGTTATCTGTCGTTTCGGCCCCCGCGATGAATGTCGGCCAAGACGATGCCTTGAAGTAGGGATCGTCCTCGCCAATCTGCGATAAGTGGTTTAGAATGTCGTTGACTAGTAGCTGCTTGTCCACGTTGGCCAGAGTCTGCTTATCCTCTCTAGATGCCGCTCGCGCTAGCGGCACTGCCTGCATGATGTACAGGCAGACGGCAGAACGGTGCGCCGACGCCACGTGGATGCGGCTTTCCACGTCCTTCACCTTGGCTACCTGCTGGAGTTGCGTGGCCCATGCCCGAATGTCAAAGCTGCATGCTTCCTGGATGAGCGCGAGCGCCTTGTCCGCGGAAGTGAGTGCCAAGTCTGTGCATGGCATCTCGTAGGAGAGCTGGGAAGCAGACAAGATAATCTGCAGGATTTCAGACGGGCAGGACAAGTAGCTATTGACTTCAGTCCTCTTCAAGACCGGCAAGAGCTCAAACGCGTAGTGGGTAATCTGTGCCGCCCACGGCCCAGATGCCAGTGTCGAGCCCAAGATGTGATATCTGCCGTTGAAGGCGGATTAGAAATGTACTGCAAAGTCTCGCGTTGACGACTTACATGAAGCAATCCGCTACAACACAATCGCGCAGCTTGTGGCTGGTTGCATCCTGCGGCTTCGCCGCCGTCAGAAGAGCCAGGACATTGCTGGCGCCAGTCAAGTGCGCCTGCCAGCTCTTGGCTTCCCCTCGCTCCAGGTCAATCAAGTCAAACTTGACGAAAAAGTGCATCGCTGCCAGAGTCACTTCGCTCCCTGCCGGATCCAGCGCCTGGAGGACGCCGCGAAGGTGCACCATGGCCATATCCTTGGCTGTCAGGGCATCTATCACGGCCTGGCGAGATACTAGATCTCTCGAGCGCAGCTGGGCTAGGTAACCGCCAGGGTCAGTTATGCCAACCGAGAGCGACGCGTTGGGGCTAAAGCTGTTGGCCCAGTGCAGCGCCGACGTAGCAACGATAATATTGAGCAACAGGGGATGCTTTCGAGTCAGTGGGATGAGCTCTCGAAACGGGTTGGATCCGGGCCCATCACGAGCAACCAGGTCCTGGCAAACCCTGTTGGCAACTAAATCATGACGATGTTAGTGTCGTAAGAACGGTCGGCTCAGATAGCTCAACTCACAGTGAGCAAGATAGTGCCTCGAGCTTCGGGGCAGGTCTTGAAAAATGGGATCAGTCAACTGACTCGGCGCGAGGTAGACGCTCTGGGTCGCCGCCGGGGGAAGAGCCGGCATAGCCGTGTCGGTAGCAGCTTGAGCACTGTTGGCGGCCGTGCCTACAGAGGGCTGGCGGTCTGGAACAGTGCGCGCGGCGCACCTCTGTGGAGCGCTGCGGAGGGCCAGGCTGGGGTGCCCCGCAACACCATGATTTTCGCCCACTGTCGTTCGCCTGGCTCCTGACGATGGCTTCACGTTGCCCTGCGCGTCAATGGCTTCCGTCCACACATAGACTTTCCCGTAGCCCAGGCATTCCTGCCCGGTCATCGCGCACTTGTTGCATGTTGGCCACGAGTTGTCACAGCGAAGACGCCGGCGACGACAGTTGTGGCAGGGCTTGTTGTTTTGCGGCATAGACCAGGGGTTTCACCGCCTCGCAGCGACGTAGGATCCCGGTTCAGAGCAGCCAGCGCAGGGGGAGGGGGGGAGAAGCGAAGCCCAGGAGAGAGCTCTGGTCGAGAGGGGTGAGGCTGGCTTGCCGGCCGCGAGGGAAAGCGAAGAATAGAACAACCCCACGGTGGCGATAGGGCGGCGGCGGTTCCTGTGTTGGGACGCGCTCAACAGTGCATCAGCAGCATGACTGGCGGCTTCGACGGGTCGTTTATTGCTGTCTTGTGATGAGGAGCCCGCGACGCAGCGGATGGCGACACTTGCTTGCGTCAGGGTTGCGTCGATGATGAAAGGAGAAGACCAAAGATTGGGATGGGCCGAGGAGGAAACCTTGGTGGTCAAGTGGCGGGCACAAGGGCCCGGTGCCGCTGTGAGTTAGCTTGATTGGAGCCGCAAGTAATAAGGTATCCAACGGTTTAGAAAAGAAATGAGACTTTTTGTTGACTGCCCAGCTAGCCAAAGCGGCAGCAAAAAGAAGATAAATTTAAACCGGTAGCTCTAGCTGGGCTGCTGGCGACAAATCAAACAGGCACCACCAGGTGGCGTGAGGCTGCCAGCTGGCAGGCAAGCTGTGTTTTCGGGCGGCGGACCGGCAGGTGTGAACTGGCGATGATCAATAGTCGCGGTACGATAAACGGGGAAGAAGCTTCTTCTTTCAACCTCCAGGGCCTTTTCTTTCATCTGTTAATAAAAACCCAGCAATTTCCTCGTCTAGTCCATTCCTCTCTCCGCCGGCCCTCCCTCAGCCCGCCGCCTGGGCTCCACGAACATGTTTGTGCTCCGAAGTCATGTTGGTCCTATCCTGTCCCCCACTCTGTATCTGCTGACTCTTCCCGTCCGAATTACTTACTAAATACCAAGGTAGGTATAATTCATGACCTGCCGATATAGGTTTACAGGCCAGACCAAGCCCGCCTGAACATGCCAACACTGCGATGGTGGAACCTTGCATGGTACTCGGGACCCGAACTGGTCCAAAATGTTGGCCCCTGGTTTTTCAGTGGTCCATCCAGAGGCCACACCGTCTCCGAAAGAGGAAATCGAACTGTGTCGCCGCCGATGCCGAAGTGATCTTTTGTCTCGAGAGCGATGGTTTCAAGCTCAAAAAGATAGGATGCTGAGGAGGGCATGATATGAGGCAGCAAGCTCCGAAGCGAGTCCGAGGTCGCATACAGCTTCCAGGGCCCCAGAAAGCGGCCTGGAAAGCGCATAGGTAGCTGTCGGTTCATCCTCAACGCGAGCTTTCTACTAGTACCCTGAGCAGCTAACTGGAGAGCCTGTATACAGTCTCCAGCACTGTATGCTTCCACCACGTACGTACTGGTAAGAACTTCAGCCGACCTCTTCTAACAAAATGGGTGCCATGTACCATCAGTCACTGTACGCAAGTCTCCACCATTAAGTTCTTTCCTCACAATGGCATTGTCCTGGTCTTCTTCAGTGCTGAATTCTGCGACCCACTTTGGGAACATTCATGGGTGGTTCTGCTGGCAAGATGGCGGCAATTAAATCTCAACTAGCACCTCATAAGCGGAAATAAACCCGCCGAATCACATCCACTGCAACAAGCCCGGTTGGCTAAGTGGTATAGCGTCTCACTAGTATTTATACGGTGAAATGAGAAGATCATGAGTTCGATTCTCATACTGGGCATTTATTTTTGCTCTTTTGAATTATCGAACCTTTTTGCAGTCCGCTGCATGCATTCTTGATCTTTTCGCTCATTGTTTCGTTGACCATGCATTGTAGAGTCAACAAGGCCGCGCTAGCAAGGCCCCTGATCTTCCATTGTGCTACCAATGAATGTCCCGATGAATTCAATGATATGGGTATACGCACTGTCTGAGCGGCCAACATTGCGAGCGTTAAGTTACTTTTGATCAGGTACTGCAGTAATAATGTGGATTCACTACAGTACGCCCATTTTATTCATCATAACTCATGAAGTGACCATCGGACACTAATATGCGGCCGCCCGGTCGCTGACGCGACTGTTTAGGTGGTTGCCTTGGAGTTCTTGACCTCCAATTCCGCTGCATCAATGCCCATTTCCTCATCGGGTACCTTGTCGTCTTGGTATTGCGGCCGGAAATCCTCGTCTTCGACACCGACTTCCATCCAAGTCTTGCTGGTCGCAGGTACAGGAAACAGCTTGCAGAGTGTGTAGTAGATGCCCACCGAAACTCCAAAGCCGGTGAAGAAGTTGACCTGGAAAATGTACATTGCGCCCTGAGGAACGGTTGCTCCAACCGCGCCCGCAAAGCCGACGACGTTGATGAGAATGCCGCAAACGTACGCAGTGTAGGCGCGCCAGTTGACGCCGTACGTGTAGTAGTATGGGCCTGACTTTCGTGCGTTGTACAGGTCGTTGACGCAAAGGAAGCCCTTGCGCACAAAGTAATAGTCTGCCACGATGACACCGGTGATGGAGCTGAGGAACACGCTGTAGGCTGACAAGTAGGTGGTGAACTTGCTCGAGGAACCGATGAAGTTGTACGGGCACATGGCCAAACCGACGACAGCGCAAATGTAGCTGCCACGTCGAATGCTAATGTAGCGGGGGACAAGAGCTGCCAAGCTCGTACCTGTGGAAACGGAGTTGGCGGAAATGTTGGTGCCCAGTTGAGCGAATGCCAGTGTAAATGCAATCATGAAAACACCAAAGCGGTCGGCAGAACTGCCGTCGTCGATGAACTTGCCAAGAAGGAGAACGGGATTCCAGACGTATTCTCCATATATAACCGCAGATGAAGATGATACCAGGATACCATAGAGAGACGTGATGGCAAAGGAGGTCGGGATGATGATTAGTTGTGGCCAGGCAGCGTGGGCAGGCTTGCGAGCGAAGCGCGTAAAGTCGCTCGCGTTGGCAATGAGGGTGGCGAAGTTGCCAATCGACGACATGATGCCCTTGACGATTTCCCAGGCCAAGTCGTTGCCATGGAGGCTGCTGGGCTGCGTGATGATCGGACCGGCGCCCTTGGCGCGAACCAGCGTCCAGATGAGGAACGCGGTGGCGCCGGCCGGCGCGATGAAGGCCTTGGCTGTGAACAGGTGTCGAAGCTTGTGGACCGGAAACCATAGCGCAGGGAGGGACACCAGCCAGAATATGATGAACGAGACGTATTCGGGGATGTTGGTCGCCGACGTGCCAAACGAGCCAGGCATCTTGGCGGCGTCCCACGACGTCCAGATGGAGCGGATCATGACGTACACACATTGGCCGCCGATGTACGCGACGACGCCATACCAAACACATGCTGCGTAAATGTAAGTATCAAGAAAAAGACAAGCTGAAGGCTGGGCGAGATGCGACTTACACATCGCGGCGCGATTGAAGATGGGCCATGAGCTACCCCAGACACCGAAAGAGGCGCGGCTGAGGGCAGGGAAGCTGAGATGGTAGATGGCGCCGATCCGGCCACTGATGACAATGAAGACGGACGAGATGGCGTAGCCGATCCAGACGCACAGCCAAGCCTGCCACCAAGACAGGCCGCCAGCAATCATGGAAGACGAAATCATCCAGGTGCCAATGTTGACGCTGTCGGCGATCCAAAACCCGACATAGTTCCAGCCACCCCATAGTCGGCGCCCCTTCTCGACAGGTTTAAGATCGGGGTTATACAGCTGTAGTGTGAGAAATTGATCAATGATAGATTAGCGAATTGCATCGAGTTGAATGCCTTTGTTGACGCGTGGAGGGCATCCGCACCATGAGCTGGGCTGAAGTCAGCCCTGGCTCCGTCTCGACGGCCAGCTTGTCAGCCCAATACTTGACATGTCCCATCAGCGACATGGCTGCGGGGTTGGGAGGTGTAGAGCGAGGAGTGAGTGGGATTGGGAGGTCTGGAAGAATGAGAGCTCGGTGGTTCTTTATATAAAAGGCAATGCAGAAAGATAAGAGCTGCCATGTATGAGAACAGGGGAGCTAGGTTAGTCTACAGAAACCGGCAGCGGGAGGCTTCCATGAATGTTCAAGGAAGGGCTGGGGTATTTCGATAGACGATGGGCGATATCAAGATTGGGATGGGAGAGAGGGGGCAAGCCTAGTCTATTTATCTACAAATGTATCTAGGTCGGAGACAAAAGACGGAGGAAGATATAGCTCTAGAGTGATGGGACATGGTCGGTCGGTCGGTAGGCTTGACCACGGCGAGGTCCGAAGGGGCTTTCGTCAGCCACTTGGGCGTAAATGGCGTCGAAACGGAATCAACTAGTGCGGCCCGGGGAGCTCTCCAAGTGGCAGGCTCGGGGGCCAAGAATAAAAAAAGTTGCTGAATGGGAAAGACTCGGGATTTATCCAGGATGCGGCAGCTAGATAGCCAGCCAGCCACGGGGCCCTGTTTGGCGCACCAGCATCACATGAGTGGTCGGGCCATATCGAGTGGGTTGACGAGGTCAGCGATGATGATAAGGAGGAAGAAGAAGTGGACTGGATGATTGCGAGTAGGGCGTGAGAGACGGGGACAATGGAGCAACTTGCATTGCGGGATGAGCAAAGTAATAGCTAATTGCGGATTAAAGGATTGACATTGCGGGTGGGCTTCTGGGACTTGGTTGGTAAGGTTTGCGTGCGTGCAGGGGGGCCGACCTCGGAATGCGGAATGTGGTTGAAGCCAAGGACCGGGGCCTGTGATGGGAGGATGCGATTTATCTTCCCCGCATTTTCTGTGATAACGAGATACATACATAGATGCGGATAGTGTGAGCGCTTGCTCAGTGATAAGGATGGATGTTTAATCATGCGTATGAGACAGGGAGAGCTGCGGCACGGCTATCCAGCCTTTGTCCTGAGACTTTTCAAGTCATCGCCTTGGTCATTAATTGTGTGATTTAATGAGATGAGCTGATGCTGGTTTTTATGCATTGGATGTAATACATGACAACCGCGATAATTTGCCGAGAGCGAGCGGGCGCTGTCATGTTAGCTAGTGTAACTGACTGGTACGAATTAGTTGGGCTCGATTTTCTATTACTCGATAGAATCGAGCAACTCGCATGTTAGGGTGGTGGTCACGGCGGTGCCCTACGAGCATGAAGGTGGTGGGTGGGTGGCTTGAGAGCTTGAGTTGACTGGGGGAACAATCAGACAGGGCAAGGCTGCTTGGCTGATCTCTCGTGTGGGTACATTAGTCGGGAAGAGAGAAAAGTTGAATAATGCTTGCTTGCAAAACGCCCCCAAAGGGGGTTTTGTAGGTTGCATGTTGTTTATTGTCATGTACCTTGGTTGGCGGAGTTGGCCGGACTTGTGGCGATGCCATGTGAAGAAGGTGCTGGCCGTTGGTACTCCATGCCATACATACAGTCATACAACATACAGCATGTACTGTAAGTTGGGGTCAAGACCGTGTCTTACTAGGAAGGCAGGGGTCGGCTTCAGCTATGGGAACCTTTTATCGTATCATAACTTGAACTGCTTTCCTCTTCTGCTCTTCAGGCTTGCTTATCTCATGTGCCTTTGCTCGATACGATTTCGAACGCCGACATGAAAGCAACTAATTCTGGTTGCTCGCTCATGGAGTGGAGCGGGGTGGCCTGACTGAGGCTATTAGTTGGTTATCGATTTGGGGCCAACATGCACAACCCAGATCGTTCATTAGCGTGGTTAGCCGCTGGTACTACCTACATAAGTATGTACATACATACATACATACATAGGTGTCTATGAGGTAGGTCTAGGATGAGGTTTTTGTACAGCAAATGGAATTGCGCTGGCAATTGGCGGCTGACAGCTGGCAGCTGGCAGCTGGCGACTGGCAACTTCATGGCAACTGGTAGCAACTGGCAACTGTAACCCCGCCACAAGGAGCTCTCCTGCCCCGCTACCCGCGACCTCACACCAATTAACGCCCCTCCTTTGCCCTCTAACCTTCCAGAAATCTGCGCCTTCTTCTCCATCACCGCCATTCACGCGTCTACTGGTACACAAAAACATTACCGCTTTTTTTTTCTCAACCCTCCTCTTCATGTTGCCATACTCCAGCCATTAGCCAGCTATTCTGCATCAGAAAACGCGGTCCCTTGTGCATTTTCCATTTCTTTTTGCCGGCAACCTATTGCCCTCTCTCTTGTCTGACGCTATAGACCTTGTTTCGCATGCGATAAATACCCCTCCATACCTCGTCTTTTTCCTTACCACGTCCCCCCGCCGCCCGACAACCCCGCCACCTGCCAGCATCAGCCATGGAGGATCAGTTGCTTCAGCTGCTTGCGGCTACCGCCCAGCCTGACCAGAATCAGCGTATGGGCGCCGAGATGGAGCTCAAGAGAGTCCAGACAAGTCCAGCATACTCAGTGTCCCTCGCCAATATTGCCTCGCACACTGCTGTCGACATTGGCACTCGTCAGCTCGCCCTCAGCACCCTCCGCCTCTTCATAGAGAACAATTGGTCCAATGAAGATCCTGGAGCAGACGCCCCCATTCCCATTGCCGATGATACTAGGCAGCTAGTCCGACAGTCCCTCCTTGACTTGGCCCTCAGCTCCGAAGACGATCGCAAAGTCAAGATTGCTGCGAGGTACGCTGAACCAACTAGACGTCGCAACCTTACAACTCCCCTTTGCATGGTTCCGCTGCTAACCCTCTTTTGTAGCTACGCCCTTGGCAAGATTGCGATTCACGACTTCCCTGAACAATGGCCTTCGCTCCTACCCACCGTCCTGTCCGTGTTTCCCAACGGCAACGACTCTCAGTTACATGGTGCTCTTCGCGTGCTCGGCGATCTCGTTGAAGAAAGCTTGACTGAAGATCAGTTCTTTACAATGGCAAGAGATATCGCTATCGCTCTTACTCAGATTGCTACTAGCGAAGACCGGAAACCTCTGATAAGATCCCTGGCCATTTCTGTGTTCCGTGGCTGCTTTGACTTGATGAGTATGGTAAAGGAAGACCATGCCACTGAAGTTACCGCATTTGCCGAAGAACTTCTGAAAGATTGGAACCCATTCTTTCTCAATGTCCTCAAGAGCCGCCTTCCCGAAACCAGCAATCCCGATAATGTTCAGCCGACAGAGTGGAACAGTATCATCTCCCTCAAGCTTCAGGTCGTTAAGACATTGCTTCGCATCCGCCGAGTCTTTCCAAATCTTCTGCTACCGCAAAGCACCACCCTTTTCACTGCTGTTTGGGAAGAACTTCTTGTTCTTCTGCCCAGCTACGAACATCTCTACATCAACAATGATGCCCAAGGCCGCCTCGAAGATGTCGACAGTCTTCCCTACACTCTGGACTTCCTCGTGCTTGAAGAGCTCGACTTTTTGAACCAATGCTTCCGTGCGCCTCCTGTTCAGGCAGAGCTTGATCGACAGCTCAAGGCCCACGCTGCCCATGAAGTTCCTTGGATGGTGGACATTATGAAGCTCCTGGGAGGCTACGCACGTGTTATCCGTGAAGAAGAAGAACTTTGGGACATAGATTGCTCTCTATTCTTGGCGGAAGAGACGTCAGTCACGGCAAACTACACTGCTCGAACTGCAGCGGGAGATCTCCTTATTAAAATGGGAGAATGGTTCAACGACAAAACAATTGACGGGTTATTCGGTTATACAAAGGAACTTTTTCCTAGCAAGGACTGGAGAAGCCAAGAAGCGGCCCTTTACTTGTTCGTCATGTTGGCGAGCGACTTCCAGGACGTTAACAAAGCTATCCCGGAGATTGTCGCTCATGCCTACCTCGAGCTTGTCGACTATGCAATCAACCGAGCGGAAGAGCCGCTTCTTCGTGCTCGTGGCTACCTCGTGGCTGGAATTCTCGGCCGCTCATATAATATCCCTCTCGCCCTTGTTGAACGAATCATCAACTTCAACACCGAAGAATCCGAGGTTGTCCAGGTTGCTTGTGTAAAGGCCATCACCGACCTCATCGAGGCTGGAAAGGTCCCTGTGAATCACCAGCTCCCAATAATTAATGCCATCAAGACATTCATGGAAGCCAGGAATCAATCAGAGATGCAGGATGCCGACGAGTTGCTTGTGACCCTGACCGCTGCCCTTCGTGCTGCCATCGGCCTTAACCACGAAATTACACTGTCGAGCGAAGTTGGATCCGTGGACCTTCTCTTTCTACTCGCCAAACTTGGATCAAACAACTTTCAGGTCACTGTTATCGTTAGCGAGATTTTTGAGGAGCTTTGCATCAGCATGTCTGACCAAGAATCCTTCTCGCGCCTCTCTGCCATTGTTATCCCGAATCTTACTTCTGCATTCGACGCAAATGGCGCAGCATCCGATAGCACTCTTGTCTCTATTGCTATTGAGCTGCTTGACGTTGTGGCTGAGAATGCCCCATGCCCTCTTCCGGAAGGCTTTGTCGCTGCCATCTTGCCCCAGCTCAGCATTTTGTTGATGCAGTCCACTGAAGGTGATATTCTTCGAAATGGATCACGGATTGTCAAGTCGTTGCTTGCAAACGGCCATCAGCAAGTTCTTAGCTGGCATGATGCTGATGGCCGATCTGGTCTCGAGGTCTGCCTTGTCATTGTCGATCGGCTGCTTGGTCCCAGCATTGAAGATAACTCTGCGTCTGAAGTCGGCGGTCTTGCGGCTGAGATTGTAGAAAAAGCCGGCCAAGAACGCCTAGGACCTTTCCTTCTACAGTTACTACAAGCCGTTGCCAACCGCCTGGCTGTTGCTCAGGCTGCCGCTATAATTCAGTCTCTGATCCTCGTCTTTGCACGTCTATCTCTGAACGGTGCTCAGGATGTCGTTGAGTTCCTAAGCCAGATCCAGATAAACCCCAATGAGAATGGCCTTCAAGTTGTCATGTCCAAGTGGCTGGAAAACTCTGTCAGTTTTGCTGGCTATGATGAAATCCGCCAAAAGTAAGTCCTTCTCTGTTTGCTGCACTTACCGGCAATCTCTGACAACCAAACTATAGTGTTATTGCCCTTTCTAAGCTGTTTGCGCTGAATGACAGCCGTCTGAAGAATATTATTGTGAAGGGTGATTTGGTCGTAGACGACGACGGGATGATTAAGACACGCTCGCGCTCTAAGCAACGTAAGTGTGTTTTCAACTAGCAGACTTGAGCAGCTACTAACAAGTATGTACAGGCCCTGACCAATATTCCCCTGTCCCTGCACAACTCAAGATCGTCAAGGTCCTGATTGAGGAGCTCTTATCTGCCTCTGGAGTCCGTTCCGCTGCCAACCTTGCAGCAGCAGCCGTGGCTGGTTCAAATGAGCTCGATGAGGACGACGGCGAAGACGGCTGGGAAGACGACGAGACTCTCGACATGACTCTCAACGCCGTTAAGGGCGACTTGATGTCCTATATGGACAATGGTGGCCAGCGTCAGCCCGATGACGAGACGCAGGCTTATCTCACAGATTTCTTTATCCGTGCTTCCCAAGAGAATATTGGCGATTTCAACCACTGGTACCCGCAACTCCAGGAGGCTGAACGACAGAAGCTGAGTGAGCTGGCCCACTCGGTGGCACAGTAGAGTGAGTGCCCAAAAATTGCTGTCGCCGCTCTCCCGGTCTCACGGGTGCCAATTCTTCAACACTCTGTCATGGGATCTGGGGGCCAGCGCGCTAAGTTTGGAAGATATATGCGTTGTGATCTCATTTGGTGAGATGGAAGGGAAACATTCGAGGCATTGACGTCATAAATACAGAGGGAAGAAGGTGTTGATGGGAGCAGAATATTCTTTTTCCGCCTTGGAATTTGGTGCCGTTGAAACATGTCTATGTATATGGCGGCAGATAATGGAGTGCAGTTTTCCCGAAGTGCGAGAAACTTTAATACACCATCTTTACTGCCGAGAAAATTCAACGAGGTAGCCATATATTTTGAAAGTGATTAGCAAATTCGTTTGCTAGCTATTGTTGAACTGAACATTCGTAAACGTGTTAAATTTCAGCGCAAGGCACGACTTTTGAAAGCGGCCTCCGTATGTCATATTATCATTAATTCGTACACGAACTTTTCTCTCTCGGCATTTTAAGGCAGCCCTAGTCATACAAGAATTCCTGTTCTCCCCCTCTTCTCGTTATTTTGTTTCAGTTTTCTCCTGTTAGATGATACCACCACCACCTCCGAACGGATGACCGCCTTGGCCACTACCCGGCCCAGGGAAGCGAGGCCCGCCACCGGGACCAAGGGGGTCATACCGCGCCCCGGGAGGCACCTGGGGATCGAACTCGCCGCCGGAGCCCCTGCCCGGGCCGGTGCGGCCCCCCTGCCCGGCGAAGAGGGGGTCGTCAAAGGTAGGGTGCATGCCGCCGAAGCCACCACCCCCACCGCCGCCACCGCCGAAGGGAAGGCCGGAACTGCGGAGGGGGTCGTGCGGCCCGAGACCGGGCGGGTGCAGGTCGTCGTGGCCGATGTTGAACGGGGAGCGGCCGCTGCCGCCGGGCATGACGAGACCTCCTGCGCCGACGGCCGGTGGGCGGTTGAGGTCGTACTCGTCGTCGAAGCCGGGAGGCATGAACTCGCCGCTGGGGGCTGCGGGGCGTCGGGGCCGCGCCGACTCGGGCAGCTCGTCCGGTCGCGGGAGGGGCACGTCTGCTCCCGAGGAGGGCTGGTCGCCGCCAAACGGCCGGTTCGGGTCCCGCATCTCCTGCTGGAAGCGCTCTTCGCGCAACGTGCGCACCTGCTCCCGCTCCTCCGCCTGCTCCTCGGTGGCACCGGCAGCGGGGACGTCGCCGAGCAGGGGCTGGACAATCTTGGTGCGGACGTCCGTGAGGAGGCTCGCGACGGCGGCGTCGGAGACGAAGACGCGACGCAGCTTGTCGACGAGGTCTCGGCGGTCACCGGTGTCCTTGCCGTCGGCATCGAGGGTGATGCGCAGGGGTAGGGCGCTGGACTGGACGACGTCGCGGGCGGCGACGTCGAAGCGGTGGATGGCGTTGCTGTCAGAGGACGAGGGGGAGGAGGTGGTGCCGCGGATCTCGACTCTGGCGCCCATCTTATCGACGCGGAAGATGTGGGTGGTCTTGTCGTCCTGCTGCTGCGCGTGGGTGTAGACGAAGCTGAGCGAGCCGAAGCCGGCGTTCCAGGCGGCGGGGAGGCGAGGCGCGAGGGACTGGCACTCGGCTGCGTTGCCGTTGTTAGCAAGACGATTGATGAACGGGCGAGGGGAAAGTTGAGCGCTGGTGATTGGGAGGGGTCTGGCGGGCGTACCTAGTGGTCTGCCCTCGTGCAGGCCGATGAGGGTGAAGCCGAGAGATGTGAGGTACGAGTGGAGGAGTAGGCCGATGGCCTCGTAGGAGCTGGCCAGGTCGGACGAGTCGTCGCCCTGCGGGTGCGTGGGCAGAGCCCTAGCCATGCCCTCGAAGGCGGCCGTCGTTGTGAGGTCCGACATGATTTGCGTAGCAGAAGAGAGTTGCGATGGCGCAGGACGGGTTCTTTTTGGGTGACTGCTCTGGCTGGGCTGGTTGTGGCGCGAGGCTCGCTCAGCGGGGTAAGGAGGAGTAGGAGCTTTTGATGGGTGACTGTGTTGTTCGTCGGAGGAGAAGTGTTGGGCGGGATGAAGATTCGTTAGAAAGGCGTTGAATGGCGCCAGTAAAGAGATGGAAGCTTGATGGGGATGGAGGGGCGAACGGTGAAGTGGTTAACTTTATAATGCTCTGGGCTGGCTGGATTGAGGCCTCGTCATATCTTTTGCTGCCTTCCCTTCAGCCCTATATGTGGAGTTGGCAGTTGTCGAGCGCAAAGATGTTGCAAGTAGGGGCATCAAGTGGCATGCTAACAGAGCTTCCAAGGACTTGATTAAGTGCTTAAAAAAGAGTAAAATACTTTAATCAGGCTTTAAATAGTTATAAAACGAGGCCGCATATTCAGTGATGTGGTACGTGACAAAGAGATGCATAAAATGAACCCTCATCAAGCAAGCTCCCACACTTGCCCACGACGAGGCTGTGTGCGATAACTAACTACCTGGTGACGTTGGTTCTCTGTCCGGGCTGTAGCTAGGCTGCCTCGTGCTTACGTTGCAACTTGCGTTCTCCTGTGCAACTTTGATAGAAGCTTGCTAGAATTGGCTTAGATACGACAACCTAAAGAAGAATTAGACACGGCGTGCCTACTATACCGCAGAGTCAAGGCGGACGGAGCCAATCAATGTGGAAATCCATTAGCGTCTAGCCAGCGGAGGCCGCCGCTGCCTGCAACCAATTCAATAGAGGATGTTCCTGGCACCCAAACATCTTGCAGAGGGGTAGGCAGCCAGAAAAGCGCCAACTTATCAGCCTTCCAAGGCCAGCTTTGTGTTGGGCCATTAAAGATAATGCTGGTATTCTTGCCAGGAAGCGATAATCAGCCACGTAATAAGTTTTTACCTATTTCATGCGGAGCGGAGTAGAGAGACACCGGTTCCCGCGCTTCCCCGAGAGCGGAGGGCTGATGCCGCAAACCCGACCCACCTGCTCCGCGCGGCACAACTGCAATAAGATGTGGACTTGGGCCGAGCTGACTCCCTCTCTCTCCTCAACGAGAATGTAGGTCATTGTCTCTTCCTTGACCCAACTGCGAATTTTGGCATCTTCTTTGACCTACCACAGACAGAGTCAACAGCCATTTATCATGAGCACCACTATTGTCGTTGTCGGGTGAGAGAGAGTTCCCCAACTCCAGTCTGACCGCCGCAGAAACCACGTCACTAACCGCCAGTCATCCCATCCAGCGGTGGCGTCTCCGGCCTCACGTCGGCGTATCTACTGTCCAAGAGCAACGGCAACACAGTCACCCTCGTGGCCAAGCACATGCCTGGCGACTACGACATCGAGTACGCGTCGCCCGTCGCGGGCGCCAACGTCATGCCGTGCGTTTGTCCCTCCCTCTCCTCCCGTCCTACTCTGATCGAGGCACGCATGCATTGCATCTCTGCTGACACTGCTTCTCCCGCTCACAGCATGAGCTCAGACGCCAACAGCAGATGGGAGCGTCGCACATGGCCCGAGTTTGAGTGGCTCTGCAGAAACGTTCCAGAAGCCGGCTTCCACTTCAAGAGTACGTAGCGCGCATCAACAACCCAAGCATATATCACAACCCGTCACAAGGAGAGCCACAAGATTTGTTTGCCCCTCGATACACAATCTCGCGCACAAGGCACAACCTGGCCCTGTCGTAGCTCCTGTTCCCTTCATTGCCACGTGGCAATCTACCACATCGTCCTACGTTACGCTGACAACGTCTCCTCCTCGTTTCATCCTCACCGACAGACACTCTCGTGTACCGCAAGCACAAGGACCTGGACCAAGCAACGGCCTCCATGCCCATGGATCCGCTCTTCGACCGTGACCCGTGGTACCGGCACCTGATGCCCGACTACCGCGAGCTCACGGCCGACGAGCTCCCGCCCGGCCAGGACAGCGGGTGCAGCTTCACCAGCGTGTGCATGAACACGCCCGTGTACCTGTCCTGGCTCGTCGGGCAGTGTCTCCGCAACGGCGTCGTCTTCCGGCGCGCCGTGCTCTCCGAGCTGACCGAGGCAGCGCGCCTCTCCCACGCCGGCCGCCCCGCCGACATCGTCGTCAACGCGACCGGCCTCGGCGCGCTGAAGCTCGGCGGCGTGCGCGACGCAGCGATGGCGCCGGCGCGCGGCCAGATCGTGCTCGTGCGCAACGACGGCCCCGCGATGGTCGCCACCTCGGGCGTCGACGATGGCAGCGGGGAGGTGCTCTACGCGATGCAGCGCGCGGCCGGCGGCGGCACCATACTCGGCGGCACCTACGACATCGGCAACTGGGAGTCGCAGCCGTGCCCGAACATTGCGGCGCGCGTCATGGACCGCATCGTGCGCCTCGACCCGGCGCTCGCCGGCGGCAGGGGCGTCGCCGGCCTGGACGTGATCCGCCACGCGGTCGGGCTGCGGCCGTACCGTGCGGGCGGCGTGCGTATCGAGCGCGAGACGCTGCGCGATGCGGCAGGGGGAGGGAGCGTGGAGGTGGTGCACAACTACGGCCATGCTGGCTGGGGATACCAGGGCTCGTTTGGGTGCGCGGAGAGGGTCGTCGAGCTGGTGAACGAGATCCGCGCGGCGAGGGGCGAGGACCTCTCCAACGAGCCGAGGCTGTTCAACCATGAGGCGGCGCCGACCTCGAAGCTGTGAGCAGATGCGCGCAGGCCGACGAATAGTTCTGAATATACAGGATGCTACCCATGTTCGGGCATAATAGTTGGACCCTTTCCGCGAGATTCCAGTATTAGTGAGTTGACAGGGAGATCACGTTCAGCAACCTCGGAGACGTGTGCGAGGAGATGGGGGTATCTGCCACGGGGCAACCCCTGTCGCATCCATCGCATTTACACAGGGCTCAGAGACATGGGGTAGCCGAAATAGAATTATGAAGAAGAAAAGAGAGACCGGACCAACACGCCCTTGCGGGCGCGCAGCTGACCTCAGTAGGGGTTGACCGCCCGATCACCGTGAAGCCTCAGCCGACCGGAGAAGCCCGGTAATCCACAAGCCGAGGATGCCACGGAGAATTTGACTGGGAGCCGCCGTTCTACAGCTTCTGATGAGTACAATGCTCATCCTGCTCTCCACCACTTGTCTCAACGTCCCTTGGGCGGCCCGTCATCTGTTCATGCGACCAGCCAGTGTAGGGCACGAGGATAGATAAGTGTCACGAGGTCTACTGCCAGGCCATGCATGGTACATAATTGTAGGAGCTGATGGGTGGCCCGTGAGTATGGTGAACGGAAGCGTGTTTGCGAGTTGGGTGTTCTGGTGCTGTGTTGAACATAAGAAGGGCTATGGAGAATTTGTGTCAACAAATAAGTGTTCTTTTAGAATTTAACAATGCAAGTTTAGATCGAGCTTCTGGGGACTACCAGGTTTTCATCCTCGAATAGTATTTGCGATCAAGGTTATGGTCCGCCTTGCGGTCTTGAAGACGCTGGGTGCTGTACTACCGCTGGAGGCGGTGTGTCAAAAGAACGCGTGCAGATCCCACATCATGACCTTCATCTTTGCCTATTAATTTTTAGCAAGACAATTGTCTTAGCAGTCAATTTTTGCTAGCAAGGGCCGTAGTCTCGTTCAAGGCCACAGTCTTCCCCAGGAAGAGGCTGTTTATGACCTCGGGGGTCGGGGACCTCGTCTCCGAAATGGGCTCCAGTAGGATGACCAGTCAAACGACTTGTCAAAATTGTTTCAAATTAGCAACGGCAAGCTGAAACCAAATCATCGGCTAAAAAAGTTTTTTGCTTAGCGGTAAGCCTCTCTCTGGTGTTGGCTGGCCATCTTTCCTCGAAAACTATTGTGCGTAGAGCCATTGATTGAAAAACGCATTTTTGCAACAGAGAATTGCATGTTTGCGATGCACGTAGGTACATAAAATGTTTGCGATGAGGCGCTTATCATCTGTCTGCTTCTGGAACCGTAGTAGACATGACTTTAAGAGGGACATCTGTGATCTGCCACAGTCAGGTGCTGCTTCTACATCGTGATTTAGCCTCACGCGAGTCTGGGCGACGGATTGCTTCATGATAATAAAGCAAGCACCAAAGCAGCGAGGCGAAACATACCTTCGCCCAAAACTGTAATTTCAAGACCCTGTCAGTGTGATGATCTAGTTCCGCACGATCCGTCAAGTCAATCTTGGATCGCCCTCAGCTGGGCCTGGGTTGTCCTTCATCTCCCGTGCATCTGAGGATTGGATGAGAGCGACTGGGCGGCGCCGGCTCACCGAACCGACCGCGCGGGGTTGAGAGCGGCATGCCAATTTCGGGCTCCCATTTGCAAGAAGCACGGCTCTCCCGCGTTCTGTATGTAACCGCGCGACGGGGACCGGGGCCAGTACAACTGAGTTTGGCCAGATTTTGGTCGAAAATTGGAGAAATACGAGAGCCGATGCGGGTCTCAGGCTACGCGCCGTTTTGCTGATTTATACGGGACAGTCGAGACCACAGCTAAAAGAGGAAACGAGGCGGCGCCATGGCTCGATGTGGTCGAAGTGCTATCCTGCATCGAGATTGGCTGGGGAGCAAGTCGACAACTTGTTTCGCAAGAACCGGCAATGATGCGCGGAGTTGAACCAGCCAGTTGGCGATGGGGAGAGACAGGCACACAGGCTGGCCGGCTGCTGACATCGGAACAATGGGCAAGCGACGACCCCAACTAGCGGGAAGCCACAGTGCGTGAGAAGCAGGTTACAAGACCACAAAGAGACTGCGAGTCTGCAGCAGTGTTTCAAGTTTTGGGCGGGCTGGTAGAGAGACGATGACGGAAGCTGGAAGAGGACGTGGAAAGAGAGTTATAGAGGGTGCATGACGGCGTGGCGTGGCTGGGGGGAGCTGACGGGTCTCGAGTCGAAACCATGGAAGAGGAGACAACGTCGTGGTTTGACGCTTGACTCGGCAGCTGCGGATGGCCTGTGGCGAATTCAATCAAGCTCCCCGCTTCGAAGTCTTTTTAACACTCAGCAGACCGACCGCGTGGCCGGCAGTAGACAAGGTTCGACGGCGCAGACGGGTTCGTCGGGGTCGTCGGGTCTAGACAACGGCCGCGAGGCGTGCTGTGGTCCGTACTCCGTCCGCGAAATTCAACCTTGTTCGGCTTCCATGGTCACTGTGGCCAGGGAGCACCGCATTCGGATTTAACCTTCTTGGCAAGCGCCAATGAGACAGATGCAATAAGTGACAAGTAGTATCATGCAGCGCATCGGGAGGTGGTCATGTTGGGGCATGCTGTAAAAGCAATATTTGGCTGGTATTTGGCGCCCTTATTATTAGTATGATGCGGTGCTGGTGTGACTTGGTGGGAGGGAGGGCGAGATTAAGGCTGCTAACAAGTAGTTATTACGAAGAGCCGGCCAGCACCAGGCTTGATGTCGCGGCGGGGGCGGGCCGACAAAAGTAATAATGGCGACGAAAGCGGTGCTGTAGCTTAGTTGGATCTGTCATTATGATGTCTATGATCAGACAGAGGCCTGCAAGTGCGGGAATGACGAGATGAATGGTTCGCGGTAGCCTGTAGCAGGGCAGGCGATGCCCAGCACCGTGCCTTGTCGTCGTTGCTGTCCAAGCTGCGTTACGACACTGGACAAGCTGCGTGGCCGATGCAACACACCACTAGTTAGAAAGTTAGTAACGCGCCCAACGTGGTGCGCTTGCCGTATGTACAAATGCAGCTTGGTCGTCGTCTCAAAATGGGCAGCGGTGCCAGGTTAGCGAAAGGCGACCGTGCGGTGATGAAACCAGATATCTTGCTGGTTGAAGGTGAGATGTGACGGGATGAGGGCTAGGCTGGAGCTGCTTGGTGAACCACGCTGAACCACTGTCGGCCGATGCACCAGCCACGGGGAATTGTCAAACGATTATCGAGGATCCTGTGCTTGACAAGCCACTTTCACTTTCATCCGCCACCGGCGATTGGGCATGAATTTGCCATGACATGGTGGCACCGGCCGGCATGAAAAGCACCAGACAGAGTTTTTCTCTCTGATTGATGCGGGTGGGTATCAATGGCTGTAGCCAGTAACAACGCCCGGTTACCCGTAACTCGTCTTGTTCTCTGCCATTTGCCTCTGCTTTGCTCTGCTTTGCTCTGCTTTGCTCTGCTTTGCTCTGCTTGGTCGAAAGCTTTCTTATAAGCTGCTGCCGCTTTGTCCCACCGTACCCATGTTGGCGGTGGGAGGCGGGCCGGATTCTATTTGAAGCTGCTGGCTGTTGAGCGTCGACGACAGTGACTGGCTGACTGGCTGACTGGCTGACTGGTTCATCCCGAGGATAGGAGCCTTGCACTTTACTTTTAGGCCCCGGTACAGGTACGAGGAGGCGTCTTCCTGGTCGCCGCCCGGTTGACTAGGAAGGTGCATGACAGATGCAGGAGGATTTGCAGGTGTGCGTTTGTGCCGTTGTGCAAGTTGTGCAGCCCGTGGCCTTGTCGGCGGTGGGCAAATGCTGATGGAACCGGTAAACTGAGGAGTTGATCAGGTACAGTACAGAATCAGCGATGCTTTGCTTGTCCAACGCTGGCTTGGTTGTGCTGTGTCGTGTTTTGCTTGCCTGCCTGCCTGCCTGCCTGCCTGCCTGTCTGCATTGTCTTCCTTGAGTGGTGCGTCCTTGTGGAAAATCATCGTGTTGCAGCGGGTCGCACAAAATTTACCCGCCAAGCCACAGACAGGGCAGGGCAGTCAAGCCATTCAAACCACTCACCACCTTAATTAAAGCCGTGCAGATGGACAGCCGACAACAGCATCGTCAGAGAGATGTTGTTGTGTGTTTTGAGTGTGTTTGGTGCATTTCGCGCATTTTTCGATTAAAATTAGCACGCAATGTTTCCATCAGCACCTAGGAGGCTTCTTGGCCAGCTTCCAAGTTTCCCGCCAAGGCCCAAGTCAGTTCCCCCCAGGTGGTTGGTTGACTTTCCTTGCCATCCGTACACTTTGCTGCTTTGTCCGCCCTGGCCCTGCTGGAGCATGTCCCTCTTGCCCCCAATTTTTAGCGCACGCCCGGTGAAGACACCCCCGTAACGGAGCATTTTTAGTGCACCCCTCCAGCCACTCCCCGTCTCCTTTGTCCTTGCGCTGTTTCTGTGTTGCTCTCTTTCAGTCTAATCATGTACATATGTATGTACCTATGTATCCTCCAAGGAGGAATGGCCCTCATTTTCAATCGCGTTGGATCCCGCACCGCCTTGTTCCAGGCTTTTTCCGGGGCATGTATGTACATGGTTTTATTAGTCCACCACCTCAGCGAACAGGTACCTTTTTAGAGGCACCAGCTCGGGGCGCTGGCCGCTTCCACTGCAACTGGAACTTCCCTGTCCCGCTGCACCTCGTCCCTCTTTCAGCATATCGGCCTTCTGACCTTGGCAACTTGGCACCACCGCCACAATCCATCTCGCTGCCTCACCCATCCCCTCGCAGCATACGCCCGGCGATCCCTCCTCTTTTTCCCCTTGACATCTAATTCCCCAATCTTCTTGACTGTCAACCGTCATACTATTTCTTTTCTTCCTATTTTCGTCGTCTTCTTATTCTCAAATCTGGCGTAGCCTTTGTTGCTTTTCCTTTTACTCCAGCCTCAGATCTACCTATTGTCACCACATTCTGCTCCGGCTGATCATCCAGTTAGCGCCTGCCCAACTCATTCTGTCGGTAGAAGCCGATCCTGAGCCTCGCATTAAACCCCCGTTGCATTCCAGCGCGCCGCGCTCTCAACCACTTCAACCAACGTTTCGTCCCGGTTACAACCTTCTCATTCATTTGCTACTCGATACTCTCTCCGCTTGCGACGTTCAGCCCAGACTCGACCTCCCGACTCCCGACCCGCGGCAATCATTCAGTCTACGCTATCGCAATTGTTCGGCTCGCCTTCAGTCTGGCGATTTTTGCATCATAGTCGTCTCGGGATCGAATGACTCTTGGGCTGTTGCTCCGCTGATACCATACTCCGACAATGCCCCAACGAGCTTCCGCGAACACAGCTACATTTACTTACGATATATTCGTCACTTCACCAGGGCATTAGCATCGCAGTCTTCATACGCCGCACTGCCTTACAATGGCCCTCTGGCCGTTCCGCCGGAAGACGGTGCACTCACCGACGCGCACCTCTCACCTCGACGATATCGAAGACTCCCCAACGCGTCGCCATGGAACTTCCCCTCGTCGCACTGACGGCCGCAACAATCGCGCCAGCGCTCCCGTCCCCAGAGCTAGCGTTCGCAAGAAACAGCGCCCTGAGCCCAACAAGCTCCAGAGACGCGTCAGGAACTACAGTTTCTCACCAAACCGCCGCGAAATTATCCAAGTCGATCCCAGAAGCCGACCCCAGCAATATCAACACGATCAATGCGATTCCCCTTGGACCCGTGCTCCAACCTTGTATCTGAAGCGAGACCCCCGACACCCGCCCGTTGCAAGGCGGAAGAGTAGCAAGCGTCGCCATGAAGACCATGAGCGAGAGGCGGAAATCAAGGCAATGAGCTACTACATGCCTAGCCTCCCCGCCGATCGCCCGCTGCATGGCGGTGGCAAGTACAGCATCAAGAGGAGCAAAACCACCCGGCATTCCGACCAGTCGGGCAAGAGAAACTCAGATGTTTCGCTACCCTTACCGGACTCCTTACAGTCCAGCCTGTCTGGAGACTCCGACATGACCTCGTATCAGGTGTCCATTTTTGACTCGCTTGCCCCCCGCCCAACCCTTCGCTATGGTACTGGCATAAAACGTACCTCCTCACGCGCTTCCGCGTCGGCGCATCCAGTATCGCCCAAGGGACTGCTCTCAGGAGGGAATGCCATATCGGAGGAAGTCATGCACCCGCGTAAGCGCATTGACGACTTGGCTGACGACTTGGACGCCAAGGCTCTCCGTGAGCTCATGGACAGAGACACCAAGAGACGCCAGCGCGCACGTACTCGAGAGCAGGCTAAAATCGAGAAGAAGATTGCCGACGCAGCGGAGCGCCACAGGCAAGAAGCAGATGACGCAAGGAAGTCTGGGTCACCCTCCCCTTCCAACATGGAGCGTGGCGTAATAGGCCGTGAGCTTATCGGCTTGGGTCTGGATCCTGCCTCCACGGTCGTCACTTCCTCGCGTCAGCGTACCTCCCAGTCATCAGAGCCCACTACAGCCAATGAAACGCAGGCCCCCCTGCAGGTATTTCATCGCGTTGATACTCTTCCCAACGAAGACGCCGACCGTGACACCGAGGCGTCATCTGGACGTCCTGCGGCTCAATCCATCGACCAGCAGGAGTCTGGCGTAGCTGCGCCCCCAGTATCACGCCTCTCGGGCTTGTTGAGAACAAAAAAGTCGCGCTCAAAATCTACACTCGCTTCTGATAAAGACAAGCTCGCTGTTCCCAACGATGGGGAGTTTGCGCGAAAGGGCTCCGAAGCGAGCATGGGCAAAGGTGCTCGTCTGTCTATTTCCTCTTTACTGAAATGGAATAGCAGGAACAAGCGTGGCTCTGGCCCCTCGTCATTCTCCAACACGTCCAGAGAAGAGATGCAGGCCGTGGCCTCGGCGCAAGCGCAAGCGCAAGCCGAAGCACTCGCTAAACTGCAAGGAGATGATCTCCGCAGTGGCTCTGCCGATAATCTGCGAAGCGGCAGTTCATTATCTGGTAATTACGTTGCAGGCAAACTTAGCGCGGCCCCGAAGCGCACGCGCTCACGCTTCCGTGAAGATCTCGACGACTTCCCAACGCCGCCTGACTCACGCGTACAGTCACCAGATGCTGAGCCTCCTATGCCCAGTATTGCCGACTCAAATCATGGTCACGGCACACAGCCTATACCGATCCCCGGTCATGGAATGCCGTCTGCTTTTGCACAGCGTTCCGTTGAGAAACTGCGTGAGAGAGCCTTGACCGGAGGCTCGGGGAGCTACACCGCACCCTCACCGGACCAGAATCTGTCCATGTCTCTGGCATCGATTGATTCTGAGGGCTCCTGGCTGTCCGGTGGCGCTGGCATCCGCCGATCTGGCGCTATTAGAGATAGCCTCTTACGTGCCAATCGTCAAGCGCAGCGTGACAGCTCCCCCGCTCCGAGTCTCGACGAGGATCTGGGCATCATTGAGGATGAGTACATGACGCGCCTCACCCCCACTCACCAATCTCACGGAGTTCCTAAGAGGCGCTCAGAGGAAGGTCGTCCCAGCAGTGACGAGGACGAAGGGGAGTTGAAATGGGGTGCAGTTGGTGCTCGCCCACAGTTTATCCACCGCGTTAACCGTGGGACGGTGCACAGTCAGCAAGCGCTGGTCAATATTGATTCCGCTGACGAGGAAAGCATTATTGAGGCCTCGACATAGAGGCATCAAACGCAGACTGAGAGTGTCTTTGGCGGGAAACGGCAGCTCTGTTGAACACTAGTTGCAAAGAGATGTGAAACCATTCTGGACATATATCATTTCCTTTGTCTATCACAATACCAATCTTGGAAACCAGCCCAAAAAAACCAGGAAAATCAACAATCAACAATCGACCAAAAAAACAAGACGGAAAATCGAGACCCAAAAAAGAAAAAAAAAACAGAAAACAGCAAAATATCCAGAATGGTCCCCTCTTTCAGCGTGTCAGCCTTCGGCGCGGCATTACCACCCAACTCACCCTTGGTTGGTTATAGTAGGCCTCCCTCGTTTGGAGACCGAAATTACCTCTCAGATTTTTTTTCTCGCCTTGCTGCCTTTCTGTTGCTTTCGTGTATACATGATACCCGCTACCTGACAGAGGCGCAACGGGCCACGATTTGCTTTGTGCTGCATGAAGTATTTGTGCTGTGCGCATCGGGCAGGAGCTATTTATGTTAATTTTTTTTTTTTGCTTTCTATGGAGTTTATTATATGGCATAGCCTGGCTGTTTATTTATGAATAGCTCTTTGGATTCTTGGGGGTTTCGTTGGATGTAGAGTTGGTGAAAAGAGCTTAGGCTAGCTGGATACAAGGAAGGGTCTGGGTTCACTGCACATGGATGTTGCTGTTTGGCCCCGAGGAGCATTTTGTTTCTATATAGTCTACATACATATGCAGCCACTCTTGGGCTGCTATTTTTTGTGAAAGGAGTTTTGCGCTTATTTTTTGGTTGCTATTTCTGGCATACCGAGGGCAAATATATACCGATGTTTATCTATACAGGCTCTAGTGTAGCTTTGCGCCATTTCTCCCAGCTTGCAGGAGTGATATGACATGTTTTGAAAGTAGTAAAGAGCTTCTTGAAAACTGAATTTTGCGTGATAGCCGGAGAACGGGTTGCCGGCAGTGGATTCAGTTGTCAGTTGTGCTGCGGAGATATAAAATGTATTATTACGATGAATTACAGCGCCCTCCATCACTTGGGGGAAAAAGCGGCCTCCGTAGTGGCTGAGTTGATGGTCAACTTGTGTCAAGTGGCGAGTCGCCGATGCGGGGTTGCGAGGATCAACAAAGCGTCCGGTACACCGGAGAATTAAAAGGGTAGGTGCGCACGGCAGCAAATATTGGGTTCGGTATTGACAGCCACGTTCTTACAGAGACAAGGAGGAGGCTATGATGAGAGTCCGACTCCCGTATCCAACCGCCATGGAGAAAGTCGGGATTCTACATCATGTAGGATGTCAACCACCAACGTCATATCAGAGGGGAAAGAAGCAGGAGGGCGCCTGGGGTCGGCTCCAATTTTTGGCCACATGAGCCCAAGACTTTTAGGCTTGTCGACTGACAGGCATCTTACTATTTCCCGCTGGGCTGGCAACTAAGCTATTTTTTCATGTGTGAAGTGATGAGGCGCCCTGGGCCTATGACAACCCCGCCATTAGCACGCATTACCTTTTGAATGTGGGTGGGAAATAGGGCCCGCTGTGCTGCTTCGTGCCCCCCCCGGCTTTTACCGACTAACCCGGATGGGCGGCTGCCGTTTTTGCATTCCTCCCTCGTAAAACCTCAACACAACGAACGATCACTGCGCAACAGCGTCGCTATCCGAAAAGAAAGCGAATAAATTATTGCGCTGCAGAGAAGCGAGCGCAACGCTGTAATTTGTTGCTACCCCTCGTCGCCGCCGCCGCCGCCGCCGCCGCCACGATCGCCTTGCGGAAAGCAAACGGCCCGAGGAGACACGAAGCACACGACATCAAAGCGATCAACCACATCCCGCGACAACGCCGCGGCAAACGGGCGGCGTGCGACAAGAGCAACCTCATCCATCTCGCCGCAAGTCGCTTCCTCTACTATCGAGAGGCTTGATACCGCAGCGTGGGTGAAGCGCGCCCGACGACTGCGAGGTCAACATCCAAACACCAAATCAATCCCGCCCCGCCTGGCAACACCACACATCTCTCTTCCTTCCACCATGCCTTCGCAACGCCCCTACTTCCTCTCATCCTTCATCGCCGCTTTTCGCCAGCAGCCCACGCCGTCCGCCTCCAGCCAGGGCAGCGCCGGCAAGCAGCAGCACAGCACATCGTCGGCATCAAGCCCCGCTCAGCAGCAGCAGCAGCAGCAGCAGCAGCAGCAGCAGCAGCAGCAAGCGTCGTCGTCGTCGTCGTCGTCGTCGTCGTCATCACCCGGCCCGACGACCAGCGCCATCGCCGCCGCCGCAGCTGCTGCCGAGCGACTCGAGCAGCGAGGGCTTTCGCGACGTGCTCGGCGCGGACAAGTGGTACATTGGCGGGCGCACCGCCACGGGCGAGGAGCGCTTCTTCAAGCTCGGCGTGGTCCGCCGCGTGCGCAGCAACGACGGCCTAAGCCTGGACCGGCTGAGCCTGTAGCAGCGCGCCAGAAAGAAGAAAAAAAAGAAAGGAAAAAGAGTCGATGTGAATCATGGAATTATGGCAAGGAGACGGGGATCAAAACTGGAAACAATATAAAAATATTGCTTACTTCTCTGGGAACTGAAAGTCCTTGGCAAGATATCGAGGCAGGCAAGTCTTTTTGCTGACTGGACATGCACGGGTCTCTTCTCTCGCGCTCTTCTTTCACGGCGTTTTGGCATGGCGTTTTTTACTTGACGATTTATGAACTCTACCTTTTTTCTCTGTCTGGATATATATATATATACAGATGAGGCGACGCATAGTCATTCACTTGGCCCTCTCAAGCTCAATAGCTCAAGCACACTTTACAAGTTTACACATCTCTCTTGAAAAGTCACTACGATTACATGTTAAAAACAACTGTAGATGCAACTACCACATGAACCGCTGCAGGTTGCCCCCCTCCAGCACGGTCCCGTCCTCGGCCCGCCACACGTACGGCTTGTACAAGAATATGTATCCCGTCGCGAGGTTGATGGCCATGTGCCAGGCGCTCTCCAGGAACAGCCGCAGGTCGTAGGTGCTGCTCCAGTGCGCCACCGCCTCGGCCGCGGCGCTGCCCTCCAAGATCCCGCCGCGTAGGTGGTCCTTGAGCCGCCACGCGGGCACCATGAGCCGCCACATCACCCACGGGAGGATGAAGTAGCGCGGCTCGACCAGTGGTGCTGTGATAAGCGACAGCGCCGTCGCGAGCAGGAAGACGAGGCCCGTGGACGAGGACACGGACGTTTTCGACAGGTACAGGCTGTCCTGCTCGAGGCGCGCCTTGAGCTCGGCCTCGCTGGCCTTGCGGCTCTCCGCCGTGGACGAGGCTTCCGGGAACCGCGGGTACGGGGTGCTGGTCTGCCGCCTGACCTTGGCGGAGGACGGCGTCCAGAACGGGTGGCTGACAAAGGCTGTCGGCTGCTCCTCGCCCGACCAGCCATTGTGACCGCCGAGCGCATCCCAGACGGCCCAGCGGCAGAGCGTGTAGGGGAGCACAAGGGCGAGGCGGAGGGCGGCGCCCCGGCGGATCGTGTAGCGAAATACGTAGAACATGTAATGCCGGTTGTCGGCGAGCGTGAACGGGTGGATGACGGTGTTGAATCGAACGACGGCGAGGGAGAGAACAGTCGTGGCAGCCAAGTACACTGGCCAGAGGACCTTGGATTGGAAGAAGTGGGTTACAGCGCCGAGAAGGCCTCTGCTGGGTTCGACTGGTCGCGCAGGACTGCTGGCAGGCATTTTGAAATAGGAAACGACCATGTTGAGGAAAGACAGGCCGGAAGGGAGGAGAAGAGGGAGCGAGAAGAAGGCGAAGAAGGCCCAGATATACAGCATCTGTGCGAGATGAATCGTGGCAACGTGGTTGGATTTGTCGCCGAGCACGACACTGCCATTCCACTGCACAAAGGCGGCAAAGGAACCGAGCGTGGCGATGTATGGCCAAACCTGTCTGACAACCCGTAGTGGGTTGCAGATGGCTGCAATCCCGATACTTAGAGCAGTAAATATCATGTCTGCACCTGTTAGGCTTAGGATTTTCTAGTTCACCGATAACGTTTACTCACCATCGGGGTATGCTTTGTGGACAGGCAAATCATGGATATCACCCAAGGAATACCTCCAGGCAAAGTACCAGCACTGCTCCCCCAGCGACTTCATCACTGGCTGATCCGCCCGCTCCGGCCGCAGCGTCTTGACCGCGTGTACCGCCTCCAGGCCACCCATAAACACCACTACCCAGAAGACGTTGGTCTGGCGCATGCCCAGCGCCGCTAGGCCGAGAACCACCGTGACGAGGTCGCTGCGCACCGAGCTGCGCGCGGCGCCGACGCGCGACAGGTGGTTCACGAACGCGGCCAGCACCACGCCCGTCGACAGCACGTCGGTGTAGTACAGGCCGCCGAAGAAGAAGAGCAGCGGGAAGAGGCCGACGTTGACGGCCGTGTGCACGCCGTACTGCGAGAAGGCGCGCATGCGCGCCGGCGTGGGACTGCTGACGGCCTCGTGCTGACGGGCCTCGATGGCCTGTCGGCACCAGAGAGCCAGGTAGCTGACGACGAGGACGCCTGCGAAGTTGATGGCGCGAAGGCTAAACGCGTCGCAGACATTGAGATGCGGGATTCGAAGCGCCGCGGCGATTCTGTGAATGGCGACAGAGAAGAAGTATCTGAGCGAGCATGTTAGCAACTAGAATCATAGAGGAGAAGAGCAGAGAGGGGATCGTACAGCCCGGGAGGTGTGGTGATTTTGTCGTCCCAGTCAAAAAATCGCCCGTCGCAGTATTTTTGCGCCTGCGGGATGTGAAAGATTTCGTCCTTGAGGTGGCTAGGTTAGCGATCGTCAAACAGGGTTCACCGAGATTCGTCTGGGTCTCGACATACAAGATATGGCTCCGGAACAGCCATCGAAACCAGCGTAAACCACACCTGAACTGCGCAGGTTAGTAGAATCGGCAGGCGGACGCCCCAGCGCGGCAGATTGCTCCCGCCAACGGCACCCGGGATGCCGTTGAAGAATACGGTAGTCAGGGCGGGTAGCAGGGCGCCTACCACGAGGGCAGCGGTGCTCCGAGCCTGCCCCTCCGCCATGGCGAAAGCATATAGGAGCTGTTGATGTTGGGGAAAAGTCAGAAAATGAGAGGAAGGGCAACGAAATAGGAGCGTAGAGGACGGCCCGAGGTTAGCTTGACGAGGCGAGCTTCGAAGCTCTGTATCAGTATCTGTACAGCTAGGACAGCTAGCTGTTCATTGCGCCTGTTTGGGCACTGACAGTGTCGAGGCGGATCCACACTGTATACGAGCTTCAACCCCCAGGCCAACTTCACCTCCTTCAACCTGTTTAAACTGTCCACAATAACTACTTGCGTAAAAACTTTTAAATACTTATAATACTTGAAAGATTTAACAACCCATTGAATCTTGATTTGCTTGATGCAAAGGTCTATTGTAAATGATATCTATACAAAAGGAAGTAGCTCCATGCGCTGCATAGACGTTGATACAGGTCCATCTGGAGGTGTGATTTTGTGTTTAGAAAGGCTGCATATCGCATTAGCATCGAGAGGGTCAGTAGCTGGAATGCAGCAAATAAACTCACGTTGTCCTGAGGGTGAACCTCCTTGTGGTAGAACTGGGCCATGCCGGGGATCTTCTGCAAAGCTGTTAGCTCGCCATAGTCGTTTCTATGCCACGACGGATATTTCTTACGTTGAGAATGTCGTGCTGAATGCGAGGAATGCCAGAGGCGAAGAGAAGAGCGCCGACAGCAGCGGCACCGCCGAACAGGGACAGACGGAAGGCACTGGGTTCTGATTAGCCTGGGTTCGTTTGCGGCGGTGTGTTGCGACGCTGCGATCTGTGTTTGTTCCCATCGGACGGAGAAAGTCCGAACTTCGAGTTGCAAAGTACTGTCGCGCGTCCATTCCCCGGTCCCATCGCTGATACCACAACGCAAGATCCGGTTGATTCTCAAAGTTGTTCGTCGTGTCGTAGTCGCATTCCACCACAGATATAAAACAGGTCACTTACGTGCGGAACATGGTCTGGCCGGACCAACCGTTGAAGTTCGGCTGGTACTGGTACCTAGAATGAGGTGTCAGCATTTCCATCTCATCACATGCCCTTCGCGGATCCGCCCATAACGTGGTCGTCGAGAGCGCCTCGGGTCACATCAGGAGGCTCCGTGTGCACGCTGGATTCGGTCGGGGACGGAGCGCTGCGATTTGAAACATACTTGGGGCCGTAGGCGCTCTTGAATTCGGCGCGACGGAAAGGAGTCTGCCAAAGGCGAAATGTTAGCGAGCCGATCGGAAGGGCATTTCTGGCAGCGCTACGGCACACGGCGGGTGGCTGCAAGGAAATTGGGCCAATTAACGTACAGCGGAAACCATCTTGACTAGGATCGGGGGGCTGGAGACGTAATTGCTGCTTCAATCGCCAATTGTCGAGGATAACGTTGAAATAGACGAAGCTGCGTGAGTTTGCTGCCGGGAAAGGCCGAATAGTTAGCGGCCTCAGGCTCTGACTGGTTGGATGGCCCGCCAATCAGGTAACGCGATGACGGCCCACTCAGTCTCGCAGCCGACCTCCAATTCAAGCTCAAATCGGCACAGTGCCAATGTTTACCCATCTACAACCAAAGTCCTTCCACAGCTAGAGCTGTCAGCACAATACCAAGCTACATTTTTTCTTTTGGATCATACTGCGCTCGCGCCCAAGTACCTCAAGCACACGGCTACCTCGTTTTTCCATGGACAAGTTCATCGATGGGCGCTTCGAGCGCCTGGAAAAGGCACTGACGAGCCTCATCGACTCCGTCACCAAGTATCATCCATCCATGAACCTCGCCGAGGAAGTCGTGGCTGCGGATGCGGAACTAACAAAGGGCCTCGAGCAGGGTAATGAACCAACACTCACGGGAGCCTGATTGTTCTCGGGCTTTCTGTGCTCCGCCTCGAGAGATTTCACTGACAACTTGGACAACAGTGCAAACCCACCAAAATAATCACCTCCGAATACTCGAGTTGCGGGAAGCCTCAGCCAGCCTCGACACTCAAATACGGGACACCCTAACCAGCCTTGCCAACGCTCGCCGAGATATTGTCAACACGCATACTACGAAGTTTCCCTCCGCCCCCAACTACCCCATCGCGTACGAAGAGCTGCTCAGCTATGCGCGGCGCATTAGCAAGACAACAATGCCGCCTGCGGGCACGATAAACGCGTCTGTTGCCCCATCAGGGCTGCAGAGTCCCACCGTTGGCGAATCTCAATCCCAGGCTGTAACGCCCGCGCCGACAACTCCCGCCGCCGGCGCGACACCAGGCGCCGCTACGACGCCCGCCACCACCACGCCGCTGCCGACGCAAAGTCCCGCCGCCGTCAACGGCGTTGGTGGCGGGGCGCAGCACCCCCACGCGCCGCAGCAAGGAGGCTCCTCCTCCGGCCCCTCGCTGCTGACGAGCCTGCCGGAGCCCATGGCACAGTACCTGAACCCGCTCTCGGGCCAGGTCTTCTTCCCGTGGCCGCTGGAGGACAAGATCCGGTCCGGGTCGCTCGCGGCCAACCAGGTCCTCGTCGAGAAAGGCATAGACCCGCGCGGCTTCGACCCCGTCGCGGAGGAGGAGCGCAAGAGGAGGGAGGAGGCGGAGCGCAAGGAGCGCGAGGAGCGCGAGGCCCGGGAGCAGCAGGAGCGCGACAGGCTCATGCGCGAGGAGAGGGAGCGGGCGCGGCTGGAGCGCGAGCGTCAGCGCGAGAAGGAGCAGGAGGAGTGGCGCAGGGCAAGCGTCGTGGCGGGCACGGCGGACGCGCCGGGGGCGGCGGCGCCCAAGGCACCGGAAAAGAAGCAGTTCCAGTTCACTAACCTGGACGATCTGGACGATGATGACGACGATGACTAGTGGAGGGGGGCTTCTTAGCATCTTTTTAACATTCCTTTAAGCGAGCGATCATGGCCTCATGGATGCCAACAGAACGGGCAACAGGAAAATTGGCTTTTGTATTTTACAAATTACAAATCTTTTTGTGACACCAGTCAATGCCGCTCTGGCCTTCATCATGACATGCTGCCGAAATCCGGGCCTGAATTATCCCACTACACTTCTTTCCCCCTTTTCTGATCGACCTATGCCGCCGTCATCACCCCCCACACATCCTTAATCGATCTTGATGGATTTGTAGATTTTCATGACGAACCACCAACTAGCAAAGTATCCAATGGAACCTGGGAGGTGTTAGTGATCCATCTCGTACGGGGGCAACCGTGAAGAGAAAAGCAACTTACCAGCCAGGATGAAGAAGAGGAACGAGATGAGCGCGCTGTAGCCGACGTATAGGACTGTACCAGCAAACCCGCCAAGCTTCACCTTGGTGATGAGGTAGAGAAGGCAATTGAGGAAGATGTAGCCGCCGCTCATGCCCGCGGCCAGGAACGAGCGCCACTGCCAGTGGTAGTTTTCGGAGCAAAGCAAGAAGTACGTCAGGAGAATCGTCACGGCGGCGCAGACGACTACCATCAGGGAGTAGCAGAGGAAGAGGAAGCCAAACATGTAGTAGACGCGGCTGAACCAGATCGAGTTCATGATGAAGTAGAGCTCGACAAAGATGGCGCCAAATGGCAGCAACCCGACGATAAGCATGCTGGGGATGGGCTTGAGGTAGGTGGTCGAGGGGGGGATCTGGCGCGGGATCTGGTTCGTGCGGACGGGCGCCTCAATCTTGGCGCTGCGGAATCCGAGCCAGGAGCCGGCAACAGAGAGGGGGATGGAGATGATGAACCAGATAGCAAGCAGCACGAGCATGGTGGTGAAGGGCACGGCACCGGACGACTGCTTGGCCCAGAGGAACAGGTCGAGCAGAAAGAAGGTGCCAAAGACGATGGTGGGCACGAGGAGGGGCGTCAGGCCAATGTTGAGCTTCCACTGCTCGCCGCCCATGGCCTTGTAGACGCGCGCGGAGACGTAGCCGCCAACGGAGCCGAGGATCGTGTAGAGCAGGATCATGATGGTACCGAGGGACCCGCGGTTAGAGGGCGACAGGAAGCCGAGCAGCGCAAAGACGATGGTGCTGGCGGTCATGACGAAGATCTGGACGCCGTTACCGAGCAGGACGGAGAGCAGCAGCGGGTGCGACGGGTTGCGGAAGACGTCGCCGTGGACGAGCTTCCACCCGGAGTCCTCCTGCACACCGTCCTCGAGCGCAGACGTGCCGCTAAGGTCCTCGAGGTTGATCTGGTCCAGGCGGTTGTAGCGTGCGATGTCCTTCTTGAGCGTGCGCATGAGGATGGACATGACGGTCATGACCAAGATGACGACGATGATGGCCGTGTCGATAAGCCAGAACCAATGGATCTTGGGGTCAAAGACGTGGAGGTACTTGTCCCAGCGCGTAGCCCAGGCCGTCGGGGACTTTTCCCAAAAGACGCTGTAGCTGTACTTGACCTTTTGCGCGCCAGTTTCGGGCAGGATCAGGTATGGGTGGCCATCCTTGCAGTCAGCCTCGCCGCTGTACTTCTTCGAGCTGGGCTCGACGCGGACGCCGACGACGCGGAGCTGGTTCGCGTTACCGCCGACCTCGTGATACTCGACGAATATGTCGTAGTGGTTGTTGAGGACAATGTTGTCGGCCTCGTCAAAGGCGCCAAGGAAGAAGCCTGGGCTGTAAAAGGAGGTGCCTGTAAGACGGTCCTCGATCTTCTGACCGGCGGGTAGGCCGTCCACGAGCCAATTGAGGCTGTAGCCCTCGTCGATGCGCTCGCGGAGGAACTCGACCGAGTGCTCAGGGTACTCGACCTCACACAGCGCCTTGCACGTCTCCTCCTTCTTCATTGACAGCTGAAAGGGGGAGGTCATTATCCGGTCGCCAAAGAGGATGCTGCCCAGGCTCTCCGACACATATTCAGGGCCTTTTTCGGGCTTGCAGAAGCCGAACCCGGGGTGGTAGTATTCGAATGAGACGACAGAGTGCAGGCGTGCGTCCTGCGGCCCGGCTATCGGCTTGATGCTGTTGACGTGCAGAGGCACCGAGTCGCCGACCTTGTATGACGTCGGGGCGACACCTGGGAGGTAGAAGGCGGATGCGAGTCGCGGCGCAGCGAGCAGGGTCGCTAGCAGCGCCGAGGGCGCGGCTGTTGTGAAATGCATTGTCGCTTGTGTCGTTGCTTCAGATCATGTCAGTGCTGTCCTCGGGACAGGTGGTATGCGGCGCCGCGTGGCCTACGCTTGGAGAGGCGAAGGAGGCGATCCACAAAGGAAACGTGTCCAAGAGAGAGAGTTCGTGGTGCCGTCTGGTATCCTCGCAGAATAATCGAGAATAAGGCTAGCTCGTGGGAAAAAAAAACCCCGAGTCAAAATAGCTCGCGGCGCGACAAGTCGAGGAGGTTCGAATAAGGGAGCTTACTAGGCTAGTTCAGTGACGGGCTGGTTCGAGGCAACTTTGACACGATGGCGTAGCTTATCTGCTTACATAAGGAGTCAGATCAAAGAGAAGTTGAGGTCTCACTGGATAACTGTGCAGCCACGCTGACAAAGAAGTGCTAAATTGATTATTGAGATGAATGCATATATGTTATTAATTTTCTCCAATATTTTCTGCCGCTTCGAACTTGACGGCATATAAAGCTTTCCTCAATATATGCCTAGCAAAGATCCAGGTACTTATCCAGGTACGTATTGGACAGACCCGCCTTCGTCGGCCCCGCTAAAAAGTTCGAGATGGAAGTCTTCTGGCAAAAAATCAAGAGTTGAGTCTAACTTCCTCATCGTCAACACACATTCGACATCATGGCAGCCCCGACGACTCTTCCGGCTCTGCTGGAGCAACTAAAACAGTCGCTACTATTAACACAAGAGGCTGCACCAGCTCTTTCTACAATCGAGCATCCCAAGGATGGCATTTCACTACTCGACGTGAAGAACGAGGTGCTCTTGTCTTATCTAGAAAACCTGGTCTTCCTCATTCTACTCAAGATTCGAAAGTCCAAGATCTCGTCAGAGACACCTGAAAATGGCAAACTAGACGAACAAGTCCGGTCAAAACTTGTCGAGTTACGGTTATACCTCGAAAAGGGTGTGCGCCCACTCGAGGAGAAGCTCAGATTCTCGATTGAACGGTTCCTACGCACCGCGGACGATGCACAACGCGAAGAGCAAGCGAAGCAACAAAAAGGAACCGAGAGAACAGGGTCTGAAAGCGACGAAGACGAATCGGGCTCTGGGTCTGACGTGGACGAGGATGATGAAGATGAAGATGAAGAGGCTGAGCAGCAGCAGGCCAAGAGCACTGCGCGAGGAAAAATGTCCGCCGCTCCCAAGTTCGGTAACTTGGTAGATGATGTAACTGCGCGACCTGCGCAAAGAGACGGCGCCCTGTCCGGCGTCTATCGGCCACCCAAGAGAGATCGCCAGGTCATGGACACTGGCGCGCGCAGAGAAAAGGTCGACCGCCGGCCCAACAAATCACGAACCATGGAGGAATTCGTCAAGTCGGAGCTCTCGGCAGCCCCCATGGCTGAGCCCAGCATTGGAACCACAATTCTGCAAGGCGGCCGCAGGATGAAGACGGCGGCCGACCGGCAAGCGGAGGACGAGCGCCGCGAATACGAAGAGACCAACTACACGCGCTTGCCAAAAGAGAGCAAAAAGGAGAAGGCCAAGAAGGCCCGCCAAGAGGGAGGCAGCCGTCGCATGCAATTTGGTGGTGAGGAGTGGCACGATTTGGGCGAGGGTGTCGATCGCATTGATCGCCTGACCAAGCGCAAGGACGGCGGCAGAGGCGCCAATGTCCGCGCGATGCTGGACAAGAGCCGCAAGCGTGGACGCGACACAACGGATGGGCCTAGAGGGAGCGGGCATGAGATCGGTGAGAGATTTAATAAAAAGGTCAAGATGTTGGAGGCCGGCCGAGGAAAGAGAAAGTAGAAGCCCTGTACATCTTGAGCGATTCAATATACACCATCATCACAACAGATTTGGCGTACCACGGGAAATGTCAGTGATCCTATTAAGTAGATTCAGACACGCCTCGTCAGTGGCAACGAAGACTGGTGTTATTACATAAGGCAAAAGCCTGCGCGCCTTGCTTCACGGTAGGCTGAGATGTCTCGCCCCCATTAGCGCATAGCCCCGCTAGTGTTGATACAAGGGTCCTACATCCGATATTGATGAGTCTGCCCGTTGCCTTGCAAAAGTGCAATTCATACACTGGAAGAAGGGTAAAGGAGATTTTTTTATATGTCATGTATATATGCAGAATGCTTGTCGTTTCTTAATTACAGTACAGTGTGCCGTGTCCTTCAGTGCCATCTCGACAATTATGTAGCTAAGCGAAACTTGCCCAAGCAGCGGGCTGTCACGTCAATTTTGAACAATCACCCCGCCATCGCTCCCAGTTCTTCTGACTCACCCCACCATCCAATGCGACTTTGCTGATAGAGAGCCCTCCTGTGCCCGCGCTTCTGAGATTTTTACGTTTGAGTCTTTTGTCAATAATACTCTCATCTGTAGTATTTTGCATCTTCAGAGCGTTCCTGCATTGGACCCACGCCGAATACGGCACCGCGAATATGGCAAACGCCAGCAAGCCCACCCTTCCTGTCGAAGGCAAGCGCAACGTCTTGATCACCAGCGCTCTTCCGTACTCCAACAACTTGCCTCATCTGGGCAACGTCATCGGCAGTGTTCTCTCAGCGGACTTGTACGCCCGTTATTGCAGAGCCAGGGGATACCAGACCCTCTACGTCTGCGGCACAGTAAGTACTCACGTCTAATGCTCACGAGCACACGCGCTGACATGATTCCAAGGATCAATATGGCACTGCCACCGAAACAAAGGCCCTAGAAGAAGGTACTGACCCTGCTACTCTATGCGCCAAGTACCACGCTCTCCATAAATCCATTTACGACTGGTTCCGCATCGATTTCGACATCTTCGACAAGACGCCGACCCAACACCAGACCGACATCGTACAAGACATCTTTGCGAAGCTTTGGAAGAATGGCTACATCTACGAAGATGAGACAATTCAACCTTTCTGTGCCGTTGAGACTCACAACACCTTCCTTGCCGATCGTTTCGTTGAGGGCGAGTGTTCCATCTGTGGTGACAAAGGCGCCCGTGGTGACCAGTGTGATGCCTGTGGCTCCATTCTTGATCCCCTCAAGCCTGAGGAAAAGACCGATGGAGAAGCGAGCAACGAAGTCAAGGCCACTGGCTGGTTGGTGAACCCCCGCTGCAAGGTCGACGGCACAGCTCCCGAAGCCCGCAAGACGAAGCATCTCTACTTAAAGCTCGATGACATCGCCGAGCAGCTGAAAGACTGGTACAAATCCACCGCAGATAACGGATGGAGTGCCAACGCCAAGGCCATTACCCAATCCTGGATTGATAAGGGTCTCAAGCCTCGTGCCATTTCCCGTGATCTCAAATGGGGCGTCCCAATTCCCGATGTTGAGGGCCTAAACGTCGAGGACTATGCGCGCAAGGTCTTCTACGTCTGGTTCGATGCTTGCATTGGCTACATCTCTATCACCAAGACCTATACCGATGGCGATAACCGTGACGGCACGAACTGGGAGAAGTGGTGGAAGAACCCTGAGAATGTCCAACTCATGCAGTTCCAGGGTAAGGATAACGTTGGCTTCCATAGCATCGTTTTCCCTTCATGCCTACTCGGCACCAAGGAGAACTGGACCAAGGTGAACAGAATCTCTGCTACAGAATACCTGAACTATGAGAACGGCAAGTTCTCCAAGTCCCGTGGTATCGGTGTCTTCGGCAACAACGCCAAGGATACTGGCATTGACCCCGATATCTGGCGATTCTACCTGCTTTCTCGCCGCCCAGAAGTTGCCGATTCCGAATTTAAATGGGAGGAATTTATCGATGTCAACAACAACGAGTTACTCAAGAATGTCGGCAACTTCATCCAGCGTACCTTGAAGTTCTGCGTGGCCAAGATGGAGAGCACTGTTCCTGCTGCTACCGTCAGCAATGACCTTATCGATGCCCACAAGGCGGCAGCTAACCAACTGCTTGCCTCATACATTGGCCACCAGGAGGCTAACAAGATGCGCGGCGGCATTTCCGATCTTCTAAATTTCTCTACCCTCGGAAACAAGTTCCTTCAGGACAACGGCTTGAACAATAAACTCCTAGCCGAGGAGCCCGAGCGCTGCAACACCGTGATCAATGTTGCCATCAACCACGTGCACCTCTTGGCTGGCCTCCTCTATCCTTACATGCCCACCACGGCGGAGTCCATCTTCAAGCAGCTTGGTCAGGAGGCGAAGCCATTTATTCCCGACACCTTCGCCTTTACCGCTGTTCCCGCCGGCCACAAGATTGGTACCCCTGAGGCACTCTTTTCCATCATCCCCGCTGCCAAGCTCGAAGAGTGGCGGGATGCCTACGGCGGTGAAGAGCTAAAGAAGCAGAAGGCTCTTGAAGCCGAGAAGGCCGCGGCGAAGAAGGCGAAGAAGCTGGCTGATAAGGAGAAGAAGAAGGCGAAGAAGGCGGAGGCTGCTGAAGCGAAGCCTGATGGTGCCGTAGATGTTTCGAAGCTATCTTTGGAGGAGAAGAATTAGAAATGCAAAAGAATTAAAGGATGTAGAATATTTGCTAGAGCCGATTTGGGTTTGGAGTCTGGGGTGAGATTTCAGGCATAGCGCAGTGGTACAAAGATATATCCATGACCTGACGGGAAAAAGTGTTCAAAATGATTTATCTTGCTGTTTAGTGATAGAAATTGCAGATTCTTTCCTTAAGATAATAAAGGCCGGTAGCAAATATCGAGGTCGCTCGTCTACGTACTTTGTAATATGTAAAAGGGATAAGATAAGAGCTCGAAATTTCTCCAAACCAGTACCCCACCATGCTTTTTGACGTGACTTTGATCCAACAATTTTCTGTACTTTCTTTCCACAAAGCGCTGCCCTTAAATCAATTATTGAAACCTGTTTCGTCATACAGTTCACACAATTCATACAACACACAAACGCCGATAGTCCTGCATCGAAACCTCGCAAGAGGGCGCAGCCTCACGAGCGCCGCCCATCATGAGCACCACAAACAGCGAAGACACCATTGACGTGGACTTTCCCGACGCGCCCGCCGCGCCCTTTCCCAGAGCCGGCGCCGCCACCGCCCCGGCCGACGACGATGACGACGACGACCCCATCACCGCCTCCTACCCCGTATTCCTGAACCCGGCGCTTCCCCTCGGCCGGCGCCTTCTGGTGCTGCAGCACCCGAACCGGACCGACGAGGGCGGCGCGTCGCGCGCGCCGCCGTCCGAGCTGCGCCTCAAGGCCGAGTCGGGCATGGTCGAGGTGGACATGCCGCTCGACTACAACGAGGCGTACGACCGGGACAAGGGCCTGCGCTGGGGCCGCACGCTGCAGGCCTCGATGGCGGCCAAGAACGGCGGCAGCCACGGTCTCGCGGGCGGCTTCGGGTTCGGCGCCGTGCAGCAGCGCGGTGCCGGCGGTGGCGGTAGGAAGCGCAGCGAGGTGGACGCGGAGGACCTGATTGACTGGAACGAGGCGGTGCGGCAGGACAAGGTGCTCCGCACGCAGACGCTCGGAGGCCAGTACCCAGACGCGGACGAGGTGCAGTACATGGTCGGCGTCTTCCAAGGAAGTACGTGAACCCGTCCCCGTGCGCGCAGCTGGGGGATAATTTTAGACTGCTGACACAAGTTCGAACAGACGACCTGCACTTAACGCCCGTGTCGTCCCTCGTGCACCTGCGCCCGCAGCTGCACCACCTCGACGCCGCGACGCAGCAGGAGCGCCAAGCCGCGGCCAAGGAGTCCGCCGCCGCGGCCGGGGGTGCTTCGGGTGCTTCAGGTGCCGGTGCTGGCGGCGCTGGCGGCCCCGGCGGCCCGGCGGCGCGCGCCATCCACATGAGCATCAAGACGACGGCCGACGGCGAGACGGTGACGACCGAGACCATCGCTGACCGCCTGCGCTCCGTGCAGAGCGAGCCCTGGCGCAAGATGCGCTACACCGACGAGAACGAGGAGGCCGCGTGGGAGGTGTACAACGAGAGCCTGTTCCTGAGCGCCAAGGGTGGCAGCGAGGCGAAAGGGAAGAAGAAGAGCGGCGCAGACGAGGCGGCGGCCGAGGCGGAGAACGCGTCGATCGAGGGCGCGGTCGCCACGTTCGCGTCAAAGTGGGAGAGCGGGCAGCTGCTCGAGGCGGTCAGCGGCATCAAGAAGCCGGAGCAGCCCGTGGCGGCGGTGGTGGCGCAGGCGGCGGCGAGCAAGGCGGCGGCGGAGGACAAGGCCAAGCAAGAGGCCAAGGATAAAAAGGCAGCCGAGGCGCAGGCGGCGGCTGCGGCGGCTGCAGCAGCAGCGGAGGAGGAGACGAGACGACCAAAGAGAGCGCCCAGGGGTGGCGGCGGGCTCGGCACGGCCAGACGAACAAGTAGAGCAAAGTAGGACTTGGTCATGAGATGAGTGTAGTCCTTGTATATATTGTTTTTTTCTCCCTACGGTTCGGGGGAATAGCGACATTTTAAACATTTGCATATAAATACAGGAAAGATTTTTTACCTGGTTGGACGTTTCACTGTGATATCGAAAATGTCATCTTGCTTCAGCTCTTTTGCTCAAGTTCATATTCCAGTGTCACAGGCTATTTGATAGATGAACGAAATGAAAAGCAAAAAGGAAGAAAAAGACGTATAGGATATCGTTCCGGGAGGCATTAAAAATACGCTCAAGCTTTTGTTGCTCTGATACTTTCCCACCAGCTGAAGCAAAGTTGTCCACCTGCATTTTGGTTCCCAATATCTCGTCCCTTTCCCCCCGACCTAGCCCATATCATACATTTTGCAGAAAAAAAAAGAGATGCGAATAATGACCGTGATCAAGGCGTCCCATATCAAAAAACTGCAAGAGGAATACGCAAAAATCAAACCAAAAGACAGAAAAACACAGCCAAATAAATGATGTAGCCAACATGTGAAATCTGTCTTTGCCCTTCACCAACCAAAACATATCGCCAGTATCTGTATGTTCATGTAAAAACACATGTCGTCATGGCGGCCGTATGCTTCGTAATAAGAAACAAGACAATTAGATGTAGATGTAAAAAAGATGACGGTTTCCTTTGTCCGTCTTCCACGGAACACTCTCATTGGAGCCCAAGCATTTCAATAGACATTCGCTGCGCGCCCAAGTGCTGTGTGCGGGTGAAAAAGAGGCCACAAAGCGTGTGGCCAATGTTTACTGCAAGAGTTCCACATCAAGGCCAATGGCTCTCATGAACAGATTGACACTGGCCAAGCGTTCCGTAGCCATAGCCGGCGGCAAAGTCTTAGACAAGGAGACTGTATCGAGCACACGGTCCTTGACAGCCAAGACGAGGCGCGTTTGCTGGTCGTGGTTTGCACTGACACCCATCGCCGCGAGGAATTGCCAGACATAAACGTCTACACCGGCGTTGACACTACCAGGGAACATGAAAGGAAGCGAGGGCTCCAACCGGCTGAAGAGAATGTTAAAGGTCTGTTCCCACTTCTCCCACTGCTCAGTGCTGCCAGCACCAGTTTGTTTCAGAAGAACAGTTCGGCTCAGGATCAGAGTAAGCATGGAAATGCCAATGCGAGTTCTAGCAATCAGATCTAGGTCCTGCTTAGTGGCAATCAGGTTGAGAACGCCATCGACAATGTCCAGGCCAGTGTCATTGAAGTATTGCATGAGGGATGGCATGACGGTCGAGAGGAATAGTTCGATGTTCTCACGCATTCTCGAGTTCAGAGTAGTGTCATCATCAGTAACAGCGGCACCCCGAACCACATCAAGTTGATCAAGGTGATACACAATCATGGTCAAGATGGTAGTGCGCTGCTCGAAGTTGAGATGAGGGAAGATGCGAGGAATGGCCTTCTTGCCCTTAGCGCAAGACAAGAAAGCAATGAAAGGGTGGGTAGCAGTAGCACCAATAGGTTCATGGACTTTAAGCACATTCCAGAGCTTTGCATTCAGAGCTTCAAGCTCTGTGGCCCACACCCGGTGCTTCTCTTCCAGCTCGGGGTCGCCAGGGCCAGCCATGGGAGGCGGAATGACTCGAACATGGTCTTCAAGCTTCATGAGAGTATCGTAGACACGCTCAACGTTGCGTAGAATATCCTTGCGATCAGGGCCAGTGTTGGCAGTTCGTGCCGTGGATGGCCGAGGAGACTCGGTCTCTTTTCTCTGGATGTTGAGCAGAGGCTTAGGTGTCTTGGCATTGCTGAACGAGATTTTACCAAGGCTGCCAGCAATCACCAGCTGAGGGTTCTTGGGCTTGTTCTTGGCGGCTTCCACGGCTCTCTGAACTTGCTGCTCCATGCGCTGGATGTGATTCTCAGCAGGGCGGCCATGGCGACGGGCCCCATGACGGCTGCCGGTCTGAAATAGGTAGGTCTGGGCAAAGTTGCTGAGGGGTTGACTCGGATTTTGTCTCTGACCAGCACGGATGTGGCTATAAACTTGGTAATAAAAGTCCTCAGCGATGGAGGCATCGCCGGTCTGTTCCGTGGGGTTACCAGTGGCAGAGATGAGCTGCTGTAGCTGAATTCGGGTGATGAAGTTCTTGTCCTGGGGAGTCATGACGCCGTTGTCCTTTGACAGCAGCCAAATCTTGTGGTTGCGCTTGGCACGTTTGGTCTCTTGGTCTAGGAAAGCCGCCTTTTCCTCTTCAGACATGCCAGAGAGCTGAGGATGGTTGTACAACTGGTGCATGGGGCTAGCACCGCTAGGAGTTCTTCCATGCTGCTGTCCGGCGAAAGCAGTGCGCTGAGCATCACCCGAGACTCTGCTGGGGTTCTGCAATATCTGAGTCGGATGGGCATGCTGTCGCAGGAATTGGTCTTCTGTAAGGATCTGGCGCTGATGAGGTTCTTGTCCGGATTGTGGGCGTTGGAGAATGGTTACAGGGGGGCCTTGATGATGAGGGACGTGCTGCTGATACTGCGGCTGTTGGGCTGTGGGCTGCTGGTGTCCCGGATAGTAGCCTGCATTCGCCTGGGGTTGTGTGGGGGCCGGTGATTGGGCAGGCGCAGCAGGCTTGGGCTCAGATCGCATAGCTGCCTCAACCTCCTCTAGGCTCATGATCTTGCGACTCTTTGACTGCGCTTCCGGGGCAGCGGCTGCCTTGGAAGTGCCGATGCCCCAAATGCTTTGGTCGACATGAAGATCTGGGATGGGTTCAGCCGCGTGATACTTTTCGTAGCCAGTACGCGCGGGTGCTTGACGATACTGCTGTTGCTGCTGCTGCTGCTGCTGCTGTTGATGCTGCTGTTGATGCTGCTGCTGTTGATGCTGCTGTTGCTGTTGCTGCTGTTGATGCAGCTGCTGCTGCTGAGAAGCATGGTAAGGATCGGCGTGAGAGTGGGCGACATAGCCTTGAGGGGCGTTTGACTTGGTAGCAGGTTGCTGGCGGTTGAAACGGAGATGCTCTTCTTCGATGGCATCGGCAACTTTGGCAGTCTGGCCGAAAAAGTCAAAGTCCTTGCCGACCTTGGATGTTGTTGCTACATCACCACTGCCGTCGCCGCCAAAGGTATCATCGTTGAAGGCGTCGTCCGCGTCGTCGAGCTGATCACCAAGGCCGTCGTAGGTATCTTCGAAGTCAAGGGCCTCGTCGGTGCCAGCATTGCCGCCGGAGAGACCTGCAAAGGGGTCATGGGTTTGAGAGAAGCCCGGCGCGGCAGGGTTGTGGCCACTGGTATCGAAGCCGAAGAAGGACATGGTTGTATCCCGTGCGTGAAAGTTTGAGTGCAATGCACTGGAAAGAGAGTGTTAGGTCAGGCCCTCATTGTTGCAGCTCGGGCGGCAAGGGTGGCTCTGCGCCAGCACATGAAAGCCTGGTACGCTTCCAGTGTGCACAGCATAGCAGCTTCGGTGCCATTTTTGTGACGAGAGAACATACCACTAGGAAGTTATTGTGAAAAGAGCAGCTGAGGCAGAGACGCACAAATCTATCATGGCGTGTATCTGGCAAACAAAATGGGAGGAAGGCGGCGTCGCACACAGCTGCGAGGCACTATCCAAGGCAGTACAGTGACGATAAAGCTCCAAAAAGACGCAAAGCACAGGTTGTAGATGCCAGAGAAGTAGGCAACTCTGCCGGGGCGAGGATAGAGGGAGCTTTGAAGTTGTTACGAAGGTGAGGGAGGAACTGACGTTGTGCAGGCCTCTCCACTTTCAGGCAAATCCCGCCCGAAGATCAAAGGCGAACGGTCACGTGACTCAATTGTTAGCGATGTTCCTGTGCACATGAGAACTTCGTGTATCTGGGAAGTTCAGTTTGATAAAATAGTATTATGGAAGACGCTTTCCGTGAAGTGGGACATGGATCATGATATGTCCGCCCCCAGGTAAAATGGGCGTGACACGGCTGTTTGGGCGCATTGTACAATCTAGGCCACCAATCCGCTTGTAAACTCCATCATGCACCCGAAGTGATGCATGCAGATAGCCATCAATATTTAAAATCCAGCACTCCAACACTTTATCTAAGCTTGACCGTGTCTCTTTCATTCCAGGTCCATCCTCAAATGCATACCAAATATGAAGGACAATGCGCGCGGTGATGCCATGTCTAACCCGGGCTACCTTGTGTTTCTAACCAAGGTACGGATAACTTTCATTTATCTCGGCAGAGTTGTCCCTCGCAGGTATTTGATTGCGACATCAGGTGTGGAAGTAGAAATGTTGTTTCAGAACAGACGCTGCTCGGCATGATAGTGAGCGCATGCTTTCGGCGGCGCAAACGGTTTAGAGTGGCATAATAGACTTGTAGTAGACTCACTAACTGTAAGTCAAGGGGTTGGGTACATGAACAAATGTCTCTACAAACCGTATTGCTTGATATTCACAGACGCGACTTCCTGCGAAGGGCAGACCAGGTTGTGATTTATAGCTATCTATGAATCATGTTTATTAAGGAGCGATGCGAATTCGTTGGAGCATGGGGGGGAGTCGATGGTGTTTGCGATGCGCGTATCCGTACTATTGTACGACTATGCGCACTTAGGAAGGAGGGGTTCTACGTGTTACCTATATATCTACCTAGACATTTCCATTCACAGCCATTTGATAAGTAGCCACCAACTTGAATAAATGGTATTGTACGTGCCAAGTAAGTACCTTCGCATTTACTCGGTAGGGTAGTATTCTTTTGTGAAGAACAAGCCTCCCCGCCACGATGTGCCGAGCTTCCGCTAAACGTCATTAAGCGACCACTAAAAAGCCGCTAGATGAGGCGGCTTGCCCGCTAACGGTCCCTGAAAAGCAAGGGGCACCCCACGGTAACTGCCCCGCTAAGCAATATCAGAGCGCTGTATTACAGTGGCCTTCGTCATTGCCTCTCGCCGCCCCCGTTCACTCGCCCAATCCACTGCTATCACCATCTCCCTCGTTTGCTTCACTTGTTTCTCTCGTTTCCTCTCTCCCCTCTTCAATTCGATAACCAGCCTTTCTCCCCGTTTTTGATTCCTCGATCACTGCCTCTGGACCCTCTCTACTTCGTTTGCCCGTCATGTTGGCGGGAAGCAGTGCGCGCATCTTGCGCTACATTGTTGTTGCCGGTATTGTATGCCACCTCTTGCTACCTCGGCGGGCCGCCACTGTCTAGCAAAGCTCCGGCCCCTCATTGATCCCTGGAGAGCAAACATCGACGGCATCATTCTTGGGAACCGTCGGCATCGTTCATGGATCAAATCAGATCCGCTAACCTACATCACCACTATAGATTTTGATGTTCTTTTACCTCTTCCCCGGCTCCCGTTACGAGACCCTCCCGCGAACCGTCCCTTCCCCTGACCAAGCCCGACCTGCCTCGCAACCAAATCCTCAAAATGCCGCAGCTGCCGACCGCAAGGTCGATTCCACGCAAAAGCCTATGCCTGCCGATCGCGACCGTCAATATGCTGCCTCTCCTAAGCCCGCAGCCGCGAGCACCGATGCACCGGCCCCCATAGAAGGCGCCGTTGACACCGGCCCGCGCGCCAATGCCACCTTCGTCACCCTCGCCCGCAACGTAGATGTTTGGGATATTGCACGCTCGATCCGCCAGGTCGAAGACCGCTTCAACCGCCGTTTTAACTACGATTGGGTCTTTCTCAATGACAAGCCCTTTGATGAAAACTTTCGCAACATCACATCAGCCCTCGTCTCCGGCACCGCGCGCTATGGCCAGATTCCTATTGAGCACTGGTCGGTGCCAGACTGGATCGACGAGGACAAAGCTAAAAAGGTGCGCGAGGATATGAAGGAGCGCAAAATCATCTATGGCGACTCGATCAGCTACCGCCACATGTGCCGCTTCGAGTCAGGCTTCTTTTTCCAGCACCCCATTATGCAAAATTACGACTTTTACTGGCGTGTCGAGCCCAGCATCGAGCTCTTCTGCGATATTCCACAAGACCCATTTCGTTTTATGAAAGAGAATGGGAAAAAGTACAGTTTCACCATTAGCCTACTCGAGTACGTCGACACGATTCCCACGTTGTGGGATAGCGCCGTCAAGTTCATGGAAAACTACCCACAACATGTGGCGGCCGACAACTCGATGGAGTTTCTGAGCGACGATGGCGGCCAAACCTACAGCATGTGTCACTTTGTAAGTAGATGTTACTGAGCGCCTGAGCGCTGGCAATGTACTAACTCTGTCGTCCCAGTGGTCCAACTTTGAGATTGGAAGCCTTGAGTGGATGCGCAGTGACGCCTACGTTGACTTTTTCAACTCCCTCGACCAGGACGGCGGTTTCTTCTATGAGCGCTGGGGTGATGCGCCAGTTCATTCCATTGCCGCTGGCATACTCCTCAACAAGACGGAACTTCACTTCTTTGACGAGATTGCCTACTTCCACATGCCATTTACGCACTGCCCCAACGATGCACAGGCGCGTATTGACCTCAAATGCCACTGCAACCCTAAAGACAACTTTGACTGGAGCAGATACTCTTGTACCTCCAGGTACTTTGAGATGATGGGCATGCAGAAGCCTGACGGCGTCGATTGAATGTTGCCCACCCTAGGCCGCCATAATCGCCGCCAGTTGTTGTACTTCTATTTTTTTTTTGACATTGGTGTTTGGCGCTTCTAACACCCATTTGATTTTAGGTGGCTTTATCTGTTTCACTGTATATGAGTAAGAAAGGAGCTCCAGTATGTTGTTGACTCTGGGAGGATTCTCTGTGCTTCAAAGGAAAGGGATTGTTCGATATATACTAAGATTATGTGGCGTTGGTGGCGGCCATTGAACCGATTTGCTTTGCAGTCTGCTGACGCGGATCTTATTGTGAATATACATTGATGAATGACACGATACTGATTTGAATCCTGCGCTAGTGACATGAATTGAAGTAAGAAAGGGAATTTGGCCATATTGCGATTGCTGTGTCAGTAGTTTATGCAGTTGTTTGTGGTGTATATAATACAAGTCGCCAGTGGCGATATATCGCTAATGTTCATTCGTACAAGATCTATACCTCCCCGTTATGGTCTTTTACTATACATGCTGCTTCATCTTTTGCGTTCAAACCCGAACCTCTCCGCATGCGTTTAACCAATGGTGGCCTTTTTGGGCTTCTTCGTGCCGTACTTGCTCCGACTCGTCGCGCGCGTTCCTACACCAGCCTAGAAACAGTCAGTCATTTTTGCTCTCATCTTCCCGCACTCTAAACGTGCACGCCCCTCTCGTCAAGACTCTGAGAAAGACCTACCAGATCCAAGGCGCCGCGGACGAGGTGGTACCGCACACCGGGGCAGTCCTGCGCGCGGCCGCCACGCACCAGCACCACGCTGTGCTGCTGGATGTTGTGGCCCTCGCCGGGGATGTACGCGGTGACGAGGGCGCCGGTCGAGAGCTTGACACGCGCCGTCTTGCGCTCGCCCGAGTTGGGCTTCTTGGGGCGCACGACGCCGACGCGCAGGCACACGCCCTTGAGCGCCGGGCAGTGCGTGTTGGCGAGCGCGGGCGAGACGGCGTGCCGCGCGCGCTTGCCCTTGCGGATGCCGCGCAGCACCTGGTTGAGCGTGGCCGCGCGCGGCGGCGTGGCGGAGAAGAAGCGGGTGGCGGCGGAGAGGATGGGAGAGGTGGTGGTGGTGGTGGTGGTGGTGGGAAGAGTGAAGCGGGAGGAGGGAGTAGAGACGAGGCCGGAGAGGAGCGGCCGGCGGGCTCCTGGCGAGAATAGGGTGCGGACGATGGAACCGACCATGTTGGGCGACGAATTGATCGGTTGCTGTGCTGGATTAGACCGGGTTGCGGGTGAGAGTTGTCGTCGATGATGATGGATGAAGTTGCTCAAAAACTCCTTTGCAGATGGGTCACGTGGAGTCCCGTCTGATTGGCGCTCGATGTGGAGCCCTAAGATCGATGCGCGAGGTGAGTAAAAGAGAGTGCGGCGTGAAGAAGGCGTGTTGGGATTGAAGGGGGACTTTAATGCGGATTGTGTCAATTGATATTCTTTTTTAGAAATTTCCCTATTATTCTTCAACTGCATATGAATAACGTGGTTAAGCTCTCTAGTGCTTGTGGTGCATGTACTAGAGGACAAAGACAGCGATACGGCGACTTGCCATTAACAGATTCGTCTGCCATTGGCTTAAATTTCAATTGGGGGTTTCTGGGCACTTTATTTGCCATTGTCGTAGCTTCAATCTGAGCTCTTTTCCTCTTGGGCAAATTGTTGTTGCTGGTGGTGTGAGATGTTACTGTCAAAGATGTCCCGAGGTCTGGGCTGCGATTTGTAGTTCCGGGGTTACTCAATATACTCAATGTGAAGAGAAATCGCCAATCCGCCAGTAGGAAGAAAATATCATGTTAACTTTTCTTTGACTATTGTTCCTTCATCATCGTCGTCGCCCGGTCTCATCCGTCTCGGCTTAAGCTAAGCCGCTCGGCTCTCTCTCTTCCCCACAAGAGAGCAAACAACAGAGAACGTTCCGGCGGAAAAGTGGGCAGCTGCACCCGAACGCCGGCCACTATAAGCAAAGGGAGCCCCGTTGGGTCAATGTGCCTGTCCTACCGCTTCCCCGGACGTCATTCTTCTTGCTGACCGTGACTGGCATTGAGCATAGGGACGTTTTTCCTTTTTTAATCACAATTTCTTTTTATAAAAACCACAAAAGCCTCAGACTCGATATCTCTCCGCCGCCGCGCTACAAAATACTAGCTAAACCCTCACCAAACCATCTGTCCCAAACTTGGCCCCAAAGCCGACAAGACACCCAACCCAGCAACCACCCTAATCTCACCGCGTTCGCGACACACCTTCCGGCTTTTTTTTCTCCTTCCTACACATTGAAACCGAGAACTCAAGTTTCCTATTTTCCTCCTCTCCCCCCTCATCCTTATTTCCTAAGTATTCACTTACTTGGGAATCCCATCTCTACAACCTCGGCTTAAGCATTCCTCGCCCGCCACCGTCATGTCGTCCTTCACACGAGCCATTCGCCCGGCCCTCCAGGGCGGCCGCCGCGCCTCTATCCTCCTCACCCAGCGCCTTCCCACGAGCCGCGTTTCAAGTCCTGCCGTCGTCACAGCTCTGTATGTTCATCAACCGGCTAGCACACAGGCAATTAGCCCCGCTAACCGTCACCGCGCAGCCGCTCCCTCTCAACCACAGCGCCCCGCCGCAACAACACCGCCGGCGTTGACCTGTCCGAGATTCCGCCCACGCCCATATCGCACCTCTCCGAGGTCGAGGCCGCCATGGCCGACGCCGTGTCCAAGTTCGCCACCGAGGTGGTGCTCCCGCGCGCGCGGGAGATGGACGAGGCCGAGGCCATGGACCCCGCCGTCGTCGAGCAGCTCTTTGAGCAGGGCCTCATGGGCATCGAGATCCCCGAGGAGTACGGCGGCGCCGGCATGAACTTCACTGCCGCGATTATCGCCATCGAGGAGCTTGCCCGCGCCGACCCCTCCGTCTCCGTCATGGTCGACGTCCACAACACGCTCTGCAACACGGCCCTGATGAAGTGGGGATCCGAGGCGCTCAAGAAGAAGTACCTGCCGCGCCTCGCCACCAACACCGTCGCCTCCTTCTGCCTGTCCGAGCCCGTCTCCGGCTCGGACGCCTTCGCCATGGCCACGCGCGCCGTCGAGACGGCCGACGGCTACAAGATCACCGGCTCCAAGATGTGGATCACCAACTCGATGGAGGCCGGCTTCTTTATCGTCTTTGCCAACCTCGACCCCAGCAAGGGCTACAAGGGCATCACCGCCTTCATTGTCGACAAGGACACCCCCGGCTTCAGCATCGCGAAGAAGGAGAAGAAGCTCGGTATCCGCGCCAGCTCCACCTGCGTCCTCAACTTTGACGACGTGGTCGTCCCCAAGGAGAATCTCCTCGGCAAGGCCGGCGAGGGCTACAAATACGCCATCGGCATCCTCAACGAGGGTCGCATCGGCATCGCCGCCCAGATGACCGGCCTCGCCCTCGGCGCGTTCGAGAACGCCGTCAAATACGTCTGGAACGACCGCCGCCAGTTTGGCGCCCTCGTCGGCGAGTTCCAAGGCATGCAGCACCAGATTGCCCAGTCCTACACCGAGATCGCCGCGGCCCGCGCCCTCGTCTACAACGCCGCCCGCAAGAAGGAGGCCGGCGAGGACTTTGTCCGCGACGCCGCCATGGCCAAGCTCTACTCGTCGCAGGTCGCCGGCCGCGTCGCCGGCCTCGCCGTCGAGTGGATGGGTGGTATGGGCTTCGTTCGCGAGGGCCTTGCCGAGAAGTTCTGGCGCGACTCCAAGATTGGCGCCATCTACGAGGGCACCAGCAACATCCAGCTCAACACCATCGCCAAGCTCCTCCAAAAGGAGTACACTGCGTAGACGGGGAGTCGAGTGCGAAGTTGGATAGAGCTTTGTGAAAATTTTAAGCAAAAGCAGAATGAACATGTATCTGTAGAACATGGCAAAAGTTAGAGCAATCTCAGAAAAAAAAAACTTCAAAAACTACACGTCTCGGTCCGTGCCCATCGTAACTTGCGTATGATACCCCCAAGCTACCTCACCTCTTACATACAAGAACGACGATGAACAGGCAGGCTAAAAACCACTAGTAAATGTAGTATAAATTCTGCAAGTCTTCTCCTTTTTACATCGCTTCACCGTCGTAACTCGTCTCCAGCCTTCGTTTTACGAACCTGTTCCCATCCCTCTCGCCGCTTTTTTCGCCGCCATCTTCGTCAACACTTGGCCAAAAACGGATGACAGAGAATGAACCCAACAACCGCCAAAAACGTTGACAAGAAAAGGAAAAGAAGCAGAAGACTGAAGGAGCAGAAATATAAATGCGAGCGGTATAGAATATTATAAAAAAGGTGTCTCCCATCAAGGATGAGAAGAGCAGTAAACGTATATATCAATGACGGCGGCTTCGTGGCGTGTGGGAGTATCATCTAAACGAGTGCCCTCCTTTGTCTTGTGCTGTGACTTCGTGCTGGCCCGCCTCCGGCCTCCGGCCTCTGGTCTCGCCTCCATGCCTCCAACTCCCGCTCCGAATATGCAACACACCATGCAAATGCCATGCTCCTCTAGGCGGGTAGCGTGAGTACCCAGTATGGTCTCCTCAATCTCCATCATCCATCTTCAATCGTTAAACATATGCAACACTCTCTTGACTAGTCAAAATCAGCCGTGTACGAGAAGCCACGGAACTCCTCCTGCATCGCTTGCGACAAAACTGTAAGATGTGTTAGTGAGTTGTGCCCCTGAACGATGGCGAAAGCTGACATACCTGACTGCACGGGCGTGAGCACGGGCGTTACACTGGTGAATTCGGAGTCGAAATTGCTCGTGTCCGTGGCGCTCTTAATCGCAGGCTTGAATGGCGGTGGCCCACGCTTCAGGTAAATGTCTTCCCAGTTGATATTCTTGAAGAAGGCGTGGCTCATGACTTCCTGGGCGTCCGTCGGCCCGCTGCCTAGGCGGTCGTTGGGTTCACGCGTGAGTAGCTTCTGAAGAATGGACACAGACTCCTTCGGCATGCTAATGGGGTAAAGCGGCTCATCCGACAGAATGGCTTCGTAGATTTCGTCCTCATCCTCACCGCGGAATGGCGACTGTTGCAGAAGCATCTGATAAATCAAGACACCGAATGCCCACCAATCAACCGCGCGGCCATACTTCTTATCCAACAAAATCTCGGGCGCCATGAATTCGGGCGTGCCGCAGAATGTACCAGTCGTGGAGCCGTACCACATGTCCTCCTTGCAAAGACCATAATCCGCAACCTTGATGTGTCCGTCCAGCGTCAGCATGATGTTGTCGAGCTTCAAATCGCGGTAGACAACGCCGTTCTCATGGAAGTACTTTAAGGCCAGGCAGACTTCGGCAGCGTAGAACTGTGCTCGTCGGGCGCCGAATTGTCCGCGCTGGATGTGAAGCATCAAGTCACCACCGCTAATGTACTCCATGACAAAGTAGACACGCGTCTCCGTCTGGAAACAGGCGTGAAGGTTTGTCAGGAAGGGGTGGCGCTCCCGATTGGCGACTAAGAACACTCTCTTCTCGGAGCGCATGCTCTCCACCTCGTCATTCTCAATGATAAACTCCTTCTTCAAGACCTTGATAGCGTATAGCTTCTTGGATCTCTTAGTCTCGGCCAGCATGACCTTGCCAAAATTTCCTTTACCCAGGACAGCCAGGAAGTTGAAGTGATCCAGGCCGATGCGCTGTCCAGTGCCGGGATCGGTAGCCAGTGGCAGAGCCTTGCGGCCGCCAGCTTGCCCGCCTTGGGGAGGGTACGCCTTCTGCGGGGAAGTCGGCTCTGCGGGTCGGGCAGCAGGTTGGGCGGGAGGAGGCATCTGCTGGACAGGCCGAACCTGGACGGGCGACTGCATTTGCTGTTGTTGCTGAGCGTAGCCACTGTTGACGTTTGCGTAATCTGCCGGGTTGTAGGGGCGCGTCTGAGGCTGCGTCTGCATCTGGGCTCCGTAAGCGCCGGCGGCGGCATGTGCATCTGGGGTCTGTTGACCATAGCCGCCGTATCGGCCGTAGTCGGATCTCTGATTTTGCTGCGCCGACATGCCGGACATGGCAGCTGAAGCGGCTGCGGCAGCTGCAGAAGACGCAGCTGTGGTTGTTGAACTAGTGCTGGAAGGGGCGCGTCCGGGTGCTGGTCGCTGCTGGCTAGGTGGTGGCTGATTTGCGTATATGTGCTTGGCGGCCTCGGCTGCGCCGGGCGTCGTAGGAGTGAGCTGTGGCGGCTGGGCGGAGCCGGTTGGGGAAGAGACGGTGGAGGCTGGGGTGCCCGACTGAGAGCTGGGGCTGCTCATCTTCCGTAAAGTTCTGTCCGTCAGGCCCGTCGACCCCTTGGCCTTTTGTCTTTGGACGCGGATGCCTTGGAGAATCTGGTTTGCCACGGCCATGGACATGCCACAGAAGTCTGGAACAAGGTGCACACAGTGGGCATGACTTGTGAGACTGCATTCAGTGCATTTTCTACAGTTCTTCTTACCAAAGGGCAAGATGTAACCGCAGTGGCAGCACCAGTTGGCTGTGACGTTGGAGAAGGGCTGGAATCTGTGAGGGATGCGGTGGTTGATTTTCTCCTCCTCGGGGTCGGTCTCGGCGTTGCTTTTACTGATGCACTTGGTGACGACACTCTGGTAACACTTTGTGTGACAAGTGTACTTGCAATCTTCGCACTGCATGCCGGCAGAGTATTTGAGGAATTCGCCGCAGAGCGCGCATCGCATAATGTTGTAAAACTGCTGCTGGACGAACTTGTGGCCGTACATTTCGTGGACCTCTTCCTTACGCTGGCGAACAGCACCCTTTCGGCCGAGGCCGACATCGACAGGGCGCTTGTCTCGGTTCTGCTTGTCGAAGCTTATCTGCAGCTGAATCTGACCAGCGGGTTCGAGGTTAAACCAGCCTTCGATAGGGCCGGTGCTGACCTGGGAGGGCGGAGGAGCGCCGTAGGCACCACCAGGCTGATTGGCGCCTTGAGTGCCGGCAGCTTGAGCGCCGAATGAGGCTTGAGATGGGCTCATGGGGAACTGAGCAGGGGGGGTGGCGCCGGCATAGCTACCCATCTTGTCGGCAGACACCCAACCAGAGCTATTCATTTCGGCTTCTATCCTCTTGCGGCGCATCTCCTCGAGGATATCAGATATTCTGATCCAAAGCAGGCCGATGGGCATGGGGTGCTCGCTAGGCTTGTCGTAGACGATGATTTCTATTTCGTTGGCTTTCTCGACCTCGATATTGTGAAATTCGGATTCCCAACGGTCGCTTCTAGATGCTTTAGTACGGGCCATGACGTTGTCCTCGACCTTGACGGCGACAAAAGTTTCGGGACCGCGGGAGAAGCGGGTAGTGGCAGCGTGATCGACGTTGTTGACGGCGATGATACGGATAGTGAGGGAGCCGCTGAGGGGCTTGCGAAGGTTGGGGGTGTTAATCGAATCATCTGAAACTGGTCAACTCGGGAAGGGTAAGTTGAAGTCGTTGTGGGAGCGTACCATCGGTGCCATCCGCGTTATCCATATCAATATGCAGTTCCTCGTATCTCTTCAACGACTGCTTCAAAATAACGATTTTCTGCTTGCTTTCGGTTTTTCGAGCCGCAGCGTCGGCCTTGCTCTTGCGGTCGCCTTCCATGCCGTAAAGCTGAACCATCTTTTCGACACCCTTAAGATACTGTTCCTCAACATTGAGCTTGAACTGAAGCTGAGTGAGCATGAGCTGGATACGGGGACCGAGGTAGGGGGTGTCATATTTTATGAGATCTAGAGGGGGAGGTAGTTAGCTAGGTATAGGGGACGTAGGGTGTGGTGGTTATGGGGAGGGCAGATAGACTCAACATACCGAGCTTGGTAAAGTTGGGGCGGCCCTTGGGCATTGATGCACCCGGAGGCTGAGGGGTAAAGGGATGGTGAGAGGGCATCCTGTCGCCATGCTGGCCGATTTGGCTGTATTGAGTCGAGGAGTCCTTGGGAGGAGGAGGGGGAGGGCCGTCGGCGTCGTCGCGGACATCCATGCTGCCCATGCCTTGGCTGACACGACGCATCTGGAGCTCGTTGAGGCGCTCCTCGAAGAACTGAATGTTGCGGCGACCGTCGCGGATCTGGGAGTCGAGACGAGAGCGGACTGCATCGTTGTCGGTCTGGGAGCGCATGTTGTTGGCAGCAGTGATGAGAACGCGCTCCTTCTCGATCTTACGCTGGATGTCGATGATGGTTTGATCTTGCTTCATGGTGGGAGCAGGCGCGCGCGATGCGTTGCGCGCAGGACGGCGGGGGTGTTGCGTTGACCAAAATGGAGGAGGGGGGAGGGAGGAGGGGTCGCGCGACGAGAAGCTATGAGAGCTGTAATATGTATCTTGGAGAGCTCCAAGGCGTAGCAAAGTGTCGCTCTGTCGACGGGCGGAGGAGGAGGACGGCGACGAGCAGCACTAGGTGGCGGTGGTGGCCAACGGTGGTTGTGTAAAGATGAGGTTGGCGAGGTAGTAGTTTGTAGGAGGAGAAAAAAAGAAAACAAGAGGGGCAAGCCAATTGCGTGAAGAGATAATTGGCGAGCTGGATGAGGGTGGGAGGAGGGCGAATTTATCGAGAATCGCTCCGTACTGTATGATTGTAGTGGCTATCTCCTTGCTGTGTCGTTCGGGCAGCAAGATGGGGGAGATGGATGGAGACTGAGGAGAGGGAGGAGGAGGAGGAGGAGAAGGGCTTTGGTGGTACGGCCAGACGGGATGGGTGGATGAGGTGGTGGTGAGGAAGCGGGAAAGATGTCGTCAGTGATGGAGAGGGGGGGTGGCTGCTGGACGGACCTAGTGGCAGTGGGTGGTAGGGGCTTTTCGGGGCTTTTCAGGCGTTTTGGCGGTGCCGTGAACTGTGCTGTGCCGTGGCGCGGAAGGCCTCTCTGCCTCTTTTCCACCTGGCAGTTGGCGGGGTTTTTCTTTCGTTGCCTGGGTGGGCTGTGGCGTCCGGTGTTTGGCAGGCCCGCCAACGACGACTTGTAGCGCCGTTGCCCGCTGTAAAAATGTCCCGAAACCTCTGGAGCCGAGCCAACCAGCACCGACCGTTGTTGATCTGGAGCCAGCGCCCAACGTCTGCCCACAGCACCAAGACAATAACAAGACTACCTCTGTTTCTTATTCGGCTAACAGTCGACTGGAACTTACCTTATCGCTGCGTTACACTTTGCAGGAATTGCAGCCCATCGTTCCTGCGGCATAACATGGGCCATGCTGGCCAGGCACCTGAACCCTCGAACCTCTTCCACTTGCATGCATCTGTAGCGCACCAGTTGCTGGTCCTCATACGCGCCGACCCAACTTGTGCTACCAATTCATCACCAACAGTCATCATCTACGTTACAGGCATATTACAGTTGCACAAGACAAATCTGCAAATGCTTTGATTGCATGCCTGCTCTTTGACTGTCTAGCTCCCACCCAGTTTACTCTCCTCTCCGTCCCTTCGCTTTGTTGTTTTCCTACCTAGTTAACCCGCGGAAATGTTAGCCGAGCAACCCCTGCCCGAAACTTGCTACCCAAATTGGCAATAAATTGCCCCTCACACGAGTTCCCCCGCGCAAGATAAAAAAAAGGTGCCCACCAGTAATGCAGATTCCATATCTTGATGACCTGATTTTAAAATGCACAAATTGTGGTCATTGTTTTTAGAAGAAAAAAGCATACGCATTATATAGGGAAATATTGGTCTAGGGCTTACTTACCTACGTTGCCTACATAGCTATCCTTACTACCTTCAGTCTCTGCATTATTCCTACGACCGTCACTTTCCGTAGTTACTCTTACCTTTGACAACTTGTTCCGAAGACTGGCTCTTCCCCATCTCAACACCGAGGAGGCCTCTCATTAATTGACCCGCGTGACCAAAACCCATAAAACAAATAATCTCAAGAATCAAGAATTATACGCTCTGAGCATGACCACGGCGGCCTCCATTCACACCCAACACGAGGTGACGTCTGTTGGCCCTGGCGCCGACGGGTTCGTGCTCCTCAGACCCTGACTTTGCCGATAACCCGGATTTTCCTTCTAAAAACGGCAATGTTAAGAAAATGCCCCAACGATTTGCACCCTCTTTTTTTTTGTGCGTGTGGTGTCAAGCCTGGCGGCTGCGGCCGGAAAGCCCTGGCTGCCTGCCTGCTGCGCCACATACCAGCCCGAAGGCATGGCGGCATGACGAAATAAGTTGCACCCTGAATTTGAGGTACAGCCGCATCACTTTTTGTTGAGCTTCTTCCAATGGGTCCATCACAGCCTCCTCCCTCTCGTATATGGAATCAATGGTCAAATTCGCTCATGTGACTAAATCTCTCCTACAATGCTCTAGTCTTACAACCCAATGTGGTAAAAAAAAAGGGGGATGGGGCTTCCATGTACAGGGAGGGAGTCGGTCGTGGATGTATGTACACGTGCCGTCTATCGTGCCGCCAGCACTGCTATGCTGCCGACAATCGCGGCCCCGGCTACGGCGCCTTGGAGCACGAGCGTCGTCGCATCCTTCATGCGCAGGTGAACCTGCCTCTCACTGCAGAGATCCGATGCCGCCGCCCTCCACCGCGCCGGATCCTGCAAGAACTCGCCCCAAGTCGTCGCTTGCGCCGGCCCTATCAAAGTTTCCGCCTCACCCTTGCCCTCCTTTTCCGGTGCTGTCGTCGTCGTCGTCGTCGTCGTCGTCGTCGCCATCTCCCCCTCCTCCGCACGACTCCGCAGCGCCGCGTCCATCTTGTGTTCCAAGCCCGTCCTGAGCGCCTCAATCTCCGCCCTCACGCCCGCCAGCACCTCGCCCTCGTGCTCGACGACGCCGCGGACCAGCCTCCTGCGGCGCCACGGCTCCGCGAAGAACTGCAGCAGGACGAACAACACAAAGTTCATGCCCATGAGGCCCCAGGTGCCCCAGGTGCTCGCGCGGCGGATGCGGTCGCTCCAGATCTGCTCCTCGTGGTAGCGCTTGAGGATGCCCGCGTTGAGGCGCTGGTTGAGGCCCTGCTCGTCGGCCTCGGCCGTGGTCAGCGCCTCCTGCGCGGAGGCCACCGCGCCCTCGAGCACGTGGTCCGTCCGGTACAGCTCCGTGAACCGCTCCAGGTCCGCCGGCGTCCACGTGTCCTTGCGCGCCAGCAGCGTCGTCACCTCGCGCTGCGTCGCCGCGCGCTTCGTGTTGGACGTCTTGTACGCCGCCCGCGCGCTCCGCACCCGCTCCTGCGCGGCGCCCAGCGTCCGCTCCATCGCGTCATTGTCGGCCTTGATCGTCTCGATCGAGGAGTACCCGGTCACGTCGTTGAGCGTCTGCGAGGCTGTCAGCGCCCGCGCCTGCAGCCTGTCCATGGCTTCGCTGAATTTGGTGTTGAGCGCGCTGCGTCGGCTCTCGGCGGCGGACGGCAGGCTGGCGGCGGCATTTTCCCGAGTCGTGTGCGTGTCTTTGTCAGACGGCGGCGGGGATGTCGAGTATAGGCAGCGGGAATTAGCAGAAGCTATGCTGGGTTTGTGAAGCTGCTGTCGCAAGGTTATTCGAGGCATCGCGGTCCAGCTCGCGGCGGCCAAAATGCTCCTCCGCATCGTCACGCGAGCGGCTGTCCCTGCCAAGGGGTGCATCTCGACGAGCGATTGATCTGCCGGCGGGTGACAACGTCGCTGTCAAGTAGCGTCTGTGTCCCGGAGCAATGCCGTCGAGAAGAACGTGTGGTTGCCGAAACTCAATGCAGTGGTAGCTAGTTAAATTGTGTCTCAAGATCAATCAATGGCTTAGCTAAAGTCAAGCCTCTCCTCTCCGTCCCGCCCTGACCGCTTTTGGTACCTGGACAACCCTGTTGGTACGTGGGTTGGCAGGTACCCAGGTACTTGTTGGGGGGGCAGCTTGGAGGACCCTCAATTGACAAAATGACGTTTTGCCGGGTCCAGCGAGAAGTTTGGACCAAATAAGTTGCTTGAGTCTTTTTTTTTTTCAGTGGCTGTGTATAGTTACACCCAGTAGGCCATTGATAATGACGCTCGAGCATACTTTTGTGGATTTTTATCCTCATTTGTGGAACTGCCTTTCGTCTTATCGATTCGGTGTTTGCCGATGGGATCAACATGTCGACTCTAATCATGTTGCGCCAATTCTCTTCCTTCCATAATATTTTGCCATAGAGCATTTTCAACCACAGAGACTGGTGTCGTGTTTGTCCTCTACTGTATTTTCTTGTCCGCAAATCGCCGCTTACTCTCATCCGCAAACGACGCCGTCATGGGTTCTCTCAACACCGACACGCCGGCGCTGGCCAACAACCCCAAGTTCATCTTCTTCACCGACTTCGACGGCACAATCACCACGGCCGACTCCAACGACTACATGATCGACAACCTGGGCTGCGGCGCCGCCAAGCGCGAGGCCGACAACCACGAGGTCCTCGCCGGCCGCGCCCACTTCCGCGACGTCTTCTACTCCATGCTGGACAGCGTGCGCACGCCCTTTGACGAGTGCCTGCGGCTGCTCCTCACGCACATCCGCCTCGACCCGGGCTTCAAGGACTTTTACCACTGGGCGCGAGACAACAACGTCCCCATCGTCATCCTCAGCGGCGGCATGGAGCCCGTCATCCGCGCCCTGCTCGACAAGATGCTCGGCGCCGGCGAATGGGACATGCAGATCGTCAGCAACGACGTGGCGCCGACCGCGGAGGGGCGCGGCATCAACGAGGAGGGCGGCTGGAAGATTATCTTCCACGACGACAGCGTCCACGGCCACGACAAGTCCATCGAGATTCGCAAGTACTCGTCACTGCCCGCGCGGCCCATCATGTTCTACGCCGGCGACGGGGTGTCGGACTTGTCGGCGGCCAAGGAGACAGACCTGCTCTTTGCCAAAGAAGGCAAAGGTAAGTGGCTTTTGTCAAGAGACATCCCCGAAAAGTCTGCTAATCTCCTGTTAGATCTTGTCACTTGGTGCGAAAATGCGAAGGTTCCGTTCGTTACGTTCCGCGACTGGACCAGCATTGGCCAAACTGTCAAAGACATTGCGGCTGGTAAAATTACCCTGCAAGAAGCTGCTCGCGGACGCATTTAAGAATACAGCCCTCAGCATGTGAAACGAAAATGAACGATAAAAGACAATAGTAGAGATGGGAAAATAAAGGGAAAAATAGAGATTTATAGAAAGGATATAGAGAATCAGACGCATCCTCTGATTTCATAGCAAATAGATAATTTCATCAATACCTTACAAGCCTGATAGTTGTTACGGCTGTCAGCGCTGCCCCGCCTCTTGCTCAAAGGTCTCGCAGCACAGCAATGTTTTTTTTTTCTCAGCAAAAGACGTCGTGTTCGCAAATTGAGTCTGGGCTGAGCGAGCCTGGGCTGAGTGAGCCTGAGTTTTTGACGAACAAGTAGGCTCGCTTGTTGTGAGGCTGCTGTGCAGCTTGAATGTGTTGTCATGCCGTTCAGCCTGAGCCTTCTATGCATATCATGAACGACACTCGGCTTTCTAGCAATTCTGAGAGAATTGAATCCCAATACGACGCGGCTACACGCAATAGTAAACGAGCTCGAAAGAGGATACTAATCGACTGGCCAGCCTTGCAGACCTCGGAATTCAACATCGGGCTTCCTTCAGCCTTGTTCTTGGGAACGCTAAAAAGATAACAGGGTCTCGCGGAAGAGTAGAGAAAGGTATTCGTAGAATTTCCTGGGCATAATAGTAGCAAAATAGGAAGATGGGCGAGAATAGCTTCACATCTACAGTGCTTAAATGTTTATTAGGTCGTTGCTTTTTTTCCCCTCTCGCTTACACGGTTTTTTTGGTGATCTGCAATGGGCTTCAGCTTAGAGCCGTATACGAGACATGACAGCCCCATGACGCTTGGGATCACGCCGTCGAACGACGGAGGAGAATAAAACGGGACGCTTGGAGGGGAAGCCGGAGATATTATGGCTTGGCATCATCATAATAGAGAAGAGAGCGACCCCAAACCTGAACTGTCTTGGGTCTTGGGAGCATTGAACTTTGCGGGGTCGCTGCTAAAAATAGTGTCTGTTCTCAGCCCTTTAGATCACTCTCTACTCCTCAGTAAGCTCGTCTCTTTACAAATTTTCCCACGGAGCAAGACATTAAGAATGTACCTAACAGAGCTTCTTCTCACGAATCCCGCCAGATACGGTCAAGTTTGCATCAAGGCTCGCGGTGTGGGTGAGAGGGCAGCTCCGCACTATGCATCCTCGATGCGAGCCAATACAAGGCAGGGCTCGCCTCTGCACCAGACAGCTTTTATTCTTGGCGCGCCCCAGTGCTGAGGGAACATCAATTCCGTGAACCCCGGAAGGCTGCCAATGATGTCATGTGGACAGCGCGGTTCGGCGGGACAGATCGGTGAGGGCTGGATCCAGAGGCTAGCTAGTCTTCTTGTTGACTGACCGGAACTAATTCTCTTTCGATGTTGACGCAGAATACGAGCATGATGCACGCATGAAGTCAGTCAGCGTAGGATCCTCTTCGCTCGTATCCTTGGTGAGCTACTGGCAGACCAGCTACCGCGGACACTTCCGTCCCACGATACTACTGGGGCCCGGGCAGCAAGGCAACCCTTCGAGGTGAATGCCTGATGTTCTCGCTGCATTGTGTAGCCAGCCTTATTGAACATACTGCTGCGAGCTCAATGTAACCCATATTCGGCATCCGCGATGAGCCGAACGATGTAGGCCATGAAAAAACTATTTAAGGACCTGGTGATCCTGCTCATGCTGTGATTGAACCATCTCCATCTCCATCAGCATCCACCCATCAAAGCAATACAGCATCAAAGACCTCATTTCTCTTCTCTTATTTTCCATCTTCACAAAAACCAATTACATTCACAATGAAGGCTTCCATCCTCTCCATCGTCGCCGCCGTCGGTCTTGCCTCTGCCCAGTACGCCTACGTCGAGAACCACTGTGACCATACCGTCTACGTCGAGTCCTTCCCCTATGACAACCACGCCCCTGGTGTGCTCTACACCGTCAAGCCCGGAGAGTACTTCAAGGAGGCTTTCCGCTACTACGGAACGGTACGTGCTGACCGTCTCAACCACCCTTTGCTAAAATCCACCTCGCTGTAAAGAGAAGTGAAGAGTTGCTGCTAACACATCTCACGTAGACCGTCAAGATCTCCAAGTCGCGCAACTTTGACAACGTCCTCCAGTACGGCTACTCCTTCGGCAAGAACCCTGATCTGGCCTACTGTAAGTCCCCCATGCAGAGCCTGCAACTACTATTCTTGAAGAATCGATCGCTGACCATCCTCGACACAGACGAGTTCAGCAACGTCAACGGCAACCCCTGGGCTGACAAGCACAACACTCTGAGCGCTGGTTCCGGCTGTGATTCCTTTGATTGCAAGCCCAACGATGCGAGCTGCTACAGCAAGAACGGCGCCAGGGTGCTTCACTGCCCCGAGCCGCTCAACATCACCGCTAAGATCTGCGTCTGAACTATGCCAATGACATTATGACCAACTATAGTAATTATTTATTGAAAGACTTATGATAGAAATATATACATATGTACCTAAAATTCGAACCCGTCGTATTTGCAAAAAGGAAAAAACAATGGCCTTTCCTCTTTCATTACTCGTTTCGTCTCTTTGGCTCCGGGATGCCATACCAGCATAGCAGCATGCAAAGGAACAAGAAGATGACAATCGGGTGCAGCACCCACGTACCAACCGCCTGCGCGATCAACCCTACGATGAACGGCCAGACGGCACCGCCCATGCTCCCGAATGCGCTGATGGTGCCCATGCCGCTGAGCGTCTCCCTCGGCGCCATGCCGCGCAGGAACGCCGACATTGCGCACGGGTAGACCGGCCCGAGCAGGACGCCCACAATAGACACGGCGACGGCGTTGCCAATGACGTTGGGGACGAGCCAGACGAGCAGCTCGAAGATGAGCGCGCCGATCACCAGGCCGTAGACGAAGCGCCGCTCGCCGACGCGCTGCGCGGGCGCGACCAGCAGGAACCGGCCGAGCGTGATGCCCCCCCAAAAGCCCGCGGTCACGTAGCCGACGGACGCGGGCGTGCCGTCGCGCGCCGAGATGAGGAACGAGATGACCCAGCCCGAGATGGATACCTCGGCGCCCTGGTAGCAGAAGATGAACGTGGCGCCAAGCAGCACCAGGCGCGTCCGCATCGAGCCAAACATGCTCCAGAGCGCCTCTCTCCGGGTGGTCGCCGCCGCGCCACCACCGCCGTGCTGCAGCTCCGCGTCGTATCCCTTAAACGCCCACAGCGCGGCGCCCACGCTCAGCGCAAAGACACCCGCGGTGAGCACGTAGTACCGCGTCCAGGGCGCGCCGGCGGCGGCGACGATGCTGGTGGCGACCAGCGGGCCGGAGACGCCGCCGAGCCCGTAGCAGCCGTGCATGCAGCCGAGGACAAAGGTGCCGCCGGCGAGGCTGCCGCAAAAGGTGTTGGCGATGGCGACGTTGACGGCGATGCCGAAGCCGACGGCGAAGAAGGCGAGCACGACGACGGGGAAGGGCGCGCCGGCGATCATGGGCGCGTAGCTGAGCGCCATGAGCGCCTGCGCGAGGCCGAGCGTGCGCGCGTGCCCGAGGGAGTGCCGCAGGCTGTCGAGGAACAGCGCGGCGACGACGAATCCGAGCGCCTGCCCGACGAAGATGAGCGAAACCTGGGCGTAGCCAATGTCGTAGTACCTGGGTGGTTGTTAGCTGAGGAAAGGGGAGGCTTGGACGGGAGAAGAAAAGGAGGGCTGACTTTTCCATGTAGGGGATGAGGGCGCCGGCGGCGCTGTCGCTCATGCCCTCGGCGAGAGCGGTGGCGCAGGTCAGGAGAAGCCGGAAGCGGTTCATGTACGGCTCCCAGACGGTGGGCACGACGACGGCGGCGTCGGCCGGCGGGTCGTCGGGCGTGCCGGGGCGACTCATCATCTCTAGGTCGTCGTGGAGCGGCAGCGGCGCGGCTGTTGCTATAGCGTCGGCCGGGCCGCTAGGATCGGCGGGAGTCGGCAGCGGCCGGAGCTCGAGGCGGTCCTTGGTCGGCGCCGGAGGGGCGGATCGGGTCTGGTGCAGCGCCGGCAGTGGTGCATGGAGCGCCGCCGCGGTCTCGGAGGATAAGCGGCGTGCGGGCTCCGCCGACTGCACCGCCACGAGGCTCTGCAGAATGGTAGAGTTCATGCTGAACTTCTTCGTGAAGAACCTGCTCTGAAAAATTGGAGGTGGTCGATTTCCACGCGGGCGGGCTTTGCTGGGGCGGGAAAGCCGGGGCTGAGAGGGGGAATCGCCCCTCTAAATAGAATGAGGACGAGAGTTGATGGAGGCAAAAGAGAATTGAATGCGAAGATGAATGGGAAATGAATTGTTAAATGCAATGTGCATTTATAAGCAAGAACAGTTCGGCATGCGCAACTCGGCTGAGGAGAAGAGTCGGCGACGGCGATGTCGGCGACGGCCTTTACACCGCTCTCAGGCCCGAAAGCAGGGTTTTAGACTTTGAAGCTCCCCTGTAAAATAGAAACCACTTTTTAAACCACTTTATTTTGGGGGGTTCCCCGCGCTTCGTCGTCAGTCGAGAACAGCCTGCTCGTGTTGCTACTCTTAGACCTGAAGATCCGGACACGGTGGATATCCGTCCACGGAGCCAGCAGACAGCAACGCCATGATCTGTCACGGTCGGTATGACGGACCGAAAATACAGGTCTCACTACTTGTACAACTTTGACGACTGTAAAAGGTCACCATGCGGAATGGCAGCATTTGAACATGCCGTGGGCACGGCATGTATTAGGTGCGGCTGGCGGAGATGCCGTTTTAGGCAGTCCAGTGTAGAAGGTATTTGTGCCTGGATTAACGAGGGACCTGTCTGGCACGAAGGAATGCTGCTGCATTGACTTTATGTTGCTAGGTAGGTTTGATAAGTATCTACTAAAGACTTTACTAGTTCACTATTGACTGTATGGTATGAAAGGAAGATCTTTTTTTCCTTCGCCTGGGCACTGCGCCGGGGGTTTCCTGATCTCGCTTGGCCTCCAGTACTTGTGAGCTGGAGTTGCAGCTCAATCAGTCAATCAATCATTCAAACAACCACTCGATATATTTGGTAAAGCGCATTTAATATGAATCACTGTCCTATATTGTTGTTGCGTACTTTCGGCCCCTTACCCTGTACTAATTAACACATCAGGAGAAGCTGTGCGTACAGATAGATGATCTGTGCCTAAAATACCAGGCAAAGAAACGGGTCCCACCCTCGCCCCGCCCACCCTGACACTCCCCAGCCAACCAACGCGTTTGCCTTTCGTTTCTAGTTATCTGGCTCAGATCAGATTCTCGCGAAAACATTGGCACTTCACTATTCTTCTTCTTTGGTTCCGTGACTATGGACGTCGAAGATATGTTGGCAAGTTCGCAGGATCTGCCGCCCCGAGGCAGCAGCGCCCGCGACAACAGCGACTCGGAGCCCGACTTTCACGACTCGGAGCTGTTGAACCGCGGTTCCTTGTCGCAGGGGTCGGCGAAGAAGCGCAAGCATCTCTCCCCGCTGAACGGGACCAGCAACAAGAAGCGCAAGAGTGTTTCCTCTCCCGACAAGAAGCGCAAAAAGAAGCGCAAATCGCGTGATGCTGCGCTTGACAGCATCGCCGACGAGGAGGATCAACGAGACATTCCCGACTCGTCCCCCGTGTTGCGATCGGATCGGCGCGACTCATTGGCTGAGGCTGAGGCTGATAGCCGCACCAATGCCGGCGCCAGGGATATTGAGAGCGATTCCGAATTTGTTGCCCGAGAAGCCTCTCAAGAATACGCCGCGAACCAGTCTACGCATAACGAAATGGACGAAGCACGGACAGAATCGCGGGCAGAGTCACCGACAGAAGCGCCAGCAGAGTTGCCGACAGAGGCACCGACAGAGGCACAAACGCAGACATCAACTGACGGAGCTACGTCAAGACCACGACGCGCCCCGTCCACACGCAAGAAATCCAAGCCGACCTATTTTGAGGCGCCTTTACCAGCGCTACCACCGGAAGCTTTCGAAAACCTGAATGCGCCACCTCGGCGCGCGAAGAAGGCGAAGAAGGGCTTCAGGCGAAAACAGAAAGCTGACCGGCTGCAAGACCACAGCGATGAGGCTGATCACAGTCATGAGCCCGATCGACGGACCTACACGACGGGCCAATTCACCACATTCGAATTACAACGCATTGCCGATGCGATTGAGGGCTTCAGAGTGGAACATGATCTGGAACAACGCGAAGTAAACGAGGTACGCTGGGCTTGTCAAATCATGTGATGGCTAAATACCAATATCTCTTTATCTAGATGATCCAAGCCCGTGGTGGAACCACTGCTGGAGAACTGCATGCTAAGCTCTGGAGTCGCATTTTTGACGAATGCCCGGATCGCCACCGACAAAAAGTCATCAACACGGCGCGCAAAAAGTTTCACAATTATGTTGCGCGAGGCACCTGGACTGACGAACAACACAAAGAGCTGTCCGAGCTCGTTGACAAAATTGGCCACAAGTGGTCCGAGATTGGCGCACTCATCAATCGTCACGCCGAGGATGTTCGCGACCGTTTTCGAAACTACGTTGTATGTGGTGAAAAACAGAAGAAGGCGGGCTGGGATAGCGATGAGGAAGCGGGTCTCACAAAGTTTGTTAACATGGCCTTGGAGGAGGTTGCGAGAATGCGCAGAGAGGATCCCGACAAGTTGGATCCGAACAGAACGGATGAGGATCATGTCGACTGGCAGGGTATCAGCGAGAACATGAAACGTACGAGAAGCCGCCTGCAGTGCATGACCAAGTGGAAGTCAATGAAATCACGAGGCGAAAGCAAGGTCAAGCCCGCCTCGTCTGAATCCGAGTCGACCATTTCTCTAAGACTGGACAAGGCTCGCCGTCAACTTGAAGAGATGCCTGATACCGAAAAGTATCGCCTGGTGCTTGCAATCAAGTCCACACAAGCCTCTATTACCGCCAAGATTCCGTGGCAGAAGCTGTGCGACAAACAATTCCGCAGCTCCTGGCAGCGAGCTACGCAAGAGCTCGTGTGGAGTCGCCTGCTCAAGTCTGTCCCTGGCTCCGCCATAAAACAAGTACAGGAGTGTGCCCAATACCTGGTGGACGAATACGACCAAAATGGAGAACTCCCAAACATTGGGGGAGAAGGCTGGGACGATGATGAGGAGATGGTGCTGCTAGCTCAAGTCCCGGCCGGGAGGAGAGAGTCGCGAAAAAGCACCAGCTCCGAGAAGCTTACCCTGGAAGATATGCAGGACGACGACGTGGATCCGGCAAAACCGAATGATGACGACGTCGATGGGGTAGACATGGAGGCCAACGCGCAGATTGAGGCTGAGACCGAGAACCTCATTGATCCTGCCCTAGATACGCTCGCCGAGGTACCGCAGTCTGCGCAGAAAGCCACTCCGGCGAAGAGAAGCCAGAAAGGCAAGCGACCTTCGGCCAGAAAACCAAGGAAGTCAATGACGGCGCTCGAGGAGTCTGCTGATATTGCGGTCGGTGCTGAGGAGACTGATTTGAATTAGCTTTGTTTTTATTATTCAGGCACATGCAGCAATCGTTTTTGAAAAGAAAACATGCTTGTTTCCTACCTATGCATTATCATTATTATCAGTGGCATTTACGAAGAAGATATAGTGTTATGTTCCTCCTCAATCCTGTGCTTGATCGCTCAGCCATGTGATACAGGCGCTAGTCAGGTAGCATGCGGGCCCCTGGCTACCAAGGCAATAGGTAGAGTCGGCGCTGAGGAACATTAAGTTGCTAGCATTTCCTCCCTATTATCCACGAGATATTAAGACGCCACGACAAATTAGCTCATCTAGCGACGCTGAGACGGTGCTGTTGGCGCGATCTTGATACGAAGCGATGGAGGAGGCGCCAACAAAGACGACCGTTGCGGTCATCGGCCTTGGTAAGTAAGCCAGTGGTCACCGAGGTACCAAGCCAAAGGCGCGGTCCCAGGCGGCTACGTGATGCTATTCTGAGGACCAGTCAAGAAACAAGTCGCTAATATTTTCGCATTTCGATGAACGTCACAGGGGGCATGGGTATCGCAGCAGTCAAGAACCTTGTTGAAGAGGGCTTCCAAGTTACCGGCTTTGAGAGGAACGCGTACTGCGGCGGCCTGTGGCACTTTACCGAGGACAAGACCACTTTGAGCATCCTAGAATGTAAGCTGGTTGCATGTTAAATCAGGGACAATTGAGAGCGCTCAAGCTAATCGAGCGCTAGCTACTCAAGCTAATATTCCTATTGAAAGAGCATGTCATGCTCCGTACGAACCCAACTGGTTGTAAAGCTAACCACGGCTGCAGATGTGCTATACCGACTTCCCATTTCCCAAAGGTATGTGCGGCTTCTTGGCTTCTTATCTTTGCCATTGAGAGATCAGTCTAACGCGCTGCTCCTAGACACACCGACACACTGCTCCGCGAAGGATGTTGAAAAGTACATAGAGTCGTACGTGGAGCGGTTTCAGCTCGCGCCGCATTTCAGACTCAATACCTCGGTCACGCATATTTCCGAGAACGAAGAGACAGGCCGGTGGAAAGTCGACATTGACGGCGCCCCGTCGGAGTACTTCGACAAGGTTGTCATGGCGACTGGTCCGCATGTTAAGCCGACCACCTTTCACCTGGATGGCCAGGAGTTGTTCGCTGGCGAGGTGATGCACTCACAGCAGTTCAAAAGGTAGGTGGGCAGAGGTTCTGCATTCCTAACAAACAACAACGGCGTTTGCTGTTCAACTGACAACCCCCCTTAGAGCATCTGACTATGCTGGTAAACGAGTTATCGTCTCAGGGTTGGGCAATACTAGCGCCGACATCGCAAATGAGCTTGTGGGAGTCGCATCTGAGGTCTACCTGTCGCACAGCAGAGGGGCACATGTGGTATGTTCGCACGCAAGCAAGTCGTGAGCTTATAGCCCTACTGACCACCTTCCGCAGCTGCCTCGCGACCTCAAGGGCGTGCCCGCGACCAGCGTGCTCACGCACCGCCTCATCCGTCTACAAAGCACCATCGACTGGCTCCTCCCCGGCCTGCGCGACGTCATCAGTGGGCGCGTCCTCCGGGGCATCACGCGAGCCGTCTTCGGCGACCTGGACCCCGCGTGGCGCCTCGACGACGCGCCGCCCGCCACCGTCACCAACCCCATCATCAACGACTTGCTGATCCCCAACCTACGCGCCGGCCGGCTCGCCTCCGTCGCCGGCATCCTGCGCATCACCTCCGCCGACACGGTCGAGCTCACTGACGGCAGCACCGTCCGCGCCGACATCATCGTCTGCTGCGTCGGCTACGAGAACAGCTACTGCCACGTGCTGGACTCCCGTATCGACCCTACGCGGTACGCTGACCCTGCCTGGGACGCCGCTCCCGGCGCCCGCGGCCGGCCCCTGCCGCGGCTCTACCGCAACGTCTTCTCCCTGGACCGCCCGGACACGCTCGCCTTCGTCGGCTGCGCGTGGTTCGCCACCGGCGCGCTCACCGTGGCCGACCTGACCAGCATGTGCATCGCGCAGGTGTGGCGCGGCCGGTCGCGGCTACCGCCGGCGCGCGAGATGGAGCGCTGGATGGACGCGCAGGCCGCGTACGTGGCCGGGCTGGCGCGCCGCGCGACCATCGTCCCGGCGACGGTGGACATGCGCGCCTGGCTAGCGTGGGCGGACGAGACGGCGGGCTTGGGGGTGGAGAGGCGTGTCGGGAGGTGGTTCGGGAGCGCGTGCTGGGCGTTTTGGTGGCGCGAGCATCGGCTTTATAACATGATTGATAGGGGAGTCTTGACGTCGGCGGTTTGGCGGCTGTTTGAGGAGGGGAAGAGGAAGGCGTGGGATGGCGCGAGGGCGGAGGTCGAGAGGTTGAACGAGAAGCACGAAGCCAACTTGGCGCGGTACAGGGAGAGACAAGCAAAAAGTTGACGGAGATGGCAGTGAGCCTTGCTGATAGATATGTCCTCTCATGGTTTTTGAATGCACAGGTAAAGTGATCTACACGGATACTAGCTCTGCCATGGAATTGGCACGCACCAATACTCCTTTATTATTGATCACAACGTCATTTGTAATGTACAGCCGTGAAACCAAAAACTGCTTGAACTCCCAACCGCTCGTCTAATTTCAAATCCTCGAGTCCTTCAGCAACCGAGTCCAAGGAGTTGGGCTGTAGATACTCAGGGAAATGTCAGTCCGGTGTCGTGACCAGATGTCATCGAGTACTAACAACAATCACTGGTGACTTTTATGCGAAGTAGCTCTACTGTTCCCTAAAGGCCGCCCGGAAGAGCACCTCCGGCGCCCGACACGGCACCACCAACCGGTGGCACGGCACCGCCGACTGGCGAGAGAAACAGAATTGCTCTAGCCGAGGCAGCGATGGTCTTGTCTCATGCCGTAATGAGGGCGAGACATCGTGAAGAAAGACTATTGTATCTACGAAGTAGAGCGAGCATCCGGGCCACAGCCAGGAATGAGGCGACGGCGAGGTATGAATGAAGGTCCAATGTGAAAACGTGCTTATTGAACTGATGAGAAAAGTGTTGTGATGGATACAACCCATGCGGACCCTGTCGACCAGGCCCTTGATCTGGAGAATGTGGGGAGACCCTTGCACTGCAAGGGATGCCGGTTCACAAATTCTTCAAGTTGTTTCCATGTCTTTTGACTGACGTATTCCTGCCGATCAATGGGAATCAATTCAGTCCCGAGTGTAAGCCTTGCAGAACGAAGCAACAGGCAGACAACCGGTACTTCCCAGGACCACAGCTCCTTACTCAATCCGCACCGAGATATCTGGTTAAAGCCAAACTTGTGGATTGTGGCAGAAACACAGGCGCTAGGAGAGCTATGGAACGAGCGAACGACAGGGCAGGCGATAATGACCTTTAATTCTGAGCATCGTGTTGGTCGTAGAGTGAGTTGTGTCCATGAGGAACGGAGCGGGCCGCTGGCGCTGATGTTACATGATAATTTATTGTTTCGCTCGCATCCTTCTATCCGACTTAACTATATAAGTATAAAGGGTGTAGGTAGCAAAATGGTCGGTAGTTGGACAGGTCATCCCTTGTGAATAGCTGCCTGACCAGGGGCAGACTACGGCTACAAGGCGTAGAACACGAAAGGCGCCAGAACGACGCTGTGTACTTATCAGGCTACCGATCACGAGGCTTCAGTAGCATTATAGCCCAGTCTATCTGTTAACTAGGCACAGTCGACCCCTCGCAATCTTGTTTCGTTGGTAACCCCTGGAACATGTCTGGTACTTGGTTGCGACGTTCCTGGAACGTGTCCTACCCAACTACCCAGGCACATAAGTAACGTGGCTAACGCCGTGGCTGCCCCAGTCACTTATTAGCGGCCGATGACAACTCTCCAGATAATAACGGTTGTATACCAACGTTTGTATCGTAGTAGGATATTTTCATTAGTAAACCACTCCAAGCTACCTACCTATCAATGAGGCAATGTAACTCGGTAGAACACACATCTCTTTGTTATATAGGTACCTAATAGTTAGTACCATACCCATGTATCCCGAAGAAGCACATGCAACAGGTACACGTCAGGGCCATCTCATGCGCCACGTCTAAGCGCCCTGGTACCTGAGCAGGCGAGGTGCCATTGCAGGTAGAGCAACATGGTATCTCAGTATCCCAGCACAAAGACCTGGGCAGTAAATTCTACAAATTGAGACGGCCATACTGTCTGCTTCTGCTTGATTTTCTTCTCAAAAATAAAGAAACAAACAAACAAATAAATAAATAAATAAATAAATAAAGACCGTGGATATTCGGCGGCCATCATCTCCTTGCCTGCTCTGCCCACCTAGGCAGGTCGGTACCTCTTCTGAAGCAGGTTGACCCCCTCTCCTCTCCCGACAATGTACCTTTGTACCTACACACGTACACACGTACCTCCTCCTCCCTCCCTCCTTGTTGCCCGCTTACCCGCTTACCTCATGCCTGCTGTGCTGCTGTCCGTCAGTCAGTAGCTAACTAGGTAGACCAACCCTGCCTGCATGCTGGTCTCGTATGTTTATTTCCAGACATGCCTCATGAAGCAAACAGGCTGCTGCGCCTGCTCTTTCTTTGCTAGGTTTGGAGCTTAATCCAGGCATTGCCCCGGGCCTCCCTCCTGCTGCTCCTCCTCCTTCGCCGCCGCCGCCCGCCGCTGTCGCAGCTACCCACGACTTTGTGCCCTTTGTTGGTACAAAAAAAGGAGCATGGGACGAAAGCCCACTCCGCAGCCACTCATGCTGCCAGACTCTGCCAGTGCCCTCACTCGCGACAAACTCGACACCGCTACCGACCCGAATACTACTTACCCACCGAGCGTAGCATCGACAGACGCGATTTCCGCCCTTGGCCAGCCCTCTGTTCTTCCCAATCGCCCATCCACCGCGCGCGAGCCTCTCCCACCCTCCCACCATCGTCGCGACGACTATCCCCTCCCGCACTCCTCCCACGCCAACCTCGACTCCTTCTCCCGCCCAACCCAGCAGCCCTCCCGCCAACCACATCCTCAAACAGAGGGCAGGAAGGCTTCCAAGAGTGGCTTTTTTCACTTCAGCAAGGGGCCTCGCGTTGCTACACAGCCGCTGCCCGCAACCGAGCCCCTTCTTGACAAACAGCAAGATCACGCCGCCGCCGCCGCCGTCGCCGCCCCCAGAAGTGGCGATCCTGCGACGACGGAGTGCCCGGGAGGTATGTGCTTCCCTCAGCTGCCTTCTGTTACCTGTGCTCCTTGCCCCACCGATGAATCCGCGGCCTGTCCGCCGTTTAACCGCCCATCTCTTCTGTCGCTTGCCCGCCACTGACATGTTCTTTTCTTTACCTTCAAGGCTCAGTCTACGGACACGACGACCTGCAGCGTCCGAATCTGCCCTTCTCGTCCCAGTCACAAGTTTCACTCTCTTCCGCCGGCGACACCGACAGCGCCACAACCGCCAGTAGCAAGCAGCGCAAAGTCAAACCGTTTGGCCGACTCGGACGCTCAAAATCGAATCGCGACAAGGACCGCCCAAGTCCCAAGGCCGCCCCTACCACCCTCCCAACCACACCCAGCGTCCCCATTCTGTACGACAATTTCGCTCCTCTGAGGACTGCGCCGGTTGCCCAGGATCGCGCTTTCCGGGATATGATGAATTCGAGCATCCGAAACCGCTCCGAAGATCGTGCTCTCACTCGAAACGGCAGTGCCAGCCGCGAAAATCTGCGCGATAACACACAGAAGATGCACTCTTCCTCTTACAAAGACAATGGCGGGTCGACATTTCTGAGCGGCTTGCGTGGCTCCCGTGCCGCCGACATCTTTAGCAAAGGTCTCTTCGGCAAGAGTACAAGGAGTGGCAGCACGACAGACAGGGAGCCTGCGGTCGATGATGAACACTATGTATTAAAGGTCATCAACCTTCCTTTGGTTGAGCAGACGCGCCTTACCCGCATTTCAAAACGACTAGAGCACTCACGCGACAAAACGGAATTCTGGATGCCTGCTTTCCCCTGGCGCGCTATTGACTACCTTAATTACAAAGGCTGCGATGTTGAAGGGCTGTATCGTGTGCCCGGTAGTGGCCCTCAAATTAAGAAATGGCAGCGCCGTTTTGATGAACGTACGTCTATTCCCCATCCAAGGACGCCATTATGAGTGCTAACCTTTTTCAGAACACGACGTAAACCTGTTCGAGGTTGACGATTTATATGACATCAACATCGTTGGCTCGATGCTAAAAGCATGGCTGCGAGAGCTGCCAGATGAGTTGTTTCCTAAGGAATCGCAGGATCGCATTGCAAGAGAATGCGCTGGCTCGGAAGAGGTCCCGCAGCTGCTCATTGATGAACTCGCCAACTTGTCACCCTTCAACTACTACCTCCTCTTCGCTATTACCTGTCACCTCAGCCTTTTGCTTGCCCACTCTGATAAGAACAAGATGGACTTTCGCAATTTGTGCATCTGCTTCCAGCCCTGCATGAAGATTGACGCCTTCTGCTTCAGATTTCTGGTCTGTGATTGGAGAAACTGCTGGAAGGGATGCAAGAATGAGGCCAAATACATCGAAGAAGAATACAAGCGGTTCGATCAGCCGCCACCCAGAGGACTCGCCGAACCGGCACAACTGACGAGCAACACTGAAGTGCGCAACGCATCCCCACCCCGCAGCAAGCAGGATGCGAAAGAAGAGTTGAAGTTGAATGACGTTCCTGCTCCTGGTGGACGTCCAAACGACTCCGAGTCGATAGGCGAAACGAATGGTGCCCACGAAGCTCGACCAAAGACAGCCGACATGCGACCTTTGTCACCAATCAAGCCGCTGTCCCCCTTGGGATTTTAGTGCGGCATCACATCTCACAACGCTGGTCAAATAACGACTCGGCGCCCAACACCATGCGGCACGTACGTCCGGCATCATTCGGGCTCTTTTTCCGTTGCATTTTTAACCATCACAATATCACTTCAGAGACTGCCCCTTTTGTTTGCCCCCCTCTGGAGCTTTATTGCCGAAAACAAGGACAGTTCCTCTGGCCGTGGAAGGCTCACCCTCTACAGTCACCGTCGGTATACCCCACATCGCGTTTTGTCTGACGCAATTTCTCCATGCGTTTTTCTGCTTGTTTCAGACATTCTGCTGTTCTTCTTTTTCTTTCCTGTTCCTTCGCTTTTTACGTTATTTCTAGTCTACGCCTGCTCTGATCGAGCTGGCTGCTTAAGGCCACGTGCCAAGCGCAAAGCTTTGTATATCTGACGCACTAGAAAGCAAAAGAGACGGGTGGCTTTACGTTTTTGTTTGATAATTAATGTTTGGCATAGAAAGTGAAGATGGAGGCGGGAATTTGCCCTTTTTTTCTGTTCCTTTATATATTGGTTCCCCTGTTCAGGGCGGGAGGCTGCTTTAGGAAGTCTTGACTCGGCGTAGTCTCCAAGGAGCTGTTGTCTCCCTGAAATGTACAATAGAGTGAGATATGTCACGTTTTATTAAAGCGAATAACTTGTTGTTAAGACCCGTTGGAGACAGAAGTCGACGATGTGATTATGGCCAATACCTAAAATCAAAAGAATCAAGTTGAGCCCATATTGTAGCTACCCCATGGATACAACGATGTAGCATCCTCGAAACCTCTGTCCCTAAAATCCGAAAATCAATGCTCCAAAGCCACAAAACAGAACCCTAAACGCCCGCGCCGTGGTCATAGACAGATGCTCTGGATAGCCTCTGCCCACTCTATAATGCTTTTCCACCTTCCCTGCCACCGCCGTGCTCTCTTCACCATTCATCAGCGAGCGAACTCCCGCCTTCACTTCTTCAGCTTGGCGCTCTCGTCGGCGTCGCGCATGTTCTTGCGCATCTTGCGCTCGTTCCTGCGCACCCTCTCCTTGCGCTCCCTCCGCCCGTCCCCCCGCACGCTCGTGCCCTCCTTGCGCTTCGCCTCCGCCTCCGCGTCCACCTCCACCAGCCACCCGTCCTCGCCCTTCTTGTTCAGGCCCTTGTACCCCCACTTCTTCACCCACTCGCCCGTGGCCTCGTCGTAGGTCAGGTTGCGGCGCTGCTCGCGCGTCTTGGGCGCGATGCCCTTCTTGGCGGCGAAGCGCTCCCAGCGCGTGGGCGGGCGCACCTGCGGCACGGGCTTCTCGCGCGGGAGGCGCGTGGAGGGCGCGGGCAGCGTGAGCAGCACGCCGTCGCGGGTGGAGCGCGGCGCGCAGGTGGTGAGGAGCTGGTTGACGAGGGATTGGGCGCCGTCGCGGGCGACGGCGGCGAGGGACTGCTCGAGGGAGGCGCGGTCGAGGGTGATGGTGTTGGGGTCCTCGGCGAGGAGGTAGCCGAGGTCGAAGGTGTACGGGGTCGGCTTCTCGACGGCGACGGGCAGTTTCGGTTTTGAGCCGGGGATCGACATGGTGTAAGATTCTGGGTGGGTAGATGGGTTGGGTGGGAGTAATTGTGTTTTTCTTTTGCCGGCTTAGGGGAGACAATGGTGCTTTGAAAGGGCCGGAGTTCAATTTGCGTTGGAGATAAAAAAACGTGCACAAGCTGTTCTGCTTGTCTTGAATACCTGCGAACTTTTTTTTTTTGCGATAGGTGCTTATCAGTTTGGCGGCGGATCAACGGCGCTCAGATGTTCCGGGTGGTTGAAGGTACCCCAGTACCTGACTCCCTAGCCTACTGGGTCACAGGTAGGTACGATTCTGGTTACTAGTTGCTCAAGTCCAATTTTCTGGGAGAGGGTTGTCAGTGGTTTTTCCAGCGAGTTTTGATCACTTCAATTTACGAGCCTCCCTACCACCCGCCAGCCCGCCCTCTGGGCTTAATCGCCGCCGTCGTGAACATTTGTCCCACCTTCCGATCGATACATCTATTATCCCTTCCCGGACCCCGTGCCGGCCACAATGGCATCCGCCGCCGCCGCCACCAACGGCCTCAAGGTCGCGTTGCTGAGGCCCGCGCTGCAGCGGGCGCCGCGCATCCAACCGATTCTGCTGGTGGCCTCATCCGCCGCCGCGCCGCTCTCGACGACGGCCAGCCTTGCCGCCGCGCCCTCGGGCCCCAAGAGCCGCCAGGACATTGTCAAGTCCCCAAAGAAGACGTTCAACAAGAAGCGCCTCGGCGTGGAGAGCGTTAGGAAGCCCGCCCCAGGCGAGCGCAAGGCCTTCCGCAAGCGCATCACCCTGAGCAGCAACAGCGCCCTGGCCGTCGAGGGCCTGCAGGTGCTCGGCTCAGGTGTCTTGGCCGACGCGCGGAGCGCGGGCACCGTCGTCGAGCTGCCCGACCAGGTAGTGGACCAGCTCCGCGCGCTCGGTGCCTTCCGCCCCGGCCAGAGCTGGGGTCTGTTCCGGAAGCCGCACGTCCTGGTGCGCAAGGAGACGGTGGACATGGTTGCCAGGATGGACAAGGCCGTTTCCGACAAGACGGCGGCCAGGATTGTGCTCACTGGCAGCCGGGCCTCCGGCAAGAGCACGGCGCTTGTCCAGGCGATGAGCCACGCGCTGAAGAACGACTGGGTGGTCATCAACATCCCTGAAGGTATGATTAACTCGTCTCCCTACCGCCAATCGATTTCTTTTTCTTTGGATACAGTGTCCTCTAACATGCTTTTCCTCTGAGTAGCCCAGGATCTTGTCATCGCCCACACAGACTACGTACCCGTCCCGGACACGGTGCCGATGCAATTCACGCAGCCCACGTATACTCTCAACCTCCTGCAAAACATTCTCAAAGCCAACAAAGCAGTGCTAGAGAAGGTCAAGATTGAGCAAAAATCTTCGCTGACAGCCGGCTTGTCCGAGGGCTCCTCGCTCGCCGACCTCATCGTCAACATCAGAGAGCCTGATGCCGCGTGGCCAGGTTTCCTCGCCTTGTGGTCCGAGCTGATGTTGCCCGGGCGGCCGCCGGTATTCATGGCCATGGACGGCCTCACCTTTGCCAACAAAGACACGCAGTACCGCGACCCGGCCTTCAACAAGGTCCACGCCCACGACCTTACCCTCATTGGGCACTTCTTCGCCGCCCTCTCCGGCACCACCCCGATGCCCAACGGCGGCGCCGTCATCGCCGCCGACTCGGCCAGCAACACGCCCGCGCGCCACCCTTCCGAGGCGCTCGTCCTCGGCCAGCTCGAGGCCGGCCAGGCCGGCCGCGAAGTGCCGGTCCCGGACCCGTACCTCCGCGGCTACGATGACCGGGTCTACGACGCGCTCAAGAACTGCCACGTCATGCGCCTCGAGGGCGTCTCCCATGACGAGGCGCGCGCGCTGATGGAGTATTGGGGCGCCAGCGGGCTCGTCCGCGGTGTGCTCAGCACGGAGCTGGTTGCCCAGAAGTGGGCGCTCGGCGGCCACGGCAACATCGGCGAGATGGAGCGCGTCGTGCTGCAGAACCTGAAAATGTGAAGTGGAGCATTATCCTCCCTCCCTGAGCATCATCGATGGGATGGAGACGGGGGGTCGCAATCTACCGAGGGGATTTGTTGTACAATAGGACGCCGCTTGGGAGTTGTTTACATGGAGACAGAAGCCCCTTCTTAGTAGTTCTTGTATACTTGGGTATTGCATGCTTGGTTGGCAACTCAATCAAGCTCGGGATGTAGTGATTCCCTGGAGCAACTGTACTTATAGCTTAAAATGAAGACATATTTTATTGATCACAAACGTCTTACTCATTCATTCCCAGAAAAATACGCAGGTTCAACAGCATCATTTCCCGCAGAAGACCTTATAAATAGAATGCAATAGATACTCCCAACGCCGCATTTCCGCATCAACAGATTGCACAAATACCACACCTTTCCATGCGCCCCTGCTTGCACTTATTGATCATCCATATCATCGTTGCCCTGGTCCTCCGTGGCAGTGATGAAGACCAGCCTCGTGCCGCCACCAGTCGTTTGCCAAACCTACACGTCGCGTTAGAGAAGCGGTACAGAAAAACATGCATCGGAGAGAAACTTACATCAAGAGTTGTGTACTCTTCCAGGGCGCTCATCCAGTGGTCCTCGGTGAAACCCTTTGCGATGACGCGCTCCTTGACCTTGCGCATGCTCAGCTCCACGCCCAGCTCGTCGTCCTCGTCCTCGTCCGCGTCGTCCGCGCGGCAGGCGCCCGAGTCGGCGAGCGCCTTGACAAGGTTGTAGATCCTGCTGCTCGCGTTGAGGCCGCGGCGGGAGCCGCCCTGGCCGACGCTGAGGCTGTCCTTGGAGGCCTCGACGAGGCGGAGGGCCTCGTCGACGTCGTCCTGGGTGACCTCGTTGCTGAAGCGGAGGCGGGCGAGGGCCTGGGCGAGGCGCACGACGCCGAGCAGCGTGCGCGGGGTGGTATGCGTCAGCTGCGTGCCCTTGTTCTCGGCGCGCTGCTGCTGGTCGCGCATGCGGACGTAGGTGCGGATCATGTACTCGGTAACGGACTCGGGCACGACGGGCCGGTACGTGCGGGCCCGGGCGACGTAGGAGCGGACCTCATGCGGGGTGAAGACGACCTCGTCTGTCGGCATGTCGGTGTGGAGGCGGCCCATGTGCACGGAGGCCACATGCTTGGCGAGCTGCGCATCCGACTCGCGATTGGGCACGTCGAGCAGCAGGAAGATGATGTCGAAACGCGACAGGAGCGCAGCGGGAAGATTGATGTTGTCGAGGGGAGAGATGCGAGGATTGTAGCGGCCGTAGACGGGATTAGCTGCGGCGAGGATTGAGGTGCGCGCGTTGAGGGTGGTCGAGATTCCGGCCTTGGAGATGGAAATGGTTTGCTGTTCCATGACTTCGTGAATGGCAGTGCGGTCGTTCTCGTCCATCTTGTCGAACTCATCGATGCAGCAGATGCCGTTGTCGGCGAGAACGAGAGCACCGCCCTCCAGCACCATCTCATCCGTGACGGGATCTCGCATTACGGCGGCCGTCAGGCCGACGCCACTGCTACCACGTCCAGAGGTGTAGACACCACGGGGGGCAACCTTGGAGATGTACTTGAGGAGCTGAGACTTGGCCACACCAGGGTCACCCATCATGCAGATGTTAACATCGCCCCTGATCTTCATACCGTCACCCATCTCCTTGGTAACACCACCGATGAGCAGGAGAAGAAGCGCCTTCTTGACGTCAAGGTGACCAAAGATTTCAGGCGCAATGGACTTGGCCAGCAGTTCGTAGACTTGGCCACTCTGTCTGTGCTGGTCAATGCGCCGCACCAATGCAGGGTCAACAACCATCTCGCTGTAAGCCTTCTTGTGTTGACGGATGTAGTGAGCTTCAAGATACGTATCGGTCAGAAGACCAGCCTTCATAGCCTGGAAGCCGGTGTAGGGCGTAGGGAGGAAGATGCCCGAAATATCCACAACGTCGCCAGGATTCACACGGCGCACAAGACTGCCGTAGCAGTGCACTGTGAGAGATCGGGGCACCTGACCAAGAGGAACTTGCTCGGCCAGTTCCTGGACCTTGACCTCCTGGAAGGGAAGAAACTTGGAAGCGCGCGACGAAGGGTTCAGCTGTCTCTTGGACTGGTTGCTCTTGCAATCGTTGGAAGGGCACATCAGCAGAGGGCCATATTGCCTGTCCGTGACTGGCTGAAAGATTTCGCAACCACACCGGTCGCAGGTGTACGCGCTGACCTGCATGATGGGCTTTACATCGGAGACGCGGGTCGCGATGGCGCGGACGGTGAGGAGATGGCCCAAGTTTTCGCCGCGCACATGGCGCACGGCGAGAGCCTTGGAGGCAAAGTCGGGTGAGTTGACACGGGGTTTGAAAACGAGAGTGTATCGGCGAGTAAGCTCGGCAGGGAACTTGTCCTCCTCGAGGGTGGGGTCTTGCTCGGCAGACTCTTCAAACTCGCGGTTTCGGGCTTGACGGCGCGCCATCAAGACGTCGAGGACGTCATTCTTGAAGCTGACAGACGCGCTTGGCGGAGGCATGACCTTGTCTACAGCTCTGGACATGATGTCGACGTAATGCTTGGTGTTGAGCTCGATGCAGTCGACGAGCTTAAGTCCCTCGCCAGTCTTGCTTTCCCACGCATCTAGATCATCAAGCTCAACGACAATTTCGTCTCGCGTACGGTCGGCCAGCTTCTGTATCATGTCCTTGTATTTGTGGTGGGGGGCACGACTTTGCGCCTTGTCATTACGACGGCGCTCGCCTGTTTCATCGTCCTCATCCATGAAGTCGTACTCGTCGCTCAAGTCGTCTTCGTCAATGGTGATGTTTCCCATTGCGGTGGTAATGGTGTGCTCTGGCGAGGTCTTGAAATCCTTGAGGAAGACCTCAAACGCGCCTCGAAAGCCGTTAGCAGGCGCATGCAACTCCAAGCAGCGCAGTACTCACTTTGGTGCGTGTCATAGTTGACGGGAGGCTTGAAATCGCGGAGCGCCATGATGGGCGATTTTGACGTGCAATCCCGACAAGAGATTTCGTCGCTGCGGTTGCAGAAAGACTGAGATGTGTCGGAGAGAATGCAAAATCAATCAACAGGGTGTGCAGGGATATAGGTAACCTTGGTATCCGTCCACTGTCCTGGTTGGCTGGTACAGACCGATGGAGGCTGGGAGGGGCCGCCGCCTGCAGGGAGAATTGACAGTAGCAAGAGCCAGCGCGTTCCAGACGCGTTGCAGCGCGCTTTCGCGTTCGTGCGCCACAAAATCCATTAAGCTGCTGCGCCACCTATGGCACTGTGTTCTGTGGGGCCGTCGACCGCTGCCCGACAGAGACTGACCCACTACACGTGCCGCTTACCTCGGTCAGTGGACGGAACTCGGGCTCTGAGCTCTGGTGAGGCTTCGGCTTTCCTTCAAAGGCAGCTCTTCAATCCAATTCTCTTCGCATAGTTTCTGCGCAGACAAGTCAAGTTCTGGCATGCTGCGACATACAGCTGCTGCCCCCGTTGCAACATGGCCCCCAGAAAGAATGCGCAGTCTGTCAACGCTGAGCTTTCAATTGTTCATCTGAAGAACTGCCTGGTCAACCTTCCCCCCACCTTGGTGTCACTGCTCGTCAATGTGAACACGGTACGTTCAGCTTTTCCACGAATCCATCTAGCTTCAGCGACATCAGCTAACTTTCACTTTACAGCCTGCTCAAAATGTCGTCGTCGAGCTCACCTTCCGCGCCCCAGTACCGGGTGCGCAATCGTCCTCCGGTACCCATGAACGCTCCATCTTTGTTGGTTGGACGGGCATGCCGAGCAAGCGACGGACTTCAGCCCCGGTCAGCCGCGACAGCGGACGAATCTCGTCGCGCGATCAGGATATCCAGCTTGTCGAGATTGATGCGACGTTAGCGCACACACTGGGTCTCAGCGACGGCCAGAAAGTCATGGCCACGGTTCACGTCGACCCTCCGATTGCGCACACCATCAATATCGAGCCCATGACTCCTGAAGACTGGGAGATCATTGAGCTTCACGCCACATTCCTAGAGCTTAATCTCCAGTCTCAAATCCGTGCGCTCCCCAACCCGGCCTACACTGGCTCGGGCGAGAAGCCAATCCCTCCGCATCCCCTCACGCTCCACCTCTCTCCTACCTCAACAGCCAATATCAAAATCATCTCACTGGACCCAGCGCCTCCCTCTAGCGCGCCGTTTGCGAAGTTATCGCCCAATGCAGAAGTCATTGTAGCTCCCAAGACCCGGGCCAAGCAACCCCAAAGCAGCAGCGACCATCGAAGTGTCGCTAGCACTTCGCGATCGAGACGAAGCGGCACGAGCACCGTCCGTAAGAAGGGCCCGAGAGAGGAGCCCAAGCCGACCATGTTCCTGCGCGCCATCGATAGGTCCTACTGTCAAGATTGGTTCGATGACTCCTCCCCAAACCAGGACCTCGTGGTTTGGGTCGATCGCGACCGCCTCTTTACAAACGAATTCCGCGGCGTCAACTTCGTCCTGGTAGATATCATCCGCCCTGCTGGCCTGCAAAAACCGCAGGTTGAAGGAGAGGCAGCTCAGGTTCAGACACTAGCCTCATCAAAGGTCATTGCGCGGCTTCTGCCCTGGGACGATCCTCCAAATGGACAGGCTGCGGCACTTTCGGCACCGCTCTGTGCCACGCTCGGATGCGCTGGGATTGTAGGCGGTGTAATCAAGCTCCAGGCTGCGCCGCAGCAGCTGGGACGAAACGCTGTGCAGCTTATCAAGGTCTTTCCCTTCGCCGCAGGCGCAAAGTCTACCGAAGGTCTGCGATTTGGCAGTGAAACAAAAGCAGAAAAGGAGGAATCGTCTAAACGCTTCAGGCATATTTATGCTGGCTCCAAGGAAAGGCCAGGGTTGCTGCAAGGTCCCATCACAGATGGCATCGTTGTTGGGCTCTATAAGGGACTTGACGCGCCACAGGGCTGGGAAGGGGGCATCGTCCGATTCGAATACGGTCCCGATCAGGAACAGAGCAAAGATTCTACGAACTGGTTAGCTGGGGTAGATGGGAAATTGCAAGTCGAATTCCAGCCTCCGGTTCCGCGGCCATCCTGGATTCTTGAATCAGACGAATTTGAACTTGAACCCAAACACGACGGCGCACTTCTCGGAATCGATAATCTTCTTTCAGGCCTGCAATCTCACCTGTCACATCTATCTTCCGTCTTGTTAACAGGATCGATGGGATCTGGCAAAACTGCAGTGGCGAAATACATCGCGGGAAAGCTCCGCAAAGACTCACTGTTTTACACAGTCTACTTTTCCTGCCGAAAGCTGGTTACAGACGAGACAAGAATATCAACCATCCGGGAGACGCTCGAGCGCCTGTTCATGTCTGCCAGTTGGGGTTCTCGGCTTGGGGGCAAGGGTGTCGTAATTCTAGATGATCTTGACAAGCTGTCTCCGGTCGAGACAGAACTTCAAGTTGGCAATGACAACGGACGAAGTCGACAAATCAGCGAAGCGATACGATCGATTGTACGCCAGTACTGTACACGCGATAGCAATATTGTTCTTCTGGCTACTGCCGAAGGCAAAGATTCTCTTAACAACGTCATCGTCAGCGGCCACGTTGTGCGTGAGATTGTGGAACTCAAGGCACCAACCAAGGAAGCTCGCAGAAGCGTCATGGAAAGCATTGCCAAGCAAAATGCTGTGGAAGCTGATGACAGGGATGACTTCAGCAGCAATAGCCGACCGACAACTGCCGATGGTAGTAATATTGAGGAGAATGGAGACTGGCTGCATGGGGCAGATAAGCCAGCTGCTGTTGTCTCAAAATCCCCCAATGCTGGGTTCATCCTAGATTCAGATCTTGATTTCCTCGATATTGCCGGCCAGACAGATGGTTACATGCCTGGAGATTTGACAGTGGTCATCTCTCGTGCTCGAAACGAGGCCATTATTCGCGCCCTCAGTGAGTCTCCGAACGATACCTCTGGAGGTCCTGTTCGTCTCAGCCGCGTCGACTTTGACAAGGCTTTGAAGGGCTTCACGCCCGCCTCCCTGCGGAACGTCTCGCTCCAGAGCTCTACCACTACATTTAAAAACATCGGCGGTCTGCAGGAAACCCGAAAGGTTTTGCTGGAGACGCTGCAATACCCTACGCAATACGCGCCCATCTTTTCCCAGTGTCCCCTAAGACTTCGGTCTGGTCTGCTTCTATACGGGTTTCCTGGATGTGGCAAGACCCTGCTTGCCAGTGCCGTCGCGGGCGAATGCGGTCTGAATTTTATCAGTGTCAAGGGACCGGAGATTTTGAACAAATACATCGGTGCTTCGGAAAAGAGTGTGCGCGATCTGTTTGATCGCGCCCAGGCGGCAAAGCCTTGCGTTCTTTTCTTTGATGAATTCGACTCTATTGCGCCTAAGCGCGGTCATGATTCAACAGGTGTAACAGACAGAGTCGTCAACCAGCTGCTCACGCAAATGGATGGCGCTGAGGGCTTATCCGGGGTGTACGTCCTCGCTGCGACGTCTCGCCCTGACCTCATCGACCCTGCACTTCTCAGACCCGGTCGTCTCGATAAATCTCTGCTGTGCGACATGCCGTCACCCCAGGATCGCCTCGACATTCTCAAGGCGATATTCCAAAAGGTGCGGCTCTCCGAGGAGCTCATCGACTCGGACGACGCGTGGGAGGAGATTGCACGACGCACAGACGGCTTTTCCGGCGCCGATCTCCAGGCGCTCGTGTCCAACTCGCAGCTCGAAGCCATCCACGATGTCCTCGACGTCGGCGGCTCGTCAACCGCCGTCCGTGGGAAGAGCGGCCAGAATGGGGCCCAGCGCGGGTCGGCCCCGAGTTTCGTGCAGTTCCCGTACGGCGATGAGCCGGGGACGCCCGGCGCGCCCCAGAGCAAAGCAGCCGCCCGCGTAGAGCACGCGGCCATCATGTCCAAGCTAGAGCAGATCAAGCTTGCGCGCCGCAGGGAGAAGCAGGTCCACAAGGGCTCGGTGGGAGACGCCAATGCGGCGGCCGGCGACGGCGGCAAACCGCCAGCGGAGCAGAAGGAGGTCGTCATTGGCTGGGAGCACCTCATCAAGGCGCTCGACAACACACGGGCGAGCATCAGCAAGGAGGAGAGGAACCGCCTGGAGCGCATATACCACGAGTTCGTGGCCGGCCGCAGCGGCAAGATGAAGGATGGACAGGGAAGCACGGAAGTTGGAGGCCGCAGCAGTCTCATGTAAGATTAGGCGTGTTATATCTATAGATTCATAAATCATTATCGGTTCACTGCTTGGGTTCCTTTGACAGCGACTAGAAGCTAGACAGGTGCAGAAGTAATTGTTGGTCCTCACCCAGACCACCACCACTGCTGCATAATCCCCAACGCTCACCCCGAGCCATTGTTTCCCGCTTACCTTGCCGCCTCTTTGTCGTCCTCCGCGGCGAGGACATCAGTAACGGCCGCGAGCAGCTCAGCGTGCACGTCCGCGCGCGCCGCCACCATGCCTCGGTTCGCGCTCAGCGCGCGGCCCGCGCCAAAGTCGATCTCCCGGCCGTCCAAGTCCGTCACGCATCCGCCGCGCTCCGTGAACAGCAGCTGCGCGCCCGCATTATCCCATGTGCAAAACACCGCGTCGCCCCGCCGGGGGACGCGGACCCAGGCGTCCGCGGCGCCCAGCACCAGCGCCGCGTAGCGCACGTGGCTCGCCCAAATGTCCAGGCCGGGGTACTTGGCCCCCAGGCGTGCCGCGAGCGCGCGCACGGGGCCGTGGTCCGTGGAGCTCGAGCGCTGGCAGTCGACGAAGCGCAGGTCCGCGGCCGGCGGGGGTGGTGGGAGCGGCGGCAGCGGCGAGGCGGGCGACGAGGCCAGGGAGGCGGCCGCGAGGGAAGGGAAGCGCCGGACGGTGGCGCCCCGGCCCTTGACGGCGGTCAGGAGCACGCCCATGCCGTCCGGGGCGTCGACGACGCGGTCGCGAATGCCGACGCCGCCGCCGGCGTCGGGGTCGAGGCTCGGATAGGCCACGACGCCGACGACCTCGCGGCCGTGCTCAACCAGCGCCAGCGCGACCGCGTACTGCTGGCCCTTGAGGAACGTGGCCGTGCCGTCAATCGGGTCCATCGCCCAAAACCGACCCGCCGGCCCGCCGGCGCCGGCACCACCCAGGTCGATCAAGTCGAGCATGTCGTCGACCGAGGCCGGGCCGTCGGCGGAGGAGCTGACGAGGGCGTAGACGGCGTCGCGCAGGGCGGGGTCGCGGCGCAGCGCGGACGAGTCCTCCTCGCCGAGGAAGCGGTCGTCGGGGAAGGCGGCGTGCAGGGCGCTGATGAGGAGCGCCTGGGCGGCGAAGTCGGCGACGGTGACGGGGGTGGCGTCGGCCTTGGAGACGGCGTGGACGCGGGAGGACTGCACCCGTTTGGTGAGGATGGCGGCGCGCAGGACGGCGGCCTCGGCGACGGCTCGCTCGCGTTCAAAGGTCGCCGCCATCGTGGGGGGGTGGGTGAGTGATTGGGTGCCTCAAATGACGGCGGTCGTGATGTAATGGTCAAGTTGTAGGAGGTCAGCGGTTCGTAGTGGCCGTTGTTTGTGGTGGATGGATGATGGATGGATGAATGGATGGATGGATGATGGATGGAGAGGTTGGGATGGGTCGGTGTCATCAAGACATTATTGGCAGCGACAGCCATACCTCCATCCACCACAAGGTCGGACAGACTACATTACAGAACAACACTCACTGTACTTGTGCTGCTGCGGACATGCAAAATTACACAATAAACGTCATCAGCTCATTTAACACACCTACTTGCGTCACAACGGAGCCGCGTACATGGTCAAATCAACATGTATGTATTCTCATTAGCACATCGCTTTCGTCCTCCCACAAGCGGTTCTAAAACTTCAGCCGTCATGATTAAAATACACGGGGCATTCCTCCCTCGCAATGGGGACAGGGCAGCCGCCAATCGACACAAAAAGGCCAACAATGTTAACGATAAAACATCAAGTCTCGCAAAATATCCTCCAAATGTTCTAATCAGACAGCGACCCCCGAAAAACTCCTTCTCCTCCGCCTGTCCTTCGTGAGTCGTCCTTGCATCTCTGGGTATGTTGTATAGTAGCTTGCCCTCGCCTAAAAAGAAAAAGATATGAAGAGCCCAAAAGTCCAAGATATGCCAAACGCCGGGGAAAATGCGGAAAACACTGCAAAAGGCTATGAAATCATCCACCACCATCCAATACAGATCTTGACTCCGCCGTCTTCTTCAAGATGCAATGCTCTGGTGCCTTGCGCACTGGGCAAACTACGCACCATTTGTGCTCGGCCTGGCTGAGCCGCCTTCCCGGTCGCGAGCGTGCAACGTTTTATACATGTTGCACAGTCGTTTGCCTGTCACGCTCTTGTTCGTATCATCGACCGGCCAGAGAGCGGCAAGGAATTCCCTAGTAAAACGTCAGCATCAACATCGTCAACATCATCAGCATCCAAGCCATCGCTCCAACACCAACTTACCAGAAATTATCTTTCAGGCCGGTATCTGCCACCGTAGCTGGAAGCTTCTCGTCGAGGAAGGTTCCAATCACCACCAGCTCCACCGAGAAAATTGCCGCGCGCTCTTTTCTTGACTTGACGTTGTGCTTTGTGGCTGACAGGATGCGTTCGAAGTTCTCTCGAACAGGCTTGAGCAGGTACCAAATCATGGCATCGTTGTCTTGCTGGCGCCGGTCCGCGTTATCACCAATTCTGCGTAACTCGTCCAAGCGCCGGAATGCCTTCTCTCTCCGTTCATCCAGAGGGCGATGCTCATGATGGTTGCTTCTCTCGCGGTCCCCGTGACGATCATCACGTCGATTGTCATCACGTCTGTCCTCGCGCCTGTCCTCACGTCGGTCATCCCGTCGGTCGCCACGTCTATCATCGCGTCTGTCATCGCGTCTATCATCCCGCCGATAATCATCACGGCGGTCATCCCGCCGATAATCGTCACGGCGGTCATCGCGTCTATCGTCACGCCTATAATCATCGCGGCGGTATTCCTCTCTGCGATAATCATCCCTGTGACGAGGTTTCTCATGGCGTCGAGCCCGGTCCTCATCATCCCGACGACGAGCTTTATCGTGCCTATCAACTCTATCATCGGGTCTGCTGTTGCGGCGACCTTCTTCAGCTTGATGGTACTTGGCGATGCGCGTATCATCATGGGAGCCGTGCTTGCGTTTGACTTCGGGTCGAGGAGTCCCACGTTCTTGGTCCCGCTCCTTTTCCCGTGGCCGTTTCGCGCCTTGGCCACTTGGGGATGCAGCAGCGCTATTACGATGCCCATTGGACAGTGGCTGCCTCTTGGAACGGTGACCCTCGGCCGTTCTTGGCCCAGAACGATCATTAGACTGTCTTGCAAGAAGAACGGACAGCAGATACTCAGAGCGTCGCACGAGATGCACTGCACCGGGCGCCTTGAGCTTGTCGTTGGCCTTGGAACGCTCCTCCTTCTTGCCAACACGGTGCTCCTCGAGGAACAGCTTCTCAGAGAGCTCCAGGTCTGGATCGTCACGTATCTGTACCCATGCTCCATATCCGTGCCTGTCAATACCAACAAGAAGCATGGCATCCTCTTTAGCGCCCCACGAGCAGCTGTAGTTGGCGCCCTTGGTTGCGTCAGGGAGGCGGAGCGTTCTCCAATCAGCCTGGTCTCGGATGGCCTCCCGAAGAAGCCGTAGTTGTTTGGGTCGTTCGATGGCCGTCTCGGCATTGACCTTCTTCAGACCACCAAAATCGAAGAGAACAGCCTTTTTGTCCTTCTTCGTCAAACTTTTGCCCATCTTCTTCTCTTCCTCAGCCATCCTGTTGAGATTATCATCCACGGCTGTCTGTGCGGCTTTGATGAAGTCGTCTAGGACAGACTTGACATAGTTGCCATCGCGTTCGACAAGCTTTGCTTCGCGGATGATGTCTTCTTCGCGGTCATCCATGGATCCAAACCGGTAGAAGGCCTTGATGAGGTTGCGTTGTTCCTTGTCATTAAGAGGGCGTTTAGGATCAGCTCGCAGAGCACGCTCTTCTTCCTCTTCTTGCTGTTGTTCCCGCTGTCGCTTCTTGAGGCGATCGGCTCGTTCAGTCTCCCGATTTCGGCTCTTGACAGCAGCACGTCGCGGTGCACTCTCAGCGGCAACTTTAGCCAGGTAATCATCGTGCTGGCGTTTCTCTTCATCCGCCTTGATCTCTGCCAGCTTGTCGGCGGGAATGATCTGATCCCAGTCAAGGTTAATGTCATCCACCTTGACGTCGGTAATTTGCATGAAGTTATCCCAATCGATGCCTCCGCTGCTGAGGTTGATCTTGTCATCGACCTTGGTCTTGGTAACTTCTGCATTCTCAAGAATAGAGTCGATATCAAGCTGCTCGAGGCGCTCTTGGTTGCCACTCTGCTCAAACATTTTGGAAGAGCGCATCTTGAGAACCATTTGGATATCTTCATTCGAAGATGGCCCATCCACCTTGATGCCCTTTTTGTTAAGCTCCTCCTTAAATGCAGCCTTTCCATCATCAGTAACACCAGCCTGGATGGTAAGATACTCCAGCAGCAGCTTGTTTCGCGCACGTTCCAGAACTTCTTCCTCGACGGTTTCTTTGGAGACAAGGCGATAGATATTGACGGGGCGCTTCTGGCCAATTCGGTGTGCTCGGGCCATAGCCTGCAAGTCGGCCTGGGGGTTCCAGTCGGAATCGAAAATGATGACAGTGTCTGCCGTCATCAAATTAATGCCCAAGCCACCTGCACGAGTGGATAGCAGAAAACAGAAATCCTCGCTATCGTCAGCGTTGAAGTGGTTGATCGCCATTCTTCTGGGCCCTGCCTGGATCGTTCCGTCCAATCTCTGGAACTTGTAGCCACGGAGAGACATGTAGTCACCAAGGATATCGAGCATTCTCACCATCTGGCTGAAGATGAGAACACGATGACCGTCTCTTTTTAATTTGGACAGCAACTGATCCAAGAGCATCATCTTTCCGCTGCTTGTAATAAGACCTTTGAGTTGATCTTCACGACGGACACTACCAGCCAAAACTCGTTCCTCTGCGCCTGGAAACATGTAAGGGTGGTTGCTGATCTTCTTGAGCTCCATCATGATGTTGAGCAGCGAGTTTCGGTGGCCATTGCTCGCATCGGACAGCGCAGTATAGTTTCTGGTCAGGATGTTCTTGTAATAATCCAGCTGCAGATCGGAAAGCTCAACACGGATGATCTTTTCCGTCTTTGGCGGCAGATCAGATTCAACTGTCTCCTTCGTCCGACGCAGAATATAAGGCGCAATGGAAGAGTGTAGCTGTTGAAGCTTCTCTTGAGCATCAACTGCAGAGAGCGTATCGAGATCCTCGTCAATGTCCACTTTGCCTGGGTTCAGGAAGTCCATGAGGGCAGCAAGCTCGGAGAGATTGTTTTGGATAGGTGTGCCGGTAATGAGCACCTTGCAGGGGATGCCGAACCCAACCAAACGCATGTAGAGTTGCGACTCGCGGTTCTTGAGACGATGAGCTTCATCAACTGCAAGCACCTGAAATTTGATGGATTGGAGAAACTGCCAGTCCTGAAGAATGAACTCGTATGACGTAAGAAGAACGTTGAACTTGGGTTTCTTGGGATTACCATCAACAAGCAACTCGTTTTCGCGAATGATGTTGCGAGCATCTTCGGGGCCGAGATACACGACATAGTTCAGGTCCGGTGACCAATGGTTAAACGTGTCGCACCAAGCTGGAATGACACTGAGCGGAGCAACAACCAACGAGGGTCCTTCCTGATTGCGGCAGTTGCGCAGCCAGCTGAGAAACGAGACAGTTTGGACCGTCTTTCCGAGGCCCATCTCATCAGCAAGGATAACGTTGTTGCCTCGGCACCAGTTAAGGCAAAGGAAGTTGAGCCCACGAAGCTGGAAGGAGCGCAACTCGCCGTTTTGGATATAGCTAGGTTGCTCATCCAGCTTTTTCATCATGGAGCGGGTATCCCGGTTGGTTTCCTTGCGATCAGACAACCAAGATCTTGATGCACGGTCAAGATACTGGTCAATCTTGTCTTGGAACTCTGGGCTAATGTCGCCGACTGTTTCCCAGGTGCATTCCTCGTAGGTGAGCCCTTTCCATTTAACGAAGTACTCAGTGTCATCTTCGCCATCCCGGACGGCGACGACTCTTTCGACCTTTGTGAAGTCTTCGAAAGCCTCTTCGTCACGCTCACGATCAAGAAAGTATTGCTCTTTAAGCTCGGGGGCTACATCCTCGCCAAAGGTAATGTCGAGCTCGCGTTCGACCACCTTTCGGAAGTAGTTTTCGACTTTGCGGAAGCCACGCACGTTATGAAGAGAATTAATGGTTTCCCAAGTGTCGTGCAAGTTCGACTTTCCTTGCCATTTGATAAAGTATTGGTAGTCATGGCGGTCAGAGTCGTACGCAATGCTGACGCCATCTTTGGGCCGGTGCCTGACAACTTTTTCGACATAGGGGGAATCGTCAACATAGTCGGTGACGAAAACCCCCTGTCCAACTTCCGTGTCATCTTCTTCTTCGTCTGCTTCGCTCTCTTCGTAAGCCCCTTGCTGGACTTGTTGCGCCGCTCGTCGATTGGACCAACGCTTTTCTGTGAGAGCCAGCGCAGGTTGGGCTTCGAGCCGTTGTCGCGCGCGCTTGATCTGGCTTTTTGCTCGTGCACCGCCGTATGTGTCTGAGTCGGATTCGGAATCGTTGGTAGACAATTGTAGAGCTGGCGTTGCTCTTTTAGAGGCTATCGGTCGTGTTAGTCGGTTGGTAATGACCAGGAAGACAACCAGAGACGACATACAAGTACGAGAGTTACCAACGCGTCGTCTCTTCGCTTGACGACGGTTGATGGGCTCAGCATCAGATTCCGATTCAGATTCAGCCTACGCGACAACTGTGAGTAAAATGACAGGCTTCGACATGCAGAGGCGACATACCACTTTTACTTGGGGTTGGGGCCGTCGCTACAATAGAAGATTAGCGCCAATGGACAAATTGAAAATTCTTCGGGTGATGGAGATGTCATACACTACGGCGTAGGCCATAGAGCTCTGGGTTGGCTCTGATATACTCCTCTTCGTCGAATGATGCTTTTCGCTTGGAGACATGATTTGAGTCGCTGGAGCTGATGTGGCCGGGCACCTCGTCGTCTTGATCTTGAGGGGAGGGATTATCAATTTGCATCTCGAAGTCGCCATCGTTAGACGCGTCGTCAGCACTAGATTCTTCGCTTTCCAACATGCGATCATCATCAGAGATGTTGTCTACCCCAGTACTGGCGACGATGACGGATTCTATGGGCGAGGGCGGTCGAGACGGGGTTAGGGAGCGGTTCGAGGCCTCGCTGCTGCTTCGGGAGCGCTTGACGAGGCCATGGGAGTCGTTTCTATCGTCTTCCATTACATGTCCATTTATAGGACTGCCCAAGGTAGGGCTAGACATGATTTGTGATTCCGCCGAGTGTCGATGCGACCTGTTTCCAGAATAGTGTCAGCAGAATATCCCTCGTGCATGGCAGCCCAGAGGCGATAGCAGTAAATCGTGGCAGGAAATATCGGTCCCAACAATCTGGATACAAAGCAAAAGTAGCATCGAGATGAAATATTGCCGGTATCGCATGGTATCGCAGATTTTGGCGATGGATAGAGACTGGGGGACCAAGACCAGGCAGAATGCCAGGGGAGGCGCTGGAGGTAGTGCAAGAGCGTAGGCATCATGAGGGCATCAAATTCTAGCGATTCTCATCGAGAATTGACGTGGATATATGGAATTTACCGCCTGGGGTAGTGACTGGAGCGCCATGAGGCGTCGGAGCCGGGCATCGGCGAGACCTGGTGCGGGAAGTGCTGGACACAGGAAGACGAGAGCACAGACAATGCACACAAGACCTACCATTCATAAATAAAAGACAGACTATGTTTGGAACGTCAGATGAAGTAAAGAGCAAGATGGGACAAAGCTAACGGGGGGGGATCGTGGGGGGAATCGACAAGGCGCGAGAGAGCGTGTGGTTGGAGACGACGGAAATATTATCGAAAAAAGCACAGGTAGGCAGAGAAGGGTAGTTTATTAGTAGTGGAAAGAAAATGGAGGGACGGGCGGAGAACCGAAAGGCACGGCTGGGTTGGGGCCAGTCCATTTTAGGTTCGGCAAGCCTTGAGGCGGAAGGAGTGTTACAGGGGGCGCTACAAAGCATCCAGCGCTGCGACAATGGGCCAGTAGGTGTGTTGAACAAGTATTACCTTGAGAGCCAATGTGTGTTTTTTTCCCTTTTCAAATACGATGGAAAAATGAAAAAAGAATACTGAAGAGGGAAATTAAGGACTCATCCAGTACATGAGATCCAAAGTTTTGAAAGTCCGATTTATTCCTTGCAATATACGCTCTAATAGATACCTAGCCACGGATAACCACGGTCTGAGGTGCAGGTACCCATGGGATCCAAATCCGTGATGTCCATCACCAGGGATCACGTGCTGATGTTCTGCAACCTCCGTCTCTGTTACTTTTACACTGAACTGAGGCTACTTTTCCACAATTACAAACTTTATCTAAGTAAAAGATAAATTTACGTAACTGGGAATTATAACCACGAATTTTTTCTTTTCCCCCTCTTGCCGTTGTTGTCCTGTCTCGACAGCCGCCATAGTTGCATCTCGAGAGCTTCACACTACTAGAGCAAGCACCGCGCCCATGTGTATAGGTAGGTACGACACCGCAATGTCGCACAGCCACTGTACGACCATGATGGGTCAATAATCGTAAGAATTTGAACCAAAGTACATGACAAGTCACTGCAATATCTACTTACGCCTATTTTCATTATTGGTCGAACGCCACTCAACTTTCTAGGTAGTCACAGCTACGCTAAGTTCAAGGGTACCACCCATCCCAAGTATAAGGTCATGGTGGTAGTAGGCTATTCTAGAGAAGTGAAAACTTAGGAAAATTCGAGACTCAGATTGCCTAGGCACATAAGCACACAGTCATTACTCTGGTGATGTATCCTCTACCCAAATTCCAAATTCCCAATTCCCACGCCTTGCTGGATGCTTTATTGGGCCAGCATCTCGGGAAGATCCAGATGGGTGCAAAGCTGCGACCTGGGAAATTTAGGTATGTATGTATCTTCGGTAGGTACCGCCATAGAACTAAAGTATCTTACCACGCCGCAGCAGCCAAAGATAGACTTAGCCAGTGCCACATTCCTTAACACTTCCCTCGTCACCCTCTACAGAGCTGCTGCTGCCCTGCCCCGCCAAAGTGACGATTCACGAGTCGCGAAAAATTGATGACCATCCCACTACTCGTGGCCACCGTTTTATCTCACCTATTCCTCCTCCTACACCTCCTACACCTCCTACCCCCAATCCTCGAAATACTCTTCCACTTGCCCTTGCGCATAAAGTGTGCTTCCGTCATTTTTCTGCGCATGAGATTTTCTCTCTTTCTTCTTTCTGTTCTGCCATACCAAGTCTGTTCAGCTCGTTCCGCATTCTGAGAATCAAAAAAACAAAACTCGGTGTCAAAAACTTCTCTACCCCACCATCCACCATGGTCGACAAACTCACTCGGTAAGCCGCGATGCTCTCTGTGGCCTGTGGCAATACGTGCCAACTATTACAGTGATCCCATTCGCTAACTCCGGTCTTCTTTTTTCAGTATTGCCATTGTCAACAGTGACAAAGTACGCCTCCCCTTGCCGGGCCAATCGTCGACTACCCCGCCGTACTGACTGTCTCTAGTGTCGGCCCCGAAAGTGCAGACAGGAGTGCAAAAAGTCGTGCCCGGTCGTTCGCAGTGGCAAGCTCTGCATCGAAGTTGCTCCTGATTCTCGTCTCGCCTTCATTTCTGAATCGCTGTGTATCGGTTGCGGTATCTGTCCCAAGAAGTGCCCCTTCGATGCCATTACCATCATCAACCTGCCGACCAACCTCGAGAGCCAGGTTACCCACCGTTATGGCCCCAACAGCTTCAAGCTTCACCGCCTGCCCATGCCTCGCCCTAATCAGGTTCTTGGTCTTGTTGGAACCAACGGTATCGGAAAGAGCACTGCGCTGAAGATTCTTTCTGGCAAGCTCAAGCCCAACCTCGGCCGATTCGACAACCCCCCCGACTGGGAAGACGTCATCAAGCACTTCCGTGGCTCTGAGCTTCAGAGTATGTTCATATACTTTTATCTTCGTTGTTTCTGCCACGGTCTCTAACTGTATATTCCTTAGACTACTTTACCAAGCTTTTGGAGGATGACCTGAAAGCTGTTGTTAAGCCGCAATATGTGGATCAGATTCCCAAGGCTGTGCGCGGCCCTGAGAAGAGCGTACGCCACCTGATTGAAAGCCGTGCCTCTCTCAACAACACCAAGGAGGTTGCCGATATTCTCGAACTCAACCACATTATGGACCGTGACATCAACCTCCTATCTGGTGGTGAGCTTCAGCGTTTTGCTATTGGTACCGTCTGCGTCCAGAACGCCGATGTCTACATGTTTGACGAACCTTCCTCCTATCTTGATGTCAAGCAGCGTCTGTCGGCCGCCAGAATCATTCGTTCACTCCTGCGTGACGATGACTACATCATTGTTGTTGAGCACGATTTGTCCGTCCTTGACTACCTCTCTGACTTCATTTGCGTTCTCTACGGAAAACCGGCCATTTACGGCGTGGTTACTCTGCCTTCGTCTGTCCGTGAAGGTATCAACATCTTCCTCGATGGTCACATCCCTACCGAGAACTTGCGTTTCCGTGACGAGTCTCTCACTTTCCGCATTGCCGAGGGTGCAGATGAGTACGCCCTCGACCGCTCTCGCGCCTTCAAGTACCCCAAGATGGAGAAGACTCTTGGAAACTTCCGTCTCCGTATCGACTCTGGTGAATTCACCGACTCTGAGATCATTGTCATGATGGGTGAGAACGGTACTGGCAAGACTACCTTCTGTCGTCTACTTGCTGGTGCTCTTAAGCCTGATACCAAGGCCGGCGTTCCTGACATGAGAATCAGCATGAAGCCACAGACCATCACCCCCAAATTCGACGGCACTGTCCGCCAGCTCTTCTTCAAGAAGATCAAGGCCGCTTTCTTGTCTCCTCAGTTCCAGACGGATGTCGTCAAGCCTCTCAAGCTCGACGACTTCATTGACCAAGAAGTCAAGAACTTGTCTGGTGGTGAATTGCAGCGTGTTGCCATTGTTCTGTCACTTGGCCTTCCAGCTGACATCTATCTGATCGATGAGCCCTCTGCCTACCTTGACTCTGAGCAGCGTATCATTGCCTCGCGTGTCATCAAGCGTTTCATCATGCACAACAAGAAGACAGCCTTTGTCGTCGAGCACGATTTCATCATGGCTACCTACCTTGCTGACCGCGTCATCGTCTTTGACGGCAAACCCGGTATTGACTCCCACGCCAATACACCCGAGTCTCTCCTCACCGGCTGCAACACTTTCCTCAAGAACCTCGACGTCACCTTCCGCCGTGATCCCACCAACTACCGCCCTCGCATTAACAAGCTTGACTCTCAGCTGGATCAAGAGCAAAAGTTGAACGGCAACTACTTTTTCCTGGATGACAGCGATGACAAGGTCACTGCTTGAAAAGGGCACCCACAAGGATCAAGTTCCTCCCCACTACCAGCAGTCGCCCAATGAGCAGATGCACGGTAGTGGTGGCAGTGAAGCACGTTGCAACTTAGGAGCCCACGCCAATCGGGAGCGCCAAGATCTGGCTGCGCCAGAAAGCGGCGCCAGCGAGGAAGACGAGCCGGATGACTAACACCGGCGGCAAGCAGCCTCTCCCCTGTTGTCTGGTCCTGCCATGACAAGTGATACTATGAGCACTGTTGTTCGTAGCCAGTCTCATACGTGGCAGATTGAGGGACAATGGATTAAGACAGGAGGACTACTTGCAGAGAAAAAAAGGTGCTCGTGTCCCATCCTCGCGGGTACACGGGTTCATTTTAATGAACAAAGTTTTATTTCTAAATAGTCATTCAAGACGAAGTCTATTCAATATTGAAGGCATTCAACACATCTCACCCATACGCCGATTCGTATAGTGCAAAAGCAAAATCTGTAGTACTCTCCGCATTAACTTCTTTTTTTTAATTACATGTACTACTAAGGGCCCTCCCTATGCATCTACGATTGATTGATATAGCGCGGCTCCGATACGATGGCTGTGAGGAGAAAGACGACAGTAAAAGTGTCTGAATAACGGCGGTCTTTTTCCACAATAGGTATGTTCAGAGAACGCAGCTCCCCCGTCCGCCGCCGCGTATTCGTAAGTTGTTCGAGACGGAAGAAGAAAACAGGCGACAGCTGGGTTTACCTTTGATTTTGGTTCGGCGTTATTTTGGTATGTGTATATCTTTCCCCGATCCTTCCGCTACTCCTCGATCTCGCCCTCTTCGCTGCCGCTCAGCATTTCGGCGTCCTTATCTTTAGCCGCAGCTTCCGGTGCGGCAGCGGCTGCGCGAGGGGGGGGAGTCTTGCCGCGAGGCTGCTCATCGCGTGGGGGCGTTCGTGCGCGTGAGCGATCTCTCCTCACTCGCTGTATATGTTTGTTAGTAACCAGGTGTTATATTTTTGTTCTCCTTGTTTTTGTCCCTTTGAAGGGGGGGCTATGGATAGGGCGTGGGCGCAGCTTACCTTTGAATCTCTTGAATCTCTCCTGGAGTAGTCATCTTCCTCGTCTTGACGGCGGCGGCGCGAGCCGGCCGGACGTTCATCACCGTAGGGGAGCTCGTCATGCGAACCTCGATCCGCGCCACGACGGCGGTACCGCTCCCGGTCCTCCTCCCTATCGCGCCGACCCTCGCGGTCATAGGCGTGGTCGTCGTCACGCCGCGAGCGGCTGGGGCGATCATAGTCGCGCGAGTCGCGATCGCGGCGTGACGACGGCGGTGGCGACGGTCGACTCCGCTCACTTCCCAAAAGGTTCTCGGCCATGGTGGACTTACGATGGTTGCGCTCGCGCTCGGCAATCGCCTTGCGTCTGTCCGCCTCGTATGGGTCCAGCTCAGGGCTTCGGCTGCGTCGTCGGCCGCCACCGGAGCGGTGCGTGCGGTCGCGCGTGCGGTCGCCGTCACGGCGTGATACGTCTCGCTCGCTGGACCTTCGCGCGCCTCGCTCCATGTCCTCTTCCTTCTCACGAAGCCGGCGCATATGTCTGTCAAAGACGCTGTGGAGAGCATCTTCCGGGAGTGACTGGAATTCTGCAACCTTCAGTATGCGTGGTCGTACCTTATCAAAAGTGTCAGCGATAGTGACAGGAGGATCCATGCGCTTCAGGTGGACGCGGAGATCATCCATTGTGCGGCGCTGGTGGCGATCAGACTGCCTATCCTCATCGCGTTTCGAGGTTCGCTTTTCGCGCAGCTAGCATCTGGTCAGTACCTCATTGGATTAAGCCGCAGTGAAGGGCAGAGCTTACTCGGTCAAAGAGGAGTTTAAGAGTATCAGGATCAATGTTAGCAGTGCGTCGATCATCCCTCATAATAGACATGAACTCCTCTACATCGCTGGTGGGTGTGATTTCCACACGTTTGTCCTTGACGGGATTAGCAGTAGACCTCGGTTTTGATGGCCATGATAACTCACTTCGAGAACATCCAGGACATGGTTTCTGGGGCCACGCAAGTTGCGCTCCTCTTCCTCCAAGACGTCCCAGAAGAGCTCCTGGGCGGTGGACCCCTCGTGGCTGGCCATGGCAATGTAGCGCTCGTCTTTTTCAATGAGTGGAACAATCTGCGACCATGTGGTTTTCGCTGTGATTTTTCCACCATTTCGAAGTTCGGTAAGCAAGGGCTTAAAAGCCTCCCGAGCCTTACGCTCCTCGCGAAACGCCATATTCTTTTCCTCCTGCTTAGCATCGTTGAAAGCGCGTTCCAGCGCCTTCATGTGATTTTGGAACGCTGTTAATACGTCAAATTGTGTCAGAGATTTATACTTCTCTTCGTTTTGAAAAGTGGATGTAGACGTGAGGGTCTTCTGAGCTTCGGACCAGGAGGAGTACGGTTCGAGGTTGAGCTGTGGCAGCAGATCCAGGAGTCCGTCCATAGCACTCTTCCGAAGATTCGCCTGTTGCTCTTTGTGTGCTTTTCTGAGCCCCTGCATATATTCTTCGAAAAGGTGTCTCCGCTCATTCTCCTTGCTCGTGGCTCGGAAGGTAGTTTCGCCCTCGATGATAGCTCGCGCGGTCTTCCACCGGGTGTAGTGCCTAATCTCAGGATGCCGTTTAAGCATAGTCTCGAAATCCGTTCGTAATTTGGCCATTCTCTCTTCGGCGCGCTCCTTGTCCTGCGCGATGACATCTTGACAATACTTTTCAAAGGCAGCGCGACGATCTTTAGGGTCTCTGATGGCGCGGAACTGGGCGTCCTTGGCGGAAGCGCGAATCGCCTGCTCCCAGCTCCAATCTGGCTGCACGCCGCTGCGTCGGAGCAGCTTTGAAAAAGCAGCTTCTGCCTCTTCCGGTGTAGCGTAGTCGGGGTCGTCATTCGCTGGCACGAACGCCTTGATTTTAGGGTCAATAGGGGCGGCGAGGTGTCGCGCATCCGCATACGAATCGCGGTCGCGGTCGCGGTAGTCCCTGTCTCCTCGGTCGCGCCGGTCTCGATCCCGATGGTCACGGTGGTCACGGTGGTCGCGGTGGTCGCGGTGGTCGCGATGGTCTCGGTGGTCGCGATAGTCGCGTGGATCACGGCCGTCGCGGTGGGAGTCGTAGCCAAGCTGCGTGTTGCCTTGGCTAAGCTGCGGCGCAGCGGGCGCACCGGTGTGGCCGAGGGCAGCCTTGTAAGCATCAGGCATTTCCCAAGAGCTCTGCTTCGTCTCGGTGTGATACCAATACTTGCGTCCGCCTTCGGCCGTGTACTCCTTCCATGGCTGCGACGACAGCGCACGCTGCGCTCAGTGGTTAGTTAAGGGCTGGCACTCAAGGCTCCCGGCCGGGAGTGGTTGTCAAGAACTAACCTCTACTGGCGTCATAATCTCCTCCGGTTTCGTCCATTGGGTAACCTGTGTCGCGCTGTTGTAGTAATAGACCCGTCCGTCTGGGGTGCGATGCTCGGCCCATGGCGTCGCTGGAGGCGCCTGGTGGCCGCCGTATCCGTTCATCGTGGGCTTTCAGTGTTCTTCGAATATCGAAAGAGCTTCCAACAACCCTTGCGACAGCAGTGCTGATGATTTCAAGGATCAGTCGTAGGGTGCACAGATGCAAATTGTCGACATCGCAGGTCGAACAAGCTTATAATTTTTCTGCCGCCGACAGCAATGATTCAGCACGCACGAGCCACTTTTTCTCAACCAGCCACATCGCTTGTGCCACACTCTCTCATCAACGCTACCAAAGGGGCGGCAAGCCCATGAGATTGCTGCACTTGCCGTTCTATTTGAAGCTCACGGTGCATTGCGCGCCACCTTTGATAGCATTTTCACCTCTATGGACTCATAATAATTTCAATAATATTCAAAAGCGCGCATCATGTCGGAAGCCGATGCGAGATTATCAGAAGACCAGCCACCGTCGCAAGCGCTGCCACCAGACAACTCTGGGAGCTTCACAGATCAGTCCTACCTCACCTACCTTGTACCGTTAGAGACGGACATCAACCTCGAGGAGGCTTTCAAGCACTTGGATCAAGGAAAACCGATCTTAGAGTCAATACCGCAACGCGAAACCCTCTTTTTCGGTGACCATTCCCCCCTATCCTCCAGCAGAGGCCTCAAAGCTCACAGAGACTCTCACAGATGAAACAGTGCAAGTCTTGCTCGTCCTCAAGACGCCATGGGTGGAGGAAAAGGAGCTGCAGTCTAGCCTACAAAGGCTTATGATATCTCTAGCCGCGCACGTCGTCAACAGCCCGGCCGCCGCTAACCGCGATCCCCCCGCGTCTGAGTCCATCTACGTCGGCGCTGTGCGCGACATTGGCGACCCGTTCGTCGTAGTGGACGAGGAGGCGGGCAGCGACACCGACGTGGAGACGGGGACGGCGGCGGTGACGAAGAAGCAATACCTCTACGCGGTGTGGAAGCTCGCGGTGCCGCTGTCGCGGCCGCGCATGCGCCTGCACCGGCCGTCCATCCTTTTTTCCGCCTCAGCAGGGGTCAAGCCTGAGCCGCCCGCCGAGCAGGACGGCAGCGGCGCCGGGCGCACGGCAGGCTACCTGCCGAGCGGCGTGCCGTCGGGCATCAACCTCCTCGAGTCGTTCGCCGGCGACCCGGCCTTGCACGGGGTGCGGCCGCGGCTCTCGGCCCTGCGCGTGTCGCGCGTCGCGCCCGTCACCCGGCCGCAGGACCTCCTGACGCGGCTGCGCACCCTACCGCAGCTGCAGCTACCCGTCGTCGCGCTGGCCCACGCGCGCATCCGCTTCGCGCGGGGCGACGGCAGCAGCGGTGCCGATGCTGGCGCCGACGATTCCGCACCCGCACTCGCCCTGCCCCTCCGCTGCGTCGCGTACGACCACGTCACGCTCATGTACGCCATCCGGCCGCACCGCCTAGACCTCCGCGCCAGGGACCACGACGCCGGCGCTGGCGGTAGCGCGCTGCTACACATCGCCGTGTCGGCGTCGATCCGGGTGGCGCAGCGCTGCACGCCTCGCATCGACATGGCGTGGACGGCCGGCCTCGACCTCAGCACGCCGCTGAACCCCAGCTTCGGCGCGGCAGCGGAGACGGGCATCCAGCGCTCCCACCGCCCCGCGCAGCTCTCCATAGCTAGCGCCGCGTCCCCCTCGGCCGTCACGCCTCTCAAATCGCCCTCCGACGCGCTGCCCGTGCTCGAGACCCGGTCGCTGGCCAGCAGCGCCGCCGCCGCCGCCGCCGGCACCCCGACCGCCGTCGTCCTCCCCAACCTCGGCATCACCGTGTCGTTCCGCGCGCCGACCGCCGCCGTCCGCCCCGGCGAGGTCTTCTCCTGGACCGTGCACGTCCTCAACCGCGCGAGCAGCACCGGCGACGACGACGAGGCGGCGGCCAAGATGGCCGCGCGCAAGCTAGCCCTCGTCGCCATCCCCAAGCGCCGCCGACACGCAGAGTCGCGCTCTTCGTACGCGGTGCCGCGCCCCTCGTCGATGGCATCCGCGCGCCACAGCAACGGCAGCGAGGAGAAGGAGGTGGCCGCGGCCGTCGTGGACGAGAACGTGCTGCACGCGCTGCAGCGCAGCGCCGTGGTGGACGCCGCCGCCGCCGCCGCCGACCTCGTCGTCTGCCTCAGCGCCGACACGCGCGTCGGGCCGCTCGGGCCTGGCGCCTGCCACGTGGTCGAGCTGCAGTTCCTCGCGCTGCGGCCGGGCGTCGCCGGCGTCGAGGCCGTTCGCGTCGTCGACCTCGGCTCCCAGGAGCACGTTGACATTCGGGATCTGCCGACGACGGTGATTGAGCCGCTCGGCGCGTGAAGGGAACAAGGGGGGAATTGGGAAGGGAGGCGCGGGGAGGGCACTGGTATAAAGAACGGCCGTACAAGCATAAAGGGAGGAGGCACACGACATCACGAAGGAAATGAGTGAAGGTAGAAGAAAAACATTCCATTTATATATGTGTGATGCGGTGATAGGTTAGCGATTGTATTTTCTGTATCAATATGCTGCTTCGCTTCCTTGAAAAAACACACTTCCCGCACCGATTTATATGTGCATTTCCCAATTCCAACATTGAAATGATAAAAATAACTCCTAATCATATGCTGCTCTCTTCGCCATGCATAACAAAAACAAGTTGTATGAATGCCGCCAAAAGTCTACTATCAAAAAGATAAAAATGCAGAGTGGACTTGCAGTCCCCTTGAATCCACAACATCTTCCTTCACGGGTTTTAAAAATCGTAGTCGTCATCCCAGCCGAGCGCCTCGTAAATAGACTTCTGCGGCTGCGTCTGGTCCTGCAGCTGCGGCTGCCTCACGGGACTCAGGCTGGGCACCGGCTGCTGCTGGTGCTTCTCCTTCTTGACGGGCGTGGCGAAGACGTGATCCCTATCGCGCGTCGGCCACGCCGCGGTCCCTCCGCCTGCCTCGGGACGCCCCCGTAGCAGCGAGCTGCTCGCGCAGGGGCTTGGGGGAAACATCAACGCTGTCACGCGCTGCTTCGTCGGGGTGCTTCCGATTGCGTCAATCGCAGGCGACATGTCGAGATCCATGGGGTTCCGGAAGCTGCTGCGATGGCCCGTGGACGGGACACACGGCCCTATGCTGGACGGCGGGATGACATCCGACATGTACTGCTGCTGCTGCGCAGGTGTATCGGGATTGCCCTGGTCAAGGGCAAAAACGTCTCTGAATCGATTGTTCGCGGGCGTCGCCTTCACAATAGAACTTCGTTGCGCCTTGCGGGCTTCTGCTCTCCCCGTCAGTCATGCGTGTCTAGGATCAGCCTTCGCAACAGCAGTACTTACTCTTCGCCGCGAGCGCTCTCTGCTGGTCGGCCTCTTCCATGGCTTGGCCCACGACCTCCCTATTCGGCTTCCGCAAGGCAGCAATAGCATCCTTGACTTGGGCGTCCACCATCGCTTTCCTACTCGCCTTGGACACGTCTTGGCTCGCCGTGCTGATACTGCTGCTGCTGCGCGAGAATGCCGGTCTCCTCTGGCTGTCGCCTTCCATCTTGGGAAGGCGTCTGGGGTTGGCAGGCTCGCTTCCTTCGCGCTTCGGCAGGGATGTCGAGGTCGCGGATCGCAGAAGGGCAATCATGTTGCTAGGTCCGCGAGACACGCTCCTGCGGCTATGCTGGTCCGTGGACAGCGCGCGCTCAAGTGTCTTTACCGGCCGGGGCGCAGCGGGCCTCTTGGTAACGGAGCCAGGCTTCTGCTCCTTCTTGTGGGCAGAGCGATGATGCGATCTGCCGCCTGCGGGTATAAGAACAGGACCTCCTAGTTTTTTACTAATGGCATTGCACATGTCTGGAATACGTGCCGAGAAGCTACAGACCGTTAGATTCCATGCAGACTGCAGCGGAAGGCAACTTACAATGGCACAATAACATCTGTACAAAAGTCTTTCAGGGGCTCCGAGGACGGTTTTAGCACTTGGCTACCTTTGAGGTCATTGGCCTGTGAGTCTTCCCCGAGCTGCTGCTCATCTGCAGCAGTGGACTGCCAGATTGTTAAACGGTCGGCATGGACGTCAATGAGGACCGGCAAGTTATGCTTGTTCCTCTTCTTTATATGAGCAGCCGCCGGTGAGCGGTGAGCTTGCGAGGCGGCCTCCCCGGGAAGCAGGGGAAGGCTGTTCTCTGCCGCGTCGTCTGCGGCTTTCAGCGGCTCCAGGGCGAGAATCTCCATGATCAGAATCATCTGCAACTGCGTTTCGCGGGTGCGAAGCACCGACAGACGGGATTTGATTTGCGTGGCAGCGGATGTGAGCTGCTCCTCGTCCGGCTTGTTGGCGTTCCACCACTTACGAATGCGGTCATCTTCGTGGGGATAGAGGCCGTTCTTGCTGAGAGTCATCTTTTTCGATTTCCGTCGTCTCGAGCGATTTTCGTCCGAGTTTTCAACAGCGGTCGATAACTCAGAGATGATTTTTGGTGCAGTTTCGTGGTATTTCTTGTCAATTTGTACAGTCGTGAGAATGAGACCCTTCAGAAAGTCAATCAGCTCCGTCATGTCGAGGTTCGCCTCGAGATCGAGGTGGAATGTAGATCTAGCCCGTGACAAGGGACCTTTGGCAAAGTATGCAAGTGAACCCTGTAGAAATCGAATCGAGTTAATGTTAATTCATTGATACTCTGTGACAAGTACTCTTACCATTGACTTGTATAATGCCTCGAAATATTGAGCTCGTACGTGTTCAAAAATCTTTGTAGCCGTATCTTGATGATCATCGTGTGTAGTGTGGGCGCAAACTTGACTTGAGGGGAGCCCTGATGGCGCGTCGTTCGCCAAGCCCTCTACTTCGGTCTTGGGGATGGCACAACTATCCTTGGAGTCCATAGTTTGCGCCGCATGAGTTTGCTGCACCGACGCAGGCTGGACACATGGAATCTCGGGTATAGAGGTCTCATCCTCTCTCTTCTTAATGCGCGGGGATGTCACTCCTGGCGTTTGCAACTCCTCCGCAGTCTGCTGTTTCACCTGCCGACCGGCGTTTGCCGATGTAGGCTGCAGCGGCATCTGGTCCGACACCGGTTGTCGCATCCCGGCGTCGTCGCTCGACGGGCCGGGCTCCGGCTTGGGCTTCTTCCGCACGAGCGACTGGATGGCCTCGATGGCGGCGCGCTTGCTCCTCGGTACGTGATTCATATGCGCCGTCGTGGTCGTCGCGGTCGTCGTGGGCTCCTCGGCCTTGACGGCGGCGGTAAAGACGCGGTCAGCGCAGATGGCGGTGGCGCGGTGCGCGAGGCGCTCGAGGTCGACCCAGGCGCCGAGCCTGCATATGGCGTAGCGGCCCTCGTCGTCCTGGCGCTCGAGGGCGTACACGGTGTTGCGCCGCGAGCCGTCATGCCGGGCAATCAGCACGCTCTGCGCGGCGCCGACCATGCGGGCCTCGAGGTCGAGGATCTTGACGCGGGATTCAACGAGCCGGGTGTGGCCGGCCTCGTCCGCCGTGGACCGGAAGTCGATGCAGCCGAGAAGGAGGTCCTGCCGTCGAAGCAGGAACAGGGGCGACAGCATCTTGGGCTGCACGTGTAGGGCGTGCGGGTGCGGCTAGGGGGCGTCGTCAGCGTTCAGTCAGTTCGAGGTCGTCCGGGGGGTAGGAAGACAGCCCGGGCTCTTTCTTACCTTGACGGCAATGGACGGCCGGAGCAGCCTCTCCATGGCTGCGTCAGATCGGCGCTTGCCACGCGCCTCCGGCAAGGCTGCTGCGGCACTGGCTACAGCATGATCAATCGGTTCGTCGGAGCTCTGCGTGAGGATGCCAGAGTGGGAGTGTGACGCGACTCTGTCGTCGGCGGCGACAGAGGAGGACATGGGCGCGGGTGGCTCTTCATTCGTAACTCATGGCGTTTTTTTGGTTCTCAATATGGAGGGATGTGTTTTTGAGCAGTCGTCGTATGATGCAGTGTGGTACCTATATTTGTTTGTGTATGTACAAAAGCATAACAAGACAAGGGATGTTTTCTCTGTGTTGGTATCTCCAACGGATAGGTAGGTACTTGGTAGTTCGTTATTTTTTGGCTGACAACTTTGGAAGTCTGACGTCGCGGTCAAACGCGTCAACAGTAAGTGGGGCATGCTGGGTGCAGAGGTAGGCAGGTACATACCTGACACCATCCTTACAGGTAGCCAGGGACAGGTAAATTCTAAAAAACAATGCTTGTGAATTTTGTCATGTACGTTTGTGAAATTTCTGCTATTCATGTGGTTTTTCTCTCGTGCTCCGTTGCATCGCATTCGTAGGTAGGTAAGCTTGGCTTCTTGGATTGCGGTATCCTGAGCCTTGCCACAGGTTGCATCCCCAACTGCTGCTGCGCTTACGGTCCGGAGGGGATTAAATACGCGTCAGTGCAGTCATTGACTTTGCTCGTGCTTGTATTGTTCATTTGTATGTGTGCTGGATCTGAGTCTGTCGGTACATGATTAACATCACAGGAAGGCTCCTCCTTGGCCCTACAGACCGAATATTACGTAGATGGCGACCAGGCTCTATGAGCATTGCTCTTATCACAGCGTGGTAACTGGGAGAAAAGGCAGTAACAGGGCTGGAAACAGAAAAACACTTAAAAAAAAACCAAAGCAGAAGATACTGTAAATTTCGATAAAGCTGGCACCACAGTGCACTCGAAATATATATTGAGGTGGCTTCAGGGTAAGGCGCTAAGCCACAGAAGCCATCACGACTTGTGCCGAACCCAAGTATCTATCCCCCACTGGACATGCAAAAAGACACAGCTAGAGCTTGCCTCGAGTAACTTACAAATCAGTCTAATAATTGCACTTATAGGTAGGAAAGCAAAGGATAAAATCCCACCAAAAAAAGTAGTAAAACTCGAAGCCCAAAGATTCGCCTTCTCTCCCTCAGACGCCGATCCCTTCCCCTCATGGCCAAGCCTCTTTGTTCCCATTGTTATTCACAGCCTCGCACCGCCACACACACATTCTTGGCTCTCTCCATCTCAACCAGACTAACTTACTCCGTCCCTAGCGAATTTCTTGACAACATCGGAAGGAAAGAGGGGGGGCGTGCCGGCCGCGTTCCACGTGGCTCTAGGCTCAAAGTCAAGTCCAGATCCAAATTGATGAGGGCAAAGTCCCTATTATAATAAGGCACACACCCCTCCCTTTTAACAGAGGAGGAATAAAAATCAAAAACAGGGAAATACACAAGATGGTGCTAAGATCGGATGTCGTGCAGATCGAATATCCGTCATTTTCCGTTTCAACCCACCTCCCTCGCAACCCACCACTTGAGGAGGGTTTCACCACCAACAACAATCATCAGAGTTTATGGATTTCAGCTTAATTCATGGAAAGTGGTTATATCTGCAAGTAAGAATCAGGCACATGCCATGTAAAATCGAGAAAATAACTTGTATTCTGTTACTCCTCCTCATATACCGTGGTCAACTTTTTCCTCAGCAATGTCTGCCCATAATTGCTGACCAAAGACCCAGATGCATTAACCGTCAAGACGCCAAATAGCAATGATAAAAAATACCCAAGCGTTCCCAGCACGGGAAAAAAACCAATTGCAAAAAATGCCAAGCGCCGAGATTCCCTGAATATGCCCTGAAGAAAAAGTGGTTATATATAAGAAAGAAGAAGATAGCCAAAAAAAACACCACAGAAAAGGTCGTCGGTTCATTACATTATTAGTAGTCGCGCCGATTGCCAGAAAATTATGCCGTAGAGCCACTCTCATTGGCATCTCAATTCCAAGCGGCAAGCTCCCTGTCGCAGCCGCCGCGCAAGTTCGTAGTGTACAATTGCCCCGACTCAAATGTCCGAGGTCGCCAAGTTTGTCGCCGAAGATGGGTATATGTGACGGTATATCGTCGTCGAATAAATGTCAGATCCAGATGAAGCGGCCGCTGCATCTTGACAAAAGGGAAAAAAAAGAACATGTCTCGGCTTTTGCATACGCACTTGCTCTTCTGTGCGTTGCTCACCACTTGATCCCACATCGAAACTAGGCCTCAGACCAGTCGGCATTGCTGTAGAGACCCAAATGGAAGGGGTGACCACTTTGCTGGCTGTATGCCCCATGGACCTGCAGGACTGGGGTGCTGACATCATTGACGTACCCGGGCACGGAAACGGCAGCGAGGTCATAGGATGCAGGAAGACCAGACAGACCTGTGTTGACGAGATAGTCTTCCGAAACACCCATGCCATATACCGAGTTCATGCTGAACATATTGTCGACCATGCCAGGAGTGGTAGGAGGTGTCGATAGTGTGGGGTCATGGGCGATGAAGCCAGCTAGCTTCGTGTCGAGTGAGAAAGGGCCAGCAAGTGTCAGGTCGTTCAAGCCCTGAGCGTTGTTCACAATAGGTGTGTCGGGGGTCGGGGGAGCCATGGAGCTGGCGCCAGTAGTTGATGACGGCGAGCGATGCATGCTCAACATGTTGCGAGGCGTGCATGCGGGCTTGGAGACACGTCCAGAACTCGAGGCCGACGACGTTCTACGCATGAAACTGGTCGTCTCAGCCATCTTGCCAAAGTCGATGGCGGATTTAGGAAGCCCGCAGCCTGAGGTGCCAGTGCGGGCGGCATTGATTGCCAAGGGGGTCGGGCGTCTGTTGCGGCGAGTGGCAATGTCGATGCAAGGGGGAGACTTGAGGTGCATGCCTGCGGTAAGTTGGCAGGTTGGGCTGATGGAGATATCGCGGTCAACTAGGCCACCAAATCTGGACTCGTCCGTCTCAAGGGTGCCAAGGAACATTGGCGAGGAGAACAATGGGTTGACCCTGGCACCGCCAGCATGTAGGCTCTGAAACTCGGGACCAAGCAGCTGGCTGGGGCTACGGTTTGCCATGGGCATGTAAAGCTCATTGTCGCTCACGGAAAGGGCATCGGTGCTGGCATCGGAAATTGAGAGATGGTCGTTGATCTCTTCCGGCGACTTGTCCTCGGTGTTGTTTCTGGTGGATTCCTTGCGCGTGTCAAAAGTAGAGGCCTCGCTAACGAGCTCGGGTGTAGTCTCCGTGGAGGGGGCACCATCCGACTTGATAAGATCAATGATGGTACTGTTGGGGGTGGCGACTGGCGAGCTGGAACTGTCGCGAATGTGAGAAGCGGGCTGGGAGCCCGGGAAAGGAGCACTCGAGGCGACCAGGTCACGCTTGCGATGACCAACAATGCTGACACCATCAGCAACGGCCTTGTCCTTTTCTTGCTTCTGCTTGGCCTCGTATTCCCGGATGTTCTTCTCCTTTTTTTCCCTCGCACGACGGTTTTGAAACCAGTTCTTTGGCGTGTTAGCGGAAATGGTCGTGGAGACGATGGGGAGTGTGTAAGAAACTAGAAGGGAACTTACGTTGATGCGAGCGTTGTCTACTCGCATAGACTCAGCCAGAGCCTTCTTGGTTGTGCTGTTGGGCTTGTGGTTCTTTTGGAACTCGGCCTCGAGAATCTCAACCTCTTCTTTGGATAGACGAGGCTTAGACTCTGTGGTACGAGGCATTTGCTGGTTAAGCAGGCGCTGGTGGTGAACCTGGTAGGGGTCCATGGAGTCGGCCATGTATGTCGGATAGTTGGTGTTGGAGACTTGAGAGTAGGCGGCGGCGGCGGCGGCGAAGGGATCGCTGACGGTGTACGGCCAGCTAGCCCAGTTGTTTGAAGTAAAGGGAGTCATGGTGGCGACTGATGGGTTGTGTGAGGAGTGAGTTGCTGCTTGCAAGGTTATTTGCAAGTTGCAGCGTGCCGCATAGGTATTTGGACTTTGAGTTGGCCTGCTGGGTGTGAGCCAAGAAGTGGCCAAGAGACGACGAGGTCGTGTCCGGAGCAAGTGTATAAACAAGAGCTGCAGAAGAGTCCTGAAGAACAAGGCGGCAACAAGTTGGAGTAGATGACTAAGTTTGCGGATAATAGTAGATTGACGCGAGCGATGAGGAAGGCAGCAAGAGCAACAAGAGGTTCGGTGGATGTGGAGGCTCTATTTAATAAGAGAGAGAGAGGGAGAGCGAGGTGAGGAGAGACGAGACGGGTGGATAGGATTGCGGGAAGCGAAAAGGGTACGAGAGGTAAGACAAGCAAGCTCGGTCAGAATTGAGACTCTGCCCTCGTAGGACGAGTTTGACGAAGGGGGAAGATGTTGTTGAAGAGAAGGCATAGCATGGTGGGACAGGGCCGGAGGAGGAGAGGGGCATACGAGGTAGAAAAAGGGCAAGACAATGTATTCTGTAGTCCGGCATTGGGACCGAGGGGGAGGAGGAGGAGGAGGAGGCGCGAGAGAGGCGAAGGGCCCTGGTCGGCTGGGTCAAGGACATCCACACTGGGACATCCACCGGGGGGGGGGGAGAGTGTGGTGATTGGGGAGGGGAGCGAGAGGTGCGTGAGTGTGTGTGTGTGTGGGCGCGCGCGCGCGTGTGGGTTGTGTGTGGCAGCGCAGCGAGAGAGGGTAGGTGCGTGTGCTGCGTGGAGGAGAGGAGAGGGGAGGTGTGTGGTGAATGATGATGGATTATGATGATGATTGATGGATGGCGGGCGCGCGGGCGAGAAGGGGTGAGGTGGAAGTTGAGGGAGTGAGAGATGAGAGGGAGGGGTATGGTGAAGGCGATGGGGCTTGACTGGGTAGCCGGAAGGGGACGAAGGACAATCTGACCCCTGGCCCTGGCTGGCCTGGTCACCACCGGTGGCGTAGCCTGGGTGCGGGTACGGAGAGCAGGCCAGGGAAGGCAAGGCGAAGGAGGAAAGGACGAATAGAAGGAGCAAGGAGGGGAAAGAAACGAGGCCGTCTGTGGGCGAGGGAAGCCAATTGAACCGGGGGGGAGGGGGAGAGGAGGGGAGGGTGTGAGTTTGCAGTGGCCGCGTCGTGGTGCAGGTGGTGGTGCAGGTCCATGCAGACAGGGGCGCCTGGAATGAATGGTGAGAGCGCGCTGGTGGGCTTCTACCTACCTACAGTACCTACAAACTTGCAGAACCCGCCCCAGCTCAGACCTCTCTATTTTTCTAGTGGGCAAACGACCGACTCGTGCTGCTTGGTCGCTGTTGGAGAGAATTGACTGAGCGATTCCGGAGAGCTTATCATAGGACAACAAGTGAGAACCCGGAATTTCTACCTCATACATTGAGCTAGGCACCCAGTAAGCCGGCCCATGCACCTCTACGGCGGGATGCTGGGTACCTATAACAGCGCCGTGATGCAACGGGGAGTTCGAAGGCGCCACCCGGCGGGTACCTCCCACGCACAGAGGAGCTGTTTCGTTTCCCGCCAGTAATAGGTAGGCATCAGTTATGTTAACCTACTGTACCTGTGCCAGGTAGTTAGTTGGGGCATGGCAGAAAGATCGAGTTTCTTGGCGTTGGTTTGGCGTCTTGTCTACATCTTACCGTCGTGAAATTGCAAGGGAGGCACTCGGATAGTCGAGGGCAGCAAAGTCAAACCATCTTCTTCTTATTAGCCAGCTCGCTCCAGCCAGACGCGTCGTGCCCTCGGCTGCGCGTCTCCCTCAAGAAGTTCTTCTACCTAGGTGCATGGAGGGGTTTCTTGTCAAGTCTAATCATTTTGTCATCATCATCTGCCCTGCCTACATGCACGGCCGTTCTGGGAGTAGACTTTTTTCCTTTACATCGGCATATCGCTATGGAAGGCAAAATGCGGAAGCCACAACTCGGTGTGGGACCACCACTGCCCTGCAACCACCGTTGTACCTCGTTGTAGTTTCCAGGGTGAACAGATAAATGAGTAATTGGGATGGATTCTGATGATTGAACTACACTTCAAGTTGATTATTTATAATACTCATGCCATGCCTGCCATGTGCTGTACTGGTAACTATCCAGGCACGCCTTTCCAAGACCAAGCAGGTAGCTACCTATGTACATACATAGGTACATACATGCATACATACATAGATAGCTAGTACCGAGCACGACACCACCAACTAAAAGCCCAGCCCATCTCGCCTTGCTGTCGACTTTTCTCCCTTCTTATTACTCGTATCCAATAACAAAAACTTATCCCTGTTCTGGCTCACGAAGAGGCAAAAAAGCAAAGAAAAGTCTGCATCACACACGCACACACATACAATGTATACATGTATTTCTGTATGCATCTGCAGCATATGCTTTGCCATCTCCGCCCCGGCTTCTTTACGCGGACCCTCGTGGCCGCAAACTACAGGGAGACGAGCGCGCGCATGAACGAGGGGGGAGGTTCCTCAGGGAGGTATATAGACTCCAAGACTCGTTTTGATGTGATTGCTTCCTTTCCCTTGGGAACCAATGCCCTCCTCCCTCGGGCCCAGCTTCCCTGCCTGTTCAGTACAAAGCTTGACCAATAACCTAATCAAGGGCACGAGATTCAAGCTGGAACCATTGCCATCTTTCATTCCATTCGACCCAAGTCCAGACCCCCTCTTCAAGCTCCTTGCTCATGAGCCCTGAGCCCTTTGTAATAAATCAGAAACCCAACACAACAACCCCGGCCTATAACACCGTGGATGCTCGCTCGCGCATGGTAGGTGGGTTCGCCTCAGTCTTGGCCTGACGTGTTTGCGTGTGCGTGTGGCGATGGAGTTGACTGGAGATTGACCTGCGCACCTCCTCGGAGGGCATCGAAACCATATTAAACAGCCCACATCGACCTTGAACTTGCAGACGCCTTTTCCTTTCCTTTTCCTTTTCTTCTTCAAAAATTTTCTGGCTGCAAAATCAGATGCAAAATGCGAACCTCATACCCACCTACAATGCGCAAGTAAAACAACCTCTTCTCATGTCCTGCCTCCCATCGCTCAAGCAGCGGCCTACCACCTCGGTTCCACAGTCTCCATCCCATCAGTACATACTGGTACAGTAAGGCCGTCTTCGTTTCGTTTGCCCAGCAAAGGGCCCATTGACTGGCTAGTCGGGTCTGTGCTGGGATGGGGTCACGGGTTACCACGGCTGGTTATCATCGTTGCCTCGCCCCATTGCGAAGTGGTTTCCATATCCGATGATGAACAACACACGCCCCTCCCATCGCCTCAGATTAATAATAAGCACCCTAATACCTTACCCAGAATTCCCCTATGCAAACGTTGAGATTCCGGGCCCCAATGCCCATGCATCACTTTCGTTGGATAAGAAGAAGAAAGAAGACGAAGAAGCGAGCTCTGCTGCCACTGTCGTGTAACGGAGTTCAGTCACCGATGCGCATCGCCGAGCTTCCCGTGCGACAGCAGTAGACAAATGCCTAGCAACCGCTGCAAAGAAAAAAAAAAACAGCACAACAGCATAGGACCGCCCGGAGGCGTTCCGCTCCGCGTTCAACAGAGCCCCCGCCGAGTACAACAGCAAGCTGCAGCCAGCCTCGCAAACCTCCTCCAAACCTCCTCCGCCTTCCCACTTATTAGTTACCTCGTCCTCGCCCCCCATCCAGCATCCCCGTAGGAGTTGTGGCTAGGAAGCCCGGTCCGGAGTGGGCCACGGCGGTTCCACCGCTGCGATTGGACACCGTTTTCACCTGCCGCCTCGTTGCATGGTCCTGCTTTGGGCCAGCAAGCCGGGCCTGCGGCGTTCATCGGATCCAATTGCTTTGCATCTTCTTCCTTGCTCGAGCGGGTCGAGTCCAAACTCATGCTTGTCAAGTTAACAACAGACGACATCACCAAATCTCGCAGGTGGGATGCTGCAGCTCCATCGACCCGTCTCTCCATCTTCCCTAGTAAGCAAAAAGAAGCCGGTGCATCTCTTATTACCAGTATTCGTCTGGTAGTTATCTCGGCTGCTAGTAACTAGGCCCACCGTAGGTGTGCTGTGAATGGATCGCTCGACCTTGCAGCGTGGCTGACTTGCCATTGTTATGGGGTTTTGGGGGCCGTTTCCTCACTTTCACCCCTACTACCACTCTCGCCACTTTCTCTTGTCGCCTCCCTGGAGCAGGCGACGTAGCGGGCTTCCTGCCCTGCTTCCTTTTTCGCGGCCTTTACTTTGTCAAGTTTGTGCAGTAAAAAAGTTTTCGTGCTTGTGACGGCCGGACTCACTCACCTTGTACTGGTGGACGGACGGTCAAGGGACAAACATACTGGTACCGGCCACTGCATCGCAACGACAGGTTTAACTTAGTGGTGCTGATTTACCTGGATTGGGAGGGGGGGGTGTAGCTTGGACGTAAGGGAGGGTGCGGATGAGGCTCTGGGCTTCGAGCCTCTACCCTCGCCAATGAACGGGAATCCAGGCCGTTTTTAGTCAAGGACCGAACCGAGAACCTTGTGGTGACCTGCCCTAATCTGTACCCTGGTGATAGTGGGAAGGAGCTAATACGAATTACCACGCGAGACGACGGTGACGGTGTTGGTGCGCGGTGAGGCTAGCTGGGCCTAGCCTTCCTGCGTGCCGAACCCAAGTCAGAATGTTTTACCATCAAAAAAGTAGCGATGGATGGCAGTGTATGCCTTCATTGACATACAAAAAGCGCAAGTGTTCGGCTGTCATGATAATAAGAGTCGCCTACACATTTCGTCCGGCAGGCGTCCTCCTTGTCGGCTCAAGGCTAGGACGGTTTGGTACGGCTGTAGACGGCATCTTCTACATCGTCCCATTTTGCATCATAGCCTTCGGCTTTTTCTTTTCGTTTCCTTCTTTGCGGCTTACTTGGTCTAGTTCGGTGCATCTCGAGCAGCGCAGGCAGACAACGCAAACAGATAGGCCCGT